AGGTTAGTAATAATTACTTATACGGGATATATATAGTACCTATAGCGGCTAATAATTATACTTATTAACCGCGTATTCCGCGTACGCCGGGCCCCGGCCCTTTTTATCGTAATAAATACGTAAGGTACCTACGTAACGGCGGTAAGGGAAAGCGCGGGCGCCCGCCGGGCGGGTAACGGCCGAGCGGGGGGTAATAGCCGTACGCGGGGCGGTAATTATACGCGAAGTAATAAAAGTCTAAGGAAGGACGGTAGCTTCTTAAGCGATAGGTTCTACGGCGGCGGGCTTAGGGCTAAGGGAGAGGCTTTTTCGCTATAAAACCGATTAATACGTAGCTAAGCGAAAGGAGTAGCGAAACGAAAGAAGTTAGCCTTACTAAGGCCGCTACGGCGGCGATATTACTTACGTTACTATTACTACCTTCGTCGGCGGAAAAAACGGGCGTAAAACGTCGCGCTAAGCGACGGGAAATAGGAACGGGAAGACTTAAAAGGTCGGGAAACGAAAAGGAGGATATTTATTAATACTACGTTAGTTAAGAATTAATCGAATATCCTACGAAACGCGCGAGTTAAAAGAAGAGCTATATCCCGACGAAATACGGCCTTAGTAATAATATAATAACGACGAATAGCCGTAAAAGAGAAGGTTTACTTACGTTAGTTAAGGTAGTAGAGGCGGAAAAGCTATCGTTATTATAAAAGGAAGAGAGGTTTAAAAGGAGGAATAAAAGGAAGGTTAATTAATTAAAAGAAAGAAGGAAGCGCTATTAACTAAAAACGATCGAATACCTTAATTAACGGAAAAGGAAGCTTATATAATAAGCTACGCTTAATTATAAAACCCTAGTTAGTATAGTATTAAGGTACGTAACCGCTCCTCCCGTATATAGCTAGCTCCTAAAGACGCGGCCTTAATAAAGCGTACCTTTCTTTCTTTTCCTCCTCGTATAGCTTTATTCCTTTAATTTATACCCTTTCACCTAGCGAACAGCTCTTAAAACCGTAATAGCTATTAAGGTAAATATTGTAAGAAACGATATCTAATACCTATGGTTTTATATCTTCTCGGGAGCTAGGTAGGTATTTAGGTATGTTACTTATTTTAATAGGTTTATCCTTCTTTTTTATAACGGGTTTTAGTTTAGCGAAACGTATTATCTTTCCCTTCTTCGGAGGTAGAGGATTAGGTAGGATATAAGGACGAGGCTAAAACGACGGTTTAAGGGCTACGATCTTACGTACCGCTCTAGCTTTTACCTTTGCGTTTTTACGGGTAGAGAAGTACCTAAATTACCGGGTATATTCGGGAGATACTTAGAATAAATCTATTAAGTTTAGCTTTATTTCGATCTAACGAGCTAACGTATTAAAGTCGAAGGAAGGGTTTTCCTTTTTTCCGTAAATAATTTAAAGGCCCTTGCGGGGCTTCTTCTTCTTCTTAGTTTTTCTATCGTCTTTTTTTATAACGGAGCCGTTATATCGACGTTTACCTAAAAAGAAAGCGAGCTCTAGTACCTCCGTAGCTAGGTTATCCTAAATATTAACGTTAGCCGCCTTTAATTTTATTATATTTATTAGCTTAACTATAAGGAGTAATAATTAAGTATTTAGAAAGATAGTACCCGGCGAAATAATATCTAGTATAATAATAGTAGTAAACGTCGATTATAATTCGTTAGCTACCTATTTATATTTAGCCGTATCTTAATTTAATGCCTCCTATTCCTAAGATTACTTGTAGAAGAATTATACCGATTTTATATCGAAATTTCTACCTATTTTAGCTACCTATTTTAGGGTTAAATAAGTTAACGACTTAAGGACCGATTATTCCTAATAAGCTAGTTATTATCCCCGGGGAGCCTTATAAGGCTATATATAGTTAAGGCTTCCGTACTTAAAGTATATTCTTTTTCTTCGTTATAAGACCCGTAAACCGTTAACGATCGGGTACTTCGACGTCCTTCTATTAAGAACTACTCGGGATATTATATTTCCGGAGCCCTAGTTAATATTATTACTATATAACTACTATCCTTATAAATACTACTAAGGTTATTATTATTAATTATTAGAGACTTAAGGTAAAGCTACTTACTAGGCTTTAGGAACTTATTAAAATCATTATATTAGGCCCTAATTCGGATATAAATAAGGAAGGAGTAGATAAGCCGTAGGAACCGGGTAAAGTATGGTTTACTATATTCATACGTATAAAGGCGGAGCTATTAAAGGCGGCTAAAGTAGCGTCGTAATAGTAGCGACCTTAAGGGCTAATACCTAGTTAAGGTATTCGTTAGCGATAACTTACTTAATTAATAAACCTATCTTTTCTATAATAAAACGTTCGATTAGGTTCTCCCGCTCCTTTAGTTATTATTCCTTAAGCTATTCTTTCTTAAGGTTTACGATTTTCTAATAACCTTATATAATACTATATACCTCCTAAAGGGCTCTAGATATATAAGCGGCCTTTTCTAGGGCCTTCCTTTTTAGGTCGGAGTCTTTTAAACCGTTTACGAAGCGTATAATTACCGACTTAAGTATATGGATTTTAAGGATAATTAGGTTATCGGTTCCGTTTAGGCGTAGGACTTAGGGAAAATCTCTTAACCCCGTACGTCTTAATAGCTCCTATGCTCTAATATAGTAAGAAGCGAAGGATTCTTCCGAGCCTTATAAGATATCGACGATTTCGTTTCGTAGGTCCGATTAATTAATAGTTTTAAACGGGAATCTCTTTCTTAAAAGTTACTAAACCATAAGTAAATCGTTTTAAGTAACTATTCCTTACCTTACGAGGTTTAAAGCTCGCCGAATACGAGAATTACGATTTAAAAAGGTTACTACCTTTCCTTTATATAAAGTATCTATAGCTTAAAGCTTATTAAAAGCTAATGGAACTAGGTAGCTAGTTAATCTAAAGGCCTACGTAAGTAATATAAGCCATCTAAACGCGGCCTTACTACCGTTAAAACGACTATATACCGTTAAATCGGGTAGGGCTTAAGGAGGGATCGGTTCCTAGGGATCTACCATAGCTAAAAATAACGAAGAGGATAACGAACTCGATAAGCGAGGGAATAATAATACGTTCTCCTTTAAAGGAAACGAAAATAACAAAGCTAATAATAATAACTAAGCCGAAGAAAGCTATTCTAATTATACTAGATCTACTATTAGACTTAATTAGTCTTAATTTAAAGGTCTTAATACCCCCGTTTCCGTTATCGATTAAAACTAAAGGAATATTCCGCAGGGAACCTCGCTTAGGTTTTTAAGGTCCTATAAAAGGTCGTTTAATTCGGGACTTCCGGAATTTAATAAAAACCTAATTACTCTCGCTAGGTAGGGGTACCTTATAATAAGGAAAGAGTCGGCTAAAGCTTTAAGAAGCTCTAGGTTTCGGTTATAAATAATAACGATATATAACTCGTCGGATATAGGAGAAAGGAAACTACCTTCTCCTTCCTTCGGTATATTACGCCGGTAAATGGTATCGGTAATAAAGGGACTAGCGTACCTTAAAATAAGGCCCGAAAACGAACTAGGAATGCCTCTTTTTAATAAAAAACGACGAACTAAAGTATTATCTTTCGGTAGATAATAACGAAACAGGGGTACTTTTATACGAGCGGGACGAGCTTTTTAAAACCCTCCATACGAAGAGATTAAAACGGGATAAAAATAACGAGAAAATAACTAAGCGTACCCGTAATTTAGATACCTCTTTAGTACCTAGGTTCGATTACTAGCTAAATAGGGTATAAAACGTACTTAATTCCTAAAACCTCCTATCTAAGGTACCCTTACTAAACAATACCCTTTAACTCTCGAGGGTTACTTATATAACGTATATTATATAATCAGGAGGGCTCGTACTTAGCTTATACATACAAGTGATAGGTACGTTTGTGCATGTTGCGGCTGGGTGTTCCTTGCGTAGCTATTGTATTACAGCTGCTTAATCGCTATCAGCACCCTTAGACACCTAGGTAACAGCCAACCTGGTAACCATTCCCAGCCCTTATCGTCGGTCGCACCCGAGAAGTGGAGCGCAGCGGTGCGGGATCTAGATCTTATCAGAGAGGAATGGGGGGCGTGGTTCCGCCCGAGTATCAACAAACAGTTGTAAAGAGTCACGCTCTCTGTGCACCACCCACGGCCAACCCCGCAAGTGTATACACGTAGAACTTTGGCTTCCCGTAGCTGTGGTAACTGATTAATGCTAGCAACTAACTAACAATTCTAATACTCGACGCTAGACTGCAACGGGTGGTGGGCTTTGCCGGTGAGGGCTAGCGGAAACATATATAGGCCCAGGAAAATATCCAGCACCGCTAGCCGTGCTAGGCATGGCCCAGAGTCTTCACACGTAAGCGTGTGTGCTTGTCCCTGGTTGTCTGGCCGAGATTGTGTATACTCATAGAGGCATGCTTCCGAGGGTCAAGCTAGGAAGGGCTTCCGGGAAGAATAACGACCGCTGGTTTGCCCGCCTTTTATAGGCGCGTAGCCTATAATATCAACTTACCAACTTCTGTTTACCGCTCTAACGGGGCAGCTTGTAGCTCCAACGTGGGAGCCGCGGTCTTCCATCGGACGGTATTCGGCGCGAGGTTCTCGTCTAGTATGGCGGTTTCGACCAATAGCGGCGCCGCAAATGGTCATACTCTGCGCCCTGGTACGTACCTACTTGAGCAGGCCGGGGTAGGAAGCTTCTTTTCCCAATCAATTTTGCCATTTTGTCACCCACCGATATCGCCCACGTTTTTCGAGTACATCATTAGTTTTTTTTTTCCCGACTCGTCCATGTGTCTGCGTTCTACTTCATCTGCTCACCATGTGTCTGCGGTGAAGCTGCCTGCGATTAGGCCTTTGTGTCCCTCGTCTGCCAAGAGCCAATAATTGCATTTTCCTATTTTTCTGTGGTCACGGGCGTTCCAAGTTGGGTGAGCAGCAATTGGCCCCCGTTGCCCGTTGCGCGAGAGCGTCTAGTTCTTCACGGGCACCAGCTTCGGCTCCCGCCCAGCTTCACGCCCTCTCGCACCTCGGTTCACACGTCCGCTCGCACATCCATATATAAACCTGCTATGGCTTCGCGTATCCTTCTTCGAGCAGGGGCGCCTGCCGCTCTAGCTCGACGTGCTCTTGCGCCGTCGAGACAATATGCGTACGTTGAGGAGGAATGTGAAATTTAATCCTGCATTGCACAGTGTAGCTGAGATGCCTTGCTCCTTGTCTTCTAGCCGCTCCTTAAGCACGACGTGCTGCCGCCGATCCGATGACTCCGATCTCAACAAAGTATCCCGCTCGATAACACAACCGAAGGCTCAAGGCGCCTCGCAAGCCATGCTGTATGCGACGGGCCTGAGCGAAGAGGACATGTCAAAACCCCAGGTGGGCATCTCGTCGGTGTGGTACGAGGGCAACCCGTGCAATATGCACTTGATGGACCTGTCGGCCGTGGCCAAGGAATCCGTCAAGCGTGCCGGGCTTATTCCTTACCGATTCAATACCATCGGCGTATCGGACGGCATATCTATGGGTACGACCGGCATGCGCTATTCGTTGCAGAGTAGAGAGATCATCGCCGATAGCATCGAGACCGTTATGCAGGGTCAGTGGTACGACGCCAACATCTCGCTTCCTGGATGCGACAAGAATATGCCTGGCGTCCTGATAGCCATGGGTCGCGTCAATCGGCCGAGCATCATGGTCTACGGCGGCACCATCAAGCCCGGGTGCAGCATGACTGGCGCGCCGATCGACATCGTCAGCGCTTTCCAAGCCTACGGGCAGTACCTGTCGGGCGAGATCACCGAGAAGCAACGCTTCGACATCATCCGGCATGCGTGCCCCGGCAAGGGCGCCTGCGGTGGCATGTACACGGCGAACACGATGGCCACCGCTATCGAGACGCTCGGTATGACCTTACCAGGCAGCAGCAGCAGCCCCGCGGACGACCCGAGCAAGATCAAGGAGTGTGAGGGCATCGGCGAGGCCATCAAGCATGTCATGAGGGAGGACATCCGCCCGCGCGACATCATGACGCGCCAGGCCTTCGAGGAGGCTATGGTCGTCGTTAACATCCTCGGCGGGAGCACTAACGCTGTGCTACACCTGCTCGCCATCGCCGACTCGGTTGGCATTAAGCTCACTGTCGACGACTTCCAGGCCGTGTCTGACCGCACGCCCTTCCTCGCTGACCTTAAGCCGTCGGGTAAGTACGTGATGGACGACATGCACACCATCGGTGGCACACCCGCCCTGCTCAAGTTCCTCATCGGCGAGGGCATCATCAAGGGCGAGGGCGTCACCGTCACTGGTAAGACCATTAAGCAGAATGTCGAGTCGTGGCCTTCCTTTCCGACAGACCAAAAGATTATTCGCCCATTCTCCAACCCTATAAAGCCGACAGGTCACATCCAGATCCTGCGCGGGACACTCGCGCCGGGTGGTTCCGTCGGCAAGATCACGGGTAAGGAAGGCCTCGTGTTCACGGGAAAGGCGAAGTGCTTCGACCAGGAGGACGACTTCATCGCAGCGCTCGAGAAGGGCGCGATCCGGCGCGGCGAGAAGACGGTGGTCATCATCCGGTACGAGGGCCCCAAGGGCGGGCCGGGGATGCCTGAGATGCTGAAGCCGTCCTCGGCCATCATGGGCGCCGGGCTCGGCGGCGACGTCGCGTTGCTGACGGACGGCCGCTTCTCGGGCGGCAGCCACGGTTTCCTCATCGGACACATCACGCCCGAGGCGCGCGAAGGCGGGCCCATCGGGCTCGTCCGCGACGGCGACACGGTAACTATCGACGCCGAGCGCCGTGTCATCGACAGCGACGTTAGCCCCGAAGAGATGGCCCGCCGTCGTGCCGAGTGGGTCCCGCCGCCACCACGCTATGCCCAGGGCACGTTGACCAAGTACGCGGCGCTCGTCAGCGACGCGAGCCACGGCTGCGTCACGACGGGGACGACCGCAGGGAATTGATGGATGAGCTAATTCGCTTATCCCTCGACCTCTCTACTCCCGCCTTCCCTTCCCTCTCTTTCCGCCGATGTGTGATGGTATGGGCAAACATATCCTACGTCGGCGCGCAGCTGTACATGTCGCCCCACCCCCCCAGCTTCATAACGGGCAGTTCTTTGAAAGGGGGCAAGGCGTTTTGGAAAGGAGAAGCGGAGGTAGGGGAGCGAGGCGTCGCCAAAACAAAAGAAAGATGGGGGAGAACTTTTATAATAGAAGGCTCTCGGACTTGTAATAGTCACAGACGAGAAAGAAACAAGTGAATATGAGTCGGGTACATAGGCGGACGGGTGCAGACGATACCCGAGGCGAGGACAGACGAACGAACCTGTACGGTTCTGGGATTCCGGCAACCTCGCGAGGCCACGCAGGCAGTCGGGTATGTAAAAAAACGGGAGGGCATTCTTCTATACGCTCTAGGCATGTAGGTAGTTACCGGTTGCAGCACCAGCCGGCTAAGGATAATAGAAAAAGGGGAAAAATGTTGAAATATATCCCGGAGGTCAATCAACGCCTTGAGGCCATCCCGTGTGCGAGCAGGTGTGAGGCATACCCTACCCAAGCGAGAATTGAGATGGAAACGGCCTGCCGTCTGTACAAGGAGCAGACACATCTAACAAGAACGGCAGGCAGGGCGACGACAGTGGGGGGAGACGGGGAATTATCGACGACGGCTCGCTTCGCCACCTAGCATGTTATTGCTTCTCGCCTAAGCCTTCGCGTGGTCGCTACCGACACGCACGTCTGCCTGCAACCCTGCACATCCTCACCCACCTCCTGCTCTCTCGTTTTTCTTGCCGGCTCGGCTGGCTGCATGGCCCACGTTTCCTCCTCGCTCTCGCTACCGACGCTCACCCTTCCCTCCCTTTTTTTTCCCGCGCCGCATTGTCCCTTTAGAGACAGCCCCCCCCTCGCGTAGCATGCGGGTGGAAGGATAGGCATGTCTATCGCCATGTGCTCCACCGCGAAAAATGCGATGCATTCATAGGTGCTGTAAGTTGAAATCAAGGTAGAATTCTAGAATTCTAGCGTATTAATACCGTCGCAATTTTAAGTTCGTATCGTGTCGTGTCGTCTCGTTTCGTCTCGTCCTGCCGCATTTCGAGGTTTTTTTTTTCGTCTTATTTCTTAGCCTTACCCCACGCTTCGACGAACGCCACCTTGTCGTGCAACGTCAGACCGACCCTCTTGTTGCGCGCGAGCCGCGAGAACGCGTCGGCGAGGCGGTCGAGGAAGGCCTGCTCCTCGGGAGTCACATGAGCCTGAGCCTCCCCCTCCGCATCACCTTCGTTGTCACCATTGGCGAGTTGGTCTGCGGCGCTGGGTGCGAAGACGTTGTCGCTGTTGGTCGAAATAGTCAGACCCTCGGCTATGCGTACGCGGATAAGATGCGTTGGGCGGCTGAGAAGGGTCCACAGGAAGGAGCGGTAGGCCCCGGGAACGGGCGTCGTGATATCGGGTGGTGTGTAGCGTATGCTGATGGCGAATATGCGGGTGCCAGTGGACGCGCCGAGGATGGACGGCGAGAGCGGGAGGATGCCCTTGCCGTTGGTCGTGGTCATTTCGGGGAAGGCGGCGATGATGCGGTGCGGGTTCTGCTCGAGAAGGGCGCGCAGGGTGGTCAGTTTCGCTGGCGGGGGCGGCGGCGCGAGCGCGGGGGGCGCCAGGGCGAGCAGGATAGCGCGCAAGAGGGATACGCGCAGGACTTTGCGCGTGCCGGGGTAAGACACGACGAAGACGGGATCGAAGATGGCGGCGAGATAGAGGGCGTCAACAGGGCTAGTGAACTGGGCGGCGATGACGGAGCGGGGGCCGGGGAAGCGCGAGGCGGGCTGCTGAGAGAGGGAGCCGCGCTTGACGCCGTCGAGTTGCAGGTCCACCCACCAGATGCCGGGGATGCCCAGCAGCGACCAAAGCAGCAGCTTACGGACAAACTGGGGCACGGGTAAGTGGTCGAGGACGACGAAGTAGAAGACGCTGTACGAGACAAAGAGTGGCAAGCGGACGAGGAAGAGCGCGACATGTAGGAGTGAGGATGGTATCGACGAGGCCGGCGTTGTCGATGGGAGGAAAGGCGAAATGCCAGTACCTTTATTTCAAGATAGACATCCGCAGAGTCAGCCATATTTCTCTGTAGATATCTTTCTCTCCTGTACAACTCCCTCTTCTTCCTATGTACTCGTTTGTCCGGAGCTCCGGGATGGGTGATTGAAGCTTACCACGATCGCGAAACTGGCTATATTTCTCCATTTTTGGATACGGTTTCCTGTTCGTGTTACACCCACTGGCTAGGCCGATAAACGACTACGTAGTTTACCCATCCAACCTTTTTAAGGTGGCAGCTATCGCGACATGAAGCTAAGTGTCCTTGGCAGAGAGCAGGTCAGAAGCCAACGTAAGCAAGTAGTGACTTCGACAAGGTGGTAGATACGTAAAGGCTAAGATGAGGAACCAGAACAGATATATGTTAGAGTGAGGAAGAGTTGGACAGCCACCACCAGTTGGGTTTCATGGCGCCAGAAGCCGGATAGGGTGTCGGTGGAAGGGTGGTGGAGGATCAGGTCTGGCATGTGAAAGGAAAGGAAACGTAACCTAGAGCTGGTCCAGGGTGAAATCTGTAGGTAGGTACATATGTACGGGTGCATGGATATATACCGATATACACATATGCATGTAGGCGATAGCTTACATAGCAACAAGCTCTGCACTTTTCCCCTCAAACCAGGTGAGCAAAGAAGAGCTAGGACCACCTCGCGACGGCAAGAAAGACAACCTAACCACCATGAAGTTATTGCGACGGTGTTGTCCAGCCAACATCGTCGTGTAAGCAAAGAGGGAGAGGCACACCCTGGAAAAAACCCACTGCTGCTGCTTTCTGCACAATTCGCACGCGCCCGCATCCAGCCCACATATACACCAACACACCCAGGCACACCGCACGCACAAGATTGAACTGCCACCAGCCCTCCCTTTATATATTCTTGTTCCATCTATGCCTTGGTAGAACGCTATCTGGGATAGGAGGTGCGAGAAGAGTATTGCATCCCAGCTTCACCCTCGATTGGGCTGTGCGCTACATCTATCCTTACCCATCAACCCTTATTCTGCGACTAGCACAGACCTCTCCGGAGCTCGGCTCCTTGCTTTATGTTTTGCGATCGGCCTCGTCATCCGTTGCCATCCCAGGATAACCATCATGGAGACAGAAAACTCGGTATGTTCTGGGCACCATACACGACAACAATGCATAGGGATGAGAGACTGTGACTAACTGGCTTCACAGCAGCAGCATAAAATATCACACCTTCGGCAGCCGAGCGCCCGGATTCCGCTCCCCTCATCTGTTCCCTCCGGCCTGAATGAGATGTCTAATTCCCAGAGCAACATGCGAGCGCAACCCACATCGGGGATTCCCTCCACAAACAACCTGCTGAAGCGCAGCGTCCCAAACCCAGGTGCGAGCAACCCAGCCTCACTAGCTCCTAATTACTCCTGCTCACAGCTGTCCGATCCAGCCCTGCAGTCTGACGCGAAGCGGGTCGTCACGACGGATAGGGGAGGAGACTTTGGCAGATCTGCCGCCTCGTCCCAATACGCCTCTCGGAACGTCAAAGGTGTTGCCCTGAAAGATACGGTACACAAAGTCCCCCTCCATCCCATATCCCACCTCTCTTGACGTGTACACTCTGCCAGACCAGATCGGAATCCTACATGCTCCAACTAGCATGCTAACAAGGCCGACAAATAGGCAAGATTCAATTACTCGACTGGTAGCGGTCTACCAGGATCTCGACACACCTCGAGCAGCAGCCAGAGCTCCATCGCGAGCAGCTACTCGATGAGTGTTGGGCCTGGCACCCGTCCTTCTTCACGGTCGCGTATAGCGCACGCCCGAACACAATCGACTACGAGAAATGGACGACCGGCTAGTTCTATGGGCACTATGGGCACACGCGAGGAGGCATCGGGCAAAAATGGTACGACATCCCCCACCGGCTTTCGAGTTGCGAAGACCCCAAGTTACGGCTTCGCCCCAGCCAAATTAAGAAATCACAAGTCGACTCTAGACATGACAGAAACGGGTTATAAACCAATCGCCCCGTCTAGAGAAGTCTCTATCTCCCAGCAGCTCAGCTCGCTATCACTCAACGACAGTACACCATACACACCAGGGCAGGGAGGTCAAGCGACTTCGAAAGTTTTAACACCCGCTCCGCCTCTGTTTCCTGCTCCCTGCCTCCATAGGGCCAGTGGCGGTTGGGATCCAGAATCTCACCTCAACGAATCTCAAGAAGGCCCAGTGGTCCCTCAAACTCCGAATGGCAAGGAGTTGATACACAATCTTGAGCGTAGCATCCAGTCTATAAAGACCTGTGTATCCATGTCTCCCTCACCTACCAAAGCACCATTCTTGTCGAAATATTCTAACGTAACAGGATTTGTAGTCTCGGATATCGACGAGAGACTCGGTCAGATGAATAGCCAATTCCAGGAGATGAGGGAATTTATAACGTCAACGGAGAAAAACAATGCCAGCGTCAAGGACGAACTCGAAATGGCAAAGAAGAGAGGTAAGCTGTAATCTTGTAATCGTGCATGTGCCCTAAGCTAAACCCGATCAGCGGCGGATCTAGAAGACCAACAACGCGAGTTGCAAAAGGAGCGGGCGAAAATCTTGGGCAAATTAACCGACGCCGAGTGCCAGGTTCGTAGCCTCACTTTTGACTTACAGGATCAGCAGAGACGCCATGAAAGATTCTGCCAAGACCTGGTGACCGAACATGAGAGGAAATTGAGAGGGAAGATCGACGACTACGAACGCGAGATGGACAAAGTAACTAGGCTTCAGCAAGAGTTCGAAGAGAAGTGCGGCGTCGAGGCCGAAGCGAGACTTGAAAATTTGTCCAACGAGAACAAGGAACTCCGGAGCAGCCTGGAGAGACAGAAGCGAGACCACGAGCACGAGGTCCGTCTTCTCAACAGCGATATAGACCGGCAGACTGCACAAGTAAGGATCGTCGAAGAGAAATTAAGAAAGGCCGAGGAGGATCAGCGGGCACTCGAGGTTCACATCGAGGAGCATCTCAAAACCATCGAAAGACTTCGAAAGAGGGCCGAAGACGCGGAGGAGAGGCTCTCCAAAGACAAGGGGCACCTCGGCGGACAGATTAGCCTCCTGAGTCAGAAGCTGGACTTCAGCTCCGAGCGCATCCAGAGTCTAGAAGAGCATAACAAGACCGTGGAGCTCGAGTGCGAGAAGCGGGTCAAGGAAGTCGAACTAGCCGCGCAGAAGGAAATCACCGAGGCGACCGGCCAGCTGCGGGAGAGACTCATCAAGGAAGAGGAGAGGCGACACAAGCTCTTCGAACAAGTGCAAGAGCTCAAGGGCAACATCCGAGTCATGTGCCGAATCAAGCCGCCGGCCGACAGCGACCGCGACGCCCTCATCCAGTTCAACCCGCGGGCCAGCGAGCTCGACGAGGAGAAGATCGACGGCATCACCATCCCGACCGAGCGGGAGGACTTCCGAGAGCCCGGCAAGATGATCCCCGGCAAGCCGAAGGAGTTCAACTTCGAGCGCGTGTTCGACGATCGCTGCACCAACAAGGACGTATTCGACGAGATTAGTCAACTCGTGCAGTCGGTCATGGACGGCAAGAAGGTCTGCATCTTCTGCTACGGCCAGACGGGCTCGGGCAAGACGTACACGATGAGCCGGCGGGAGGGCGACGGCGACAACGGCATCATCCCGCGGACGCAGGCGATGATCTTCGGCGAGGTGGAGCGGCTCAAGGGGCTGGGGTGGGAGTACACGATCGAGGGCGGCTACCTGGAGGTGTACCAGGACCGGCTGTACGACCTGCTGGCGTCGCGGAACTCGAAGCCGGAGGCGCTGACGGTGGAGGCGGTGGGGGAGGAGCTGAGCATCCGGGGGCACTCGTTCACGCTGCTGCAGGAGGAGCGGGACCTGGAGGCGATGATCGGGGCGGCGGACGCGAACCGGCACGTGGCGGCGACGGCGATGAACGACCGGTCGTCGCGGTCGCACTCGATCCTGGTGCTGAAAGTGCGGGGGGTGCAGCGCGGGCCGGCCGGCGAGGCGCTCAAGACGCGCCGCGGCACGCTCAACCTCATCGACCTCGCCGGCTCCGAGACGCCGGACCGCGCCCGCGGCGACCAGGTCTACCAGGAGGGCGTCCAGATCAACATGTCGCTGAGCTACCTGCGCACCGTCCTGTCGAGCCTCGGCCAGGGCCGCACCGAGGGCGTCGACTTCCGCTCCTACACCCTGACCCAGCTGCTGCGGCCGTCGCTCGGCAAGGGCTGCCGCACCCTCATGTTCGTCATGGTCAGCCCGCTGAAGGACAACGAGAGCGAGACGATCCGCAGCTTGGAGTTTGCCCGAGACGTAAGTGTGCTGCTTCTTTGTTTTTGTGCTGCTTCTTTGTTTTTTTTTCTCCGCAGTCCTTTTTGCCACAACCTCTTGTTCTCAAGTGGGTGGGCCGATCGGCGGTATGTGGTGAGAACTGCACAGCTAACCATTTTCTTTTCCTGCACAATAGGCCCAGAAGGTCAAGATGGGCGGCGGCAGCAACGGAGGCGCCGCGAAGTCCAAGAAATGAGCCACGAAACTGCCTCCTCTAGGGATGCCGGAATGTTGAGCAAGGTGCTGTACCGACGGCGCTCTCGATCATCCCCTTGCGCGAGGTCGGCATTTCATTTACCGTTCCGTGGACAACGACGCTTATGGGAGGCATTAAAAGTAGCAGACGGAAGATGAGGTTGAAGTATGCTTATATATTTTCAAGATGCCGGGCGCATACCGCCTGTTATCAAAGTGAGGTTTCCGGATAGACTTCCGTATCGCCCACGTGTGGCGCGTCTCTGTTTCTCCCCCCCTCTCCCCCCTTTTCTACAAAGGGGGAGTGGCTTCAGGGAAGTCTTGGGAACGGGGGAGGGCCGGAAAGATTTACTCAAACGGCGTTCGGGCGCCGGCGAGAAAGGGATGCTTGCATGTTTTTTTTTTAACGAGGGGGGCGAAGGATAGCAGACGACGAAGCGGTTCGGCGTCTCGCTTTTGGTCGCTGCCCTCGTCGCTGCCGCTTCGGATTCCTAGCCCCCGCTCACGCCTTCACACGTTACAGGGAGAAAGGGGGGGGAAACGAGGAAGAAGATATCCGATGCATTCATGTGTACATATAGTATGTACTAGGTACGCTCAGTTAAAGGTCACACCTAACCGCGGGAATCTGTCTACGTGCTGTCCCGGTGACATTTGTATGTTTTTGAGGCTCTCCGGTATCGTGATAGAATGGTCTACCTACCGCCGACACGGAGGCGCTCAGCTCAAAGGCTACGTATATCATCTATCGGTAAGCTGCGTCGACTGGCGTTTTTGGCATGGGAGAGCAAGGACAGCGTCCATAATGCGGTGTCGCGCGAGGTCTCGCTCGGTTTCGCGATACGCCCGTCCTCGCAAGACTTCAGCGGCTCAAGCACAGCCGTATCTGGAGCCAGAGTCCTTTTGCTAGTGCGACCTCTTGCCCTGTCGCCAGGGGTTCCCACGGATACCGACAAGCCCACAGCCGGTGTCATCGTCGCGTAGCACTGCCGGGCTCAGGACGCCAGGCCGGCCCAGCCTGTCCTTCCTCGTAGATGTATACGCGTATATATCTTGATTATCCTTCTCCCCTCCTTCTCGCCCCTGGAATTGTGGTTGGGTATTTGTCAGGGGGACACGCAACAGCCTCCCTCCCCATTTCACTGTGCGCCCTGCCGCCTCAGCGCGTCGCTTCACAAATCACCTCATCCGATGCAGATATGGCGTCAGCGCCAGGTGTAACATGTCCCGCGCGCGCACCCAGCCAGATGTGCTCACACCCGACGCCTTCAAATGCCGAAGGTATCCTGCTGGTTCCCGAGGGAACAGGGGGAGCGCGGTCAGGACAGGCTATTTAGCTATCATATCTTGCTGGGCTTTCCCTTGTTCCTTCTGTCGATCTGCATCCTAGCGGTTACGAGGCGTGGCTATGAGTCTTATCTGATTGTGTAGCTGTCGTGGCACACAACACACCCGTAGAATTTGGTTATTGTTCGTCAACATTCGGATCGCTTGTGGCCATGTCCCCAAATATCAGTGCCCCCCCCATCCCCTATTCAGCCCTCATCCCAGACACAACCCCGCCTCAGGCGGATGTCCCATTTCATCCACGCTATTACAGCGCAGAATAACGCTTGATTCCAGAGTCCGCAGCCGCAGAAAACACGGTGAAGCTTCCCATGCAGCCAGTCGTACCTCCCAGACACTCGACTACTGACCCCGGGACAAGATAGCAACGCGCTACGGCAGAGCCTCAGGGGAGGCGTAGAGTCCCCTCAGAACTGCCGTCTCGTCTACCGCTGCTGGCTGGGGAGGATACGGGATCGGGGGCTGCACGGGGATCGTAACGTTAGGGAATACGAAGGAACCATCCGGCCAGGGGCGCACAGCGGCATCGTCGAGCAGTTTGGTGGTGAGGTAGTAGGTCGCTGTGGGCACCCACTTGATGTAGTCGAAATGCACAGGGAACACGTACAGCGTACCCGTGCATACGGCGTCGCCCGCGTTGCAGATAATGAGCGTCCGATTCGTGTCGTAGTTCCGGATCCGACCCCCGTCCTGCCACGTCTGGGTGTCTCCGAAAGTCACCACCGCAACTATCTTGTCCTTTACCGCGCGAGGGAGGCCCTCGATGGCGCGATGCGTCAGAGCGGCTCCTTGGCTGCCGCGTGCTCTTCATGTCAGCTCAGCTTTCATGCAAGCGCCCTCGTTTTCCTCTCCCTTTCGAAGTAAATGGAAGGGGAAAGGAGGGGGCGTTGTTACCTGTAGCCCGCCGCAACGATCTTAGAGTAAGGGCAAGCTGCTGCTGCGCTCAGCAGCAATCGCATCTGGAAGATACCCCACGGCGGCGCGCCGCCGGGGTAGAAGTTGGTTTCTATGAAGCCCCAGTAGTCCACCCCTTGGGTCGCGACATTGGCAGGCCCGAACACCAGCTTCAGCCCGTCGGACAGCCGCGGCCCAACGGTGAGGCCCTAAAGCACGCGTTAAAACAGCACTCAACCCATTACACGAGGCGTTGCTGGCTCTCGCAAGTGCTGGTTGATACGTACCATATTTCCAGGCTCGATGGTGGCCTTCGCCCAGATGAATATGATAGGCTTACAGCCGTAATTCTGAAACTCGTGGGCCCAGTATCCCAAGGTCCATGACTGGCGAGCTTCCAGGAGGCCTGTCGAGAGCGATAGCGCGGCCGTTGCGGAGCACACGAGCAGAGACAGGAGAGGGACCATTGTCACCTCCTCAGCACCCTTACGAGAGCAAGATACGCCCAAGTGGGTATCCAAGTGGTCGCGTGTCTGTTTTGGCCGTGTGGCCGGGGACGCTCGCCTGAGATGGGGGGGCGGGAATTGGCCAACTACGATCAGAGGAGTTGATTCATTAGAGCATGATGATTAGAAGTTGGATATCAGTCATTTCTTCTTCAAGATCGAAGGCATATCGAGACACAGGAGGAGGCAATCGGATCATACCCGGACGGGTGCACGAGGTAGATTTATTGTAACACGCCGGCACCCAGGTTGAGGCAGGATGACTAAGAAGTCGGCAGCGGGTAGAGAGTATTTAGGGGTCGAGGGGAACGCCGGCGACCTCAGTCCTTGGAGAGACATCCCGAATTGGATCTCCCGGGCTGGTAATAACGATAAGAATAGATAATAGCGTAAAAGCAGGGTACGTTGGCCGCTATGATGCATGCTATGTTCTTGATATTCAAAATATATTAATGGCCGGAAGAAAACCACCCGCTATACACCCGGGCCCCTTTTGGCGGCAATGGCATATGGAGGAAGTTCCCGTCACTTCCATTGGTTCCCAGGTCTATCATCCTGGTACCTCCCACCGCAATACGCGTCTCGTGGCCTTTTAAATTAAACTGCAGCCTTTAGAACCGGTAGTCCTCGGCACTGCTCGGGAATGACAAGAAACCTCCGGCACCTAATCACCGGTGTTTTGGAAGAGGGTATTAGTCGGGGTGGGGTACTGCAAATCCACTGGATCTATATGTCAAGTGTTATCGGCGCCATCAAATTCCAGTAGAAGTGATATGAGTTCGCCTACTTCGCTTGTATTTTAATAGGATGGCAATGCCAATCGGGTTCCTGAGATCAAGGGCTGGATAATCAAAGTCTTACATAGCCATACCAACCGAAATTACTCGCTTCCTAGATACTCAGGCAAGCGATCCAATTGCACAACCCTTGATATTGTGTAGTCGACATATAGTCCCGCCGCGCCCGTAGCTACGTTTCAATAGATACCCCAGGGCCATGTGCTCTGACATCATCTTCTATATATGGGACAGATGCACTCTCCGTACACCAATGCTGTCCATTGCCAGGATAAAGTTGGGCCAACTTCAACAATCACTTTGGCGAGCGAGCCTACACGAGAGATTCGATCCCCTGCCCCCACTTGGTAGACTTGAATAGAACACCACAACACTCTTAAGACGCCCGTGGTTTAATACTATATGTATATTGGGTGGTTAGTGCTGGAATTTGACAGATAGGTGCTTATAAACTGTTGAAAACTTACTCTAACGTTGTTGGCAGTAGAGTTACAGAGATAAGTGGGTTGGAGCCTATCAAACTCGTGCCATGCTCTGCCACCACTATAGAACATCTCCTTTCTCGTAGAAGGAGCTACATATATATATAGACCTACCAACGTAGATCGTTGGATCTTCTAGGCTATCCCTGATCGTGGTTTTCTAAAGGATGGAACGTTCCTGTGCGTTGGCGGTCTCCGGTACTATATGACGCTGAGCGCGGACGCTCTTGGCTTGCCCTCGACCGTATGGAGCATGTTCTGGAAGCCAGATATCGCGTGCAACCTCGGCAGGCTGTGGCTGGGGGGACCTATACGGCGGCCCCGTGTTATGCTACCCTGGATATTTCCCATTCCCACCTCCCTAATGAGTGGAATGAAACACATACCTAGGGAATCACATTAATAATCCGGCACTAGTCGAGAGTTTGCTCGTATTCAAATACGTAATATATCCAGGCGTCGTCCGTCGCCTATCTCTACATAGCCACCGGGGCGATCCCTCGATTCCCCCCATCGCGTCTTCCCCTCCACCGTCTCGGGCCGGGAACAGAAGGGAGAGACAGAAAAAAAAAAGAGGCCGGCCGCAGAAGGAAAGCGAGCTCAGAGCCCGCTAGATACCGGAGGCGACGACGCGACCTCGTCCTCCTCCTGTGCCGCCGCCAGGTCCTGGAACTTCTCCCGGAGGAACTGGCGAACCTCGGGGTTGCCGCCGAGCCCGACGCTCAGGCCGCCGGCGCCGCCCTCGATCTTGAGGCCGCGCAGGCCCGTCGCGCGCGACAGCGCCACGTACACCTGCCCCTCCTCGAACGCGCGCGACAGGTTGACGATGACGCGGTCGAGTGTCAGCGACTGGCTCTTGTGGATCGTCATGGCCCACGCCGGCGCCAGCGGGATCTGCGTCCGCACCAGCAGGCTGTACGGCCACTCGTCGCCGAGCTCCGCCACCGAGCAGTCCGCATACACCGTCCGCGTCGTGCCGTTGTGAAACCGGACCACCGGCCACGTCTTGTACTGCACCCCGGGGTCGAGGACGAACCGCCGCACCTCCTCCTCCCGCAGCGCCGCCTGCTCGCCGTAGAACTTCGGCCCGGGCGTGCTGGCGGCGTCGTGCGTGTTGCCATTGTCGCCGTTGTTGCTCGCCTTGGAGATTTTGGGGAGCTTTTGCTGGTTGTACGGCTCGAACCCGCAGATGATCCCCTGGCTGCCGTTGCACAGGCCCGCGTCCAGGTCGAGGTTCACGAGCAGCACGACGAGCATCCCCTTCTTCAGCTGCACGCACTCATCGTACCGGTGCTCCTCAAGTGCGCGCAGCGGCCCCTCGGACTGCGGCCCCTTTGGCTTCCGCATGCCCTTCCAGCCCAGGTGGGGATGTAGCTTCTGCTTCCATTTGAAGGTATCTAGGCACCAGTACGTGTGATTGACGGTCTTGAGCCTCTCGAACTCGGCCCGGTTCACGGTAGCGGCCTCTTCCCGGGTGGCGAATAGTTTGGTCGCGTGATGAACCATGCACTCGTGATTCATCAGGAGTTCTATATCGGCAGTGCTAAGCTGCCGTCCGATCCTGCATTTCTGCAGTATGCGGATGAACGTCTCGTCGTTCTGACGGTGGATCGTGTTCAGGTGGACGTGGATGAAGTCGCACTCCTGCCACGCCTTGCTCCGGAAAGCCCACTTGTCTTCGTCTCGATATTCGCCGTGCCGTTTGCAAACGTGAACCCTCCCCGCCGCGGTATATCTCTCGACGAGCTCGTATCCACATTTTATACAGTGTTGGAATGGCTTCACCGGCGGTAGCTGGCAGAAGTCCCCCGTGACGATCACCTGAACTCCCCCGAACGCGGTGCATGACTTGCTCCGCGCCTCCTTCATGACCTCGTTCAGCCTCTCGAAATGCAAGTTTTCTACCATGCTGATTTCGTCGATGACGAGGACGTCAGTGTCTCTGAACCGCTTTGACACGAACTTTCCATGGGCGCCTTCTCTCAACGCCTCCAAGCTACGTTTGTGGTGATTCGGGGTCCAACCTGCGTATGTCCACGTCGTGACCCCATTGACCTGCAGGGCCGCGCGACCGGTGGGGGCGAGGATGCGGACTCTTTTGCCCATATCCCGAAGCCGCTTCGTGAAGGCCCTCAGCACGGTTGACTTGCCGCAGCCAGCCGAGCCGGTGTAAAACACATTCCGACCACTTGCGATTAACTCGACCAGCTGAGCTTGCTCGGGACAGAGCGGCGGCTCGTCAGGATTGGACTGGCCCCGTGGCTCATTCTGAGCGGGCGGCATCGGTCCGGCGTCCGGCGACGAAGAGGGGGGAGAGAAAACCTCGGCCGAAGCTTGTGAGTCCGTAAGACGAGCGGTCTGGTAACCGGCATCTGGCCCCACCCGAGGTAGCGAGTACGGCAGCAAAGGAGACGACGGAGGTTGGCTTCTCCGAATCGATTCGGGGGACCCCCAAGGGATCGCGGGAGACATACTCGAACGTTGCTTGATCCCATGTTTCGCGATAGCCTCGGGGGTGCTCACAGACCGTGCGACAGGGTTAGAATCCATGAGGTTCCTGGATTCCACAGCATGCTCGTCGTCCGTTTTCCTCTCCTTCTTCCTCTTCCTCTTCCTCTTCTTCTTTTTCTTCTTCTTCTCCTTTGACGATTCTGAGTGCGCCGTCACAATAGAGCCTTCGTTGGAGACCAGCAAGCTAATGGGATCCAGCTGCTGCTCTCCTACTTTCCGCCGCTTCGAGGCGCGGGGGCATTCCTGATCAGCCGCCACTGCGGGGCAAGCTAGAAGATCTGGAAGCACCGGATTGGGTTGGAGCCGAGATTGGTGGGAATCCAACGAGGGTTGCAGGACAGAGGAACGAGCTGGGCGGGCTGCATGGTGACCGATATGGCAATTGGGTGTCGCTGACGAGCCGGACCGGGGTGGCGACGGCGACAATTGGTCGTCCGGCTGACTTTGCGACGAAGGGCTAGGCACCTGAAGATGCGGCCATAGCAGCGGTGGTGGCAGCGAGAATGACGGAGGCAGTGACTGACTCCACGGGGCCGTCAAGACATCGCCAGCGTCTAGGAGTAGGGACGGATGCGACTCGTGGCGCGAATCCGGCTCGGGAGGGGTGCGGGACATGGAATGGGGACTTGTCGAGGTGGTCGCCGGAGTACCTGACAACGATACCAGGAGGCACCTAAGTAAGAAACGGAGATCGGATTATTTCATAATCCCCGGTTTATAGTACGGCTAGGGACAGGCGCGATCGAGGCACTGTCTCATTCCACCGAGCAGGCACCAGACAGCAAACGCAGACAGCGGCGGAGGAGAGAAGGTCGCTGATGGCGGCGTGGCGTCGCGGTGTCTTCTCGTCTGGTGAGATCTAATTAGCCACCTGGAGCGCCTGGTCTGACCGCATGGACGCGACGCGTTCGCGAAGGTGATGATAGGTTGCCTACTACCGAGGTATCTGCGTATAGAGAGGTAAGTATGCACATATACAGTGTAACCTGTCATTTGGTGGTGTGTCTCTACGGTGTATCTCTGTGTGTGTTGGCGGTTCACTTTCGGGGCCTCGCTGCCTTAATTGTAAGGCATACAAGACGTGTTGAAAGCTGAACCGGTTGTTGTTCAATTGAAGGAATTGAACTAGCTACTGGAAACAGCTTAGATGCAGCGTTTTTCGTCAATCTGACCAATCGCAGGCCTCCGTTCTTGATGCCTGGATGCCTCAGGTGCCACATCTCTACATCTCTCATAACTGACCGCCCAGACTTACAATCCTAGGAGGTAAGGCATCCAGAGACGGCCAGCGCACCCTTCACCGCAATGCGTGATGCTTACCCATCTCTATGGGTAAACGAGCCCCCAGGCACATAAGCGTCATCGCACAAGAGTCGCGCCAGTCACGTGGCCTGTGGTTTCGTATGAGTAAACAACTTCCTCCATCAGACCAGAATCGCCAGCCCATGCCCGGCGTCCGTGATTTGCGTTCCTTCGTGTATGACAACGTGGGCAGCCGTCCCGGGTGGCACGGCTACTAACCTTGCATCGCATATGTCTCGTCGCGATTATCACGATGATCATTATCATTATTACCTACCTATTATTATTACCCTCATCACTAGCAGCTGGATCTGCCTCGCGCGGATCGGCACTGCCCTAGGGATTTATTACACCTACTAGGTGGGTATTTAACACACCTTACACAGCTGTGGAGTGGAGTTGGACGTTCAATACCCGGCTCCTCCCTAACCACCTATATAAGTTAACGGGAAGCCCAGGTGAAAAGCGCAGAATGCTACGTGGTATAGTTTCAATATTGTTTCAATCGCAAACTATTCCTACGTTGCCTAGTCGATACCCAGAGCGCAACGGTACGATCCTTCCATAGTTCTAATCCGCGTCTACGGCCCAGCATTATTCTGTCTTCCCAAACATGCGAAATGATTCACGACAATTGGTGATTGCGAGCTGTTTGGGGGTTGCCTGCGCGAAGTCGTAGTCCCTATTCCCGATGGTTAGAGCTGGGCCTGTACAGCATCGTCCAGGATTAGCCCTCTTCATTACGCTTATATCCTAGCGATGACGGGATGCTAGGGACCGTGCGCTATCGCCTCGCGACCTCGGGAAAAGTCTACTCTACTCTAGCGGCGATGTATATAGTATGATATTGCCCAAGTTTTCATAGTAATAGCGATAGCGATGGCGAAAGCAGAACTCGGATGAGGATCGTAGCTATTGCCAAACATCCGCGGAAACGACTAAGCTCCAACACTTCCAGAGTTGCACTCCGTAACCTTCTACTTTATCTAGAGCACTAGTAACCAGGTTAGAAAGCTAGCAGGCATTCTTTTGTTTTTGTTGAATGTTTTTTTTTTGGCTTGCTGGCGGCAGCCCTACCTGCCTACCTGACATGGTGATAACCTGTACGCACCCTCGACATCCCTTACGCCCACTGCGTTTTCCCTCCTATACCGCCAATCCCATCGGTACCCAACTCCCCGCCAACTATATAAATCCCCAGATAACTGTTGTCTTCTGCGCACCGCGTATACTAGAAACCAGTGACTTGCACACCTCCCTTCGACCGCCGTGATACTGAACAGACACTTCCCCTTTTCATTCCGTATCCGTAGACTCGCAGATGCTGGGCATGTAGATTATACACAGCGTTATCCTCCCTCAACGCTGGGTCGTCCCGGACGCCGGCTCAAACCGTTCGGAAATTCCTCCGGGATATATGTGTGTGTAGATGTATGTAACAATTAAAATGACAGGAAAATGAAATGAGGAATCTGAACTGAAACCTGGAAACAAACTGATCTTCTAGTCGTTAGAGACCTGATATTTTCCAGTCCCAAAGCTCGCAACGGGAGAAAACAAAAAAAACAACACCTAAAGTCAAGGTAAAGCAAAGCGGGTGTCCAATACCATGTTACAGGTACTCCAAACCCCATCCTCGATACCTCCTTGCTCGCAAAGTGGCAAGTGGGGGGTGTGCTCACCCCCCGGGGGATATCGAAACAAAGGAAAACCGCATACACGCGCACAATCGCCCCGTAGTAAGGTGGTAGTTATATATGATAGACGTGGTTGTGGTGGGAGTAGTGATTATGGGGCCCGGGTGAGGTGTTGGGAGGAAATATGGTACCGTAGGTTCGGGGCGATTCCTGGGTTACTACCTCAACCCGCTGAAGTCCACCTCGGCTCCCATGTGGCTGAGACCGAGGGAATTCATGGACACCGTCTCCGAGTTGGCTCGCTGCAGCGCGTGGAAATCGCCGACAGTTCTTGGGATCTGGGAGGGCTGATGCTGGTGATGCTGATGCTGGTGTTGATGTTGGTGCTGATGATGTTGGTGTTGGTGCTGGTGTGTATGGGGGCGTTGGGGATGCATCATGAAACCATTTGCCCTCTGCGCAGGCGGCCGATGTTGTGGTAACATGTTGGCCATCATGTTGAATTGGGGATTCTGTGTTAAATTCTGTTGCGGGCCCATATTTTGTATGCTGGGTGGCTGGTTCATGCCCTGGTTAAGGCTCGTCTGGATATCGGTCTGCATCGGGTTGCCCATGCTGTGGCTCTGGTTCATCCCATGCGAGGAGAAATTGTGGTGCTGATGTTGGTGGTGCGGTTGCGGTGGGTTTATAGATCCTGGTTGACTTAGTGCCTGCTGGGGTGCTTGTCCCATAGGGCTCATCAAGTCCGGAATCGAGTTGAAATTGTTATCCTGGGGATATTCGACCCCCGGGGACATCATCGGCGGCGAGCTGACCATCGGAAATGGCGATTTCATCTCATCGCCGCTGGCCGAGTGGCTGGAGTCGGTCCCGATGTCTTGAATGTGCTGCATGCTACCTGGAGTGTACGGTTCCGTCTTGAATTCCGTCATGATGGGGGGTTGAGCCATGCCGGCGTTGCCGAATCCGTCGAAGAGGTCGATATTTTGCAGGCAGGCATTCTCTGGCGCACGCTGCAGTAGCGGGTTGGCTAGCCGCGGCAGGATTTCGTGGGTCTTGTTCAAGAGAAGTGGGAGGAAGTGATGGTCCCCGTTTCGGAGGACGGAGAGGAGCTGCGAAAGCGAGTTTAGTTGCTGCCGAGGACCGATGCTGAAAGGATCTCCGGACGAAGGAAGGATAGACAAGACGTCAATAAGAGCGGACGAGATATCCAGCAACTTGGCGACCAGTGGCGTTCCGAGGAGCTCCGTGCTCTGGGTAGAGAATTGGGACGTCATCGACACGAGATCTCGCGAGATATCGATCGGATACTGGATTTGCATTTGATCCTGGCCGCCTTGAGGAACGCATCCATTCTGCATGCTGAGATGCCACGTGATGGTCTTGAGCCACTGCTGGTTTGCCCGCAGATCGGTTTCCGGAATACTCATGAAGGGCGACATCATGTCAGAGAACTGCTTCTGCAGCACCTCGAGATAAGACGGCGAAGATTCGTTCCGGGTCTTGTTCCACAGCATGAGGAACATGTCATCGAAGGGTCTAAACAGCTTAACCAACAGGATGTAACCATTCAACTGGTGCGCGAGCGGATCCGTCGGGTCATCCGTCATGGTTGGGAGATTGATAGAAGCCTGAAGAGTTAAGGGTCGACCACGGTGCAGAGCGTATGCCCTTAATAGTCAGATTTTAGCCTCGCGGAACGCAACACAGCAATGATAGAAGGGGATATGCGCCTACCTTTCTGTTACAAACAGGAGCCAGTACAGGCGGCGTCGCCGCGAAGCTTCAATGTTGTCGTACCGTAGATAGGCCTCCTCCTTGTTCATACCGATAATATGAGCCAACGTGGTAGCCTCGCGCAGATGAAACCAGGCCTTATCGTGCATGTCAAGGGCGTAATAGGAGCAGAAGAGGAAGTAACTGGTGCACAGATTACTCAAGGTTGGCGGCTCCTGGTATTCGTACCCCTTCCGAACGCGAATCGTCTCCTCTATCAACACGGTGGCCGAGGCGATGTTGGCCCCGGGGAGATGATCGAGGAGCGGATCGACGCCGGGGACGCTCATGCCCGGCTGGAACATCATCCACGCGCATAACGAAGTTACCAGACAATAGGTATCGGGATGTTGATCCAGATACATGATCTGCTGCTCCAGCCGCTGCCGGTGGAGGATAGGCATGATCGGGTACATGTTAGCGAAGAAAAACTCGACGCACTCCTTGATCATCTCGGGAGCCAGGAGCCCAGGGGTCGGCGACAACGTCGGGCTGCACGGGGGGCTGTTGATCCCATTCAACCGGCTCTGAACCTTCGCAGACAGGCTCGTCTGTCGTTGCGTCTCACGCAGCTCGCTGATGACTTTCGCCCTCGAACCCTTGGGGCCCTTCTTCTGCGGAATCGCATTGTACGTGCAGGCTAACTGGGCCGAAGCGCAGTTGCGGCACGGATTGATGCCATCACACTTGACCTTGCGTCGGTGGCACGCATCGCAAGCCCTCTTAACAGCCTGCGACATCTCGACGTCTGTTTTGCTCTCGTCGCTCGACCGCCTTTCTCTTCAGATCCAGTTTCCGGGCGGGTGCTGGGCGATAACGACGACAGGGCCTCTTATGCGCCTTCTCGCACGTCCTGATTCTCCCCCTCTACTTCGACGATTTCCTAATCCAGCCAGCCAGAAACGTCGACCAGGCGGGTGTGTGGAGCGAAACCCGACTACGTCGCTTTTTGCGGAGAGAATCTGGAGTGAAGCAATTGGATAAGCGTTCTTTAATCGGCCCGTCGTCCAGGAAAAGGCGGAGGGATCAGTTCATTGGGAAAAACGCGGGGATTCGACGCCTGGGGGGTTCATCGAGCCACCGGGACGAAGGGATGATCTGCTGTCACTAACCGACAGATGCAGCAGACCACGGGGAAGACGAAAAATACAAAACCGAAGCTCGGAGATGAACAGAGGAAATCGTCGCGAGAAGCTCCAACGACGACGACAGAGAAGAAAAGCACGGAAATGCGAAGAGGAGAGGGAGGCAGGTTTAGCGGTAGACAGGGCCGGGTAAGGCCAGAAAGAGGAAGAAAAATATGGGGATGGGATGGGTGCGGGATTGGAGGGAGGGAGGGAGGGAGGCGAGCCGGGTAGGTTAGGACTTGGGATGGGATGGGGATGGGGATGGGATGGGACGGGTACGGGACGGTATGGGCAGCAGAGAGGACAGTATGGACGGGTTTGTGGGATGATGGGATGGACGATGGGACAACACAACGAGCACGGCTAGGCCTAGGGGGGACCGACGGACAGAAGAGGAACAAGCCCCGGCTAGAGGATGGACCAAAGGAAATGAGAAAAGAGAGGCCTAAGGAAGCGGACAAGGCGGTAGGGCCTGTGAGAAGAGAGAGAGAGAGAGAGAGAGAGAGAGAGGAGGGTGGGGAATGGAACAAGACCCAGAGGCGGGACTCAGGAGAGCGGACAAGGGGACGGGGGAGCGCGCACTGTGACTGGTCGATGCGACTATGCCGACTCGGGCTAGACGTGCCGTAAGAGGCAATCGCCTCCGACGAGGTGGTCGTGTGCGCGGTCGTGTGCGTCGAGGAGAGATGTCTAGGTACTACGCTGTGCCCGCCGCCAGAGCCCAGACGATACACGGCGCGGTACCTGGGGCGAGACTGTGACGCCCCGCTCGCTCGCGTACCGCCCGCGCTGATGTCGCGCCCACAGATACCTACAGCAGCGGATGGTGCAGGCTTGGAGCGAGGTAGATGGCAGCAGACCTGTAGGTACACACCGCAGGCATCTAGTAAGTACCCGAGGTATCCAGCCCGACCCTACCTCCCAGGCAGGTACCTTACCTCAGGTAGGTAACTACCTAATCCGCGAATCCATCCGACCTGAACCACCTGCCTTTGGGTACTTCGGTACCTGCCTACCGACCTACATCAGGCACCTACCTAGGTAGGTACCTACTTATAGTGCTAACCAAACCTCTCGACTTCCTAACCTGATAGCATAGGTAGGTACGAAGGTATGCACCGAAGGACCTACAGGGAGGTACCTAGCCTGTAAGTAGGTACCTAGGCATGCTAGAGGTAATAGTAAGACTAATACTAATACCAGTGCCAATAACAGGTAGGTACGGTACCAATACGAATACCAATACCGACCAACACCAAAATACCAGTGCCGGCCTCCTAGCCAAGCTGGGCAGGTAGACAAGAACAGCCCGACCCCGTGCGACGCCTATATGAGAGGTAGGTACACATCACCCACACAGATGTACCTACCTGATAGCCAACGTACCTATAACCCATACATTCTATGTGCGTGCGCGTACGTACGGATAGGTCTACGTGTATTGGACGTGTGGGCAGAGATACGTATGCGTATATCTACTACTATATGTGCGCATCAGCTCACTCGCTCGCTCCAGCTGCCTCGCCTTGCCTCGCAGTCCACCCACCTCACGGCAATGCTGCAAGTATACCGCGTTAGAATCCTCCGCATCAGAATCCGCATCGTAAAACCTGTCTCCAAGCTCCGGGGAGGAGACCCGTCCCGATACGGAATAGGCAGTCGAGGAGGAAGGCGACGGCACCAAAGGGGGCGTCGCGCGCATTGAGCATTGAATACAATTTCGCGGTGGGCCGGCCGTGGGAGATCCCATTGGTCGAAACGCCAAGCAGAGGCCTCGAGAACCAAATTGCCAGCATCCGCATGTTTTCTGTTTACGAATCCAAGGGGTGGGCTGGGAATTCTTTTTGTTTTTTTGGGCTGCCGGGCGTGAGACCTGGGGAAGAATGTCAAGGATGTTGACGTAGACGACAAAAACCCCTGATGGGTTAGGGTGGGAACTGGGAATGGTACTGTACTGTGTGTGTGTGTATGGCTGTCTGTCCGTCCGTGGATGTATACCTAGGTAGGTATGTTCGACACCTACGATCGCTATCGTCCATCTCCAAAACGGGACCAGTTATCGCAGGGCGACAAACGAAAATAGAAAGCAATGTGATAACAAGTCGCTGTCAGAAAGGGCTTTCGCCATCTGCTACGGCAACTATTATTTTCAGAAGCGTCCGCCCTCGTCGCGAGAGACCGTCAGGATCCGAGTCAGACTGGAGAGTGGCTTGCGTCTCGCCTGCGCTCAGCTGCGTCGCTTACAAGACCAACACTGACTGACTGCTGCTCTACAGATGACGATGAACACATCGAAAGTGTTGGTGTTAGCGAGGAACAAGACCACGGGAACCCCCAATGATGCGACGCCAGGGAGGACTTGACAACCTCCCCGACGGTAAGGTTGCAGAGAGATCCGGCGACTGGGAATACCTGTGTAGACGGCCCTGCTAACCCGCCAACACAAAATGAAACTTCGCGTACTCCGCTAACATAGGTAGGTATACGCCCGCAGGGCTGTGTTGGCTTGTCGATGGTCAATCCGATGCCATGGGATGGGTCGCTTCCACCTTCACACCCCTTGCACCTACGCACATAGGTATCTGCACCTGTATGAGTATGTCTATGCTCGTACGGACACGAGATACAATAATATGTGTATATAGATATATATATATATAGTTATATAGTTATATAGTTATATAGTTATATAGTTATATATATTTGTTTATTTATGATACATACCGTATTCCCGCAGCGATGCATTGGGGCCATGCGCGGGCACACACACACACACACGTAGACAAAGGCGTCCGCCTAGGCGCATACCGACAGAGGAGAGGCGGGAATCGGGGCGCCGCTGAGTGCAAGTGCTCGCACACCTTTCGCCGAAGGATTACCCCAAGTGCCAGCGTCGCAGAACACGGCATTGCATGTAGTACTTCATATTCGAGCAGCGGCTTCTCATATGCGTGGAATAAGTCTCCCCCGCTCTCCCCGCCTCCCCCTCCCCAACATTCATGTTCTTTATCTACGTGTAATTACCCCTGGCCGAGAGACATGGCCCTCTATGCGGGCACATCAGGCAGTTGAGATTACCAGTTGTGTTTGTTTGTTTTCGTTGCCCTTCTTCCCGATAGGCAGTTGCCGCGACGGGGTTGGCGAGTAAGACGGTCGAGTCCCCGACAAATCTCTGGTTGTGTGGGCGATGATCTCCCGCCTTTCCTGACTGAGCCAAAAATAGGGTAGCCCCAGACATGCCGTGGGCACTCAGCTGCTACGTAGTATTCACTCGGGCAAGTTTGCTGCCCGCGCTGTCATTGGGCGTGAGGCCAGATGATCGTCGAGCGTCGCTCAGAGGGGCGCGCAACCAGAGAAGAGAGGGGACTTGGGAACGGCTCCCCGTCCGGCCGTCGATCCGGTTTCTCCTCCATGGCTGTGAATGTACGTATGCGTCTGTGTACGATGCCTACTTCGGTACCTTACGCAAGGGGAATCACGAGCGCAAGTCAATTCGAGTCATACCTACACTCCGTACATCAGCTGCCTGTCTACCATCTTAACATGCTGCACTCTCGTAGGGGTAATTAGACATACATACACGTTCATATGTACTCGCATAGCCGAGACGATCTCTGTACGCAGGCTCGTCGCCCAGCCATCGACCCGCCAACCCATCCCACTCCCCTAGGTCCTACGGATTAGAGGGTTTCCTCGGCAATAACAGTAATGACAGTTCACTTCACCTACTGCCCCTTTTCAACACCCTGGCCAAGACTCTGCATGCAGGCGCATACAACGGGGCGTGGGCAGCCGGGCAGGCTGGCTTATAATTCCACGAGTTATTATTCCAAACAAGCGGCGAGTTATTGCATCGAGTGCTATGCGCTTAGAGATTAGGTGTCTATCCGGCAGTTTGACGTTCCTTTGATTCTTCCCCGTCATCCGCCCCCCCTCCCAGCTTACCACCGCTCGCAATACACTACTCATACCGTCTCTCAATGGCTTCGTAACCATCCATTGTTCAACGTTGCCGGCAGGAGACAGCCAGAGAATGGAACGGTGAGAGTAAGTAAAAAAAGTCCGCTCAAGCCATTTAAAAAAGAGAAAAATGCAGGGAGGGGGTATTCGTCAGGGAAGAAAATGCCCAACTCGTCGGCTTTCCCGTCTGACAAAGCATTTACGTGCCCGTATTATACTCAGCAATAGCCCTCGGTGAACCATTTGGGAGGAGAGCGCCACGCAAGTGATATGCAACAGCACCAAAAAGCAGGGCAAACTGATCTCGCCGCCAAACAACCAATTCTAGCGGTTGATGATAATTATTAGAATCAAAAGGGGGATGCATGCATACCGTCATACCACCAGCGCGTGTGGGTGTGTAGTATCTAAGTGTATGGATTCACGACGACCTAACACAAGCAGGTTCTCGTCCCTCTCCCTAGGTTAGGCTGGCTCAGAGAGCGAAAAAAAAAAACACACTGGTTTGCGCGGTTGATCCAGTCGACGTGTGCGTGATCTCACAGAACACGTTACCGGGCCTTCGGGACCATTATTATCGCCACGACCGTCATCGTCGTCATGGCCGCTACCACGAGAGGAGGCCATCCGGCTCACTTGCGCCACAGCTCAAAACTGATCCCGCCCCGTCCCACTTACACTCATGGGAGGCGCCATTGCATGATGGCACTGGAGAGGATTATGCATACGGTGCGAGGAACACGGTGGCCCGTTCCCGTAGGACCTCTCTGCGCCTCTTAACTGCCGTAGCCAACGAACTTCACTCGCAAGTCACAAGGGAGGACCCGGGCAGCCGAGGTACCATTGCCGTTCTTTTCCGTCCTTTCAGTCCTTTCAGTCCTTTCAGTAATACGTTACCACATACGTCCACGAGATGCACTCTGCCACACCTTAGGGTATACGTGCAGGAAAGTCCGAATATATCATATCCCTCGGGCGAATAGATAAATCCGGGCGGCGCAAGCCATACCAGCGTACTACATCGGAGGAGGAGGAGGAGGTGGTGGTGGTGGCTAACATAGCACACCAAGAGACCTACCTACGATGCGTGCGGTTGTTAACAGGAAACCCAATTGACTGACTGACTGGTAGGTAGGTAGCTAACTGCCTACCGTGCATACCTATCTCGCAGAGTATTCTCACATCATTGTAAAATTGTATCGCATGAGCAACGGACGAGCGCAAAGCCACTAACGACGCCAACGTCTAGTCCGTCTCCTCGAAGAGAATTCGCCTTCTAGTGCTATTCCGCTGTCCTCCCCGCGGAACAAAAAACAGAGGGGGGCGCATATCGACGGACTGCAAGGCGTGAACGCTAGCGAGCCCGTTCGCACCCGCGATGGCCTCTCAGTCGTCACTCGAGCGGCCAAAGCTCCATAGCTCGCGCGTCGGTCCGAATAACAAAAAGTGGTGCCCGCCCGGGCTGTCTACCCCGGGTTTCTGGCTTTGTCGACCCAATTCACACAGCACGCTATACCATATTTTACCGTCTACCACCGTAGCACGCCGAAGTACCGGTCTGGGGTCGAGAATCCGGGGTTCGCTTCGTTTGAGAGTGACGATAGCGAGAGAGGGAGAGAGAGAGATGACACCAGCATGCAGACATCTAGGAGGGGACGAAGGCGACAATTTGAGTTCTCATGGCTTATTACACTCGGGTGTTCCTGTCGTCACCTCCATCATGTGCGGCCCTCTCGACGATACCAAGCGATTAACCGTACGAAGTAAATCGGAGAACCGATGTGAAATCGGTAATGAAAACGGATGCTCTGGCCGTCTCGAAGCATTAGCCGACGACCTACTCACGAGGTTTGAGAGTGCCCCGAACGACCATCGCAGCCGTGTCCCTCGATATTAAGGCGTCTCATCACCGGGCGTATGACCGCGTCGCGACCTCTCCCCGAAACGCAGAGGGCAAGACACGACTTACCAACCCCCTCCTTCGCTTCGGCGACATCCCCGGAAGCTCGCCTACGACGCCTACCCCAGAAAGACGAATGCGCACGCCCTGCACCTACACGGTAAGTCTCCCACAGTCGAGGACAGCCTCAGCCTTGTTACCACGTTAGCAGCTGTGGTGTAGTGGTATGGGCAGGCCCTTGCGGGGTTGGGGCGGAGTTGGGCGGAGTTGGGCAGAGGCAGGCAGCGCGCCCCTCGACACCGTTGCCACAGGACAACTCAACTCGCTCCCAAGCGACGAGCGCCGACGCGCCGCATTAGCCTGTGCATGCGACGGCAGCCTGCCACCCAGCAGCCTCCCTTCTCGACGATCGAGCTGTCGCCGCTGTCGCCCAGCCCTGCAGGCTTACCACTCGGCACGCAGGCGCCTGCTTGCTGGCAAGTAAGCATGCGAGTCGCAGCGCCGGCCGCGGCGATGATTTCGGGCCGAAGGGGGGACTCTCGCTTAGGAGCGCACCCGCTTCGGCGGCGGCGGCATACCTACATACCTACGTATGCACGTGCATGCATACCTACCTATGTCTACGGCCCCGCGGTCGATCGATCGACGCAAGGGGGGGCCAGGGGCCAGCCAGAATAGCTGCTCGGGCGTTGCCCGAAATGGGCTGTCGTCCCCGGGGAGGCTACCACGTGCGTACGATGCGTCTCTTCAACCAGGCCGCTGGAGAACCGCGGCTCAGAGCGGGTGCGCATCCCCACGTTGCACTCTCGGCGGTATATGCACCCCGGAGCAAAAGCCCCCTTCTCCCTTCCCCGGTCTTGCTGTGCGCGCATCGAGAGATGGTCCCATCACGCCCGAGCTAGATCACGCCGAGGCCTGGGGCTCGGCCGATTGCCAGGGTGGCAGGCAGCATGTCGGCGGCGTCGCGGGGCCCTTCTGCGCAGCGGCGCCGAGAGGCTCGTGATCTGTCCTCGTCGAAGCGCCCCGTCACATGCTCGTGGCGTACCGAGCGGATGCAGCTTTCACGCCGCACTCTCCTCAGGCAAGACCGCTAGCTCAGCGCTGCCGTCTGCTATAGGGCCACCCAGGATGACCTCATCCCCCAGACCAGTTCGAGCCGCGAGAGGAAGGGTGCTATGCGCATGGGAGCGGGGTTCGGGATAATCCTCAGATTCGCGGCCGCCGAGTGAAGGACCGAATGGGACCCGAGACACCATGATTATTGGTGATCTGGTTTTGCGTCCGGAGCGTTGGTCTCTCTTCTCGGTGCCGACGGGGTGGTGCCTGGTGGGACACAAGAATTGCGTGGTCGAATTCGATGTGGTAGCACGTCGTGCATACGACTGGCTGCAGATCGAGTTATTTTGACAACCCCTGCGGTGTCCTAGACGAAGACTATTGCTCCCCGCCCCTTGACTCGGCCCTCGGCGCCCCCTATTAACTACCTGCAGAGCAGGAATACGCGGATATAGCTAACCACCGCCACCGTGCTGGGCCGTACGTAGACTCGCCGCCGTCGAGATCTAGTAATGAGACCCTAATGCATCCGCATCTCTCTACTACCTACCTTGTCCTATCGCTGGCCGTAGAATTAACCGCTGGGTACCGCTGGACAACTTCCTGAGCACGATCCAAACGCGTACAAAAAACAGACCCCTTCCCGCCCCCGGTTGCTTTACCTACTTAATTCCTATATAGAGTATACTTGGCCTTCGCTCTATATTTACGGTGTACTGGCCCTCCGCTCTCGGGGTAGACATGAAGAAAATCACACGTACCGTCATCCATATTACTTGTAATAACCTCAAGTTGGCTGTCGCACCGAATGTAGACGGGGACGCTTCCGGTTTGGAGATGGAGGCGTAGAATACAGCTTCCTACACGGGATGGGCCAATATCGATACCTCCATGCTAGGGTTCAACCTGACTCATCCACGGTTACGGTACCGTAGTTGCATTACTCGGAGTGAGTGAGAGATGAACAACTAAGCTGAACGATAGAATTGAATAACCAGCCCCGACAGTGCGGGATGATAGCAAGGCTTGCGTAATAGGTTGACCGAGCGTTGATTCATCAACTGGACTAATTTGACACTGCCATCTGACACTGCCTAGCAATCATGCCGTACGAAGGAGGATATAAAAATCCCAACTCCCTCTCTAGCACGTCGCCGAACCACAATCCTACAACAACTTCTCATAAATCAATTGCCTGCCTATCGATACCAGCGGTATTCGTCGATGTCGAGTAACAAGTTGTATAACCCTACATCGCCAAATGGCGAATGTAGGCGTCTACGTCTTCCCGTGACAGGTGCGGTATGTCAACCACATCTATTCTCCTTCATCGACACGCCCTCCCTGCTGGCCTCCTGACAAAAGGTCGATGTTGCCGTGTAGGACCTGATAACTTGAACGGTCCAGAGCAGCACCGTGGCGAGTCCCCCCCCTATTGCGGGGTCGCCCGCACGAATGGGTCATCCTACCAACAGGAGAATCGGCTGCCTCGAGATGTTACCTAGGACGCCGTGAAAACTCAAGGGTCCGGAACGGAAGGTTAGGACCGGGGCACCCCCCTGGTACTAACTTGCGTAACCGATGGTCTAGCCAAGGATCAGACAGTTGATACCGGGTTCGTCGTGGAAGGAGGTCCTACTTTCGGAGACCTTCGACGCGGTCCTCGCCTCGCCGACAAGCACGGCCTCCCGGGCGAATGGCTTCGTCCGCATGCTTAACTCTCCTTAGACTCTACCCGCCCCTCTCAGTAATTACGGGGTATACAACGCCATATACGTGCTCGTATCTAAAAAAGAAACAGACAGATACTCGGGGATTGGCATCTCCCAATTATGCTCCTCTCCCGGGAAGCGCGTCGCTCACTCAAGGCATCTCAACCCCGACCTTTAATTGAGACATAAATAGCAGTCGTACCGCCTCACTCGGAAGGGCCGTCAGGTCCAGCGGCTATTAGCGGCGAGCAACGCTAACGGTACCAAACTAACGGGGATCGTAAGAGCCTTTGGTCTCTACGATCGTTCGGATCGACGACAGGGAAATCCCGACGTTCGCAGCCGACGCCAACGACATACCTAAGGATCTGTCGCGTAGACATACGCCTCTAGTGGCTCTTTGGCCAAGAGCTACTCTAGCATTTCCACTGCCCCCATCCTCTAACAACGGGGCACTGCTGTTGCTCGGAATACCATAGCTTTGAGATGTCATGACGAAACCCAAAGACCACAAAGGTAAGTCTACCCCTGTGTTGAGCGTGCGGCCGGTGGGCGGCGCGTAGCGCGTAGGCGCTCTGTTAACATGAGGCCTATAGCACAATAGCTCAAAATGAGAAATTCTAAGCCGCCTTAGCTGCTTTAGATCCGGCGCTAGCCCACCCTCAAAGGGGTTGTCAGCGCGGCCGCTACCGCCTCTAGAAGCAGCAAGGCACCGCCGACGTCGCGAGCGACTAAGTTAGAATCCAAACCCGACAACTGTTAGCGGCGAGCAACGCCAACAGTTCCCAGCTAGAGGGTATTGTGGGGGCCTTAGCCACCATGATCGCCCTCTGCTCCTGCTAATATCGCCCGAGCCGCGGAGCTAGAGGCACAATACGCCGATCGGGCGTCGAAGGCAAGAATCAATCGAACGAGGTTAGCGGTTAAGAGGCAGAACGCGTCTCTGGTTATGCTAGACGAGAAGGAGGAGGAACGGCCGCAGAAGTAGGTACATAGCAGCTGGAGAATCGGTTGTCGCGGCGGATTTGAAGAGATGGATACCGATCAGAATACTACACACCACCCTTTTAGAGTCCAATTATTCATCACGGAATAATTACGCCGGGGAGGGTGTAGTAGTGCAGTAAAACATGCCCTCCTAGAGGATCGCGTAACACACTACGATAGGCTCCTACGTTATGGTAGCTTCATCACCAGAGACGGACAGGCCTCCCAGAAAAGGACAAAACCACTGCCAAAACCATATATCACCTATTATTACACCACCTCGGTCCACACTCTAGTCTTAAATACCTGCAAAAAGGAAACGAGACGCAAAGAGCCGATTCACTTCCGCCGCACTTAAACCACCATCCCGGCCCCCATCTCCGAGAGCTCCACCCCCTCCGCCAGACCCGTCTCCGTCAGTTTCGTCTAGACCGGAGCTGTCTTCTCCAGCAGTTCAACTTCTCTCAGCTCCCAGGAAGCTCACAGACCTCGCTATTCTCTCGCAAAGCCAAAGAAGGCCCCTCCTCCTATCCAAACCTGATCCGACAAACCCTTGTTCCTCTTTATTCCATTCTTCTCCTATAATAGACGAATCAGGGATATGATAATCGGCCGCGGCAACGCCCCTACGATCGCCTCAAGCCTGAAATCTTCAGCTACGATAGCGAGAAGACACCCATAACGGAGTACCCGAATAAAATCGACACGCCAATAATACCTACCCGCTAAGGAGTGCACCGTGAACGGGTTTAGGTGATACGGAAGTTGGAGTTGCGAAAAGAGTTGACCTAGAACGGAGTCGGACCAATACAGACTATTAATCTCAAGGCACACCACGTCTCCCAGACCAAAGGTAGGAGACGCCCTCGTATATATATGTAGAGAGGGGTACATGTCAAGTATTAATAGCCGGGCAATGGGAATTAGTAAGGGTCTGAGGAGCCCCCAAGTATTGTTATGAAGTAGTAGTAGTTTATGGAGCTCTGACAGAAGGAGAGAAAGACACGCGTTACGCGGTGCCCGGGTTCCTTGGCGGCGGCTCTCTAGTTCGAGATCGAATAGCTACCTAAGGTGTACCGACGATGAAAGGGAGGATCCTGATAAATCTAGACAGTGTGGCCCTTCTAATCTACAGGGCTTCCTGGGAGGCATCTGCGTTGCGAAGCCGGCGGCGGTGTAAGTGCTTCAAAGGAAAAGAATAATGTCTTACACAGTAGAGCCCTCATCCACCCCCCCGTCCCCCGCAGCCCCCATGTCAGAACCCCCATCTTATCTTATCATACCGAGGTAGGGCACCGGTACAGCAGCACCGACTTACAGGGCGGCCTAGATACCTCGCTGGACATCTACCGAATCTACCCGCTCAGCTCATTTCGAACCCAGTCCTTTTATGACTCCGCTACCGCCTCTGCCGACGCCCGCTACCAGCAGCACTCCCCCCTCCCCCCCTTTCCCCTTCCCCCGAGACCCCAATTGGGAATCCTCAGCAGCAAAGTCGAGCGACATTACCTACCTACTCCGTCCGCACCCACCCCGCCTCCACGATGCCGCCGCGGCCGCACCTGCGACCGCTGCACCGCGCGGCGCAGCGCGTCCTGGCCGGGCGAGCCGCAGATAGCCGCGGGCCGGGGCTCCGACGCTTCGCCGCCTCCTCGCGCTCCGCGGGCGCGGCGCCCCCCGAGGCCGACCCTGAGCTCCCCCCGCCGCCGCCGGCCCGGTGGCACTCGGACCTCAGGGCGCGCCTGGGCAGGTGCATCCAGTTCGGCTGCAGCCGCGAGCAGGCCGCGCGCGCCGCCGCCGTGCTCAGGGTCCTGGCCCAGGAGTGGCGCGGCCTGGCCGCCGGCGCCGAGGGCTTCCTGACCGGCGACCGCCGCGGCCTCGAGACCCAGCAGGTTGTCTGGGGCGAGATGGACAGTTTCGTACGTGTCTCCGCGCCCCCCCGTCCCCCCCCTCTCTCTCCCCTCTCTCCGTCCGCCCCGAGCGCGCGCGCGCGCCCCCCTTCCCCTGCGAACGCGCAGGAGGAGCAGCAGCGGCGGCGGCGGCGGACGAGGTGCTACGTACCTATATCTAGGTATACGCGCATGCGAGCGCGCGCGCTTGGGCCGCTGACACGGCAGCGCTGACACGGCGCGCGGCCAGGGCCACGTCAACAACGCCGTGTACATCCGGTACGTGGAGTCGGCGCGGGTGAACTGGATCGTGCGGTTCGCGGCGGCGGACCCGGCGCACGCGGGCGCGTGGCGCGAGCTGATGACGCCGCGGGGCACGGGGCTGATCCTGCAGTCGATCACGGCGGACTACAAATTCGTGGGTGTCCTCCCCCGCCTCCCCCTCCTTTCCCCTGCTCCCCCCCCCTCCCCCCCTTCTTCTGGCTCTCCGCTCACCGCCGCCGCCGCGACAAGCCCATGACGTACCCCGACACGATCTCGGCGTACCTGAAGCTGCGCGCGCCGCCGCGCTCGGGCGACACGGCGCTGGCGCTCGACGGCGTCGTGCTCTCGCACCTGCACCGGCGCGCCGCCGCGCGCACCGCCGAGACCGTCGTCGTCTACGACTACGCCGCCGGCCGCAAGGCGCCCCTGCCCCCCTTCGCCCTCGCCGTCCTCCGCGCCGAGTGGCGCCGCCAGCTCGCCGAGGCCCGCCGCGCCCGCGCCCGCGTCGCCGCCCTCACCGCCGACGTCGTCGCCCTCGAGCGCGCCACCTGGGACCGCGAGGGCGCCGTCGAGGACTTCGGCCCCGCCCCCGCGAACCCGTAGCCCCCCGCGCGGCCGCGGACATAGACGCGTGGCGCAGAGCTGCGCACCCGAGGAAGGAGAGGAGGGAAGAAACTCGCTGTGATGGCTCGAGACGACGAGTCGTGGCCTTGAGAATAGACCTCAGTTTATTGTGTATATCAACCAACATAGTTTCACTGATGTGATAAAGGAAACAATTTGCCCCCGGACAGACGTCTGGTAGGGGTGCGGAGAGGCTGAAGTGACACCTGCGAGCCGACTGTGGGCTAGCTGTCCTTTTCTAAGGAATGGGATATTCTACAGGGGCGTTCGAATGGGGCCAACAGCGCCTGCGAGACGTTCTCGGGTCTTAGGGTGCGAAACTTCCATGTCAAATTATTAGCACAGCATTTTGTTTTATCCCGGGGAGGCGGCATCGCCGTCGGTATGATACGCATATAGCACCGAGTATTTGTTGCTTTCAACATCTCTTTTCTCTTGGAGTTGGGGGTGGTCAGGGGGGTTATCGCCCAAGTCTCGAGCCCCCCCAGAGAACGGATTATCTGCCTACCTACTTCTCTGGCTGGCAGTTACCGGGACGCTGCAACTCCCTTCCTAGCAATCAACCCTAGCTAGATCCAACTTCTACAATAACTTGTTCTCGACAAGCCGTCGAGCGGCGCAGCCAAGATTCGTCTCCCGTACGAGGACGTGTCGTCTACGGACAATAGCATCCAATGCCCCAATACCATCCAATATCCTGTATCCAATGAAGCCGGTTTTCTAAGCGTTATATCTGGCGATGGCGAGGGGCAATACTACGCCAAAACCCGATCCGATGCTACAGCAGCACTCCGGCGAATGATGAGACCACCATCCCAAAAGTTGACAGGTAGCTCAGTCGGTGTGCCATATCAAGGAGTTGAGGTTGACGCGGTAAGAGCCCAATTTGCCCCGTTCCTGTAGATAACATCCACGCCGACTACGGGCGCCGTTACGTCGGTCAGTGCTCAGTCCTACGCGATGCAGGCCAAACGACGCAACTATGCGCCTGTCTCGGCCACAGTGCCTCCGATATTCGTCCGGCCATACACACAGAAACTGCTGCGATTTCAAGTGCGAATGTTGGAGGTTTTATGCTCCCGGAACCAAGCATTGTCAGGCGTTTGCTGTTGCGGACTGGTGGACCCAGTCTGTCTAGACTATCCAGATTATCCGAATTATCGACAGCAGCCTCAACTGGCAAAAATTCGCAATTTGCCGTCGACGCTTCCCGTAGCGACGACACAACGAATTTGAATATCGGATGGCACCGCGCCAGGCTCTTGGGCCTTCGCACCTCCGTTGCTGTCGCCGTTCTGGGTCTCATACGCCTTAACAATGCCTGGCGCCCACTTGAGGGAGGTAACAAAGCGTTCGTGGACGTCTGCGAGAACCTTGACGCACTTGCCGTCCTGGGTAAGATCCCAACATCGGAGCGTCTTGTCGTCCGACACCGAGAGGAGGTATTTTCCGCCGGGATGGAAGACGAGCGCTCGCACCCAGTTGTCGTGGCCAGTCAGCGACTTGATGCAGGTCCCGTGGGAGTTCCAGATTCGGATAGTCTTGTCCCGTGAGCCGGTGGCCATGAACTCGGCAGGGCTGCTCGCGGGCGGAGGCTTCTTCAGCCCGGCCAGGGTCGCGAGATACGGGTAAGCGGCGGCGGGGGCGATCACGCAGCACTCGTTGAAGTGCTCGTGGCCTACCATCGTCAACTTACACTCCGGTTCCGACGTGGAGCTGGAAATATCCCACAGCCGGGCGGTCATGTCGTCTCCGGCCGACAGGAGGAAGCGCCCGTCGTGCGAAGGGTAGACGTCCCGCACCCAAGCAGCGTGGCCCTGCAGCGTCCTCAAGCAATAACCCGTGTTCACATCCCATATCTTCAGGTTTCTGTCTCTACTCGCGCTCACGAGTAAATTGCCCGGGGTGTCTCCGGCAGGCACGAAGCGGACGGCGCTGACGCTATGATCGTGGCCGGGCAGCGTCCTGATGTTGTTGTACTCGTTCGCCGGGTCCCATAGCTTGATGGTTAGGTCGGAGCTGCAGGAGGCCAACAGGATGCCGCCCCTCGGGCCGCCAAAGTCGATATCCAGCACGGCCCTGGTGTGGCCCTTGATCGTCTTTTCCAGCTCGCCCAGTTCCCAGTCCCAGATCTTGATGGTGTAGTCGTCGGAGCCGGAAGCGATGGAGGTGAAGATGGGGTGGAAGGCGATGCAGTTAATAGTATCGCGGTGTGATTCCAAGGCGTACCGGGTCGATCGAGGGAGCCAGGAAGCCGGGTCTTGGCCGCGCCTGGTGAGGGAAGCCGGCGTCAAGTTCTCGAGCTCGGACTGCAAGGCGGCACTTTTGGACTCCAAGTCCATGACCTAGCTCGGGATTCCGGTTAGCTATCGCTAGGTCCAGCAGTTTTTAGGTTGGTGTGGGCATGCCTTTTTCTGCAGGCGGACGACGCTCGTCCATTTCTTCTCCAGCAGAGACTCGTACCGCTTGGCCGTGTTCGCGTCGAATGCGTCGTCCCCGATACCCAACTCGGCCCTGAGGGCAGCGGCGGCGCTCGACAGGTTGTTGGCCGACAGGTAGGCTATGATGGACCTATGCCTGGGAAGAAGAGGGCGAGAACACGCTGGTTAGCTTCCCCCCCGCCAGGTTGGTTCTCGCCGCGTACGTACAGCTCTTCGGCCTGCCGACTTGTCAGTAGAGAAGCCATGCTGCCGTGTGTTTTCCTCGTGACTGTGGGCCAAGTTGGCCCTATGGCGGGTGCGAGTCGTAGCTCTGCCCCTAGGTCGGTCTGCCTTGCAGTGACGACGAATTGGTGTAGGAGGAATAAATGATATCGTCGGGTGGATTCGATCGAGGCGGTCGAGGTCGAGGTTTCTTTTAATACCAACGAGCCGGGTATACGCATATATGCATACCCACATAGAATTGTCTGTCACTATGAGAATGTACGTAGACGGATAAATCTTAGTTACTAGATACCTATCAGGATGCACTTTTTTTTTATAGCGCCGAGCCCTAAGTCTGTATGTATCTGTATACCTGTGTAGTGTGCATAGGTACCTACGTAGACGTATTCGCTACCTCTTATCTCCACATCTGACAATCCAATATATACGCGTACCTATATAATGAGGTATGCGGGTTATATATATAATACCTATTATAGTCGTTCGTAGAGCATTGGACTCGACTCCCTCCAAAGTCTGTATTCGCGCGAGATTGATGGGACAAGATGACCGATAGAATATCATATATAGTAGAGATACTCTATATACCTATACCCATCACCAATACCGAGAGTTCTACGTCGCCATGCCTCCCAACGAATTGTAGATATTCGAGAACGCCTACCTGTCCTACTATGTAGTCGACGGTGGATCGAGTCCGGTGTGTTGAAATACATACTTACTGGACACCCTAGAAAGGCCTGAGGGTTGGTGTCGCCGACCTGCTGCTCACCACCACTCACAGCGCCCCATGGAGACAGGTCCCGTGACAGAGGCCTACGAGAGGCCGCTTCGCGATACACCGTCCCTATTAGACCCGTGCGTGTACCATGTTCGCTCGTCTATCACGACGAGGACGTGGCCGCAGCGGCCCCAGGCACCACACAGGCGGTGGGACAAGACCACCCAGGTACCTCGCCGGGCCCGCCCTCAAGAACCGAGCCAGCATCAAATAGGGGGTCCCTCCACCCGACAGCGTCAGTCTCGCCTGGGCACGGGTCACAACTGAATTTGCCTGGGGAGGGCGGGCGTGCACGTACGTCTCGATGTATGTAAATACACAGGTGCGTATTTGCGTCTCTGGTACTTGGGTAGATGAACTAGAGAGAAGCGGACGGCGCGCCTGATCGCAAGCATCATCTCCCTACCCGAAACGCTGTCTCGAAAGCAGGGAGCGAGACTTTGTCTGCTTTCCTCCGCCCATCGACAACACGTGTACGTGTATGTATCTACCACACCGTCGCTTTTCCCGTCTGGCCTGACTTGACCGCGTTTTCCGTGGTCCAGTGTGCTCGTGTGGCAGTGTGCTCAGTCCATCAGCGCTTATTTTCCCACAGCTTCGACCTGGCGATGGTCGCAGCGCCCATGCCTGACTGGGGTGGCCGGCCAGCTTCCCGCCATGTATCCCCCCTTCGTCGCCAGGACTATCTGGTGTATGCCAACGCGAGGCGCGTTTTGATGAGATCCCGCAGCCACTCCCACATACTTGTAAAAGCACCCAGGAAGACGGACGGGGAAAGCAAAAGTAGCAAGACGGCCGGCGGGGAACCCCGTTGACATACCTGCCTACCTACCTGGAAACACATCCCTCGCCGCGACTACCGGCTGTCGAGAAGTGACGGACTAGCCCCCATAGTCGCGAGCACCGAGATCGCCGCATCCTTTCGAGACCTACCCGCCAGCGATCACATAACACTGCCCGACAACGTACAACCTCATCGCTCTGCTCCCTCAGCCCCCACGCCTCGCCTCCATCCGGGAGCCGTCTGCATACCCGCGGGCGGAGAGCGAACCCCCCCCCCCTCCCCCGATGACGCAGGAGCGCTGCGCCGAGTGCGGGCGTCGGCGCAGCGACCAGGCGGTGCTGAACCGGGACCCGTGCCGGCGGGCGTGCGGCGAGGGATACTACGTGGCAGCGACGGCGTCAAGCGCAGCGACCCGGCCAAGGGCTGCGACGCGTGCCGCGGCGCCGGCAAGAAGCTGACGGCGTGAACCGCCCCGTTCTGCGTCGGCGGCTACGTCGAGCACGCCTGCGCCGACCGCTTCCACTCCGTCCCCGCGGGCGCGACGTAGCAGGAGGAGGAAGAAGGGGAAATGGGGGGGAGAGGGGGGGGTAGGCTGCTGGCGGGGTGGTAGGGGGAGTTGTGCGCTAGAGGAGGCGCTGATATAAGGCCGCTCGTGAATTTATATATATACAATTGCCGTAGCAGGAGGACACATACACGATAATACGTTATGTATATGTATGTACGGTACGAACTTGACGGGTAGGAAAAGTCTCGTTTTTGTGTAGCTCCGGAACCGACAAAGCGAGACAGATTCCTCGCGCTGGAATTGTCGCGATCGGGTTTAATATCTCTACCCAGGTATCAGCTGCCTCTAGCGTCTGCCAAGCGGCGCCGTCGCCCTCTCGGTCCCTGTCCCTAGTGCTCAAAGCCCCTCTTACAGTGCGCTCCCCTCCCTCGTGAAGCTTTCTAAATCCCACCCTCTCACGCGTCTTCCACTCGACGTCATCGACTCGGCCCGCCATAACACCTATAGCACATACCTCTCTCTCTTCAGCACCTCTGCCCTCCGTCAATTCATCCCGCGCTCCATCCACTATCTTCTAATAGTCTTCTCTACCTACCATGTCGTCGCCCAGCCCAGAGCTGCGGCGCCAAGTCATCGCGATATACAAAGGTCCGTCCGCTGTCCCCCCCCCCCCCCCTTTCCCCTCCCAATGCCCCATCCCCCCCAACCCCCGTAACCCGCCCGACGCTGACGCCGAACGCAGAGCTCCTCTACCTCGGGCGCGAGTACCCGCACCCGGAGGGCTTCCGCTACTTCCGGCCGCGGCTGCACGCCGCCTTCGCCGCCAACGCGCACCTGCGCGACGACGACGCCGTCCGCCGCGCCGTCGCGCGCGCCCACTACATCAAGAGAGGTGTGTTTTCTCCCCCCCCGCCCCCCTGCCCCTCCCCCACCTCTCTCTCTCTCTCTATATATATATGCCTATGCGGATCTCCGCCCCCGTCCGCGGACCTGGCTGACCCGGGCCGAGGCCGAGCGCCAGAAATCGAAGCGCTGTACGTGGAATCGGTAGTGAGAGACAGACAGACAGAGAGGGAGAGAGAGCTTGTCTGCCTGCTGCTCTCACCTCTGCTCTTCTTCCCCTTTGTACCCTTAGTATCGTATCGTGTTCTCTACGTCTCTACTGCACCCTGCTTTACCCTATCTCCCCCCGACACTGTCACGATATCACCCACGGCTGCCTACTTACTCATCCGCACGCGATTGACCCTGTGTATTAATTCATTTCGCGCCGTCACACCCCGCTCCTCTCCGTCTATAGTTGTAAAATCCCAGTCAGTCTCCTCCCCTCCCCTTGCTTCATTCCTGCCCTCCTCCGTGTCACAGCTGCGAACATACGACCACTCCGCTTTCTTCCCCTCTCCCAACCCGGAAACGGCGACATCGGCAGCGGTGGCAACATACTTGTTTTCCGCACACGCACTCGTATTATGAGTTATACGCGTTGACTTCCAGGACCACCTTTCCACCCAGCACCCTCCTCCCTTCCGTCCGTACATACATTCATAGGCACAACATGACATTCACCATCCTCCTACCTAGTCCATCCGTCCACCCTTCGGCCCGGCAGGCGATAGACCCGCCCATTCCACCCAAAACTTGCCTATTCAATTTGTTTAGCAAAAGAAGACAGAAATAAAACCCGGCACGAAAACGAATCAAAATAACTGGGAGCTCGAGCGGTTCCAGAATGCACATGATACAGCATTAGCTTGAGAGCCCAGCTTTCTCCCTTCCCCTTCTTTCCTTTTTTGTTCTTTTCTTTTTCTTCTTCTCTCGACTACTGCTCGGGATTCTCTCGGGGTTGGGTTGGTTAGGCTTGTATTTTAACGTAGTGCGAACCAAGTTGAAATGGTCGTCGCTGATTGTTGCTGTCTTTTTTGGTCGTGGCTGATAACGTTTCGGCGGATAGGTATTACCTGAAAAGGTATCGAACGTTGAGAAAACGATATAGCGAAGCGTGAAGACTAGGCGGAGAGGGGACGCGAGGGAGAGGGGAGGGGAAGCGGATGGCGCCCGCTGGCTTAAGTGTCTCTCAGCTAGGCGAGGCAAGGCATGCGGTAGCTGGTTATCGCCCGAGGTCGCGTCCGCGTCATCAGGCGGGAAGCCTAGTCCGGCGGGCGGAGGCTGAAGGGCCGGGCGTAATTCTTAGGAGGGGGGTGGGAGAGACGACGATGATGATAGAAATCGACAAGGTCGGTTATTAAGGGAAGGGGGGGAAGGCTATCGTATTACGTAGTCGTGCTTTGCTTCTTTCTAGCGCACCAGGCTCCCACTTCCAGGCATTCGCCCCAACTCGTGCCCCCCTCCCGTAATAGATCGTTCATCATCTTGCCGCTCCAGCCGTCCCACTCGTCCTGGCTCTTGCCGCTGACCTCCTTGAGCATGGGCTCGAAGCAATTGATCATCCCGACGACCGTCTCGAGCGCGACCCGTCGTAGGGCGGTTTGGCTGGTCGTCAGTCCCTTACCTCGCGTCTTATCGCCCTTCGTCTCCAGAATCTTGCCTTTTGCTTTCGTCGAGTCGATGTAACTCTTGCCGTCCTTCGTCACCACCCCGCCGACGCCCTCGCGCTCCCACCTGATCTCGCTCAGCGGCACCGCCAGCCGCTTAGATCGCACGTCCATCAGGATGTCCGTTTCCTGCAGGAGATACGCGCCGATGAATGTGCACGGAACCGCCGACAGCCCTCGCGCATCGAGAGCCTTGGTTGCCCAGCCGTTGTACTCGACCAGGAACGGATTGAGGGGTGCGCCTAGGGGTGTGTTGTTTGTCATGACATAAGCTCCCAGCTTCTCGGAGCAATCCTCTTCCTCGCTGCTAGAGTCCGAGTCCGAGTCCGAGTCCATCGACGCCACCGAGATTGGGGTCTTGGGAACGTGTGGTCGTAGCATGCGGATCGTGAAGTCGCTTTCCCAGAACTCCAAAACGCCGCCCGGCTTCAGGATCCGTACGTACTCTTCGAAGAGGTGCCGCGGGTCACGCATCGGGCTGGCGAGAGACATGTCCTTGACCATGATCAGGTCGAATTCGTTGTCGGCCAACGGCCACGGCATCCGCCGGATGTCGTGCTGCACGAACCGCCAATGCATATCCTTGTCGGGTTTCCACGTCTGGTCGAGGCCGGAACCCACCAGGGGTACCACGTCGATGCCGGTAAAGGAGATGGAGGAGTGGCCATGCTGCGCAAAGTAGCGATGACACATCATGCTCCAGAACGCGGAGCCGCATCCGACCTCGAGCACGCGCGACGGTGGCTTGTTGGAGAACTCGGGAGCGGTGGTCGGGCCGCCGAAGAGCTGGAAGAGCATAAGAGTGCGGAGCGACTGGCGATGAAGCTCGGTAAGGTCGACGGGTAGAGGATACAGCAGCGACGGGTCGTGGATGTAGGTGCGGCCGTTGCGGATGATGAACGGCTTCGTCGAGAAGGAGACCTTGGTGGACGCCGAAGTAGACGACGTCGCTATGCTCCCCTCCCCCGAGGAGAGTCCCAAGTTTTCGTTCGAAGTCATGATGCCGCTTGGGATCGGATGAGAAGGGCCCGAGACGGACGAGGCGCTACCCGCGCGATAGCGGGCGGAGGCAGCGGAAGAGTGCTTCCGAGCAGAGCGAGATTGGCTAGGCTCGAAGGGCACTCCGTCATGGTGCTTCCCTTGCGACGACCTTCGGCGGATGGGGGACGCGAAGCCCGCGACAAACTGGATGGGTGAGGTGGGCGTGGGTGGGCGTTGGGGGACGGGAGGAGCCTGGCGATGGAGAGAGTCGCGCTTGTGCAGCCGGTTCTGGCTGGGACCGTGGCCGGGGCAGTGGCGGTGGAGATGGCTGCTATCGTGGCCACCGAATAGAGGAATGTGGACAGATCGGATGAATTTTATAGACTTTGGCGACACCTGCTGGGGCTCGGATTCGGGAGCGGCAGATATAGGGGTAGCAGAACCAGCCGCGATCGACGCGGACGGGACGGCTAGCGACGGTAGCGACGGCGCGAATGCGGGTGCGGGTGCGGATGTGGACGTGGGTGCGGCAGATGCACGAGACGCAGCGTGCGAGCTGCCAGTCTGCGTGGGCGTGCCGCTATTGCCGCCACTGCCGTTGTTGTTGTTGTTGTTGATGTTGTTGTTATTGATGTCGGCGTTGGCTGCGGGAGGTGTAGAGGAAGAAGAAGGGAAAAAAGAGGAAGAGACGGTTGCGGAGCTGCAGCCCCTTACGTGCCTAGTAGCCGGCTTTGCACCCGGGCTTGGAAGAGCAGGCGGTGACGAGGTCAGGGTGCCACGTGTGGTGCTGGTCGTGCCGGTCCCGTTCAATTGCGCCTGTGCTGGTGCGTCTGCTAGTGCTGGCGACAGGGCATGGGCCTGGACCTGCGTGCCGTGCGACGCTCGGGAGGCGACACTGGACGACGACGAAGTTCCGGAATGCGAGTGATACGACACGGGCCTCTGGGCGAGTGGCTGCGGGAGCGTTCCGGGAGGCGGCGGGCGACGTTTGCCCGGGATCCTCGATCGCTTGACGCTGCTGGCGTCGCCGCCCTCTTGTTTCGGTTTCTGCTTCTGCTTCCTCCGCTTCCTGTAACTAGCGATACTGTGGGCGTAATTGCGGGCGCCGCCGCCTGGTGGGAGGCCTCTGTCTCCGACGAGGTCGTTGTCGAGGAAGCTCGTCGTGCTATCGTCAGCGGCGTCCTCGGGAGCCTGGTCTGACGGGTGGTGAGGGTGTTGGCGGTGGTGAGAGTCGGCAGCGGTGGTGGTGCCGCTGTCGTGCTTTTTATTGGCGCTCTGGAGAAAGGTATAGTAGGGAGCGGGGCTCGGGTGCGCATGAGCGGTGGTGCTGATGGTGGCGGCGGGAGTATCAGCATCAGCATCAGCACCAGCACCAGTACCGGTGTTGGTGTTGGTGGGAGGAGTGGTGGAGGTAGCGGAGGCGGTCGTCGTGGTCGTGGTCGTGATTTTTCTACTGCCCGCTGCCGCCGGTTTGATGACTCGCACAGGGGGGAGGTACATGGGCATGCTGTATGCGAACTCCATATTTCCTCCTGTTGCCGCTGCTGCTGCTGCTGTTCCGGTGTCTGCCGTTTGCCTGCCCAGCCTGTGCCGACGTCCCTGTACGGATGTACCTTAGGTACCTTGATGTATCGCCGTACCTCCTCCCCCCCAAGCCTCTATGCGGGTGTTCCGACGGTACCCAAATCCGGACCGGGGTCTCCCCTTATTGTATCGCTCCAGTCCAAGTTACAGGCTTGCAGGCTTGTGTATGAGTAGAGGTACCTCTTGGAGTGTACTTCGCTCGTCGCCCCTGAAGAGGTATCTCTTCTCGATCTCCTCGCCAGCTATCAACCGCGCTTGGTCCTGGAGATGTGGCTCCGAGCCGACTTCGGTACTTTCAATCCCGCCGGAGTCCAGGTACCTCCTCGCTAAAACCCCTCCCTACCTCCTGATGTCGCCCGGCGAATGAGAAACTTTTAGGTAGGTATCCTCGTCTTCTACGGATCGGTGTGGCCCTAAGGGATAAAATCCGATCAAACTTCCTTCAGCAATCCGGAATTGCTGGTTGCCGCTGAGGAATTCCTCCTTTGTTTCTTTCCCTGTTCTCCTCGCCTCGCCTTTTCTTCCCCCCTATTTGTTAGCCGTGGCGAGTTGTCGCATAGGCTTGTGAACTCGTCGCGTCTAATTCGCGAAACAGGTCGACACCCTGGCGAATGAAAACGGGCAAGGAGAATAAAAATAGGCAAGGGAGGGGGGGAGAGGGGAGAGAGGGATAGAAGTCCGTTCCAAGGTCGTTTAGGTCGCTCGTGCTCTCTCCCTGTTTCTCCAAACGCGATCCAACCTCGAGTGATCGGCGGCCCCCGAATGAAATAAAAAAAATGTTGGTTGAAAAAAAAAAGGTCGTGATGTGAATAATAATAGCAGTTGCACCTCTCAATCTGTGTTTCCAATTCCTGCCCACGTCAGCGAGGCGCGCTTCGCTGTCGTGAGTATCGTCGGGTTTTCACACGACGACGGCTGCGCGCGATGCTCACTCCCTACGCAGGCGACGGAGTCCCAAACTGACAGGTCATTCTTGTGCTCCGTTTTTCCTTTAGCAAACCGTGGCCTTGGACTGGTAGGGCCTGTCGATGATTGGGTGCTGGCAAATTCCGGCGGCGCATCCGGTCGACTGGTTTCGTCTCGCCTCGCTTCGCTCCTCGCCCTCGTTTGGGAGGCCTTCACCCGACGGGAATCCCTCTTCTCGTTTCATCAGCCGGTCTTGTCTCCTAATCCGAGCGACGCGCAGTCTGTGCGCGATCTGCCAAATCTGCTTGTCTTGTCTCGACCCACGTACTACGCAGTACAAGCAAGTCCCGACTGTGTTTTATGGTTGCAGCGGAAGGGCCCGCGGTTGCAGAACGATTGGCAGTGTACGTATGTAGGTATGGGGATAAGGCGCCGCCCGTCGTCTGCCCGGCGCAGCGTGGTGACCTTATAGTGCCGTGGCGAGGCTTAGGAGGCGTTGTGGTGGCGCTGGCGATAGTGTCGGTGGTGGTACGTCGTGGTGGTGTGCTCCCCTAATTATTATCTCCAAGCCTCCAAGACTCGAGTTCCCCTCCCCCGCCTTCGCTTATAAGGGCAGTGGTCGCTCGCTGTGGTTGGATCCTAACGGGCGGACCGAGCCCAGCGTGTGCCGACCAATGCGTTATCTCGCAGGCCCTTTGTCAATCCCGGGAACTCGAGGGTTTGCAGGATCTCTGTTCTCTAGCGTTTCTAAGCGATACCCAATTGGCGGATCCCGGCTCGACAACCGGTGTCTCTCTCGGTGTGTCTACAAGCAAGTGGGATCGCGTCAACAGAAGGGCTCCTCCTAGCGTGTAGGGCGTCGGAACATCGGGAGTTGCTTAATTTGTTTTTTTTTTTTTCTTTCCAGCCGTCGGCCACGTCCCGGTAGATGCTCCCACGTCTCTGCTTCGCCCTGTCTATTATTCTTCTTCCTTCTCTCTCTCTCTCTCTCTCTCTCTCTCTCTCTCTCTCTCTCTCTCCCCCTCTGGTGACTCGCTCACATCTCGCACTGCGCCTGTGAATGTCCCTCTCACGTGACCACAGCAAGTCTGCTCGGCACGCCGAGCGACCAGCCTCCGAAATTCTTCCAGGCAGCCCCTTGGAATTGCAGAGATCGTATTTTCCACTTTACGGCTCCGTATGAAGCACGTTCGCTTTCGATGCCTGTCGGCTGCAACTAGACTGGAAGGAGATCTCCAAAAGAGAGCACAGTCCTTCTGCCGATGCTGCAGCCCCGAGGAGTGATGCAACCCGGGCTATTGTTTTCGGTGATTTTGGTAAATGCGTCTTTCTTCCGGCCTCAGCGAGTCGGAGGGAGTGGTGATATCAGGTCACCGCAGGATTGAACAACTGCTCTGACTCTCTAATGTTCGAGGAGTGCATGGCATGTCAAGCCATAAGTACAACCTGGGTGTGGCCGGCTAGTTATGTATGTCACGTCCTCCTAAGCAGCGACGAGCATGCCGGCTCTAATCCGCCTAGCGCCCTTCGGCATCATGGTCACGATGCTTTAACTCATCCTCTTACATGTATAGCGGCTGCTGCTTTGGGAATGCCAACTCCATCTATCAACCGAAACCCAGCGGGTGGACCGTCGATCCCTGCGGGTAAGGTAGGTCGGCGCGCGTGCGCGTGTATGTCTGTGTGTATGTGTGCTCTGTGTATGGTTCCCCCGCATTACGCCCGCATTGACGGTAGGTGATCCAACCGTCCTAGCCGTCGCGCTGCGGAATGGGTAGGGACACTGGCCACACCACGCTGGATCGCGCTGCGCTAGGTATACGCTGTAGCCTACGATCGATCCAAATTCGTAGAATTACGGACCTTGGTCTCGCTAGCCAAATCTGTCCAAGCCGTGTTGGTAACCAGGTAGGGGAGTATTCGGTTACTACTGCAGAGGGTAGCAAATCGGGGCAAGGGAGTGACCACAGTTCGGACAACAAATTCCAGGTAATTGGTCCAGCGGAAGAGAACCTTGAACTTAACCCCAACGACACAACTTCGCGTCGTAAGACATACCTGTGGTTCCGCCTAAGGCACGCCCGGCGTTCGAAGCGGTTCGAGTCGGGTGGTCTGACAACACTCCACCGTACGGTTCGTGGGCTTGCCTATGGAGCGCGGATGGTGCCTTGGCAGGCAGAGAGGCTAGGAATCCTGAATGTAGTTAATAGACAGATCCCTCGTCGTTAGTAAATACTAGGGTTCGGCAAGCATCGCATCCTGCCCCGCAGCCGCGAGCTTACGAAGCTACCGTCGAGGGCAGAAAACCCATGCCTACCGACGACTCAACTACTGGCCTCTCGCTTAGGTAGGTATGTCAGTGCAGGTCAATTCTGTCGAAACGCGAGCCAACTGGTAAGCCAGTAACGTGTCGCCATGGCTTCCCCAGCTTCCAGACTCTTGGCATGGGTGAGAGTATTGAGGCTGAAGTGGCTGAAGAAGAAGCTCGGTGATGAAAGTACCTTCACGGGAGGAGCTTTATCCGTAGATTAGTCGGTGACGACAGAGCCATCCGGGGTTTGGCATACATACGCACAGACCGTCTTGGTAAGGTTTCCTCGCCATGTAGGTAGCCACGTCGAGTCTTCTCTGACATCTCGAGTGCAACCCGGCGTGGAGGAGGAGAGAAGGACGACGGCTATGGCTCGATACAGGTTAGCCATCCGAGACAGAGACGGAGTTACTTACCTCCCTACACTCACGTTTTCAATTATCGATCCTATTCGTAGGGATTATGAGCCGTCCTATATGTGCCAGTGCTATGCCCTAGATGATCGCCCCGCGGTAAGACGGCCCGAGGCTGGGCGGCCGATAGGCAACCGGCACAAGACAACGACCGGACAAACCATCTCTGTTCCCCTCAGTGCGCGAAGGTGAGCATGAAATGGCGTAAAACAGCATGCTATCAATAGCGGCAACGCATATGGAGCCCTTCTCCGTGCTAGGCATATACTTAGGTACCTAGAAGAGAGGTTGAAATACGGGGCGGAGGGGTAGTGTTCGCCAACTACCTAGCACTTGCTGACGTAGGCTCGATTCATGGTGTTGCAGAGGAGTAGTAGCAGGGAGCAGAAAGAATCACGGCGGGGGAGGGGAAGGAGGAAGAGGATAGGACATGCGCATAATCTGAGATAGTTATAGCAGGCCGTTGATATATGGGCAGGCATGCCACGATGGATGGCGGACGGGAAGGACAAGCAGGAGAGGGCATCCTGGATGCGACGACGATGCCGCCTTTGGGGGAAGCAGAGGCACGCAGGCATAGACAAGACGCGACCCCAGTCTGTGGAACGTTTCAGAAGCCGCAGAGGCATTACGGCCAATATCTTGTGGCAGAATAGGGGGTGAAACTGGTTATGCTCTCGAAGCTACGATGCCGGAACGGACAGGGAGATCGGCGAGTGTCCGGGATAGGCTAAGAGGCTAACTTGCACAGATTCCTCGGACTTGGCCCTGGCACAGACGCCAAGTACCTTAGGTAAGTCGTATATACGTCGATACGCACATCAATTGGAATGCAGTGCATGTTGAAGAGGTACCTAAGATACCAATGTCGGGAGAGGGTACCAGGCTCATGCTCAAAATGACGGCGCCGAGAGCCTTGGGAATTCTAGCTGGTATCAGACTCACGTGATAAGTACCTAGCCGAAGTAGTACCTATACGTACCTGGTAGAGGATGAGGGGGGTCTAGCACGGGCCACGAGACTGAACCATATATACCTTGGTAGATTAGGTACCTTAGGTACCTAGGCAGACTTCTCCTGTCGCATACAAACCCAAGGTATCTACATAGGTACATTTACCATGTGAAACATCCCAACTTGGCAGTGCATCGAACCTGGCACGTGACGTGATTCCCGTCAGCTTATATTTTATACCTGCCTCGAAGATGGTCTCTATGAATATTACAGGTACGCAGTTATATTCGGTCAACGCGTAACTGCGGGAAGCATGAGCAGCAAGTCAGGTATCTGAAAATATTTGGGTGGAAGTGCCCGCGTCCTGGGACGGGTAGGTAGCCTCAGGTACCTAGGTACCTACCTTCACCCTACCCTAGGTACTTAAGATAGGTACCTACCTCTTATCTTGAGTCCCTGAGTGCCTCGAGCAGGAACCAGAGCAACTGAGTTCCACGTCTCGTCTTGGGTAGGTAGTCCGAGGATGGCCACCTGGTTAGGTATCTATATCTACCTACCTTTTATACAGGTAAATACCTAGGTAGCTACCTATACCTACAAATATGCCGTACGCATACACTTCCACCTATACACTTACCTCTTGCCTACCTATGTACTATGCTGGTACCTTTACTTCGGTGCTTACGTTAGGTACTCATCCGTCCCGGAAGAGGCCCCACTCTAGATATCCAACCTACGAGAGCTAATTGGTCAGTCCCTACCTCAGCTGTCGGGGAAGGCTCGCGCGCACACGCACACCATCCCTGGAGTGCCGCCGCCGTCCATTCCCTCCCTCACCCTGCTCCCGACCCGACGCACAACCACACATGTAGCCGCATCGCCTCTGGCCAGCATCACCACCATCCAACAGCCTTAGTTGAATAGGCGTCGATACCTCTGCCTCGCGCCTCCGCCTGCTCTGCGCAACTCGCGTCAACCCCTCGGTATCCTTCCTCCCAGTTCTTCGTGGCCGACGTAGCCAACGCCATTGGCCTCTTCTGTTTGCCTCTCCTTCTTACCCTCCCTCTCTTCCCTCTTCGTCTGCGTTTTCCCTTTCCTTTTCCTCCTTCTCCTCCCCCTCCCCCCCTTCCGGCTGCAGGTGAGTTCCGTCCCTATTCCTGTTTCCCTTCGTACATCTGCTCGCCTATCTCGCCGACTTACGATCCCGTCCAAGCCACCTACCTTTGTTCTCCACCCGGTTGGTCTGTATAGAAAAAAAAAATCTGTCCCTCTACACTACCCAGCCGCCCCGTTCACTTCGTCCCGTTGCTCTATTTGCCTTACCGCCCTACGCATGGCTGGGCACCCTTCCCTCGAGCTCGCTGTCGCTGATGCCAGCCATCCTTGACCCGTATAGGCCGGCTGCTAACTTGGCATAGCATGTATCTAGGGATCTAATTTATCACCCGATCAAGACCCTTTAGTCGACAAGCTACACGGACAAAACAGCTAGACAAGCGGTCCGACATTGCCTGTACCTGCTTGGTCTCTGCCGCATATTCACGGCCACGCCAATCACCCCCTCGAGTCTATCCTTTCTTACATCCATTTCCCAGCCGCATTGGCTGTGAGGAAGCCGACAGCAGACCCCGGATATTCCTGGTTGCCTACACAGCCGTCCCCGCCTTGTACAGCTCCTACTCGCTCGAGCCTGGCATTGGAAACCGGGCAGAGAGGGCATTGGAGCTTTGTGAATATAGTGTTGGCATCCGAGTAACTATCTCGCAGCGTCGTCCCCCAGCTTCCCATGCCGCACGACGAGGTTCCCCATCTCTATGCATGGGTGCCCGAGGATTCTTTGTCCGCTCGTTTACTTATTCATATAGGCTACTAAGGAGGTTTGCCGGGAAAGTAATCGTCATACTCTTCGCCGCCTTCCGACCAAGGTGGCGTTTTCATGAACCATTAGCATTCAATACGTATAGCAGACCTCGATACATATTTTACGCGTACCAAGACGTTGATGGTCGTTCGTTGTGCTCCCGGAGAAGAAGAAGAAGAAAGGGCAAGTGCGGCTCTCAGCGCCAGAAACACCACTTACCGCCCGCCAAGATCATACTCAACTCAATATATCCTCTGAATCCTGACTCCCCGCCTCTACCACCCGATTTTCCCGATCGCGCGGCATGTACGCTCCAAACCACCAGCAGGCCCACAACGCGCGCCTAAATGGCGTTCCCAGCAATCGCGGCATGGCGCCGCAAATGATATACAACTTTGTCCAACCCCAGGGCGCTCACCAGCCACATGCCCATCCGCAGCAGCATCATCATGCCCTACCCCAGGATCATGCTGCCCATACTGCCGCGTCTGGTACCATCAACCACTCGGCCTTCTCCTCCGGCCTGATGTCGAGTGTCACGCCTTTCACGCCAAGTAGCCACCAGAACGGTGCTGCCCCGGGCTCTCGCGGTGGCCAAACGCAGTCATTCAGCGAACACTGGAACGAGCAGCTCAAATCGTTGAAGGAGTCCGAGCGTGCCCACGCTACCATGACAGAGCAGCATCAGCCGCACTACTTTGCCCGGCTTCGGGCCAATGAGAATAAGGGCATCGGTTTGGCCCTCCCAAACGCGGCCTCTGCTGAGACGGCAGTCGACGGAGAACTGGAGGATAGGGGCCGGCCCGTTAATGTCGACAAGGCCCTAGATCGGCAAGACTGGTTCAACATAGATTTCAGTGGACAAGGGCTTAAGAACATCTCAATAATGCTGTTCGACAACTACGCGTTCCTCACAGAAATTTATCTCGCGTCGAACAACCTCACACACTTGCCACGCGAGATAGGCCAACTTCGTTCCCTTAAGCATCTCGACGTATCGCATAACCGGTTGACAAGCCTACCTCCGGAACTCGGCATGTGCACTCCCCTTAAGCAGCTGTTGCTGTATAACAATCTCATACAAACGATACCCTCAGAACTCGGTGCTCTACATTTTTTAGAACTTCTCGGTATCCAGGGAAATCCTCTAGAACATGAACAGAAGCAGAGGCTGATGGAGGAGGGCACCAAGGCCTTAATTGCCCACCTGAAGGAGCAAGCTCCAGGTATGCGACCTTCGACGCCCCCATCCATTCTACACAATCTTCCCCTCATATGCGCATATGTGCTTATGTCTCGTCACCTGACGGTCCAACTCGAAACTGATATTGTGCTCAGTGCCCATGCCGCCCAATCCCCGAGCCTTGATCCCCATCCAAGAGGACGTGGGGTCGGATAAGGAGCATATCCGCGTCATGTCGTGGAACACCCTTTGTGATAAGTACGCCACGAGCACGCAGTATGGCTATACCCCTGCTAGTGCTCTGTCCTGGGAGTACCGAAAGGAGAGCATAATGCGAGAGTTCCGGGAGAGGGACGTGGATATTCTCTGTCTCCAGGAAACCGCCATGGACGCATTCAACGACTTCTTCACGCCCGAGCTCGCCAAGCATGGTTACGAGGGTGTGTTCTATCCCAAAACCAGGGTCAAGCATCTTACCGGGAAGGACCAGCAGTCGGTGGATGGCTGTTCGATATTTTATAAAAGCGAGAAGTACATCATGTTGGACAAGCAACTGGTCGATTTCCGACAGACTGCCATCAATCGGCCGGATATGAAAATGGCTGACGACGTGTTCAACCGGGTCATGCCCAAAGATACTATTGCTGTCTACTGCTTTTTCGAATCCCGGTTCACAGGAAATCGTTTCATCGTCGTGAACGCCCACCTCTGCTGGGAATCTTTCCTGGCCGATGTCAAGGCCGTGCAGACGGGTATCTTGATGGAGCTAGTGACGAAGCAGTCGGAGAAATACACGAGGAAACCGCCGCTCCCCATGAGCGAGAAGATATTACCCAGGAGCGAATCGTCGGATGGGGATTCTGGTGTTCCTGCGGCTGAATACCCCGAGCCGGCCCCCAGCCAGGAGTACCGCAACAATACCGATATCCCCCTGCTAGTCTGCGGTGACTATAACTCCATGGCGGATAGCTCCGTTTACGAGTTGCTAGAGAAAGGTCGAATCCCCCCTGATCACCCCGACCTGGTAGGCCACTCGTACGGAAATTTTACCCGAGACGGCATTGAACACCCCTTTAGCCTACGCAACGCGTACGCGCATCTCTTTGGCACATCAGACGAGCTCACGTTTACCAATTACACTCCGACATTTTCTGGTGTAATCGACTATATCTGGTATACTACTAACACATTGGACGTGGTCGAGCTGCTGGGTCCTCCGGACTACGAATACCTGAAGCGTGTACCGGGGTTTCCCAATTACCACTTTCCTGCGGACCATATCCAGATTATGGGCGATTTTGTTTTTAAATCTCGGAAGGAGAAGAAGGTGGCCGCCGACCAGGACAGGTCAGGCGGTTCCTCGAGGTCGTGAATACGGCCGGGCCGATCGAGAGACGTGCTGGGTTGCTGGGTAGAGGCGGAGTGCCGAGCCCAAGTCTCGATCGGCGTTTACCCGAGGAACGGAGCGTAGGGGTGTCGCGGTCCTCTCAACCCTCGAACATGGGATGTCTTAGAAAAGAGCAACGCGTGCCAATAACACCGGATATGCGCGAAACCCGGCTCCAGCAGGAAAGGCGTTGGGAGGATTCCCCGGATACGTGGTGCATCCAGGAAGGGACGAACGGGGCCAACTTTAGCGAGAGATTTCTTCTCATACTTGAAGGACGAAAGGGCGAAAATCTTTTCTGTTCTTTTCTTTCCCTCTCCTTTTAGCAGAGAAAGAAAGACAAAGGTAGGTAAGACAGCCGGGGGGATTGGACATCTTCGGACGGCTGAGGAAAGGGGAGCAAAAGGGGCGGGATCACCAGTTTTCGCCATTCGATCTTGGCGTCGAGACCTGCGTTTCCGAAGAAGTTATTTTTTTTGCCTCCTTTTTTGCTGCTGCCGTATTGGCATTGAAGCATCATGTATCCTACCAACGATCGGAATTGCACAGAAGAAATGGCGCCTTCCACTCTGCCAACACGCTGCGTCTCTTTTGTCCTTCAGGACTTGTCTACACACAAATTTGCCACATTTCTCTGTCCGCCCTCGTATACAGCACCTGATGCGGATATGAGGGCCAGTGGGGTGAATAACTGGGCCGACTTTCTAGCTCGCCGGCTTTGGCGACGCTTCTACCAGCGCAGGTCGACCTAGACAGTAGCCAGTAGACGACACGAAGGTAGTATACATCTGTCACAGGAAAACGCAGACGCGTACACTTCCCATTTGGAGACGTAGGCTATAAAATTCGCCCGTGACGATGAACCCCGAGGCTAAACTGACTTGTGACCAATTCTCCTTAAGTACTGCCTCTATCGTTAGAGCTACGTACCCGGGGATCGTAGCAACGCGGCGTAGTTATATGTATACCTTAAGTATGATTGCCTTCAATGCCACTTTATAAAAAGTAACACACCTACTATTTACCTATCCAACTCGTCGAGAGGCATGTTGAGGCGCTTTTCGTTCCCTTCACGCAATTCATCACCCAGATGATGCCGGGGAGGGAGATCAGGGGAAACGTGCCTCCAGTACCTAGGCATCTGACGCTCTCGAAATATTAGAAAAAGAACTTTTCAGAACCACCATCCCTATCCATCTGCATCTCTCTCTCTCTCTCTCTCTCTCTCTCTCACCTTGTTCTTGTTTCTATCTGAGGGTGCGGAATGCCAAGGTGCCACGTCGCTCGGAACTCCGTTTGGATTTTCGTCTAAAAAGACCACCGTACGCTTCGGACACATAGAATGGGCTGAATAGGCGTGTAGTGGAATGGTTAATACGTTGTCTCTTGAACAGATATCCAAGTGAGACAAGCGAGAATATCCACAACTGAGCTGTTCTACATAAGGTATTAATAGATACACGCGAGCTGTCTAGGTAAGTAGGGCAGACCGTTCAAGAACTCGGCAACCGATCTCCTTGATCAAGTCTTCAAAATCCTGCATATACGACTTTAGGACGAGGACAGCATCCTCGTCCCCTAAAAGCCTATCAATGGTCTCGACGTCAATTCTCATATGCTCCTCGTCGGTGGTACCATTTACAATCGACAAATTACCCAAGCCCAGCGTGAGCAGACAGAGTGCTACTTCCTTTGGGATGTAGTACTGCGTCGCGAGGCGTCCTACAACGCCTGAGGCGAGCAACTCTCTGTTCCCTCTCAAGAGCGAGAAGGTCTGATATATAACACCTCTTGGCTTCAGAAATGCGCGCAGCCCGATATCGTACCCGCTGTCCTCGTCAAAGCGATTCTGAACGATCTGCGGCTTCACCTTGGCGGCATCATACAACTTCTCGAAGGCAGGAAGGGAGAAGTTAGACGCGCCCAGCGCACCAATGCGGTCTGGAACGAAGGTTTCGAACACCTTCCAAGCAAGGATATTGTCCTGATCATCCTTGAACGGAGCGTGTAATAGCAGGATATCGATGCGATCTACCTTCAAGTGCTGGAAGGATTTCTCGATCGACTCGTGGACTTGGGCCTCTAGAGGCTGGCAGACCTCGTAGGAAAGCTTTCCCTCAGCGTGGGCCCACGATGGCGTGAACTTGGTTTGGATCTTTCATCGGTTACTTTCTTAGTCTCCGCAGGGCTTATGAGGGGCGCTCGGTGAGATAGCTCACGAGTAGGTCGTCTCTTGCTAGACCTGACTTCAAAGCTCCCTGAACAGCGTCTCCTACGAGAGCTTCGTCATAGGCTGTGGGATAGTTGGCCGTGTCGACGGCTCTGAAGCCATTTTTCAGAGCCAGAGTAGTCAGGCGACTAGTATCACCGTGCTTGGAACCGGTGCCATAAACAAGATATGGGTGAACACGGCCTGACGAGAGCTTCAGGGGAACGAAGCGCTCAGCGAAGTCGTCTGAGGAGGGCACGCATACCGCCATGGTCGAATGATCTGTTTACTCCTGAATTCGAAACCCAACGTTAACCATGCCACGATATAATTGTTGAATAGAAAATGTCTTACGTTGCTAAAGACCTGATATTTCAGCACTAGTAACATCGCGTACAACAGCATAGACCCAGATATAAAGGCGCACGTCGTGCATCCTTGTGAAGGCTGGCGGCCTTGGCACTCTACGACATCTGGATAGTCTTGGCTTGCTTCGGCCCTACCCATTCCACCTCATTACCTATCAAAGAAACGGCCTCCTGCGTTGGGGATCTTTCCAACCCCGGGCGCTTATCGTAGCGCCCCCTCCCTCCCTCATTCCTAGAGGGGATGATAGGGTAAGATAGGAGGAGCACCAATAGCAGTGGCTAGAATATAGCTATGCTGGACGCAACGAATCGGTGATATTGGAACACCACACACTCGAGTCCTAAAACGAACCGTGCTATATGCTTTGATTCTGATTGCTCGACAGTGTAAAGAAATGGCAACGAGCCGTAATCTGATTTCAGTGATGTTATAACTGTCGCTACTAGCACCGGATACCTGATGGACGGGGTTGACGACATTGTGAACCTTGCCAGCGGATGAGCGAGAGGGTTAGCCTCTAGTCCGATGGTTGATGAATTAGGACGTCGATCCTTCTACTCATATTACCGAGGTTACCAAACTTGGGGCAGCCAAAGGGCCTATCTACTTAACTACCCTCCCCTTTGTGGTCAACAGGGTGAGTCCCTTCAAAATCTAGCATGTCTTTCCAGGCCTTCACATTGCCGGGAGCGTTGGGGACCTCGTTGGCAGCTTCTGTCGCCCAGTCGTAAATCTTGTCAAACCTCCTGCACTGTCTGACTTGGTCCTTTTCTGCTATATAAGTGAGAGTGGTTGTGTTCCAGCCAACCGGTTCAACGGTGACATCTCCGAGACACATAATAATCTCACGAAGGTATTCGATGCAGTGTACTAGTATTAAAAGTTAATTTCGAAGAACGAGGTAATCTCTCATGTTCGAGCGACGTAACGTACATAAGTGAAGTTGCGCAAGGTGACCTCCGTCGAATTCCTCAAAGCGACCTGGGTAAAAGATGGTATATCGAAGGCGGCTCTAGAGAGAAAGGGAAATATTAGGAGCTGATCGCCAAAGCATAGGATACGCTCAACTCGAGAGGCACCTACGAGGCAGTGGAGCTGGTGGATGGCTCCCAGTACACCAACGTATGAGTCGGTCGTATTCCACTCCTTCGCCGTCACTTCCCCAAGTCGACCGGCTTGGTCGGCCGTCAACCGCGTCAAGCCAGCTAAGTAAAAAGCGCTGTATGTTAGGGTCTGTTACGAAGCTGACCAAGATGAACAAACAAATACCCTCAACTATTTTATTCCAAGCCACGTCGGCCTTGCTCCCGGGAGGGCCGAAAAATTCCGTCACATCGCCAGCGACAATTCCCGTGTGGAATTTCCGTGTTTCGTATTCCACAGGAACTTGTGCTTGCCCTAGGTGCTCGATCTCGGGCCGGTTGTAATAGTCCTCCATCAGCCACGAATTCATACGGTGAAGTGAGCTGAGCCAGAGGCCGAAAGTGACGATATTTGTTATGACGAGAGAGCAACTGAGGGTCGTGTATAGCCGCGCTCTGTGAGATCTCCGTTGCCAGCTCGCAGCTGGCATCACGGTTTCTTCTGATGCTCTGGACGAACTGTGATCTAACTCAACATCCGTCATCAACCTCTCGCGAGATTCCGCATCGCCGAGAGGTTCGGCGTGCTTCTCGTAGGTCTTCTTCCGGAGCGAAAAGAAAAACATTTCGCTCAAGGAGGAGTTTAGGGCGGGGAGAGGGCCACGCGTCTAGACAACTTGAGTCTCGGGCGGGTTGAGAGTTGAGATAAACTGAGCTCGAAGCACAGGGTGTAGGTAGGTGGGAGCTGAAGACTCTGCATACTGGAATATTACGCCAAGCTTGTCGCCGGGACGTATGTTGAACGGAATCCGACTTGACTTACTGTATCCGCTTAGGCTATGCAGGCTTCCCGTACGGCGTGGTAGAGGAGGGGGAGACGAGCAGCCTCTAGGCTATTGGGTAAGCGGTAGGCTATGCTGGGCGCCGCGTGCAAGCAGAACCCAGACCGGGCCCGGATAGGGTCTAGGACGAGATGCGAGGCCGGCAAGTAAACACCGGGTAGCTTAGGCTATGCAGGTCCACATAACACCGCGTGGATCACCGAGTTGCGAAGTCCCCAACTTTGCAGTTCGCAACACAGAAGGGGAAAAAAAAGGATTCGAGGGTATTTTAAACCTGGCTTCGCCAGTCTCACTTACCTGATGCCGCCATCAATTTTCCTCAACAACACAGATCAGTCTCGAACAATCTCCAACATAACTCTTCTCTCTCGACGAAACGACACGTCTTTCAACATGAAGTGGCAACTCTCCCTCCTGTCCCTGGCCTCGCTGTCAGCTGTCTTAGCCGTGCCGACTGGCAACCCGTCTGGTAAGCCGCTATGCTCTCTGCCGCAATGGAACTGCTTCAAGGGGATGGAGTACAACAATATCGCGTGGAAACCGGTAGATGAGGGCCATATTACGCGATAGCGGCTGCCTATCTGGTAGAATCTGTGGTCTTGCTTATCCCCGGCAGACTCGCATCGCTAACTCGGACTTTTGCCAGCGATCGCACGCGGAGTGACTGAAGTGAAGGCGCGCAGCGCTGAGCAGCCGGAACCCGCCAGTGCGAAAAGAGATGAGGAGGAAGTGGAGTTATTGGTCTGGGGATCGGGTCGATGGCAATACGGAGGAAAGGCCAAGAGGGACGGGAACGAGGCTCAGGCCTAGAAACGATTAGCTATTCTGACAGCATCGAGACTGGGCTTGTGGTTTCTTCCCTTCTTATTTTCCCCAACTCCTTTCAGATGACGCTGCGCACAGCTTGATGCGTGCATCACTTCGACTACGAACTGTTTCTTTGGGAGGACTTCGACTCAACAGGACCGCCTACTTGGGTAGGCAGGGCTTTTGCAGGAACATCGTGTACACACATTAGGCATACCGCTTCCAATACAGTGTTCTTCACTAGACGCGAAGATACCAAGAGGGAGAGTAGGACAAACTTGCTACCGCAATGAGACGAAGGCCCAAAAAGCCGCTGTCTACATGTCTATGTAGAGTATCGCGATGCGTGGTAGGTGCATCACTAAGGCCTTCCCCATGACCTACAAGGCTAAACACAGCCTTGAGATATGTGAGAACACCTAATATACTGTGCCCGTAGCATGCTGAGCTTGAGATATATGACATATGCTCCATTATTCGAGGTTTGTGTTTTGATCCACCCGTATATGTTGATACTATGTTATCACGGCATCCAGAGTATCTTTAACAATATCACTGGTGTGAGGGTAGATGCCGCAAATAGTACCTGACAGGGGCGTAACTGGTTGACGAAATATTTATACATGGCTACAGTATCGAGGGGATCATTTAATGCTGCTCTGGTCGGATCATGCCCATCATCGTGTTGCTTGCTGGCCTACCTACTCCGACGCCCTGTCCAAACCCCCCGGCGCCACATCACGCCTACTCAACTTCGTGGTGCGATTTATCCAACGCCCACTTGTGGATCCCTTCAAAGTTGCGACATTGCCGGACCGTATCCCAATGGATCGCGTACTCGCCCTTTCTCTCGCTCCAGCTGATGGGGGCAATGTTGACGTCCGAGAGGCACATCAAACTCTGCCGGATGTAGTCGAAGCAATGTGCTAGATCCAGTTAGCACGCGCGGGGACGACTTAGCTGCCCTCCTCCTCGGCGATGGGGTCCTTGCCTGTGTGAAATGAGTCGCCAAGCTGGACTGCCGGGTCTGAAGCGTAGAGCCGTTTCCGCAGAATGTTCTAAGCCGACGGTTAGTCTCGTAGGGTAGGGTGCACGAGGAGGTGGCCGCGCTCGGGATAGCAACTGACCAGGCAGTGCAGCTGATGGAATACCTCCAGAATGCCGACGTAGGACGTCGGATCTTGTTGGCTCCTGGCTGTCGGCGCGCTCAATTTATCGGCCTGCGCCGCCGTGAGCCTGACCAGCCCGGCTATTCAACGAAGAAACGTAAGTAAATAAATACCGCAGTCCCGTCTGTGACGGGCGCTGGGGTTCCCACCGTCAAGAATCGTGTCCCAGGCAGCATCCGTCGACGCATTTGGCGCGCCGAAGAAGGGCGTCTTCTCCCTCACGCCGGTGCGGAACCGGTAGAGCTCCATCTCAACCGGGATTTCGGCTTGGCCCAGAAGCTGCACACCGGCGTCGGCTGGCGCGTGCGGCGCGCGCTGTGCGAGTACTATGATGACCCAGAGTAGAACGATCGATACCAGTAGGTTAAATCCGATGAGGGCGAAAAGGAGCAGCCGGTAGATATGCGTGGTTCTGTGGCTCGCTTTGGTTCTCGAGATCACCCTAGCCGCGCCTGAGGGTATTGCGGCGCCGTCGGACTCGTCGCCATCGTCCTGCGGGTTAGCCTTGTCGCAGTCTTCGTCGTCGTGCTCGCCGACAATCTTCCGGTACTGCCCACGCTGGGACTTGTAGCCGCCCAACCCGGACATCTGGACGGCGCGAATTCGTGAATCGATTGTGTATAGGAATTTCTGCTAGGCGCTACCAGGGAAAAAGAAAACCGCGCTGGCTAGCTATGCTATACCAACCTGCTCTGTCGGAGTCACGGTGGCAATGATCGTAGGTTGCCCCAACCTGCCCCTCTGAACGCCACTTACAGAGGGATGAAGATCCCGCGGGTTGCTGAGTAGCCGTAGCCGTATGCGACTCGGGCCTGCATACCCGGGGGTGCAAGGGGGGGGGCGCCAAGTCCCGGCTGCCACATGCATAGCCTATGCTGAACCTATTACTACCGCCGAACTCATATTGCTGCCGCACTGGGCTATAGCTAGATGCCGACGTTTTGGTATTATCGCCGTTATGGGCGTAATATCTATTACTCGGTTTTAATATGCATAGCAAAGGTTGTTTTTCTGCAGTTGCCATTTCTCGTTTCTTTTGCCCCCTTTCCCGTATCCCCTTTCGCACTCCTTGGCTGCCAGCTCGGGGATTTGATCTATGTGCAATGGCATATTACTCGGCTCTCCCATCCGCTGGCTCTACGTCGCTAGGCTTACAAGAAAGGCAGCAAATTGGTGAAAGCCAGCCGATGATACCTGAGAAGGAGTTTGAAGACGAGACCGCAATTCCGCAGAAACAAGTTCGCCGTGCTTCTCAGTCGATTCTTCTCTGGATCCCACATCTCCTCCTCATTGTCACCTATTGCGGTGTCATACTTACCTGGTCTGGCTTTAGGCCTCATTCGCGTGGTCTGTCTCGCCATCTCCTTAGTCTTAAAACGGGACCGAATCCCCATCTAGATTCTAATATGGTAGTTTTCAGGGGCCGACTGCGCTTCGCTTTCCAACGGGCCGGTGGAGCACTGGGAGGCAAGGTTTTTGGGGACATTCTCCGAGATTGGCGACTACTTCAATGTTTCGACGACAACAGAACCTACACCCGGGGCACAAGCGGCGTGGCAGCGTGTTCAAGAAGGTACGAATTCGAACGATGACTATCGCAACCTCGTCTCTAACCCACGGCCCGGACAGACCAGATCAAGCCCGTAAGGAGGAAGGATGCCAACTCCGTCCGAATCAATCGGGCATACATAACAAGTCACGAAGCCGGAGACCCGCGGGCTCTCTCTCATATTCACAGACTCCACTGCTTGGTAAGGTGGCACCAAGGCCTGTTGCGTTCACTCATGGAGACCTTTTCTTGCTAATACGAGTCAACTGGCTCCCGCAACAACAGCACGTCCTTTGGAGACGTTGGCACGGGCAGATAACGGAAGAGGAAACCTTGGCCGGCATAGCCAAGGAAGAGCACGACGGTATGATACGCACCTCGGGGCTCGGATATGTTAGAAAAGGGCAAGATATAACTGACGACGTTAGGCCACTGCTTCGAGATTCTTCGATATGCGCTGATGTGCGATAGCAGCCTAGTCATCAAGAAGGTCGGCTGGACGGGAACTAGGAATATCCGCGAAGGCTGGATAGACGTGGCTGCGTTCTGTGAGGACCCCGAGCTTAAGGGGGTTGAGGTTGGAAATAAAAATGGCGGTAAAGGTGTCGAGTCTTAGAAGTGCCCTTCTTCGAATTAGTAGCTTGCTCAATACCCTTGTTCTTCGGCTGCTCAGTTATTAAGGTCTAGCCGCACATCGATAGGCAACTCTTAATAACAGGGCCGTAAGGAATACATTCTCCCGTTATATTCTTGCTCCTTCTTTGGCTCTTGATACTTTCTCCTCTCCCCTCTTCGTGTCTTGGTATAGTTCCGTCTGCTGAGCCTAGTCTCCTGGGCGGCTCTAATGTCTCAGTGGCTACAACGCGTATTCTGGATGACTTCGGTAACTACACCAACTAGGTACGCGCATTATCCCACTAACTGGTGTTTCTGTGTTCAATTACTGTCGAGCGGAAACGAAGCCGACGTTGAGTATGGGTATGTCGCAGTACACACCAATGCATATACACGGTAGCAATACGGGGGAGGTCCTGTGGGGGGAATGCTGACTACAGTTAATGGGCATATTTGAACACAACTAGTTGAACCTCGACTTGATGCACTGTAGACATGTCTTGACCTAAGCCGATAATGCAGGAAAATACTACTATATTATCTATAACCAATCCTTACGCGGCGGAACGCTCTAGTTCAGCTACCCACATTCAACACGACATTCCGAGTAGGGTCACTAATATGTGATTTCGTACTCATCATAGGAAAATGTCGAAGCCTACACTTCCACATTTGGAAGGCAGGCATGTATAGCCTCCGCCGCGGCTGTAACTGCATAGGCATCAGAGCTGGTTGATTCAATGTCGTAGGCAGATCATTCAATAGGATGGAGTTGGGCATGACTTGGCATATTAGACAAAACTTCTCGTTCCGACTCGAAGACGGTAAACGGCCCGGCCCGGGCCATTATTGGAAATCCTCTCGGCTCCCCTTCTCCCTCAGCCGGAGCTGACATAGGCAAGGGGACGGGTAATCGGAGCAGCAGCAGCAGCATAGCCTATGCCGGGTCGACCCCAATCGCGGGGGTGTGATTCGCTCACACGGGATACCAAACCAACTGGGAACGCCTTTACTTGGATGCCTCGATAGAGAGTTAATTATGCCTCTTGAATCGCTAAGTCTCATTCCCGATCCAGTTTCTCCTTCTCTCCGTCTTGTTCTCTTCCTCCTGCTCCTGGTTAAGCATGGCTATCTCCCCCCTTAGCGTGCGCTCGACGGTCGTCGTCGTCGTCGTGCTCGCGACCTGCCTCGTCGCCCTCGTCTTCCAGCTCTCTGACGGCGGTCACCTGCGGCCGAGCATTCCTTACCGCCTCTGCCGCGTCGGCGAGGGACCCGACCGGCAGGCCGAGGCCCAGGATCTCGGCGCCACTATCCTCGCCGACAACACCCTCTTCACATCGAACCGGTTCCTGCTCAACATGTCACACACGATGGACGAGAAGCTGCGCGGCAGGCTGCTCCCGAAGAACACGGGCGTGATCTGGACCGCCCACAACGAGACCTTCCGGCTCGGCATGGGCATCTCCATGTTCCACGCCATGCACTGTCTGCTGTTCCTGCGCAGTGTGTTGCAGGACAGGCTCGACGGCGCCGACATATCCTCGTCTGCGTACCGGTCGAGGCGCGGCGAGAGCTTGCACACGCACGTGCCGCACTGTTTCTCATACGTGACGCAGGTAAGTGTCCATTCTGAGTCTGCCTATCTGCCCGCGAAGGAGTTATCCGTCTTTCCAAACCCGCCACCCAGGCTCTGCTCGACCGGCTGACTCGGGGGACGCCCGCCCTCCCGCTAGCACGTCATGTGCCTCGGCGACAGCACCATCGAGCCGCCGTGGATCGAGAAGGACGCGGCCGGAAACATCCAGGCGTTCGGGATCGACGGCTACGGTACGCACCACAAGTGCAAGGATACGACGCGCATGCTGGGCGTGGCTCGCCGCGCGCGAACAGAGACGTTCGATCCCTGGGACTGGCAGGACGGCGACACGGTGGAAACCGTGTTTGGTAGCTGAGAGGAGACCTTGAAGTTCGCGGCGTCTGTAGATAGTAGCAACGCTATTGCGGCGCGCGATGGGCAATTCAACACGTACGCGTGGGCTAGGCTAGAAGGCTTTACGGCTGTCTGTCCAGTACTAGAGAACCTACATACGGTCTGTCTTAATGCCCATCACAAGGTGGTCAGTTCCTGAGGGGAAGAGCGTGTGTGCAAATGCTTTGAAGTAGACCAAACGCTAGACCTTCACTCCTGAGAAGAGCATCTCACGCGTCGGTTGTATTACCGATCGTGGTGCCTTTCTCGCGATCTACTTATTAACATCGTGGGGAGTGTCGTTCTAGTTATTAGACATTAAAGCTGCCACGATAATACAGATGCCTCTTCTGATGCCCCAGAGACCCTCTCAAATATTGGTGTGCCGACAAAAATGTCGCGCACTTCTGCTGCGGTTCCCACATCGCCGTCCTGGTCAAAATAGTGTGCGTCGTGAAATTGAAAATGTATATCCCCCGATAATACATCTACGGGACTGGGCTGAGACGTCGTGAGATTCGCCGGAGCGCGAAGGCTGGGAATCGAGTATGCTATCCGTGCCATGGCCTTGAGTGCCTGGGATTCCTGCTCGGCGCCTTTCCACACCACGCTGACCTGCTTCATAGCCCCCAGGACAAGGCGCAGGTTATTTCGAGCGTGAAAGTCGGAGTCCGGCGGCGGAGCGGTGTTGAGGCTGGTTACTGCGCACCTCGACAAGGGCTTGATTATCAGGGGGCTCATTTGGAGGAGGCACGTAGGGAGAGTTAGGAGGCTCGCACCGGCTTCGCAGGATTCCAGTCTCGTTCGCGCGCGAAGCGGTTCATCGTCGCCTCCTGACGAGCCTGGTAGTGAAGTGTGCATAAACACGCGTAGACTAGGTGCGATGTCTCAGCTTTTTAATCATCTTCGGAGCGTACTCAGGTAGGCAAGGTACCTGTAGAACAGAATGTGGGACTGGAACATTATGTGATCGATCTCACCGCTTTTGGTGACAGCACTCTGTTTCTCTAGGGGGAGGTGTAACTTCCAGTTCATAAGCATGGCATGGGTTCGAATAACCGCCCTATCGAAGTGATCTCCTAGGCCCGCATTCAGCCTCTTTATCGACTGACTTATTCTCACAAGCGCTATGAGGTATACGAGGGACGGGAATATATAAGCGTGATCTTCGAAGTCGGCCGTGTCGAACTGGGACAGAGTCATCTGAGGGGAGCTCTGCGCCTATGGGTTAGGTTAGTCGGGGGCAGCGGTAAGTAGAGGCCCGTATGTATTTAGAGAGGCCCTACAATCTTAGAACACCCACCTACATCATATGTGCAGGGCAGTGGAAAGTCGGGTCCAGGGCACTCTAGTCTGTGTGGCCGTTTAATGACAGGGAAGCTCTCCACAGCCAGAGCGAAACTCACCGAAAGTCGCGATTAGTATCTGCGTCTTGTAAAGCGTCTGCCATTATGTAGAGATACCAGTACGTCCTCTTCCATAGCTCAACAAACTCCCTGTCGCGAAGCGCGGTGATCGAGTCGACACGGTCCATGCCTATGTCGACAGCCAACGATATCGCTTTCTCCAAATTATCGCTGGCCTCTTCCACCTCCCCCTTTCCGTAGGCGACGATGGTAAGCAACAGCAACGTTGCGACTTGGTACACGTGTCGAGGGCTAGGAGTTCGAGGAGGTTGTCGAGCACGGCGGGCCTGCTGTAGCACCAGTGCTTTCCTGTCTCTCTCTGGCGGAGACTGCTGATACATACAACCCACGTAATTCATCGCTGCGTAAAGGAGAACTGCAGATGCATCTTGAGATTGGATCCGAGATTGCATGTAAGACTTGGCAGGTGCAAAAGGGTGGGCCTTATGAAAGAAGCTGTCGACGAAACGGCGCGTTAACACTGACCCCTCTCGACGAGGCGGGATACCATCTGTTTCCGACTTACTAATAGTAGGAATCGATAGATCGATGAGACTCGCAATCTTGGATCCATTGCGGTAGGGTATCCATCGAGGCAGCGTCAGTGGATTCCGTATTCGGCCTGACACTGGGCGCTGGCGTTGGCGGCCTTGCCCATCCCGTAGCGAGCGGAGCAGTTTGAAGAGTCTCTGGGGCCACAGCTTGCGCGATGGAAGGGAAAGATTGTGTCGGCGCACGTCTTCTTCGAGACTTCGGGTAGTGGCAAACTCGCTGCTCTTCTTTACAGCGGTTGCATGTAGGTGTTCCCCCATCACATCTCGCATGAAGTGAGCGACACTGTATGTTTGTAAGCTTTTCCTGTGTACCGTAGTACAGCGGCAGGAGACGTAGGACGAACGAACAGAGTGGCAGGCCAAGGCCGCCCGATGGCGTATCGTCGTGATGCGTCTCTCCTCTAGGGTAACCGGTTGACCGAAGGTGGTCGCGATACCGTCGTCATCGGACCACCCAGTCGGACTAGACTCCATCATGAAGCCGGGGAAGAGCCCAGTGGCTCTGGTCGGAGTGGTGGAACGGGGCTCAACGAAACATTCCCGGCTCCTGCCATTGAGAAACGGCGCTCGGACTCGGTATTTATTGTTAGAAAATGCTTTTCGGGATACTCCCCTCCATTCAACGAATGTGTGTCTTAAGTCGGCGGTCTCAATTGCTGCTACCGGAGCGAACGCCGATGTTGCCCTGGTGCGTATTCCTTGGTGGTGACGTGATGAGACAAGAAGTAACTGGATCATATACGAACGATACAGCCCCCAAGCATATGCAATTGAGGTGAACTATGTAAACACGATAATTTTATATGCTAGCTAACTGATTCGAGTAACTATTCAATACTCTTGTACTGTATATGCTGTCCTTCTTCTTTCGTAGTTAACCCTCTCTATTGCGCATACTAATACGGGCACAAGAGAGTTGCGGGAAATGGATTGCACAGGTAGTAAATGGTCACCCCGCGGTAGAACGCATTTGGAAACCATCCACCTCTTCTGCCGTAGGACAGATCGTCCGAGAATAACCGGTAGGGCTCTGCAAGGCTACCAGTAGCAAGAGTGGTTTTGATCGACAGCAACGGTAATCCCACATGCTACGAGCTGAAAGCTGAATACTGCATGCAGAACCCCGAACCGTGCTGCATTGGCCTCATCATGCGGATCTAGATCCTTCTTTTGTCGAACTGGCAGATCGGATGGTTTCGAAATAAGCCTCTGAAGGACGACCTTGTGACTGAATGGGCAGAGGGGCGCCGATGGAGTATTGGATTTCAAGCCAATGAGCTTCCCGTCACCCTGGTGCATCGGTGCTGCATCAATGCTACTCTGCCGAAATACCTATGTAGGGAAAGATAGGCCTACTGGGGCTGCTGAATACCTTGCTGCAGATAGGGTTCTTGTTTTTATAGGGCGTGCGAACTCCCGTCTCTGATCATAAAGGCATTCTACCCCTAACTGATCTGTTAGAGTCCTACCTGCAGCCTGGCTCGGGCCTCCCCAAACCACACCGCGCGTACTTCGCGAGTCCTTACCGTCGCCTAACTCGCGTCATAAAGCCTCGGCATTGACATCTTCGACTTAGACGATGGAGTATGCAAAATATGAGCGCTTATCCAGTCAAGATAACTCATATGCTCGCGGCAAGCCTTCGGCGGAGTCCTCCATCTCAACCAAAGGCTTCTCCCTGAGGCAAAGGTTAGTGAGGTCTGCCTTTTCGACGACTACGTTGATGAGCTATTGTGCTCTCTCAACTACCATCATAGTCTTCCTAACCGCTGCTGTCCTTGGCCATGTCCGCACCGATACGTCATGCCAACCGAGGAGTCGAAACGGACAATCCTTCTATGGGGTACTGGGCAGCGATCCGTCTTACATGTCTTTAGACCACAAGTACGACAGCCTCTGGGAGGACCTTGGATCCACTGGGTTGGTCATAAAACTTCCAGATGATGACTACGGCGGAGAGCCAAGGCACGCTTCCATCTCCATGTACGTTCCCCGCCCGCCGCTTACCCCCCTGAATGCACGATGGGTATCGCTCCCTCCACTAAAACACACACCCAGGTTCCATCAACTTCATTGCCTGTCTTCTCTGCGACACGCTATCCAGCAGGCCCGCGAGGGCATAGATCCGGGTTTTGACTGGCGGGACAACGATCATTGGCCCCATTGCATGGAGTATCTGCGCAAGGTTAGCCTACTTATCATGTCGGGACGTCTTAGATACGGTGGAAGCTAGCAGTATTGCTTACTTCTACTGGTGCCTTCATGGGGGCCTATGAGCAAATTCTGTCCGTCGCAAGCGAGTTGTTCTAACCGGGCCAACAGACCTTGCTCTGCTGGGCGGACGACCGCATCGAGCGGCGGTTTGTCTTCGAAAACGGAACGAGTTCGTCTTTCATTGACGGGTCGCAAGACGTGAGAGCCTGCGGCGACAGTCGGCGTCTGATTCAGTTGATGCGGGACCATGGAAAAGACGTATCTACGAGACCGTTTCCTTGATCTGCAGCAATGGCATATCACAACATATAGCTACATTGCCTATCGGGTATGCCTTTTATATCTGAGAATTGATGTAGGTGTTGGGGCCAAGTACGTCAGTGTCCCGTTCTCCCGGCGATCTATCCATATAGTAGAACCATACAACCCAGTCTGATAAAACTGGTGTGCTTGAGGCTCCTAGATAATAATTGAGTCGTGCAGTTCCATCGGTAATTAAATGTATTTATTCATTCCCAATTTTCTTTTTTATTTATTTCTTCGTACTTTTATTAGATCAAGCCTGGCGACACCTTCGGTCAGTAAGTCCTGGCAATTGTTTAAATCCTCTCAGCTGGCAGCCCCTGAAAAGTAAATACCGGCCCGGCAACACCTGCCACTTCTTCATTGACCGTCGCCAAATCGGCTAGCGAGCGGTTCTCCCCTTCTCGCCCAACTACCACCAAGGCCCTAGAGTGCCGGCGCCTACGCACTTCTTAAGTCCCTGACGTCCTTCCTATGACCTATATGCTTGCATGCTTCCGCCCAACCTGTTAAAGAGTGTCAGGCTCAATAGCGCGATCCTAATGCGGAGATGCCTGAGAAGGCTGTTGGGAAGAGAACCCGAGGGAAGACGCTGGCCTGACTCCTCGAAACGAGAGATCCGCGACAACGCCACGCAGCTAGCAGCCGAATCGCGGCACCAATTGAGCAGCCGCACGTGATGCTTGCGACTCCAATGCCACCAAGCCAACAAAGCTCGCGATGCTTCTGGACGCTGGCTCCCCCGCTTCCCGTGCGGCTAAAAACGAGCCCAGTGACGATGAACCCCTGCACTTTGGACGGTATGCAGGCCAATAACATTCTCGACGGCAATGACGGGAAGCTAGCCTAAGTGAAAGACCCCCTGTCCTTGGATGTGGGCGGTCAGCCCTAGGAAGCTTGCGATTCTACATCCTGAGCAGCGTCTGGTTACTCCCAGTCGTGGGATAGGACTCCTTCCCGGTTGCTACTCCGCGCAGATGATGAGGGCGGCGTCGCCAAGTCATGTGTCGGGTATCACCTCCCACCCCCTGCCTCGCCCCCTGTCCCTGTCTTCGTGATAAAACCCCGCTCGAGAAGAAGCTTAAGTATCGACGACGGTGTCTACGAGGCGCTGCCGAATCGGAATGACGAGTTCTCTTCGCCAGAGCCTCACGAGTACACGCCAAGGCTAGGCCTAGTTGACGAGCACCGAAAACTACCATCCTCTCTAGGACCATCGCCCGCCAGACGTTCCAGATCGATGCTGGGAGCATCGGCCCTGGCACGGCTGCGACCGACGATGACGACGCAAGCAACCCTACGAAATCTACCCCCATATGCACCAGCCCCCATCGACTGCTCCCGTCTAAGCTTCTAGCAGCTAGTGAGGCTCTGCTATGAACCTCGCGGCGCGGCTTACGACACCGGGTGGACATTTGGAGCTGGCTCCATCCGTGATCCTCCTCGCGTGATCGTGACGGAGCCTGATAAGTGCAGCAGGGCAGTGTTGGTTGCCCGTGGTGTGTCCCGATCTTTCCTGTGGAGAGGGAATTTCCCACCGGAGTCACTGGCTGCACTTGTTCTGGTACCCACCCAGTTCCCCCTCCGAGACCGATTGATGAGCTACTGCTTAACCCGCTTCTACACAGCCTTCAGCATGACACCCATTCGTCTGAAGTGCCCAGGGGTGATACGTTCTGATTATGATACTGGTTGATGGGTATCGCCTCCTGCGTACGCTCACTGGATAAGAGAAGATATGAATGGTGCCGCATCACATCTCCCTGCATCTACCGTAAACGAGCTTTCCTATATCTCCGTCTATTATTACCTGCCGTATATGTACAATCCTGCTTGTCCTGGCACACTCCGTATGGTTTGTCACGATCCCCTGCTCCCTATACCGTGCCACTCTCCTACCGGAGACACTGTGGTGACTAGGTCGGGGCACTCATTCCCCCGGACATCTATATCTAGCCTCGCTAAGGAGTAGATTGCCCTCTAGATAGACCGGTACCCTTTACCGACTCAAGCAGATCCTAAGGGGGAATTGGAGCTAACAGGAGCTTCTGCATAGAACCATTTGGATAGGTATATCACCTTGGTTCGCGACTCATGGCCATTTCCGAGCTCGGAACTTAGGCTTACCTAAGCTTAGATTAAACGAGAGCTTACATAATGACAGGGTTCGGAGCCTAGGCGGCTGCGAAATGGTGTCTCCCGTAGGGCGTCGCGAATCCCCGGACTCTGCCCGCACCACCCCTACCCGTCCCTCCACGATCGAGGCCACAGCCGCCGACGATGATGAAATATCCCGATTGCTCTCTCCGTCCTTCTCACGCGCCTCCTCGGCTGACCTTTCCGACCGCTTGCTCGGCGAACGAGACGCTCAAGATGGCTTCGCGTCGCCCTTGTATCCGTACACGATCGTCTTCGTCTTCGGCCTGGTCCTGGTCACTGGCTTTGGCAGCTCTCTCCTGAACACCCCTGAGGTGCGGCTTCTAGAGATGGCGCTCTGCCGAGACTACTATCGGACCAACGACCCCTCCGTTATAGGACCGCCGCCGCTGTCGTACGTCGACGAGGAGAACTGCAAGGTCGACAGCATACAGGTCGAATTGGCTTATATCATGGCCACCAGGTCCCTCTTGTCCGCTATCCCCGGTATGCAGGTGGTTTTCTAGCTGTGGCGTCCCGTCTCCCTCGACCTGCTCCTCCGGCAGCCCGTTCCCCACTAATCGAAAACCAGGGATTTTCCTAACGTTTCCCTACGGCCAACTCGCGAATAAGATCGGTCGGAGACCCGTCGTGCTTCTCGGTCTGCTGGGCGAGATGTTGGAGTACTTTTGGGTCATCCTGGTTTGTACGCAACAGCTGTCCCCTGAGCTAGGTGGACTAGATCTCAACCTCCGTATTCGACAGGTTATTTTCACGAAGTCTTTCCCACCCGGCTCGTGTTGATCTCTCCCGTCTTCGTCGTCATCGGAGGAGGATCTAAGGTCATTTCCGCCTGCATATACACCATCATCACCGACGTGACCCCTGAACATATAAGGCAGGTTCACCACACTATCCTCGCTGTTTAGTAGCCCCGGCTAATTCTAATAAGGACAACGATATTCTACCTGGCCGGCGCGGGGATCTTGTTATCTGCCCTCATAGCTATGCCGTTCGGATCCTTTCTTCTATCCATCGACCTTTGGCTCCCCTATAAATTCAGCACACCTGTCCTTCTCTCCGCATTTCCGCTTATATTCGCCATGCCAGAAACCATGCCGAAATCGAGTATTGAAGATGAGATGAGCCCAGAGAGAATTGACGTCCAAGAGGGTGGATCATCTACGGTATACCTAGTCCCAATCCGGGGTCTCTTTCATCTGTCACGATCCAGCTAATATCTTCTTTGAGCAGGTCCATCGTCTCCGAGCCATGGTGATTTCCTTGGCACAAAGGTTGAAGCAGTCCCTGGTCGCATTGAATCCCTCCGCCGTCCGCAAAGAAATTACTCTGATTTTAGTCATATTATTCTTGTCCATGTTCTGCTCGATGACAGGCCGCATCTTTGTTCAATATACCTCGAAGCTCCTGGGCTGGTCAATATCCACTGCGGGATACATTCTCGGCATCCGCGCCTTCGCAGCCCTTTGCGTCCTATTCTGTCTCGCTGGGATCACACAACTGTTGGAGAAGACAAACACCCTTCGGCCGTTGTTGCTGGATGTCTGGGTAGTCCGTCTCAGCTTCATCGCGCTGTCTGTTGGTACAGCATTCATTGCCATTAGTAGAGAGTCGGGACTACTAATCGCAGGTACGTAGGCTATCACCGCCCAGATCCTTCGAGACAATCCCCTGTTATCTCATATCGGGGGTTGTGCGGCTAACTGTTAGCTTGTTACCTTAGGGTCCGTTCTTAGTTCTGTTGGAAACGGGCTTGCGCCGGCGATGCAAGGTCTTCTAGCCCACTTTGCAGACAGTTCCTTGACGGCCCAAGTTTTTGCCAGCGCTGCACTGGTGGAACTATTGGCCGAATTCGTCGGCGGGTTTGCATTTGCTGGCCTATTTGACATAGGCATCAGAGGTGGTCAATTTCCCGGGATTGGTCTGCCGTTTTATGTCAGCGCAGTAAGCCATGTCCATCGATGCCAGGAGAGGTCAGACGGACTCAAATTGATACCAGGTTCTCACCCTTTTCGCCGGAGCGCTTTCTTTCCTACTGCCTACTGCATAGCAACCGCTTGATTGGGTTACGGGTTACACCTTGTGAAGCGACAGGGTGTGGATGTAGGTTTAAGTCTAGGGTGTTTCTAACGACTCTAGAAATGGACTGCCGACTTGATAACTTCCCTCTCTAACTAGAGGATATCATATATCGTCCAGCCCAGGGCCCTGATCAACGCCGCCGCTACGCCCACGGTCTCTCGCTGGTGCGCCAACCCACTATCACGAAGAATTGTTGCTGGGTTCGTAAGTAGAGTTGGGATCGATCGACACCTGTAGGTGTGCGGTGGCGCTGGGTTGACAAGTCGCTCAGTGGATTTGATGAGGGGAAGCAAGTGGGTATTACAACAGCTCCATGGATAGTTATATAGACGAAATGACCGGACAAACAGGGTTTATTTCCTATCTGTGGCCTGTAGGCGTCATGCTCTACAGGAACCTGGTACTGTTCAATTTGAACACGACAATGTATGCCTCAGTATTCGTTAATTAATCGGCCCCTTCGTGGCGTAACTAGCCCATTCGCGATACGGCGATGAGTATAAATGGTATACGGTGGAATGACTGTATGTAAGTCAACCAATTGATCCATGTTTAAAATATCTTATTCTTTAGTGAACCCTACCGAGAAACTCGTTTTCTCAACGTTTTCATCTACCAACTCGTGGATTGGGTGATTCCCACATGATTACCCCCAACCCCTGCTGTGCCTCTAAACACGTTCATGGATTGCCTGCCTAGTTCATATGTAGTTGATCTTATGACTAGGTGTAAATCGGGTTCCCATTGTTGGGATGTCGCGTAAAACGTAGACGCCTACATTCACGCTTTACGGCATGTAGGCTTATAAGGCTGGTTCAACTGCTCCGTGACATGGGATTATAGCCAATCGTGTATTACGGGTAGACCTGGGCAAGGCTTGCCACAAGTGGCCTATTGTTCGACGTCTAATGCAATGCATGCATACAACACAGTCTTACCACTAGCATCACTTGACTCTTTTCTTGCAACTGCTCTGTGTTGAGGAGGCGTTGGCACTACATACGAAGGGTTTGTTCAACCCACCAGCTTTAAGGGTGGCATTTCGAAAAAGTCCCAAGCCAAACTTGACAGTGGCTTATGAAGCGAGGAAGTGGGATATTATGCGGAAGGGCAGAATAGAGTAGTAGTGGCTCGAGGCTCCTTAACGGGAAACATGACGGTGTTACGGTCAGAGAACTATGATAGAATAATGCTGTGATATGTCCCATTGGGAACGAGGCGGGTGACTTTGCAAGAATGGGAAAATAGACATTTTGCCGTCGATCCGTATATCTCATGGGTACTCTTCAAGCAGCCTCGGCTTTCACGGAGGGCACATATTATCTTCACTAGCGGCCTTCGAATAAGATTAAGAGGACACCTTTAGTAATAGATGTGCGCCAGTAAATACCCGGAAACATAATGTCTGAGATTTTTTGCCCTCATCCTTGCGGTAGTCGATAGCTTTCTGCTCCACGTCTATCAAAATCATCGCTAGGGGCTATTGGCCTACGATCGCAATGGTAGATTTCCACTTAGCCTTGGGTCTTATTGAGCGCCTAAGCCATCTTAGCTCGCGTCTTTCTCTTTCGTCGGAGGACTCTGAGGAGAGAAAGGAGGCGTTACAGCTTAGCAAACAGATCACGGCTGCACTCGAGAAGCCAAAAGATGTCGCTGTAGCTTTGATGTTTTCGGTATTCCACAAGCCCCCCCCCCCCAAAACCCCTTTACGAAGACAAACACTGGGCGACGGTAGATATCAGTTAACGGACCTGATACATCTCTACCTAGATAGATACTAACTAGTTAACTGCTGTAGCCCACAATACCGGCGACTATCAGAGCCGGGGTCTATCTCGATCTATATCGATACATTGTCGAGCATGGAGCGCCCATCTCTTCGGCTGAGCTTGCAGTCCTGTCGGGCGGCGAAGAGCTTCTAATCAGTACAGTCTTCCCCGCCCTCCTGTTGCTCTATCGCTGAAGAGACCCGTCTAATAGAACCTCTGAAAATTGTCAGTCCGGATCCTGAGGGTCGCTTCGTCGATCGGCGTGGTCACCGAGGTGGACGAGCGTCAGTGGGAGGCGAATCCCGTCACCAGATCTATGATCGAGGAGGGGGTCGCCGCCGGGCACAGAATGATGTAAGTAGCAAACCGACGCACTCCCCGCCCCAACGTCGCGCACGGGGGAGAGCCACGCTGGCTGACGCACCCGGCCGGCGAAACGGCGACGCGGGGAGGGGAACAGAGGCGAGATTGTAATGGGCGCTGCGCAGAAGATGCCGCGGTTCCTCCAGGAGTCGGGGTTCCGGTGCCCGACGGACCCGCGCCACGGACCGCTGCAGCACGCGTTCCAGACGAAGCTGTCGGCTTTCGCCTTTCTCGCGACCGCGCCCGGCGCCCTGAGCGACTTCAACCGCTTCATGGGGAACACGATGGGTGCGCGGCGCTACTGGGTCAATTGGTTCCCCGTGCCGCAGCGGGTACTCGACGGCGCGGGCGCGGCTCAGGCCGGCGCGCCCCTCCCGCTCGTGGTCGACGTCGCCGGCGGTCACGGCCACGACCTCCTCGCCTTCCATCAGAAGTACCCCGGCCGCGCCCGTCTCGTGCTCCAGGACACGTCCTCGGTTCTCAACAGCGTGAGGCACCCTAGCCCGTTCATCGAGCACGTGGCGTATAACTTCTTCGAGCCGCAGCCTCTGAAAGGTAAAGCGTTCTTTTCCCTCCCAATCTCGCCCCCTTATCTCCTCTCTTCGTTGACCTTTCTAACCCCTCCACGTCCAATTCGCTGATCGCCACGTCCCTATAGGAGCGCGCGTGTACTTCTACCACCACATCCTACACGACTGGCCAGACGGCAAGTGCGCGAAGATCCTGGCCCAGGCCAAGGCGGCCATGAAGCCGGGATACTCCAAGCTGTTGCTCCACGAGATGATCGTCCCGGAGCGGGGCGCATCGACCTTCCACGCGATGATCGACATAACGATGCTAGTCTTCAACTCCGGCATCGAGCGCACCGAGAGGCAGTGGCGCAAGCTCCTCGCGGCCGCCGGCTTCGAAGTGCTTAAGGTGTGGCTGCCTCCGGAGGAGGACGCGGATGGCATCGTCGAAGCCGTTTTGAAGGAGTGACTATAGCGGGGATGTAGAGCTGGCGAATTTGCGTGCTAGGGCGTATTCGGCGGGGGAATCTTAGGGGGGGGTTGACGTGGACTTCCGGAATCTGGCTTATTATCGCATCGTGTTGTCACTCTAGCTGTTAGATAGCAATCCGCCGTTCAGCATCGGCCACTGCTCACGAGTAACGCGGTGCGATTCTTTTCTAGGCACGCCCGTGCCGTGTCATACTAATTAAGTAGGTGTCGGCGGCGCGAGAATCCACGGTAATGAATAGTGATGCTTGCCGGCACGAGAGCGCCACGTGTCTTCCCGCTCTCGCCGAAGACTCTTACTAGTTGATCGTACCCGAAGGATACCTAAGACGTGAGACCTTACTGGTTGGTATACATCGAAGCACTTCGCTACGCTCTGCGCTTTTCCGGTTCGTTTTTGCTGTGGGCAAAAACATAGGTATCTAAGGAAAAGGAGGTGCGCGTGTAGACATAACAACCAATCGCGTAGGCTTTATTTTTAACAGGGCTAATTAGCACACGAACCGGTTCAAGAGAGCTAATTAGCATGAGAATAACACAGCGAAACTCCTAGGTAAGGTCGCACGCTTAGGAAGGTACATGGGATATACCTACGTTCCGCGATCCAACGTCAATCGTCAACATCAACACACTCCATTTCTCTTTTGCACGCCGTACTTATCGCATCATCCTACGACACGACACGTCTAACACGTCGGAAGTACAATCGAATCGACATACCGACAACGAGACGAGAACCAAAATGACATTCGGCTCACCAGTCGGGTCACCGCCAGCCGAGGGATGGTAGGTAACCTCTGGCGGCGGGCGACGAAGAGGTGCAAAAACGCCTTCGAGTAGTTAGGTAACAGCAGCGACGAGCAACGCCAGACTTCGAGTTCGGACGCGACACCGCTAGTCGACCTAGCAAGTGGCAGGCCTTAGCTAAGGTTGTCGGCCCATGTTCAGCAGCACGTATGAGCTAGAGCGGCTGCGGCGCTCGAACCAGAGCGTCATGTACCACGTGCTCCTGACGTTGCGTTTTTGCAATTACGGGCATCGCACACCGACCGAGGTAGGTCCCGGAAGGATGAGCATCGAAGACGCGAGAATCTGCAGGAAAATCGGCACGGCTGCCCGCCATATGTTGGGTGAGGGTCGGGCAGCTGCGCCATCAAAAGAGAAGCCCGGCGAGCTGTACTACGACCTTCGAATATTGCCGTGAGTTGTATGTCATGCTAGAAGCTGCAGAGCCGGCCGAGTTGGGATAAATAAGAGGCATAATACGCAGCGAGTACGTGAGCGTCTGGAAGTCGGCGAGCTCTCTCGTCTAGCGCCTAATGCTCCAGGGGGGTAGCATATCGGAGCAAGAGCTGCTGGATTCCTGCAAGGACATTGTATAGCCGTCATTTTAGGCTGACGAGGTTAGACACCAGGAGCCCTTAGCGGAAGCAGCCGAGCGAGCATATAGACTCAGCCTAGCTATTCCATACTCGCCGTCTTCTCAACCACCTCAGCAAGAGGACATTCAGCCTGCTACCAACACCACCACCAAATAACCACCACTCGGCGGCAGGCGCCTCTCGCAGAGCGCCCCCGTTCTACCTCGGCCGAGCGAGGCAGGGCTGGATAGTGCCCAAGAAGAGACACGGACGAGAAGAAACCTTCGCAAACAGCCCAATCGAACGGATGTCCCGGGTCCGAGCAGTTCCACTTTCGCGGCGCACCGTCGCCAAGACCCATACGACTCGACGGAGCAAGGTTTCGGGACGGCAGCAGGGCATTGACATGATTCGATGGGTAGGGGCTCAGTGTTGACTGATATCTCCTCACTGTTGAAAGGGAGACAATCGCGACGAAGTCCCAGTTCACTACCACTCTCCTCCCATCCTTTTCGGCCGCACACTTGCAAGGTCTCTGCGAAGTGACGCCGACCAATCGCAAATTAAAACCGTAAAGGGCTAAGCCCTGCCTTGTAAGGCGGAATTAGGGTCGATAGGAGGAATGACCAATCAGATGGCCTCGATACCAAGAATTAGGTGGACCCCCGACGATTCACGATGAGGCTGATGTCCAGAAGCCAATCAGCTCGTCAGAAAGGAGAATCCCCGCTTTTTGGGCTGATGCGTATCGCCAAAAGCGACCATTGGGGCTGGGTCACGTGTCGTTGGCGTTCCGTCTCATATAAGACGAAATTTCCAGTCCAAAGTCGGTGACACCCACCTGATCGGTACTCCTTACGTGGTGCGTCGTATAGGTATCATGCTTCCCGCCAAGAGGTAAGCCGTAACCCGCTGACTTCGGCAACGCAGTCGGCTGTGGTGAGGCTATGAAGGTAGGTAGGTAGCAGACCGGGATGTAGGTAGGCAATGACGGCTTCTTCTACCTAGGTACGTCAGCAAGCCGGTCTCTCTCCGCGTCTGGTGCTTCTCTTTGTCGTCCCTCTTTGTTCTGACAGGCAATCTGACATAAAATGTAGCTGCCATCGTCGTACCCGCATACCTACCTACCTCCCTGTAGGTCGATACCATTGCTCCGATGCTGACCGCCCCGGAGGCGGAGTCGAAATATCTCTCCGCATGGAACAGGCATAGGGTCGACCCCACACATCTTCGGCCTGTCCTAGCCTGCAAATGGGGACGTCACACGGGCGCTTCCTGGTGTTCCGGCAGCCTGGACAAAGAGAAAACAGGCAGAAGAAACGCATGGCTCGTATTGTGATGCCACTGGACTTGGTGCTGACACCCGGCCGTGGGCGCGTGTGCTATTTTTCTAATAACTATTACGGATTGATTTTATATCTGACGCTTCGTGTTTACGAGACTGGGGGAGCACGACACATGCTATTGGAAGATGCGTTTACGCCGACGGACGACGTGCCCAGTGGGAACCCCAGTCTCCCAACACCAGGACGACGAGATCTATGCTGAAAGGCGGCCCTGCGAGGCTGGCTGGTGTGACAATATACACCTCTTACGCTACGTCATGATAATACGAGGCCATATAATACGCCGACCCCGTCCTCATCGGGAATAGATCCGGAAGTCCTCTTGAACAGTGGGATCCTTACGACGTATATCACGCCCTCGGACCCTCTAACTCGTCCCCCGCTTCCATCCTCGTTCCCGAACCAACCCCTTTCATAGCTTCCTCGAGCGATAGTCTTTTACCGATCAAATACTATCACTATGGCATCTACCGAGGGCTTTTATCCCATTATCGGCATTCAAGATGGACTGGACCCCGACCAACACCAGCTGCTCCGCGAAGTGCCAGTCCGGATGGAGATAGACGACTGGTTTACATCCGATAAGCTGATCCATGTCAACCAACGCGCCTTGTTCTTCCCTGCGATCTGGAAGTTTTCCCAGACGGACCCGCATGAAAAGCTATCTTGGTTTCAGATTGCTGGTGAGCTTGGGGCTGATAAGACCTCCCTCTTGATATCCTACTAAGTCCGCAATAGGCATTCATGGGAAACCATTTGTTCCCTGGGATGAGCCTGGAGCGAAACCGGCCGTTGAAGACGAGGGCTACTGCACCCACAATAGTGTGCTATTTTCCACTTGGCACCGGCCCTACCTGCTCCTCTTTGAAGTAGGTAAAGCCGCGGGTGGGGTGAATGAGAACTTTAGCTAAACAAGCAACAGCAAGTCATCTTCGAGCTTATGAAGGAGGTGGTGGGCGAATACCCTGAAGAGGCCAGGCCTGACCTTATTGAGGCAGCGAGAACCTGGCGTCTCCCATACTGGGACTGGGGCCTGAAAAAGCCCATCGACGGCAACCCCCGAAAACGGGACTACACTGTGCCTTCAGCTGTCCTACAAGAAACGGTTGAAATTAGGTTGCCTACTGCCGCCGGCTACGGCAGCGTCCAAAATGCATTGTATCAGTTCACGATGCCCGGGCGTATTACCATGGGTGATCCAAGCCTAGAAGGCAGGGATCTAGACTTGAGGATCACCGCGAGCGAAATTTCCGACGGGGACCAGACATACATCTTCCCGGTATGCATATCACCATTATTCTGCGCAATTGGCGCCGCTTCTGATCTCAGCTTTCTAGTTCGACAAATGTCAGGCCACAAGCCGGCACCCCAAGGGGACTGGCGTGACCCAGGATTGGATCGCGGGCAAGCAGGACAACGATGCTATCGTCCAAGAACTGCGGGATTACCGATGGGATTCCGGGTCAAAAACAGAGGGCACGAGAAACGGGAACATGACGGCAGGTTTGAGGGCGGCTTTCTATCGCATCCTCACTATCGAGACGTTCGATGACTTCGTAACCAAACGTGCCCCCAACCACGGTGCTGATAACCCCATAACAAAAGATCATGCTTACGACTCTTGCGAGGGCCTACACGACAACATTCACGACTGGTGTGGCGGCGACTGGACGGAGCCAGACAATAACAACATTCGTCTCTCGGGCCACATGGGCCATGTGCCGGTCGCTGCCTTCGACCCGATCTTCTGGATTCACCACTGGTAAGTAGCAGGCCTACGCAGCCTTGAAACCGAGACCCTAACACTTTCTAGCAACGTAGATAGGGCGACGGCTATCTGGCAAGTCCTGCACGACAACTCCTGGTTCGACGGCTCGGACCCGCGCGATGAGGACCTCGGAACGTTTTCCATCCCTTTCCGGCACAAGGACAAGCCCACCGACCCGCTCCGACCCTTCCATAAGGGCGACGGGGCATATTGGACATCGTCAGACGTGAGGGAGCCAACCGCCCTGGGCTACACCTACCCGGGCCTTGAGAGATGGCGGTACACCACCAACGGCGTCTACGACAAGCAGAAACACCTCAGGGCGCTCAAGAAGACGCTCAACGCCAATTATAACGGCGACTGGTCGGCGGCCCAGAAGTCGCGGCTCACCGCCGACCCCGGCCAGCTGGATGGGCCACGGCTTGCGAGCCTGCGCGATCTCCCCGGCACGCCCGACGACCTGATCACCCACGACTACGTGGTCAACGTCATCTACGAGAAGTGCCAACTCCCCCTGCCCCCCTCTGCTTCTCTCTTCTCAGAAAGTCCGTATGCGGCAAACTAACCCATCACCCGCAGGTTCGCCCTCAACGGTAACAAGTTCACCATTCACATATTCATCGGCAAAGTGCCCGAGGCGCCTCCCTACGGGCCGCAGGCCGCTCTCGTGGGGCAGGTATCTAACTTCTCGACGGAGCCGGGGGGCAGTACGTTCACTCCCCGCCTTTTCCCTCTCCCTCCTTTCCCTCTCCGCACGAGGCCGGGTCGAGGAAGAGGAACCGGTACGCAGGGCCAGCGCTAACATTCATCGCGATACAGTAGGCGCATCGCGCGCCGGGTGCGCGAACTGCCGCGCGCAGCAGGCGGACCGGAGCGAGTCGACGGGGCGGGTGGTGCTCACGAACGCGCTGATCACGCGGTGGAAGAACCAGATCGTGCACGAGGGCGGGCGCGCGGGGCCGGCGGTGCTGGGCGGCATGACGCCCGACCACGTGGTCGCCTTCCTGCGCGCCCACCTCGACTGGCGCGTCACGTCGCTCGGCGCGCCCGTCGACCTGCCCTCGCTGCGCGTCTCCGTCGCCGTCGGCCGCGCCGACCACTACGCCGACCGCACCAAGATGTCGCGCTACCACAGCTACCGCGCCGCCTACGAGGTCACCCAGGGCCGCCCCGGCGGCGCCTGCCCCGAAGACTGCTTGTATCCCCCCGACCTCGCCTACAGCCTGCCGACACAGGCGTGAGAGAGAGGGGGTTGGGGGCCTGGAACGGGGGTAAGGTGTGGTAGATCACCAGAGGGCTGGGGGCGCTGTCGAGGAACTTAAAGGAAAGATGTCTATCATTAATTCATTAGGTGCGGATCTCGGAGCTCGTTTTCGCGCCGTTGGCATAGTAGGAGGGTCGACCAGATACGAAAGCCATCGTTGTTACATATCTTACAGTCGTTTCAACTTCCATTGCCCCTTCGACCTTGTGCTACCACATTGCAGGCAGCTTTCCCAACATTGAAGCCGCAGTCGGTGTGAGCAGAGCCTAGACGACCGGTCTGTCTAACCAGCACAGCGCAAATTCGCATGCAAAGTCGCGATGGGGGCAGACAACAGGTGATAATTACACCCGACGTAAAGACGGTGGCGCTTATGAGTCCCTAACACCGAGATCCCCCCCCCCCCCCCTTCACGGCACACTCTGTCTGTCTCCCTACCCAAAGCCTACACAGCTACGTCGCCTGACTCGCGCAATGGGCCAATTGGTCCTTATTCCCATCCAGCTCAAAGTACATATGATCTCACACCTACCCCCCTTGCAGGACCCTTTCTCACCAGAGGTCCGTCGACACTCCCGTGCTTGTAATTCCTTCGCCCCGTAAGCTCGGCCGCCCCGCCCCCTTGCTGTCTGATTCCCGACCGTCCTGCGGCTCTCAGCTACCGGCCGGGGGTCTGCCTGCGCAGGACAGGGCCGGCGCACTGCGCTTCGGGAAGGGCACACGAGCCGGCGGGACACAGTTCCTGGCCCAGATCCCGCGCGGTTCGCGGCCGCCGTCGGCCGGGCGGCATCTAGGTTTATGTAGGTATCGACAGCCCGTGATAGCGGCCAGCGTCTCCCCACCACGTCCGACTGGCGGTTGCCCATCATACCCATGCGTGATTCGGCGCGAGCTTCTTGGGGTCGCCCGCTCGTCTACGTGCATTGTGTGTGGCTGACGATTCTTGGCCCGTCATCTCGTTCATAGATCGGCATATCAATAAATATAGCCCCTATACCAACATGGCCTACGCTACTATCCAAGCCAGTCTCTCCTTTACCCCTGCCGCCTGCGCTAGTTTCTTGCCATCACTCCTTCTTCTGTCCTCTTTCGTTAGCATCATTTTTTCAAGGGCACCGTGGTGCTGCACACCGCACTTCCGGACACGATCGACGAGGTCGATGTCATCACCGCAGGAGGTACGGGCCCCCCTGCCCCGAGGCGTAGAGTTCCCCGGTAGGCTGCTCGCAAACTCGATATCCGTGTAGGCGGCACCGCAGCTTGTGTTGCCGCGCCCAGGCTCGCCGCCGCGAATCCCGAGCCGCCCATCTTGATGTTTGAGGAGGGCCCGAACAGCGAGACCCCTATCGTCGAGCACCCTGCGCTGTCCATAGCGCATCGAGCGCCTGGTAGCGAAACGCCCCTATTCTCCACAAGGAACAAGTCACCGGAGGTCGGGGGCAGGGCGCTGGGAACGCTGTCTGGCGGCGTCCTCGGCGGAGGGTCGTCCGTCAACATGATGGTGTATAGCCGAGCCGTGCGATCTGATTGGGACGCTTGGAACATGGCCGACGGTTTGCTGCGCAGCTTGAAACGCACCACGGCAAAGACGAGAGGAACCTAAAAGGCCGGGACGGCCTAATGCACGCATCTCAGGGCTCGTACCCGTCACCCAGGCTCCGAGATGAGTTCATCGCCGCCGCGGCGACGCTGGGCTGGGACGAGGTCGAGGACCTGTCCGACTTCGAGTCCGTCAACGCCGTGTGGTGGGCTAAACGCTTCGTCTCAACGGCGGCAAACACCAGGGCGCCGCAATGTACTTACGACTTACACTCCCGTCTCCGCGACAGGAGACACCCTAACTTCTACATCTAGCTCGACGAGGGCAAGAGGGCCGTCGGCATCGAGCTCCGGCCGACTTCGAGACGGGCATCTTCGCGGGCGCGGGGCGCGCCGACGTAGCCGCCCACATCTAACTGTACAAGAAGCACCGCGAGCTTGCCCGGCGGATTCAGGGCAGACACGAATCACGCGGTACTAGCTATCGGCAAGAGGGCGGCTGCCCTTTCCATTGAAGAGTTGGGTCTTGGGGGATAGGTATGTTTAAGGGACAGTCTTTGTGGCGTTGACCGTGGGGAGGTATCGGGCAAGAAAGGAGTACGGGATAAAACATGGCCACGCAGTTTGACGGCAAGTATATTTTCAAGTGAAATACAGGTTGCTCCAGGGTGCCTATAATAAATAACTTCAGATTGGACTTAAATAAGCCAGGACATAAATTCTCTTGGAATAGACACACCTAGGATTCGCCGACTATAGTAACCATAGGGGACCCGGTATCCGTTGCAAGCAACCTTACTGGCACTGTTTCCGGACTCGCTCCTGAAGTACGGTATCATAATATAACAGAATAGCCATCGTAATAGGACCAGGGTGTCGCCAGGAGGGCGGGATAGCCGGGAGAGAAAGAAGAGAGATGACAAGAGAAGGGTTGGGGAACCCCAATCCGTCCTACGCCTCGACCTTCTCCATCTGATCAACTGCTACGCGTGCCAGCTCACGTGCTGGTGAATCGACCCTCTCGTCTCCGGCGAAAAAGCGAAGTTGTTCTTTCCAAACCCTCCAGTTTTCCATGCTCCACGTGTCACGGGGGTTCTTCTCGTCCGTCCTGTCCTGCTTCTGGCACTGCCGGTAAACGTACCGGACCTCGTCGGGGTGGATAAGCCATTGTACGGCGGCCTGGATGTGGCCGCCGATCTCCTGGGGGTCGTTGCAGATTCCCACGTCAAAGCTGGGGGGGCATTCCTTGCCGCAGGGCATGATATCTCTCAACGCGCTCGTAAATTCGCACGCGCTGAATCCCGTCATAACGATATGCGCCATGCAGGATTGATAGTTACGCCACCGTGTCTCTGGCTCGCTGCCCGGGATCTCAATCCCGGAACCGTAATATCTGATAGCTGCACAGCACGCAGTTAGGGGCGATATCTTCATGGTGGTCTCGTTACCACGTGTCGTTGGAGAGACGCACCGTCTGCTCCGATGCGAAAGGCCTCGGTCGCGTAGTGATTGCTCGGCCACAGGGCCATCATCTGAACGTCGTTAACATCGCCGCCGTCGGGGATGTAGTCGGGAGCCTGGTGCTCGGGCACGGCCATCAGAGCCTCGAGAAACTGGATAATCCGAGTCTGGCCTGGATGATACAGCGGGAAGACGGAACACAGGTTAGGGAAGCTCTGGAAGAAGGTCCCAACATATCCGCTCGCGTTTGGCGTGCTACGGGGGGTCACCCAGCCGGTCTCGTCTCTCTCCAGCAACTCCGGTCGCGCCACGAGTTCCCGGAATCGATGCGAGGACTGGCGCACAACCCAGGCGTCGAGCTCGGCGGCAATCTGGGAGGGCGGTCGCGAGCCGTCAGCTAAGGCTCGCATCAGGCTCTCGCAGAACCGGTCATCATCATCGCCGCCTTCGTACAGGAATAACACCAGGGGTAGTGATCCATCGTTCGCCAGCGCCATGGTGGGCTCGGAGACGGCCAGATATGAGGATCTGCTGGTTGGGTACGCAGGCAAGTAAAACAGAGCTTTGGCTGTTGTCTCGAGGCGTAGATATACCTATCTGCAATATACCTACCTACCGGTAAAGCCGGCCAGACTCGAGCGCAGACGCTCAGCATGCGGCCATGTTGTGGTTATATCTGCGGCGGAACCCCATCAGTAAATCTATCACGACCGTCAACCAACACCGGCTGTGACCAATGAGGCCGAGCCAGAGGTTCGTCGCCCTTAGGCATCCGCCAAGCTGCCGTTGGCATCTGACTGGATCGAGAACGTGGAGAGGGCCGGATAGGGTCAAGCCCAGTGAGGTGCCGTATAAATACTTTGTAGTAGGTATGGTAGTGGACGCGATGAGACGTTTCACTTTAGAAGATCGGCGAACCGTCGAAGGGGAAGAGTCGGTCCTCCTGATAACTTCCGGCCACGTAGCCCTAGCTGCCTACATACACGCATAAATACTGTATATAGAGGTAGGTAGGTAGGTAGGTACCTAGAGATTCCGCTTGAGGGTTCCCTTACGTCACCGGCGTTGAAGGTACCTCCTAAGGTCGGTCACAGCAGCGGTACCTTACAGTGGCCCACTCTGGCCCAGCCATGCTGCAGGCCCTACAGTCACTGCCGGCTAGGGCGGTACGCATGTATTAGGTACCTAGACATGTATAGGTCTACGGAGCCTCTGGGCGGAGGGTACTTGATGCACACGTGCACATACGCGTATGTATGCAATGTTACTACCTATATGCGCGTATCGCCTGCCCATATGCTATATGCAGGTACACTTCACTTATCGGTACCGCTCTATCCACCCCGACCTTGACCCAAGTATCAGCTTTGGCCTTTGACTCTTCCTCCGCCAAACACGCACTCGTCAACACTTGAGTCTACCGCCACTTACATACTATAGTCCCTCCGCCGGCCGGCTCACCGACACCTCCCGCTCTCCGATACGCCGTCAACTCACCCATTCATTCATTCATTTGCATGTGGCATCCTTCATTCCTACCCCCTATCTCTTCTCCGCTCCCCCACGCCGCAGATCCCTGCCTGCTTCTTCACCACTATCATCCACACCCCTCCACATGGTCACCGCTACGGCGGCGCAACATAGCATCTTCTAGACCGCTGGCAGAGATGCCTGGGCTGGCCGCCTCTCGCTGGGCCCCCCGGCGACACTGCTCCCGGTCCGGCACCCTGCCCGACTCTCCGCTGCTACCGGCCTCGCAGCCCCCCAGCTCCACGACCCCCCAGACCCCCCGGACCACCCAGGCAACCCAGCCGGACCGGCCGTCGCCCGATCGCGAGCTATCGCGGTTCCTCAAGATCATCGCGCGACTCAATTGGAAATTGCCTTCTCTTAAGCAGGGATACATGGTGGCGAAGAACAGCGCGGGCAAGCCGCGGGACCAGGCGGAGATGCACGAGATCCAGTTCAAGCTGGACTTCCACGAGTTCTACATGCTGGTCGAGCGGGCGCTGGTGCGGCTGCTGGCCGTGTTCGGCGTCGCGGTGGACGGGGGGGCGCCGCGGCCGGACGCGGGCGCGTTCCCGGGCCAGCAGCAGCAGCACCGGTACCACGCGAACGTGCTCGCGGCGCTCGACAACGCGGAGAACCCGCTGCACCGGGTCTTCGGCCAGCCCGAGGTCCGCCGCCAGCTGCTGCGCGCTAAGGAGCTGCGGAACCGCTGGAAGCACGCGGACGACGAGGACGAGCCCAGGCGGCCCCCGCCCGCGCCCCTCCAGGCCTACAACCTCGAGCTGATCGTCGCCACCGTCCTCCAGGCCATCGACCAGGCCCACGTCCTCGCCGTCCAGTACATCCGCGAGAACAGCGGCGGGCTCGCCGCCGGGCAGTCGAACCCGGCCGCCGACGAAGAGGACTGGGAGTTCATGGTGGATGCCATGGACTGGGAGGCCGTCTGAGCCGCGCCGTTTGCTTTCGGTGCATGCAGTATGCTCTCGCGCCGTCGACAGGGCATGGCATAGCAGGTCAAGGTCAGGCGTCAGCAAAATTACCTCCCTCGGATCCCTTGGAGTGCGGAATGCCTTGAGTGCTTTTTTTTTTTTGCTTTCACGGGGCAGGGGTTGGTCGTGGTGTTTATTCTCGTAACCTAGCTAGAATCTGTGATACCCGGACGTCTAGGGGGCTAGACGGTTCTCCCACCGTCGCCGGTGCGGGACGTGTGACGGCAGAGTCGAGACCCTCTTACGATTCCAAAAATATGTTATATACCTAGTTGGTTTCCCACGAGCTGCGGGCTGGTTGTTATTTTCCTGCTGGTGTTGCTGTAGGATCGGGGATGGATGCAGAGGGGGCGCCGGCCAGCTCTCTGCTGGTCTCTATGCAGCCACCAGAGCTTCGGCGAGGGCATTCCCCCGTTATTGTGTATATTATATAGGTATATCAATTCCGTACCTGGACGGTGTACCTACCTAATATTATTGCTTAGTACATGCACAGCTAAGGGACCAATCAGAAGCCGCATCTTGCACCATGGACCCTTCCGCCCCACCCGCTCGCGCCTGTGACCGGGCCCCACTCCCCCTTATCAGACCCGGCCTGGTCCTGCGATAAGCACCTAGGCAAGGTAAGCCGTCGACCCGTCATTTCGTCACCTTGTCTTATCACCTTGTCGCCTCGTCACCTGCCACACTTGTAAGCCATCCCAACCCTCAATCTTGAAACCTCAAACCCGCCTGCCACCCACCCCGACAGCTCTGCATTCCATCTTTAAAAGGCGTCGATAGCCCTCGGCCGCCTAACATAATTCTCTCATCTTTGTTCTCTCCCGGAAGGTCCCAGAGTATACGCAGAGATAAAACTTAAGACGAGGAATCTTCCAAAGCCTGCTTCTCCCCAGTTACAATCATGGCGCCGTCCGCCTCGCTTCGCTCCGCATTCACGTATGCGACAAACTTCGTCTCTCAATTCCCTCTCGGCTTCCCCAGCTTGTCGAACCCCTTCTCGCTCTCCGGCCCGCAGGCCCCCATCGCCGCCGACCGCCCCGTCACCCCGTACGACCCCTTCACCGGCTCGCCGTCCTGCCCTCTCGACGGCCCCGCGAGTTGTCATAACACTACACAGGCCGATTCGTGCTGCTTCGTCTATCCCGGCGGGCGCCTGCTGCTCACGCAGTTCTGGGATGATAAGATCCACGTTGGCGGGAGCGAAGACGACTGGACACTTCACGGGCTATGGTCAGTTACCCACCTACCCTCAACGTCCACTGGACTGAGGCAGTAGGCCTTTGCGTGAATCGCTCCGAGTAGGCTGACCATCCCCTCAATTCGTTCTAGGCCGGACCTCTGCGACGGGTCCTACGACCAGTACTGCGGCATGACGCCGCGCGTCGACAACATCACCGGAGTGCTGGAACAGTACGGCCAGCAAGAACTGGTCGCTGACATGAACCGATACTGGGTCGCTAATTAGTACGTCGAGCCTAGCTCCCCTCTCTCCCTTCTCCCCTGCCTACAGCGAATGGAAGACGGCTTAGTGTGTGGCCACGAGCGGAAGCTGACCAGGCACGACACGCAGCGGCACAAACGAGCACTTGTGGGCGCACGAATACAACAAGCACGCCAGCTGCATCAACACGCTGGCGCCGAGCTGCTACGGGGAGGGCTACGCGCAGGGCGTCGAGGTGGTGGACTACTTCAGCCGCGCGTTCGGGCTGTTCAAGATGCTGGACACGTACCGGGCGCTGCAGAACGCCGGGATCGAGCCCAGCTACCAGCAGACGTACCCGCTCGCCAAGATGCAGGCCGCGCTCGAGAAGTTCAGCGGCGGCCGCGTCGTCCTCCGCTGCTCCGGCCGCCACCGCAACGTCCTCCACGAGGCCTGGTACGTCTACTTCGTCAAGGGCAGCCTCCAGAGCGGCCTCTTCGTCCCCGCCCAGGACTCCTTCAAGGGCGACAGCAGCAACTGCGCCGCCCAGGTGAGGTACCTGCCCAAACGCAGACGGTAAATGTGCGGGGGGAACTGGACGGGGAACCCATTGCCCGGCGTTTAGGAAAGTTATGCATTTTCGGATATGTGAGCCCTTTGCACATGCGGTAGAGCTGGGGAGGCCAGCTGGTCATATCCCCATGCCTTTCGCGATCGCATCATCGTTTTTCATCAGCATTCCGCGGCCGCTCCTCAGCTAGTATATGGTTATTAGTAATGGGTATTGAGCGGGTAACATGGCTTTGCAGGGATCGGATCGGGATACACCGTCGACCGGACCCCGCGTGTATATTTCCAGTAGCTACGGCGTACAAGTTCGGCATCGGCCAATTTGCGGGTTAGGGGCGAGTAGGGCCGGCACCAGAATTAGAATACACATAGGTCTCTACCCTTGGCACCCGCACCGACAGATCGTGACGGTGCTAACGCGCGGAAGAGGGAGGGGAGAGGGGAGAGGGGGAACATGTTCGTTCAGAAACCTAGCCGAGTCCCCGAGCTGGCAGCCTAGGTAGCTACGCCACAGCTACCGCGAGAGAGCGTACTTCGACGCCCATCGCGACTCATACATCTTGCCTACCTACCGTCCCTAGTCCTCAGCGGAGAGGCCTGAGGAGACATTGCGTGAGATTGTCGGAGAACCGACGGGCGAGCACGGCAGAACAGGCTGCAGCCTGCCTCTCACGGCCTACGCCGCGTTCGTGTCGCCTCTCACGTCAGTCAGGCGTCCGCATTCGGCGTCTCACTCTCACTCTCTCTCGCGTCTGGCCACTGACGTCACCAGTACCTGCCCAGCTAGGCAGCAGGGCGTCCCGCGCGCCCCAGCGGTAAGAAGCGCCGGAAGGCCGGCGCGGGGATATCAACGCCCCCCCCCCTCACTCCCCGGGAGTTGCGGGCACTGCGCGAGGCGCAATGGGAACGGAGGCTTCCGCCTCGCTTCTGCGCAGCTCCCGCGACCACACGTCTGCGCGCAGCCTTGCTGTAGTGCGCGCGACGCTGCAGCCTGCGCGAGACCGGCCTCGCAGGCGCTGCGCGGCAGCCGGTGGGGCAGCCGAACGGCCTGGTGCTCGCGCTTCTCCTATGCGCTGCGACGAGGTGCGCCCTCGTTGAGAGAAGGGGGGAGGACACCTGCGAGCTAGTGCTATTGCGCACACACCGTCGACGCGGCAGGGCGCTCGAGCAGAGCAGCGCAGAGGCAGCCAGGCATCCCGCGCTGCCCGCGAGGACCCCGCGTCGCGCCTGCGGATGGGCGGCCGTTCGCTGGCGAGCGAGAGTAGTTTGGAGTTCTGCGCGGCCGGGAACTTGCCGCTGCCTGTGCTCGCGGGCCTGGCGTACGTCGTGCGTCTGCGTAGACCGATGCTAGCGACCTCCCGTAATGCGTGCGTATGCCTGCTTGTCTGCCTGCCAATCCAACCGGCTCTGTGACCGCCCGCTTACACAGACTAACTGGCATCTCCCCGGCACTGCTGATCACAAGGCGGGCGTGTTGTGCGGTCTAGGTTGCCGCGCCCCTCCGATTCGAGAGACGAGAGGTGGGCAAACAAACAAGGCAGCGAGCTCCCGCTTCTGTTATCCTGTCTCGTCTCGCCCGCTAGGTAGCTAACCAGCGAGTGCGGCTCTACGTGGTGCACGACGCACAGTATGGGCATACGCCGCGGATAAGCTTCTGCGTTGTTTTTCGTTTCCCGCTTTTTTTTTCTCTTTCCTCCTCCCCTCCCGGTTTCATGCCAGAACGTCAGATGTTGGCTTCGTCGTTCCCGGCGTAATCACGAGGATATACTGCGGAAATAGCGCCTTCGTCCCTAATAAAGCCTCACATCCTGGCGGGAGGGACCTCCCCCTACAACTTGTTTACTCTTGTGCGCGCGAGATCGGACCGCGGATACGACGCGAATTATGTAATTGGCGAGCCGAGGTATGTCGAGAGATATCGTACTATATGTCATATAATAACGGGCCACCCCCCTAGCGGGCTATCCTATCCTTATTAAAAAGCCTTAAAAGTCGCCCTTTTATAAATTAAATAGCTTACCTAAATAAATTCGTAAAATTATAAAAGATATATTAAATTAAAGCGCGTTACTTAATTAATCTCTAAAGCGTACCGAAGCCTTAATTACGCGTAGTAATCGGACGCGATATAGTAATTAAATATTCCCCTTATCTTTACTTAGTTAGCTTATAAGCTCCTCCTAAGCTACCGTTACCTCCTCCTCCTCTTCTTACTTCTCTTATTATTATTATTATTTAATTACGGCTTTTAACGTAATATTAAGTAGTTATTAACTATCCTAATCGTAAGTTAATATTTCGTAAAGGAATTAAAAGCGTTTATTAAAGTTAGGAATAGTTCTTCTTTTAGACTAGCTTTTTAACTCTAACTAAGCTATTAACGAGGAGATTTAGTAATCTTTAAATGCTATTTTAATACAAAGGTCGTAATATACGTTAGTAACGCCTCTTAACGCTACGCGAATACGTAGAGATCGATTAACGGCGACTTTCCTAACCTCGTTAATCGCTTTTAACGCGTAAACCTATACCTTTACGCTCTTCTTTTTTAGGCTCTCGCGTTAGTTCGTTTCGGCTATATCTTTTTCCTCCTAAAGCTTAGGGTATTTTAAGGCCTTATTACGGCTTATTAGCTAGTTCCTAGTTACCTTAAAGCCGGTATAAACGTTTTTCTCGGTAAAGGCGTCGATTCTTATCGCGTATAAGTAACGTAAGAAGTTTAACTTATTAATCGGCGCGGTATTTATTAAGGAGTATAATTAGCTTAAGTACTTCTTATAAGTTATTTTAAGAGCGTTAAATAAGCCGTTATCGAGCGGTTATAAGCCGTAAAAGGTATGCGCTAATAAGAAATATAGGTAAATATTATACCGGAAATAGGTAGCTATAAATTTATCTTAAGATCGTAATACGTTAATAATACTTACTTCTAAGAAATTAGAAAAAAACCGTAAAAATACGAAATTAACGTTAGTTAATTAAGAAATAAATAAATTAATAATAATATGGCTTTTATAGCCGTTTAGAATTAATAAGTAAGCGTTAAACTCGTAGGAAAAAAAACCATCCGTTTCCTTAATAAATACCTCCTTTAGCTACTTTAACGTAATATAGCTATCCGATTAACCGTTATTTAAGGTTATAAAGTATTAATCGGCGATCTTTATGAATTAATTCGTAAACTAGGTCGTTTAAAGCTCCTTTCCTTTAAAGATAATATCCGGTCGGAAGGTAAGGCCCGTAGCGTTAATATACTCGATAACCGAAGCCTAGGTTCTAACTTAAGAGCTTTTAACGATCGCTTTTTTAGTATTTAAGCTCCCGAGAACTAAGTTATCGAGCTTTAATGCCTTAATTAGTACGGAAACGGAAGAATAAGGATAGAAGAGGCTACTTATCCTAGCCGAGTATAATTCCTTCCTTATCGACGTTAAAGGTAAGATAAGGCTATATCTAGCTATATTCGGCTTCCCGGATACCGAAATATTAATCTATAGCCCTCTTATTAAAGTAATTAAAACGAAAAGCTTTAGTTTTACGCCCGGATTTTACCGTAATTAAAGGGTTACGCTTTAAGAAGTTATAAAGCTAATTCTTATTAAGAGGCCGTAAATCGCCGTTCGCGTTTAAGATATCCTACGTAATTCGGCGAATAGTACGGTAATTAAAAGCTAGCCTTAGTTATTCCTAACGTAAAATCTACGTAATAAGATATTTTTCTTACTTATTTATTAAGCGTTATTATAATTAAACCTCTAACCGCGCTTACTTATCCTAAAGCCGAGCCGCTAGCGTAGTTTACGAAACGCCGTATATAATAACTAAACGACGTATCGAAACGCCTTCCTAAATAACTAATCGTATAATAAACGCTAGGAGATTTTCTTAAACGGGTTTCATAGCAAAAGAAGCTTATTTAATCGAGATCTAATTAATATTTACTTCTATTAATTAGGTAGTAATTTATAACTATATATTTATATTTACCGCTACTTTTAGCCTATAATATCTCCCGTAATATGCGTTTAATTAAAACCGGGAAAACGCATAATTAAAGATAAAGCTCCATACGAACTATATTTATAGTATTTCCTAAATAGCTTTAAAATTAATGAGTAGCGGTATAATTAAAATAGGTTAGTTTTCGTATTTTTTAGTAGGAGATAGGTAGCCCGCTAGGGGGGTGGCCCGTTATCATGTGACATATGGTATATCATAACCTCCAGGGTAGGTTAGCTACCTAAGCTGTACGTGGTTAGCCCCATCTGCTATGGCATAGAGAGCATATCCCCATGTCGACTAGTAGACGTATGCACATACACGGCCATACGGCGTCCGCAACCCCCCCTGCAGGATTGCATTCAGATGGAAATCCCCTATTCCCTCTGTGGCAATCGTCTCTCGACCAAGGGGAGAGGGAGGGGCACATTTCTCCGAAGACTAGGCGTCGGTGGATGTGACTAGACAGATTTTTTTTTTTTTTAAAAAAAAGGCGCAACCATTAGTTCCTCCCCCCCCCTCCCCCTTTTTCGGCTCCTGTCCGATATGCCTTTCACGTACCCCACGTCATCCAAAGGTGCGGCTCGGTCCCCCTCCCCGCATCGACGAGAGCGTCGAGTGAAGCTTACTCGCGCTGGTTCGTACGTCCTGTTAAGTAGACATGACATACCCAACCACCGAATTGTCTCTTGCGTCCTCATCCCCTAGAGTGTGGGTCCATCGTTCGTGGTGCAATGGCAGAATACGCTCCGTAGGCGAATCCGTGGGAATGCCGAAATGTGAGCGAGTGCCCCCTCCTGCCTATCCGAGCGAGGGATGGATCCTAGGCCCCCTCCGTCATGGCTATACCGGGAATTGCGATGCTGCCAATGTCTACAACGTAGCACTGTTGCTTCGAGGAAACGCATATTTGCTCGTGATATCGCGGGCGGGGGGAGGGGGGAGACTATAGTAGACTGCCTTTGCGCGTGGTAAGGGTAGTATCGGCAGACACAAAGCACGAAATAGCAAGTTACGCGTGTGCAATAGATAGTGACTCACTAGGTCGTTGAGGGGTAAAGTAAGCGACTACGCTCTATAGCGGTTGGATTGTAACGGGTGGTGGATTATCGCCCACGGAACTATGCCGCGGACTAAATCTGGCAAGTGACCGGGGTAAATATATGAGATGCTAATCAGTCCGTATGTAGAGACTCCCGTTGTGCTTGGCTTGCAGGTCTCGATACTTCATGAGGCTTAAGTTTGGCCAATATCCGATCAATCACGCCGGGGGTCAGTTGGTGATCTGGTGCGGAAAGGGAGGGGTCGAGCGGTGAGCGAGGATGTGGAATGATTGTCGTAGCCCGGGAAAATGGGGGGTCGCTCGGGAGGTAGCCTGCCAAGATGCATAACGACCTCTGTATCCGCGCCTCTAGCGGAGTGCCCCTGAAGCCATCGGGCAAGCTAGCAGGGCAAAGCGAAGGCTAGACGCTAGCATAGTACGGCCTCGCTCGGGGTTTAATCTTGCGCAGAAGGGCAACGAGAACGTAGTAGACTATTTTTTCCCTTCTTTTTGCTTGCGAGGGCCCATCCCTCTTAGAAACACCGGCTCTCTCTTCTCGGTAAGGGGCCAAGGTAGGCGATCTCGCAGCCGCTCAAATGCCGGCAGGACCGGAAGTTGACCTTGTTGCGTGCGCGGCAGCATCTCGCACTCTGCAGCTAACGTCCGCGGGGAGACGTCGCGATGCTTTCGCCGACGAGGCGGGAATAAGGTGACCAGAGCTGTTGCGGGATTGGCTGGCTACATGCCATCATCGTCTCGCATATCTCACAATCGACGAGTCATAAAATGCAGTATACCTGGCTTCAGGCAAGGAATCGCGTGCTATTCTTATGTCAGCACGATAAGTGGTTAGCTGCAGGAGACAGGGAGAGAACGCCATCGCGTAGAGAACCGCGCTGCCACGGTGGAATGCCCCTAGCTTTCGGTTGGATGGAAGGGCACGTATCGCTCACGCCCCAAATTACTTACCTACTGCCACCATGCTGGTGAAGGCGAACGTGGCGGAGGGACCATCCAGTAAGAACTGGCCGAGATTCTCGGGGTACTCATTTCATACTAGCGGAATATTACCACTTCGGTAGAGGCCAGCGTAGAACGATGTAACAGGGCGAACTGGGTTCATCGATGGGCGATCGACGAATTTGCTGGCCGCTACTGGTTGCAGAAATGTTGGCATGACTTTGCTCGACTCCGCCCAACTCCACACACAGTGTCACCGCCCGCCCTGGTATCGGCTCTTGGGGACTCTCTCCGGCCAGTAGCAGGTCGGCATTCTCACGAACACCGCTGCCCGGATGTGAGAATGGAGGTACTGTACATGGCCAAGAGTAACCTGGTCAGGTCATAGCGACGATCAAGAGATTGCCCCGCATTGACGATGAGTTTCTGCCTCCCGCCAACACATATGGGTAAACATAGGGAGAGAGCGAAGATGCGGAGATGCCCCCTTTTGTCGTCAGAGGACCCTGGAGACACCGGCAGCCGTGGCGGTGGCTGGCTGAGTGGCGACGGCGAGTCAGCTTCAGTCTGCCCCGGATTGGGGAAGGGTGAGACTACTTGGCTACTTTCGTAGGGAGTCGGCTAGAACAGGAAGCTCGAGGTCTGAACAAGCTCATAACACATGAGCTTTGATGACCCCTATGGCGCTGTTGTCATAGACGTTGCACTGCTGCGTTATCACAGCATGGCGATGGAACGCTGCTCATCAGTGTGCATGAGTGCCGGAGGTGCCACGCGCTAGTGGATTTGCATGGCACGATTGCAATTATCATGCTGTATTTATCGGGTCGATTGCACTAGCCATCCATTCTAAGTCGACTAGGGCGGTACGCAAATTTGCTTCACAAGCCGTCGACGGATGCTAGGATGGGATACAGAGGAATCGGCACGTGCTCCTTGTGTTCTTTTTTCCTTCACGCTTCCCTCATATGAGGCCGAGTGTTTCTTGCTTTCTTTTTTTTTTTTGGGTGGTTGCGCCGTTGGTTTACGTGTAGTTGTATTGGTTGTGGTGCCCGCTATCTTCTACGACGCCACGGCTAATATGAGGACTTACATTCCTTCTGCCGGCATGGGGGCCGGCGCAGTACCGTAGTCAGACAATTGATAGAATGCCCTGAGATTTGCTGTGCATCGCTCGTATGCACCTGCGGCGTAGGTATGCGTTGCTCCAGGCAAGCAGTGAATGGCAATACGACTCCCGCGTCCTCGCGCAGAGCCAAAGACAGACGATGCCGATTCCGATGTGGCCTTCGCGCAGGAGATAATTCGCGCCCACAACGCCAAGACCGGCGTCGAAAAACGAAAACGAATAGGCGGTAGGCAACTAGCAGCTCTCGAGGGGCCCTCGTCGTGGCACCGTCGCTTATGATGCCAATGCCAAGCAACGCGGAGGAGGGTGGCTGCCAAGCTCCAAGAGATCTTTTGATCGACAGGCCCCCAAGTTCTCGCCGGTTGGCGCCTCTGCTGCCGCGGTCTCGCCAGTCTTGCCGCGGGGATTGGGGTCAGAGGCACATACCCATCCTCCTCACAGATGACACGCGCATCCCTATGTCCTGCCCGCTCTACTTAACGCACTGCTTACTACCAACCGTAGGATCGGGGTGGCTATTTATTTCTCGAAAGGAGCTGTGACGTTGGCCCGGACTAGCGACCCGCTGACGAGCCAAGCTAGCGAACCAGGACCAGGCCGTCAGCTGAGGAGTCCATCTTGGACGAGAAGATATACACACGCGTGCGTGGCATGTAAACGACGCATCAAAACCGTATATATACGACAGGCGTACACGTAGGTAGGTAGGCGGGCACGCAGGCAGTCGAGTTGAGGACTAGCAGATAGGTAAACGTGGATGGAGATTGGTGAGGGATGGATTGATCAAGTGACGATGACTCGACGCGGACAACAGACGGAAGAAAAAGATGAAACGCCAAAGCCAGCGGAGCTAACGGATTGACTATGAGCACACAGCTTACAAATGGAATCGGGAATTCCACCCAAATTTAGGGCTCTCGGGGTACCTGTAGCCCGCCTAGCCCACTGTGACCTAGGGGGAATGGAACCTGCCGCCAGTAGGTATGCAGGTAGGTATGTACTTGCTGCGTACCGTATCACCTGAGGTAGGTATGTTGGGTACTTGCAGAGTTCATTTCCTAAGCTGATAGATCAACCGGGGGGGCCGGGTGCCGGGTGCTGAGGTACCTCTCTCTACTGAGACCGGGGGTCAGTCTGACGGCCGGGTTGCCTGCTAGCAACAGCGGCTCTACTCTACGTGAAAAAGGGAAGGGAAAAGGGGAAAAAAAGGGAAAAAATTCGATGGAGGGACGGATCTTTGTCGTGCGCAAACACGCTTCCGCTGGGGTTAGATTACCCCACTTAACCCGCCCTGTAGTCGGCCAAGTATCGCGAAGTTTCCCATCACATGGTTACTAAAAGTACACGCTGCCTAACCGCCTACATTAGGAACCTAGGTAGGTAGGTGCCTACATGGCGGAGGGACACAATGTCTTAGGCGCCTCCGGTTGCGTCCCACTGCGCGCTGCAACTAGGCTTCTCCGTCACCTCAGGCTGGTCTGTAAGGCAGGTAGCGTAGCGGGCGGGTTCTGGTGCTTTCGCCGCCTGCTGTACTCGTAGGTACCCTACCTATGTTATTCGTGCATCGGTGCGCGCCTGGTGGGGTCCCCTGTCGACAACGCCCTTGGCGGACCGGCGGAGCTGAAGGCAAGCTGGGTACCTCTCTCAGGTATGTGTACACGCTGCCGCGGTGGCTGCCAACACAGCAGATAGGTATTTTCTCCCTGGCCCGGTACGTGTAGCGCCGGGTGGACAGGCGGACATGTACCACGTTATGTTGTACTGTACCTCCTCCGTGCCTTAGCTGCCTACTGCTATATGTGTGTACCCAAGGTGCTTCCGGCGCGGGCGCTGTCTCCACAGGTCCACCCATCCCCAATTCCCATCTCATCCGGCTTTCGCTCGCCTGCACCGTCCCATCCTACCCTTTTTTTGTATTCCATCTTTTTTCTACCACCGCCGCCTCGCTCCCTCTACTGCGATTACTTCCATTTCCTACATAACCTAACTGCTACTTACATACGTGGGCACGCAGCAGCGCCCGTCCACACTCCCCTTACTGCCCTCCTATCCTTCTAACCGCCCCTTTCCTAGTCTGCATAATTACATACTTGCCTGCATACGCGCGCCCTCGCCTCGCTTTTTCTCTTTCGCACCTTGGATGGAGTCGGGTTGGGTCCGGCCAAGTTCAAATCCTCACCATCGCCCACGCTCCTCCATCCCATCCCATCCCATCCCATCCCGCCAACTGACTCTCCTGCGGTTGCATCCTCTGCATCCCCCCCTCTCGACCCGTCATTGCTCGCTGATGAGGTTCCTAGTCTGGGGTCGCAACTAGATTTGATCAGCCTCTCTCCTCCCTCCCCCGGTGTTCCTCTTCTGCGTAGCAGCCGTAACTTAATCGTACGTAGCCGTTTCTGCGTTGGATTTCCTGCCTGAATATATACAAGTCGTCTCGGACGAACCAGCCCAAGGCGCGCGCGCTCTCCCTCCCCCCCCTTCTCTTTCGTACTTCCCTCCCTCCTTTTCGCGCCCTCCCCCGCCTCCCTTCTACTCAACTTACCGATACGCGAGGTGTCGGCGGTCCTGGCCTAGTGTTCCTACTTACTCAGTAAACCGCAGCGCATGACGGCCCTAGCCTCGCCATCCTTCTTCCCCCCCTTCTCCTCGCCTCGTCCGGAATAACTTCGACCTATGATTTCTATTCCGGCAAGGTCTATGCAGTCTACGGTTGCAACTCTCACGGTCTCGCTGTTCGGTCGCGTTCGTCTCCCCCTGACGAGAGAAGGAGAAGAGAAGGGACGTAGGCATTGTCTCCTCGTCGCCCTTCCTTTCACTGGCTGGCTCGGAACACGTTTCTGGGTCTAGCCAGCAGCACCCAAGCGTATGCCTCCGTCGACCAAGCGACAGAACGGCGCCTCGAACTACCGCGATCTCCGACACGAGAATGGCCTGGTAGGCCCCGGCAAGCGCGTCCCCAAGCAGAAGAGCCAGAGTCCGCTGAATGGAAATGCGAAGCTGCCCCTCGACGATGCGGCTGTCCCCTCGGCACCCCCGACACCCCCGGCACCAGCACCGGCACTAGCACCAGCATCGCTACTCGGCACGAACGGTTACTCGAAGCAACCCCCCGCCGAGATGCACGTGGAGGGTAGGACCGCCGATTCTCTCAGGAGAGGCTCTCTCGGTGGCTTTTCCGAGTCTTCCTCCGCCGAATCCTACCATTCTCACGTCGGAAATGCCCACCTGGAGGAGAGCCATCGCCGGATTGATGTGAACGCTACCAAGAACTCCAACGTCCACCGCGATCCCGGCCCGTTTGGTGTCGATTTCGCCCTGACCGTCCTGCGCTCCTGTCCGTTGCAGGACACCATCGCGATCCTCATCATCCTCATGCAGATACCTCCTCTTGCCCTGTCCGGAATCTACGTACTCTTCACCCTGCTCACCTTCGTAACTAGCAACGGCCTGACTTTCAGTGACGTATTCGAATGGAACCTGGGGACCCCTTCGCTGGCGACCGTCGTATGCGTCGATGGCATCGTGCTTCTGATTTGGCTATTTCTCTGGGGCCCGATTCAACATGTCATCCTGGATCTGGCGCAGATGGTTATTGCCTTGGGGCTCGGTGGCGGTTCTAGTTCGAGGGACGGCGGTTCCATGAAGAACACTCTTATATGCTTAAGCATGATCCTGCTTTCCCACATCCTACGTCATACCAGGATGAAATATTCCCCTATGGGGTATCTCTTGGGCTCCAGCCGCTTCATGACTCCCGATATCGACGATCCCCTGGAGCCGCTGGAGTCTATCCGCGGTTACGATAGGGTCCAGACGGGTTGGTTCGGCTGGGTTAAGAGCATATTGGCTATCCACATCCTAACGCAGGGCTTGGTTAAGTATATTCGCGATTGGTATCTCAGACGGGAGAGACGAGACATCCTAGCTCAGAATGCGGCCGATCCGGAGGCTGGGAAATCGTACACGGCAGAGAATGACGGCGGGTTCTCCACTCCGGATAGCGACGCCGTCTCTCTCCAAAACTCGACAGCTCTGACAGCATCAACTACGAAAAAGAAGAGGAAGCAGATCGCCCAGATCAGGAATAAGCAACCGCTCTGGGCAGCGATCGCTAGTACTAAGATAGTGGTAATGAAAGAATACGAGCTTACTCATGCCGCTGCCGAGTCTGCGGGATCGAATGCTACAGATATTCACAACCTTGGAAACGCCCCATTCAACAAGCAGCCCGAGCAAATTTGGATATCTTACGTGGGGTGTGACGAGGTGTGCTTTAGCACTAGTCACTTTCCTGCTGCTCTGGGGCCGACCCTCTCCGCCGACGGCGCAAGAATCGACCCTCCGAAGCCATTCTATGTGCGAGTCAATAATGCAGTCTGGCAGCCTACTCGCATGGTGCCAGTGCAGGATTTCGACGCCGCCGTTGATGACGAGGGAACTCGGTGGAGCGGGGACATTTATGGTCTCACCCCGCTGTCGAACTACGAGTGTGAATTTGTCAGCTCTACAACTCACGAGGTTTTATTCTGGACTATTGTTAGGACTACGCAAGCAGAGTCAGCAGACGTCGACGCTAGCCTCTCGCAGCCTGCGCCTCAGCGCTCCTTGCGTCCCGATTCGCCCATCACAACGCTGAAAACGTCGATTGCTGCAGCCGACAGCAAGTTGGCGGAGGAGAAGGCTCGTCAAAAAGCGTTGCGGAAGGAGTTTCATCGGAAGGCGAACGGATTGAAAAGGGAGAATGAGAAACTCTCGGCAACTGTTCAGTCGGCTGGCACGGGGGACGACAAGCTGCGCCAGAAAATACAGCAGAATACTACGCAACACAAGCAGGCCGAGCAGGCCGTTGCGAACCTCGAAGCCGAACTAAGAGAGCTAGAGTCGATCCCTGAATCGCTTAAGTCTATGTGGAAAGCTAAGCAGTCCTCTTGGGCCGGCGAGAGAGTCAAGTTTGATAGCGCTGTGGGTGCGTTTAAAGACTTTAAGGCATCTGTGGACCGTAGGATCAAGGCTCTCGAGGAGGAGAAGACGGGCCTGCAAGCTAAACGGAACAAAATCAGCAGTCGAATTGCCAAGGTCGATGGTGAGCATGCACGTATCGCCGATGCCAACGCACGCGGTCTGGACGAGGCAGAGCGCCGGCGGCAGGCTCGAGAAAGCTACGAAAACGACATTACCAAGATTGAGCGTGAACTGATTGCCAAGGTGAACGAAGTCGACACGGCCATTTACAATAAAGAGCAGGAAAACCTGGCGCTCAAGTCTCAACTCGACTTGTTTCACACGCAGCAACAAGCGGCCTATGCCTACGCGGCTTCCTACGACTTGCCGGATGCACCCGGCACCTTTTCGTCCCCAGGCCCACCGCCGCGAGCCCAGACAAATCCGGTGAACGCAGCGCCGTATGATGCTACAGCCGCTTGGAGTAACAGCTTGTATAAATCGTCGCTTTGGGGCCCCTCGCCTCTCGCTCCGGGATTCGTGCCTCACGGAGCCGTCACGCCACACGTCCATCATTCTACAACCAAAGCTCGGGGTCGCTCGTCATCGATGCTTAGCGATGTCTCTGGTTTCACGCAAAGCAGCGTAGCCGAGGACGAAGGGAGCACGACAATCTCTGCATTTTCTCACGCCCGGGACGGTTCTGGTCATTTGAACGTGCCTCCTGGTTTCGAATATCCAACACCAACCGGGCCGCGCAGCGACGTCGGAGGCGAGGCCGCGAGTGAGGGCAGCGCCAGTCTTAGCGACGATAGCATCGGAACTGGGAGCATCAGGGACCCGACGAGCCCCGCGCCTCGCTGAGAGGGATCTTGCTGTGAGTTGTTTAGGTTATCTCTCTGTCCGTTGCACGGTGATGTCAAATTTGAAGGCTGTGTCCGAAATTCTGCAGCACTGGGAAATGTCCCACTCGCACTGCTGAGACGGAGTGGGTTGAATTAGGCAATAAAAGCTCTGTTTTTTTCGCGTAGCACCTCGCCTGTTAGGTACGTTGCGTGAGGACTATGTGATCGTAGATGGACCCATGGATAGGATTGTGATCGATGTATGGTTTGTGACGCCTTCGTCAAGGTAGATGTTGGAATGAGTATCACCATCTTTTAATTACCTAGGTAGGTAAGTTTCAATACTGTACGTTTCCGCTGTGGCCGTGACGCTGCTGTTGACTGGGAGTGAAGTGGTGAGCTGCCATCGAAAGGGGTCGATATGACACAGAATCGGGATTCGTTACGAATCCCGCTCCCATAAGCCCGCCTGCGGATCGCCATCTGAGGCGCCACCGTTTGGGTACACTGGCCAGAGGCAAGGGTACTCCAAGTCACATCCCTGCCTACACCACAGCCAGCCTCCACTGAGTGGACCAAAGAACTGTGCCGGCGGGATCCGCGAAACCCGAAGGGACGAACCCCGTATTTATACCTACGCGGCATCGCAACCTGCTCTCCTCATCAGGGTTGTCGCCTCTTCTGCTTCGCTATTCCACATGTTAAAAGGCTCTCTCTGGCTTCTAATCCCGAGGCGGGAATCGTCTTTCGTATGCTCCGCACCGCCGGCACTAATACCACCCCTTGGCACCACGACTAGCCTACCACCCGAATACTACCACGTTCCTCATTGCCCCCTGGGTTTGTAGGTGCCTTCTACTCGGGACACGACCGGATGGACGCCGATTCGATCAGCCCGGTTTCAGTAATACCACCTGTACCCCGTAAATCCGTTCCATATGGCCAGGCGTGTATCAACTGCTCCAAGGCCAAATGCAAATGCGTTAGCCGCGGCGGCCCCGGTACCGCTTGTGACCGATGCCAGCGCTTGGGTAAGGAATGCCACCCGTCCGTGGGCGTCCGTAAGCGCTCTGTGAGACGCCCAGCATCCTCTCGGGCGGCCCACCTCGAGGAGAAGCTGGATGATCTGGTCTCGATACTCCGCGCCCAGGCCGCTGGCAACCCGGCGCTGAGCTCCTATAGGGCCCCGGTCGACGCCCAACTCCCCGGTGTTGCTACCGGCGGTAATCCGAATATTGGTGCCGGATTAAATATGAATTGGAATATAGGGGGGATATCTGGCGGTAACAAGGCCGTTATCAATGGCCATGGGTTGCCTTCATCAGAAATCCCGGTCCCCCACAGATATCCCGGCTCTGCCTCATCATATTCTACTCCTCGATCTGTTGCATCATCCCAGGATATGAGTCTCTCACCGGCAGAGGCTGAAGAGACACTTCAGTTATTCAGAGACAAATTCCTTAAATTCTTCCCGTTTATGTATCTTTCGCCGGAAACAACGTGAGTATCTCCCTGCCCTTACCAGGTCACTTCCACAGGAGGAGGGGGTGTTGTACTAAGACATCCGACTCATTGTACCTAAATTGTAGTGCTGCTGATCTGGAACGAACGAAACCGTTCCTGTGGCTGAACATAAGGACCATCTGCTGTAAGTCGATATCGCAAAAGGCAGCCCTGTGCCAGAGGGTAAGAGAGGTTGCGGCGCAGAGGATCCTGGTAGATCTGGATCGAAATATGGACGTGTTACTGGGGCTTCTTACCTACCTCGGCTGGTATGTATCTCTTCTATGGGGTGTCAATCACCTTTCTCTAAACTCTCATCATATCAAAGCCGCGGGTGGAGAACTGTTTCTAACGTTCCAGGCCAGGGGAATGCACCATTTCTGTGGAAGGACGTATATCGTCGCCTACACGGGCCTGGCTCTCTCTGTCATTACGGATCTGCGTCTGGATAAATCGCCGCAGGACAATTACTACGAGCTCTACTGCTTCAGGCCGTCGAACCTATATCCGAAGACGGGATCGACGGGCCGCACCAATGAGGAAAGGAGGGCGGTTCTGGCGTGCTTCGTTGCCTGCTCCGCGTACGTATTTGTCCCATCGCATCTGATCAATTCCTAAGGCGGACGCAATGTACAAAGACCCTAAGGGAGCGGCAAGACTAACACATATTATTCTCACCTTTAGTAACTCGACCTTCCTCCGGAGCCACTCCATGCGGTGGACATCGCACATGGAAGACTCGCTGGAGAAGCTTGCAGCGGACCCCAAGTGCCCTAACGATGAGGTCCTTGTCGCAATGGTAAGGGCACAGAGGATCATTGAAGACGTTAGACAGGCGACCTGGCGAACTCTCGACGCCCCTGGTCAGCATGCGCCGCCGAAACCACCCCCAGCGTTCTACTCCAAGGCCCTTAGGGTCAATCTCGAAGGATTGCGAAAAAGTATATCACCCTCGCTGTTAGAAAATAGTATGTCTATCCCCTCTACTCCGTAACCACAGTGGACGAGCTTGGTGGCCTCGCCGTTATCTTCGTATGCCTCTCCACGTAATATGCCAAACTAATTCACGCCTGCAGAGATAGTGATCTCATACCTGTGTGGGGTCGAACTCGCCATTGCAGACATGGCGTTCTGGAACCCGAACGGACTCCTCTCCGCGACTCATCACCTCGCCAAGGGGGGCAGCAGCAGCAGCAACGGCGGCGGCGGCGGCGGCGGCGGCGCTCACCACCACGCCAGCTACATCGCCAACAGCATGAACAGTCTTAACAACACGATGAGCAGCAACATCCAGAGCAACACCAACAACGGCGCCAGCGGCATCACTGGCGGCAGCAGCGGCGGTGTCGGCACGACGACCGACTACGTCGACGTCAGCAGGGCGGACGCGTACTACGCGAGCCTGCAGGCGGGGAAGGCGAGCCTGGAGAACCACCTGTCGTTCGCGGCGGGGGACTACATCGGGTTCTCGTTCCCGCACGCGCTGCACTTCATGCGGGCGCTGCAGGCGCTGTACCGGCTGGCGGCGCTGGACGGCAGCAGCAGCAGCGGCGGCGGCGGCGGCGGCGGCGCTGGCGCGGACGCGAGGTGGTGGGACGGGCCGGCGGCGGTGCGCGCGGCGGTGGACCTGCCGGCGGCGGTGGAGCGCGTGACGGACAACTACGCGCGCGTGGCGGCGCGGTACGGGCTCGAGAGCGGGCCCGACGCCTTCGACTACTACACGCGCGCGGCCAGCTCGCTGCGCGCCACCGTCGCCCTGTGGAACGCCTCGCTGGACCCGGCCGGCTGCTCGGCGGCCGCCGCCGCGACCGCCGCCCTCGAGGCGAGCCTGGCGGCCGTGGCGGCCGGGCCCGGCGCGCAGACGCCCGCCGGCACCGCCGCCGCCCCCGCGCCCCCCGGCCCCCCAGACCAGAGCCTAGATATCATGTCCATGGATTGGTTCGACGACCCCTGGCTCGCGGACTTCATGCGCTCTTTCGAGCCCGCGTAGCTGCGCGTGGCTGCTGGGACGGACGTGTGGGGAGAAGGGGGGTGGTACGCACCGCAGGACAACGCACCGGGGACGCGGCCGTATGCCTATGCTCAGCTGGCATTGGGAGCGGGCTGAGGGGGAGGGGGCGGTCTGCGAGAATGAGCGACGGGACCGGTGCTCCGCTGATGAGCTCGCGGGGAGGATGGGCATCCTAACTGCTGTATTAATGACGAAGGGATAAGAGGCTAGAGAAGCGCGCCAGAGACTCGGATCCTGCGCCGGCGGTGTAGGATAGGTCTCGAGTATCGCGGGGTTCAAAACTAGGAGCGTTGCTATAAGGGGGGGGGTTAACGAGAATATACCACTTCATCCAGACTGCAGTCTGCTTGCCGCTGCCGGTTCTAAACTGCAGCTTGTAATATACCTCCAGTGCCAATACCGGCAGTCTCATTTTGTAGTGGCTCTTTACACAGGTAATATAGGCGCGACCGCGGCATTGACGAGTGGTTTGGCTCCGTTACAGAGTTGTAATCTCTTAATGCCTGCGGTCGCCTAAACCCGTCCAGAATAGGGGCTGCACGAAACCCGACGTACCTGCAGTTCACTGGTCATCTCGTGTCTCAGAGAATCCCGATCACGAGCCATGGCGCCTACGTCCGCCAGGCGAATTCTGCGTCTCTGTTGGGTAGGTATTTTCGATTTTGTTGCGGCCATGCAGTTAGAGATCCAAGCCCCAGGGGGGCGGGCTATAACGCCATGAAGTGGACCTGCGTAGACCAACTCGTCGTCTCGTACGCCTGCAACACTTGCCTAGCCATCATGACCACTTACGGAGCAATACAAGACCCGACGGAAACAGCCCGCGAAGCGTCTACGACATTTGACTCCCGTCGGCGGGACTTGAATTCCGTCTACAAACGAGAAAACAGGCTCGCCGTTCCAGCGTTATGTTCGTCGTGTCATGTTGCCATGACTGCCTAACGCGTGTATACAGGTGCTATCGTGTCTTGGCCGGGATTCGGGCACGGCGTCAGACAACAACCCGGCGTAGACTAGCATGCTCGTGGACGGGGTAGTATTGGCAAGCTCCTTTGCGTCCCGACGTAGCCTTCTGGAGTATTGCGCTATATCGCCGAGTTTTCACGCTGACACGTTGAAATTATCTGTCGCTCCATGGCTTGTTTACTGGGTAGGGGGGCTCGCTTGCCAGTGCGTGCGCTCGCAGGGGCGGCGTGAAGGATGTATAATAGGCGACGCGGACTCGAGAACATCGGTTGCTTGGTGCCCATCAAGCTCTGTCTTTTGTGTCGCCATCTAACTTCGAAGGATCCACCAGGAGGCCGTTCGACCGTGTGAAGGCTCTATCCGCGACACTAAACGAGGTGTCGCGTAAGTATGTCGAACACAACCGTCCCGCACCTATCAGATCCCGGAAACGTCTTCGAGAAGGCCATGGAGTGGGAGAGGATCCCGACTGCGCCGCCGAGGTCGGCTGGCGGCTCGATGACCTCGCTGGAACTACACGACATTAGAGCAGCCAGCGATACCCGTGCGGCCGCCAGCGCGGGGAATAAAGCAAACGAAGAAACGCCGGCGAGCGAGATCGAGAGCATTGAGTATGTCTCGGGCTACAAGCTCGTCCTCCTCTTGATCAGTCTCTCCACGTTCTTCTTCCTGGTCATGTTGGATATGTCGATTATCACTACGGTAGGCTCTCTCGACCTCCTGACGAAGGGGCCCTTGCCCATGTATAAGTCTCGGCTATATATCTGTGTATATTAGGGGCACTCTGGTACGGCAACGCGAAGACGAGTGGAATAATGCTGACGAGACGTTCGCGCCGCTCGACGGAAAATAGGCCGTTCCGCAGATCACATCGGACTTCCAGAGGCTGCAGGACATCGGGTGGTACCATGGTGCGTACCAACTCGCTAGGTACGCATCCCATCCCCGCTCTATCGCATGAGGCACTCCGGGGTGTCTTTCCTCCTCCTTGGGATGCTAACTTGGCGTCCATACACGCAGTGCGACATTGCAGCCCCTGACGGGCACGGTGTACTCGCGCATCAGCGCGAAGTGGGTGTTCCTGGGCTTCTTCGGCGTCTTCGAGCTCGGCTCGCTGCTGTGCGGCGTCGCGCAGTCCTCCACCATGTTCATCGTCGGCCGCGCCGTCGCGGGTCTCGGGAGCTCCGGCATCCAGAACGGCGCCCTGACCATTCTCTCCAGCGCCGTGCCGCTGCTGAAAAGGCCGGGTAGGTAACCGCTGAAAACTCCGCGGCCGCCCTGCTTCTGTGAATCGTGTTTGCTGACGCACAATCGCGCAGTCTATATGGGATTCCTGATCGCCTGTGAGTTCATAGCCTGCGGCTCGTCTGGGTTGGTCGATGTTCGTATGCTGATGATGGCTCGGTAGTCGGCCAGATTAGCATCATCCTCGGACCCCTGATCGGCGGCGCCTTCACGCAATACGTGACCTGGAGGTGGTGTGAGTCTTTCCCCTATTTCCGATTCGACTCCTATCTCGTCTCCTGGCATTTTACTGAGAATATCTGGACCATGCAGGCTTCTACATCAACTTGCCGCTGGGTGGCCTTGCCGGGCTCTTCCTAGCCGTCATACATGTTCCCGACGCGACGGTCAAGCCGCAGATCTCACTAGCGGTGCTCCGTCAGGTTATACCACGGCTCGACCTCATCGGTTTTTCTATCTTCGCACCGGGCGCTATCATGTTTCTCCTGGCCCTGCAGTTCGGCTCCTCGGAGTATCCCTGGAATTCGCCTACGATTATCGGTCTCTTCTGCGGTGCCGGTGCCGCTATCGCGCTCTTCCTGCTCTGGGAGCGCCGCCAGGGCGACGACGCCATGATTCCCTTCTCCATGGTGCGCATCCGCGTCGTATGGGTCAGCGCTATCCAGTATGCCAGCCTGATGACGAGCACCATGCTCGGCGGCCAATTCTTCCCCATCTACTTCCAGTCTGTGAAGGGTGTCGGCGCGACGATGAGCGGCGTATACATGCTGCCCAGTATCCTATCGGGGTTGGTTTTTGTCGTCCTCTCCGGAGTATTAAGTCTGTCCCGCCCACGCTTGGCATGAGAGAATGCATTCCGTGAAGAGCATTTGCTGATTCTGCTTAGCGACTCGATTCGGTTATTACCTTCCGTGGGCGGTTGTCGCAGGGTTATGTACCGCGATCGCCAGTGGCTTGATCTCGACCTGGGGCCCTGAAACCGAGATCGCCGAATGGATCGGATATCAGGTTCTCTTCGGTGTCCGCGGCTGCGGTGCACAAGCGGTTCGTTCCACTGGCCTGCCGCCCTGTCCCCTTGTCTCTGTCCGAGCTGACCTTGCCCTAGGCTATAATTGCACTTCAGAGCAACCTCCCACCGGCCCAGAGCGCCCTTGGGATCGCTTTCTTGATCTTCTGCCAAAACCTTTTCACGGCTGTCTTCGCTGTCGTAGGGAATACTATTTTTACGCAGACGCTGCTAAAAGAAATCTCGAGACTCGCGCCCTCGGTGAACCCAGCCGGCGCCCTCGCGGCGGGGGGTAGCGCCGAGGCTGTGCGGGCGCTGGTGCCAGCGGGAAGCCCGGAGCTGGCTAACGTGTTGCTGGCCTTTTCTAATAGCTTCGACGCGGCCTGCTATGTACTCGCCGCCGCTGCGTCCTTGAGTTTTGTCATGGCTTGGGGGATGGGCTGGGTTGATGTCAGGAAGAAGGTGCCCGAGAAGGGGACAGAGAAGGGGGACGTTTAAGGGGAGGAAGAAGGGCCCGGGCATGCTGAGTGGTATTTTAGAATCATAACCCACAGGCAGTTCGTGGTCGCTGAGCACACGAGGAAAGGAGGGGGTCCTGGCGAGGACTGTAAGACAGGTAAGATGTCCGGACGGATACACACGCCTAACTTCTTTTCACACGCAATACGTAAGGGTTTATACCTACATAGATGAAACATACAATTTTAGAACGGGCATCGGAATACACTGCCGCTCCAGAAGCGTTTTGCCTATTCGAGAACTCAGACACCTGAATCCGTTGGAAGAGGCCGATGAATTGATTTCCGGACTGATTGTAGGAATTATCAATTGGCGGATGAGGTGCATCTATTTCTTTTCTCCGATGACGGGCTTGAATGGACACTCCGTGCGGAACTACCATGCTCGCGTATCGGGCAGCGTCCTAACAATGCGGGTTGGTCGCTGGCGTCCAGAGGTGGGTGAAATGACAGTTCCTGACCATTCCAACACGAGAGACGGTCTACTGTATTCCGGAAGACGAGGAGGCATGGAGAGATAGTGTCATTGTGGGATATCACGGCAGGGTCTATGGCCCAGTCCCTGGGACATCTCCGCTTTATTGAATGAGAATGTCGGGTCGAAATGGGGCAATCCGGGAGTGACGATAGCTGATGGCTGTGCTGGCATAGTGTTGTTTTTCTGCACCACCACTTGTGAATACCTCGCGGCGCCAACGAACACCGTAAACCCAGTCGAAGACGAGTTCAGCCACGACTCCGCCATGAGCGAGAGCCACATAGAGATGTGAGACAGGGGAGGGTGGCAGAGAAGCCCACTAATAGCGAGGGAGAGCGGGTAACCGGGAGCCATCTCATCCCAGCCCCCTCCAATGATTCAATGGGATGTGGAGGACGCCCAGTCACCCTCGCCGTTTCGCTGGCGCCCATCATCAATTAGCGGGTGGACTGGCGCGCGTGGGCAGCTCGTGAGTGAGCTGGGGTCCGTAAAATCTTCTCGAAATAGTTTATATAGGTAGCTTGGTTCCTGGTGTTTGGTAGCCAAAAAAAGTCCACTTGGATTCTCTTTTGCATGCTCTAGATTTTAAAGACGTTCTCTCTCTCTCTCTCTCTCGTTATTTTTAGTTGCGCAACCTATCTCTAGACTTACACGGCAGTCCAGTACCTCACCAGGTTGCGCCGAGGACAATGCCATTCATTCCCAACACCCCCGAGTCCCATCTGGGTCGGTCTGATTCTAAGAATCCAGAGACAACTTGTCGAGGCATTACTTCGGGAGGCCGGCCCTGCCGACGACCCTTAGATGCCCCTCCGAAGGGATCCCGTATTAAGGGCAAGAATGCGCGCGTGGACGACCTGCGCGATCCCGATCTCTACTGCTGGCAGCACAAGGACCAGGCGAACCTGTCCGCGCAGTCCAGCCCCGGCCCAAGGACAAAAATCACCCCTATTCTCGAATCTCGCCCCAGCGTGGATACCCTGATCGGCCGACTGGGCATAGTCGAAGCACAACAAGGGGGACATTCGGCGGGCGGCAATCGCCACGACGAGAAGTACTCACAGCCTCAGCAATACTCGGAAACAAAAAAGAGGACGACTTTCTGCTGCTGCTTCACCCTGCCCGATGTAGAAGAAGAGCTCCCGACCCGCCCGCAACCGACACCGATACAGAGCGCGCCCCAGAGACCAGCTTCTTCAAAGTTACCATCGAGCCAACAGCACCTGGCGCCCCCTTCAGCACATTCGCGACCTGCCTCTTCATCCTCTAAGCGCCCGTCCGAGAAATCCACGACATCCCAGACGTCGCAATACTTAACATTAATCCCCCCGACGGCGTCCCCGCAGACGGCTTCGCAGCTGATGGCGGAATTGGCGAAGCCCATCTCGCAGCAGGACGAGCCCGGATACATCTACATATTCTGGCTGACGCCCGAGTCGCAGCCGGCGGGCCCCCCCGCCGAAGCGGCTAGGTCGCTCCTGTCGCCACCCCGGCCCGACGCCCGGCAGAGGCGGCCCAGCGACGTCCTGCAGTCGTTCGCGGTCAAGAACAGCAAGACGAGTTCGTCGAGCAAGAAGACGATCCTCCTGAAGATCGGCCGGGCGACGAACGTCCAGCGGCGCCTCAACGAGTGGACGCGCCAGTGCGGCTACAACCTGTCGCTCATCCGCTACTACCCCTACATCCCGTCCAGCAACCCGACGACGCCGCGCAAGATGCCGCACAGTCACAAGGTGGAACGGCTCGTGCACCTCGAGCTGATCGGCGCCGGCCTGCGGGTGAGCGACAAGGCCGTCTGCGAAGCGTGCGGGAAGTCTCACCGAGAGTGGTTCGAGGTCGACGCCAACAGAGAGAGCGTCGTGATGGTCGACGAGATTGTCAAGCGGTGGTCGGACTGGGACGAATCCAGGGCATAGTGAAATTCTCACAGTACCTCTTCCGAGACGGCGCAGCACGACGACGACGTCATGAGGGACGTGGACAGGGGTTCTTTTTCATTTTTCATTTTTGAATCTGGCATGGCGTTTGGTAATGATCAGGTAAATTCGGTCCGGCGGGCGGGCATGGGTAACATTTATATAAAAAAACATGACACGCAGCCACTACGGCCCGGCTTCGGCAGTTTGAACATGTGTGTGTGTGCCACTTCGTGTCCCTTACATACCCAAGTCGCTATCGTATTTTGCATAGGTGAGTGTTTCGTTTCTGTCCTCCAACGCCATTCTCGTGTAAACGTGGGCATCCCAGAGCGTTGGATCGAGCCGATGTAAGCGGTCTCCCCCCTCAGCCGCTTGCTGGGCTGGTTGCACGTTTGTTGACAATGTACTCCATGGAGAGACAGATGGCTTTCCGTCGGCCGGCGCAATGATACCAACAAGGGCTCGTCGTCCGAAGAGCAGCCCCGAAGGATTCCTCTCCTGGAACGATCGTACCCGATGCATCCAATAAGCGGCGCGAGTTGTCGTGCTGAAGCACTGCAGATCTCATAGTGATAAGCCAGGCAGGCGGACCTTGCTGTTGGATTACCATCCAGTCCCTACGATACATGGCTTCATCGTGGCGTTCTCATGCGCGTGTTCGGCGGCCCCTCGTGATTGCGCCCAATCAACCCACAACTTCAACTGCCATCCCGGGACCTAGTAGATGGACACGAACCAGTCTCCCGAAATAACTCGGTCTCCATACTAACCGATTTTTGGCGTTACCTCGAAAGCTGGTTGGGCGGGAGGCGTAAGACGGGCCAAGAGGGCGTTCCGGGTACAGACTCGGATGCTATTCGTCGTACACTTGCTCCCCCTTCACCCCCTCCCGAAAGTGCAAATCCTACGATGGCTACGCTAGTAGTGGTTATTGGATGCTGAATATACAAGTGCAGGAACCGAACCCCCTCTCCTCTTTGGCATGGTATATACCCATACGCATTCTCGGGAGCAACCAGACTAATAACCATGTCGTACCTCTGTTTGGGGTGTCTTGGGGTTGAGGGCGCATGAATTAATGCTCGGCTGCAACACACGCCGGTGGGATACAAGCGCCATCCAGCCTCGTAGGGATCAGATTACTTGTCTCTCCCGTCGAACCCCGCCGTGGCGTGGTCAGAATTGTACACATCCCGGCGACGGAAAGACAACGACGGTCCCTAGCCGAAGCACACTGGTCGATGGCAAAGTCAGCGTGGTGAGGCTATGGGGACTGTACGCTGTAGAAAAGACTCACCACTGCACGTTGCTATGGAGGCTGGTAGATTCGGGCAATAATGTGACGGACACGCGATCCTTCACTAGCCTTCATAGCCGGATCGAGATTTGTCCGGCTACCTCTCTGGGGTGGCATCCCTAAAAGCTCTCTAGACTGCGTGTCTCATCCTCTAGAAGGAAGATGCTTAGGTGAATGGATGCCACCTAGGTATTCCGCCGCCGGGGTCGTCCTACCGCTGCTAAGGTGACTGGTCGGTAGAAGCTCCTATCGGCACCCCTTGCTAGCTGACTCCAAATGCTACCGTCCTTCCCACGGCACGTATCAAGGGTTAATATCCCTATGCTCGCTAACTCGTGGCAATATCTGCCTCGAGAATACCTCGTATACAGACTCCGATCTAGTAGCCCGCTTAAATTCACCATCTCCGCGTGCGCGGACAGGCTGTAGAGTCAGCGCTCATTTGGCGCTCCGGTTTGCGCTTCCCACAAGACCTCGCCGTCACTCACCATCATGACAGACGCCTCATCCGTCGTGGGTCGCGACGATGGCCACGCCACGCAGTATCCGCTAGCGCCCAGTACGACCGTTTCGGTCGACCAGAATGCGTCGCTATTATCGTGGGGCAGCGGGAGTGCGCCATCTCTGCCATCGGTAGACGGCGAATCGCAGACGGTTAGTGCTGCGACAAGCGACGGTGACAGTATCGTTGATTAACTAGGGCAGGAAACAACATCGATTTCGGGAAGCATGCGGTATGATCTAGCCGAGTAATTCATTCGTATATATCCGGACTGGTCACTTTCTAACATCAGGTTTCATCAAAAAGATCCTCTACCATGTCGTTAGATTCGAGTCTCTGCCATTTCGTCGAAGAGAATGGCCGCACTTACCATCGCTACAAAGAAGGCAGTACGATGTACCCGTAGGCCACGGAACCCAGGCTGATCGCTGACATCTTTATAGGATATTTCCTACCAAACGATGCTGTAGGTTACGAGATCCACGCGACGGGATCTTCCAACTGCTGACGCACGAATAGGCAGAGCAAGAAAGATTAGGTAACTTGTTCCCTCTCCCCTAACCCTGGATGACTCGATATATCATATCATATATCATATCATATCATTGCTTACGATCGGGGTAGACCTACAACACCAATTGTTTACGATAGCTATCGGGGGCAAGCTATACATCGCGCCGGTCCCGGAAAACCCCAAACGAGTATTAGATATCGCGACAGGTGAGACCGGGTTCCTCGCCGTTGAAATATTCTCCTGGCTCACAGATTCCTAGGGACAGGCATATGGGCTATAGACTTTGGTTCGAGACGCCACTCCAGAGACCATCGCGACTGGTGCTAACGCGCCGCTCCTAGCTGTCCAGCACCCTAGATCCCAAGTCATCGGGACCGACCTCAGCCCTATCCAACCCCAGTTGTAGGTCCGCCCGCGCGCATGCCATCGTATCCTCCCCGTCTGGCCGGCGCCTGCTAACCTATCCGTCTGGGGCCCCGGGTAGCTTGCCGGAGAACTGCAAGTTCGAGATCGACGACGCGGAAGACGAGTGGACGTTTAGCGAGCCGTTCGACTTCATACACGGGCGGGCGCTGATGAGCTGCTTCAACGACCCGGCGGCGGTGGTGCGCCAGGCGTTCGCGCACCTGGCGCCGGGCGGGCTGATGGAGTTCCAGGACGCGCTGTTCCCGATGAGCTACATCGGCGAGGCGCCGACTGCGTCGGCGCTGTACCGGTGGAACCAGCTGATGATGGAGGGCGTCGGGCGGCTCGGCCGCTCCTGGAGCAACGTGCAGCACTACCGCCGCTACTTCGAGGAGGCCGGCTTCGTCGACATCGTCGAGAAGCGCTTCTACTGGCCCACGAGCCCCTGGGCCAAGGGCCTGTACTACAAGACCGTCGCCGCCTACTTCCAGGAGGACATGCTCGCCGGCCTCGAGGCCATGAGCCTCAAAGTCCTCGGCGGCCTCGGCATGTCCCCCCGCCAGATCCGCGAGTTCGTCGAGGACGTGAAGCGCGACTTCTTGGACACGAACCTCCACGCGTACTTGACAGTGTCAGTCTTTCTCTCCCCCCGCGCCCCGACGGCACTTCCTGGGACAAACCCGCTCACTCCTCGTAGGACGTATATATACGGATATAAGCCCCAATATCCGCTTTGAAAGGGGGGTTATCCCGAGGGTTTACCTTTGACGCGGCATTGCTCGCGTGGCCCTTCTTCGGCTACCTATTTCGTAGGCTCCGGCACTTCCGGCTCCTCGCTGCATCGCCCGCCCGCACCCTTACTGCTCTATGTATATACGCCCTGGTCAGCCTTAAGCATCGTCACCTCCCTAACCCCACATAGTTGCCGCGGGGGGTGGGTGGTGTGGTAAGTGAGTTTCATTCAATGCAACGTCGCGATCGTACCAACTGCCCGGGCTTCCTGGCACGAAGGTGATTACCATATGCGGCGGCTAACGCGTTCGTGCTTCTCAGGATGACGTTGCTGGAGGGGCCGGGTATATATATTCCCAACGGGCTAAACAATACGGTCGGAGCAGGTGAGTAGAGGGACGGATGGTTGTGAAATATCCCCTGCAGTGCATCCATCGCTTCGGAATCGAAAATGACGACACGTGCTGGTTAAAACGGGAGAGGAATTGTAACAGCTCGTATGCGAGAGCATAGTGGATGAGGACGGCGAATTGATTATGCTTTTCAACCTCCATGATCATCCGCAAAAATTGAATGGGATGAAACGAAAAAGCGTCGGCGCCACCGGGGACACGATGAGTGGTTTTTAATAAGAAGCATATACTGAGTACATCAATAAATCGGCGCATATTCTGCTACCTATATCTCGGTTACGAACTGCAGCTCGCTAGGTTGTCGAGGTAAAGTGGTGAAGGAGGTGTAGAGACCGGCAGCTGGTAGGTTTAGTGTGTTGCGCGGTTCACTACTGAATCGCTCGCGACTCTTGTGCTGGAGCGTAGACAGGTACATACATAAGTCCGTGTGTCTTTGCCGCCAGGTGGCTTTGTAGTCCATACAAAAATATGGCTCAGACGATCCGATACCCTGAAGAGCTAAGGGTCTTAGTAGTGACAGTTCCTGGCTTGCTCCGAGGCAGATGGCGCCGAGAAGGGAGGCGACGCCGGATCGTGATGAGTGGGGGGTTCGTCGGGTCTGGGCGTGATGAAAACTACAATACGGAGCATATCGTGAAATGTATACACTCTGCCTCTATGCCTTACGTTAGTTAGGTTGGACAGTATAGAGGCGGTGGTTGCGTGGCCGGTAACAAGGCCAATGGATCGGCCTGGCTACGGGATCTTCGTCGAGTCTTTGACCAGTAGGCTCGCCAGGGAATCGTTACGCGCGGGGACCCCTGTGTTGATCAGAAAGGTAGGTAGGTATCTAAGCCAAGCCTGTAGATTCGACAAGCCCTCTAATGCCGAATCGCCATCGCGAGTTTCTGACGGAGACACCTCCCCCCTACACAGGGCTCGGAAGTGCAGACCTGGAAGTAGGTATACGCCTATCTGCATGCCTTGCTGGCCTCTCTCTCTGTCTCTCTCTCTCCGCCCACGGATAGGACGCTTATATAAGTACCTATAGTCCAAGTAGGATCCGAGCTCTGGCAAATGTAGCACCCCTACTTGGACTGTGTCGAGGGCACAACATGTTCGAGAAGGGGGTTTTCTCTCTTACCTACTTACATGAGCCGATGGGCACCGGTAATCTGCCTCCTAACCATTGGCAATAACTCTGCTAGGAAGAAATCATTAACAAAACCCCCTCAGTGACACTACAAGGATGCGATAGATGCTTGGTAATCGTAACGGGTACCGGGCCTACTGAGCCAAGAGGCTGACGGGGAGGTGGAATCCATTATCACAGGATGGTTATTAGGTTGGCTTACCTACCTTTCTTAACGCTTTCACCTCGTATGCGATAAATCGACAACATATTACCTACCTAGTATGATCTACCTTTACCTATCGTATAAGAAGCCTAGCACATGCCTACCAAGAGACTGCCTATAAACCAACTCGTACCCAACACTATATAGTCGTCACGTAACCGTAGGTATGGCATACGAATACCGCGGACGGCATCACAGATACAGGGCCCTTGTACCGGTACCTCTCGGTACCTAGGTACTTTAAGCCGCGTACCCCGCCAGTCCCCCTCCTTTCGCACGCAGCGCAGTAGCGATAATGCGAGATGCGCCGCGTCGGAGTAAAGTCATGAAGCGAAAGCCGACGGCACTCGACACCGCTCAATGAGGTGAGCGATGCCAATCCCTCGCCCGACGGAGACGGAGACGCTACGGACGATCATTTGCGAATAGGCAGGTCGGTATATAACGCCTAGGTCTCGCGACGCGAGGTTGCTCCTCTGATGGCCACCCCGCACCCCAACCCACCATTCTCTCGTCTCCATCTTCCTTAGCTATACCTACCGACCTGTCCACCCAAGCCTACACAATGTCCTTGTCTTCGTGCTGCCTCAGGGCCTTTCAGTGGAGCGGCACTCCCACCGGAAGAGTCGACAAGCTGGCCGGCAACGATACCTACATCGCGGGGGACAATCCCGACGCCGCCATCCTGTTCGTCCACGACGTGCTAGGCTGGACCTTTCCCAACGCGCGGCTGCTGGCGGACCACTACGCGCGCGAGGCGAACGCGACCGTGTACCTGGTCGACTTCTTCGGCGGAGAGATCGTCCCGCCGGCGCCCGTCCTCGCCGGCGAGTTCCACAAGATCGACCTGCCGGGCATCGTGAAGCGGAACGCGCGGGAGATCCGCGAGCCGGAGATCTTCGCCTGCGCCAGGGCGCTGCGCCAGAAGTACAGGAAGGTCGGCGCGGTCGGCTACTGCTACGGCGGGTGGGCGGTGTTCCGGCTCGGCGCGGCGGAGCACGACCCGCCGCTGGTCGACTGCGTCTCGGCCGGCCACCCGTCGCTGCTGACCACCAAGGACATCGACGAGGTCGCCGTGCCCGTCCAGCTGCTCGCCCCCGAGATCGACCCCACCTTCGCCCCCGAGCTCAAGACCCACGCCTTCGAGACCCTGTCGAAGCGCAAGCAAGAGTTCGACTACCGCCACTTCGCCGGCGTCCAGCACGGCGCCCTCGTCCGCGGCGACGAGAACGTCCCCGGCGAGCGTCTCGCCATGGCCAGGGCCAAGGACGCCGCCGTCGCCTGGTTCAACCAATTCCTGCACGAGCCCTGAGACGATCGGCATTGCTGCCACCGCCCGATGGCGTAAAAGGCGTAGGAGTCGGCCGCGTACATACCTGCGTATGACGATGCGGTCCGATATACAGCAATGGGTTACTTCGTTAGGGAATTAAATCACTCTACTCTGGCGCAATGGCGGCTCGAGAGCGTACCTATTTCGTGCCGTTGTCCATCTCTTCGATAGCCATTCATTCCGGGTTACTTCGACGTGAACTAGAAGAGTGCAATCTGAAGCGTCAGGTAGGTCTCTATGAAGCTGTGTACGTAATGAACCAGCCGCAATTACTAGGTGGTAAGCACGATAGAGGTATACCGTGTTAAGCCGTTCGTCGCAGGCCTTCACCAGTGATGGAGGGACTCCTCGACGCATCTCCGCCGAGTTATCACGACAGCTCGCGTGTAAGCAAGGAATATAGGTATAGTATACCGATTCGTCACAGTCGCGTATTCGATTGACGTACCCACGTACAACTTGTAGTATAACCTCAGCTTCACTCTGTTCTCGCAGGAGTTCGAACCGAACGTGTCTCAATGGTAGCATATACTTAGACTATTGAGCTGGCAAGCAGTAAGAGAGCCTCAAAATATCTAGAACTATGTGGACACTGAGCAGGTCTAGACATAAATTGTTACTCTCCCCCGAAAAACGCCGCAAGACCACGGCTAACCTCCCGCTTCCGCGACATAACCCGCTCTGAAACGTACTACCATATGTTATATAATAACGGGCTATCCCCCTAGCGGGCTACCTATTTCCTATTAAAAAATACGAAAACTAACCTATTTTAATTATACCGCTATTTATTAATTTTAAAGTTATTTAGGAAATATTATAAATATAATTCGTATAGAACTTTATCTTTAATTATACGTTTTCCCGGTTTTAATTAAACGTATATTACGGGAGATATTATAGGTTAAAAGTAGCGGTAAATATAAATATATAGTTATAAACCATTACTTAATTAATAGGAGTAAATATTAATTAGATCTCGATTAAATAAGCTTCTTTTATTATGAAACCCGTTTAAAAGGATCTCTTAGCGTTTGTTATGCGATTAGTTATTTAGGAAGGCGTTTCGATACGTCGTTTAATTATTATATATAGCGTTTCGCGAATTACGTTAACGGCTCGGCTTTAGGGTAAGTAAGCGCGGTTAGAGGTTTAATTATAATAACGCTTAATAAATAAGTAAAAGGAATATCTTACTACGTAGATTTTACGTTAGGAATAACTAAGGCTAGCTCCTAACTACCGTATTATTCGCCGAATTACGTAAGATATTTTAAACGCGAACGGCGATCTACGGCCTCTTAATAAGAATTAGCTTCATAACTTCCTAAAGCGTAACCCCTTAATTACGGTAAAATCCGGGCGTAAAACTAAAGCTTTTCGTTTTAACTACTTTAATAAAAGGGCTATGGATTAATATTTCGGTATCCGGGAAGCCGAATACGGCTAGATATAGCTTTATCTTACCTTTAACGTCGATAAGAAAGAAATTATACTCGGCTAAGGTAAGTAGCCTCTTCCATTCTTATCCTTCCGTTTCCGTATTAATTAAGGCATTAAAGCTCGATAGCTTAGTTCTCGGGAGCTTAAATACTAAAAAAGCGATCGTTAAGAGCTCTTAGGTTAAAACCTAGGCTTCGTTTATTAAGTATATTAGCGCTACGGGCCTTACCTTCCGACCGGGTATTATCTTTAAAGGAAAGGAGCTTTAAACGACTTAGTTTACGAATTAATTTATAAAGATCGCCGATTAATACTTTATAACCTTAAATAACGGTTAATCGGATAGCTATATTACGTTAAAGTAGCTAAAGAAGGTATTTATTAAGGAAACGGATGGTCTTTTTTCCTACGAATCTAACGCCTACTTATTAATTTTAAACGGCTATAAAAGCTATATTATTATTAATTTATTTATTTCTTAATTAACTAACGTTAATTTCGTATTTTTACGGTTTTTTTTTAATTTCTTAGAAGCGAGTATTATTAACGTATTACGATCTTAGGATAAGTTTATAACTACTTATTTCCGGTATAATATTTACCTATATTTCTTATTAACGTATACCTCTTACGGCTTATAACCGCTCGATAACGGCTTATTTAACGCTCTTAAAATAACTTATAAGAAGTACTTAAATTAGTTATACTCCTTAATAAATACCGCGTCGATTAATAAATTAAACTTCTTACGTTACTTATACGCGGTAAGAATCGACGCCTTTACCGAGAAAAACGTTTATACCGGCTTTAAGGTAACTAAAAACTAGCTAATAAGCCGTAATAAGGCCTTAAAATACCCTAAGCTTTAGGAGGAGAAAGATATAACCGAAACGAATTAACGCGAGAACCTAAAAAAGGAGAGCGTAAAGATATAGGTTTACGCGTTAAAAGCGATTAACGAGGTTAGGAAAGTCGCCGTTAATCGATCTTTACGTACTCGCGTAGCGTTAAAAGACGTTACTAACGTATATTACGACCTTCGTATTAAAATAATATTTAAAGATTACTAGATTTCCTCGTTAATGGCTTAATTAAAGTTAAAAAGCTAGTTTAAAAGGAGAATTATTTCTAACCTTAATAAGCGTTTCTAATTCCTTTACGAAATATTAACTTACGATTAGGATAGCTAATAGCTACTTAATATTACGTTAAAAGCCGTAATTAAGTAATAATAGTAATAAGAGGAATAAGAGGAAAAGGAGGAAGTAACGGTAGCTTAAAAAGAGCCTATAAGCTAACTAAGTAAAGATAAGGGGAATACTTAATTACTATATCGCGTCCGATTATTACGCGTAATTAAGGCTCCGGTACGCTTTAGAGATTAATTAAATAACGCGCTTTAATTTAATATATCTTTTATAATTTTACGAATTTATTTAAGTAAGCTATTTAATTTATAAAAGGGCGACTTTTAAGGCTTTTTAGTAAGGATAGGATAGCCCGCTAGGGGGATAGCCCGTTATTATATGACATATGGTAACTCGAACATTCATCCGCGTCTGAGACGGCGACCCTCCTCGATTCTGTTACCTGCCGAGCCCTATCTGCGCTACTCGAACCGGTTTTCCTCGTAAAAGGTGCTGCGCAGAGGTAGATCGGTGTCGATCCCCTTGGTGTCCTTCATGTGGCGGTCGAAGCTCTGCGTCGACAGCTGCACCTTCTCGAACAGGGAGCGGTCCAGCACCGGCGCGGCGGGCGGCTGCTGGCCGCGGCTGCGCGCCGCCTCGACGGCGTTGGTATAGTTGTGGTGGGCGAGGCTCGAGGCGATCTGGAAGGCGTTGCGGATCTGGCGGCCGTTCCAGCAGCCGGTGGAGCGGGCGTTGTCCTCGAAGTGCTTGCCGGCGAAGTCGATGATCTCGTCGGTCTTGATGACGAGCGTCGGGTCGCCGGTCATGTCGTGGCGCTGGGCCTCGATCTCGCGCAGCTTGGAGATGTTGAGCCGGAAGATGTCGCGCGTCTGCGCCTTGTCGAGCGGCGGGTAGTAGAGCGACATGTGGATGCGCGACTTGAACGCCTCGTCGATCGTGCCGACGCGGTTCGTCGTCAGGAAGAGCAGCCCGTTATAGTACTCGAGCACGCGCAGGAAGACCGAGACCAGCGCGTTGCGCTTCATGTCGACGCGCGACCGCTGCGACAGGAACACGTCCGCCTCGTCGAGCAGCAGGACGCAGTCCCACAGGTGCGCCAGGCGGAATACGTTATTCAGCGAGCTCTCGACCTCGGACGGCGAAAGCCCGAGGTCACCGCACGTGATGACGAACAGCGGCTTGCGGTACTCCATGGCCACGGCCTCCGCCGTCGCCGTTTTGCCGACACCGGGCACGCCGTGGAGGAGGACGACCAAGCCACGACCCTTGTTCTGGATCAGATCCTGGCTCGGCCCCTCCGTCGCCATGTCGACGTAGCGCCGCTCGAGCGACTTCTTCTGGAAGTGGGATGCGACGAGGCCCCTCACAATGTCCTTGTAGTCGTTGAGGATCTTCAGGTTCTCGAACACGCCCTGCTCTCGGCGGATGGCCTTGAGGAAGTGGCTGTTGACGGGTACGAAGCGACGCTCGCGCAGGGCGTAGGCGAACATGCGCTTGGGCAGGAGAACGAGGTCCTCGTCGCGCAGCTCTTGTCCGGTGTTGGACTTGACATCGTGGGTGCGGGCACCCTTGGCTCGCTGACGTAGGAACAGGTCCACGTTGAGGTTCTCGCGACGCTGCCACATCTCGACTCCGTCCAACTTCTGGACGATCTCGCGCTGTGCGTAAGCAAGGTTCTGGCGCGACCCGTCGAACCACTGCTGGATGTTCATCTCGTCGTCCTCTACCTCGCATCGGATGGATTTGGTGAGGGTCGTCCGGTGGAACGTCGGGCGCCAGTCGGGGTTCTGCTGGTACGCCTCCGCGAGGTCAACGATGACGTCGCTCTCTACAAATTCGGGGTGTCTCATCTTGTTGCCGTTCTCGTCGCTGAGAATCTCGTACTCAGGGTCGTCGTTATCGTACGGCGGATTCCTGGTGAGCGTCCATGCGTTGTACGACTGGTGCTTGTCGGTGAGGTACCGCTGGAAATCCCGGCCTTGCTGCTCGAAGGTCTGCAGAAGCTGCTTGTGGTCCGGCCGGTAGCGGATGGGGAAGACCTCGAGGCTCTCGATGAGCCGCTCCCCGGCGAACGACTCGATCTCAAACATGTGACGCACCGCGCCAAAGGTGTTCCCGTCGTGGTCGATGTAGTAAGCAAAAATATTGAACTTGGCCTTCTTATCTTGCTGAAGCTCGTCCGAGAAGAACTCCCACCCCATCTTCGAGGGGTAGGATACCTCGGGCTCGGGCACCTCAACTCGGTAAATTCGCCAGAGTTCATGGTAGCGACCAGCCGTCTCCCCGGCTGCCGGCATGTAAATTATGTCGCCGACTCGGAATAGAGACCATAAGTCGTCGTACTTGACCTTGTCCGCGCTGCTGCCGTCATACTGATTGTGCAGAGGCATGATCTCATCATCAATGAATTTGATGTAGCACCGCATGTCCCGTAGGGCCTCGGGGCCATCCATGATACCGTCTAAGTCTTCGGCATTCGTGTCGACCGACAGCAGGGACTCGGTATCCTCATTGTCACCCTCGCCGCCATCCTCACCCTCTTCCTTGGCGTCGTCGCTCTCCACGATCTCTACCTCCTCAGGAGATTCGTTGACCTTCTCGGACCTAATCTCTTCAAGCTCCTCGTAATCGGCCCACTTCTCTTCCAAGGTGGCGAGGATCTCTTTCATTTTGGGCTGGAAGTAGACCAACGGCTTGAAAGGACGCAGGAAGGTACGAGGAGTAGATCTATTCTCCGTATCCTTGAGCAGCGCGGTGAGATGGCCGAGAACTGGCTGGGACTGGATGCGGATACGTTGGATTTCGGTGTCGCTCGCCTGGGGAGGCTCAACTTTCCTCTCCCTCCTGTTCCTGTCCCCGGCCGAGTAGACGGGCTCCCTAGCGACGCCGTAGGGGAACATGTATTTCTGGCGTATGCGAGCGAGATCTTCCTTGCGCCGGGCTGCTTGCTCTCGCCGAACCTGGGCTTGAAAGTTGGGCCCGGCCATGAGGACCTCGATCGCGTAATCGGGCTCGTCAAGGTCGTGGAACCGATTCTTGAAGTTCTCGAAGTTTACCTTGCGGACTTCGGGGATCTTGGCCCGCCACTTGGCCTCATTTCGGCGGCGATCAGCAAGAATCCGCTCACGCCTTTCGGCCTCCTTCTGCGCTGCGAGGAAGGTCGGGTCATTATCGCGGTGATGATGCCGCGTCGTCTGGGTGGCGCTCTTGCTGCCGCCACGCCTAGTCCTAGCCATTGTGAAATAATATGGTTGGGATGCTGTGTCTGTCTAAAAAAGGGGAGAGGCGAGGATACTAGACAAGGCAGGTCGGCTCGAAAAGAAGACAGTAGCGGTTGGGTTAAGACACCAAAGCCAATGCTGATAACATAAATATTCGATGGTTATAGAGTTATATATATACAGATTCACATTGCACCTATTGCACGTCCTGAGGCTCTATGTGGTCCTCGCGGATTTGCACCATGTCAATAAGGCAACCATCCAAACTGCATACAGCATGTAGGACTTCTCGCTCTTGGTGTGGATGGAGAGGCCTCTCTGGCTAAGCGGCAGCGAGATGCCTCTGTAGGGGCTGAGCGGCTTGAGTCACTCGGTAGCACATCCCGGCCATCCCAAACAGGAAGCCAGCCATCATACGACGTTTAGCGGAGAACTACGAAGCTGCCTGCTCGACACCGTCAACACTAGACCCATCTGGTCTCGCGTCTAGCGGGAGTCACATTGGCGTTGGCACGGCCTGGTGCCAGCACAACGCCGCAGTGCAGGCGGGGGGCCGGCATAGGCGTCTTCCAGCCAATCGTGGATATGTGGGCTTGATCGTATCCCGGCTAGACTACTTCGAATCTGATACGCAGCCAGGCACACACCAGCAGGAGGAGATGCTGGATTCGCGTTTTGGAATCGCCGTGGGGGCTAAATGGACTTCGCTGACTGGATAGTCTTACGACGCCGTCGTGCTGACGACAGCCAGATTGGTGCGAGGCTTACATGCGCACGTCGCGACAAGCCGAGATGTCGTGAATTCGCCACGTCAACCTCGGCGTTGATTGTCGTCGTCGAATGCTCTGCAGATCGCCGCCGCGGGTTGAGGAGATTGGTGTGGGTGGGTGGGTGTGGAGGTGGCGTCGAGGCAACCAGGTAGATTTGAAGGACGAGCTCGACTTCAACCCGCGCTGCCACTCAGCCTCAACGGTCAGGCAGTTTTCGGCACATTAAAGCTTATAGGTATAGGTATACCCATGCCATGGTGGTATCCAATCAGCAGCAAAGGAGTTGCACACCCACGTTGTATGCCTCTACACTATCGGTCGAGCAGACCGTCCTCGCAGATCTCTCCCGCCTGCCTGATTCGGTATCACCGCGATGTCGATCGAAGGAATATCAGGATATACTTGATTCCTGGCGCATCCCCGCCCGTCGGAGTCATCGGCCGGCTTGGTAACATACCTACCTAGCGAGCTGAAAGACACGGCATATGAGTCGGTGGCTTTTCATTGACGAGGGGTGCAACTAAATAATAGGCAGCTAGCGGGCCCTCGCTGTATTAGGTATGCCGTAGAACCCTGGAGGCTCTTGTATGATTATAGTGCCCAGACAATAGGCTCCGGGATCCTTGTTGGGGCGCAGGTGTATGCCCACACTAGGAAAGCCACCAGCTAATAGTACTACGGAGTCGTTTAGAGTGGTGACTCATACACCTAGGCCAAGTAAGAGGAATCATCCCGGTAACAAAGGTATTATATACCTACCGCAAATCACCAGAGGCTCTTGTGCGGTATAAGAGAGACAGCAGTATTTCAACGTACAGGAGTATTAGTACGAGTCCCCCTCTTAAGTTAAGCCACCCCCTAGTGTCTCTCCAGTATTATGCGATAACCGTTCCTCTCGTATCTTTGCTCTACTTAGCTCTTGCACCGCATTTTGGATGGGGTACGTGGTTGTAAGAAAGTGGTTCTTATTCTGAACTGTGTCTTGAGCGATAAAACGTACACGTGGAACGGCGGTTCTATTGCGGCTTTTTCTCGACCCCCATGCTTAATTGGATATTGATTGAGAGGGCGATGAAATACCTAATCACCGGGGTCTCTACAACATGTATAGAGGACACTAGGGAGGGAAAGCGGGCAAAGATAGGGACCGCGAGTCCAGAAGTTGCCGTATAGGAAGCTATATTACATCCCCAATGTCACATACAAAATTGAACCAGCCCTTATATGCCTAGATACCGCAAAGCGTATCGTAGGCGTCTACGTTTTACGCGACACCTAACTATTGAGATATTATATGCGCTTTGTAAACGAAACCCGAGCTTCCTCCCTGCTTGGCCATACCGTCTCATGATTCGACCCTCTCTATCCGATACAGGATGGACACGATACCCAAGTTGGCGGGTGACCATGGAGACGAGCGACAAATTATTACCAGACAAATCTTACGCAGTCCAGACCTGTTATGTTACAATCTCGTGGCTAATGGCCCGTTAATATTGCGTATAACCTCACAAAGCCTCCATCCAAGTATTGCTCTGCCACATTCAATACACCGACACAGTACAACGATGAGGTTCATGGTTGTCTTGCGGATCTTGCTCGACGGCATAGACAGAGTAACTGCCGCGATGCGGTTTGACTCGGTAAACGACTTTCATCAGCCTTCTCGTCTTGTCGCAGAGCCAAAGACGGCTTCGTACAACGCAAATCTCCAAGCAGATGCCCGCCTCCACACTCTACAGTGACATTCGTGGTGCGGACGCGATGTCTCAGCTTTCTCGTAAACCGTCGTTCGCGCGAGACAGGAACAATCTTCAGGTCGGGACATACCTCAACGACGTATCACCAACCTGTCTAGCCGGCAAGTATGGGGACACCGAGGGGATCCTGAGAGATTGAAATTGATCTTCGCAAGCAAGAGATGCTTGGAAACTTCTCTCTCGACTATGGCTCGCAAGCTGGCTTCCACGAATGTTGGGCCTGTCAGATCACCTGCCGTCCAGCCACGACCGACGCTCTGTTCCAAAACGACTATACCAACTACATTCCTTCTGCTTCGGGCGCGCCTGGAGCCTGAAGTGTATGTGGTGCTCGAGCGAATGTCCAATGCACCAGCAAACGGGACGCTATTATTGGAAACCTCTCCGTCGTCAGCATGAAGCCTTTCGGTTCAGTTCTCGTCTTGATCGTGAGCCTCCTATTACCTCAATTTGCAGTCGTGTTTTCGGGTGAACCGCTTCCCAACCCGCCGTTGCCCCCATGGTACCCTCTCGGGGCTTGGCAAATCGAGTCGTTCTTCGGAGTCCGTGAGACGATCGGCCCTCCGCCGAACTCAACCAACATTACCAGCCTCAGCATCGTGCTCGTCAACCCCAACAGGGTCCCGGCGGTGGAGCTGGGCAAGGGTGACTACATTTACTACGATGCTAGTGTAGGGATATGCTGGGTACAGTGGAACGACCTAGGCCTCCCCTACAAAAGTCCCTGTGGGAAGAGGCATGTTGGCAGTATCTCGGTGTCAGAGTGGGATGTGGAGATACGGAGTACCGGTACGAAACCTTCGTATTATATCGATTTCACCGTATCGCTCTCCGACACGACGCTTTTTTTGTAGCAGGATTGCTACAAGCTGTACACGGCGTCTGCCAGGTTCGAAGTGGGGGGGTCCTGAACGAGCAGTGCTCCACAGACGGGCGTTGCTCGTTCGGTACGAGGGAGGACGAGAGGCCGATTCCCATTCAACCTGTTCTGCAAGAATGCAAAGCCGCTTGCGGATAGTCTCGTGGATGGAGAAGGGCACATGTCGCGTGCGGCAATCTGCGTGGGAGTATATCCTGGTTGCCCGATCCCAACCCGGATCTAGATAGGCGCGATCCGCGCGAAAGGGGGGCGTGGTGTTTTGCTGATAACGGAAATCCAGGGTAAAGCCAATTTTTCGTGCTCATAGATAGATTGAATCCGAATTTCGCCTTGGCTCTCTATCGGTAAGACGAGGGCTAACCCGAGTTGAATCAACCCAGGGAGTGCCCCCCTGGTCATGATGGCCTTGAGCGGGGTTCGCTGTAGATAACAAGTGCATATACCTATCAGTCAGGAGATCGCCGGGTCGAAGCGAGATACCCCAAGTCCAACTCCTCTCTCGTGTTTAGAATCTTCGTGCCTATACTGATTCTCTTCGTCCGAATCCGTTGCCTCGGTGAATATGAGCGTTAGTCGATTGGCGTTTGCGCAGCGCCATGAGCGTACTCCGGAGGAGCGCGACCTCGTCCGGAGGCTCGATTTCTTCCTCATGACTTTCGGTTGCGTGTCCCAAGGTTAGTGGGACGGATCGTAACTCGGCATATCTCACCGGCTAACCAAAGAGGACGTTCTAGTGATCAAGTGTATGGGAACCCGGCTCGAGCCAACCCTCCGGCGGTCTCTCGTGCTGACTTGCCGCAAGATCTCGACCAGCAGAACATCAACAATGCCTATGTGTCGGGAATGAGAGAAGACCTTTCTCTCTACGGCAACGAGCTCAATTAGTAAGCTACTACTCGTCGAGAGCCTAGAATCGTCACTAACTTGCGTCTCTCCCTCAAGCTTCACTACGTACTTCAGCGTGGCGTATTGTCTTATGCTTATCCCGTCGCAAATCATCCTGACCTACGTACGCCCGAGCTATTGGCTTTCCGGACTGGAGATATGCTGGGGAGTCATTACGGGACTTATCGCCATAGTGCACGAGGCGAAACAAGTCTACATCCTTCGCGTCTTCCTCGGACTCTGCGAGAGCTCAGCCTGGCCGGGAATGATGACCCTCTTCAGTAAGTAATTATCCACCTTTCCCTTTCTCTGCCTGCCAGATGTAGCTGATGAGTTTGATATCTAGTGCACTGGTATACGCCTTCGGAGCTGGCGAAGCGCATGGGGTTCTACCACTCGTGCCAGGCCCTGGGGTCTATGGTGTCTGGAGCGCTCCAAGTCGCCGTCATTGAAACTCTGCACGGCACGAACGGCATGGCCGGGTGGCGGTGGCTGTTCATCATCAACGCCATCATGACCGTGTTCGTAGGGGCCTTCGGGTTCTTCTTCTTACCCGATCTGCCGAATAACATCAACCCCAGAGCCTTCTGGTTCAAGAAAGAGCATGCGCGGCTCGCCATGGAACGCCTGGAACGCCACGGACGGGCCGAACCGAGGAGGATTACTTGGGCCGGCGCTAAGTACGTGATTCCCCCTGTATATACGTATTATATATCTGGATGTGGCTTACGGCGAGACCTAGGCGCACGCTCACTAACTGGGTGACTTACTTCGTGCCGGTTCTGTACATCGCGACGGTCTTGGCTTCTTGGGGTTACGCCTACTTCAACCTCTTCTTGAAGAGTCTAAAAAATGCTGATGGTACCCCCACCTGGACTGTATCTCAAGTGAACGCCATCCCGATTGGCGGCAGCGCCATCAACGTTGTCTTTGGTATGTCTACGGAGACCAAGCCTGCGCTTAGTGATCGCCAAGCTGACCGGCCACATTAGTTTGGATCTGGGCGATACTCTCCGACCTCCTGAGAACACGGTGGACCTTGATTGTAGCACAGGGTAAAGAGTTTCCCATGAAGTTCGACAGCTAAGACCATAGAAAACGAACTAACCTCCTGTAGCATCGATAGGCCTTATTCCTTGTATCGCAATGAGTATATGGACGACCCACCCCAACTCAACTTCGCTGGCAACCGCATATTCTAGCTATTTCATCTCTTACTTGACTTTGGGGACAGCGCCTCTTATATTTGCCTGGCTGTCTGACCTGTGAGTCCACGCAAATGGTATTGTTCTTGTGGGCGGAAACTAAGGCTCTGCAGATTGCCGCAAGATCCAGAAGCGAGGACGCTCATTGTTGGGATCGCTATCGCGGTATACTATGGGGTCTCTGCATGGAGCCAAGTCCTCGTCTGGCCTGCCGTTCAAGCTCCTTACTGTAAGCCGAGAATTATACGTCTCCCTCTCTTTATGAGTCATACTAACAACGAGCAGATAAGTACGGATGGCAATCATCTATCGCCCTCTGGGTTTTGGTAATTATCATGACGTGTATCCTTCGGTACATTGACCTAAAGTATCTCCTGTATATCTCACTGTCCACAACTAAGGGGTGACTTCTAACCTCCGGGATAGTCCAAAGAGAGAGAGTTTCCGCGCCACTCTTATCGAGGGAGCCGAGGCACCCAAGCAGATAGATGCTGAGCAAGATCTCGAGGACGATACTAAGCCGTCGAAGGCTACGGGTACTGCTTCCCAGGCATAAGCTAGTTCATCTCAGGGGACACAGTATCCCCTGGCAGCAACGCCCGTACGGCACTCGCCCATCTGTGTCACTTTCCGGGCTTTATGGGCATGAAATAAAAGGAATGAATTTGTAGGTACTGAAAACAGGACGACGCGTTAAGTTCAACATCCTCAGTACTCCTGTCGCAGTGTTCCTTCAAACCCTGCCCAAGTTCTGTATAACCAGCCGCTTATTATAGTGATGCGGAATTAGTCAAATTCGTGACCTGATGTTCTCGTTGGTCTACTTAACCGTACAAGCGTTGCTTTATTCGAGTTTCGTCTTCGAGCCAACCACATTACAGACTGAGGCGCTTAAATGGGCATTCCAAAGGCCCGCGTGCTTTCATGTATGAATCGATCGTCGTCTTCATGCTATCGTTCGAAAATTCGGGTCTAGCCCTATAATCATCAAGTCGATGAGCTTCAGCCATTTTTCGGTGTCGACAACGCGCAATATCTCCACGACCCCCGAGCCCGACGTAGTCTTCGTCGAGGGTATTACCGGCTTTGTGATACCTCGAGCGGAAGTAGTCCACGCGAGAAACTGCCTGCATGTAACGATATGAGCCTAGCTCTACGTCTAGAGTACTGCCGCTTTTGTCACTTTCGTGAGCACCAACTCGAAATTTCTACACACCTGTGACTCCCTACGGCGTCATTCTGTAGTTCTCCCTAGGATGATCAGGGATGCTATAGAGGTTAGATGGCTCCTCGGATATAGATATACCTAGATCGATAGTCTATGCATTATTAAAAAAGACGACCGCGACGACCAGGTAATCGAGATTGGACGCATGCACAGTATATACGCTGACGGGAAATTAACCATCGTCTCAGGCACGTGCTCCAGCATTCAAGCCTCTGTACTCGAGATCGACCCGGACGCGCTCGCCAACAGATATCATATTATTAGGGGGAAGCGGTCCTGCCTTAACCGTCCCGAATTTGGGTGTCTCGTTAAGCTCACGACTCGTTTACATGGGGATAGACGGTGTGAGAAACGTACCTACGGATGCTATGCAATTCTAGTTATCCTGCCATGGGTGTGAGTTCTTCTTTCTACGGTGAGTTGATCCTCGATCCTGTGTCAGTGGCGTTTAGTATTAATATCGTTTCTTGTGTAAGTGGGGGGCGCCCCAAAGCTGTCAGTCAGCTCGTAATACCGTTCTATTATATTGTAAGGGGCTCCGTCTAATTCAGCTTCCGAGATCAGCGTTTTAAAGTCTTGTTATTTTAATAGAATAAAGTCACGTAAAAATCAATTGTTTTATGTTTTCCGATACGGAAGGGAAGCGAAAAAGTATTAGGAATTTCCTCGTCGCGTCGTATAGGTACCACGGAACCAAATAAGTATTTCGATGTCATCTCCCCGAGAATGTTTACAAAGATGTATGTAACAACTCGACTGGCTCCCTCTTGCGAATATTCACTTTTAACTCCTTGAAAAGTGGCACGTTTAGCCAGATTAGAGGTGTCATTTTTTGTCTGGGTGTTGTTATGTGCTGGATATCGTAGTGAAGCACCATGTACGCGACGAAGATCTTGATCTCATTCAGGGCAAAGAATCGGCCGGGGCACGCATGCTTCCCAAAACCGAAGCCGAGGAAAGCATCGTCAATCGTGGCGCTGGTCTTCTGTTTCCCCCCCTCCGCCGGCTTTCCAGCGACCTCACTGGCTTCACAGGTCGTCTCGTTAGTAGCATCGATGATGTCACGGATGGCGCCTGGTTGAGCGAAACGGAAAGGATAGAAAGCGTCAGCATTCTTATAAACAGCTTCATCGTGGTGGATTGCTTCGACTGGGATGGTGAGTATTGTCCCGCGTGGGATGTTAAGGGTTGTGTTTCCCTGCTGCACTTCGATCCCGTAAGGGTCCATTACCTAACGGTATATAAGATACGTATACCTCATTTGCAGACGACGACTTACCGTTCTTAGCAAGCCAACACTGTTGAAAGGAATCAGTCTCATAGACTCTCGGATTGTAGAGTCGATGAGTTTGAGCTTCTGCACCGACTGCCTAGTCCACGAACCACCAGCTTCGTTAAGTACCCGTGCTGCTTCCTCACGGAGAGCTTGAATATAACCAAGAGACGGATCGGAGCTGGCCAGATCCAGGAGTAAATTTTGGACCGTGTAGCTAGTAGAATGCATAGAGATGTCATTCAGAAACACTAGCCGATGAGTTAAACGCCTGGGCTCTAGTTAACCCGGGTCTCCCGTGGCATAGCACTCATCAATGATCCACTGCAAACCATCGTTCTGTAGTCAGTGTTAGCTGCTGTTATAAGAATCTATATCGAACTATATCCAGAGACTTATCCACTTGATCGGTACCTACAGGTGGTATCCATTCGTAGTTTGGGTCAGTTTTCAACTTTACGGTCTTTATTAGTCTCTCTTCGACGAACGGCAAACACCTCACAGCGACGCGGCGTAGTAGAATATAGCAGGTCCACCCAACCACGTATCCGCTGATGAATCGGAATAGCCTCGGGGTTGAATTAATAAGCACGGCTCCCATAAATAGGCACATCCCATGATCTCGCAGGCGAGCTAGGAAGTCCATATCGCGACCTAAGATTAAAGTTAGTCATAGTCTAAGCTAGACCCCCCCTCTACGGACCACCCCTTCGCGGACTACCTAAAAAACCCTTACTATTACTATTACTACGTAAGTAATTAAAGCTATTTAGACTATTAAAATTAATTAAAACCTTCCGATTACGGCGTTATTATCCTAATATAATCCTCCGCTTACGATTCCTCGTTTTTAGCCGGTTCCTACGCCGTTTCTTATTCGTTAGGTACCTCCTCGTCGTTTGCCTCGTTCTTATATACGATCCTCCCTTTTAACGACCTTTTTACTCGCCGTATATTAGCTATACGTACGAAGCGCTTACCTAGCGCCGGGAGGACCTTCCGACGGGTCTTAGGAATACTCCTTTCGTTTTTTACTACCGTATACTTAACCTATATTTCTAGAGCCGTTATTTTACCTTAGTTACGATCCTAGTTATTACTAGCCTTCCGAATTAATAGCCTTAAAGCCGGGATTTCGGACCTAACCGTAATAAGTATTTCTTTCCGAAAGGCATTCCGTAATTCTTAATCGTTAAAGGCGTTTTAATATATTCTAGAATTAATAATATCGTAAAATTAGGTATTTTAAGTCGCGTAACCGACTCCGATAGCTCCGACTATATCCGAAGGATATCCTTATCCTTTAAAACTACGAATCTCGACGAAAAAGGCTTCTTACGATCTCGTAAAATAATCCTAGAGGTCTTCTAGGCGTTCTTAATATTTCGCGAAGTTATCGATTAGATCCTAATTAATCGGCATGCCTTTAAAATATCCGTTTTCGATAGGTATAAGCTAAGAGCTACGTTTTAGCTTTCTTTGATAAGGTTTTTTAGCTTTCTTTTTAATAACCCGAATATTCTTACGTCTAAAACCTAAACGACGTAACTATAGTAAGGTTAGTAAAAGACGAACTATATCTTATTCTAAAGATAACGTTAAAGGAAATCGTCGTTAATATACGATTCGTAGCCGTCGTAAATTAAAACTACTTATATATTACCGAAACGAGCCCGAATATAAGGAATAAAGATATCTTAGAGCTAATATAACGTAATAACGTTACTAATTTATCCTTTAGGTAATACCCGAAACCGTTAATCCTCTTATAGTTCGCGAGTATCGTTAGGAAATTATTACGCTTAAACGTCGATACCTCTAAAAAGTATTACGGGAGGAAGAGGCCTTCCGCCGTAACCTATATACTTAAAAGTAATAATTCATTAGCTTTTTTCGACGCCTTTCTTAAGTACCCTTTAGGTATTAATATCGGTAATTACCTAATGATTCCCGGTAACGCCTTTAGCGATACTTATTTTATTAACGTTAAAGAAGCGTTCGTTAGGGATAGTTATTAATTAAGGAACCTCTAACTTATCGAAAAAAATGTTAATATTTATCGCCGTAGCGCCTTTAATCCGCTTATAATCGACGACCGTAGCCTTAAACGACTTAACCTCTAGGTTTCGAACTAGAAAACGATAATGCTAGTACTTTCCTAGCTTTCGAGAACCGCCGTCGGCGTTTAGTAGGTATTAGGCTATAAACCTAAACTACGTAAACGCCGGCGCGAAGCCTAACTTAGCTTATCCGATAGCCTAACGAATTAATTCGGCTTTTTAAATAAGTAATAAAGCCTAACGATCCTTATTAAGCTCCTTTTTTATCGGTTTATTAGCTATACGGCGTATTAGGTAGGAACGAGAGATATAGGTTTTAAGGATAGCTTAACGGATATTCGTACCGTATAAAACCATACGTATAGCGGCGTTCGCCTGGATTTAAGTATTTTTTAAAGGCATTACGAGAATTAGGAAGAATTTAGAAATAAGTTAATGGTAAAATAAATTACGGAGGATTAAAATTAATCGAGAAATTATAGGTTATTTAAGTAACGGTATCGCGTTAAAAAACGCGTTCGTAGGTCTAAACGCGGTAGTCCGTAAAGGGGTGGTCCGTGGAGCGTTATCCTAACTTATCGAGGGAGACTCGAGATACACTAACAGAGGGGAAGGCCGCAGAATGCGCTATTCGCTGCTCCAGCAATGAGCTTCAGGGCCGAGGTCCAGACACTGATGGGCATCCAGTCGTTCGAGGTCCCCCACTCACGCTCAAAACCCTTCTCAAGCTCCAAAGCAATTGGTGGTGTCAGGATATCCAAATTTCGGGTTATCTGATTACGAATAACAGCCATCTGGAAGTCGTTCTCCGAGACATCCTTGTCCCAAATTATCCATCTTATCTATATCGTATGATTTGCAGTGGTATAGACGTCGAGGATATTATCTAGGAGTAAGTACAACCTCTTGATCTGCCGTGGGGGTACCACCATCAACCATCCGCGATCGATTATTGGTATTCCAAAGAAAGTATTCTGCTTCGAATACTGGAAAGATTCCGCGTTAATGAGAGCTAGGATTAGGTCGAGATACAGGGACATTCACCTTCGAGTACCCCTCAAAGATCCACTGCTTGGTGCTATATAGGGAACGTATTATTGCCCGAGTCCAGGCCAAGAATTGTCGCCGAACACCAACAACGTTCTGGGTTTTCCAAAATGCAGTACCTATATAGTCGGGATATATATTTACCAAGAAACTTGACGCAACAAAAAGGAACAAGATAAGAAGGCCCGCGTGGACCTGGGTGATGTACAACTCCATTATTTTTGAATATAGCATGAGCGAAAGGCTAACCGAGGTATTCTTAGGCCTGCGTCTGAATTTGACCTCGGGAAATGTCATCCTAACCTATATTACCTACGGATTCGAGAGTCTGTTAATATTATGATACTATGAAGCTATTACACAAGATCAATCCAAAGCTTGTTAACGCCACACTTGTCCATTTTTCCCGGCCCCCACGACCTTAATGCAGACGCTGCGTAGGTTAAAAGTATCCTACTAGCTAAAGACTTGTGCTCGCATCTACATGGTGGCTATCTCCTCCAACGGAGAGACGATGCGATCCTGATCTATTAATCATAACTGTGCCTCGGTATTCGTAACTGCGTTCCGCAAAGAGGCTGCCGTGATAGCTCGTAGGCAAGACAATGACCCATGGCTTGCTCCCACGAAAAGGTGGTATGGTACTACATAATAGCGGCGGTATGCTCAAGAGGAAGGTATCTCGAATTGGCCGTCTTTAAGTACCTCACACCTTTTACTACAGGCTGCTAGCGGATCGAAATCCTTGTGGCTGTTCCCGCGGCTGAGCTGCATACCTATGGTATGCATGCCTATGGTGCGCACACCTACCAACACTTAATGGTTGATCCTATCATCACGCAATCTCGCCGGAAAATACTATAATGTATGCGGCCTAAAGTCGATGTCTATGCGATAGCAACGCAACGTTACTATGACTACTCAACCATTCTGATCCTATAAAGAACGCACTGGCGGTAGGACAATGGGGGCCTATTGCCTGGCCTAACCGACGGCCACTTGATTCTTTGCATTAGGGGCGCAGTCGTAACAGCAAGCCTTCTACAGGAGGCTCGGCGTACTTATGAGGCATTTTCAGGTTAAGAAACATGGTCTAATAATACCCCAGAAGCCGATTCTAGCCCGCGTCTTGAGGCGCACGGAACCTTGTCTGCCATCTATCCTGCTTTACATAACAGACTAGGACCTGTTGCTAGTTCTGCTGTATGAGAAACACCAGGCAGCGGTTGCGCTCCCGTAAACCGGATAGACCTGGACTCTGGACGCCCATTAGGTACTCATACATTATGTCCTATATCGATCAGTTATTATAGACGACTAGTAAGACAGACCACACAATAAGCTTATTTCAATAGATAATGAAATCGGGTAATAAGCTAACGTACTTCTTGACGGGCCACCCCCTCACGAACCGGACTTTTCTATACAGGCTTACATACAAACGATTTTCCAGATAAAAACAAGAAAATAAATGAGAAAATTATGAAATTTACGTACATAATTAAGTAATTATATTAACATATGAACTCTACAAATTGAGTGCTTAGTGCAAGACGAGTCATATATGATTTTTCGTTTAAACCTGCAGTACTTAATAGTTTTCTTTATTACAAATGGGAAGGATAGGGACAGCACAGCTAACTAAGGGAAGAACGACGAAGATATAGTTACAAAGACAGGGGCTCCGTACGAAGGCACGGCGACGAGGGTGGCGGTGAAAAGAGTATATATCAACCTACACTACATTGAGGTAACTGAAGGATACAGGCTGAAGTATAGATGGTGAAAATACGAGTGCAAGACCCATATAGATCCTCATCCTAAACCCTACAAAGACAAGTCCTACCGCACCGCTACAATGTCTACATAAAATGCCGTGATTTCGAATAATCACAACCCCTCTTCCAGTCGTAATAATACAAATTGCAGCGAGTAAAGCGTAATCACTAGCGGGGTAAGTGCACCACCCTCGGACCTGGTGACCGAGGTCTACTAGCGTGTAGATATCTTTTCAAGGAAAGCGACGCAAAGTATTAGGTCCTTATATGGCGCTGAGATCACGTAACGGCACCGAAGCAATTGTTCCATCATCCCGGGCTTACTTCCTCGTCGAGCCTATTACGGAAACACGATCATCAATAACGTTATATGGATGTAGGGTAACGATTTACTCGGAACTGCCGTTTAAAGGCTGCCTAGATTGCTGGGAGTTCTTCGTTCTAGTAGACTGGCTAGGTCGGAGGATCGAGATAGACGACACGGCTATCTGGATCCTAGAGTAAAAGGCCAAGTTGACAACGACTGAGGACCAGAAGCTATGAATAACCGGGGCGCAAGAAACCACAATGGCAATCGAGAGCTCGACGATGCTTAGTGGAGGGTTAGCATGTGGATTTAGCCGAAGTAGGATAACTAAGAGACTTACGTGAGAATCATTGCGGCCTTGAGATCAGTTGACACACCTGATAGTGACAACCTCTTGTAGTATAACGCTATTGAACTAGCTACGACAGCTCTTTAAGACAAGATTAATGCGGGAAGCTAGGTGCAATTTCTTGCGAAAGGGCAGACTCACAAGATACCTATGAGGAAGACAACAGCTACCCCTACCTTCTTTCCGATGGGCAGCTGCAACTTCGTGATGACTGGAAGCGGCAGAAGGAAAATGAGGAGGCCCACCACGACGTTGAAGGCGCCGCAAGCAACTCCGGCGACTGACCCCGCATAGGCGCAGCTCACTAGAAGTGCAGGGACGTCATCGGGACTGTATGGGACGCAGTTGATGCCGACCCAAATATTCCAACCTAGGAGATACAAAAGGGTCACCAAAAGGGCAGCGTAGGAGGTCCATCGGAGCCATAGCTTGACACCAAAGAGATGAATAAAGAGCAGAAAAATCGGAGCCTTAGCAAACCAGGTGGCCGATGCTGCGATGGGATTGCTAGCTGCTACCAGCTGTTATATAGTAAGGAGGGTTCACGTTAGAACTGGCTAAACCGATAAGTAGAACTTTCTATAAGATAGAGGCGCCTCTCACCTGGGCAAGGTAGAATAGTGTCGAGTTCGGATCAACCATAGCTAATAATATGCTTCATGTCAGCACTTTTCGCCTGCGTAAGGAGAGTAGTTTAGGCACACATAGGCATGGCCACGCACCTTGCGTTATAAGATAGAAGTTCGCGAACGTGCCGGCTAAGATAACGACTGCTGCAGCAGATACCCCTTCGTAGGTGAGCGTTAGCTCACCGCCGACGGCGGCAAAGTAAGCACTCACAGTCTGCAATGCTGAATCTGTGTGACCGGCTGTTGACCACGAAACGTGCGGCAACGCACAGGCCCGCCAGGACAACGAGAAATGTCCCTACCCCGAGAAATGCCTGTGTGGAGATACCTCCCGATCCAAATGCTGCATTCATGGTGATATTAGGTGTGTGTGAGTGTTGCTCGGGAAAAGGCGAAGAGGAGAGGAGAGGAGAGCTCAAAATACATTCGAGAAGGCGGCGGGGGGGTGGAGGAGGGCATAAGCACTATATCGAACTTGTTCCGTTATCTAATCTTGGCCTGTTGGCCCTCAGATATTGCGGTCGTCAGTCAGGGATCGGGGCTATGTCCGTAATGGTTGGTATACCTAATACTCATACAGCTGGAGGGCTGTTGAGGCTTGCGGTATCACCACTTCGTCCAACATTATCGAACCCCGGATAGGATACAGGATGCCGGCTTACGGCTGGGCATGCCACCATGCGATCAGCTGGCTAGCCGTAACGGCTGAGTGGGCCGGATAACTAACAATCTGTTACGACCCCTCTTCTTTGTTTTAGTCCATGTGTGCAGGCTCGTAACATTGCCTGTGACAGCAGCACCAATACACGCAATAGGCAAATGGGCCAACTTACTAAGTTGCTCGATCCATATCTGGTAGACTATTTAGTTTGGCGGTGCAACAGCACCGATCTGACGACGGTTTGCCTAACACTCTATGCCTTTAGATTAGGTTCAAACACATAAGACTTGCTTTGAATTTTCCGAGCTCTCAAGCCCGCTGCCTGATCGGGCGTCGTTCTAACGAAATGGATTCGTCTCTCGTTCCTTTCTCGCTCGCTTCCTTGTGGAATTTAGTGGCGTCGACGCCATGGGACATGAAAAGCTATCACGGGGTGGCCGTCTCGCTCTTGATCATTCCCTCTACAGCATTATGTGTAGAAGCCTTGGTTAGCCATCACCAACGGAAACTAGACATAAATGTAACATTGCTGATATTATAGTGGCAGAGACATATTGCGGTTTGGGCCAGCGAGGTCGCCAAAACTATCACGAAGCGCGTCTACGCTTGGCTGTACCTCTTCATGGGACCCAGCTTAATCCAAGACGGCTTTGACCGGGTAAACACACGCCTCCACGCATGGTGCCCGGGATACGTTGCTTATGGTGTTAGGCCAAAGATCAACCCTACGAGATATTGTCCCCGGATACTCGCTACGTGTTTGTACCATCCAAGAAACACATTAGGGAGCTCGACAGCGCGCCAGATACCGTCCTTTCCCTCCAGGCGGCCTCCAAGCAAGTATGTTCATCAAGGCCGATCCCCGAAAATCGGTTTATGGCTTACTCCCATAGATGCTACAACCCGTACACACAATGCACGGCTTTAATTGGTTTGACCGACGGGGGACTGAAGGCATTGGCTTCGTGCGCGCACTTCGAACCCTACTTACAAATAACCTTCCTCAAATCCTTCCTCAGTTGGGCGTAATCATACGAACCCGCTTCCAGGAGATACATTCGGAACACCCTATCGTTAACGGTAAGCATCCGACCTTGTGGACGGTGCAATACTCGATGGCTAATGTAGGTATGTCTTAGGAGCGAAACATACACCAGTGTACCCGTCTATTGTGACACTGGTGGTTTTATCGAACGCCGTTTCTTTCTTCGGACAAGAATTAGGTCTGTCACTCTCGCTATCTTGCCATATGGTAAATCTGACTCTATGCCGACAGCAAAAAATGAGCCTTTTATGGTTGCTGCTCTCGCTTACATTGAAGAAACTCTGTTATGTGCCGAAGCTGTGAAATTGCTTCCTAAAAGCGTCGCTCCGTGCGCATGTTCCATCATCCAATCGCTCCTAGCGACCGACTAACACATTGATAGTACTATCGGCAGCATTATTGCTCGTTTTCTCAAGGCACACGAGAAGATATATGCGGTTTTGATTCCTGTGGCCGAGGAACGGTGCCAGGAAAGAGACCTCGCCAACTTGGGTCAAAACGTCCCGAAACATGTATGTGACAAGAATACCAGTCTACATGCTATTGTTGACTGACTACTATTCCAAGACGGACTGCATTCAGTGGATCATGGAAACAGCACCACGACAGAAGCCTTGGACGCCGAAGCGCATAGTCCATGAACTGATGGCTATTTGGTTTGGATCTGTCCATGCTCTTTCTACTGTAATTGTCACCAACCCTCTTCGACGGTCGGCAGCTGACCCATACAGACAATCACCTTTGCAGTCCAAGACCTGTGCCTCCATCCAGAATACGTGGAACCACTGAGGAGGGAACTGGTGGCGCGGTATGCGCAGTTTGAACGCACAGGGCTTGGCCTCCCACTACTCGATAGCTTCACAAAGGAGTCCGCCCGTCTAACCCCAGTTGAGTCCAGTAAGCCATAGCCCGCCTCAAAGTTCCCGAATTGTCAACTGAGCTACATTACTAGTGAGCATGCGACGTTACGCGACACAACCATTTGCTTTGTCTGACGGTACCAAGTTGTCCGTCGGCGACTGGGCATGTGTTCCTGTCAAAGCCATCATGCAGGACTCTAGGTCCTACCCCGACCCCCTCACTTTCAACGGGTTCAGATTTGCGAGCCCCAATGACCTGAAGAGTGCGGAGACAGATTCCCAGTTCAACTTCTCCCAGCCTAAACCGTCTATGTTTGTCGATGCGGACGAGACATTCTACGTATGGGGCGCAGGGAGAATGACCTGGCAAGTTGACCTCCCAGCGGACCCGAAAATTGCAAGAGCGCTAACTATTAAGTTGACAGCCCGGGACGATACTACGCTGTGGCGGTCATGAAGGTGATATTGGGTCAAATTATCTTGAATTACGACTGCGAGTTGGTAGATCAGCAGAGAACGCGCTGGCATACATGGCGGTCCAGCATGCTGCCCAAGAAGAATACTATGGTGGTGTTTACCCCTAGGGATAGCAGCGCTTAGATGGCTTGCAGAGCTGTCGATCCCTGATATCTGCGTGACACTGAAAAAGCAGCGACCGGCAGAGTGCGAATAACGCTGCGCCCTTGGTAAGCATCGCCTTGGGGACGTGGCAATATTACCCATCGGCCTAGGTAGATATTATTACACTGAATGAAGTACGTACTGTCTGAGGTTGGGAGGTTTCGGTGCATATGGGATGTTAGCCAAACGCTGTTGGTTGTTGAACATAACCTGAGTCGCCCAACTCTTCCCTTCCACCAGTGTTCTTTGGCGTTCTTCTCTTCGATACCTGGAACCGATTCTCCACAACCCGCGTTTTCTAAAGCCTACCTACAATAATACAATAAATCTAGCAGCCCAAGTAGGTATCCAAGGTAACCTATTCTGTTCCTAGTCCTTCGCTACATTCACTCTCAATCATGTCCTCTGATTTTAATCGCCAGAACGCTGAGAATCTGGACGACGATGGTTCCGGCCCAGATGCTCGCGAATCACGCACCCCCCGGAGAAGCAGCCGCTTCTGGGGCATATTCGCGTCGCTGTGCATACTCGCGTTCATCTGCGCACTGGACGTGATCATCATCAGCACGGCGCTCCCAACCATCACGGCGGTCATCGGCGGCGGCTCACAATATGTATGGATCGCCAATTCGTTCGTCGTTGCCTCGGCAGTCGTGCAGCCATTGGTTGGGCAGCTTGCCGACATCTTCGGACGTCAGAACCCCTTGATCGCTTGCACGGCCCTGTTCGTCCTCGGCAGCGGCATAGCTGGCGGCGCCTCGTCCGCGGCTATGTTGATCGGCGGCCGAACGGTGCAGGGAGTCGGCGCCGGCGGGCTTTACGTGCTCCTGGACATTGTGTGCTGCGATTTGGTTCCGCTTCGCGAGCGCGGAAAATACGTCGGCCTCATGAATTCGTTTGCCGGCGTTGCTGCTGCATTGGGCCCCCCCGTCGGAGGCGCGATTGCGCAGACGGAGTAAGTAGTAACCGCTATCATGGACCTTGCGGCGACGGCTGTAGACTGATCTGATTTTCTTATAGCTGGCGCTGGATCTTCTACCTCAACATTCCCATTTGCGGCGTCGCGCTTTGCGGGACCTTCTTGTTCATGCGCATGAAGAAAGGGTCGCAGAGCCAGCACACGGGGAAGTCAAGGTTGCTCCGGATCGACTACGTCGGCAACTCGATCTTTATTCCTAGTGCAATCGCCGTTCTCCTAGGCCTTGTGATGGGCGGCGTCGACCACCCGTGGTCTTCCTGGCAAGTGATCCTACCGCTCGTCCTCGGTGGTGTAGGCTGGATTGCATTCCATATTCAACAGAAATTCACCTCCCACCCCAGCCTCCCCGGTCATTTGTTCGGTCACCGCACTTCGGCGATTGGACTGATCTTGACCTTCATCTCATCCGTCGTGGTTCAGGCGATCGGCTATTTCTTGCCGGTCTACTTCCAGGCCCTGAAGGGAGCCACAGTCCTGGAATCCGGGACGTTCTTCTTGCCATACGCTATTGGAACCCTATTCTTCGCCGTAATAGGCGGTATACTCCTAGCTAAGCTTGGCAATTACAAGATCTTGCACATCGTTGCCTTTGGCCTATCCTCGCTCGGTCTGGGCGTATTCACATTGCTCGACGGCAAAACGCCCAAAGTTGCCTGGGTCTTTTTCGAGCTGATCTCTAGCGCCGGCTTGGGAATCACCGTTTCCACGATGTTACCGGCAATTATGTCAGCTCTTGCCGAAGCGGACGTGGCGTCTATCACTGCCGCATACTCTTTTATCAAGACCTTCGGATATGTATGGGGTGTCACGATTGCCTCGGTCATCTTCAATGCTGCCGTTAATGCAAACCTCGCTCTTGTTTCTGACCCGGCTGTGCGTGACCGGTTGAGAGATGGCCAAGCTTACGCGTTCGCAAGCGAAGTACACAGCGCTCGGCAGGCTGGTAGGTACTCTCCTCAGCTTTGGGACGAGGTCGGGCAGGTGTACGCGAGGAGCTTGCGGGTGATATGGTGGACATGCTTAGGGTTTAGTCTTGTTGGGCTCTTGCTCGTCTTTGGCGAGAGGACACATGAACTGAGAGACGAGCTGGAGACAGAGTATGGGCTGGAGGAAAAGGAGAAGGAAATGGCTGCCACAGCTAAAGACGGAACCCTTACCGTCACCCAACCCTCCAGCACGCAACGTTAGATAGAATTTGGGGATTGCCTCCTTACTAGGCCTACGTATTAACCCGTCCTGGTTGCAAGGAACTATGACCGTAATATGCATACATGCATTTCTGTCTCGAATTACCAATACTTATAGTCACCATATATGCCACATAGCAATTGAACCAGTCCTCATATGCCTACATACCGCACAGTGTGATGTAGGCGTCTACGTTTTACGTGGTGATATATTATACCTAGATGAACGAGTTTCCCACCAAATTCCTCCTACCGGGAAACTGCATGATACCGAAAAACTGCAGGATGCGGCTCGCCACTCAAGACTCGATTTCTTTATTGCGCTACGGAGTAGTAGCGCACTTGTCTTTACCTTCCCGCCACGCCAACGCCTCGCTTGATTCTTACCCCTTTGTTCGGATGATGCGGAGCCTTGTCCGTGTGACGTAGCGTAATACAGCGATGGGACCATCATATATTGCGAGCGATTGGACTAAAGGGGAAAGCATCGGCGGATCAATATACTACCAGTGCGACGTTCCATAAATGCTTACGCTCGAAGTTGGTGGCTGCGACATTAAGGGTTCGATTCGGGGAGCCCTCAGGCAGGGAGGCAAAGAGGTCTGGACTCGATGCAAATGCGGGAACCTCCTAACTGCGGTCAGCAACGAGATGTGGTAGGTAGCGCAGTTTTGGAGGCGGGACTTGATAATATAATCAGTGGCAGGACAGGTTACATCGCACAAGATCCGTAGGTAGCATCTGGTGTAAATCTCGCAAGGCTACCTAAGGTACTACCCCAATAACGCGAAGAGACGAACGACGGCTGCTGCATCGCCTATCGGTACTATCGGTATTTACGTTACATCCTGTGTGAGTTTCACAAGTCTCTGTACTACCAACATGATTATCACCGCCGATCACCATCCATACTGTGGCCTGTGTGAGTTGCGCAAGGCTCTGTAATACCTACCACCAACACTCTGCGCGTGTCTCAGAAGATTTTTGTTCCGTACGTCGTCCATCAGCACCCACTGTGCAAGGTCCAGGATTGTCTGCGTCTACAGTGTCCTTTCCAGTGAGAGGATAAGGTATGCCATCCCAACCTACTTTTCTTTCTGAACACGAGGCAGCCTTCGCTTTGGTGCCAAACCAACAATCCAACTTGCAGCGTCGAAAGGATGTGCTCACCGAGATGCGGGGCACTGAATGCGGCCGCCTAGCCGCCATGCCTGCTCTGACGGTCTCTATCACTTTATGGGGCAGGTCATGTACTCAGCCGCGCGATTCCGGTGCTGACATTAATGGTGTGGAAGTATGAAGCGAAGAACGCATGAGTATCGTTACCTCACGACCTACATCCCCAGACAAGGCAATCAGTAACCGTCCGAATAGCCGCGGCGGCACAGGTAATACGGAGCATCCCAGCACCCCTCCAACCAACAAACGAAGGAGCGGAAGGCAATAGCAGGCTTATTTCTAACGGCGGGCCGCACAGTTGCAATCATACGGGTACCAGAACACGAACGGGGCTCCAGTCTGACTTTTGAAAGAAATTCCTAGCTGTTTGGATCCGATTTGGGGAATCAGTCTTTTTAGTACTCGAGTTCTGTCGGCACGTCATCTCAGGACGATAACGACACTGCACAGCTTAGCAAAGTAGATTGACAGTAAAGACAGAAATGGCCGTGTCTAAAGCTATCGAGGCCCTACAGCAGGCTCTTCCTGGGGTCAAGTTTGCCTCCCGGGGCACCGAGGAGCACGAAGCTCTGAACCGCAGCTCTTACCAGTCGGCCCTACAGTCGGACATCATCCCCGCCTGCATCGTACAGCCCAAGACCAAGGAAGAGGTGTCGACGTTTGTCAAAACCATTCGCCCCTTCGTGATCGCTGGCGAAGCGGCCTTTGCCATTGTCGGCGGCGGTCGCCAGCCTGCACCGGGGTGCTCCAATATCGACAACGGCATTACGCTGAACTTGAGTCTCCTGAACGGCATTGAAATTCGAGACGGAGTCGTCTCTATCGCGGCCGGCGAGACTTGGGGTCCCGTGTTCGATAAGCTGGTCGAACAGGGGCTCGGTTGCTCTGGCTCGCGCTCGTCCAAGGGTGGCATTGGAGGACTGGCATTGTCCGGTGGTCTATCGTTCTTCTCATCACGGGAAGGTTTTATATGCGACGATGTAAGTTTTAATCGATTGAGCCTTTTTGAACACTTATCACTGTCCTGTCCTACACTTAATGTATCGTCGTATTGGCAAAGACGTAAGCCGTTCTAATCCCCTCTTTTCCAGGTGATCAACTACGAGGTAGTTCTGGCCTCCGGTGAGGTTGTCAATGCAAACACCGACGAGAACGCGGACCTGTGGAGGGCACTGAGAGGTGGAGGCAACAATTTCGGTGTTGTTACCCGCTACGACATGAGAACCTTCAAGCAAGGGCCTTTTTGGGGAGGTTCCTTATACTACTTCGGCCAAAGCTTTCCTAGCCAAGTTGAGGCACTAGTCCGCGAACTTCAAAAGCCTGACGCAACTGTGGAAACACATTTGATGATGAGTCTTGGTTACACGGCCTCGTTTGGGCCTGAAACCGTGGCGATGAACCAGGTGTATTACACGCAGGAGGTTGTAAAGCCGCCTGTTCTGGATGTTTTTACCAATGTGGAAACGCAGATCGACGGTTTAAATACCATGCGGATGATGAACCTGTCAGACGCATCGAGGGAGCAAGCAGGTGACATTCCGCCTAACCAACGGTAAGAATGGCTAAAACCTGAGCCTAACCACTTCCTCGTTTAGCGGAAAAAGCTGACCTCGAGTTAGGTCTGCCTATATGAACCTCCACGTGAAGGCCGATGTCGACACACTCGTGGCTGGTGCAGATATTTGGAAGTCTGCGCTCGAACCCATAAAAGACCTCCAAGGACTAATCTGCTCCTACACGCTTCAGCCATACGCGCGGTCTCAACTTGAAGCGTCGGCGAACAAGGGTGGGAATTCATTGGGCCTTGATCCTAGCCTCGGCCCTATCGTTTCCGTCGCATTTCTGATGTACTGGAACCTAAAAGACGACGACGAAAAGGTCCTCGGAGCCTTCAAGGGTGCCTTGGAGAAGATGAGGGAGGTTGCTTCATCGAGGGGTCAGCTGATTGACTTTATATACATGAACTACTCGCTCAACTTTCAGGACCCGATCGATTCCTACGGTGTGGAAAACAAGAGGGAGCTTCAGCGAGTCAGCAAAAAGTTCGACCCTGAAGGTGTATTCCAGAAAGGTGTCCCCGGGGGATGGAAGCTGTTCCCATAAGATGTCAGAACCAATCCTTCTAGGCTACAAGAGGCACATTCGGACCTCATTGGTGGAGAACTATGGTCAGTGATGAAGTGTACTTAATCCATAGCTTCACGAAAGCTCGTGTTTACTGGCGAGTTGCTCGCCCAGGAGCAGTGAGCATCTTCCTTACGTGACGTGACCTCGAAGATAGGTGAGTGCTAGTTCTACTTTACCTATTGCGTGTCCCGAGAGTTACCCTCACCCACTCCAGTCGTTATCGAAGGTTGAGTGGGGGCGGCAGAAAGATCTGAACAAAGAAGCAATAGCACAGGTGCTTAGCTGTGCAAAGGAGACAGTTACTGAAGCCACTGGATCACTTTTGGAACAGTCTCAGCCAGGAAGTTTGGGAATGAGTTCCGTTACAGGGGGTACCGTACAACCAAGCACTTGATAATGCTGCCAACGATAACGGGTTTGGCGGAATACTTCCAGAGGAAGAATCTCCATTCGCAAACGCCCAGGTGAGTGACTGTCACTGTATAATATGACCAGAACTAGAGAATTTGGTAAGATATAAAACTGACCAGCCAACCATAGACTGAGAGTGCAAGCGTGGTTAAGATTCTCCCCGAGGTCGAAGTTGCTATCAAGGGGCCACAGGGCCTCAAATCCCTAGTTTCATCACTGATCGACGAGTCCTTCAGCATCGACGATGCCGCCAGTCTCCTCTTCCTCAGCGAGTCAGACGAGTTTGGCACATTCAGAGACCCAGTCTGGGAGGGTATTCCTCTTCGGCTCCGCGGTTGGCTGGAAGACCAAGAAGGCCTGCGAATCGACCAAAACCCAATATCTTCCATAGCTGAGCTTCTAAAAGCTCATGAACTTCTCAGCCGCAAGCACTCCGGCTTTCAAAGTTGCGAGGGCGTTGGTATCACAAGGGTAATGATCGACGTTGCTCTACGTTGTTTCAAGCAAGCCAATCCTGTCCAACGAACAAGCATAATCGCGAACCTTACTATACCAGGAAAGCATCCTCTTCCTAGAAAGTGTGGTGCGTGCAGTTCCCGAGTCCTCGATGACGCGTTTCATCGATTCAAGAAGCTAGATCCGTCTAAATACATGGTTCGCTATCTTAAGGGCGGCTGTGGTCTTGAGAATTGTCGGGCGAAAGGCATCACCGTGTGGGCTGTTCAAATGGGCGATAACATCCCACGGTCTCAACCTGATGCAAATGCCTTGAAGAGGCCACCGCAGAGAGCAGGTTGGACAGACGTTCTGCTTCGCACAAAAGAAGGTGCAGCAAGCTTTGGACTGCCCAGCACTGAGCAGTATATATGCAGGACATGCGAAACCGATATCACAACGGACGAGGATCCACGGTGGACAATAGAGTCGTTGCCCTGTTATATTCCGCGGAGACCCCGATGCATAGTATGCGAAAACACTTGCACTAATAGACGACCTGAGGATGCCTCGATCCAATGGGTTGACGCAGCCGCACTGTCTAAGAAATGGACCTAGATAAAAGAAGAGTGGACAATCCGAGGCATTCGTGGGAATCCTGATATATACTTTCCAAAAGCACGGCCTCCCAAGGAAGATCAGAAAGACGCAGCAAGTAAACAGACTACTTCTTTGTGTTGAAAAATTCCTTAGTATCAAATAAATACCGGAACTGTTTTATATCCCTGACCTATCTTATAAGTAGTGAACTTTCTTTTCGGGAAAAAAAAATAGGTTATTTGGGGATGATTGGAACTGATATGGACATAAAAAAAAAGAGAAGACGACAGAAGTAAAAAAGAAAATTATTTAATTTTGAGGACGGAGTGATTTGAACACTCAACCTTCAGGAAATTCCTTTATCTGGAATCTGACGCGCTACCTGTCCCGGGATTAGTAATTGAAGAGGACGTTTGGTGACTGTTTAATTGAACTGACCGTTGCGCCACGTCCCCGTTCGTTGAGGCTCGTTAGCGTTATTTTCTGGTATGATACCCAACTCAGCGTCAGTCCGGTGACTAACTACTTTATTTTCTAGCCGAACCCACAAAACCACCACAATGACCACATATTATATAAGGCCAATCATGATTCTCGGGCAGCGATATGAGCTACAGAAACATGACCCCTAGCTTTGCCTACTACTGCGGAAGAATGTGATGAAGCTTGTCACGGGGTCCAGCAAGCCCGGTCGCTTGGAGGAGGATTTCAGGGTCTCTCACTCAATCTAATGACCAGAGACTGCATCCGTTACAATTTCGGGGAAAATATGTCCAGAACGGGTGCTTATGCCCGAAAAACATTCGGAGATAGCCAAAGTACGTACGTTCTCACCCAAAACCACACCAAATAAATGCCCGAACGGACCCTGACCCCATTTTACAATATTTACTCGGTATTGCAGAGTAAAGTGCTGCCCGAATAATAAAACCCTCCAAAGGACGGGTCTAATGATAGTGAAATAGGGATGATATAGTCGTCTGTAAAACTCCACAACGAACTCAAATCCTATGTATACCACACTGCTCCATTGTAAAAAGCATTCCGCTGCCCCTTAAGCGAAAAGAGTCTTTCATAGAAGCCACTCTCGGCGGCGTCGTTCGAGACCGTAAGGTTGAATGGGGAGTGGCCGGAGAATTTCGCCCAATCGGGGTCCGTCACCCGCAACCCGTTCGCCTCCTGGAAACGTTGTGTGCTTGCAACGATATCGACCTTGGCCTGCTCTTCCGGGAGCACTGTCGGGCCACCGTAGTACACTTGGAGCAAGCCGCCGCCAATTGGAACTGGGTACACGGCGTAAAACGAGCATTTCTTCCTCTAAAATGTCGTATCCGCTCAGGTTCCCGAGCATTGGTGGGATAGTTGACAGCATCTTCTTTGCAACAACTAATTTCAGGCCAGCAGGTGTGTGAAGGGCAACGCGTACCTCTTGGGGGCAGGATCGACCCATCCCGGCGACGGTAGAGTTAATAAAGACATCGGAACCCGGGAACTCAGCGGCCTTTTGGTACGATTCCATGGTAGATTGATTCTCTGTGGTGAGCAGACCCTCCTTGAGACTGCCAACCTCCTCCGGGTTGAGATATTTAAATACGTACAGCATTCTAATATCTAACAGTGGCACGGCACCCTGGTTGACAGAAAGGGTCCAAGATACTAAGTCCTGTAACCTATATTTGGCGACAAAGTCTCCAAAGGATAGCAAGAGATCCGAGTAGACTAGGATAGATCGCGTTAAAGCAACCTGCAAAGCCGAATATTCATTGAGCTAGTCCATGTAACCACTCAAGGCGGACCTGAGTAAAGCGCCACTCGGCGAGATAAAGTCGACTATTTATCCTGTAGCAAAGTCGACACACTCGGTTATAAATAATCGCGTAATAGGAACCAGTGAGAGGTTCAATCGGCTAAAGTAGTCAGCGACTGTATCTGGATAAGCAAAGACAGCCGTCTTTATGTCGATATATGTCCCGGTTGATGGGTCAACCCAGTCCTCGTCGTGGCCGCCAATCGTAGCTTTCTGTTCGATCATAACTACTGTCTTATTTGGCTGATCATTTGGGTGTTGCTATCTGGATTCCCGTCTGCGTAATTTCATCTGGCTGGATGGAGTTTAAACTAAGCAGCTAGTTGCTCCCTCACTATCTAGTCTCAGTCCTTATGACTATCGTTGGCATATTGTTATATTCGACTTGTACGATGTTGTTACGGCCTCACGGTTATTCCAAGTCAAGTCGCTCCCGAAGTTCCAGAGCATTTGAAACTACGTCGAATCCTTGATAGGCAACCTTGATATTGCTTCTGCCGGGGGACAATTCCGGGAGACCTGGCGTTCTGCGTTCAACTCGGCCTTCAGCTCACGCAATATTTTGGCGTTGCTCCCTGAGCTTACTGAGGATGCCGCTGTGTTTGTAGATGTTTTGCGGAACCCTTGCTGCGAAAACCACACCTGGGGCCTTGTCTTTAAGCTTAAAGAAAAGGCAACTAAGTTGACATTCGACTTTATATGCAGAGCAACACTGTATGTTACGAATTTGTGTACAGCTCGCACAGCCTCAGCGCCGCTGACTTCGTCCAGTGGCATGCAGCTCCACCAGCACACCGGTTCAACGCCAACAGCGCTGTTCAAAATTCTGCATGAACAAGTCCAACTGATGAAGCTGTGGGCCAACAAGGCTCGCGGTTTCTAACACCGTTTCATGCCCTGGCATCGTATAAGATTATGAGAAACAACCGCATCATACATCATCTAGTGGAGCCATACATCACACCTAGATTGGGCTCCGCTGATGGTAAAGTCGCTAGTCAGAAAGCCACCGTGATTGATCTTGTGGTTAAGCATCTCAACAATGCTGACTCCACGACTGTCTAATCCGATGCTCTAATCATTAACATGATCATAGCTAATATCAAATCTTTTCTGTTTGCCGCGCAGGACACTGCCGCCGCGACTATCTGCTTCCTTATGAAATGTCTCGAGGATAATCCGGACTGTCTGTTAACAATGCGGTCTGAGCGCGACGCCGTATTAGGTCCAAATCCAAACGACGTAACGACAGCGCTACGAGAAGCTTCTCAGCTCATCTACAACTTACCTTACACCCTGGGCATAATCAAAGAGATATCAAGATTATATCCACTCGCGGCCAGCACAAGAGCCTCTCCATCGTTTAGAATGTGGCTGACAGCCCCTGGGTCGGCAACTCAGTATCTCTTCGAAGGACTTACGCCCTGGCCTGCAGCGCCTGGCATTGAGGAGAGCCCAGAGTATTGGCTTGAGCCAACAACTGCCAAGGGACAACACCTATTTCCCCGCAAGGATGCATGGATGCCATTTTCTCTAGGTAAGACAGGCTGGTCGCAAATAGTTCTCTGAACAATAAGTCAACTTGCCTCTCCTGCCCCAGGACCCCGTAACTGCATCTGTATAGAACTAGCGCTGACAGAGTTACGGCTCGTGTGCGTATTTGTGTTCGCACTTTTCAATTTGAGCAAGCTTGGGAAGCATGGGACAAGAAAAAGTGTGTGATTGAGTCAAATTTCTACTTTCACTAATCATTGTACTAGAGGAGAGGTGGTAACACCCCCGCGCATGACTAATGGCCAACGACTGTATTAGGTCGATATTGGGTCCGTACGGCCAAAAGACGGAGTTGCCTGTCCATGTTAGACTACTGGCGGCGACATCGAAGCTGTAAGTCGAGGTAAAAGAGCTGTTCGCATCGTCAGTGACGACGGGGGAGGAGGCGCATGAGAAGATGCGTTGGGGCGGTTACGTAACTAGGGATGGCGAGACATGTCGAAGTTGAAGGCGACAATCAAGTTGCTTAATATTTGTCTTGTCGGTATTAGTCAAAAGCACGTAACAAAAGTAACGGACGCCACTATGAGTAATTCTATCTAGCTTACGTTGCTGTTTCCTGCCATGTCTCACCGCCCACCACGGTATATATAAGAGTTGTCATGTTCTTCGGGTTCTCATTCCCATCTTCGCACAAACCACATCCGCCCCCAGACCCCCAACACCACACCAGAAGCCAGAGTAAACTGGCTTCTTAATACTAATTGACTCAACCTACTAAACCTATACAACTCAAACATAAACACCACTCGGGAAAATATCACCCACAGTAAGGATGGCGAATCCTCACGCACCTCTGGAGGCGCTGCCACCGTTGGTAGCGATAAATTAAGTAAGTAAACTAATAACCATCTCTAGCATAACACTTCTTATACCCTAACTATATATATAGAGGCGCGTCAGCAGACCATTTCTGACTCTTTCGAAGACGGACGAGGGCCTGGCCAAGCACAAGCTGAAGGTTCACCGGGCCTTCCTACAACAATATCCTCATATAACCCTGGGGCAGAGAAGGAACTACGAGTTCCTGATCAACTACTATGAGAATGGCGGCTCCCCACCTCCTCGAGGGACTGTGAGATGGGTCTGCCGCGGCCAGTTCAGTGACACAGGGTTCTCTGAGACCGCGGCGATGAACAAGGAGGACCAGTGTATTGACCAAGTAAGTTACCATATTATTGTCTATTCCTGAATATAATCTAATCTATATATGCCTATAGGGACGAGATGCCGTACATCAGTATGCGTCCTAGTGTGGCGTGTTCCCGGTGGATATTTTCGACCAAATGCATAAGATGGTCGCTTCGATTCGTGTCCCTCCCAGTTACGCAGGCGTTCAAAACCCTCCAGAAACAACAATAGAAATTTGTAACGACACTGGATCGAACATCCAGTCCGTACACCGAGGTGACTTGCAGGCCATCGGCGCTGATCCAGCAAACCCCCAATTTACTATCCCAACGAATCGGGTGGACGTGAAGCTTGCGCAAGGCCAGAGTACTACATCAATGCTATTGAGAATCCAGATGAGACTATTGGCTGTACAAGGTGCGCAGCTAGCACCACTAACCGAATGGTTCCAAGTAGATGCCGTTCTTGACGATACCGGAGGGTTACGATTATCAGGACACGAGATGAGACACTATCTCTATTTTGCTACTGCGAAGGGAAATTCAGAGTTATATGTAGGGCAAACGAAGACTGCCCTTCAAAAAAGATTACCAGCTGTTTGAGGTGGGTAATGAACAGGAGCAGCGTGGGCACGCTGTGATGGAGGCACGAAAACGGCTACCCAACTGCCAACAACTGGCCCAGTGCCGATCGAACTAGATCACAGCTGTAAACAGCTGTAGTCGGTTGATCCGCCAGCTGAAAACGGCAGCTGGGAAAGGACTAGAAACGGATGGCAGGAAGGAGGCTAGAAAGGCATGGTAAGAAACGAGTGAATAGCTGTAGGTCGTGGTGGCTACTGGTCTAAGTCTAACTGATGAAAATATGAGTGCGAGACCCATGTAAATACACATCCAAAAGGCTACGTGGCCTAGATCCACCGCACCACTACGTTAAACGGACTAATTGAGGGGCAACGCCCGGTAGCAGCAGATTACTATTAGGAATCGATATATCTTATCATGGGCTATGCTTATTATAAGGCCCTAGCTAGTACTAGAGCAAGGCACGTAATTAATCTCCTTAATACCTATAGAGAATAAAGCTAGCTAAAATAATGCCCGGATTATTCTGCTTCGTAATTACGTGAGAAGTTATATGGGGGGCAGACCAAGACTGTCCTTGAGGAGAGATTACCGGCGGTCTGAGATGGGCGGACAAGACGTGAATATGGTACTAGACATATCTTTTTGAACAATAGCAGCAGGTGTAAAAGCCGCTGTAATACGACCTCAATCCAGACATCGGGAAGCCGTCACGCTTACCTAAGGCACCGCAGATTTTGCTCTGGACAAATTCACCTCTGCTCACCTCTGCTCACCCTGGCCCCAAACAGAGAGGCAGTCTCATCAAAAATCGTCAACTGCCATACGTGCCAGCTTCAGCTATTATCTACTTAAAAGGCAAACGAACCGAGTCTTTGCACACGCATAGCGATAGAGCCTATTGCCCCAATGGCCTCGAGCGCGAGCCAAGAAGGCGAGGAGAGAAAGGCATTCATTGCCGAACTGATGCGAGAGCAGTTTGGCCGACATGCACATTGTTCCTCCCATCCTTCTCCCTTTGGGCTCATTGACCTTAGACCTGACCTCCATTTAAGCAGGTCCTAGAAAGCTCCCGCCTCGGCCACGATTCCAACAATTTTGTCTACCGACTAAAGCTCTCGGTATCCGACAGCCTGCCCGTATCACGCCCCTCTCATTACCGCCGCCCAGGGACCGTGACCCTTCCGGCCGACGCAACCGACGCCGTCATTCGCATCTCCAATCCACACGCGCTCGTCAATGAAAATGTTCGCGTTCAAAACGAGGTGGCTGCCATGAGTCTGATGCGAGATGCCTTAGCCGGAGAGTGGGAGGATCTCGTTCCTCGCGTGTACGCCTGGAGCCCATCGTCCGAAGGGCGGGAATGGATCGTACAGGAGTACAAACAGGGCGTTCAGTTGGATAAGTTGTTCGGCGACCTCGGTCCGGAGAGTCAGCGCGATGTCGTCCGCCAGGTCGTTCCCGTCTATAAGCTCATACAGAACTATCAGCTTTCCGTTTTTGTTTAAGAATATGGTAGTCTATCGTTTAACGAGGCGGACCATGTTGTCACAGGCCCGACAACGATCCCGTGCGGCGGCCCGTTCGATACTCTCCTTGACATGTACGCCCGGATGCTACGCAGGCTGTTGGATGAGTCGGACACATCAGATCGCCTGAAAGGCTGGCGCCAGAACAGTCGTCGAGAACGATTAGAACACTTTGCCCCTCATGGAATTGTGCGGCAGACACGCGATTCATGTGTTGACGTCGAGCATTGATTCATGGTGATTTCAGTAAGTGCCTAGACCGACATCCCGCAATACTCTAACGCACATACTGAGCAGGTGCTCCAGACACGTTCAATATGCTGTTTAATCCAAGTTCGAATCGCGTCACTGCACTTCTCGATTTCGATTTTTCTCATGTCACCAGTCCAGCTGATGAATATTTCTATTCACTCAGGACCTTTGGTGCATTGCTTATAGGTCCTTTCGAAGACGGCGACGAGGGTCTGCTTCGTACCTGTCTACTCGAAGGATTCGGCGGGAAAGTCCCATCAGAGCCCGACGGCAAGGGAAGGGCGAACTGGACGGTTGCTGTGATGATGGACGAGGAAAGACATAGGGCAGGGCCCCTAAGACCGGCCGATATTATTCACGGCCGCGGGGAGTTAGCCGCGTTGTATTGGTTCCTCGAAGACGTGTCGCTACCGTATTTCTTCATGTCTCGTTGGGTAGAAAGCAGGAAGCCAGAGGATATCGACAATATTCACCGGTCTATCAGTAAAAGCCTGGATAGGTATCTAGCTAGATGGGCATGACCCGTGCTTCCATGCAAAGCAGCTTGATTCACATGCTGTCAAGATGGCTATCGCGGTAGACATTTGCGTTTGCGTATGAAGAGTTGCTCTTACAAAGGAAGCCAACGAAAATATTTTGCAGCCAATTTGGATAAAATCAGGCCTGAAGCTTCCCTCCCCTTTCAGATACATGATCCTTCCGTAGCGGCATTGCTTATGCTTCATCCTAGATATTGAGAAGGCGAGTCACGGCTCCCAGAACACCGCCTAGACTGTCTCGATACATGACTTTCCCAGAAGTCAAGGTAATGAGATGTTCATGGTAGATGGGTGAATAATCAAGCTTCAAGTAATCTGGTCCATGTGGGTTCTATCATCAGTGTCGTCAGCAACGCGGACATCGAGCGTCGACTAGCAATCAAAGAAAGGGTATATGGACACACCCGACGCTCCAGAACATGCTTGCCGCCCTTCTTTGGGGGGCCAGAACCGCTGCCAGCCTTTTCGGGGTAAGTGTTGGAGGCGTCGACCGTAACATAGTCGTCAGCCTTGTTTGAGTAGCTAGTAACCCAGAGGCTGCGAGTGTTGGCGCTGTCAACTGTATTTGGCTTGTATGGCAATGGTGTGCCCATGGCGGCGGCCACGAGAGCAACGAGACCAGCTGTTGAGAATCGCATTTCGACAAAAGGCTAGCCGGTTTCCTGATAATCTTGAGGTGAAAATAAGAGGTGCTGCTCAGGGAGCCGACCCGCCCAGACAATCTCATTAGGGCAGGTTATTATAATCTTCGTTATTACTGCAACAAGGGCCTTCAACTAATACAGGCCGCAGGGGTACTGCGTTGGTCCCGCATAAAAAGTTACATTTGTCTCACATTATCCGGTAGTTATGGGCGATCAGGTTTCTCATCCATTTTTTGCCAAGAAACCATCGGTGGTAATATGCCTTAATTTGAACCTATAAGAACAAAGCGCCTGTACTTGCTACGTCAGACAGATAAGCGGTTATTCTCGGTTCTCTAGAAATATGTGGACGTGCCGGATGTGTGTGTTGAGGGACTAAGTCAACCATTACATCACTAACTGTGTGGTCCTTAGTAGATAGTTGGTGTGTTGGTACTTTTCTTCCTCAAGTACTGAAGACTTCAGTCTGAGTCAAGTCTATTTAAAAGCATATTTCAATGAAGAGAGACCAGTGGCAACTAGCCGGCCTTCTTCTTTTCTTCAGCAGAATTTCAATTTAAGAGTCCCGTTTACTTTACCCCAAAATGGTTTACCCCAGGTATAGCCGCCTGGACAACGTCCAGGAGAGCCACCCTCTTGAGGATCTGACGCCAACGCTCGACAAAGACTCCAAGGATATCAAGAGAGCGCTCCAACGACGAACTCGTTTACAGAAGATAATTCTCTTAGCTGGGCTAATTCTGTCTCTTCTATTGAATGTTTTCCTCGCTGTTGCATCGAGTCGTAATAGCAGAGTGAGCGAGGGGCCCTACTGTGAGTGTCCCTTCTCAGAAGTCCAGCATTAGCCTGAATAACACGCGTTAGCGCCGGCCTCATCTGCGTTAAGAAGGGTGGACGTGGTCTTCTCTAGTGGCTTCGGCATCCAGCAGTCACTATTCCAGGGACCTCCGTCGGAGACGAACAACAAACTGTGGGAGAGCCTTTACAACTGTAAGTGCCCCTGTTCCCGCTGGAAAACACTTATTATTTTTTCCCCTCAGCCGACTCATTCCCTCATGTGCGCATTAGTTGGCATCTCCAGAGTCAAGGCACACGAAGCCCGCCAGCTCCCCAACAAGACCTTGCCAGTCCCTGACAATGAGGGGGGTTACATCGTGCAGCTTTCCGTCTTCCATCTCCTACACTGCCTGGTAAGGTTTCCCCGCGTCCTCGGCTTTCTAGCCCTGGAGCCCCGAGGTTTGAGCTAACCGAGACTAGAATCTCGTGCGGCGTGGTCTGTATGGGGAGGTTGACATGACCAACAAGCACGATTTGTTGGGTATTGAGCATCTTGACCACTGCGTTGACCATATTAGACAGAGCATCATGGTGAGTCCGCCAAAGCCCGAATACGCCACGGTTCTAACAAGGGGAAACACAGTGCTCCGCTGATACTGCCGTGTTGACATTTGCCCGCCAAACTCCCAATGGCAGGGCCAAGGCTGTAGCCGAGGTTTTGCACGGGTGTCGGGACTTCGAGGCAATTCAGAGATGGGCTCTACAGCGCCAGATCCCGGCTGAAGTTGACTTCGACGTACATGTAAAGGATGACCCTCTCGGCTGGGGCTCCTACGTGTACTCGCCGTGAGGGATTGCTTGCGGCATTTCTGGAGTTGGCCTGGTTGCGCTGCAGTGTGACCTACTAGTTGGTTGAGAGAGGCTTGTTGGCTCCCTTAGGACTCACGCATAATGGTTACTGCTCTTTCGACGAGCCATTGCGTTGACGCATGTCTGACTATTCCTGCTTTTCCATCTGCATGACATGTAGTCATGGTTTCTCTTGCGCTACCAACGTGCGCAAGCAGACGGCCAGACCTCGTTGTCAAGCTCCTAGATGCCTAATCACGCAAGATATTATCGCGTATTGACTGCTTCATGCACATGCGGCAGCTAGTCGTGTACCCCCTTATCAGGTTCAACCGTATTTGTAATGAGGGCTGTATTCGTAATCCTCTCATTTAATCGAGAGGGGGGACTTTTGAGCAACTTTACTTTAATCGCCTCGTTCACGAGATCTTCTTTCAACGCGAAAGAAAGACTTGAAACATGTATTTTCGCTACTCTCGGGTTTCTGATGCGGGCGATTATGAGAGGCATGGCCATTCTCCAACATGTTCGGGTCATCAACATTCAACTTTCCTCTCCGAGCCGTTACATTGGACGATTCATGGTATTTTACTTATCCTAACGTTCATCACACTTGCGCTGCAGATGCGGTGGCCTGTGTGTGATGAGTCGCCAGGCAGAGGCTTCCAGAGAATCCATTGTAAGCTCAAACAAGTGTAAGAGGCATTTACAATGTTCATATATGTGTCTAGCTCCATTGTGGAATATGGTCCAGTACTCGCCGAAAGTATTCGATCACGCCAACTTTGAAGGTGCAGGTTCCAATTCAATCTTTAAAGGCTTCCCAAGACCTGAACTGGACCAGGCATGGGAGGGAATTCTGAATCGTGAGTCCTCGCAGCTTCGCTTCCTCTCCATATTCTCCCAATCCAATCCAGATCTGTGACTGCTATTCTTTTCTGGCTGACAGAGCCGGAACGCTCACAGACAGCCTGATTCTAATCGATGAAAAGGCCATGATGTCTTTAAAGCAATCGACTCACAATGCAAAGAAACTCGGTGATAAATACTTTGCTTCCGTCGATGTATTCCATCAACTGCACTGCTTGGACCTGATCCGGAAGTACATATTTCGCAACCACTATCCTGATTTCATGGCGTTCCAAGACAGTGAATATGCTATCTTCAATCATGTAGGTGAGTACAACATGCCCGTCTTATCAACTCAACAACTTGTTTAACATTATTTTAGACCACTGCATCGATATTATACGACAAAAGATCATGGTTAGTCCCGTCTTGCTCACGAATGAATGAAGGCTGACCAAAAGACAGTGCGAAAGTGACGTTGACCTCATTGTGTATACAGATCCTGGAGGTCAGGGCACACAGCCAATAGCCCGGTTTGATATAGTGCATATGTGCCGAAATTTCGAGGATATACAACGATGGACTTTCGACCACGCTTGGAACCGGTAGGCCTGTGTTGCCAGAAGCTGGAGAGACAAGGTCGGGAGATGCCTGCTAAGAAGCTGGAGTTACGTAGGGAAATAGTAATAGTAAGGGTCAAGAGTGGCAGTATTGTTCCCTGAGCTCCCTTTTTCGATCTACGCGGTGCCCCTTACCGGCCATTCCCTATTGTCACATTAACTAGCAGAAGTAGTCGACAGGACCCGACATAGGCTTGCGTAACGAACTGATGGGTCGCCCTCGCTTACTGAACCTTTCGACTTCGAACTTCATTGCAGATCCCACGGCCCGTCACGTAGGGCATAGTCGAACCGAAGACAAGAAACGAAGAAGCAGCTACAAGATGTCGGAGACGGACCTCTCGAGCAGTTTTCAAAGACGTTCCCCAATAGCGCGTTTCTCCTTCTCCACGTTTTCTTTACGTCTTTGTTTGACTATGACTTGATTGCAAAGAGTGTCGGGGCAAAGCAGGTCCAAGACCGCGTACACAGTAGAGAGTGCACTGTCCCAACAATAGTTCTTGGCCTGTTTACGCCAACTTTGGCGAGTTATTTGTCCCATATTCTCGCGAGCTCCCAGTCGGCTGCAGGCGAGGCTGGCGGTAGAGGGTCGGGGAAGCCCCTCAAGAGGGCAGTTCGCAAGGCAGCTCGTTGATCATCAGGCTCGTCTGGTGGAGGTAATCAAGCATAGCGCCGATGAAAGGATGCAAGGCATTCACCCCCTTCCCAGCCGATTCAAGCCCAATCAAAGTCAAGAATCGCAGTGATGCGGAAAGCGTCCTTGCCGAAGAGGTTGTTATTGAGAGCTATTTACAGGTAAGTAAAGCTCTTGCAACCGAGATGGGTTAATTCGTCAGCTACATACTTAAGTCGCCGTGGACGAGGGTCCGGCGGCTTGTATCGATTTGGGCGAATAAGGTACGAATATCCTTGCGAATGAAGTGCCCAATAACGGAACATAGTCCATTTGTTCGCTAACCTTGAATGATGGTGTGAGAGTTAGATCTAGCCAACTGCTCATCAAGGGGAGATGTAAGAATTTCTGAGTAGGTCGTGTAGGGGCCCCCAGAGGATAAAGTCAGTTGAACGGTGACTATGTTGCCTTCATCGTCGAAGTTGAGGCCGCCAAATCCTTGAGTTGTGTTTGGGAGTTCGAACGTCTGAAGCCATCAGAAAATTTAATTCGCGAGGAATAGACGAGATTGAGGAGATTGAATCAAGCTCTGTGTTTAGCCCATTGATCTTGATGCCCAACCCCAACTTGACTTAGTCATGTGAGCTGACACGACTTCAGGGAGATCGAAAATGGGGAGTACTGGAAATCGATCGTACGGTATTGCGAAAGAAATCAATGATGTTAGGAGCAGCCAAAGTTGTAAGATATATATATACCTATAGAGAGAGACAGAGAGAGAGGGAGAGAGTCGGTCGGTTGCTCAGAGTTGGGTGGCGAAGCCGGCTGGAACGTTGTTCCCACTCTTGATCCGCAGCAACTCCTTGCTGTGGGGGACGAAATCTAGGGCCCCCGGCGAAGGCTGGTTCACCACCGGCTCAGGCCAGCTTAGGGAAGCTCAGGGAAGCTCAAGGAGGCTCAGGCTAAAGTAGTAAGTGTTCAGTTCTTAGGATGGAAGGCGAAATTCTCGTTGTCGGTTTTGGGGACGCGTGTTCGATGATACAGAAGACTCAAAATGCATGCTAAAATGTGGCCATATATACCCAGGTCTATACAGACAAAACTCATGGCCGTCGCTGGCACGACGCCGATCAGCAATGTTTAGATGCTCGCACACGTATATGACGCCTTGAACGACCCGGGAATAGGTCTCTACAGAGATCGTTGGAAGTTTTATTAGCGGGGATTCATTTCACTCGAATATACCATAGGGTATCGGGGTAAAACCTCACCATCTTCCCCAGCTATGTCTTTGGAAGCCCTGGCTGACACATGGTGAATCTATAACAGGTTACCTATCAAACGGCCGCCGCCTTCGTGAGGCTGATGCCCCGAGGCCAAGGCCTATCTCGGCACTGAAGGATACACAGGAATCGTGCCTGGGGATAGCAAGACTAGGGACAAGATCTTCTTGGCCTGCGGGGCCGAGGTTGCGTTCCTAACTCGATAGGTGACGGTCACGGGCTTTCATAAACTCACCTAGAAGTGCTATATCCATGACATCATGTATTATGACAAGGACTGCCTCCAGCTCGAGGATGAGAGGTGTCTTTGATCGAGGGCGGGTATAGCTTGGGTATCGTTGGTATCGTTCTGGTCTGGCCTGGACGGAGGTCGGGTAGGGCCGGCGCTGTCCGTGTACGACGTTTCGTTTTGTGCTGCCGTAAGGCATGAGTCTCTTTGAAAGTCTCGCCGCAGCACGATAGCGATATGGCCGTTTCCGCCATCATTGATACAGTTACCGATAGATGCTGATAGAATGCGTTCAGATACGATGGAGGAGCGAGGATTATCGATACCCCTCACAAAACCCTGCCATGACGTAATAGCATTCGCTCTGGTGTACAAGTACATCAAATTTCTAACGAACCAATTCGCACGAAAAATCATCAGTCAGCAGACGGCGAAGGCCTGAAAAATTCCGTAATATCAAGAACTCGGCAGCTTACGCCCGAACAACATCGAGATCCATTCCGACCAATGTCTCCCCGCCCATCCTCCCATAGACATACGCCTCACTTATAAGCTTGTAGATCTTGTCGAATTTGTGTCGCAGAATAATAGGCACAGAGCACCCGAAGCGAACGTATACGATAGGTATCGCCTACCTACCTCGACATAGCGAGATCCCCGCCCGATAAGCCTTTCCAGACCCGGCGACACCGACCGCGTGAACATAGCCTCGGAATCATCGCTCTCCCTCGTCCGCGGTCCCGTCAGTACAGGAAAAGACAATCCTGTTCCAAGCGAGGATAGAAAGGCAGTCGCCCGATATAATACCATCAGTGATACGCGGGGACGCCTCGGGGACGCGGCCGAGAACGGTGCCCTCGGCGATGAGGAAACACTCTGAGCCGCGTGGCTTTTTCAGATTCCTCAGGTCACGCATTTCTCGATAGATTTCTCTCCTATTCTGGACGCATTTCATGCCACGTTATCGTACCGCTTCGCTACCTTCTTCTGTTTCCAGGGCTTTTCGCTTAAGTGCTCCAGAGAGATCTAGCAATCATGGCCTGGTGTTGGAGGAAGAAGAAGTTGGCGGAATCTGGGATGGGTTGGGGGGATGGGGAGTCCTGGTAGTTCCGTCGCCATCTCTCCCCTTGGGCGCTCCAGATGTTCTCGACCCCGGGCTCGTCGACACGTTGTGAGGATGGGAAGGCCTGATTCTTCGAGTACGCGGACCGTTTGACGGCTTCTCGAAACGAGACTCGGCTAAAAGCCCTCGAGACGCGTTGCGATGGATGCAGCGCCCCGGCGCCTCAAGACTGGATAATCGACCGATTCGAAATGCGAAATGTACCTACAACGTCGACAACGCTTATAGCCTTTCGCACGGGTTTTCCTTTCCCGTTGTTCAGTCTTGCCACCGGGGCCGTCAGTACGCACAAGGACGGTCTCCTCGCCCCTTTTGGCGCCAGTCCGAATAGCTGGCACTGGTAGTGCGCCACGACAGCTTTGTACGGGACCGGGACCGGGAGCTGCGATGTGAGGGATATCAAAAACACTTTTCTCGGGACTTGTGACCGCCCACGTCTCCAGGAGACGGATTCCTCACGGCTCATCACGGCTCATCACGGCTTCGCTCCTTACCCGCGTATACCTCTTAATATCTGAACATTTGCACAGGGTTAATGTAACAACGCTCGAGACGGGTTTCTAACTTCCCCTTGGGCGCCACCGACCCCGTTCCGAACCAGTTTCTCGCTGATCATACTAGGCGGTGGTCGGAGTTAGTTAGAAAATGATCTGATGGCTCGGCGATGTAATATCATATCAGGACCATAGCAGCAAATCCTCGCGTTCCCTTCCGTTCCAAGCATGATTACTAATAATATGTAACTGATTGTAAGCACGAATTAGGAATCTTCCTTTGTTAGTTACTAATGCGAATAAACAGCGTACGATCGGGCAAGCATAGAGGAGTAGTCGGCGGGCGCCAGCACATTGTTGCATGGCCAAGGATACGGCGCACTAGTCGATCCTGAGAAGGTATCATTACTTGTAGTGTGTAAGCCCGATGTTACGGGACACCAATCCGGCGTGGGAAAGAAAGATTCCAAACAGATAAGGCATTATACAACGATCAACCGCTGCGTGAAACGTTGTCTACGGACAGGGTTACCGAATATTAGAGCCTCTTAATTCTCTCCCGCGTGATGGTTCCTAGGCAGTCTGGCGCACTTTTATGAGTAAACCCTGTGAGGAAGAGGATGAGAGGGTTAGAACGGTCGTTTCACGGGAGTTCTTCGGCAACGATTTCTACTCTTTTCTTACTTATCACTGCTAGTATGTTGATTCCTCTATTCTTGGCGTAGGTATGTAGCCGTCGAGGGTTTCCCCAGATTTTCCGCTGCTAGTACTAGGGTCAGTTCAGCTCGGACAACTTGTCGTACACCGAGTCCGAGGTCCGTAAAATCCGCCGAAACTCCTTTTCCGCTGTTGTCGCCGCGTCACCACATCTCGCAACATTTTAACATAATAACACCTCGTCTTAGGAACTGATTATGTGAGTATACTGCCAATGCTACTCCATCTGGTAGCCTATTGTAACTCGGGTATCGGCTTAAAGCCGTCTGCGGCCATCGTTAAGACCGTCCCTCGATGGCGTCGTGCGTAAATATACACCTATGCGTATAAATATCTATATTACTGTCTTCAACCGGAAGTAAGCCGAATATAATGCACACATTAGGCCCGACGTAAGAAGCACGAGACTTCCTTAGAGATCCCTCATACCTCCATCCACAACCACCATGCGATTCCGCGACCACGCCCTCATCGGGGCCGCCAAGAACATCCCCGTCGGTCCTGCAACCCCCGTGGTGACCTTCAGCCCGATCGTGATCCCCATCCCAGGGCGTCCCGTCGACCTGGAGCTGAAGGTGACGTTTCCCGCGATCGGCGACGCGCTCCCCATCATCCTGCTCTCGCACGGCCAGGGCTTCAGCAACCACCTCAACTCGCTCGAGGGCTACACGCCGCTGGCCGAGTTCTGGGCCGCGCACGGCTTCGCCGTCGTGCAGCCCACGCACCTGTCCTCGCTGTCCCTGCGGCTGCCGGACCCGCCCGCCGGCAGCGAGTTCTACTGGCAGGACCGGGCGCAGGACCTCAGCCGAGTGCTCGACCACCTCGACGCGGTCGAGGCCGCGGTGCCGGCGCTGCGCGGGCGCCTCGACCGTAGGCGCGTCGCCGCCGCAGGCCACTCGCTCGGTGGGTGGACCGTGTGCGTGGCGTTGGGGGCGCGGAACGCGGACCCGCGGACGGGGGCGGCGGGCGGGGCGCGCGACGCGCGGATACGCGCGGGCGTGGTGCTGGCGGGGACGGGGGCGGGCGGCGACGGCGACCTGTCGGCGACGGGGCGCGCGGTGCTGCCCTTCTACGGGCCCGACTTCGGCGGCATGCGCGCGCCGGCGCTGGTGGTGTGCGGCACGGACGACGCGAGCCCGCGCCTGACGACGCGCGGCGCCGCCTGGCACGCGGACCCGTACGCGCGCGCGCCCGGCCCCAAGGACCTGCTCTGGCTGCGCGGCGCCGGCCACGCGCTCGGCGGCGTCAGCGGCTGGGACGCCGCCGAGGCCGCCGACGAGAGCCCCGAGCGCCTCGCCGCCGTCCAGCGCCTCACCTGGGCCTACCTGCGCAGCGCGCTGTACGACGGCGACGCGGCGTGGGAGGAGGCGCGGGAGGCGCTCGCGGGACTGCCCGAGCTCGGGTCCGTCGAGAGGAAGAGCTGAGAGAGGGAGGTAGGGGGACCTCGCGGAGATAGGCAGATAGGGGCTCGTCGTGCGGATCGGGAGAGTTAGGTTCTGAGACCAGGTTGCTGGTAGGTAGTTGATAACAGTTGAAGTGGAGCATTGCGCAACGGAGACGGAGAAATGCAAGAGGAGAAAAGAAGGAAAATATCACCATATCTTCGAATTACCCCTAAGTTGTACGCAGTATCATGCAGAGGTACTACCTGGCTCCGTAAGATCATGTAAAGGTACCGCCTGGCCCTGTAGGGGTATATCGGCCATAAGAAGCCTCTCCCGACCGTGCCTCCATGTGCTAGAGACGGAGGAAGAGTTCTGAGCGAGCTGAACGCCGCCGTACATGCATGAAAGAGCAGGTTCTAACCGCTCTAGTTGGTCCCTCGGCCGGCCTATGCTAGGGATAGACGAAACGCCCTATCACTCTATCTACGTCGTTCGACGCATCTTGCGCCTTTTCGCTATGCTCTAGACTAGCCCTGCCCCTCGTGGCGCCCATCCTGTCGATAACACCATGTCGGAGACCCCGAGTGTGCAGGTGCGCCTCCTGCAGGGTCCAACGGAGGAGGTAAAGCCCTCTGTAGAGTATGTCTTAGGTCTTATCGCCACGCCCTCCAGCCTGTGATATCTCCCGATTCACTCGGCTTGCTCCTCGGGATTGTTATCTAGGGTTAGTTAGGTCCACGTCTCGACGCCCCAAGCCGCCGCAGTTGCCATCAAGCCTAGCACGGGGGAATCTCGGCGATGCCGCTCTACGTACGTGTTCACAGGTGTATGAGTGGGCAGCCATCGATCATGGGTTTAAGGATTCTGAAGTGAGGTTATTAACCCTATTGGCTAGTAGTATACGATATTCTACATTTAGATCGCCACAGCGCCACTATCAAGGACTTTGCGCGGGCCCGGAGAGATCGTCCAAGTGGGTGGAATTTCGGTGGGGTGGCAGCTTCGAGTACTGGTAAACGTGTTAGACGGATAGCTCTTTGCTCCCAAGATCCCGGCACGTCGTCTTGACACCTCATCTCCGGATTCCGCTCACTAACCCGAGACTGCGGCACCGCGTTGCGTTCTCCCGTCCTAGGTTTACTGCGGAGCTAGATAGATGCTTATAATAGTGGGCTAGGACCGGAATTACAGACGTGGCCGTGATTATTGGCCTCCAGTAAGCTCCAGGTAGAATGTCTTGAAACGATCTTACGTTGTCTAAGATTATTGGCGGTGAAGGGTAGTAAGCGAAGACGTTTCGTCATCATACTCTTCCCCCGGAGGCTGTCTACGTAGGCAAAGTCTTACCTATACCTTAACCCAGCCTACGTGGGTCGGAATAGGGAGAGATAGACCGGAAAGGAAAAAATATGACGGCTGAAAAAGGGTTCGACGTAATCTTTCCTGCATATAATACTACGTATTAGAAGATGGCTTCCACGAGCGTGATCTAGCTCGTGTTCGTAACCCGTGATATCCGAGCAGCGTATCGTTAAAAGATGCCGATGCCTGTAGACGCTTTTGGACACACCTATTACAACTGGCTACGTAGGTCTATGGCCTGGCCGGATGTCACCGACAGACTGGGAATCGGGTCGCAATGAGTATCGCCCTTCTAGATTCTTTCTCCCTTCCTTTTCTAGTGAGCCATCCAATAGCCACATTGCTCGCACGCTTTCTTTGACAGGATCGGGACGCGTCCTTCCCAGTGGCAGGATGCTGCATAGGTACCTGTTCCTGATTGCCAGGTAACAAAGCCGAAACACCCTAGTACCATCCAGAGGTGTGAATGTCAGGCAGGCATCTGGAAAGGACCCTGCAGGAGTACCGTGATCCCATGGCGGATTACAGGCAGGCATCTTTCGAATATTAAGACATTGCTTAAAACTCTTGCCGCGCATCCAGTGGACGGCAGACGCATGAGAGCAAGGGAGAGATATATACGTGCCAATTTTCCAAGGACCCAAGGAATGAAGTTGCGTTAGTGCTAGGCCGTAGAGGGCCCTACATCGTGGGATAACTCACCCCAAGCCGGAAAACTATCTCTCGATACAGCGCACCTGCGGATAAAATAGCCTTGTAGGGATGGAATCTAGCTGTCGACAGATGAAATCGACGAAATAAATCTTGGCCTCGCATTCGCTTAAGACTAAGCGTCCTCTGATTCGCTATACTCTTGCGTGGCATGTCGGCATATCTGTGCCTCACTGGCGCTTCCCAGGTCACATCGAAAATCGCCCAGGATTGGGTAGGTGTTAGGAATTAATATCTCTCCCTCTCTCTCATATGCACAAGTCTTCCCTTCTGCCTAGCGCCCTCTCCGTCTGGAGCTCGAAAGGAAGACCTTCACCATCTGGTTCGTGAACTGATAATGACTTAACCGTTGCTTAGAACTTGGTACCCACGGGCGAGCTCCCCCCCCCCCCCCCCCAAACTCGTGCTTCGGCCTTGGTTCTTTTGGCCCCCTTCGGACCACCTAGCCGCCTACTAGTCTCTAAGCGGGGAACCAGTTCGGCGCGGGGGCCAAGAAGCCAAGCAGCCAAGCATGAGGAATCAACCGGGGATAATAAGCAGCTTCGCCTTACAAGAGATGCGCCAGCCACTCCATTTCCTTGCTCTAGCCCTTCTAGCCCTACTCGTGCCCTAGTCGGAATAGCGCCGGCATAGGACCACGACCATGTACATAGATAGGGAGAGGTGAAGGTCGGAAAAGAGGCACGGGGCGACGCTGCCAAGATTGTGTCGTCGCAGGCACGGGAGCCCCACGAAGCAGAGAGCGGCTACGCGTTCGTCAGATTATATACAACATCTGCCTCTCAGTATGCGTATTACCTACCTATCTACTTACGGCACCTATTCCCACGGTAGATGCGCCACCTATCGGGTGGGCGGGCATGCACCTGATGTGCCTGAAGCCTCCCGCTAAACAGGCCTGCTGTTCCCGCGTTCAGTGGGGGTCGCCTCCTCACACATTCCTACAAATAAATGCGCATCGCTATGCGCCTTCAGCAGCGGTTAGATGTAGAATGAATGCAAGAGACGCCCGGGGGAGTCGTGCGTCAGTACACATATACCAACACACCACGCACCAATACCACCTCGAGCTGGGGGTTGGGGTTGGTTGTGGGCATCCTGATGTGTGTGTAATAATACCTCTGTCCCTGGGGTGATAAGACCACCCCCTATTGGAGGGATGTGCGACACTGTCACAATAAAAACGGGGGACAGGATTTGATTTAATTAGCAAGATGGAACCAGGCGCAACACGTACAGGTAATAATATTCTCTATCTTGTTCGCGGTGATGCGTGTGTGTGTGTGTTGTGCTGTAGTAATAGTATTGGTAATGGTAACGTAGACACGGTAGTAGGGCGTTGGCTGGTTGGTAGTCTTCTGCGCTCCGTGAAGAGGGAAAGTTACAGATGGCCAAGAGGAACTTTGTTCGGGATCCAGGAACGGCATTTCTTTCCACTACATCATGTCTTATTCCACATACTAGGTAGTACCTCCATGTCATGAATTCTCTCGATATTAAGTACCTATAGCATCCCCCCCCTCTCCTCCGGTCTGTGAGCCCCTCTCTATATTCTACGTAACCCTCTATACACCTAGTAAGTATGGATGGCTAGGTATGTGTGGACCGTATAGGATAGGAACGCACGAGTTTTACAGGCGAGGGATAGACTAGATATGCATTTCCGCCTGCGTACCGTGGAGCGGATATGCATAAATATAGAAAATATAGGTATGTTATGCAGGCTTCTTCTAGTGAGAAGACGGCGAGCAAAAGCGCGACGGTGTGACGCTGTAACGTGCCCCGCTGCCCACGGGACCCCTGGCGATGCTTAACATCATACTACTGCTGGATCCTTTTGAAAAGGCGGGTTTAAATAATTTCCCGCGGGATTACGGTGCCCAGACTCCTCCTCCTCTCATCCTGGGATTCCACTTATCCGTGTGTTTTCTCGGCTTCGACTTCTAACCAGCTATGCCCATTTCTGCTTCTTATCGACCCTGCAAGATCTCTATCTCGCTCTGCCTGGGCTGCCTGGGCTCTGTCTGGGCTGCCTGAGCTCTGTCTGGGCTGCCTGGGAGAAATCTCCGACTCGAACACCACCCAACCCTGTGTTTGAAGAGAGCATGCTCGCGCCTTGGGAATCTGTCTCCTCTCGAACGGTGTGAACACGGGCGACGCCTACCGACTTTCTCTGAGCGTGGGTGCGGAACGATGATCGGAGGCCAGGGGGGCGTACGCGCGCGAGGGGGCGTCGACGTATTACCCCAGCCATAGCAACCAGCGCAACCAATCGTGAATTATCGCTATTGCGGCGATGTCTGGGTATTATTATGTAAGACCTAGCACTGCAGGATGTCCACACCACATGGCTGTAGTGAGGCACTGCTGGCTGTAATCCTGAGCCATGCGGATGGGTGGTATCGAGGCATCCGAAGAGGAGATCGGCACGAGTTTCATCGGAACAGCGCGCCAATGAATTAGAGGGATTGCGGCGTAACCAGCTCGAGGCTTGTCGTGACTTTAGGCACCTACATAACATCTACAGACACCAACCGAACCCATCGCGTCGAGGGAATCACAACCTGGCATCGTCGCCATGGTTGACGATCTGAGGCGCTTCCGAATCGCGCGTGAGCAGGTCGGAGGAAACCTGGCAGCGCTAACTGGATCCGGCCGGGAGTCGGCTGGTCCGATTTTGAGCCTGTCTACCCGGCTATCGAAGCAATTGGGCTCATGTTTTTGCGTAGCATCGTGCCTAGTAGCGCGGTAATAGTTGATGCGACCTTGGGCTCAGAGCGGTGGTGGTGTCGAGGTCTGGCTCGATTAGCTACAGGCAGAATCCGACCGGGTGCGTTAGCTGCTGGGTTAGCCCGGTCTGCTCTTGTTCCTTCGTCATGGCCTCTGGTGCCGCGAGGTTTTGCAAACCTGCCCCTTCGGATAGGTTGCCACACCACATCCCGGCATGCACTATCCCACGTGGGTGGTGGTGGTAGATTACTTCTTACCTGAGGGTTGGTAAGGACTTCGACGCACTTGATGGGACGGGAGTCCTGCGCCGAGAGCCATGGTAGCAGCCAACGAGCCCCTGTTTACTTATCGCAGCAGCCCTGGCCCCCTGGCGCGATGGCAAGATTGTGGAGGATTGGCTGGATGCTTCCCGCTTGACAACTAGTCCTCCTCACAGGTATGGGTCTGCGGAGTTGAGACCTGGGCTCGCGCTCATCTCTCACTCCCCCTCTCCTTGTATACGTAATACACCCCTAGAACACATCATGGGCTATAGAGCAGGCTCAAAGGATCCCGGCGCGGGAGGATCTCATCAGCTACGGCACAATCCAATGGAATAGCCCAGCCTAGTCCAGTCTGAAGGCTTATACGAGCTTGAATGGCCTCGCAAAGAGGGTTCAGTGGGGAGGGAGGGTCTAGGACCCGGCTCCCTGCCTACATAGCTACCTACGACACGGCTTGATTGGGTTGCCCTAGGGGAATTGTTCGCAAGGCGTCGACTCGTTCAGCGTCGCTTGACCTGACCAATCCCTCACTGTTCTCCTTGCGGGGTCTCTCGCGTCGAAGCGTGCCGAAACCTCGTAGAGAGACGATCTCGAACCAGCTTGAGGGGCGGTCAGATCGAGTATTCGTAAAGCTTGTCAGCCCAGGGAGTTTACCCGTAGCGCCGTGGGAGCCCGACAAGCGCAGATAATCGCGATTATGACAAGTTTCCTCTCCCGGAGCCGCTCCATTCGGCCTAACGGTGGTCCAACGGCTCTGCTCCTCTTATTACATGGGGTATGATAACATTGGAGGAGAGAGAAAGGCAGAGAGAGAGGTCAGCTTGCGGGCCCTTCCACGTACATATGTGCCGCGAAAACGATCCTCTCCACGGCCCCATGCGGAAAACCATCTCACATGCCGCTGTGCTGGGTTGTAAATCCCCCTTATCGACAGAAGTGGTTCTAGCACGCCGGGTACTCAGATCACCGCCAATACCCAAGCCGCACGGCATCGTACACACAACAATCTACTCTGATCCTATGGAACAGCAGACCCGTCCAGCATGGCGGCCATGACCTTTCTTTTTTTAGTGAGAGCTACTGGGTCTAGAATCCTGTCTCAGTCCGTAGCCTCCTAGCATGCCAGCTCTCGTGTGCCCTTCATGCGTATAGATATAAATGCATCGCGCCGCCACGAATAATAGACGGTATTATGGTGACTAATTTCTCAGTCAACTTTGTCGGTAGACCTTGACTATCCCTTGCTTGGCGTTTCCGTGTGCGAGTGTCGGACGGGACTGAGAGATCCGCATCGCCGAACGGACTTCGACTACGCACCACGGCCGGGTTGGGCCCCTTAAACAACGGCACACAACATTACGCGACGCCGCACGACGAGACCGCGCGGCTTCAACAGCCGGTGGCGCCCGACATATGTCTAACATCATGTCCGAGATATCTTCTTTCGCGACGTCTAAGCGCTCGGCATGCGACCGCTGTCGTAGCCAGAAGCTGCGGTGCCCACCGCGAGAACCAGGCGCGACCGCGTGCGCGCGGTGCCTTCGGCTGGGCGCGGAGTGCGTTACGAGCTATCCTAGGCCGCCGGGTCGGTCTTCGAAGGCGAACAATCCCGAGGCTCTCTCTCAGCAGCCCCTGAGGACTTCTCGACCGGCGGAGCCGAGACGCCAAGTAGCGATGCCCGGGTCTGTCGCTATACCGCCCTCTACTTCACACGCGATAGTATCCGCGACGACGGCTACCGCGTCGAGACATACTCACAGTCCGACGTCGCACGCCCGGTCGCATTCGAACGATCCCCCGTTCGTCTCGGGCCCCTACCAGGATCTCTTCAAGCACACCTCTACCATATCCGCCGACAACTTGGCCTTCTTGACCCCAGACCCGTCACATCACGATCTTGACGATGTTTTCTTTTCTATGGATCCGTCCACTTTTACGCACGCCCACGTTGATAAGACCGATCCTTCGCAAGGAATAACGCCGCGAACGGAGGACGCCTTTGACAACGACAAGTCTGCCGGCGACGGCAACAGCTACCTCGAGAACGACACGCGGCTATCGAGCCTCATGCTTGACCTATCTAGACGTCTCGAACAGTGCATGGAGATGACCTCGTCCGCGGATAACATGATGACGATGGACATACCGTCTGCGACCGACTCGACGAGCCAGAATCTGCTCACGCACGCCCTCGGCGACCTATCCGAGTTTCTCTTCATCGTCCAATCCTACGTATCGCGAAAACCCACCCTCGCCTCCGACGCCTCGGAAAGCGGCGCAACAATGGGAAGCAGCAGCAGCAGCATGGTGGGCGCCGAGTCCCGCATCGGCACGGTAGTGCTGCTCAACATCCTCTCTGCGTACCTCCAGATCGTCGCCATATACGACATCCTCCTGCAGACGCTAAGCGACCGGCTGCTGGAGGGGCTGGACGAAGCCTCGGGGGACTCGCAGAGGACCCTGCGGGGGCTGCCGCTGGCGGGACTCTCGCAGAGGCAGGGCAACCTGCAGACGCGGATACTGCTGCACGCCATATTGCATCAGTTCGATACCGTCGAGAGCGTGCTCGGGCTACCGGCTGAGTTTCGCGTGACGGATAAGAGCGGGCCGTACTCGGGCCTGTTCGAGGACGAGCGTGCTACAGGGCTGCTTCAGGCGGTGGGGTTGGGGACGACCGCCTTGGCGTTTCCTACAAACCGCCTGGAGACAAGGTCGTTGCCCTCGCTGAAGGACGCGATACGGAAGATACAGTCCTTCCTGAGTATGTAATTGGTTGGGATCACTGTATAGCTAGGCCAGCCGATACCCGGAGGCAACACTTAATCCTACCAAGGAGTGTGGTAATATTCCTAGATTACGATACCTGCATAGAGCGAGACGCGGTGCCACGTTTTGATAGATTTCGCCGCTTCTGGGAGATATGGGAATACAAAGAAATGTTAAAGACCGAACCGTTACTCCTGTTGAATTGAGACGCCATTTGACTGTAACCCGTCTCGTCCTTATTAAGGAGGGGCTTTTTTTTTTTCGTCTCTCTAATTGCCTCCGATTCGCGTGTAAGCGAGAGTAGGAAAAGGGGTTTCCAGCATTCCAAAGCTTCTAGGCTCTCAGCCCCCGTAATTCTACAATACAGCAGCCTTAAGGGGTCAGCCAACTACCCTATACCGCCTTCTCGGCTGCAAATTTGCCTTCTGAACGTGTCTCGAGCATTGCGCCCTCCTCTGTCACGACGGTTTAGCAAAATGCGACTCGCGAGGTCGAACGCGAATATTAGGCACGTTAGCTCTGTTGCTAGGACTTGGACGATCCCACTAGCTAGCCCTCCGCTACGGTGCGTGCCGAGTGGAAATTTCTTGGAAGGACAAGTGCCCTGCCAAGTCATATGCGGATTGCCCGTACATATGGGTCTGTACCAGGAAACCCGAAAGGGGGATAAATCCATTCCGCCGGGGCCGAACTCTTCCTTGCGTCGTGCTGCGTCGGCCAATACATAGGTATTTCTCGAACAACCTAATCTCGAGATCCTATCTGGGTGGGGGTGGGGATGGAGGCAGGGGACGAAGGCCGCCTGTAAACGGGCTAGCGACTCTGTATCTTTATTTCTGGTGCCTACGTTGCGTAGCACTTTTTAGTAAGCGGGAGCAGGGAGGCCGTCGCAAACGTGAAATCGCCAGGGGTGGCGTCGACTAGGGGCTTGTCGGCAGGCAGATTAGGTGAGGCCATATCGACTAAGAGTTATTCGGGGCCGGGGGGGGGGGGCTTGGAAACAGCACTATATCAGTATCCGTCAAAATAGCCTCACGCGGCAGCAAAGTCTTGGAAGTAACTAACTGCCGCCGGAGCGGTCGTCATTTATTGTACAAGGAGAGAGGATTCGAAACCGAATCACTCGACCGCCTGCAAGTCAGCAACTTGGACTGAAGCTGACACGGGCGGTGCAGGGGGTGGCGACACACTCCGATTGGCTGTACACCAGGACCGGAGGACAGGGGTTGGTTCGGAGGGCGAGTCGGCGATTCCTTGTTCGGAGACGGAGGCTGAGGTAAGGGACGGGTGTCCGAATTTCGGTGGAATCATTCCTTCATGATGTCTCCCAGATTGCCGTGTACGGTTCTGACAGCGAAGATAGAGGCTAGTTGACTGTGCGAATGTGGCCGACTGCGAGCGGATCAAGGTCGTTGCGATAGTAGAATCAGATCGTAGACATGTATTAATGACAATGAGCGTCTGAGTAGATTCCTCTTCAAGAGATTCGCTTCACAGCTCTCAGGTCCTTCTTCAACACCACGCAGGTCACATTCACCCGGGCTCTTCAACAACAGGACTTGTATCATACCCAGCCACTGCCACTACTATACGGGTGCATCTTGTATCATATTCCCTTTCACCATGTCTCCTAGTCAGAACGAGCCCATCGCCGTGGTGGGCAGCGCGTGCCGCTTCGCCGGAGACGCCAGCTCGCCATCGAAATTATGGGATGTCTTGCGTGAGCCGCAAGACCACCTGCAGGAGATCCCAGACAGCCGGTTCAGCACGAGGGGACACTACCACACCGACGGGTCGTATCACGGCCACGCGAACGTGAAGAACGCTTACCTCATCGACGACAACCTCAGCGCGTTCGATGCCGAGTTCTTTGGGGTCAAGCCCGTAGAGGCGAAAGCCATGGACCCCCAACAGCGGTTGCTGATGGAGGTTGCCTACGAGGGTCTTGAATCGGCCGGCATGGCGATGGAAGATCTCAAGGGCAGCGATACGGGCGTCTACGTAGGCGTGATGTTTAACGACTACGCCTGCATGCTGCTCCGTGACCTGCAAGAAATACCTACCTATTACGCCACGGGAACCGGTCAAAGTATTCTATCCAACCGCATATCCTACTTCTTTGACTGGCATGGCGCGTCAATTACTATTGATACAGCCTGCTCATCCTCTGTAAGTTACTCTCTCTCAACTTGTCTATTGTCTCCATAGAGAGTTTTGTTTCTCCCATGCCCCACTCTGTTGTCCTGGTCGACAACTTGGCAGTTAAAAAAAAAGATATTACTATACTCTCTAAATAGTCCATGCTATCGAGAAATTACGTGCATGAGTTGCATGAACATCAAATATGCTTCTCGAAACAACCAAGTACTGACTCCCGGATCTTTGTAGATGGTGGCTGTCCACATGGCCGTCCAAGCCCTTCGATCCGGGGATTCCCGGATGGCTCTGGCCTGCGGCTCGAACCTGATCCTCGACCCCATGAACTTCATCATTGAGAGCAAGCTGAAAATGCTGTCGCCCGATGGTCGTAGTCGTATGTGGGATCAGGGTGCCAATGGCTACGCCCGTGGTGAAGGTGTTGCTACGGTTGTGTTGAAAACGCTCAGCGCGGCGCTAGAGGACGGCGACCACATCGAATGTATCATCCGAGACATTGCTCTCAATCAAGACGGTGCCACGGGCGGCATCACCATGCCCAGTCCGACTGCCCAAGCTGCCCTCATTCGCAGCACTTACGCGAAGGCTGGCTTGGACCTCTCCAAGCCGCAGGATCGCCCGCAATACTTCGAGGCGCACGGCACCGGTACACCCGCTGGAGACCCTACCGAGGCTGAGGCTGTGTATAATGCATTCTACGGGTCTCTCAACGGTGGGCTGGAGCTTAGCAACGGTAACCCGCTGTACGTGGGATCCATCAAGACCGTACTTGGGCACACTGAAGGCACCGCCGGTGTTGCCGCCATCCTTAAGGCGTCGCTCGCTCTCCAGCACGGCGTCGTCCCCCCGAATCTCCTATTCGAGAAGCTTAGTGACCGTGTGGCACCTTTCTACAAGAACCTCGAAATCCCCACCGCGTCTAGGGCGTGGCCCGCTGTCGAAGGAGCTCCCAGGCGAGCGAGCGTAAACTCGTTCGGCTTTGGCGGCGCTAACGCCCACGCCATCCTCGAGAGCTACGACAACAAGGCCGGCGGGAAGCCGGCGGGCGACGCCGTCGTGTTCTCCCCGTTCGTGTTTTCTGCCCTCTCCGAGGCTGCGCTCCGGGGTAATCTCTCGGCCTACGCCGCCTTCCTCGAGGGCGGCCGTCCGGATATCGACGCGCGCGATCTCGCGTGGACTCTGCGCGGGCGCAGGTCTACGTTGGCTCGCCGCATCGCATTCAACGCCTCTTCCATTGCAGAGCTGCAGCAGCAGATCACCGCCAAGCTCTCCCAGACCGACGGCGGCTTCGGCGTAAGCGCCCTCAAGACGCGAACCGCCCCTAAGCTTCTGGGTGTCTTCACCGGGCAGGGCGTCCAGTATGCGCGCATGGCTGCTGAGTTGGTAGAGAAGTCGGACTTCGCCCGGAAGATCATCGACGACCTGGATTCTTACCTCGGCCAACTTCCCGATGGCCCGGCCTGGTCTTTGAAGACCGAGCTTCTCGCGGCTGCTGACGCGTCCCGTGTCCACGAGGCTCTCCTTTCTCAGCCGCTGTGCACGGCGATTCAAATACTCTTGGTGGACCTACTTCAGCTGACTGGCGTCCAATTTGATGCCGTCGTCGGCCACTCCTCAGGTGAGATCGCCGCCGCGTACGCCGCCGGGTACCTCAACGCCCGCGATGCTATATACGTTGCCTACTACCGTGGTCTGCATGTTCAAAATTCCTCCAGCCCGAACGGAAAGGACATAAAGGGTGCTATGGTGGCTGTTGGAAGCTCTAGGGAAGATATGGAAGAGCTCTGCGCGGATGAAGTCTTTGCCGGCCGCATTGCTGTTGCGGCTAGCAATTCTCCCTCGAGCATCACTGTCTCCGGAGATGCAGATGCAATCGACGAGCTCCAGGTGATTCTCAACGAGGAGCAAAAGTTCAACCGCCGCCTTCGGGTTGACAAAGCCTACCATTCTAGGCACATGCTTCCCTGCTACGAGCCGTACGTGGCGTCTCTTCGCAGCGCCGGTGTCAAGGTCCAAGTGCCCCATGGCAAGACGACATGGTTCTCGAGCGTACACGACCGCTCCGTCGACTCGAGCATGGACCTGGCCGGCAACTACTGGGCTGATAACATGACGCGTCCTGTGCTGTTCTGCGAGGCACTCACCACGGCCTTGGCTGCCGGCCCCTACGACCTGGCTCTCGAAGTGGGAGCCCATCCCGCTCTCAAGGGACCGGCCGCTCAGACCATTCAGCAAGTATCTGAGAAGGATATCCCCTACCAGGGTACTCTTGAGCGTGGCACCAGTGCCGTATCCGCGATGTCGGCGGCGCTCGGTTTCCTCTGGTCGTACCTAGATAAGAGCCAGTTCCGCCTCGACCGGTACGAGTCTGCCTTGGCTGGGGAGCGTCAATTCACTCTGGTTAAGGGACTGCCTACTTACAGCTGGAACCACGACACCAAATACTGGCACGAGTCCCGCAGCTCGCGCAAGCTGCGTCTCAGACAAAGGCCGGTGCACTCCCTGCTGGGTGATGAGTCGCCAGAGAGCGCTCCTCACCACCTGATCTGGAAGAATCTGCTGCGTGTCAACGAGATGGAGTGGCTTGACGGCCATCAGGTTCAAGGCCAGGTTGTCTTCCCGGCAGCCGGCTATATAGCATCCGCAATGGAGGCCTCGCGGTTCTTGGCCGAGAACGTGAGCAAGACAATTCGTCTGATTGAACTTCGAAACTTCACTATTCACAACGCCGTCTTCTTCGATGCCGACGATTCTGGCATCGAAGTTTCCATCCAAATGGCCGAAATTACCGAGAAGGCGGATCGTATCCGCGCCAAGTTCACATACTCCGCCGCCCTGGACACCTCTGCTCGAGACTCCCTCACGTTAGCTGCCAGCGGCGATGTCGAGATCACATTGGGAGAGGCCTCCACAACGTTACTCCCCGTACGAAAGGCTGCTCTTACCCACGTTATCGACGTTGAGCCCGAGCGGTTTTACCAGGCCCTGGCCGACCTCGGTTACAACTTCAGTGGCCGTTTCAAGTCCCTCTCGTCTCTTCAGCGGAAGCACTACCGTGCTACGTGCGTGGCCAAGATGCGACCCCTTGAACAGGGTGAGGATGCTATGTACATACATCCCGCTGAACTTGACTCCATTCTCCAGTCCATCATTCTCGCATACAGCTACCCTTACGATGAGCAACTGCGAACCCTACATCTTCCAACGAGCATCTCACACATCCGCATCAACCCGGCCCTGCTAGGCACGTCTGACAGGACCGAGGCAGAATTCCTGGCGCTTGACTCGGCCATTGCACCAAGGAAGCCTGGGCAGAGGGGTATCACCGGCCACGTTGATCTCTATTCCAACAAGGGTAACAACGCGGCTATCCAGATCCAGGGTGCTAATTTCATGCCTCTTGGTGGTTCCGCTGCCGAGGAAGATAGGAGAGTCTTTTCGAAGATCCATTGGGTCAATGCACGGCCTAATGGGTTGGAAGCTGGGAAGGATATCCCCCTGACCGAGAGTCACGTCGGCATCGTCTGTCTGCTAGAACGGATAGCTACCTGGTACCTCAGGAAGTTCCATAGGGAGACGCCTGCCGATCACCCCCTGAGAGACGAGTTCACCATCAAGTGGTACCTCAACTACGCCCGCTACATCAACGACATGGTTGAGTCTGGCAAGCACAAGTGGGCGCAGAAGGAATGGATGAACGATACCTTGGAGGATATCTTGGAGGCAAGCAAGCCGTGGATGCACCTCCCCGATGTCGAGATCATGCACCTCGTCGGTCGCGAGATGCCGCGTGTTCTCGCCGGCGAGACTACAATCCTGGAGCAGTTCCGTGCCACTGACATCTTGGACCGCTACTACGCCAACGGTTTTGGGCTGCACGAGTCGGGCCAGTGGGTTAGCCGCACAGTGAAGCAGATCACCGACCGGTACCCGCACATGAACATCCTCGAGGTGGGCGCCGGCACCGGTGGTGCGACCAAGGCCATCTTCCGCGAGATCGGCCAGAGCTTCCGCTCGTACACTTACACCGATATCTCAGCTGCCTTCTTCGAGAACGCCGCCGCCACCTTCTCTCAGCACAAGGACCGTATGATCTTCAAGACCTTCAACGCCGAGAACAGCCCCGAGGAGCAGGGCTTCGTCGAGGGTTCCTACGATATGGTCGTCGCTTTCTTCGTCATCCACGCTACTAGCGATCTCGAGCGCGCGCTGCGCCACATCCGCCGCATGCTGAAGCCTGGCGGCTTCCTTGTCGTCGGTGAAGGTCAGGAGGGTATGAATGGTGTTGCCAGCAGCGGTTTCATCTTCGGCACTCTTCCCGGATGGTGGCTCGGAACCAGCACGGGCCGTGAGATCTCGCCCCACGTGTCGCCCCAGGAATGGGACGCACTTCTCCGCAGGACCGGCTTTGCTGGCGTCGACACGCATCCTCCCGACTCCTTCGAGGACGTCCTCAACGTGTTCCATTTCGCCGCCCAGGCTGTCGACGAGCAAGTTGAATTCTTCCGCGAGCCCCTTGTCGCGGACTGGCGTCCGGCTCCTATTGAGAAACTGGTCATCGTCGGTGGTCAGACAGACCGCAGTTCACACCTTGTCAGCGGACTCACGTCGATCCTCTCCCGAGGGTTCGCTACCAACATCCATTCATACAAGACTCTCTTGGATGTGGACTACGAAATCGTCGGCGAGAACTCTGTCGTCGTGAGCTTGATCGAGCTTGACCATCCGGTGTTCAAGGACATCAAACCCGATACCTTTGAAGCCTTTAAGAAGATGTTCGAGTTTGGTAAGACGCTCCTTTGGGTCACAAGCGGCCGCCGGGATGACGAGCCTTACTCCAACATGACTGTTGGATGGGGACGTGTCGCCGTGCACGAGGTCCCCGAGCTCCGTCTCCAGCAGCTAGATATCGCCGACCCCCAGAACACCAAGGCCGAAACTGTTGCCAAGATTCTCCTGCAATTCTATGCGTCCGCGTCCAAGAAAGAGGACCTCCTCTGGACTGTCGAGCCTGAGGTCGTCATCGACGCTGAGGAGCGCGAGCTGGTGGCTAGACTGCGCCCCGTTTCCGAACTCAACGACCGATACAACTCGGCGCGTCACCCCATCGTCCACCAGACCGAGATTAAGGAGAACACCAATGTCACCGTCCGGATTGATGAGAGCGACTGCGTGATCCAGCATCAGTCTGACTATGAGTCCTTAGTCACGTCGAACAAGGGTGAGCTGCTTGAGCTCCGCGTGAAGCATGCCGTCTTCTCTGCCCTGAAGACTCCTTTGGGCCATAAGTTCCTCGTAATTGGCGAGGAAATCGGAAGTAAGAAGACTTACCTGGCTCTCGTCTCTTCTCTGGCATCGATTGCTAGGGTATCGCCAAAGGCCGTCGTCCCATACGAGCTGGAAAATGCCTCCGGCGACGCCGTCCTTACCGCAGCAGCCGCCCATCTTATCTCTCTCGCTGCCGTTGACGCTCTCTGCAGTGGTCAAACACTGGTAGCTCACAACCTCCCCGCCGCGATTGCGCAGGCTATTGAGGCTCAAGCCTCCACTAAGGACGTCCGCGTAGTCTTCACGCCAGATGCTAGTGACGAGAACACCCCCGAGTCGTGGATCAAACTCCCAGCTTACCTGAGCCAGCCGGACGTTAGCGAGATCCTGCTGGCTGAGCCATCTGCCTTCATCGGGCTCTCTAACGCCCCTTCTGACAACGAGGCTACCCTTCTCTCCAGCCTCCCCGACTATTGCTTCAAGCTCACGGCTAAGACGCTCTACGCACGGTCCGGTTCCCCCAACGATCGCAGCGATGTCGCAGCCGTCAAGCTTGGTGAGCTCCTCAGCCGGGCAGTTGCATTCGTTAAAAGTGCAGGTGTTGCGACTCCTACATCCGACACCGTCGGTCTTGATGCGCTGGCTACTGGTACGCGGCCTAGCGACCCCCTAGCTATCATTGACTGGCAGAAGGCTACCTCGGTCCCAGTCCACGCCAGCCGATTGGACTCCCTCGGACAGTTGTTCAGGGGCGCTGAGGGCACCTACTGGATTGTGGGAATGTCTGGCGCGCTAGGCATCTCGCTCTGCGACTGGATGGTAAGCGCCGGAGCCAGAAACGTGGTCCTGACGACAAGAAACCCGAAGGTCGACCCCGAATGGATCGCTGCCCACAAACGCAAGGGAGCCACTATCGCAATTGTTCCCTGCGACGCCAGGAACGAGGAGGCCCTGAAAGCGGCCCACCGGAAGATCCACGAGACTCTTCCCCCTATTGTCGGTGTGATGAACGGCGCGATGGTGCTGCGCGACGTTGCTATCCGCAACATGTCGTTTGGCGAACTTACCGACGTGACCGGACCCAAGGTTGATGGAAGTATTTTCGTGGAGCGCATCTTCCGCGACATCGATTTGGATTTCTTCGTCCTCGTCTCTTCTATTAATTGCGTTATCGGCAACTTAGGTCAGGCCAACTATGCCGCTGCTAACATGTACATGTGCAGTCTCGCAGCCCAGCGAAGGAAGCGCGGTCTTCGCGCTGCCACCGTTAATGCCGGCGCCATCATGGGTGCTGGGTATATGGAGCGCGAGTCCCGCCGGGCGCTCGACCTGATCGTCCAGAAGCTTCACATGATGCGCATGTCAGAAGAAGACTGGAACCAGGCGCTCTGCGAAGCTATCGACGCCAGCAGACTTGAGTCTCCCTACGGACCGGAAATCACCACCGGTCTCTCCGACGTACCCTTCGACACCACCAGCGCCCCTTACTGGTTCTTGAACCCCATGTTCTCCTCCTTCATCGTCCAACAGAAGGCGAACGCCGTACTGAAAAACGCAGATAAGAACACCAAGTCTATCCAGGATCACCTAGCTGCTTGCCAGTCGCGAAATGACGTCCACGAGGTCGTCAAACGTAAGTCAAACATCTTTCCTTATCCTCCCTCTTCACACCCCGCCATCATCAGTAGCTGATTATGTTTGAATACAGACGCCTTCGCGACGCAGCTCCGCAACGTTCTGCAGATGCAGACCTCAGACGACGAGCTGATGGCGTCGCGTAGCAGCGAGATTGGCCTAGACTCCCTCGTCTCCGTCGACATCCGGTCGTGGTTCCTCAAGAACCTGCAAGTCAACATCCCTGTCCTCAAGATCATGGGCAACGACACCATGGCCAACATGGTCCAGCTCGCGGTGGACAGCATCCCCGCCGACCTGCTGCCGCTGCTCGCGGGCGGCGAGGACAGCACGTCGGAGAGCGCCGACGCGACCAGCGACGACCGCAGCGTGCGCGACATGAGCGGTATCACCACGCCGATGACTGAGATAGTGCCGACGCCGGCGGGCGAGCCGGCCGGCTCAGACCACCGCAAGGCTGGCGAGGGCGGCATCCTCCGCGCTACGAACGAGAACGGCCGGATCGACTGGGAGGCCGAGGCGCGCCCCCCGGCGGACCTGGATTCGATCGCGCAGATCCGGGACGCGCCGCCGACCTTCCCGCCCAACGTCATCGTGCTCACGGGCGCGACCGGGCTCCTGGGCCACCACCTGGTCGAGTACCTGCTCGAGCGGACGGGCGCGCGCAAGATCCACTGCGTGGCGATCCGCAAGCTGGCGGCGCGGCTGGCCAAGGGCGAGCTGGCGCAGCCGACGAACCCGCGCGTGCAGTACCACGAAGGCGACCTGCTGCAGCCGCTGCTCGGGCTCGAGGCCGGTGCGGCGGCGGAGATCTTCGCGGCGGCCGACCTGGTGATCCACAACGGCGCCGACACGTCGCACCTCAAGTACTTCGCGGACCTGCGGGCGGCCAACGTGGGGTCGACGCAGACGCTGGTGCGGCTGTGCCTGCCGCGGCGCATCCCGGTGCACTACGTGTCGTCGGCGGGGCTCGCGGTGCTGTACAACCAGGCGAGCTTCCCGGAGGTCAACGTGACGCGGGCGCCGGGGGCGTCGCAGCCGGCGGCGGACGGGACGTTCGGGTACATGTGCTCGAAGTGGACGAACGAGCGGCTGCTGGAGCAGGTGCACGCGCGGTACGGGCTGCCGGTGTGCATCCACCGGCCGTCGACGATCCTGCGGGAGGGCGCGGACGCGGAGGGCGACCGGGCGATGCTGGATTGGGTGAACGCGCTGCTGCACTGGTCGCGGGCGATCCGGGCGGCGCCACGCATCGAGCACAACCGCGGCGCGCTGGACCTGGTGCGGGTGTCGACGGCGTGCGAGAGCATCCTGCACCACGTGCTGGACGGCAGCGAGCGCGCGCGGCGCGAGGTCACGTACGTGCACCAGGTGGGCGACATCGTGGTGCCGATGAAGGACCTGCGCCAGTTCGGCGAGCAGACGGGCGACGGCCGCCCCTTCGAGGTGCTGCCGTTCGCGCGCTGGCTCGAGAAGGCGGTCGCCGCCGGCCTGCACCCCGCGGTCGGCGCGCTGATCGAGATGATGGACTCGCCGCAGGCCCCGGATTACCCGCGGCTGGTCAAGGCTCCGCTGGCCAAGGCGTGAGACGGTTAGACACGCATGCTCTGGGTTGCCCCTTAATGATGTCGGGTGATCGTGTACATCTCTCTGTACAGTAGCTGTATCTTACTGGTCTTTTGTATCTGTCGGCGTTGGGCAAGGGTTATGTATTTTACGTATGACGACTTTTTCCTCCATCACGAAAATCAACAAGTGGTTAGGTTTTTGAAAAAATAGCTACGATTTGCCCCCAAATTTTGAAGTTGTGCGTGCCCTGCTACAGTTCTGGTGCGTTCTTGCTCTCCCTCCACGTAGTTGGGTATGTACGTACACTCTGCTACCAATGCTACGCTTCTTTGTAATAGATGCTGCTGCATCTCCGCCTTAGAGGAAGAGGGTTACTCGCTGGATTTGCTTGGGCGCCCTTTTGGAAACACACCATCGCTGCGATATCTCGTCGAAGGATAGATTGATTGATGTAATAGATGGCAGGTCAGCTGTCTGGTACGGTGCGGAGGTCTAGTGCCCTGCCCAGAGGATATCCAACTCCATGCTCTTGCGTATATTCGCACTATGCCACAACTATCTACCTATATGTCGTCTCTAACCGCTGAACCAAAAGGTCCAACTGTCTGATATCTCAGTTCGATATCACAATTAGAGCGGGTGGGCGACAGCCGGCTGCGAGCAAAGAACACTAGGTATGTAAGATATCGCATACGCAGGCAGACAGTTAGATGCTGAGAGATCTGCCTGCCAGCGTTCAGGATTGGACACAGTGCCCAGCTACTTTACGCTCCCATACCTTCTTCTGCTACCTCGCATCGGAGAATGTGCTCAAGGATTACCATGCTCGTGCCTATAGTAAGAGCACAGCATGATCATACCGATGCCGTGCCCATACATTTCTATACCTGCCTATACCATACCTATATTACAGGGGGGGTGTCCCAGTCTGCGAGGGGGGAGTGTATTTGGGGGTGTAGTAGTGCCTATGGAGAAGGCCAGCCAGGCGGGAATCAATCATGCCCCGACGCCAGTTTGGGAGATATTTACAGCCCTACACCACGTCGTGCCTGTGTAGGGGATGTAGGCCAGGCCAGGCCGCAGCCTGTAGCCACCGCCTGCGCAGGTCCGGTGAGAGGATTGCGATCCCCATCTCCCTCCACTTAGGTGCCTACCTACGTGGGTACTATGTACGTAGACACCCTGCTGACGGGGTTCCTTAGGCGGGTCGCGTTAGGCACCTAAATGCGAGGGTCGCCCCCTGGAAGTCTCGCGGTAGTGGGAATCCGAAACAGGCACCTGGGTACATGGGTCCGCGGTGCAGAAACCCCCCACCGAGAAGTACGGTGGATAGGACAAGGAGGTAGGTACCTGAGGGTCCTAGGGCATTAGGCACCTTAGGCTCTGCAGGAGAGTCAGGTATTACTATCCCTGGCTCCCTGTCGCTCACCACCCGTTAGGTACCTGCAGGCACCGTACGTAGGTACATATGCACTGCCGTTGGATACCCTTATAGGTAACTAACCTAGCCTGAGGTAAGTGGCCCAACGGTATTACATCCTGTAGGTATCTGCGCCGTGATCTCTCGACCTCACATCTTCCCTACCCGTACGTGCAACACCCACCTACATGAACAACTCCCTGCCCGTGCATGGGGTGGGCAGACGGAGGGAGGGATCGAAGCATCACGGCGGCGCGACGACCTGGAATGCTCCTTCAGCCTCTGCCATACGTAAGCACTTGAAGCGCCACCCTCCTGTGCCCCCCCTCTCTTCCCTGCCTCCGAACTCTCTCACCATACCCGTTCGGTCGGAGGTCCCTAGGGATTCGGCCCAACCCCCATGACTGGCGCGCTTCCATATCCGAATACCTTCACCTAGCAGGGGACGCCCGTGGGTAGCTTCGAGAACGTTTATCGGTCGCCACGCCGGGGGGCCGTTCCGGAATGATAGGCTTGAGGATCACAGCGCATACGCCAACACGAGAACAGGAAGGGGACACATGCGCCGCGAGCCAACGATCCGTTTCCACGATGGCACGCTGCAGAGAGGGCCAGCGGTCTATGGATGCGCTAATCCTGTCCGAACATGACGGAACGGACCCTCCTGCGCATCCTGGCTTGTACCGGTGTGCCTAGCTATCGATGCCTTCTCGAACGTCCGACCTCGCGGCGCCGGATGCACATTGTTATAGTAAAGAAGATACCCTCACCCGGGTCCTATCGCCTGCATCCCTCCAGCCGTCACAGTCTCCCACCCTCGGAAATCCTCCCCCATTCGCCACATCAGACACAGCAACCATGGGCTCCATCACCAGCGTCTTGACCCAATTCTACCCGCCTAAGGCCGCCTTCACGGAGCAGGATGTGCCTGATCTTAGTGGAAAGGTGAGTGTCGAAGATGGCAACGGGAACCGGGCCGGGGCGGGATTGTCGACAGTTCCGCCCAGTATTACTGGCAGCACTGTATCCCCCGACCGTGGCATCTTGGGGGTTTTCCTTTTGAACGGCGAGCTAACGGCACTATTAGGTCTACATAGTCACCGGGTCCAACACGGGCATCGGGAAGGGCTTGGCCGGCATACTCTACTCGCGTAATGCAAAGGTTTACGTCGCCGCCCGGTCGGAGCAGCGGGCCGAGGCCGCCATCGCAGAGCTCAAGGCCGCCTCGCCCTCGTCGACTGGGTCCTTGACCTTCCTGCACCTGGACCTCGCTGACCTCAGCGGGATCAAGGCCTCGGTGGACGCCTTCCTCGCTCGCGAGAAGAAGCTGCACGTGCTGTTCGACAACGCGGGCGTCATGAACGTCGCGTCGGGGCAGGAGGACGCTCGGACGCCGCAGGGCCACGAGATCCACATCGGCGTCAACTGCCTGGGCACCTTTCTGTTCACGAAGCTGTTGACTCCGGTGCTAACCGCGACGGCGGCGGCCGAGCCGGCGGGGTCCGTCCGCGTCGTCTGGCTGTCGTCGACGATCGACGTAGCCGCAGAGAAGAACGTGGGCTTCGACCTCGGCAACCTCGACTACCGCGTCCCGAAGCCGGCCATGATCCGCTACGGCTACAGCAAGGTCGGCAACTACTACCAGGGCGTTGAGTACGCCCGCCGCGTCCGCGACGCTGGTATCGTCAGCGTTGTCGCTAACCCGGGTAACCTCGCCTCCGACCTCTACCGCGAGCATGGCACCGCCTTCAAGTTCGTCACCAAGCTCATCACCCACCCGCCCATCAACGGCTCATACACCATGCTCTACGCAGGCTTGTCTCCCGAAGTCACCTTAGAAAATACCGGTAGCTTCAGTAAGCGGACCCCCACCCCTTCTGCCATGTTCAAACAATGCCATAGTTCCGTCGAATATGCTAACCCGTCCACTTAGTCATCCCCTTTGGCCGGATACACCCTCCTCGAAAGGACTTGGAGCTGGCGGCCAAGCCAGTCTCGGAGGGAGGCAACGGGACGGGGCCCAAGTTCTGGGAGTGGTGCGAGGAGCAGGTCAAGGCATTTGTTTAAGTCAACATAGGTATATAGACAGTTACAAACGCGTAATCGGATCACCCACCAGATTTTCAAGAACACAAATACGAATAATAAAAAAACACGTTCGACATCGCGGATATGCGATACGTGTGCATATGGTGTGTCTATGGGATTATGCTATTTATGCCATATGGCCTCCAACTACGAAACACCGACGCTATCGCCGCGGCGTTGCCCTAGCTAGCCAGTCTTGGATCCTCTGTGCCGCGGGCCGGGGCACGCCGGCGTACCTCTCGGCGTCGTAGGTGTTCTCGATGGCGCGGGCGAGGCGCTGCGCCTTGACGATGGTGAGGCGCCTGGCGCCGGCCCAGGGCTCGGCGGCGACGAAGGCCTCGGCCTCGGCGGCGAGGTCGCGGCGCTTGTCGCGCAGGGCGGGGCCGTCAGCGCGCTCGGCGGCGCAGAGCGCGCAGTCGCAGGCGAAGCCCCAGGTGTTGGCCAGGGCGGCGGCGCGCGCGGCGTAGTCGGCGGACTCGTCGTAGCTGTGGAAGAGCTCCTCGCCGGCGGCGACGGGGCGCAGCGCGCGCACCACCATCAGGTCGCCGACGTACTCCTTGCGCGCGTTCGGCACGCACGAGTGGTTCATGTACGCGGCGCGCGTCCACAGCCCGGTGCTCGCGTCGCGCGCGCCCCGCTCGCCGTACTGGCTGCCCGGCCCGAACGCGTTGCGCGACACGATGTCGTGCACGCGGAAGGTGTCGACGACGGGGCCGTCGCGCGTCGCGAACACGTCCCCCGCGCCCCGGTAGTCCCCGTGCAGCGCCAGCACGCCGCCCGTCTGCGACGGGTTGCCCAGCAGCTTCTGCACGATCGCCTCCGCCAGCCCCACCGGCGACACCCGCATCTGCCCGTCCCGCACGTCGTACGTCATCGCCGTCAGCGCCTCGTCTTCGTGCCCCCACGCCACGCAGAACGCCTTCTCGCACAGCACCACGTCCCCCGCGGCGAGGTCGCGCGTCGCGAACAGCCCGCGGCCTCGCCCCGGGCTGTCCCGGACCTCGGTGTGGCGGAGGAAACTGGCCACGTCAGCCCGCGGGCGCGCCCGCGAGAGCCCCGCCCGGATCTTGTTGAAGTCGTACTTCCCCGTCTGCTCCTCGCGCAAGCGCAGCTCGATCTTCCGCAGGAGCGCGCCCGTTTCCTTGTTATCGGGAGCGAGCTTCAGCCTCTCCTCGAAGAGGCCCTTCGCCTCCTGGAAGCGACCCAGGTTGTACGCGGCGCAGCCCGCGCGGAAGTAGGCCTTGCTGTCGAGCTCCTGAGACCGCTCGTCGTCGCCGCAGATGAGCGAGGCCTTCGCGTCGGCTATTGCTTCGTCCAGTTGGCTGAGCACGAGATTGACATGGGCGCGGTTGCGAGACAGATCACGGGCGAGGTCAGGACTACTGCTGAACACCTTGTCTTGACGGGCGAGTTCTAAGCCCCTCGTATAATAGACATGCGCTAGGGTAGCATTTTTGTCCGCGAGCGCGGCGTTGCCCTTGTCTTTGTATGATCTCGCCTTGTCCGTAACCGCTGCTACGTCCTCGGCCTCGCCGTCCGGCCCGTCTGTGGGGGCCGAGCTGCTACTCTCCTCCTCGTCGCCATAGACAATCATGTCCGAAGGGTGGTCGACGCGGAGGGTAGGCTCGCCATCGTCGCTGAGGGTAAAATACGGCTCCTTAATCACCATGACCGACGCCTCCGTCAGTATGTCTCGGCCGTGCCTCGACTTGTGCAGGTACAGCTCGAGGCGTTCTACCTCCTCTCCCTCGATGTCCTGCACCATGGTCCACGACCGCGCCACGTGAGGGACTACCGGGCTGGCTTTCTTGACGGTGAGCCGACGGCGGCGGTGATGCGTCTCCATGCGCAAATCAGCAAGCGTCATCGGCTCCAAGTCGGCCAGCGGGACGATGCATGGTGGGTACGGCTGTCCTATGGCGAGAGCTGGCACCGAGTCTCCCTGGTTCCTGCGCGGCGCCGGACCGGTGATCGACGCGGCAGCCATATCGGCCATCAGCGCGGCGCCGGTCGCTTGACTGATGGCGCCTTTCGGGTCCCTAGGCTCCCGTGCCTGGCCTTCAAGCTCGGAACACTTTCTCGCCCGTTCTTTCACCGTGTTCCGAATACGCTCCGCTTCCTGCTCGGTGAGGTAGATGGTGTTACCGTCCTGTTGAGAGGCCATCGTGAGGCGCAAGCGGGTTCCACTCTCTCAACGACACACGGCAGGGACACTGTTTGTGTGTCGGTGGAAGACGTTATTGGATGGAGATAGTAGGTATAGTGGCGATACTCTTCTCACGAGCATCGGTATGACGCATTTAAAACTTCCATGGCATGTCCGTTTATTTAGGAACATCCAGGCTGAGACGAAGATTCAGGGCGACGGAATTCTACAGTTGCTCTGGATATGTAGATACAGAATGTATGCACATATAGAGTATCGCGATATGGATTTGTGCAGTGAGGTTTTTGGCGCGGGGCAAGTCAGGAAATTTCGCCTGGGCAACGCGGGGAAGATGCTTGTATGGCTCTGTAAGCAATTGTGGCTTGATCATGGCTGGGGACAGCTTCTGTCGGCCGACTAGCACTGGCAGACACCTGGCAGTATGTTGACCCCTATTTCTCCCTTGGCTTCCCTTGTCATCGCCGCCTTGGGCAAAAAATTCCCATCAACACTCCCAATCGATCACCAACTACCTCATTTCTCAACGCCGACGGATGGTTTTGCTACAAGTTTTCAGCTGAACCCGTTCCTCTGGTTCTTTCCCTGCCAGATCTAATATGTTTTCTGCTTCCGTCCATCCTTTCGTACAATTCGCGTTTTGGCCACCATATAACCGGGTTAGGCTAGCGAGCCGACTGCCATTTATGAAGCCCTTTTAGAATGAGACAGGTATTCGGGATTAGTTATGCCTTAACTCCCTACAATAAATACACATCAATTAGATCCAACCCCAAACTTGATCATCTAGTTACTATTCGGACGACCAATTTTTTACCCCTAACGTCGCCGCTCTCGAGCAGCGCCAGCCCCTGGATGATGCCGTCCCACCGCCCAGGCACCTCGCGGATCGGATGCGTCTTGAGCTTTGCGGCGTCAACGAGCTTCTGCATCTCCGCCGTCCACTGTGCCGTGACCTTGAATAGCTCCGGGTTCGCCACGCGCGAGTAGGACGAGTCGCCGAGGTTGACGTCGAAGCCTAGCCCCTCGAACCCCATCACCTCCTTGATCCGGATCGACGGGCGCGTGCGCGCCGCCTGCGGCAGCCCTTCGAGGCATGCGTAGCGCCCGCCTGTCCGCGCCATCGCCGCGAAGCACGTCGCCGCCGACTCCGCCGTCGTGATGCAGTCCATTGCGTACCGGATAGGCTTGCCCCCCGCGAGCGCCTTGATCTCCTCGGCGCACTTGGCCGACGTGTACGCAGCCGTGCCGATCGCGCCGTACTCGATTGCCATCGGCGCCGATTTGGTCGATGTTACGGCAATAGGCCGGTAACCGCACCTACGGAGTCGGATTAGCGTCTGTGTTTCCCATCCATCCGTCGGGGAGACTTACAACTTAAGGACCTGGCAGGCCATCGTACCCGAGGCCGTGGTGCCTCCATAGACGAGAACCGGCTCGGTCCCCGGTGCTGGGTTGGAGGGCCGACCCGGCAAGTTCAGAGCGCCAGGATCGAAAAACGCTAGTCCTGCGGTGCCCCAGCCTACTCCGCCCAGCGCAGCACCCTGGAGGTCATCCATGGTATCGGGCACTCGGAGAAGCAATCGTGCATCGGCTGCTATCCACTCGGCGAAGGCACCGTTGATCGGCGAGGCAGGGCTGTATGGGAACGCCCCGCCGCAGACTCGGGTGCCTATCGGGAAAGTGGTAGCCGCCTCGGACCCCGGAACCGAACGCTCGACGACGCCACAGAAATCGCACCCAACCATGTTCCCAGGGTTGGGGAAGTGCCGCACCATCTTGTGATCGGTCGGATTGAGGGCCACGGCGAGGACTCGTACCAAGACATGGTGTTCGGACGGGAGAATAGGAACTGGAACCGTAGAGGCCTTCAACGGAAGCAAGGCAGTGGAACGGTCGCCGGACTGGATGACGGCTGTCTGCGTTTCTTGGATAGCCATTTTGGGGGGTCGGTCCTAGCGATTGGCCAGCGTACTAGTATATGCTATAGGGGCAAGGAAACCAACTGCCACTCCTCCTATAAGTAGCGTTGGCAGCCTGTTCCCGGGCATGGCGCCGATCGATCGGAGGACCGGACCCTTACTTACTGCCCCTGTATAGCCCCTTTCCGGATCACTGCATTCACGATCCGAATTCCCAACCCGTATCACATGTTGTGAGCGGCTGCTCAGCCACATGCCCAGCCACACTTGCGAAAGGACAAGCCGCACCACTGGAATCGGAATACAGGAGAGCGACTCCGCCGTCGGCAGATATAGAATGTAGCAAGGGATTCCTCCGTACCCAGTCCGAGCCTAGGGAGTGGTATGTTTATTGGCCTGCCATCCCTCCCAAGTTTCAGACCGTAGCTGGTGGTGGGCGGGTACATAATAAGCGTAAGCGAACAGCTGCCCCCCATCGCGTAGGGGACAGGGCCACGCCCATTCGGGAAGTTCCCTCCGAATCATACGGACACCGATGAAAAGGGGGGGTTCGGATTCGGAGGCGGCTTGCAAGGTACCATCGTTGGCTTGCAGTGAATGAAGAGACTTGGCAAATTATTCGAAGGTTGGGCAACAACCGCCAACTTGCCAGCATTGCCCCAAGAACCGATACTAGAGATGCCCTGCCTGTATCAACTACCTGTTAGTCAGTAGCTCTCGTCTTAGCCGTAGTGAAGCTGGCCATCGACATCCCTCTTGGACTCGTTGCCCTCGTTTCTGACCTGTTGGCGCGATTGCAATACACGGGTGGTTCGCAATGGCGGCACATAGTAGAGATGGGGACGACACAGCTATTGAGCTCACAGAGCGAGGGGAGAACAAGCATGGCAAGCCTGACTCGCAGCAGGCGGGTGATAGCCAGTCAGCGTCTTCTCAGGAGGAGAAAGCAGAGATAGAGTACGCTCAGGGGTTGTCGTTAGCTGCCATTTGCCTTGGCCTGATGCTCGTCGTCTTCTGCATCGGCCTGGTCAGTATCCCCCCCCTCCCTCCCTTTACCATCTCGACTCACGCGACCCCCAACCACGGGTTCTAACCTCTATTAGGATCGCTCTATTCTGTCAACGGCTATACCTAAGATCGTCAATGAGTTTAACTCCTTGTCGGACATCGGCTGGTACGGCTCTGCGTACCTGCTTACCTCGTGCTGCTTCCAGCTCACATTTGGGAAGCTGTACGCTGAATTCAACACGAAATGGGTGTTCATGGTAAGCCTCGTCATCTTCGAGGTCGGATCCGTGGTCTGCGCCGCGGCGTCGAGTTCCGTCATCCTCATCGTAGGGAGGGCTCTCGCCGGCGTTGGTGTCGGTGGGCTGTTTAGCGGAGCTTTAATCGTGAGTTTTGACACTCTATTGCCCGTGACCCCCGAAACGTGCTCACGCCCACTCGTTATTAGATTCTCGCAGAGGTTGTCCCGCAACCGAAGCGTCCTATGTATACCGGATTGATTGGGAGCATGTCCGGTATTGCTATGACGGTCGCCCCAACCATGAGCGGTGCGATGACAGATAGGCTCACCTGGCGTAAGTCCCAATATTGTAGGCGCAGAAGCAGAGGACACTCGATCGGCTAACCATCGTTGCAGGCTGGTGCTTTTGGATCAATCTCCCCATCGGCGGCGTGACCCTAGCTACCATCTTCTTCTTCTTTCGTACACGCACGCGAACCGAGCCTGCCCCCCCGCTGACCGTGCTCGGATTGCTGAAGAGAATTGATGCGCTCGGCACCGTAATGGTCGTAGCCGCCACTGTCTGCTTCCTTCTGGCCCTAGAGTGGGGAGGAAGCGCGTATCCTTGGAGCGACTGGCGCGTTATCTTGTGTCTCTGCGTATTCGGGGTCGTGGGCCTCGCGTGGCTCTACTATCAGTATACGATGGGAGAGAAGGCAATGGTTCCCTTCCGCATCTTGGCCCAGCGCTCTATCGCTGGCAGCAACTTCTTTTCTTCCACAGGCTTCTCAAGCTTTTACATCTTCATCTACTGGATTCCGATCTGGTTTCAGGCGGTCAAGGATGTCTCTGCCGAACAGTCCGGCGTTTGGTTCCTAGCCGCAACTGCATCTTACTTCGTTTTCATCATCGTTGGGGGTGGTTTGGTAAGACTTTGGCAAAATGTCCTCTTGATCCTGCATTCTGAATTTGTGCCTAACATGAGTTGAATGTTAGATCACCAAGATCGGGTACTATGTTCCCTTCATGTTCCTCTCCTCCATCATGACCTCCATCGGCATGGGTCTTGCGTTTACCTTCAACCAAGGCATAAGCACAGGAATCTGGTAAGTAAGAAACGCGAGAGTTTGTTATACATAATCCCGCAGCAGCTAATACTTCTCGCAGGGTTGGAGCCCTCATTCTCGTTGGAGCCGGTACTGGTATCGGCGGTCAGACTCCAATCGTCACGGCCCAGACCGTTTTGAAGGGGAAGGACATTGCCATCGGAACCTCTGTGGTCATATTCGTGCAGACTTTAGCCGGTGCTATGTTCCTCTCCATCTGCAACAACATCTTCACCCAGCGTCTTATTGCTGAGCTCGCTGGCCGAGTGCCTGAAGTGGACCCTGCGGTGGTTATCGCGAGCGGCGCATCCGGAGTAAGAGCGGCAATGGCTCGCGCATACCCCGAATTTGTAGAGGGGATCATGTCTGCGTATAATGCCGCCCTGCAGAGGGTATTTCTCGTTGGCCTCATCCTTTGCTGCTTGTCAGTCCTCGGGGGCGCAGCCATGGAATGGGTTGACGTGCGGGTAGTTAAGAAAGACGAGGCCCAAGCCGAGGGAGTTGTGAAAAAGTGAGAACGTTGCCGACGTATCTAAGAAGAATAACATTCGCCAGATGTTAACCCGAGTCTCCCTGTGGTTTCTGTGCTAGATTCCATCGATGTTATGAGCTTCTTTCGGCCTCTGCCCATTGCGGCATGCTGATCTTTCGTTATTGGATATACACAAATCAATCAAGAAACATCTTTGGAGGGATCTTGAGGCGAAAAATTACTCGAACCTCAGAGTATAATAGATATAATATTTAGACGGTAATATTAACGTAACACGTATACCGGTGTATAGTTGTGATATGTAGTCTACTTCTTTTCCCACCCAACGAACGTGCGGTTGCATTGATGCCACATCTCACATTGCCATCGCTTTCTAAAACGCCATCACGAAAGACGAAGTTGGAGGAGTAATCGATCGCAGGAAGTCGGCTTTTCTATATGTGTGCTATTTGAAATTTGTTCCACGTATATTCCACGGATTCTAAACACAACTATCTTACAGTTACTCAGCCGGCTGAAGCTCCTTTGGCCTCAGCCTACTTTTATTGCACGCAACGGCAGCAAGGCTTTTCAGCGACTTACTCTGCATGATTTCAAAAACCGACACCTCGCTCTGCGTCGCCGATGATAGCCAGTTGCGCAGCTCAACCGCCACGAGCGAATCCACGCCGTACTGAGACATTGGCGCCGTCGGGCTCACCTCCTCCTCGGGCAAGCCGAACATGCCCGCCATCTTGACAGCTATGGCTCTGCTCACGCTTTCCACAGCTGCCTCCAACGACTCTGCGCCGGCGATGCTACTTGATAGATCCTGCGCAGATGACGCGCCGCCGTCTTTACCGTTGGAAGAGCCCCCGCCACTCCGTGATGACGATTCTCGCATCAGCCCCGAGAATCGCACATCCGCGACGAAGGGGGAGTCATCACGGCTGACGGTTTCCATGTCTGTAGATATGCCAATAAGGACTTGACTCTGACCCTGCTGACGATAAGGTCTGGCGATGGAATCCTCGACGAGCCGGAGAACTTCGTCTTCGCTGACAAGCTTGTATCCTTGTCTAGCTAAGCGATCCTTGACACCACTGGTTCGAGCAACATATCCGACTGAGGCAATCATGCCTAGGTCGAGAGATACCGCCGGAAGACCCTTCGAGCTGCGATGTCTTGCTACGGCATCCTGGAATGATCCGCCGGCTGCGTAGTTGGACTGGCTGGAGTTGCCGCCGACACCTACAAGGGAAGACAGCATGACGAAGAAGTCAAGGCCTTGGAATTGGTTGTGGAGATTCCAAGTGCCTTGGACCTTAGGCCGGACTGCCGCGAGATAGTTCTCGTGCGTCATGTTTTCTACGATTGAGTCCTACGAGGATCATGTGTTAGCAAGGGGGGTTGTGTTTGTGGTGTCTGTAAACTTACCTGGAGAACCATCGCAGCTTGAATTACACCTTTGCACTGTGGCATCGAAGAGTCAATCCTTGCGACAGCCGTTGCCAATGCTACAGAGTCTGCTACATCGACGCTCCGGGCCAACACGTTAATTCCCTTCGTCTTCAGCTCGTCCAAGAACGAGTTGTTCTCGGTTGACTCGGCATTTCTTGACACGAGAATCAGGTTCTTAGCTCCAAGCCCGACCAGCCTCCAGACGATGGATTTTCCTATGCCACCAACGCCGCCAACGACGAGGTAAGACGCCTTTGGATCCAGTCTGACCCGACCTCTTCTCACCTACACATATTGTGTTAGCATGCGCATAGAAGTAGATAACCCTGTTAACTAACCTTCACTTCATCATCTGCGTGCGGGATGATGACAATTTTCCCTAGATGCTTGCCAACCTGCATCGTCCGGAAGGCTTTCTCAAGTTGCGAGATAGGGTACGCAGTCACAGGCGCAATGGGCCGAAGGCGATTATCCCGGAAGAGGTCCATGACGGCAGTGAAGGCCTCAAAGGTAGCATCCTGCTTGTACAGCCCCATCTGGAATAAGTCGACAGCGAAGAATGAAGTTGCCTTCACGAAAGGCGCCATTTGTAAACTGTTGTTCTGCTCAAAGTCCCTCTTACCAATCTCGACGAATCTGCCAAATGGCGCGATGCATGCCCATGTCTCGTGTAGCATCTTTCCAGCTAAGGAGTTCAGGACAACATCGACGCCACGACCATTCGTACGCTGCCGCACGTGTTGAGCAAAGGAGACGTTTCTGCTGGAAAAAATATTTTCGCGAGGAATGCCGTACTGCGTAGCGATGAAGTCCTCCTTTTCTAAGGAACCAACCGTCGCAAAAATCTCGGCGCCCGCGAGTTGGGCAAGTTGGATGGCTGCTTGGCCAACACCTCCAGCTGCGGAATGGATCAGGACTCGTTCTCCTCTTCGGATATTGGCTAGGGTGTGAAGTGAGTAGTAGGCCGTCACGAATACGACAGGAATCGATGCAGCGGTCTCGAAGGCCATGGTATCAGGGATCTTGGTAACACTTGTCCAGTGTGTTCGGGTGTGGTTGGCCCAATGCCCGCGTAGCAATGCACTGACGCGGTCTCCGACTTGAGGTCCGTTTTCCAGCGAAACTCCGGGGCCTAGCTTCGTGACGATACCGCTGCACTCAAAACACATCACCTTCGTTTGGAGCTGGCCCATGGCGACCATAACGTCCCGGAAGTTGAGACCGAAAGCACGGGGCTCAATTTCGACAAATCCCTCTGGGAGGTCTTCGAACGCCTCCGGATTATCGCAGAACGTTAAACTGTCTAACATGCCTGGTTTTGCTACCTCTAGTCGGAGCTCGCGGCCTTGTTGGTAGAAAGGTAGTGTCTCGATGGTGGCGGTCTTATTGCTCAGCACAGCCAAGTCTTCAGTCTTCTTCTCATCATCATACACTCGTGGTATTAAGACCGAGTCCCCCCTTACGGAGTATTCAAAATCGATAGAGTTAGAGGCCCGACTCAAGTCAAACGTTTTTGATAACACCTGGACAACGGCTTGCGCCGCTTTGGCGGTCCACGGGTTACCCTCGCGAAATTCAAGATCCACAGACACGTATCTCTTGCCCACATTCTCGCACCTAAGGGTGCGCAGGAAGCCAGAGTGTAGAGCAGAGACTGGGTTCTCGCAGTCCACAGTCCCACCATAGGAAGTCCATAGGACGCCCTGGGCCCTGGTTACTAGGGACTTCACCAGCCGGAACTGGGAGCTCGTAGGCGACTCTAGGATAGAGTTCTTCACACTGTCGAGGAGGATGACGAACTTGCCATCAGGGTCGAGGCTCTCGATGTCTTCCACTATTGGCTCGTAGCTTGTGCTGGCTCGGATTTCTGTAAGTAGTTGACCTAGCCATTGCGCGTGGATCTTGTCCTGCTCAGCGCAGGTCACCGAGACCAATTGGCGTGAAGGCGACATTGCAACATCTGGAGCCGCGTCGGGTGATGCTGTAGACATGATAACGTCAATCACGTATTTCTCGTCATCTTCACAGTCTCTGACGCGAAGGTCGATCCCACTGAAGCCAGTCCTCTTAAGGACGGTGTCCCAGAAGCTAGGGGTCAGAGACGGACTATGTTTGCGCTCTGGCTCTTCACCTACAATAGGGTTAGTACCTTGTCAGTATGCCTGTGATGTGTGGTGTGCTTACTGAGCCACCATCCTGGCAGGACTCCGAAAATCAACTGGATGTCAGGGCTATCTTGTGTCGTCTCGACCACTATCAGCTTGCCGTCAGGCTTCAACAGCTTTCGAACGTGGGCCATTGTGTTGTCCATATTCTTGGTTGCATGAAGAGCTTGGCATGCTACGACAAGGTCATATGAACCCTCCTCGAACCCTTGGCTGGCCGGGTCAGCCTCAATGTCGAGTTTTCGATAATCAACGAGTTCTCCCCACGAAGAAAACATTTTCCTGGCTTCTTCAAAGAAGTTGATGGAGATGTCCGTGAAATCGTAATGTGAGAACCGAGCGATGCCCCCTGCCGCTCCCCCACCCAGGGCATTTATCACATGTTTGGTGCACCCGCCAGTGCCCGCTCCAATCTCGAGGATCCTAGCAGACGGATTCTTATGTGCGAACAAGTCGACAATTTTGTTTACCTGCTGATATGAAGACCCGATATGCAGGGCGTTCTGGTAGTAGCTGTAGAGTAGTTGGTTCTCAAGCATCAGCTCTAACGGTGCTATCTCCTGTCGGAGAATGCCTGCAAGTTGATGTCCGACACGACACACCATCTCTCCAGAAGTGCTAGCAGAAGCGACCCTTTTCAGCAATACTTCTCTCTCCTCAGGGGACGAGCTAAGCCACTGTGACGCCTTGGGCTGGCTGGATATTTGAAGCTTCATCCACTCATAGTATATCTTGTGGTACCACAGGAGGCCTTCCACATCAGACGGTGACAAGGCTGCAACAGCATCATGAAAGAAGTAGAAACAGGCCCGATATAAGTCTTGGGATATCGAAACCTCGTGCGCGTCAGGTGCAGCTTTTAGTCTCTCTACTAAGTCGGGAATGGAGACTAGGGATAGGTCTTCTGCCCAGTCGATCTTGAGACACTTGTTAGCATCGTCGGTCTCAGAAGACCTGACTTCGCCGATGGAAACACATTGTAAGTCATCAATCTCGATAGCCACCGTGGATGTCGGCCAACTTCGAACCACCACAGAGGCATGGAAACCCTGCTGGCTATCCTGAAGAAGGCTAGAATGAACTTGTAAAAGGTCCTTGGGCGTACGAGAAATGTCGGTCGATATGAACATCTCTTTGATGGACCTAGGGACCATAGCAGACTTGCGTGTAGTTCCACGGCCCGACACCGACGTGTAGGCGGCCACGATAACGGAGTCAAGGGTGGTGGGGTGGACTAAGTGCTCGCTCTGAGTCGCGCCAGGCATGGAAGCGGCCGAGTCAGCCACTGCCAACGTGGTAACAGACCGACCCTGGCTTGCTTTAACAGCGAGCAGATTTCGAAAGGCAAGGCCGTGGTGGATGCCGACGGAGCGGAAGAACTCGAATACGGCATCGGGGTCCTCCGCGGTAAGTTGTTGCTCGTCGTGGGAGATGCCAAGGTCTAGCTTGTCGGTCTCCGCCCATTGGGGCGCAATCAGTCCCTTACAATGCTCAATCCAAGTCTCGTCCGAAACAGAGCGGATCGAGAACTCTCTCCAACCCTGAAGACCAAGTGTTTTGCCGTCCTCCTCGTTCAGCGTGAGTTGCACCTCTACTCCTCGCGCAGTGTCGGGAATGACCAAGGCGTGCAAGATCTCGACATTCCTCAACCTGAACCCGGCAACGGGAACCTTGCTCGAGCTTGTTACTTGGCGCATGGCTTCGAGAGCCATGCTGACTAGACCAGCTCCCGGGTAGACGATATCAGACTGTACTCTGTGCTCCCTGACCCACGGGACCTCGGCAGGCCTGATGAAATGTCTCCACGTAGGGTTGTAGGGACTCGACCCTAGCAATCGCGATCCGAGAAGGTCGTGATTCGGTGTCTCTCGGGTTCTGTGAGCCTTGTTGATGCGAGATTCATACCAATGTCGTGTGCGATGGTTCCACGAGTATGGCGGAAGATTGCTGAGGGGCCGGAGCTTGGTGACCTGGGGGAAGTTGACGGCGTCCAGATCGACAGGATAGCCCTTGGCTACGAGTGACGCCGCGAGGTCGTGCATGGTGGTAATAGCGTTCTTCCCACGCCAGAGACAGGAATCATAAGTGATTCCGAGATCCTTCAACTCTGGAAGCTGGAACGTGTGACGAATAGGCCCGCCCAACGCGCCATGTGCGCCAACCTCAAGAATAGTGTCGATGATCCTCTCCCCAGGAGTGTCTGGAGAGAGACACATTGCACTCAAGGCGTTCACGAATTCGACACGTTGTAACATGTTGCGAACCCAGTGTCCGGGGTCTATTTCTGATGCATCATGTATCCTGGTCCCGGTTACGGGAGAATAGTAAAGCACGTCGTTGAATGGGCGCTTAGTGCTCAACACCCTGTTGAGGGCAGCCAAGTAATCGGCAGCGACGGGCTCCATGTGATGAGAATGATAGGCGACGGGGACTTTCAGGGCTCGGACGAAGATCTTATCCTCCGCGAGCTTGCTCTCCAGCTTTGCGATGGCGACCTGGTCGCCAGAGATGGTAACGCTGGCAGGGCTGTTAACGCAGGCTACGACAGCCTGGCCAGTAACGCCCATCCCGTCTATCAACGCATCGGCCTCCTCGCGCCCTATCCCGGCGACGATCATGCCGCCACGATAGTGAGCCTCCTTCTGGAGAGACTCGAGGAAAGCACCTCGAGCGTAAACAATAGCGACAGCCTCGCGTAGATCTAGGAGGCCAGCAGCATAGGCAGCGGGGATCTCGCCACTTGAGTGGCTTGTGACAGCCGTCGCCTTCACGCCCCAGCTTTCCAGGAGCCTGAACAAGGCAATTTGCACGGCTATGCACAGCGGCGGGCTTAGCACAACATCGTTAACGCGGCTCTCAGCCTCGCTCTTGGTAAGCTCGTCTGTTGTCTATGCATTAGTATCGCTTCGCAAGCGGCTTGATTTAGGGTTAACGTACCTATTAGCGACCAGGGACAACCCATATCTCTCAGCGCCTGATCCGCCTCGTTCAACGTATCGGTAAATACGGGATAAACACCAATCAGTTCTCTGCCCATAGCATACCACTGCGCTCCCTGGCCCGTGAAAACCATGCCGATCCTTGGGACCTTGCTAGAGCGAGCTGGGGTGAGCTTAGCTGACTCCCCGCGGAGAGCAGAGAGTATCCCTTCTTTAGTAGCAGGGGCCGAGAACGTGATCCGATACCCAAACCGCGACCGATGTTCGCTAAGTGTGTGGGCGAGGCGATCGACAAATTCGCTCTCCTCCATCTCTGAGGCCGAGACATAAGCCTGCAACTTCTCCACCATACCCTGAAGGGCGACTTCGTCCCTCGCACTCAAGACAAATACGCGGGATTCGACCGCCGGCGACTTCTCTGGCTCGCTTAGGCTGGGCGTAGTTGCAGGTGAGGAAACACTGGCCGGCTTCGTATCGTCCGCCTTATCAGAGCTAAATTCAGCGTCCCCAAGAGAACTCAGTTCCGAGTTTTCCCCTGTCTCCTTAAAATGGAGGAGTTGGTGCAAGAGGGCACCTCTGATAGGTCTTTCGATCTCCAGACTGTTCACGGCCGCGCTGAGGTGAGGTTGCCAGGCCTCCATGATTACCTAGAGCATATCCTGTTAGTAATCTTGTTTCTGTATGTGTAATAGCGTAGCCGTATTAGAAGAAACATACATGGGCATTGGCACCACCGTAGCCAAAGTTGTTGATAGATGCTCGTCGAGGAAAACCGCGTGGCCATGGCTCTAATTTCCGCGGGATCTAATATTTTGAATCAGCCTCTCTTGATCCGTAACCCGTGCGCTTTAAAAGAGCACGAGGAGGTTACATAGACGTACTTTTAAGTTCCACTTGTCTAACGGGATTTTCGCGTTAGGAACTTCGAAGTTGATACTCGGTGGGATAAGACCCTTTTCCAGGGCCAAGGCCACCTTAATAATGGCTGCAAACCCGCTCGAGGTCTCCAAGTGCCCAACGTTAGTTTTAACGGAGGCAATGTATAATGGACCTTCCCTGGTACGCCCTCTGCACATCACGTTATAGATGGCTGCCGCTTCGGTAGGATCGCCAGCCTGTGTGCCTGTACCGTGTGCCTCGACGTAGGGCGTTTCCGCCGGGTCGAGTCCGGCTCGCTCATAGCAGAGTCTCATAAGATCCTCCTGCGCTTGCTGGCTCGGCGACGTGATTGTTCGCGTCTTACCATCTTGATTTAAGGCCGTCTGCGAGATGACGGCGTGGACAGGGTCGCCGTCGCGGACAGCGTCGCTGAGCGGCTTGAGTATCAGCGCGGAAACACCCTCGCCCCGCCCATACCCAGACGCCCGGGAGTCAAAGGCATAACACTTCCCATCAGGGCTCAAGAACCTGAAAGCATAAGTTAGATATGATCGCGTATAACTTCGTAGTGAGTGAGATATCCTACCCCAGGCTCGACCAGAGAACGAAGATATCCGGGTTCATGATGATGTTAGCCCCTACGACTACGGCCATCCGGGCATCGTTGGTCTTGAGACTTTGGCAAGCTTGGTGTAACGCAACCAAGCCTGTAGAGCAGCCAGTATCGACTGTCATACTAGGACCACGCAGGTCGTAGAAGTGGCTGATTCGGTTTGCCATCATAGTAGCACCGTTGCCAACCATTACGTAGCGGGGGAGCTCATCAGGGTCACGGAGGAGGCTGTCCATGTAGTCCCTGTAGAATGCACCGGAAAAAACCGAGGTCTCCGACCCTGCGACCTTTTCCAGAGTCATTCCAGCTAGTTTTTAATAAGATCTCAAGTCAGCCTGATAAAACTAGTAGCAGTCTATCGACGCTCACTACTCACCATTCTCGAGAGCCTCATACACAGTCTCTAACTGTAGACGACATTGGGGATCCATTGTCTACGGTAATACTAGTTAGCATGCTTCATATATGATATCTACTAATGCAAGCTGGCCGGGAAACACTCACCGCAGCCATCTCGGGGGTCATGTCGAAGAAGGTGGCGTCGAAGAGCCCAATATCCTCTTCGAGGAAATGGCCGCCCCTGACATTTGTCTACACGTAACTATTAGCCATCGGCCATACCCATAAGTGAAAATTCTACAAAGGTCGACCATACTGTTGTGGGCTTGTCCCCTGATGGGTGGTAAAAAGCATCCTTGTTGAATCTATCCGCCGGTATCTCGGACCAAGCGCTGCGACCCTCCGCACACATCCTCCATAACCTCTCCGGGCTTGTCGCATCTCCCGGGAACCTGCAACTCATGCCAACAATGGCGATGGGCATCTCGCCTCTTTGGCGACGAGAAGATGGCTCGTACATCTCGTCGATCTTGGGCGACGAGGGGGCAGTAGTGAAGCTCATGTTGAAATGATAGTGTGCGAAAATGTTAAAAGATGATACGTCGCGTCGTCGCAGGGCGCGTCATATGGCAAGGCAACGGCTGATAATGGGTACGCGCTGTATGAGGTCTCGTCCAATCTGGCAATGTACTCGCATTGCTCAGCGAAGGAATAAGCGGACTGAGATGGCGGATCTGGGCTGGCGGGCAAGCTCCATGTCACTCGGTATACAACTCTCTAAAGGTGTTCTTTGGCGATATTTTCTGTTTCACTTTTACTAGTCTACAGCAATTCGTTATTCGGGAATACGGACTCGCGGCTCAGTGCCTCCCATTTTACAACAGGTGCTCATTTCCGTAGGTTTGTTGATGAGACAACGGACGGGAGCGTTCCTTAGACGCTTCGGAGGACCGTTCGGCGCCGGTCGTTCGGGAGTGAAGCTGATTCGGATGTGTGGCTCAGCTACAGGGAGAAAGATCAAACGCCCCTCCCAACCCGAAGAGGAACACGACAAGACATTATGCTATCGCTGATTCGGATCCGTCTTAGTCAGTTGGATTTTCTAGGATTCATCAAGACGTGCATAAGTGGCAGGCCATTCAGCATGGATGCTACTCGTTAGCGAGAAGCGGACGTGGAACTCTTACTACAGTAGACAGTTGCCAAATTCCCAAGCCAAACCCAACTCGTTATCCCCGTTAAACTAGTTATCATCGTTATCGTCTGTACCAATATGTCTATCCAGACGAGACTTTGCAGTGAGTAGCCGAGAGCGCGTCGCCGCCATGCCCACCATACGCACTACAGCCAACTAATGCAAAGCCAGGCCCATACGAGGCACGTCTGGCCATCCGTGAGGACCTCGGATTTTATAACGCGGCTACTATTGCAGCCATCTATGAGCTTGATGGCGTCAAGTTCGACCTTACGTCGCCTAGCTCGTGGGTGCAGCCGCTGAAGCGAAGCATCAAAGAGTACCCCTCCTTGGCCATCGCCGTTAAGGACAAGGGAACGGACAAGCCCTCTTATGAGCTAGTTCCGACCATAGATCTCAAACATCACATCACCATCTTGGATTCTTCTATCTCTACTGGCAGTGATGGTGATCTTCCCATCATCGAGAAGGCCCTCGGCGCCATCTTGGACCGGAACTTCTCCTCGAGCTCCTCCCCGCCGTGGAATCTCACCATCCTTCCCCTCCCGACGCCCGCAGGGGCTACTACCAAGCGCGTTTTCGTGTCTTTCCTATCGTCCCACTCGACAAGTGATGGCGGAGCTGGTCTCGCCTTCCACAAGTCCCTGCTGGAAGGACTGCGCGAGCAGGCCGCCAAAGGCGTGGATGAGAATGTCGATTTCACCGTGACAGTTCCCAGCCAGCCGATCCCGGAGCCCTTTGACACACCTGAGCGTCTCCCCGTAGCCCCCGAGTTCCTCAAGGCGCTGGCTTCCGCGTCGGGGCCCGCTGCGGGAGTCTGGACCGGGTCCCCCGTGTTTCTCAATGAGAGCGAGGGCTTGCACACCCGCGTCCGCCTACTCGAGATCCCCGCGTCCGTGGTGGAGGGCGCACTCGCCGCGTCGAAGAGCCACGGCGCCAAGCTGACCGGCACAATTCACCAATTGATTGTCCGAGCCCTCAGCAGGGCCCTTCCTGACGGGGCAGCAACCAGCTTCTCGTCGCAGACGGCGATTGATCTGCGTAACGCGGCTGGCGTTGGCTTGCAGTGGGGTATCTACGTGTCTGGCGTCTCCGAATCCCACCCACGGCTCGACGCGGCCACTCTCTCGGGCCCCCTTACTCAAGATCAGTGGGATGCAGCTGGTAAACTGTCGGCGAAGCTCTCTGAGGCTTCAGGTCGGCTTGAGAATCAGCCTATCGGCCTACTCAAGTTCGTCCCCAGCCACCGCGACTCGATGAAGACCAAGATCGGTGCTCCCCGCGACGGCTCCTACTCCGTCAGCAACATGCTCGCCTTCGATGGCGGCAAAGCCGGAGGTATTTCTATTAGCAACCTGGTTGTCGGCTCGTCTGCCGCCGTGCCCAGCGCCCCTCTGAGCTTCTGTATTGTCAGCGTCCAGGGCGGTAGCATGATCATCTCGGTAAACTGGCAACCAGGCGCCACTGGCCTTCCGGTGGAGAAGGAAGACGCTTTTATTAGCGATATCTTCAAGTCGCTGGAAGGCGACTTTAAGTTACTGAGCGCATAGCTATATGGCCGGTCTTTGAAGCTGTGAAGGATACGGTCTTCGTAAACGCGAACTTTGCACTGGTGAACGGTTTTGAAGATAGACATCAGCGACAGTAAATACACCTACACATGAAGTCTAGTCACAAAAGCAATGCATACACGGGATATAGCATGACTTCGTGTCAAGAATTGGAATGATAGAATATGGTGATAGGTTGAGCCGTGCACATGGAAGCAGGGAACAGAATCTTAAGGCTGTCTATATGCCCTCTATTCTTCTCGTGATTCTCTATTTTACTATGGGGCTGTGTTATTTGGCCTTGCGTATCTTCACATGCCTTTGTCCTACGATCACATTATGGGAAGGCATTTCAATGATACGCAACATTGTTGTAAATTGAAGATATTGGTAACATGGCCTCGGTTTGGCAGCTTCTGAGGCTCCCCGGGCAGCTGTCCGTCTAGCTTAACAAGCTCTATATACCCATAAACACCTTCAATCTACTATACATATTCCGAGGAGTACAGCTCTTTTACTTGGGCTTCGGGGTCAAATAAACATACAACGGGGGCTTATCCCACAGAACGTAAGACTTGTGGTGGATCCATCGCTCGTTGGCCTCACCACCGACTAAAGAGATGTCGAAGTTCCAGAGCATGCGGGCAAGAACCAATCTCATTTCCGCATAAGCCAGGCTATATATCTCCGTATTAGTCTTCATCCCAAAATATTGATGCTATCGACGGCGATGAAATCTCTTACTGTCTTCCGATGCAGTTGCGAGGCCCTTGAGAGAAAGGCTGCAGCATGTCGAAACCGTCCTTGGAAAATTCTGGGTCACCAAGAAATCGTTCGGGGTGGTACTCGAACGGCTTGGTGAAGTGTTTAGAGCTATGATACGAAGCCCAATGCCAGACGGCGACGACAGTCTACTTTTATCAGCATCATACCGCGACGCCCCATCGTCTCGGATGAGTCTCCACGGGGATATTAACTCACATCCTCAGGAATGAACTCCCCAAGAATCGTCCCGCCCCCCTTCGGAACCTGTCTAGGCATACCGAATGGTACAGGGGGGTAGGAACGGAGAGCCTCGTTCAGGCAAGCCAACATGTACGTCAAGCAGCTTACTGAAGTGAGCGTGATATCTTCTTCTGACCTGAACGAGCTTCGGACTTCCTCGGTTACTTTTCGCAGAGCCTCTGGATTTCTAAGCAAGAGATACGTGACGCCGCTCAGCATGCTAGAGGTTGTCTCTGAGCCAGCAATGAGGACACTGCTACTGTTGGCCTGGAGGTGATGCATGCTAAGTCCCTATCATAAAAAACACGAGATAGTTAGCCTTTGTATTTGATACACATATTGGACCTGTGTCGCTTACCCATTCGTCTTTCTTCTTCAACAGACCTTCGATAATATCGGGGCGTTCCATTTTCATCTCAACCCGGCGGTGAAGTCTATCCATCATTTTCCTGTCGTGCTCAGATCGGCTTGTGTTCAGCAGCTTGACGAGCCAGATGAATGCGCTTTCCAAGCCCATGTGCTTGACGCCGTTGATGATGCCGAGGAAGCGAATAGAGCCGTTAATCGCCTCCACCCAGGGGTCTGACTTAGCCCTCTCCAGACTGCCAAACGGAGCGCCGAAGGTAAGATCGCCAATGACGTCGAAAGTAGTCCAGTTGTACCACTCCTTAATATCGAGTGCGCGCTTGGCGGGTTCCCCCGTAACGGGATCAACTTTGTCGGGATCAAGGCGCGCTTCGTTGAGCCGCTTGATGAGGAGTTCAGCGTAGCTACCGATGATGGTCTCCTGCTCGCGCAGAGCGCGCTCACTGAAACCGTGGGCCAATTGCCGCCGCAGGCGCCCGTGGTATTCTCTGTCGCCGGAGCTGATACTCAGGACCTCACCCTTGGTGCGATAGAAGGTATGGTATTTATCCATCTCCTCAGCGCCATGAGCGGAGCCGGTCCGGTGGCCGTAGATGTCTTTCCACGCCTGGGGTTCCTGAAAAGAGAGCTCATTAGGGGCGATGCGAACAATAGAACCGTATTTCTCATGTAGGCCAAGAACATCAAATGCTAGTTCGCCTTGATTCATGCGAATCTGGGACACAAAGTGAGCAGAGGAGCAGACCAGTTCAGGGTTGATAGGAAACTTACCACATACATGAGGCGTGTCGCACGCCATAAGAGCGGTCCAGGGAAACGGGCTAGGGGGTGAAAGTAAAGGTTGTAGACGAAGGTGAAAACTAGGTAGACGAATGCCTTGCGACGACCGGTTAGCCCTTGCCATTACGAAGACATGCGCAACACTCACAGCAGCAGAGAGCAAGGCGAGAACGGCGAGGATCGTGGTCCCATTCAAAGGGATAGACCTCACTCTCTCCAGGACAGTCATGGCGGTCATCCTCGTCTCGCGGGACCGTGTACAGATGTGTATGTCACAACACTAAAGAGATGGTAGGAACTGGACCATGAGCAGCCACTATTGTTGGAAGTATAAGTAATGCGACCTCCACACAATATTCTCAGCTACAGGACCTGCGGAACATCCGGATACTACCAGCGCCGCGGAACGGCCAGTTGCCATGTGTCTCTAGTAGACGATGACTTATCCTCGCCATCGTCCTCGTCTCCCCCAGCAGCTCCATCTGCGAGAGGCTCAGCAGGCAGAGACCTGGTACGGACCGTGGTCCCGAACAATCGGCCTTCCGAGCTGACTGCAGAATGCGTCCACCCCATGGGGTGGTGTTATGCGCCGAACGCGTTCGGCGCTCCCAGACACCTGTGCCCCATCCTTCTATCCTTCAGCGAAAAGGAGTTTATGCATTCATTCCCTTCAGCGACGGCATCGTTCATAAATGGGCTCGAACGGCTAGTCTACGGTAGTCTGGGCTGGCCTGTTCTGCTGCCCTGCATGCATCTCGCTCCGCTTCGCTTCTTGTTGCCTTCTCGCTCCCCGAGCAGAACTCAAGACCGTCTCTCGCTGGGGTTTTAAAGACATCCGACGCAGATTTCCTGAATCGGCCAGTCATCGGGGTCGTCGACCAATCGTGCCCTTCGCTGCTCCGAACCCGATCCTGAGCCCACTCGGCCAGGGCAGCGAGAGGCGCCTGTCCACATTCACATTGCCTGTCCTCATTGCCGCTGTCTCTCTCTACCTCTTCGTCCCATAAGGGGAATAGCCGAGAGTTTTATGCACATGGCCGCGAAATTCCCCTAGACTACCTACCTATCCACATTCATTTCTGTTGTTTCATCTCTTCCTCCTGGTCCTCTCTGCTGGGCGCCGACATTCGAGAACGCGTTGTCACGTCATCCACTCCTGCAAGAGCACGCAACCACACGGTAGACTTTCTGCTAGAGACATCTCGAGCGAGCACGAATAGTGTAGTGGTGCATTTCCACGCGCAAGGCTCTCTATTAGTCCGCTACCACAATCGCCAGCGGCCTGGTTTTTTGGGGTTTTTGTTTTCTTTTCCCTTGGTGAGAACGATCACCATGGCTCGTGAACGAACGGCGGCAACGCCCGACAGCCAGTCCACTGTCGGGGAAACCCCTTCGGGAGAGGCAACACCGCTCCTCGGTAACGAAGTAACCGACGAATATATCGTGAGCTGGGACGAGCATGAAGATCCCGAACACCCGTACAGCTGGCCTCGATGGCGTACCTTGTCCAACTGCCTCCTCATCAGCGGCATGACGTTCCTAACGGCGCTTGCATCCGGTCAGATACCACCAGAACTCCATGACGACTGGGCGCTAACAATAGCTAAAAGCCATCATCGCTCCGGGCGTCCCGCAGCTAATGGCCGAGTTCCAGAGCCAGAACCTCCAGCTGGCCGCCTTCGTCGTGTCCGTCTATATCCTAGGTTTTGCCGCCGGACCGCTGGTGACGGCGCCGATGTCCGAGATCTACGGCCGGGTGGTGGTCTACCACGTCTGCAACGTTGGCTTTACGATTGGCGTTATCGGATGCGCCTTAGCCCCGAGCATTGAGGCTCTGGTTGTCTTCCGCTTCATCAGCGGAACCTTCGGGTCGTGCCCCGCCACCATCGGCGGCGGCTCCATCGCCGACATGGTGCCTCAGGAGCGCCGGGCCTCCGTCATGGCGGGCTATACCGTCGGAGCGCTCTTTGCTCCCATCCTGGGGCCCATTCTCGGCGGCTTCCTTACCGACGCGCTGGGTTGGCGGTCGAACTTCTGGCTTCTGGCTATCGCTGGCGCGTTCTTGACTATTATGATGATGATCATGCTCCGGGAGACCTACCATCCTTACCTGCTCGAGCGTAAGACCGCTCGGCTCCGGAAGGAAACAGGTAATAAGCTACTGCGATCTAAACTGGACGCGGGTCTCACGCCGAGCGAGTACTTCTTGCGTAACATCATCCGTCCCGTTAAGATGCTGACCCGATCGCCCGTCATCATTATTATGTCCCTGTTCATTGCCATTACTTACGGCTACATGTGTAAGTGCATAGGAAAACCACTATATGGAGTTAGCACATGCCTAACCTGCAGCAGATCTGATGTTCACCTCCTTCGCCCAGCTGTTTAAGCAATACTACGGCTTCAGCACCAAGATGCTAGGTGTTGCATTCCTAGGACTCGGTGTCGGCTCCTTTATCGGCGTCGCCATATTCAGCGCTACCTCGGACAAGACCGCCAAGAGGCTGGCGGCCGAGGCGGATGCCCGAGCTGACGCGCTTGGAACTGAGAAGCAAGGCATGAAACCCGAGTATCGCCTCCCTCCCCTGCCCTTTGCTGTGCTGTGCATGGCATTTGGGCTGCTCGTGTATGGTTGGACGGCGTACTACCAGATGCACTGGATCGTGCCTATCCTGGGCACCACGTTCATCGGTATCGGGCAGCTGGTCCTGTTCCTGTGCATCCAGATGTATCTGATCGACACCTTTACCGTCTATGCCGCGTCGGCCATCGCCTCCTTCACGGTTGTTCGATCCGTGGCGGGCGCGGTGCTGCCGCTCTGTGGGCTGCAGCTGTACGACACCTTCGGCATCGGTTGGGGCAATACACTTCTCGCCGCCGTCTGCCTGCCGCTCGTGTTCGTGGCCGTGCTGATGATGAGGTATGGCGAGTATCTGAGAGAGAGATTCGCGATTAAGAATCTATAGTGTGGAAAGAGGGGTTGAGGAGGATATGAATACGGACAAGAGGCCACCTCTCGAAGGTGCCCACGACTCATGTCTATCTACCCATTTGAGGTTCATTGAATAGCAACAATCGAGTGAGACCTCGGCATTATTTCCTGCTCGACCAGTGGAATGTTCAGTAAAGTATATAGTCAAATCGAGGTGTGAGGTCGCTTACCATCTCGCAAATCTAAACCTGGACGAGAAGTTCCCAACACTCCTTCGGCTTCCTCTTGACGGGTCCGCTAGAATAGCGCGATTGATTCGCAAAGAATGAGGTGCGTACAGTTCTCAACAAGAAACACCGTCGATACGTGTCCAACGCATATCGCATGTATACGTATTAGGACGCGACGAAGTAGTTGTGTCTTCGCTGCGGTGGCGTGTTGTCTTGCGTTCATTAATTAGCGAGCTCCCTGTGACAGGGACCTACCTACCTGGGTACCCATAGAGACTTCACGTAACAGTTGGTAAGCGCGTCGGTAACATATCGATAACAAGTCACAAAGTGTAACACGGCCACAGAACCGCCACAACCGTCGCAGAACAGCCACAGAGAGCCTCATTACATAGCGCGCGTCAGTGATTAGGTAAGAGTTAGGTAGGTATTTTCTGTGCTTCACTTTTCCTGTTGCCTCTCTCTTTGCGTCGTCGCCATATGTCGTCGCTTTTCGAGATATGCGGGACGCCGTAGTCCAAAAGCACTCGCGAGAGCCGCGAGAGCGCTTCGTTGAAGTCGTCGACCCCAAGACTATCTGAGCTCGCTTCGTATCGCGGCAGCAATCCTTACTGTATTTAGAAGATACAGTGCGGGAGCTTCAACCTGTGCTTTTTTGTCCGGTTTCCGTCCTCCCACTGTTGCCAAGCTGCTGTTGTGGCTGAGGGGACCCGGTTCCCCGTCACCTTCGATGGTAAGGCGTACAGGCGATGTAGGCGACCGATGAGTTGTGCTTGTTCCCATTGCGCCGCGTTTGTCGTTTGTTGACAAGAAACCACAGACAGAGGTTGCTACGACAAGGTACACGGCCTTCTCTCTTCCTCCCCTTTAAGCCCTCGACTCTCATTATCGTAGCCGATTAATACGCGTGCAGATATACCTGTCGCAAAGACGACAATCCCCATCCCCAAAGCTCATGCCTATTCGATCGCCGAGTACAGCCCCGTCGGCACGGCATTCCTCATCATGGACTACAGCTAGGGCACCGCGCTATCCCGACATGACATCGCGCAGCTACCCTCAGAGCGACATATTTATTCCCAAGTAGCAGATCTAGTGGTCTAACTTCGGCAACAAGAGTTCTCCAAAATTGGAGCCCTTGCCTTCGATGGGACGAGTTCAACTTTCGAGATCTACCATCGGCCGGAGCTGGACGAGGACCCGTTTGTGCTGATGCACGGGGATCTACCTACAGCCTTCTAATATTCTCCTGGACGAGAATCTGGATATAGTGGCTGCTGTGGACTGGGAGTGGAGTGGAGTTGTTCCCGTCCAACTATTTGACCTGCCTACCTGGCTGACAGGCCGGCCGCTCGAAGACATTACGCATGTGTTCTATCACGAAGAGTATTTACAGGCGCTACCAGACTTCGTTGATGTTGTTGAAACCAGAGAGGAGGCGCAGAACATCAGACCCCTCCTGCCAGAATCGTGGGGCGGCCTGACGAGCATCACTCCATCACGAAACCCATATTCGACCTTAGCAGCACCCCATTCGCTGTTAAGTATGTTCGAAACCTTTTGGAACCGTTTCTACCGACTGAGCGGACGTACGAAATACATGTTATCGAACAGCGGCACGAAGAAAGCCTCGTTTCTGTTAAGGGAGAAGATACAACAAGACCTAGACGCGTTTTCGAAGCGGCACTGTATTGAGCATTTTCTTAACCAGAAAGTCGAGGATCAAAGGCGATGCGTAGAAGACATGGACCGCCCCCGCATCAAGCTAGATCCTAGCTGGATATCTTGCCTACCACCTCTGGTTCGAACATCAAATGCTCGCTAAAGAGCGACTACAGGAGTGTCGGCCCACGCCTAGCGTCCACAACGACAACATTCCCAAGCTAGCTACTTAATGTCACACTATAACACAGAAGCAAAGCCCAATTCCGTAGCAGGGCTCTTACTCGGGATCCTGATCCTCCCAGAACACGAGGCAGCGCACCTCGATGCTCTGGCGGGGCGGGCCGACGTCGAACTTGGTCTGGAAGGCCGTGTGCGGAGTCCGACGCGCGGTTCCGTCGAGCTTCGAGTCGTAGCACTTGATCATGAGGGTCTCATCGGGCGTCATGCGCGAGGCGTAGTACCACTTGTGTTTCTCGTTGTGGGCTACGTTGAAGACTTCGAAGCCCTTACCGCGCGACACGCGGCTGCCGGCACCCGAGCCCGGCAGCACCGCGAACACCTTGCGCAGGTCCCCCTCGTCGCAGGACCGGGCGTCGCACACTCCTAGCTGGTCGCGCAGCGCCGGACTCCCGATCGGCCGCCAGATGTTGGTGATGGCCCAGCGGGTCTTACGGAAGCGCGCGGCCTCCTCTGCCGGGAAGTTCTGGTCGAGGACCTGCTGAGCGCCGTCGTAGGACTGGTCTTCGGCATGTTAGGAGTGATTGTGCAAGCGAGTTACGCGAGGATAGCTAGATCTTACCGACGTGGCAGAGTAGCGACGGCGTCATGATTGGGATAATCTCAGTCGGCTCAGCGTTTTTGGCGGCCTCGACGGCCGTCTCCCACCGCTGGCGACGGACGAGGTGGGAAAACGGATGGACCCGGGTGGCTCCGGTCCTGGTAGGAAGGGGAAATTAGTAGAAGATACGGCCAACGCTACCAAACCTCGGAGAACTCGCGGGAGCTTACACGCTCTTCAGCAACTCGGCCGCCTCGGGGTATACGACGCGCTTGATCGTAGCATCGTCGGTAAAGTTTGACTCGGCACTCTTGTGCGGCACGAACTGGAAGCCGTGAGTATCCAAAGTGAACTCCTCGCTACATTCCCGCAGGTCCGTGATATCCATAGGGACTAGGTTGCCCGGTCGCAGCTTGTCCTTAGCCGTGCCGGGGTAGATGGTGTCGGTGCCACCGTCGGCGATCTCGAGGTAATAGTTGATGTCCGCCTTGACGACGGACGGGGGGGCGACAACCTCGGCTCCCATGATCGGTTCTGTCTAGGCTGGCGATAAGACCCACACGCGTATGTATGTATATGTGTTGTGCTCGAGAGTGGCTATCTCGCAATAGCTCGACCTAGCCTCATGCATTCCAGTTCGGCAGAGAAGTTAAGGGGTATCGATTTAACTACCTGTCTTTGACGGCTTATAGGGCATTGTTCCCGCTCGACTCGGACTCTCTTCGGAAACGTGCCCTGCGCCATCCCTAGAGAGACACCCTGTCACCCTGGTTGCATCCCAACTGGCACGCCTCCGAACGTGGGCTGATCTCAAGCTGGCTATATTTAATGCTTGGTGCTTCGGGAGGCGTGTGCCCAGCATTCGGGGCCGGTGCTACCCTGCAAGGCAGATGCAGACCATCACACGTTTCCGAAAGGAGTGTCAGCATGGTTACTTGATTGGCGGTCCCACCCGTTGAAAGGATTGTGGTTGTGGTGGTGAAGTGCTCGAAACCACACGCCGACTCAACAGTCGGACGCTTATGTAAGATTGCACGAACTCGTACGGCCATGGGTTGACGGGAATTCCTTCATTGCTCTCTACCTACACGCTGTTGGCGTTATTATGACCTACCATTCTTGACTGGTAAGGTGTAGTAGCCTTATGCTTGGCTGTGGTGAGGTTTCATACTACACTCACTGCAACATTTGTATCACTGTCCACGCAGCTTACGCTACCTTACGAGACGCCAAAACAGGTAGATTCTCAAGTCAACCATGGCCGCGTTTGAGGACATCTTGAGTGCGGGCAGGTCGATAAGTCCCTGGCTATGCGTCGTGTTAGCTCTGGCTTTGGTGAGCATGCTAGAATCCGGAATGGCCTTGTGTGGGTATGTTATTAACAACTTCGGACTAAGACGATCTTCTGGCACCTCAGCATCACAATATACAACGTCCTCTTACATCCGCTGAGGAAATTCCCTGGCCCTCTTTCACAGAGAATTTCCTGGCTACCGTGGGGGTTCCGACATGCCCGGGGCGAGCAGGCATTACACACCCAAACACTGCACGACCGTTACGGAACGGTGGTACGCATTGGGCCCAACCACCTATCCTTCACCGATCCGCAAGCATGGAAAGATATCTACGGCCACCGTATAGGGGCCAAGGGCGGAGCACAAGAGATGAGCAAATGCGCACTCTTTGCCAGACCGGTGCGCGCGCCCCCGACTACCATCCTTAATGCCGACCACGACGAGCATATCATGCTTCGGCGCGCCCTCTCGCACGGCTTCTCGGACAGCTCGATGCGCCAGCAAGAGGTTATCATCGTGAAGTACGTCAAGCTGTTGGTAGAGCGGCTGCGCGAGGAAAGCCACGGCGGCCAGCGCGCGCTGAATCTCGCGACCTGGTTCAATTGGACGACGTTCGACCTGGTGAGCGACCTCGTCTTCGGCGAGTCGTTCCACTGCCTCGAAACCGTGAACTACCACCCCTGGGTCGAGAACATCATGAAGTCGGTCCGTTTCCACGCCCTGATGCTGGCCCTGAATTACAGCGGCCTCGGCATCGTGGTGCAGATGATCCACAAGCTGGGCGGCTTCTTGGCCCTGTCCAAAATCCAAGAGTACACCAACAGCATGCTGAGGTCCCGTCTGAGCATGGGAAAGGGCCGCAACGACTTGTTCGAGGGATTGGCCAGAAAACAAGAAGAATGGGTAAGAGAATGCTGTCATTGAGCAGGGCCCCAGTGAGACTACAACGTGAATGCTGATTTGAATGCTCCCTAGAACTTGTCATTTGGTACGTCACAGCTCTCGCTGCTCTTCTCATATCGCAACATTTGCTAGGCGCTATTACTTAGATACGTAGGCTGCTAACAAAACATCGTAGTAAGCACTTCGCTCCCTTAATCTTGAAAACCTCAAGAACTCCGATGAGCCTTATGGCCGTGACGTACTGACGCAGATACCAGGAGAAACTCGGGAGAAATGCGACGATATTACTCCTGGCGGGGTCTGAAACCACGGCGACGACGCTGTCGGGGGCCGTCTACCTCCTCCTTTCTCATCCCGAAATCCTCGCCCGCCTAACCGAGGAAGTTCGTTCTAGCTTCAACAGCCTCGACGATATTACCATTACATCGGTGAATAGGTCGTCCTACCTACTAGCCGTTCTCAACGAGACACTCCGGTTCTACCCGCCGCTCTCGTCTGGTATGGTGCGCGTTGTGCCCCCCGGCGGCGCAGAGATAGCAGGGCACTTCGTGCCTGGTGGGGTAAGTTCCTCGCTGCCCCTGGCCCCTGGAGCCGTCATCCCAAGCCCACGGGTGCGCTGCGGGTTCTCAGTTAACACAATCGTTTCTAGACCATGGTCGAAGTCCAGCACTGGTCGGTAAACCACAGCAAGGAGAACTGGGACGAGCCCTGGAGCTTCCGGCCGGAGCGCTTCATGGTCAGCCCCGAGGAAGCACTGAAGCGAGGGGACAAGCTGGAGGCCGTCCAAGCCTTCAGCTTGGGCCCGCGCAACTGCATCGGTCGCAAGTAAGTCATCCATACTCAGCTCTCTATTCTCCTTTTCCTGCTAGGCTTCCTGCTTACCTCGATTATCGCGACGCAGTCTGGCCTTTGTCGAAATGCGCCTGGTTCTCGCCAGCATCATTTACGCATTCGACCTCAAGCTCGCGGACGACAGCCAGCGATGGATCGAGCGGCAGAAGAATTTCAACGTCTGGGACCGGGTCCCGCTGAACGTGCATCTGGTTCCCGCCGGACAGGGGAGCAGGTAACTGTAACTCTTGGCTTAGGCCCGGGAATAGCGATTGAGCGGTGCTTGGTTGGTGGTATAAATAAGTTGTTAGGTACATAGGGAAATCCATAAGCCTATATTTACCTACCGGTCGTAGAATGTAGGCGTCTACGTTTTATACAACATAAGTAAACGCCGTTCGCATTCGAGATCTTGTTTCGCGGATATTTATTTTTCACTCTGCCTCTGTTGTTCCATTCGCGCCCTTACAGAAATGCGCGGAAACGCCCTAGCATTGTCATAGGAATTCAGAAGGAATTTTGTTGCTACCCGCTAACAGCTCCAACAATTTCAGCGCTCCACGACCTTGTTACAGCGCCACCTCATAGGGCAGATTCCTACACGATCATTTAAAGGCACGTATAAAATAACACAGTCTCGCTCCGTCCAGCATTCCTACTAAGTATTTTATCATAGATACTATTCGTCTTAGTGAAGATGCTTAGAGACTTCAGACCTTGAAGTATCCGGGCTGAAGCGTCTGGAAGAAGCCCTCCGGGTCGTACTTCTTGGCTACCTCCCTCAGCCGCTTGCTGTTCTCCTTTCCGTACCCTTCGACGGGATCCTGATACTCGCTCGCGTAGTTCATGTAGAGGTAGGGGTGGTCCAGCCCCCGGCTCTTAGCCTTCGCGGTCGTCTTCTCCACCCAGTTGCTATACGCGGTACGGATGGCTGCGTCATCCTTCGCGTCCGTCCACATCGCGCTTGGGACGATGGACACCAGCGGCACCTCTTCGTCCTGCAGACCAAGGGCGTTCCCGCCGTTGAGCTTCATCCGCTCGAGCATTGACATGGTGACAACCTGGAACGTGATCACCGGTACGAACCCGGCGATTTTCCCCTTTATGGGCTCCAGCTCCGCGTACCAGATCGCCAGGATTTCGTGCAGCAATGCCAGGTCCAGCTTGACGGTGGCAGTCCAGTAACTCTGGCGCAGGCCATTGGGATTCGCATCGCTGTGCTCCTGGGCGATGTCGACGAGCTTCTTTGTCTCGGACGTTACTCGCAGCGCGTCGGGGACGTCGAAAAACGCGTCGTACACGGCAGGGTGGGTTCCGTCGGCCACCTTCTCGGGGTACTCGACCTCGGTCACGACGACGTACTGATCCTGGCTCTGGAGATAGACGAAGCTGAACAGGATAGTCGATTTGAGATCCTCGGCCGCGCCACGCCGCCCGTAGTCGACGAAGGCCTGGAGGAGACTAGCGTTCTGCGCCGCGGGATGCATCATCTTGCCGAACCACATGGCAGAGTGGTCCAGGGGGTAAGAGAACAGCTCGAACTTGGTGACTAGGCCGAGATTGTTGCCGCCGCCGCGGAGTGCCCAATACAAGTCCTGGTTAGCATCCGGGGTCGCCACCACGACGATTCCCGACGCCGTAACAATTTCGTAGCTGGCGACATTGTCGCACGCCCATCCGTAGGTGTTGCTGAAGTAGGAGATGCCACCGCCGAGCGTCAGTCCGCCAACCCCTATCGGAGCAACTCGGCCGCCAATGACGATCAAATTCTCCTCTTCGAGCCGACGGTACACATTGACCCATTTGTTGCCCGCACCTATGGTCACGGTATTGCGGTCCCGGTTGATGGTGATCTCGTTCAAGTTGGCCAGGTTTATCGTGATGCCGCCGGCGATGTTCGATGAGCCCGCAAAGGCAGCGTGGCCTCCAGACTTGGCCGCGAACGGGCACTCGGCCTGACGAGATATAAGGAGAGCCGAGGACGCTTCGTCGCGGTCATTTGGGAAGAATATGCAAGACGGCCGAGTCTGAGACTGCTGAAGAGACCAGTATTTCGATAGCTCTTCTTCGTAAGCAACCTCGTCGGGGAGGAGGAGTTGGTCGCCGTATTTCTCTCGCAGGGTTGCGCACTGGAATCATTAGCCCCGGATACTGCTGGGGGTTGGAATCGAAGACACCTACAGCGCCTCGGCACCTCTCGACCATGGATGCACTTTGCAACACACTCTGGCCCGGGCGGTCCAAACTAGACCATTGAAGCTCCCCTTTGGCGGCCGGGACAAGGCCAACGGCTACCAGGAAGAGTGATTGAGCGAGGCACTTCATAGTTGCGAACTGTTCTACCGAGTCTACAACGCGGTTGCGTGGGTTGAAGGACGCATTCTTGACGCGGCTTCATACATGAGCTCGAATCTCAAGACAGAATTTTGTTTCTATTACGCGTTGCATAACTTCCAGCAGAGGATCATTCGATCTGCTCGACAGTCTCGAAACTGGGAGGAACGCGAGCGCTCAGGCTGCTGTCGACCCCGGCCCCCTCTCTCGACAACCGGAAGCCGAACGTCTCCGAATCGGACATGCGCCGCCAAAATCGCCTCCCGAACCCGCCGACAGGATTCGCTCCTCAATCGACAACGCCTCAGCGCGCCGCCACTGAAGAGTCCCGCAGTCAGCACGGTCAGGCTACCAATGGTTCGAGCCGGCGTCATACGATGGGTTCTTATCGGGGCTGGCCTCTCAGCTAGGTCAGCTCCATCCGTAGGATAAGGCTGTCAGAAGCTACACCCCTCTGGATTCCGGTTCTCGCTTAGACGTGTTCGTGCTTTCGCTGCTAGTTGACGGCGAGTCAGTGGTTATTTGTATTATACTGGCACCTTTTGGCCTTTCCTTTTTCGCCCCAGATGTAGCATTGCTTCTTCCAGTATGTCCGTCATGGAGTTCGCTGCGAACGAATCCGCCAAAGCGGTAGTGGAGAAGTGGCAGGAGCTGTTCGTTGGTGAGGATCGAGCTCGACATATCGTTGCCGCCGTCGCGATTGTGATCGCGATCGCAGCGTTCGCGTCATGGCTCAACGGCGGCAGCAAGCCGCGGCGCCTTCCCGAAGGCATCCCGTTCGTTACCAACACTCTCCAGTATCTCGTCGACAACAAGAGGTTCATGGAGAAAGCCACGTAAGGCATTAACTTACACCACATCGAGAAACTCAGTCCTAACGGCAGACAGGGACGCCCTGAGCGGCCGTAACATCGCCCAGTTCTATCTCGGCGGCGTGCCAGTGTACCTGATCTCTGGCGTGCAGAACATCCAGATGCTATTTGGTCGAGGGCACAAGGTTGGCAGCGAGGACATCTTCGTTCAAAAGGTTCTCCCGAGACTGTACAAGATGCCTCCCCATCACGTTTCTCGGTTTGCGAACGATAAGTCGGGACGAGGAAAGGTCCCAGCGCCCGGTTACGAGGACACCCCCCCTGAGAAGCGGTATTGGCAGCAGTACGAACACGTCCACACCGAGTACCTCTCGCGGACGCAATACATGAAGCCCGTCATCGAGGTGTTCAGCGAGCACCTCTCCGAGAGGCTCGAGAAGTTCCCCGTGGGCGAGCTCAGCACCATCAGCGTGATGGACTTCTGCAAGCGAGAGATCGCGCGGGTCGCCATGAGCACGCTGCTGGGGCCGACCATCTTCAAGCTGAACCCGGGCTTCCTCGACGCGTTCTGGGAGTTCGACGAGAACGTCTTCATGCTGACGCTCGGCTTCCCCAAGTGGCTGTACCCGCGGCCGTACAACGTGCACGACCGGTACATCGCCATGGTCAAGAACTACGTCGACTCGGCGTTCCAGAACTTCGACTGGGACGGCCCGGGCGCCGAGGCTGCCTGGGAGCCGCACTTCGGCGCCCGGGCCTGCCGCGAGATCGCCAAGTGGCTCAGGGACGGCGACTTTCTCGACACGTCCATCGCCGGTGCCCTTGGCAGTCTCGTTTTCGCGTGAGTGCATACCTACACCCCTACCTATACCTATACCTATACCTATACCCACTTGTGGGTATCTAGAAGATAGAACCGCCCAAACCGGCTTGCTTACCCTCGTGGACGTGAACAGGCAAAACTCCAACACGATCCCGACCGCGATCTGGACGATCATGGAGGTCGCGAAAGACCCGGAGCTGTTCCAGGCGGTGCGCGAGGAGGTGTCCGGGTGCTGGACGACGGACGCGGCGACGGGGGCGCGGGGGCTCGACGTGCAGAAGGTGTCGACGTCGCCGCTGCTGCAGTCGGTGCTGGCGGAGACGCTGCGGCTGCGGACCAACTTCAACATCATCCGGCAGGCGAAGGAGCCGCTGACCATCGACGGGCACGCGATCCGCAAGGGCACGATGCTGCAGGCGCCCATGATGGTCGCGCACTACGACGAGGCCGTCTGGGGCGCGCCCGGCCACCCCGCCGCCGAGTTCTGGGCCGACCGCCACATCAAGCACGTCGAGGTCGCCGACGACGCCGGCCGCGTCGTCCGCAAGCGCACCTTCGCCATGGCCGGCCGCCCCAGCTCCTACTTCCCCTTCGGTACGTGATCGTCCCCCTCCCCTCCCCCCCAAACGCTGCAGAGGCAATGCTAACCCCCCCGCGAATGCGCACAGGCGGCGGCGCGCCCATCTGCCCCGGCAGGCACTTCGCCAAGCACGAGATCATGACCATGATCGGGCTGATCGTGTCGCGGTTCGACATCGAGAAGGTCGAGTGGACGAAGCTCGACGGGTCGCCGTCGGACCGCATGGCGTACAACGACCAGCGGTTCTGCGGCGGTGGTGGTATGCCCCCGGACCGCGATCTGAAGATCACCTGGAGACGGTTGTGGTAGGTAGTGTGTGCACACAGTGGTGGGCGGAATCGCGTACGAGGGGTCTTGTCTCGCTTCATAGCTGCGGCGCGAGGCCAAATGTCGATATTACTTGGGTATCTACTACCTACTTAGAACTTCTCCGCGTCCCCCTACATGTCTCGCGACAATGCATGCAATCGTAGCCTATCTATGTTCACCATCGACAATCGTGTGCCCTTCATTCTCTCAAGCGGTCGGTAGCCAGAGACTGTCTCATATATTCACAGGTACTTATTGTCTAAGCAAAATACCAGTTGTCTTGGGTAGGCAGGTATCGACCCGTGTCGACGCGTCGGACTCGAGAATGTCTAAGTAACACTATCAACCGACGGCGATTTCACTGAAATAGACACATAATAATTGAGACAGATCTCAGGAAAATCTTGATTAATATTGAAATTAGTGATCGCCGTGGACACGCAGATCCGCCTGCGCCCCGCTCTATCGTATTTACAGAGTGTTCGCGTCCCTCCAAGGCTTTACGAGAGGGTATTGCCGCCGGGTCTTGCTATGGAGAGAGATGGGGAAATCAAAGTAGGTATTACATTCGCTTTTTCTTTTCTACCAGAACGACAAGCCAAACCCCGCTCTACCGGTGTTCCCTATAGCTCGCCCATAACCACCTGGCTGCCCTCGCCGCCGAACAAGTGGCCGCTGTCCTGCGGGCCCTCGTAGCACAGGCGCCCGCTGCCGTCGATGCTGAACTCGTCACCGCCGACGGAGAAGTGGCCGTAGAGCAGGTTGTGCGGGTCGTACTTGTGCTTGATGCGCAGGAGGCGCTCGTAGTTGGCGCCGTAGCCGTCCTCTTTCCAGTTGCCCTTGTACATGGGGTCGACCTCGTTGACGTAGATACCGGTGCCGGGCGTGGCCGCGTCCATGGCCGGCGCGTGGATGTCGGCCAGCTCCCGCTTCAGCGCCACGTTCTCCTCCACCGGCGCCCGGAAGTTCCAGAACCCGTTCGCGATGCACACCGCCTGCGCCGTGCGCCACGCCGGCAGCACCGCGTTGTCCGGGTGCTGCAGGCCCTCGAGGTTCAGCACGCCGCACCCCAGCAGCCACTTGCCGTCCTTCACCACCGACCGGTACGCGTCGATGAGCTTGCGGTTCGCCTCCGGGTCCTTGATCACCCACTTGGGCACCAGTCGCGCGTACAGGATGGTCGTCACCGGCTCGGCTCCGTTGGGCAGCGGGCCGTAGTAGTTGTCGAAGTGCTCGTAGTACGTGTCCGAGTACGTGGTCTTGAACACGTACTTGACGCCGAGGTCGTCGAGCTGGCGAAGGTACGGGTTCATGAGCGCATATACCGCGTCGACGTCCCGGCCGGGCAGGTTGATGGCCTGCGCGTCGAGGGTGTCGTTCAGGAGCACGAACTGAGCCGTGTTGCCGTCGACGGTGATGTTGGGGAAGAACTGGAAGAACAGCTCGACGGCCTTCCAGTAAATCTCGTGGCCCGGGGTGTCTTCGTTCTTGAAGACCAGAGAGCCGCCGGCGAACGGGCCGTCTCTATGAACCCGGACCGTGACGCTCAGCACGACGCCGTACGTGCCGCCGCCGCCACCGCTCAGCGCCCAGTAGAGGTCCGAGTTCTTCTCGGGTGTGGCGAATAGGTGTTCGCCAGTCGGAGTGACGACTTCCCACTGGAGGACCTGGTCGGCTCCTAATCCGTTCTTGCTAGCAAGGACGGAGTGGCCGCCGCCCTGAGAGTAGCCGCCAGCAACGCCCACCGTCCCGCACTCGCCGCCGACGATGCGGTATCCCTTCGCGTGGACAGCCATGTAGGACTCGCCCACACCCATGCCAGCGCCGAGCTTGGCAGCCGGGCCAGTGTACATCGGGCTCTCATAGCGATCAATCACCTCAGCCGACTTCAGGTTGTATGTCCATAGGGCGAGACTGCCTTGACCGCTAGACCTTCCATGGTAACTGTGTCGAACCAGGTCAGTCTCTCTCGCACTATTGTTTGCTTGTGTTCTAAGTGATAGTAGGGGTCTTACTCATGACCGGTGTTCTTAATTGTTAACCGGACGTTGTTTTTCCGGGCAAACTCGAGGCCGGCACGCACATCGTCGACGCCCGTGACGTTTATAGAGTAGACGGCATAGTTGCCGAGCTCGCAGGGTTGCTCCCGCGGCGTGAAGGGGTCGCACGACGCGTTCTGGTAGTAGGGATTCAAGATCTCAGAGGCCTTGGTCACACTGCCAGACACCACCAGGTTAGCAAAATGCGAGATCAGTGAAGGCCGGAAAAGGCAAATGACATACTGGGTCTGGCCCATCTCCCACACGGTGAACTTCCAATATCTGAAGTTCCACTCGGCACTTAACTCGTCACACGCCGTCTTGTTGTACTGCCCGAAGGGCTCGTCGTGGCAGACGTGCGCCTGAGGAATAGTGCTGATCAGCCGGCCGCCCACCGTCTCGTTCAGCTGCGCCCATTTGCGCAATGAAGGCCAGCCAGCGTCTCCGGGAATGTGCCTGCAATTAGGCTGGGGGTCCACTGCATTGGCAACAGCCAGAGTAGAGAGCAGAAGAGCGCCCGCCCGGGTAACTAGTTGGCCAGCCATGGCGGAGGTGTTGGAACGGTGCGACTGCGAGGAACAGCTTCTGTAGCCAGATCCAACCTATCGCGCCAACATAGAGAATACAGATCAGATTGAATATATGTTAACTCGCTTTCTCACGACGCGAATCGCGCTCTGGATGAATGGGACGAGAATCGTGTCATGCTCCCACGCCCCTGCTCGCTGTATCTCGAGGCTCATCGGATCCATGCTGACTCCGTATGCCAAACGTGAAACCGTCTTCAAGTTGACGAACTGACCTACTATTCGGGTCCGTATTCAGGTTAGCGAACTGGGCCTGTTCTGCAGGCTCCGAAATGTTGGATCGCGTTCGGAGACCCCATTCGGAGGTCTGTTCGGAGATCTGTTCGGATCCGTACGGAGGGGTGTGTGTGTCTAGCCCGGATCTCGAAAGGATGCAGATCCTTCCATTATCCAGTTACCGGCAGCCAAGCTACGGCACCTGAGGAGCCCCAGAGGGCCCTGTATCTCCAGGGGACAGCATCGCTAAAGCTCGCTAATAATACAGCAAGGTTCCTAGCTAGCGATAACACGCTCAATGCATTGCGATCAACATACCAACGTCATAGTCGCATTTACATGCTAACAATGCTTTATCACAACGTACCTAATACACCTGTCACTGTTCACAATGCAATTGAATCAATTGTGTAAAGACACACGAAAAAGAGCGCCTGTGAAAGTGAGTTATGTCTCCTTCGTCGTTCGATAACGCCACAGTGACAACCAAAGGGGCCAAGTAAGTCTAAGTAACTCGACCTCGTAACCCGCTAGTGCTAGATGAAGCAGACGGCCTGTGAATTGTTACCAGTTCAAGTCGGAATATGGCACCGGTAAGGGCGCTCTGGCGCGGTAGTTTAGCGAAAGACGGGTTGTTACCGTACAGTTACATCCGTAAAACGTGGCAGCAGGATGTGAAGGCGTGAAGCGGACCACGATCGCCCGAGAGCGAGCACACAGCACGAAGTGAAGAGGGGCAACTTGGAGCCGCCCCAGCACGAACAGGGAAAGAGATTGGTTGAACCGCTTAATATGATGTTGTTCTTAGAGGGAAATGTGACTAGAAAGCCTACTATTGTGTGTCACCACTGTGTAATTCCTAGCTCAGTGTGTCCGTCTATGGGCCCCTAACAACGGACTGATGACTGCTCCTGGAGCAGAGAAATACTACCTATTCCCACTATTAGCGGCGCTGTGAACGTATCCGATGTCCATTAAGGGGTACCAATACGGATGGGCCAGGAATCGGCGTAGGCACGCATAGAGTGGCCTCGAGGACCCTTAAGCGCTCGATCGAAAGGGGGGTTCCTACACGCTGAAGACAGCAATACCCGTCTACCAGCCTCTATTGTGGCGGAGAGTTTCCTCTATGGCATTCGGCTGGCAAGGAAATAGCCGTCATATTCCCGTTAAACCCGTACGCGTAAATGTGAAGCGCCTCCAACTACATACCAGCCGGCGACCACAATATTGGGACACGGAGCGCACCCCCCTCCCCCTTTTACTCCGACAGCGTCTACCACAGGATGGATAAGCCACCGTATATTGCAGGATACGAACGACTCCTTTCCCCAGTACTGATCGTTACTGATACCCAGTCGGCGTGAGTTCCCCTATATGCCAAAATTCGCAGCAGGCATAGCCCAACCGTTACAAACGTTTCCTACGTTTTTGTTCAGGCATCCGATGCCGAGTGTTCGCAGCCGATAGTAGTGCACGGTCTGCGAGAAGAGAATGGTTACAGTACCGTTTATACGGACTCATCATCGCTCGGACGCGAAAACGCCCATCTGTTACTCCTTAGGCGGCCGCTTCGAGCACCATAGGCTGAACACAGTCTACGTCTACCTAGTCTCCTAGTTCACCGGCGGGAGGCTCTTGCGGACTCTCAACTCACGCGGCAGCGTGAGTTGGGAAACAAGACCGGTGCTGCCGAGCCTGATCGTATGGAGTCCCACTGCCCAGTTCCACCTCACGTTTGAGCACGCCCGTGGGAGCACCGTGATGTCCAGCAGCAATAGTAGCAGTAACAGTAGAGGCCCTAGATCGGCGTCCCGAACAGATCACATGAGGTACCATGACGGAAGCCACCTCGTAGCCCAACACAATACCCCATTCAGTAACCCCTACCCAAACAGGATGTCGTACTCGGAGGTTCGCTGCTCTGCTCTCCTTTCGCTCCTCATTCTCCTCCTTACAGCCCCTGCCCCCATCGGCTGCATTGCTTCCCGACCTTCGGTGATCTTCGGACGCCTGCGCCGTCGACGCCCCCTCGTGACCTGCTGGACTCCAGATCCCCCTCGAGGGGCTAAGTCCGATGATCCCGCGCCGTAGAGCTGGCCCCAGATCCGTACACGGTCTAAAGTAGTACTTAGCTGCCGCCTCCCCTTCCGGCTGGGCATCGTGAACTTGGCGTACGGGGGGGACGGGGGGACTTGGATGACGACTGAGTTGGCTGCGCTCAGGGAGACTACCGAGAAAGAGCTAGGCAAGGCCAAGGATGGGGAGCATGGTATCCACGAGACGCTCTTCGCCAAGTCGAACGATTCGCTCATCGCTTTACGAAATCGCCATAGGGGGCTCATGTTTTCCGGGTCGAGTCGAGTCGAGACGACGGTTTACGGGTCGATGGAATGTCGGCGAATGTCGCACTGGGGGGAGGGGAGGTATTTCGGGACGACCAAACGTTCGATAACCGGCCGAGCTAGAAGGCTGCGTGTGCGTACGACGAAGGCGAGAAAGGGCTACGGCGGAACCGAACCGCGAGTTCATTCCCGGCGACCCCAGAACGAACGACATACAGGTGAAGGGAGGGATTATAGGGCGGCCGAGTGGCACGTGGATGCGTATACCATTTGAACTCCGGCGACGACTGAGACGGACGTTGGCTTGGCTATGATCGATCGAAACGCACCCTCTGGACGTGCCCTGCCGGTATCGCACACCGTGGATTATACGAGGGCCACGGATCACACCGATGGGACAGGACAGGGTGAAGGAGGGAACGCCCATTACGGGTACAATGACAAACCCCGGCCGGATACGAATAACATAGGTCGTCCGAATCTCGAGTCCTATTCATACCGGCATCGGGTTGCGTGTGCGATATCCACGTATCGAATGAACTACGAGTCGTCCGAGTTTAGCACCGTCTAGACGTTAAGGGACAATACGTACGATACGAGCCGATACGGGAGCCGAAAGATGAGATATGCGCGACACGAATGGTATATATCATGGGGGGGAAAAGGAACAGCAGGGAATCTAATGAACGGCGCGGCAAATAAGCAACATGAGCGTTGTCCATATCTATGTGTCGTGAACCCGTGATAGGTAAATCATGGCATGCCAGTCCTCCCACTTACTCCCCGAGTCCAAGGAGACACAACCTCCAGCGCCGATAAATGTGGTATCCTTCATGCTTTTCGAATAAGTAATCGAGAAGTCGCCATCACCTGTGGCGGGTATGTATAGTCCCCCTTTCGCCATCTTCCTCCCTTGAACTTGTTTCTCCTCTCCGCTCCTCTCCTTTACCGCCGCGAAAAGGGGCAAACCTCTTCTAGGCAAATCTGACTTCGTCAAACAACCCCGCTCTAACTTGCACGAGGCTCGCCAATTCCAGTAAGAAATGCTGGTAGATGAGAACGTTGGTGAGGATGTGCGAGACCGACGCGGACCTCGTTTCGGGTGGGGTCGCGGCCATGGCATTCTCTCCAAGTTCGCTTTCCTCTTCGTTATTATCTGCCTCCATGAGATCTTTTCTCCCGCCACCCTGGTCACTCGGATCGTCCCCGGCCGAGTCGGTTAGGCTGGTTAACTTGGAGCCAAAATTTAACGAGACCGGCTCCGTTCTTGGTACTGGTAGGTTGACTTGTTGCGCGAGTATCCCTTGGTCTACGGCTGCGAATGCGGTAAACTGGCTCAGTACGGGGCCATCTCTAGCCACACCAAACCCGTCTCGGTAACCCACCGACGAGAACGGCCGACCTTGCCCGCTCTTACCCGGATCGTCGAGATTCAGAGGAAACTCTTTAGGGGGGATGGGCGGCTTGGGAGTAGGTGTCATCGAAGCAGTACCCGGGCTTCGAATCGTATCTCTTCGTCCACGCGGGCTACCGGACCGGGTTGGAGTGCCAAGTTCCAATAACATTTGGGCGAAGCCCTCGAGCGCACTAGGACGTGTTGGAGACTCCGCACGAGAGCTCCCTTGACTTGCGTAATCGGGTATCGAAGTACCAGTATTGGAACTCGGCAAGATGCTCGGTGGGTTTGGCACAACCGTATCGGCGATCTGGAAGGCTTCGCGGCGCTGCTGCAGTAGATCTTCAAATCTTGGTACCGAGCTCCGGAAGTAATCGACTTGATCAGCAAGCGATTCAAGCACGGTCAGCACACGAGGTAGCGTCTCAGTCTGCCATTTCGGGCGGCGGTGGCATCTCGTAATTGTTTCTCTCTTTTCCGCCTCTTCGGACAAAGGGAGACTAGGATCCAGAGTCGTGTGCACCGACTCGGTAGCCGGCTCTTCCTCGTACTCATACGTTTTCGGGTGCCGCAACAGCCATCCCTCCACGGATATATACCCGCAAACTGCCAAATCAATGATCGTCTCCGTGGCCGAGAGATTCATCTCCACCGGGTTGACGAAGAACGACTCAAGGAGGTCCAATATGCTATTGAAGAGGGGATCCTCGCCGCTGAGTGTGTGCGGTGGAACGTCTTGCGGTGCCCCAGGCAAGCTATCGGGAATTTCCGGCAACTTGTGATTGTTCGTAGATAGCCTTGGTGCGACGAGCTTAAGGGAGCACGGATGACCTTCCGCCCGCGCCATACTGTCTTTGAGGATGTTGTCGTACACCTCATCGAAGTTATCTTGGCCGCCAACAGATCCAGCTAGCGTCGTGAGAAACTCGACCTCCTGTTGGTGAGCACCTACAGTCCTACGCGAGGAGTTCGTATCGATGGTTTCGGTGTGAAGTAGGGTTGCGATAGCGTATCGGTGATGCCGTTTCAGGATTGCTGCCAAAAGCTGCAGGGTCACGCAGACGGTCTGCTGGTTACGGGATTGAAGGCACGAGTGAATTAGATCCACTAGGTTAAAAAGCAAAGGCGTATAGCTGGTATTGGCTTTGGAAGCCATCATTGTGGCTAGGTCCATGGACTTCCGTTTCCTCGCCGCGCTGACGGACGGCTGGGTTTCGGAGGGGCCTGACGACTGGGCGTCGGGGAGGGCTAGAAGATAGTGGAGGATGAGATTTATCATGTCTGGATGGTCCAGGGCTTCGAGTATGCGCCGCAGGTAAGTTAAAACGGCCACGGATGAGCCTCCATCAACATCAGAGGATTCTAGGAGAGAGGGATATCTGCGTGGACATCAGTATTGAAATACGGACCAGGTCCAAGCTCATCGTGCTCACAGTAGCTGCTGCAAAAAGATGACCTGGAAATGCTCGAGCAAAGTGGATCGAACTTCCACAGATCGACAATGATTTAGGACATCCTGCCAGAATAGAAGATGGGAGAGGAAGGTCTCGAGGTGAAGCTGAAAATCCGGGCTGCAGGAGCTCACAATTTCGAAGGTAGATGTCGGGTGTTCGTAGTCGGAGAGAGCGAGGATAGGCGGCAGGTTCTCGGGGGGGTGGTCGATAACGAGCTTACGGCTAAGTTGACTATACAAAGCACCAAGCCCCGTAGCCATCAGCGTCGAGAGATCGCTCTCCACTATCCACTGCTCGAGGGCGACAGAAGAGGATGCGGCCTCGATGATATACAGTAGGCCCGTGCGGGCAAAATCACCGACTTTTCCCTCGTGATGGATGTAGTCCATCAAGATATAGAATAGGGGGAAGTCCTGCTTCTGCGTCTTCCCCGCAAACCGCTCATGCTCGTCTCTGGCTCTCCCGTCGGCAGCGGCATGGTGGTCGGGGCCGGAACTGAACCAGGCGGAAAGGATGCCAGGCTCGAGGCGGATCTTGGTGGTGATGTTGAAGGCTAACTCGACGACTTTGACTTCAGTATCGGGCACGAGGCGGATGCTGTTGGCGCCGGTGATGCGGACGAGCAAGTTGGTCAAGCTGGTGGAGAAAGTGGCCTTCTCCACGAAAGCCTCCTCCTCGCTCTCGATGAGACTAGCGAAGAATAGGACGGCCTCCTTGACGATCCACTCGTTGTACGAAGATATGGCAATCTTGGCAATAGGGATGTAGATTTGTTTCGTGGAACAGAACGAGATGCACGGATGCGGGAGTGGTCGGCGCGACTCGTCGGCGAGGATATTGGTGAGGCCCTGGAGACGAAGCTCGATGTTCTCGGCGGCGTCCTCGTCCTGGGCGAGGTTGGGACAATTCCGCCATAGGTGCTAGCCAGTCGGACAAAGCACATCATCAGCCTGTCGTCACTTATTTTCACGCGCGTCTGCTCGTGCGTCTACATCCTGACCTCCCTACTTTCTACGAGAAGACGAGGGCAGCCAGCCAACAAATACAGAAATCGGTGCGGACTTACAAGTAGCTGGCCGTATTCCTTTTCGAAGCGTTGCCGGCGCCGGATAGGGTCCCTGGCAGCATCCTTGCTGGAGCTTCCCGACAGGCGGGTGTTGGCTATGAGGCGCGACCACTGCGGCCGCGGTTAGCACCCATCGTCAAACGGGATCTTGAAAAAGAACAAAAAAAGAGGCAGGACGGGAAGCAGAGGCGACTCACAAAGTCCATGGCGTCTCCGGAGACATCGCTCGAGGGGTGTGTCGGGCAGAACTGCAGAGGTCAACCATCTGGTCGCGACCCCGGAGAGGAAGAGGGAGGCAGCGAGAGGAGCGCGAGAGAGCGGGACAGGCCAGGGTAAGTCAAGCTAGCTCTGTCAGGCCCGGTCTCTTTTGCATTGACGAACAACCAAAACCCGACGCCCGAGATGTTTCTTGATGATTAGGCGACGGGGGTAGCCCTTGCAACCCGGTGAATATCCGAATCCTACCGTCCATCCCCGCCTGGCGAGGCTGAGGACCATATGTGGCTGATGACAAGTTGTGGCTTGCCGCGTATTACCTAATGGCTGTTGCTTGGGAGAGGTAGGTACTTAGGTATGGAGTCGGGAAGGGAGCCGGAGAAATCGGAGAAATCAGCAAGGGGTAGGTTATGACCTCATCGAGTAACAGAGATTTTACGTAGCGCCGCCAATCGGTGGAGGTACCTAGGATAATGTACCGAGATGCCTCCAGAGGACTGGGATGGAAGGCAAACCTCTACTGATGATCGACTTCTCCATCCCACCGCCCCAGCCGAAGAGTATTGCAACTCCTAGAGAAGTCAGTTTCACAATACGAGGCAGATCAGCCAGCCCTGCAGGAAACACACCCATAAGAATCAGAGCTCAGATCAAGCGGTGCTAATCCGCAAGAATGAACCCCTGGCGACGGTCAGCTACGCCCACAGAGCCAGCAACGCCGCAACCCTCGCCTATGCCGGACAGAGCAAGTCTCATTGATCGAGTGCTAACGAGCCAGCGCCGTGGTTAGCAACCCTTCATCATTTAAGTACTCCATATTGCGGCTTTCTCGACGGGATGACGCAAGGATGATTGCTAGCTGTCACTTGTACCGTCGTTACCTCGCCTCGGTCCCCCACTTACGAACTACGAGATCAAGCTCAGTACCCAGTCTTACGAGGGAAGATGGAGTGTGCGAAGAGAACCCCTCTTGGATATCTAGTTCGTATCTAGCCAAGCCGGCAATATATCTCTTTGTGGAGGAATCAATCGCCTAGGCTCGGTGAGTTCCTCATCTCCAACTGGACCGCTGCCTCAACGATGCCTTTGTGCGTCGAAGTCACCCCACTTCAATCAAAGTAGCGAGACGGGCGAGACGCGCGCGCCGAAGTAAGACAACGTCGTGTTTGATTACCTACCTCAAGCTAAAAATAAAAAATAAAAATAAAAAAGAACTCCCGTTGATGAAGTGGCGGTAGTGCGGGGGAGGAATCACGGTTGTGGCGTCAAGAAATATCGAGACGAGAATAGGGCGAATCGGGATACCTACCTACATCGAATCAACTTCCGCGAGATCATCTCGACGGGAATTCGACATGCCCAGGGTTGCCACGCTTATGTGTATAAGTGCCATCCGTCCAGCAGCACCCTCCGACATCGCCCCATCTTTCCCCTCCCCCTTCCTCTCGCGATACTCTCTTAGTCCAGGAACGCCATAAACAAGCCTATCGTCAACGGGTAGTCTCCCCCGGGTCTTAGGGTGTGGTGCCGATGCAGGCGTGGGAGCCATTCATCGTGGCCGGCCAACCCAGACGAGATTCCACCCACCACGACAAGTCATTCCCTCTCCCTCTCCGGCAAGCTCAGCGTTGTGTATCTCCCACTAGACTTCTTGGCGAGTCGCAGCGAGCACCCGCGCGATGACTTGCGGGGGCCATTGGCATGGCAAACATCAAAGGCTTCCTGCATAAGTCTGCGCCTCTCTACTCTATTCGAAGCTCGTGGTTCGTCTGCCTTTCTACCGAGCTAGTCTCATTGGACCATCACCACCGCCCCCGGCAGGATTCATTGGCACCGAGCTATCGATCGCCGACGAATCACCAGCAAGAGTCTCGAGCATACCTATCGCCGTCTTCTGTAGGCGGCAAGGCATACCTGGTGACGAGCAGGCCAGCTTCGATGGCTCCCGCTCGCTTGCAGAGCCTTGGGATAGGATAGTAGTTGCAGATTTCTGTTTTTTCCCTTTTTGGGAATTGTTTCTTCCCTCGGTTTCTTGGTGATGGAATGGCCTGATTGCTCCCGTAACCCCTATTATAACCCCGGCCGTCCCACGATGGTTTTCTACGGCAGCCGCTTCGCCCTCCCCTCTCCCGGGCTTGTTTACCTGCTGGATCCGAGTCACCCGTCCCGTTCTCTGGTTTCCCTGAGCTCCCTCTCGTTTCACCTCCCCGTTTCCTTTCCTCTGTAGCATGATGCGATAGTTCCATCCAATCGCTTTCCTCCATTGTTGACCTCACGGCGGTAGTGGTACTGTCGAGAGATCGATCTACGTGCTAGGTCTTGGGATGGTGATAGATCGCCATGGGGTTCTTCGGCCGATCTAAGAAGAAAGCAACGCCAGAGGCTCCTCCGTCGCCACCGCAAAGGCCCTTGCAGAAGTCTCGTCCTGGTGAGAATAAGCTGTACGAAAGCCCGGTCCCGAGACAACCCCCTGGTTATCTGCTACCGCCGCCGCCGACACGGCCGTCGCCTCCGGGGGTATGTCTCCCTCCGTATCACGACCAACGACCATACCCTATCGTTGTGAACCAGCACTATTACTTGAGCGCGCCACCCTCTCATCCATTGCCCCCCAATCCCTATCTTCCCGGAAATGGGCCTCCCCTTCCAGGGAGCATTAAGATCGGCTCAGCCGTCAATTTGGCAAACGGTCTCACCCCGCTCAATGTCGCTCCTATGCCATTAGACGATGGGCTCCCGAGATGGCATGCGTATGGCACACAGCTGCTCAACCAGACCGCTGCATTGTATGATCAGATCTACAGCAATTTCAACAATGTGATGACCTTGATCGACCGGGACAAGTATGTTGGCAACGAAGCGGACCTCTTCATGTATCAGCCTCAACCAGCGGCACCTCCTCCGAATGAGACACTGGAGCAAACAGCCGTCTCGCGCAAGACGCCTGTGCGTAAGGGTAAGAAAGAGAAGGAGAGATCGTCGAAAGGGCAGAACGCGATAACCTCATCCCTCGCCTCGCGTGGATATTTTGCCAAGGTAGAGCTCTACACGAACGCGAAGTTGCCATTAGATCTACCCCCTCTTCGCTTGTATGTGAACCTTTAATATCGTCAAGCGTAGTGGTTTTCGTTCCCGGAATGCTCGCTGACACGCCCCAGGTATTTCACAACATACCCTCTTATCTGCCTAGCGGCGCAGTATGCGGAGAGGGTATACGAGAATCCTAGAGGAGCGGAAAGAGACGCACACATCGACGCCGACTGGAAGACAGGAGCGAAAGCGATGCGCATCAAGTCCGTCCCGATGGATCACATGGATACTATCGTCTTCGCCGTCCGGGGAACGGCGACGTTCATGGACTGGGCCGTCAACTTAAATACTGCGCCGGCAGCACCCGCCGGGTTCCTCGTACGTGTGACGTCGCTCAACAAGTTTAGTCTGTTGCGTCTAATCAGAAACAGGACGACGAGAAGAACTTCTGTCACGCCGGTTTCTTATCAGTTGCGCGGAAGATGATTGCCCCCGTAGCCTCCCGACTCCGCTACCTCTTGGAAGAAAACCCGCGACGGTGCTCGTACTCGCTGCTCATCACCGGCCACTCCGCCGGCGGCGCCGTGGCCTCGCTTCTCTACGCGCACATGCTCGCCTCATCGAAGGGCGCCTCCTCGGAGCTCAACAACCTGACGGGCTGCTTCAAGAGAGTGCACTGCATCACGTTCGGCGCTCCACCAGTTTCCCTTCTCCCTTTGCAGAAACCCAATAAACCCGAGCTTAGGAAGGCCGTGTTTCTAAGCTTCGTCAACGAGGGCGACCCCGTCGCGAGGGCTGATAAGGCGTACGTGAAGAGTCTTCTCGAGCTGCTCGTGGCGCCTCCGCCCACAGAGGCCAAGGGCCTACGAAAGGAGCCGACTACATCGAAGACTCCGTATTCAAAGCATGGCAAATCACATGCTAAGAGGAGCTCCACCATATCCGTTGCTTCGAAGACGTCTAAGGCTCCTGCAAAGACCTCGCGGTCCTCCCACTCGTTGACCAGGGCCGGCAAACCGAAACCTTCGGGTCCGGTGTGGAAAGTCCCTCAGAGTACATTGAGCAACGCTGGACAAATCGTCGTGCTAAGGTCGAGGGACTCCAATACCAATATTAAGCGAGAGAGAAGCGTCGAGGAGCGTCTGAAGGAGGGCGTTTCTGCTCGGGTTGCCACAGACGAGCAGCTCAGGGGTCAGATTTGGGGTGATCCCGTGTGTCACGTAATGAAGTTATATGCCGGTCGAGTTGAACAGCTCGCAGTCGACGCGGTTACGGCAAGGGGACGTTGAAGCCCTCAGATGGTCGCACAAACGTGTGGGAACGCACGCACCTCCTGACGACTTGGAGCATAGTGATGGACTTATTATGAATGATGAGAAATCTACTTTTCACCTCCCGGCGTTTGGATTACGATACCACTCAGGTCTCTTTTTGGGGGTTACGCAGGCAGGGGAGTACTGGTATACTCGACGAGACATAAGTGAGTACATAGGTTATCTAGCCTTAAAGGCAGGGCAGCCTAACAGCCTGGCCTAGGCGAACGTTACTCGAGACCGGGGAGGCAGAGTTCGATGGAACATACCATATGTCACATAATAACGGGCCACCCCCCCAGCAGGCTACCTTATCCTTATTAAAAAGCCTTAAAAGTCGCCCTTTTATAAATTAAATAGCTTACTTAGATAAATTCGTAAAATTATAAAAGATATACTAAATTAAAGCGCGTTACTTAATTAATCTCTAAAGCGTACCGGAGCCTTAATTACGCGTAATAGTCGGACGCGATATAGTAATTAAATGTTCCCCTTATCTTTACTTAGTTAACTTATAAGCTCCTCCTAAGCTACCGTTACCTCCTCCTCCTCTTCTTACTCCTCCTATTATTATTATTACTTAATTACGGCTTTTAACGTAATATTAAGTAGCTATTAGCTATCCTAATCGTAAGTTAATATTTCGCAAAGGAATTAGAAGCGCTTATTAAGGTTAGGAATAATTCTCCTCTTGGATTAACTTTTTAACTCTAACTAAGCCATTAACGAGGAAATCTAATAATCTTTAAATGCTATTTTAATACGAAGGTCGTAATATACGTTAATAACGCCTCTTAACGCTACGCGAATACGTAAAGATCGATTAACGGCGACTTTCCTAACCTCGTTAATCGCTTTTAACGCGTAAACCTATACCTTTACGCTCTCCTTTTTTAAGCTTTCGCGTTAGTTCGTTTCGGCTATATCTTTCTCCTCCTAAAGCTTAGGGTATTTTAAGGCCTTATTACGGCTTATTAATTAGTTCCTAGTTACCTTAAAGCCGGTATAAACGTTTTTCTCGGTAAAGGCGTCGATTCTCGCTACGTATAAATAACGTAAGAAATTTAGCTTATTAATCGGCGCGATATTTATTAAGGAGTATAACTAACTTAAGTACTTCCTATAAGCTATTTTAAGAGCGTTAAATAAGCCGTTATCGAGCGGTTATAAGCCGTAAGAAGTATACGCTAATAAGAAATATAGGTAAATATTATACCGGAAATAGGTAGCTATAAACTTATCTTAAGATCGTAATACGTTAATAATACTCGCTTCTAGGAAATCAGAAAAAAACCGTAAAAATACGAAATTAACGTTAATTAATTAAGAAATAAATAAATTAATAATAATATAGCTTTTATAGCCGTTTAAAATTAATAAGCGGGCGTTAGATTCGTAGGAAAGAAGACCATTCGTTTCCTTAATAAATACCTCCTTTAGTTATTCTAACGTAATATAGCTATCCGATTAGCCGTTATCTAAGGTTATAAAGTATTAATCGACGATCTCTATAAATTAATTCGTAAACTAGGTCGTTTAAAGCTTCTTTTCTTTAAAAATAATACCCGGTCGGAAGGTAAGGCCCGTAACGTTAATATATTCGATAAACGAAGCCTAGGTTCTAACCTAAGAACTCTTAACGATCGCTTTTTTAGTATTTAAGCTCCCGAGAATTAAGCTATCGAGCTTTGGTATCTTAATTAATACGGAAACGAAAGGATAAGGATAAAGAAGGCTACTTACCTTAGCCGAGTATAATTCCTTTCTTATCGACGTTAAAGGTAAGATAAGGCTATATCTAGCCGTATTCGGCTTCCCGGATACCGAAATATTAATCCATAGCCCTCTTATTAAAGTAGTTAAAACGAAAAGCTTTAGTTTTACGCCCGGATTTTACCGTAATTAAGGGGTTACGCTTTAGGAAGTTATGAAGCTAATTCTTACTAAGAAGCCGTAAATCGCCGTTCGCGTTTGAAATATCTTACGTAATTCGGCGAATAGTACGGTAGTTAAGAGCTAGCCCTAGTTATTCTTAACGTAAAATCTACGTAATAAGATATTCCTCTTACTTATTTATTAAGCGTTATTATAATTAAACCTTTAACCGCGCTTACTTACCCTAAAGCCGAACCGTTAGCGTAATTCGCGAAACGCCGTATATAATAACTAAACGACGTATCGAAACGCCTTCCTAAATAATTAATCGTATAGCAAACGCTAGGAGATCCTCTTAAACGGGTTTCATAGCAAAAGAAGCTTATTTAATCGAGATTTAATTAATATTTATTCCTATTAATTAGGTAGTAGTTTATAGCTATATATTTATATTTACCGCTACTTTTAACCTATAATATCTCCCGTAATATGCGTTTAATTAAAACCGGGAAAACGTATAATTAAAGATAAAGCTCCATACGAACTATATTTATAATATTTCCTAAATAGCTTTAAAATTAATAAGTAACGGTATAATTAAAATAGGTTAGTTTTCGTATTTTTTAGTAGGAGATAGGTAGCCCGCTAGGGGGGTAGCCCGTTATCATATGACATATGGTAGTGGGCATATACCTGGTTGAGACGTTACGCTGCTTTTGGAGGCAACCAAAATTGAAAATATAACACGTGAACAGCGACATGAGCCGAAGACAAGGAAATGGGATATCTAGATTTGGGTTCAGACAATAGGCCTGCAGTCCTTGACAGCGAGGAGGATTCGGCACAAGAATACCCCAACACGATCACACGTCAGAGTAACCGACTAGTAATTGATAACATCAAAAATGAGGAGACCGAGACGGTGTCTGAACGGAAAGGTAGACAAGGTTGTATAGCGAACGACAAAAGTTGGATTGGATTGGCAAAATATGCTAATGACAATTAGGCACTCTCCTTAACATTACATCTCCACATATCTCATTCCCCCATGGTATGCGTCGGTTATGCGAGTCGTGTTGGAGCGAGTTGAGGAGTTTACAAGATACCGCCGAGAGCAACGCAAGGAAGGCCAACGTTGACCAGACCTTGTCCCTAGAGCACATGGTAAGCACGGTCTGGGTTCGATTCAAACCCCGACTGAGGATACTTACTTGATCCATGCCAGAGTGCTGGCAGCAAGCCGGAGTCTGCTTGCACTGGTTGTCAAGGAGGTCGGTAAGACCAATGACTACGAGGGGTTAATGTCACGGGCTGGCGGAGAGTAGAGGAGAGAGGGGCGGCGGGGGATGACTTACGGGCAGCAACGTTCAACTTGGAGCAGCCGTCGAAGAGGCCGAGCTCGCCGCCCTCGAGGGCACCGCCGAGCAGGCCGGCGAGGAGGCCACTGGCCGCGTTGATGGCGTCACCTGACTGGTCGACCTTGTCGCAGCAGCTGAGGTCGAGCTCAGAGCCGCAGGTATCGCCGGCCTGGCCGACGGTGACATCGCCGGGAGCCTCGGGGAACTCAGCGGGGACGAAGGCACCGTGGGGGCTGATGCTACCGGCACGGCTGCTGGGACCGCCGGGGGTGATACCACCAGTAGTGCCGATGGGGCCGCCGAACTGTTGGGGGGCGGCGAGGGCGCCGATAGCGAAGGTGAGAGCGGCAGCGATCGAGACACGCATTTTGACGAGTTGAGAGTGGTCGGGGATTATCTATTAAGAGGGGATAGCCACGGGTTGCTGGAGGATGATGAGATTATGAAGGAGTGTGTGCTGTAAGAGAGTGCTGGAGTAAACGAGCGTTGGGGTTTCGGATCGAGAAGATGCTGACGATGGGACGGGTTTGAACTCTGGGGAGGGGCCGCTGAGCAGACTTATATAATGAGAGCTCTCCTTCGCCCTGCCTACATTGCCTCTTCGACCCTTCCGGTAGGTATATCGCGATGATCGCGATGCGCGCATCAATAGTCCGCCTAGCTCACGCCCATAGAGGAATGGACCCCTATGATGATCGGCACCTCTTAGACGCTCGAGAGAATGTCTTGTCTCATTCACCCAAGCGCTACTGGGCGCCACGGAACAGGATAGCTCACTTCTCTCCTTACTCTGGGCTGCTCTTATGCGGCAGTTGACGCTCTGGGTTCAATAGATTTCGAAATGTCTCCATCGTGACATCTGTTGGCAGTAGTAAAGACTGGAGTAATGTCTACTGGAGCCGTTAGGAGGCGAGCGGCGGCCGCCGCCGCTGCCGCAACTACTGAGCCTCGTGATTAATTATCAAGGTCTTGCTGTGATGTATCTACCAGCTGGTGATATCGATTCTTACTCCGAATCTCAACAATGCGCAGAGTCGAGTGTTGAAGAAGGAATGAGTCTGTCCCGAGTCTTCGGTCCCCCTACGGGGAACATATCTGACTGCGACGCCCCTAGGATCTCGCGACAGATCAATGCCCCAGAGACATGGAGGCCGCGCGTCTTATCTAATAGGCCCCCTTCGCAGCCTGGCGATCTCGGGGGACCAAAAACAACCGGATTTTTTGAGTAATCTTCAGGTCCTCCCTTAGGTCAACCGTTATCCCCAGTCTTCCCACTCTACAGGGAGGACAATTCTCATTACACTCCTTCCTCCCTAAACCTACTAAGTATCGAGGTGTTGGAACGAGATTACGCCTTGATGCCCATCCCTTTCCCTTTGTCTAAGCTGCTACCCGCTAGAAGATCGACCTCATCTCGACCAGCCCCATTCTCCTCTCATCCCAGGGGTTGGCGAATCAGAAGAAGTCCCGAAGCCCATGCAAGACTGCACATGCGCGTGGCCACCTAGATGTTGTCCATGTTGTGACCACAGCTGCGTCCCGAATCCATACACGCGTCGCATATCACGGGCGAATTGCAGAATCTATCTATAGATCTGTGACATCTAGCGATCTATCGAGAGATTCTCTCAGCTTCTATCGGAACACAACATAGATAACTTTACAAATGGTTATACGACAACCCATGCCCCCCCATAAGCGGTAACCGTTCAATCAGCTTCGGAGTCAGTCGTTGTAAGTTAGAGATATAGACCGGGGGGAATAAGTAAACACGTTTGCAGGGATTGCCGTCAGTCGAAGACGGTTGTGAGCGGTGAGAAGTTCCTTGATGCTCTCTCTTTTCTTTTTCTTCCTGGAACATTGGCCTTCGTCATAGTCTTTTGAATGGAAGCTTCGGATGGAAATTTTGGCTGGGAGGTGGCGTCGTGCGTGTTTTAAGAAGATATGGGTCGATGTGAGCTATCTAGTCAACTGCGAGAAGCCCTCGAAGCCTCGTCCGAAGTACCGTATGGAGTAAATGAGAACGAGTCCAATCAAGATCACCTGGGTGAGACATTGCTTAGATTAGTATCAGCTACCCCTGTCCAGTCGACACCAACATCGAGTGCCTTACGGACGCTGCCCAAGGCCTGCTCCCGGCTAGATCCGCAAAGGGAAGTAAGTCTGCGTCGGAGCTGAACGCAATATGGAAGGTCGCCTCAAACCTATATCACCCCATCCGAGTCCTTAGGTTACCTACCTTGCCATTGTCATCTGGTGTATATCTGCAATATAGTTGCACATACTGCACCGTTGTAGTGCCGCCTATCGTCTCGTTGGACAGTTCCGTGACCTAAGATCGGACGAGAGACACAACCATGGTCGTACCTGTTCTGTTGCCATGCTTATGATGGATGATGGCACATGCATTCAGTCCTGACAGATTCACAACTTCCAGGTTCGCACGGGGCCCTGTTACTCGAGGAGTGCCACATTCTCGCATGCGAGGCGTGCACTAATACACCGGACATGAGGCTCTTGTGAGAGATCCGTAAGAACTCCCATCACCACTCCTTTCACTAAATAAACGTTGATCAGGAGTAGACTTTCCGAAAGCGATATTGCTTGTGAAGACACGAGTCTTGATGTAACATTCTAACTTGCGTCCGAGTAGCACGGATTATCGCGCCAATCCCCCAGCTCTCGCCATTTGTCGCGCTTTGTCTTGGACCTCCTCCGAGCATCCCGTTCGTATGCTGTGTGGAACCAAAGCTGGCCGGCCGGGACCAGCCCGAATACGCGTTGCTGTCTTTGCCAACATGAACCGATCGCAGGGTTTCGGTTTTATTCGAAGCTAGACATCTGCAACTACACCCATCAGCTTGTTGGAGTGTCCAACCAGGCATGAAGAAATAAGACTTCGGTTATCGGTGTCGGCCACGGATCGGGCATTCACTTGTCTAAACGGAAAGTCTGCGGCAGACGGCATCTTTATATCCCGCCGTTGAGGTTTCCGTGTCGCTTCGGCTCATGGGTGTCGTCGTCAGCTCGAGGCATCGTGTTGTAGGTGTACATACCCGAGTAAAGGAAAGAATATCGAACTTCTATCTGCCAGGCAACACAAGTTGTTTCTGAATGCTGCTCCCTTGATGCTCCAGTCCGTAGCATGGTGCTCCCGGTCAATGTTACTGTCCGACTCGGTCCGAGAACCTAACATCCGTCTTTCATCCTGTATTTCGTCGGACAGCGACGGCTACCTGCATCGCTACTTGCTGTTACTGCAAGGCACATCTATATTTGTGTCGCCGGAGTAACTTCGCGGTAATATCTCGCGACGTGTGCGAGGGACTCTCTATATACCTAATGATCATGTATAGCCCCATAGTACTCTAGGTCAACAGGGATTTCCACCGTGCTAGCTTCAATGCGCCAGCGATTGAGACGGCTCGAATGACATTGACACATCGCGTCCCTCGTAATAAAGCTGAGCTTTCGGTGTTGTAGCTCTGCATTGGCCCGGTGGTGGAGCGGATCTTTGCATCCGGCCCTGGACTGCCCTGGACGGCCCTGGACGGAATCTTTATCCAGATAACTATGGGCCGTAGAGCTGGGGTTAAAGCTCAGGTCAGACGAGATCTGCTCCCTGGCGCTGGCAGTGGTACCGTCACCGTTTGCTCGCCCGTCGCATTGAAGAGAGTACACCGCTCAAGTTTCTGGGCAAACTAGGCACCAAGACGGGTGGACGATGCATCCGTTTGCTCTTCTAGGTCTCCCACAGGCTCTGCTCAGGTAGATTAAAACGCAACCAACCGATATATCAGCAACTGTTCCCCGTCCCAAAGAAAAAACGAAGCACGTTACGCTTCACAGACTTTCTCCTGGGTTCCGAGGAGCACCGGATAACCTTGCGTCTGCTCCCATACAACGTGCTTGAGTAACAGAGAGTCGTGGCCAGTGGCGTGGTAAGAACTCTGGGAAGTGGACCAAACGGGCGAGCATTAATCACATACAACATGTCTAACATGCTGACGACTCCGGTTAACCCGCTCAGCTCTGCGAAACGGTGGCTTAACTTAGGCCCGCCACACCACTTAATATGAATCGACGACGCTTCTAAACTGGCAGACCTTAACGGCCGTCCCGCCGGCATGTGGCATAGATCCAAGGCATCCATAGCACCTACGGACAGGCCCACACAAACCCCCTTGTGGCCGTTTTCACTTATTCTATGGTGTCATAGCTGACGGGGAGAGAAGAGAACATGTAAACGCTGCTGTGTAAAGAAGGCACATGAAGATGGCACGACCGAGATATATAAAGAGGCCTCGTGTAATCGGGTCGGGCTCATTCTTAACCTCTTCTTCCAGCCCCTTTGCCAACTTGAGGCGCCCACACTCGTTTTTCTTCCCCGTCCTTGACCTCGCATAACTGGGAATATTATGCGTCTACTCGCTCACTTGGCTGTCCTAGGCCTCGGGTAGGTCAATCCCTTGCCCGCCAGGTCCTTCGATCTCATACTAATATGGGACCAGCCCTGGCATCGTCCACGGCCTCCCCCAGCAGGACCAGCCGGCCACTGTTACGGTGACTGTGACGGACTACGGTAGCAACTACGCGACCACCGTGACCGTTTACACCGGTTGTCCTAGTACATCCGTGCCTTCATCTCTAGCTACCTCGGCGGAGTCTTCTACGTTGACGTCGATATCGGCCGCGTATGCCACTACTGGACCGTCAGCTAACGCTACCACGACGATACCAACAAGCTTTTCGAACAGTACACAGTACGTCTACGGATCCTATAGCTATATATGTTCTATAAGACGAGACGCTAATACCTAGTCGACAGCACCGATCAACTCACGACCTCTGGCGGAAATATCTCGACGCCCACCCTAACATCTAGTGGCTCTGGGAATCCCTCGACATCCATAGCGGAAACGCTGTCAACATGGCAGCCCTCGAGCACACAGAGCTTGGTGGGAGGAGCGGTGCCGACCCCCACCTTCACCTCCATGGCCACTCCTCTTGTTCCTTCAAGTACTGCTGGGAATAGTTCCTTTGCTACAGGAGAGAGCACTCCTACTGCAAGTGTGTCGACCTCGAGGTCTTGGAACTCGATCGCCAGCTCCGAGGTTTGGTTGAGTGTGTTCTCGACTGGTTCATCCGGACCTTTACCTACCTCGTCAAGCGGTTCAACGAACTCTTCAACCCGTATCACTAGCATTTCAGCAGGCACTTCCATCGAGTCCTCGACAGAAGGGAGACTTACCACCTCAACCTATACTCCTAGCTTATCGACGAGCGGCTGGACAAATTCTTCGACCCTCCCCACGACACCCTATATTACTCCAGGGTTAACGACGAGCAGTTTGATAAATTCTTCAACTTCGGAGGGGCTCCCTGCCCCGACCCCTATTACTCCAAGTTTATCGACCAGTAGTTGGATAAGTTCGATATCGGAGGGTCTCCCTGCCACAACTTATACTCCTAACTTATCTACGAGCAGCTGGCCAAGTTCTTCGATATCAGAAGGGTACCCTACTACAGCCTCTGTTACTCCTTACTTGTTGACGACCAGTTGGGTAGATTCTTCGACATCACAGGAGCTTCCTACCACAACCTACGCTTCTAGCCTCTCGACGAGCGCACTGACGAATTCTACAACGTCTGGGGGCCTTCCCACACCAACCCAGACTGTTGGCTCTTCAACAAGTACCCCGGCGAATTCTTCGACATCACTGGGGCTTCCTACCTTAACGTCCACTTCTACCTTGTGGACAAGCGCCTCGACAAACAGCATTTCCCCACCCGAAAGCTCCTCTACGTCAAGTAATTCGGCCGCCAGTGTTCCCAGTTCGCAAATCAACTCCACCGCCTATACCTCGTCGGCCTGGTCTCCTACCATCGGCCCTTCGAGCACATCGGTACCCCTTTCCAGTACCACCACTCCGTCCGGGGGGGCGACCGGAAGCTCCGGCTCAGCCCAATCTTCGATTACCAGAGCTCCGTTAGCATCTATAGCTACCGGTGCTTCGAGTTCTCAACTTAACTCTACCGCTTATACCTCGCCCACTGGGTCAGGTGCTGTCTCTATCGGTTCATCCACCACCGCCTCAAGCCCTGTGATCAGTAGCTCTGGGTTAGCTCAGTCCTCCATTGACAGCAACTCGTCGACGTCTACAGCTACTGGTGCTTCAAGTTCCCAACTTAATTCCACCGCTTATACCTTGCCGACATGGTCAAACACTATCTCCATCGGTCCATCATCTACGGCCTCGCCAATCCCCGCGGTTGGCAGCCCTGGGCCAGCCCAGTCCTCGATTGCTAGCACGCCGTCTCCGTCCACGGTCATTGGCGTTTCTAGTTCCTCAACCAATACTACCACTTACACCTCGCAGACTGAGTCGATTACCGTCGCGCCTTTCTCTAACATCACCGCTTCCACCTCCACCAGCGTAATCAGCAGCTCAGAATCGGCCCAGTCGACGTCTTCTATTACTGATACTTTGTCGACATCCGCGGCTAATAGCCTGTCTAGTTCCTTAATCAACACTACCGCTTATACCTCGCAGACTTGGTCGACTACTGCCACGCCCTTCCTTAGCACTACCACCTCCATCGACGTGACCAGCAGCTCCGGGTCGGCCCAATCCATTTCTGGGATTGCCAGCACCTCGCCAGCCGCAGCTACTGGCAATTCTAGCTCACAAATCAATTCCACCACTAATCCTTTGCCGACAGCGCCGATTACTGTGTCCATAGGTGGTCCCGACACACCAGCGCCCTCCCCCAGCGCCAGCGCCCCGGGCGGCGTAGCCAGTAGCTCCGGACCTGTGCAATCAACCTCTTCGATTATCAGCGACTCGTGGACGTCGGCAACAAGTAGCGTTTCTGGTTCTGAGCTCAACTCCACATCTCATGCCGCGCCGACTTCGTCGATCGCTGGCCCCATTAGTCCTTCTAGTACGTCTAGAACATCGGTACGCTTCTCTACTACTTCTACTGCCGCCTCGAGCGCCGTAGCCAGCGGCCCGAGGCCAACTAAGCCCACTCCTTCGGCCTCGTGGACGCCTGCGTCTAGAAGCTCTACTTCGAGGAGGGCATCTACTTCGGGGAGGGCATCTACTTCGGGGAGGGCATCTAGCAGTTCCAGATCGACCAGGCCAACCTCCCCAGCCATCTACACCTCATCCAGGCCCACGACTACCAGGCCAACCTCCCCAGCCATCCACACCTCATCCAGACCCGCGACTACCAGGCCCGCAACTACCAGGCCCGCGACTACTAGACCCGCCTCGACGAGGGCGTCTAGTAGCCCCAGGCCAGCCGAGTCGACCTCTTCGCGCACCGAGGCTTCGTCTAGGCCCGCGACCACTAGCGCGGCCTCGACGAGCACGTCCGGCGGGGGGTGGAGCCCGAAGTTCTCAACCAAGTTCAGCCTCTCTATCCCCGGCGTGACCCGCACGAGGACCAGACAGTCAGCTCGCTCGCACGCCAGCGCTACCGTCAGCGCGAGGTGCGTGGAGAAGGTCGGCCGCTACGGGAACCAGCCCTCGAGCGTGTGCTCCGCCGACGCCGCCACCGCCAGATCCGAAACCGCCTCGGCCGCCGCCGAGGCGGGCGCGCCCACACCGGTGCCCTACAGCTACAGCCTCGCCACGGCCAGCACGACGGGCGCCGCGGACCCAGCGACGGGCACGCCGACCGAGACGGCGGCGCTGACGACGACGACGTGCCTGGCCAAGGGCTACGGCGGCACGACTACGTGCTTCGAGGTGCCCGCGAAGGCCACGCCCACCACGTTCGTGCAGCGGCTGCGGCGGACCCCGCGCGCGGTGTAGGTTAGACGCCGGCGCAGGGAACAGCGAGAAGAGGGGCGTATGTATGTAGGGGAGGGGTCGCCGACCTAACCCGCCCAGCTGGCTCCCGCTGGCGGGCGTAAGCAGAGACAGGGAATGGGAGAGAGGACAGAGGATAGTAGGATGGGATGGGACAGGACAGGACAGGACCAGAAGAACACTCGCACGCAGATGCCGTTCACTTCTCCACACACGGGTATACATACAGACATGACTCAGTTATTTGTATCTTATCATCATTATTCTCTTCTCGCCACGCTCTCCTGGGTGAACCAAAAATACACGAGAGCCTTTTTTTGTCTTCTTTCTCGTTTTCTTTTCTCGCCTCGCCTTCCCGTTCTTATCTCCCTGCGCATCTTCCTCGGCCAGAGAAGTGGCGGATCTGCTGCGTCGGTAACACGGCTGCCACCCTCTGCGTTTCGAGACTCGTGCGTGGGCAGCGAGGAGAGGGAGAGGGGAGAGGGGGGGGGGAGACGACGGTAGGGCTATACCGACTGCTATGTGCGCCATCGTCGTCCCCTTCGCCCTGCTGGGTGTTGTGCCGCGCTGTCGCATGATTGGACGGGGGGATGGGGGATTCCTACCCGGGCTTTTCTTTGTTTCTTTTTTTTTTTGCCGCGTCGCTGATGGAGTCGGCTATCGATTAAACCGGGTACTGCAGCATCGTAGGTAGGCAGGCTGGCTGGTTAGGTGGCATACCTGCGTTCACGTGTGCGTATTTGCGTGTGGGTGCGAGGGCAGGGAGTGAGGGTAATATGAAAAAAATACTAAGGCGACGCGACCCTTTTTTTTTCCCCTTCTTCTCTTGGCGGGTCCACTCCTGGGATGATCATGATGATGACCAGAATAATAACAACAACACCAAGAAGAACAATGGAGCCACGACTTTCGGCGCCGCGTCGAGACCGAATGAAGAGAACGGCGGGTGGATGTGTGAAGAGAGAAAGAAGGGAGGGTGGCATAGCGCTGCGCGCCATCGTAAGCGAGTCTCGGAGATAAGCAGAGCTACGATTACCCATTCCTGTCCTCCCTTTTCTCTCGCCCTCTCTCAGTCGACAGCCTCTCTCCCGCTCTCTCTGCGTCGACTCGGTCGCGATCATACATACCTACGTATACTCGCCAATGACCGACTAGGTAAATCACGGCATGCCAGACCGACGCATCCACACACCCGGGCCTTCGCGAGACGGGTTCCTACGATTCCTCGCGGCGCGGTGTCGGCCGGAGAAAACTGCTGCGTCCCCGCCCTCAGGCAGCGAACCACTTTGGTCCGCGTGGTTGGAGAGGGAGGCGTCGGGGTGAGGATTCGAAAAGGCTGCGTCTGCATCTTCAGCGAGACTCGAGACGGGAAGAGATGGGAAATGAGGGGTGTCCACTCTGCTTCGGCTTACCAATCTGGAAAACGGTAGGTAGGTAGTAATTGGATATAGATAAGCTATGGTCTTACCCTCTCTCTACCCTGTTGTTTTTCTGTCTATTGTTTCTCTCTCTATCTCACTCTTTCTCTCCCCCCTTCTCTCTCTTTCATTTTCAGTTTCCGGCTGGTGGACTTGGTTTCTGCATCTCGTGTTTCGAGGATAGCTGCCAGAAGGTCCCCCGGCCGCAGCTGGGCGTCGCATGCAGATTTGCCCCCTTTTCCGGATGGCTTCCCTTTTCAACGAACGGGTCCAATCGAGATGACTAGCCGAGTAGAAGGGGACCCGCCCCTGGTCTGAAAGGGGATAGGGTCTAATTCTGTATCGGCCTCTGTAAATTGCGGCGGTTCGCGAGCTTGGACGGGATGGTGGTTCATCCTGCTTTTTTTTTTTGGCAGCTCTAGCCTTATCGATATGTGTGGCCGAGGTGGTATACCGGCCGGCTGCATCTGAACCTGGGCTCCTAGGTAGGTAATCTCATCTATGTGTGCGGAATCCTCCTGTCTTGGCCCTGCTGTGCCATCACAGCACCATCCATCAACTTGCTGCACCTGCTCGCCTCATACAAACATCACACACACACACACACAAACAGAGAGAGAGAGAGAGACAGGGAGAAATAAAGAGAGAGATAACGAAAGGGAAGCAAGTGTAGGCAGGCTTAGCACGAACGAAAGTCAGGCCGACGAGCCTCGATATTACGGCACCAACGGGCCTGCATGGTCGAGGCAACGGGATGGAGTTGGCCTAGACCTCGTGTGCATCAGTCCTTGTCATCTTACACCTCTAGGTACCCTACCCACCCACCTACATCTACATATGTATGACTACCTTACATACCTACCAAACCAACGGGCAGTGACTCGACATGCATGTACACATCTATATACATTCCCAACGTGAAGCTATCTCCAGATCGACTGCATACACATACGTCGGGCGGAATGTCCTGGCTCCCTTCACTGCCTGCCTACTATAAGGACGCTCTTGTCTTGGTGACCAAGAAAGGAACACGGGATATACCACACCGTTCCATGATTTCCTCGCCCACTTTCCTCTCTTACTCGGTTCCTCCTCTGCCTACCACTGGACCTTAGCAGCCATTTGCTACCACACCGGCCGTTCAAGTTTGGATCGCAGAGTTACATACCTACCTACCTACCTACCTAGTAGTGTAGGTGTGTAGGTATGTACATAGTGGGGTTGTGCGGAGGCAAGGAGCGTGCAGGGATGGCCATTGGGATGAGCGGGAAGACAGGGGGGAGATGGGATGCTCGCGATCATGTGGAGGAGGGAGAACGAGTGTGGTTGTCGCGGTTTTTTATAGGGAGGTATCAGCCGGCATAAGCCCTCTCCCCTTAGACACCCATACATAGATCGAGTAAGTCAACCCAACTAATCAGCGGCGTAAGACGGGAAGAAAGAGACGAGGGAAAACAAGGGGACGGGGAAGGCATAGATGCTCTTCTCCTACTCCTATCCGTTCATCGATTATGCTAGGTAGGCAAGCATAACCAGATGTGCATACCGTGGTAGGGTGCCGACTTGGATGGGGTGCACTTAGGGGCGGGAGACGGCCTCAGACGCGTAGGGGGGGGCAGGGCTCGGGCAGGATATCGGTTGTGTCGTAGTGGTGAGGCTGTCCTGTGACTTGGGTAGCTGTCGGTTGTGGTAGCAATTGGCAACAACACCAGCAGTAGCAGCGGCAATTGACAGCAACAGAAATACGGGCCTGAATCTGGTGGGAGGGATCTAGGTCGGTGGACACACGCCACGCCTGTCCGGTCCTGGCCCTGCCTTCGTGCCTGTATGTTATGGGGAGTGCCCACCGTCCCCGTCCAAGCCTGGAGGGTTGTGGTGTTTCCCAGGTGGTTGATCGATCGCCACGCCACGGTTACGGGATAACTGCTCTTGGCGAGAGAGCCCGCCATTGGGGGGGGGGAGATCATAACGCTGATAGTCGAACGCCGTTGCAGGTGCAGGCGTAGGTGCCGCTCGGGAGAGGACCCAATCGGAGGAGGACAGAAGAGGGGAGAGAGGAGGGGAGCAGAGAGAGAGGCGGCAAGGCATCAGCAACTAGCAGCATCACCAGCTGGTCCAGCTGGGTCTGAATGAATATACCTTACCTACCTGAGGATTGTCCAGGAACGGCGGAAGCTGTGGCGGTGGCAGTGGGCGACGAGAGGGTCCCACTCACACCACGCCCTCCACACACCCACGCACGCCCACACGCAGAGACCATGCATCCATGCCTCCGTAGGCGACGAGCAGAGGGCGGAGAGCCTTCGGGGATGGAGGAGACGAGTTCCCTTGCCAGCCCGTCCAGAATCTAGGTGGGCTAATCATCCAATGCATCATTCAAGGCCGTACACGCTTGACCCAACACAGGGCTGTCGTATTCCCACCCGTACCTCCGCCGTCCGGACGCCATACTAGAGATACCTGCCCGGTACCCCGTTTTCGACTAGGTCGGTAGAGCCCCTGTAGGCCGGGCCAGGCTCGTTAAGTACATACCTGCACCTCGCGCGCCCGCCGACATGCCGCTTGTATGGAGGTATGCATGTATGTATGCAGGTCGGCCGTCTTTCACCATCGTCACCGCGACCTCATCCCTCAACGCTTGTCTGCCCTCTCTCCTCTCCTCTCTCTTCCTCTCTCTCGATTTCTTTTCTTGCGCTCGCTCGCTCGCTCGCACCCTCATCAGCTCGCTCTCTTGGCCTTCTCTTCGCTTCGCTTCTCTCCCTCTTGCTCTCTTCCGCCTCAAGTTTACCCACCCTTTCCCTTCCTTTTCTTTCATCCGTCGCTTTCCTTACCTAACCCACGTTCCCCCCCCCCCATTTCCCTCCTTGCTTCTCTCTTCTCTTTCTCACACAACCCATCTCCTTTTCTTGTCCGGCGTTCCCTTTCGCCATCTTTTTCCAATAATAGCCGCCCTCATCGCCAGATTTCCCACGCACCGCCAACTATGATTTAGACTGGTCCCCCCAGCCCATCGCATCGGCTCACGGCACCTACGAAGGCCACGGCCGGGTTGAACTGCCCTTGTTGGATCCCGCCTCTCGTCAAAGCAACGTCTTCTCCGCTGTGCATATCTCTCGCGACAAAGAAACGCCGTAGAACATATACATACGCACATGACTTAGCCCCTTCTTGCCTGCCGCTGGATTAGATCTTTGGTTAGCTTCACGCGGAGGCTTCCTCTGTTCCTGTTTTTGCACCTGAGCAAGAGAGAAATTAAGTCAAAAAGTAGCTCACGGCCGACTTGACAGACCGCCAGTGGTAATCAGGAGTACTCTGTTCCTGGTGGCTGGAGAGACCTGCGCGCCTTCTTCGGTCGACGGGGCTAGAGCATAGCATCTCTTCCTCCTACCACCTACCTACCTATTCGCCGGCCTCGCGGGGACTGGATCGCCTGGACTCCCAAGCCTCGTCCTACCCTGGTCCCGGAGTCGCACCCAGTCCCAACAATGCACTAGGAAACATAGCACAGCCGAGGTCGACTACCATCAATCCTTCTTCGTAAGAGGTATACGTGGAAGGGAAGAGAAGGGGGAGAAAAAAGGCATAAGCGAGCAGGCGGATGCAAAAAAAAAAGGTAGCGGATCGGCAGACGCAAGGGATAGGAGAAGAGAAAAAGAGATAAGCGTAGGGGAAGCGAAGAGCGGAGGAAGAAAAGATGGCGTCGAACGGCTTCCACGCGACCGTCCTCCAACGCCCGGGTGATAGTTGTGATGATAGCAGAAGAAGCAGGAGCAGTTCGGCTGGTATTGGGTTTGTAGGCGGCGGTGGTGGGGGAGGAGTGGGTGGCAGAGCGGGAGGAGGGGGCGGCGGTGGTGGAAGAGGGAGTGGTGGTGGCGGTAGTGGTGGTGATAGTCGTGATGGTGTCGTCGTTGGTGCAACATCGCGGTTCGGCTCGGACTCAGCAGCAGCAGCAGCGGCAGCCGTAGCAACTCATGGTGTCTCTGGTTCAGGTTCAGGTTCGGGTTCAGGATTATTATTGGGGTCGGGATCAGGGTTGGGATCAGGATTAACCTCGCGCGGTCTGACGCTTTCGGATACGCTGGGACCACGTTTCTCCAACTCCAGCGCCAACGCCAATACCCACGCCAACGCCGACAATTCCAATTCCAGTCCCAATCCCCATTCCCTCGCTACCCACGCAGCAGCGCGAGCATCGGCAGCGATAGCGGCAGCATCATCAGCATCGGCGCCAACCCGCAATGGCAATGCTGCGGGCGGTGCAGGCATTGCGAGCACCAGCAGAAACAGTCCCAGAACCAGCAGAAACAGCAGCACCGGCTTGACCGACCCAACAGCCGCCATCGCGACTCCGACACCATCGCTCCATTTCCGTCAGCCCGCCAGCACCTCAACTGCCACCGCATCCACCGCCAAAACCACCACCACCACTACCGCCGCCGCTAAGATTCACCACCACAGCACCAACTCTTCTACAACAACCACGCCAACTCCTCCCTCATTTCTCCGTTCTCCATCGCCCAACCCCAAATTCTCCCTCTCGTCCATCACCTCGCCTCCACCACCCCCTCCGATCCCATCGTCAACGTCGACGACGCGACCGTCATCGTCCGCCCCCTTCGCGCACATCTTAAATAACGCGTCGCATCCCTCGTCGGCGTCGGCATCGGCGTCGGCATCGATCCCATCGTCGCTGGCACCTCCGCCATCGTCAAAACCAATCTCCACGCTGCCGGTCGGCGCCGCTACTTCGTCGCTGCCTCCTCTGGCACCTCCGCCGGGGGCTCTGAGCTCGTTGACGGCGTCGCCCACCATGACATCGACCAATGGTTCGAGTGCATCGCCGCTGCAGCCTCCCAAGGCAGCTGGCCACCTCTCGCCGCCGGATTACCACCACCCGCCGTCCCGAGAGAAGGCTTCAGGAAGCTTTTACGATCCGCTGACGGATACGACCAAGGAGAGGAGAGTGACCGAGACCTGGTCCAAGCAGGTAAGCTTTGGTAGTTTTAGTTTTCTCCTTCTCTTGCCAATAATTTTTTTATTCCCGTTTATGAGACACATTTGAGAGCATGCGCGCGCACACCTATGCGTATACGCAAGACACGCAGGCGAAAGGGGAAAAAAAAAAGAAACGCAATATGAACTACGGAAAAAAACATAATCACGGCGAGCTCGTCTGCAAATCCCGCCTCTCTTGCCATCACCCAACACGTCGGTGGCCATCACGTTGTGTGATTGTTGACCCCCTCCCCTCCTGTGCGCTTGTATCTCTTCCCTGGTCATGATCGGGTTCCCTTTGAACAGGCAGAGCAATCAAGCAATCTGTCCGCCCGTCTTTCTCTTCTGGCATTACCTCTCGTTCTCCCCATCTCCTAATTACTACATGTTTCTCCCAAAGTTTGCTTAGTGGCCGAGACGTCGTGGCTTATCCTGTCATCTTCGACCGGCCATTTCCCTATTCCTTGCTCATTCACCCAAGCCCAAAAAAATCCCCCCCCCCCCAAGGACGGACAAGACACCAGTGAACGGAACGATCTTCAATCCTCTTTTCCTTCTATCCTCCTTTCTTCTCTCTTCGCCTCCCCCTCATCCCTTTCCCTTTCCCTCCTTCGTTGGATTTTTCTTCATCATACTCACCCCAGACTACTAAAAAGCTTCGACTTACCTTTGTCCTTTCTTAGCGACACGATCCGTATGATTTCTCGCAGCCCAAGACCGAGTCTAATAATCAGTATTACAACGTCTACGGCTCGCCATCGCCCGTGAATTCAAAGTTTCCGCGGAGCCCTCACCTACACCCCCACCCCAAGAGCGGCAGCCGACCGACCAGTCCATCCAACAAGGCACTCCGCTTAGGTTCTCCCCCCTCGCGTCACCGTGCTGCACTCGATCCCATTTCCTCTACGAACCGCCACACTCCGACACCAGCACCCTCGCTGCCTTCCATCTTGAACCCAGAACCAGCTAGTTCTACCAATGTACGTGCCCGATTTGATTCGTACCCTACTTCGAGAACCATCACCGCACAAGAACCCAACCCCATATTAGATCGAGTAGTTCCCTATTGATATGTTGATTGGGCGCTAACGTTTTCTCTCCCCTTCTGCCACTACAGACTCCCAGCCGTGCGGCCGAGTTAATGTCGTTCTCCAACATTCTCTCCAGCGCCGAACCCCTTCCCAAGCCCAAGGCTCTGATCATGGCCGACCCTAAAGAAAAACCGCCTCGGAAGAGTAAGGCGCGAGAGTCGACCCGCAAGGACGCGGAGGGCAACACTCGAAAAGACTCGCGACGCTTGTCGTCGAACCACGCTAAGGATACGCCCACGCGGGCACCTAAGAGACAAGCCAACGGTCAAGTCAAGCCCAGAGCCCTCTCGGCCGACAAGGAAAAGAAGATCCAGAACCTGATCGACCAACTCGATGCCGAGATGGAAGACGTTGATCTATCCGAGCTCGAGGTCGAAGAAGAATTCTTCCACGGGCGTTTGAAGAAGCGTAGGTTAGATCTTGAAGAGACTGAACACAAAGACCGCTTAGTCAGACGGGGCGACATGGCGTCGTCCCTGTCGGGAAAGCTACGAGACCATGCGAGCCATGGGAGGCGTCGGTACGACGCGATTCACTTCGAGGGCGCGCTTCACGAGGTACGGGAGCGTGAAATATTCGCCGAAAAGGAACGAAAGAAGGACATGCAACGCAAGCGGCGGCGGGAGAAGTCCATGCAAGTTACCATAGAGCAGAAAGAGGCAGCGTTGGCCAAGGCGCTTGCTGCCGAAGACGACGCCGAACGCGCCAAATATTTACGTGACGCAGAGCGCGCCAATAAGAAGGCGCAACAAACCAAGCTGATCCTGCAAAAGGGCATCAAAGGCCCCGCGCGCAATCTCGCACCTCTCGATCTCAACCTCGAGGGTGGTACCATGTCCACATTCCAGGCCACAGACTTGGAGACGAACGGCAAGGCCAAAGGCAAAGGCCGCAGCGGCAACCGTCCCAAGAAGTCGAAGGAGCAGAAACAAGCGGAGAAGGATTCAGCCATCGCTGCCCAAGCTGCTCTGGACGCGGGCGAAGAGCTTCCATCGAAAGAGGAGACCAAGATCCGCATCAAGCTGAGCAAGAACTCGACTAAAGAGCCCAAAGAGAAGGACAAGGAGAAGGATGCTAAGGAAACGGCTGCGAAGGAACCGAAGGAGAAAGAGAAGGCCGCCGAGGAGCCTCCCGCCAATCCCCTCGAGACCAAGTTCCAATCCAAGGGCTACAACCAGATTTACGACCAGATCTGGCGCGACCTCGCTCGCAAGGACGTCCCGAAGGCCTACAAGCTGGCTAGCGATTCGTACAGCACCAAGGCATCAAATCTTAAGAAGACGGCCATACTGGCGTCTAAGGAGGCCAAACGCTGGCAGCTCCGCACCAACAAGGGAACGAAGGACCTCCAGGCTCGTGCAAAGCGCTGTATGCGTGATATGATGAGCTTCTGGAAGCGCAATGAGCGCGAGGAGCGCGACCTACGCAAGGCGGCGGAGAGGCAGGAGCTCGAGAACGCTCGCAAGGAGGAGGCCGACCGTGAAGCCGCCCGCCAGAAGAGGAAACTTAACTTCTTGATCTCCCAAACCGAGCTGTACTCCCACTTCATCGGCAAGAAGATCAAGACGGACGAAGTTGAACGCAGCACCGACAACCCCGATATCGCGCCAGATTCCGGCTCCGTATCGAAATCCGCTCACGTCGATGTCGCAGAACCGTCCGGCCCCATCGGCGCTAAAGTTACGGATTTCAACCAGCTGGATTTCGACGCAGCCGACGAAGAGACCCTCAAGGCTGCTGCCATGGCGAATGCACAGAACGCCATCGCAGAAGCCCAGCAGAAAGCGCGAAGCTTTAACAAGACGGAGAACGACATGGACGAAGACGGCGAGATGAATTTCCAGAACCCCACTGGTCTCGGTGACGTGACTGTCGAACAACCGAAGCTGCTGAACTGTCAACTCAAGGAATACCAGCTCAAGGGCCTGAATTGGCTTGCCAATCTCTACGAACAAGGGATCAACGGCATCCTCGCAGATGAAATGGGTCTCGGCAAGACGGTGCAGTCTATATCCGTCATGGCCTACCTAGCCGAGGTCCACGACATCTGGGGCCCCTACCTCGTCGTCGCGCCGGCTTCTACTTTGCACAACTGGCAGCAGGAGATTTCGAAGTTCGTGCCCGAGTTCAAGGTCCTCCCGTACTGGGGTACCGCTAGCGACCGAAAGGTGCTGCGCAAGTTCTGGGACCGCAAGCACAACACCTACCGCAAGGACGCGCCCTTCCACATCCTTATTACCTCTTACCAGCTGGTCGTGTCAGACGTCGCCTACTTCCAAAAGATGCGCTGGCAATACATGATACTCGACGAAGCCCAGGCCATCAAGAGCTCCCAAAGCTCGCGATGGAAGTGCCTGCTCGGATTCCACTGCCGCAATCGGCTCCTACTCACTGGTACCCCCATTCAGAACAACATGCAGGAGCTCTGGGCCCTTCTACACTTCATCATGCCCTCCCTGTTCGACTCACACGACGAGTTTAGCGAGTGGTTCTCGAAGGATATCGAGTCCCACGCCCAGAGCAATACCACGCTGAACGAAGACCAGCTCCGGCGACTGCATTTGATCCTCAAGCCGTTCATGCTGCGTCGTGTCAAGAAGCATGTACAGAAGGAGCTTGGCGACAAGATCGAGCTTGACGTATTCTGCGAGCTCACCTACCGACAACGGGCTTATTACAGGAACTTGAGGAACCAGATCAGCATTATGGATCTGATCGAAAAGGCGACCCTCGGCGACGACCAAGATTCGGGCACTTTGATGAATCTCGTCATGCAGTTCCGAAAAGTTTGCAACCACCCCGACCTGTTCGAGCGCGCCGATACGACGAGCCCGTTCTTCGCCGGCTATTTCGCCGAGACGGCTTCGTTTGTCCGCGAGGGCAGCAACGTGTCAGTCGGCTACTCGACCAGAAACCTGATCGACTATCAGCTGCCACGCCTGGTCTGGACCGAAGGCGGCCGGCTACACAAGCCTGGAAAGGACAATGCCAGGGCCGGTTTTAGGAACAAGTACTTGAATCACCTCATGAACATCTGGACCCCCGAAAACGTGCGAGAAAGCCTGCGTGGAAACGAGGCGTTCTCGTTCCTTCGCTTCGCCGGTGCTAGCCCCGACGACGTCTACAAGATCAATCGCCAAGACCTCTTCTGGCGAGCTGCGGACCTCGCCCAAAAGGAGGAGCGTCTCGGCCGGATGAATGTGCTATACGACGAGCCGGGCGAGGAGAATTACGTTCCCGCCCACTCCTTATTCCAAATCAAGGCGCGTTCGGACCGCAGACCCCTAGCCGAGATCACGACCGAAGGCGTGCTAGATAGCCTGATGAACATTTCGCGCACGACGTGGCGTGATTCCGGACTCGGCCGTCTCGAGCCAGGCGCCTTACCCGGCGCGTCCGCCCCTCCTATTGAGGTTTCGTGCATGGGCACCCGAGGTCCCGTCGCCGAGCGCGAAGACACACTGTTCAACGTGCGAGTGCGCAAGAGCCTGTTCGGACCTAGCCTGATGGAAGAGAAGGCACTGGTATTGCGGAATGTCCCGATCGAGCGATACCCGGCACCTGCGACGTTTCCGCAACCGGATAACGAGAAGCGACGTTTTACGAACATCACTGTTCCTAGCATGCGCCGGTTCGTCACCGACAGTGGAAAATTGGCCAAATTGGATCAGTTGCTTTTCAAATTGAAGGAGGAGGGCCACCGTGTGCTGCTGTACTTCCAGATGACGAGGATGATCGATCTCATGGAGGAATACCTCACCTACCGCAACTACAAATACTGTCGACTCGACGGGTCTACGAAGCTGGAGGATCGTCGCGATACCGTGCACGATTTCCAGACGCGCCCCGACATCTTTGTCTTCCTTCTCTCAACCCGCGCGGGTGGTCTCGGTATCAACCTCACGTCCGCTGACACGGTAATCTTCTACGACAGCGACTGGAACCCTACGATAGACTCGCAGGCCATGGACCGTGCGCACCGTCTTGGACAGACGAAGCAAGTTACCGTCTATCGTCTCATCACGCGCGGCACAATCGAGGAACGCATCCGGAAGCGTGCAATGCAGAAGGAAGAAGTGCAGCGCGTCGTTATTCAAGGTGGCGGCGCTAGGGGTGTGGACTTTAGCGGTCGTCGCCCGCCAGAGAACCGCAACCGCGATATCGCGATGTGGCTCGCCGACGACGAACAGGCCGAGCTAATCGAGCGACGCGAGAAGGAATTGCTCGAGAGCGGCGAGCTGGACAAGGCATCGAAGAAGCGAGGTAGCAATAAGCGAAAGCGGGAGGCGGTGAGCCTAGACGAGATGTATCACGAAGGTAAGCCCATAAACCCCCCCTTTTGCCGGCGTTGGGTTTTCTTATTCGGCTCCAATATCGGGTATCGATGTACTAATGAGGATTACGTTAGGCGAGGGGCATTTCGACGACGGCAATAAGCCGTCCGGCACCGCCACACCAGTTGAGCCTGCAGATGGCAAGGCCGCGAAGAAGCGACGCGGAGGCAGCAAGAAGGCCAAGACAACCAAGCAGCGGCTCGCCATCGCTGACGGCGAGATCGATATTTGAGCAGTGACACGCACAGCCGTGGGACGCCAATTAGCGGATTTCGCGAGAGGGGCTTGCTACGCCATGTACAAAAACACAACAAAATACAGTGAGGCGTTGCGTCGGCATCAGTTTCATTTGCAGGGGCAGAGTACCAAGGAAAATCGCTATATCATTAGAGCTAATTAAGAATCCATTCGAGACAGGGAGGACATTTGGTGAAGGTTACGAGAAGGAGAAAAGAACATGCCCATAGCGGACGAACGGGGCTCCCGCCTCACCCGGAATCCAACCTCGAGATGCCCCAAAGGCAATTATAACACTTTAGTTTTTTTCTCTCTTTTTTTCCTCTCCCCCGAGTGACCAGGGAGGGGTTAGTGGTCGATGAAGGGCAAGAGGAAAAAGGTCTGTTGTATGTGCTTGTAGGATTACGTACGATAGACGAGGGAATGGAATAAAGAAGCCCCTACGAAATCAACAGATGCATGCCGTCGAGGCGTTGAGAGTGTGAGGGACTTCCCCCCTTTTTTTTTCAATTCTTTCAGTTGCGTGATGTTTCAGTTTTCTCAGCTGTGCACCCGGCATTGGCGAGTGGCCCTGGTAAATAGATACAAGAATATATCGATACCTGTCTGTCCGCATATGCGCGTGTCGTGTCTGTCTACCTACCTACCTACCTACCTACCTTGACCCCTACCGCGCCTACGTGTCTATCTCCCGTTTCGCGTGTCGAGCATAATAAGGGCGAAGGGGGGGGGGGGGGGGGGGGTGGGGAAGCAATGAGAAATAGGTTGACGGGCAAGATAAGGTAGGTAGGTTATTAGAGCCCGCGTCGGACATCTTATTCTTTCTCATTACCCGCGCGGCGCAGCGAGCGAAGCACGCCGTGGTTCGTAGGCACGAAAGAGAAACAACGGATCAATCCTTGCAAGCAGGGGGATAAGGGACGTCGACAGCCAGCGAAAGCTTTCTTCTCATGCCTCCCATATCTCGAGGAGTTCATTCTCACCCTCACCCTCTCTGTCGAGGGGGGAGGCTTGCGGGAAAGCAGCCTAAGATAACAAGATGCAAGACGTCTGGATAGCTTTTCTATATATAAAAATCCCATAATAACCTTCCCCGACTCTTCTTTCTCTCGCCTTGCCTGACTGTGTCAAATCCGGGCCGGTAGGGCCTGCGGCTCTAACTTGCCTCGGTGCCCAATCTATCGAACTTCGGAGCCGCGGCCTTTTTATGATGATGATGCTGTTTTTCGTGCATGCATACGTACATACCATACCTTTCGTCTTCTCCCCCCCCCCCCCCCCCGTGTATCCATTTTTCCCTTTCTCCTTTCTGTTGGTATCAGAGGGGTGTGCATGTGTAGTGATGAAATCCCGATCCCGGCACGGTGGACCTAGGTGGATGGTGGCCCCCCCCCCCCGCCGTCGGCCCCCGCCAGATCAACCGCACATGCGCTCAATGCTGAGGTGAGAAGACGACAAGAGAGTGCAAGTGTGGCTGACCAAGAGAGTCTTTAAACCGCTCCCGCTGCCAACATCTTCTTTCGCAGATAGTTCTTGTACTCTCCTATCGAGCCCTCCCAGGGCTTGATGGACTTGTTCTCGCATACGAGGATCTGCTTAGCGATCTTGTCGAGCAATCTGGCGCATGAAGGTTAGCGTCGACGTACGTGAAGATCCTTTAGCTGCGAGGGCCCGAGTCTTACCTGAAGTCGTGGGAAACCACGATGACACCGCCGCTGTAATTGTCGATGGCATCCGCCAAGGCATCGATGGTGGGGATGTCCAGACCGTTCGTCGGCTCGTCGAGGAGCAGCATGTTGGGGGAGTCGATGGCGAGAAGGGCGAAGACGATGCGGCTCTTCTGGCCTTCGGATAGCGTGCCCATCAGCGCGGTCTGCACGGACCCAGAAACTCCGTATCTGCCCAAGTTCTGTCGCCAATATTGGTAGTCCTGCGACTTTTCTCGGTACTTGTCGCGGACGAAGTCCAGGGCGCTCTTGGTCAGGTCTAGCTGCTCGGCGCTGTGCTGGGAGTACATGCCGAGCTTCAGATGCGTGTGGCGACGGACAGTACCGGCCGTCGGCGAGATCTTGCCCGTCATGAGGCGCAGTAGAGTGCTCTTGCCGACACCGTTGGGACCAACGAGGGCAGTTCGGGAGTCCATGTCGAAACCTAGGTCAATGTTGCGGTAAAGGTCATCTTTGGCGTCTCCCGAATACGAGAAGGTGACATTGTCAAACGACAAGACGGGCGGAGGGAGCTTGTCCACGTCTGTAAATCTGAACTTGAACTCTCTGTCTTCCTTGACTTCCTCAATGAGACCGTCTGCGATCATCTTGTCGAGAATTTTCTGCCGGGACTTGGCTTGGCGCACCAGGTTGGCGTAGGTACCGGCGCTGGCGATGAACTCTTTGATGTGCTTGATCTCTTCTTGTTGTTTCTTGTAGGCAGTCATCTGGTTGGTCTCCTGCTCCTTGCGGGTCTTGACATAGGAGTCGAAGTTACCACCGTAGTACAAGAGCTGCTGCTTCCGCATGTCGATCATGTTGGTGCACACGCCGTTCAGGAAATCCTGCGAGTGGGAAACGAGGATCAGGGTCCGCTCCCACTTCTTCAGGTACTCCTCGAGCCACACGCACGCCTCGAGATCTAGATGGGCGGTTGGATCGTCGAGAAGCAGTAGGGTGGGCTTGACGAAGAGGGACTTGGCCAGGGCAACACGCATACGCCATCCGCCAGACATGTCCTTAGTTTTCTTGTGAATGGTCGTCTTGTTGAAGCCCAGACCGGTCAGAATGAGTGAGGCTCGGGTGGAGAAGGTCGACGGGTCCATCTTGTCCATGTGCTACGCGTAGTGCGAGGTCAGTATGCTTGGCGCAGGAGCAATGCAATTATACTGTGGGGGTGCACACATACGTCGTAGATGTCCATTAGCACGGGGCTGTCGGGGCCCTCGTCCTCGAGAAGCTGTTCTGCTAGCCTGTCTAGACGCTCCATCTCCTTCTCGGCTTCTTTCAGAACCCATTCTAGCGCGCCCAGGTCGGAAGGCGGGGCGCCCTCGTTGAGTAGGTAGATGTCGACGTGGTCGGGAATGGGATACTCTCGGGCCGCGATCGCCTTGAGCAGGGTACTCTTTCCGCAGCCGTTCTCGCCCAGCAAGCCGTAGCGACGCCCAAAGGACAGCTCGAGATTGGTTTCGTTGAGGAGGACGCGACCGTGGAAGGTCAGGCTGGCGCTGATGATCTTGACGTCCCTGCTGGTAACAACAGAGGACAGGACACCGGTGGTGATACGGTCGGACAGGCCGTGCTTGTCCTTCTGGTCAGACAGAGCCTTGACCTTCTCCAGCTTGCTGTCGTCGGTGGCGGGGACGTCGTCAAGATCGGGAGGGGTGTCGTCCCCGGCGACGGAACCGGCAGCGCTGGCGTTCTTGGAGGCGGCTTTGGAGCCGGCCTTGGATCTGCTGACGAGCGTCTTCTTCTCACTCTTGCCGTCCTTGGTGGAGTCGGCAGCCTTCTTGGCGAGTCTCTTCTCTTTGGATGCGGAAACCATTTTGAGGGCTGTGTTCTATGTTGTTATTTCCCTCTTGCCTCAGTTTCTCACCGTTTTGCCTTTTTTCCTCTATTCCTTTCCTACTCTACGACCAGCCGATAAACCGTGATGTCGAGGTTGAGAAGAATAAACAGGGCGGACTAGAGGAAAGGAGAAAGGAAAAAAAGAGATGAAGAGAGAACGAGAACGAGGATATGTATCCCTGCCTATTCTACCAATCTGTATTACGATATCCGGGTACGTGGGTGGGTGGAATATGGGTATCTCAGTGATGATATGGCCAGCGACGGACAGCGACCGTGGGGCTTCGTTTGGTTAGTGACCCGATCACAAACGAATGGCGTCGACTGTCCGAGTGGTCGAATGGTGCGGCGGGAGTGGGGAGATATCGGCGGCGAATCCAACAAGCTACCTCCTAATCCCGGGAATGTAGGAGTGGTGGATGGGGGAGGGTGAAGAGGGAGCCAGGAGAAGAAAAAGAGATTTATTTGCCCTCCGTCGTGGGTGATTTTTTTGGTCACTGGCGATTTGGCAGAGGGAAAGGTGGGAGGGATGAATCCGCGCGGGGCCTCGATAAAGGTGGCGGTACGGAAAGGCAGGCCCGTTACGTAACCTAGGTCGGTATATGTTACGGTGCGCATATTCCAAGTGCGTTACCCATCCGCCGACACGTGACGGCAGAAGTACTCGCTATAGGTACATCCACATCATAACCCGCCGTATGAATCTTATTCCGTGCCCGCTCCACCGTGGCCCACAAGGAAAAAGATCAGTGGGAAAGCAAAAACCCCCTCTCACCGCCTCTGATTCCTCTACCGCCTTGTTACTGCCTCTGTTACCGTCACATCACCTCTTCATCTCCTTACCGTAGATATTTTTCACGTAGGCAACTATCGCTGACGTCAGACCAACCTTCGACGCACCTGTCGGCTCTCCAGCATTACTACGCCATTCCTTGCATAGGTACGTTACCGCCCGGACCCGTTGATTTTTGGCTACATTCTCTCCCCTCCGCCAGTTACGTAGGGGGTATACCATCTACAATGGCGCACTCGCGAAGCAACCCTGCGGGGGTGGGCAGAGCTCGCGATAGGCGCTGTTGCCATATCATGGCAGTACAGGGCGTATACGTGTGTGTTCTCAATACCCGAGACAACCAAGGCATCACTGGGCGTTCTTCGCGGTAACAGCTCCTGCACTACAGGCGCTACGTAGTAACGTCTTAGATCGGTAGTGTAACACAGGTAACTAATGTATGAGTGTCGTCCGAACCGGATGAATGACGTTTACGCCGGCTCTGGTACTACGTAACGTTGACGTATTTGGGCAGGTAAGTAAGGAAGGATGATCAGAACCTCACCTGTGAGCCCAGATACAGCCCTGGGACATGGATACCTAGGGGAAAACATCTCCTACTTTGCTCCGGGAAACTCGTCTCTGCCATCTCGTTAGTCGTTAGCCGGAGCCCTTCTAATGACACCAGCATATATGACCTCCCTCTAGGTCCCGATCGCTCGTCCCGGACGCCATCTCCAGCCGCTCTTCGCGGGACTGCACCCACGGAATTGACGCAGCACGGTGCGCCTCCGGGGACGATCACTATTCTCATCTCCGGGTTGGCGAGACCTGCGATCCTTCCCTGTTAGAAGACCTCGACCGCATTACCTGCCCGGACGAGTACAAACTCGGTGGACTACGTATGCTCGGGCTCTTGGACTCGAGGATTGGTGTCTAGCAAGGAGCGGCTGAAGAGACAGAGGATGGCGTGTGGACAAAGAAAGAAAGAAACCCGACATCCACCGTAGGTCGCTATACGAACCGCACTGCTGTAAGTATCTGTACGAAGTGTGTTGCTAGGTGAATATGTATTGTAGATACTATTCGGCTGTCATAGACTGCTTCTACAAACGCTACGATGCTTACCGGATGCTAAAATATAGACAACTTGAGCCGCTCTCACCTGCGTCCATCCCGGACGGTGTCGGGGATAAAGCTGCAGCCCAACAACTCCCCGCCGTCAATGCCGGCATCAATCAACTGCTTTGGGGGACGCCAAAACACTCCGCTCGATGGAGTAGAGTATGGTATAAAGTGTTCAGGAGGAAGGCAAAAAAAAGACAACTGGGTAGTCCGCGCCCACAAATGCAACACTTCCTTCGAGCAGCTACTAGGCCTCGAAGACCCACCGCCGTTTTTTTGCGGTTTTCGGGGACTCCCATCTCGAGCCTCGGGATTCAGAGCCCCGCTCGTTTTCTCATGTTTCGAGGGCAACCCAGTAGCCCGTGTTCATCACATCGAATCTCCGCGACCTGCTGGCCGCCCGTCCGACGACATCAACTCCGCCCAACGCCCCCGCTAAGTATGGAGCGGCCATGAATTTTTAAGGACAAAAAAGCAAAAATAGAAAGACCGTATGTCATCTCGACACGAGATCCTAGAAGAGACGAGTGTCCTCGACGTTAGCCGAACCCTCCCCTCGTCCCCTTTTCCTAACCTAGCCACCTTCGGCCATCTTAGATCGGCCCCTTATATGCGCCGTACGCGCCGGGCCGTACGTGGTCTTCCTCGGTGCGCGCCTCGTAGCGCGGGGGGAGGTCTTGGTTGTGAAGCTCGAGTTGGGCCGCCGGTGCGTCGAGTTCACCTGTCAGAGCGTCACCGTGGATCTCTGCCGGCTGGTACTCGCCGTGCAGCTCGTAGAAGACGTGGTCGGCCCGCGCCGCGGACAGCGGGCTATCGGGCGTGCCACCGCCGGCGTCGGGTGCCTTCTTCTCTGTGGCCACAGCGGCAGCGGCGGCAGCGACTTCATCGCTGCGCCGCTGTGCTCGTCGACGCCGCCACACTAGGAACGCCGCTATCCCTACGAACCCGATCACTGCCGCCGCGACCCCGATACTGAGGCCCACGATCGCCCCCGTCGATAACCCCGAGGCACTACTGTTGCTGGCGACGGCGGCCGCGTCCGACGATGTCGCTGCCGCTGCGGGTCCGCCCGCCGCGGTGAACGTTCCGGTTGGTTGCGTGGGGGCATCTGGATCGTGGAGGTAGGGTCAGCAATCCTGCGCTTATTCTTCATCCCGCGCTTACTTGCGAGGTAAGAGTGTGGCGGGGAGGGAAGAGGGAGGTGAGGTGTGGAACATACTCATATGGTTGCAGTCGTACCGCATAACGCAGTTCTTGTCATCGCGGCTGTAGAGCAAGGTGGGTTCCATCTGCCAACAGGTGAAGTTGCCGTAGCCGTTGTTGCCTGTGCCGGCGTAGGCACCCGCGGTGCTGGCGGGCCGGAGGGTGGAGATAAAGGAGACGCCAGTGTTGCTAAAGTAGGCCACCGTCGTCTTGTTCGCCCAGTCGAGGTGCTGGTCGCTCGTCACCTGCGAGATGTCGTCCGGCGTGTCGTCCGGCGCCCCCGTGTAGTACGCCACCTCGGACGACAACTGGCTGCTGTCCGAGATCCCCGTGCAGTCTGCTAGCACCACGTCTGTGATGGATACGGGTTAGCGACATCTCGCCCGATGGAAAGCGCACTTTTCAGAAGCCGTATGAGTTTTAGGCAGATTTTGGGCGGATAGACTTGGGCGGAGGATTTTGCAATACAGTCGCGTGATCTGATGATGATCGCGGCCATTGTCGCGAAAAGCTACCGGGAATCTCTTACTTTCGATGTTTGCTCGTGGCTGTTGTCGATGCCGTGAAGAGCTTGTGCTAAGTGCCATACTACTGGAAGAAGCATACGCAACCGCCAGCAGGCCCTGAAGGAGGTACCGCATCTTGATTGTCGAGGTGGTATTGGCCGTGACTGAGGGGCTGATATTACGCTATGATCGGAATTATCACTCGAGGATGGTGGTGATGACGACGGCAACGACGACGATGATGCTGCTTCGACCGGGAACTTCGTCAGCACACGAAGGGCACTGAGCGCAGCCGAGACACTCAAAGTTACTCCCAAGTTAGATATGGGGATCTGAGCGGTGGGAGACGAGGACAAGTTTATCCCAGACAGTATACAGTCGTCGAAGGATGTGGAAGGCCTAGGCAATGCCTAGCGGAGGTCTCCAGGGGTGGCAGGAGATATCTCCAGAGATAGACGCCGAGAGCTGAGTTGTGCCCTGGTTAACCGCTGATCCGTGCTTACATCAGACTATCTCTACAACTTCTAGAACGAAGGTATCCAGATGGCCATTCGCTGAACCAGATAATGCGACCTCAGCACTAGTCCGCGTTGGCCGTTCGATACTACACGAGCTTTTAGACAACCCTCCATCGTGGCCGGGGGCCTGGTCGTTGCGATGATTCAAGCAATCATTCGCGAGGTCGGTGGCAGGCCGCCCCCTCAGCGGGCTATGCTTCCCAGCTTCCGCATCTTATTCTTTGAATAAGCCAGGCCGCCAGGCTATGCCCTAGCACGAATCTGTCTTGAGAGGAACATGGCGTGAGGAGCATGTTTATGCATCACATACCGCCTTTCTATGCCGGGTAGCAGGATCCCGCGCCGCTATCTCGTCCCTGGATACAACTGGTACGTGAAAGAGCGAATCTGAAAGGCCAAGGGAACGAGCATCTGGGACGAGATCGGCCAGAATTTACCAATGGGACAGGCATGCCCGCCCGCCTTTCGCGCAGACCACCAATGGCCAACAGCCACCGATTCCCAACTGGGGGCCACCTCCACGTCGAGTGGTAGGGCAGACTGGACCGGCGAATCCTACCCATTCCGGGATTGGCGTCGCCAGGCCTTCATTGCCCCCGCCATGTAGTACGTGCTGTCGGTTGGGGATGCTCGAACCGTCGCATCGGAAACACTGGACTCGTTGCAACTACAGGGTGTTCGCGTTGCAAGTTGTATGTGAGCGCTGCCGCCACTCAGCACGAAGAGAGAGAGACCTCCCACCATCTACTGCATACCTACCTATGCGAAAAAGACCCCTCATAGTGAACTTGGCGTTGGGTGTCGGGAGGCTAAGGGGGAAAGGGGAACGAGAAGGGTAACGAGAAGGGAGGGGGTTGGGAGGAGCCGATTTGATCACTCTCAAGAATGTGGGACAAAAAGAAAAGAAGAGAGAAGGACGGGGGAAAAAAAGAAGGGAAAAAAGAAGGGAAAAAAGAGAGAAAAACACAAATAGAGCTACGCGCTTCCGATCCAGTCCGTCTCTCAGCTGCTTGGCGAGAAAAACACGGGTGGTGGTATATAGGGCGGCCGTGCGGTCTCTCAGTGTACCAGACCAACGCGAACAGGTCAGAAACACATAAATATAGGTAATACTTGAGTACGTCTTTATATGGATATAAATAGTTATGTATGTATATCTTAGATTAGGGAGCGTTTCGCGTTTCGCGTAAACTCGTGTCTCTGTCCCGAATCCCTGACCCCTTCTATAGTATGCAAGACATATACACATATATAGGCGACACACCCAGACATAACACGTCGCCAGGACCCGAGAGCGCCATGTTAACCCTGAGATCCCGCGTATGCACCATGTGCCGCATGCGCCCTGCCGATCCTAACTCCAATGAGTTACTAGCTAATAGGTAGGGAACGCACCGATTGTTTCTCGTCTCCTCTCAAGTGACTCGGTTGGCGACCGCGGTGTAGGTCTTGAGCGACTTGAGCGCGTCCTGGTACTCCCGCTCCACGACCCGGACGTGCTGCTGCGAGCGCGGCGTTATCGAGCACTCGAACGGCAGCGGGCTGGAGTTGAAGCCGTCGGAGAAGGCGAATCTGCGCGAGACAAGCGTCGATTAGCAAGGCGTGGGGGGGGAGATAGGGACGCGCGAGGGCTTACATGTCGACGTCGACGTCCTTCCCGCTCGCGTCCTTAGCCGGCGCGACGTCGAACCCCCAGAGGATGCGCGCGATGTTCAGCTCCACCGAGGCGCTCCCCAGATGCATGCCCGGGCAGATGCGGCGGCCCCAGCCGAAGGCGCTGTGGCCGAAGGTGCCCGGGTACTGGCGCGGCTCCGTGAAGCGCTCCGGGCGAAACTCGTGCGGCTCGGGGAAGTCGGACTCGTTGAGGTGGACTGCGAAGCGGGCGTGTGCGTGTCAGAGCAGGGCGTAGGAAAGATACCTCCGGGGAGCGGGGGATAATGCAGGGAACTGGCTGCAAAACAAAAAAAAACTTACTGCTCCAGAGCGGCGCGATGATAGTGCTCCCCTTGGGGATGAACATCCCCTTGTATACGTCGTCGGCCGTGCTCGCGTGCGGCGTGCCGCCGAGCACGGCGATGGGCCTCCAGCGGAGCGTCTCCGAGGCGACGGCCTTGACGTACGGCATGAGAGGCAGGTCCTCGAAGGTAGGGAGCCGGTCTCTCCCGACGACGCGGTCGAGCTCGGCCTGGGCCTGGGGGATGAAGCGGGGGCCGAACCTGACGCACGCGAGGAGGAAGCTGGCAATCGAGCCGGACGACTGTTCGCGCGACACGTCAGTCAGCAGGGGAGGGGGGGGCGTTGGGGAGCCTGGTTAATCACTAAACGTACCGTCTCTACGCCGGCGCCGAACGGAGACCCGGCGGCGTAGGCAACCTCGAGATCGGGGATGCCCAGCTTGGCCTGCTCGTCGAGGCAGTGCTTCGCGAAACACTCGGGCAGCGTCCCCTTGGCCCGCCGCTCCCGCACCTCGTCCATGAGCTCCGTGTACAGCTGGATGTCCTTCTGCTTCTGCCGCAGCACCTCGGCCTTCCACGGCGCGAAGATGCTCGGGATGTACTTGAGCGCCGGGTAGCGCTCCACGGCGTACTTGCCGGGAATGCTGACGAGGGACGTTTAGAGAGGCAATGCGAATGTACGAAGAGGGGTGGAGAGAGGAGGGGGAATGGAGGGGAGGGCCAGGGGAGATGTGTACTCACTTAACCTGCGTCAGACGGTCCATCGACTCGGCATTGCGCCGCACGACGATGTCGGTTTCCACGTCCTCGACGCGTCGACCGTAGGTGACCACGACGATGACGGAAGCGGCGTAGCGCTCGAGATGCGTCCTGAACCGGGCAGGGCTCTGGACCAGGTCGTGCATGAGGACCTTGGACTCGAGGCTCTGGATGGGGCGGTAGGTCTCGCTCTGGCGCTGCATGAAGCCGCTGTGCAGGAGCTTGCGCCAGCGGCGCCAGAAGGGCGCGTAGGGCGCCATGAGGCCGCGCATGCCGCCGGACAGGAGCTCGCCGCCGACGATGAAGCGCGGCCGCGACGAGAACTTGGCCCCGCGCTTCTCCAGCAGGTCCCACGCCGCCTGCGCCGACCCCAGCACGATCGTCGGCGTCGGCCCCATCTGCAGGTACACCACGTCGCCGTACTGCTGGTTCAGCTCCCGGAACCAGATCCACGGCTTCGAGATGCCGGACTTGATCGCCTTGGGCCCCGGCGGCAGCCCCGAGCGGTGCGCGTGGAGTTTCCATTCTTGCATCAGCTGCGCTCGCCGGGTTAGTCGAGCTGCGCCCTTCCGCGCCTCCTCCTCTCTGCCGTCGCGGCGAGCGAGTTGGGTAGGTTGTTAGGGGTAGGGATAGGATAGCTTACCCTCGGGAACACCAACCCCAGATAGGAGAGGGCCACGGCGAAGCCTACGCTCGCCAGGATTGTGCTGATCATCGCGACGGTAGACAACTTGAGTGATCAAGCGAAGGGGTGTCGAATATGCATCGCAAAGGCGTTACAGGGGAGGGGGGGGGGGCAGGAAAGAGGCAATTATGCAGTCAGACCTCCCGTCGGTTGGAACTCTCTAAGAAATAGAAACCAAGGATAGTCGACACTCGGGGAGTGGTAGCTGTGCTGTGGCCAAACTGCCGATCTTGGCGAGGAGGCCCCATGTGGATATCTCATAACCCCCGGATCGGTATCCATATGGTGTCTGATGCGGAGTAGCACGTTTTTGGCACATGGGGCCGGCCTTTTTGTCTTCGCTAACACGACCCTGATCAAGCTACGGTGGTTAAGTGGATGATGGTCTGATGGGCCCTATCAACTGGAGGACATTAATGTACACCATCATTGTCAGGTCTGGGGCATACTCATAGGTCGATGCAAGTGTCCCAGGCTTGAGAGCTGCCCACGGGGAAGAAGAGAGGGGTGGAGAGACCTCGCTAGTTATCCTGGTCTCTCCTTTTCTTCCCCACGCCCCTCCCCACCCCCCCTTTCCCCCATCACTCTCCCTCTCTCTCTCTGCCCTCCGTCTCTCGCTCGGAGATTCTCTTCCTACTCCCCTCGGGATCTCGTCCTTAACCCCGAACACGCCCTGCTCTGGGCATGCCGACGCGCCCGCATGGGCCCCGACGACTACCTAGCGTGCAATAAGACATCCCGCTTCGCGTTTTGGGGTCATTTGGAGAAAATTTTCTGATCGCGGCTTCGGAGAGGAGGGGGGGATGGCTAGCTAGCAGAGAGAGGGCTGAAGGCTGACGAACACGGCTCCAAAGGGGGCGATCCAACCCGTGTCCGAACAGGAATGCCTGCGTATGCCCCGGCCCTTGGTTGTCCCGCAGGCCCCGGCGTCGCAGCCGCGTGCCTGGTCGTCGGGTGCTGACCCCAGTTTGTCTGGAGGTCTGGAGGCTGCTTCGTCGTGATGTCGCGGCGATACTTAAACCCAGCGAGTCTGGCCTCCCCCCTCGGGCTCCTTTGGCCAGGGATTCTCCATACTTCTCCGCACTTTTGCCCTCTGTCCTGTTACCTTGGCAAAGACAACTACCAACCATGCAGGGCAGGCTGTCGCTGAGCAAGCCGTTCTTGACCTCCCTATTCCTCGGGATAGGCGGGTTCCTCTATGGCTTGTAGGTGTTTTTTGCCTTGGTGCCGTATGATATTCTTGAGGGTTAGCTGACACGAACGATCTCAGTGATTCGGGCATCATTACGCCGACTCTGGCGCTCAAGAACTTCTTGGATTACTTCAACAGGCCCGATGCGCCTACGCGAGGCGCCATCGTATCCGTTTTCCAGGCAGGAGGTGCTTACCGATGTTCCTTTATTGGATTTTTTTAATGTCATTATATATGCTTACTTGACGGTTCAGCATGGCTTGGTAGCGCCTTGGTTGGCGTCACTAGTGACAAGTTCGGTCGACGGAAGGCGATTGCATTCGGATGTGTCTTTGGGGCCATCGGAGGAGCCCTCATGGCCGGTGCGGCTCATGTTGCTATGTGTAGGGATTCCCCGAAGGTGGCAGATTCTATGTCGCGTTTCTGACCATACTTCCAGTGATTCTCGGCCGTCTCTGTGTCGGCTTTGCCGTTGGAACTATTACCGGAGTGGCTCCTGTTTTCGGCGCTGAGATTGCGAAGGTGAGGGCATCCCCGGCCAGCGCGCGAGTGGAAGAGACTAACGGTGCGGTGGGCGGTAGACACACGAACGCGCAAAGATAACGGCAGCGAACCAAATGAGTAAGCATTACCTGCTCCCGCGAACTTGAGATGACACGTATGAGCATACTGATTGGATGTGTATTAAAGTGGTCGCTTGGGGATTCTTCGTCGCGCTATGGACGGGGGTAGGCGAAGGTCGATGGGATAATGTCAACCAATGGAGACTCGGCTTCGCGATTCAGGGAATCCCGGCGATCGTGCTCGGCGTAGGTGTGCTGTTCATTGGCGAATCTCCGCGCTGGCTTTGCTTGAAGGGCCGTCACGAAGAGGCTATGGCAGCCTTTCGAAACTACCACTACGACGGGACTAACGAGGAGTGGTGCGATTCCGAATTCGGCATCATCCAGGCCAACATCGCCGAAGAGAAGAGGGTTCAGGGCCGCCTCTCGTGGGCCGATCTTGTCAAGACTCCGCCGTTCCGGAAGCGCCTTTTCGTCGGATCCTTCGTCTGGGCTGCCGCCATGTTGTCGGGCATATCGTTCGTGCAGTACTACCAGACGGCCATCTATGCGACTCTCCAGTTCGACCAGAATGAGCAGTTGCTCGTCAGCGGCCTCTACGGCACCGTTGCCCCCGTCGCGTGTCTGGCGTCTCTCTTCTTCGTCGATCGCGTCGGCCGGAAGAAGATCCTCGTGGGAAGCTCTGCGCTACTGTTGGTTTGCTACATGATCATTACCATCATTGCTGCGGTCTATCCCGCAACGCCAGGTGTTCCTACGAATGTTGCTGCACAGCGAGGTCTCATCGCTTGCATTTTCGCTGTTTCGGCTAACTACTCGGCTCTGCTGGGCCCCATGACCTGGATTATCCCGTAGGTCCCTCCCTCGTCTATGCTACCCTCCGCTATCCTCTGCTAACCCGATTTTCCCAGCCCGGAGGTCTTCACTACAGAGCTGAGGGCCAAGGCGAATGCCGTCGTCCAGGTCATCCACTATTCCATCAGCTTGGTCATCACGCAATGCTCACCCATCGCACTGGCAGCCGTGGGCTGGAAATATTATGTATGTTGGGCTCTTCGCTTTTACGGCGCAACCGTGTTAATATAATCCTGCAGATCCTGTTTATCCTCACCAACGCACTCTGCACATTCGTATTTGCGTTCGCCTATCCGGAGACCAAGGGTAAGCACAGATATGTCTCTAGCTAATAAGATGCCAGATAACGGCTAACATTGCGTAGGCAAATCTTTGGAAGAAATAGACGAGCTCTTCGGCGACGTCAAGGTCGTCCACGAGACAGCGAGAAAGATGTCCGTCGATGAGGAGCACGCAGTGGATGCCTTGGAAGTTCACGCCGAGAAGTCCAGCACTCATACCAGATAATCGCCAAGTTATACATCACATTCATGGGTGTTGCACACTATTGATGGCCTTCAAAGATGCATAAACGAGCGTCTGCCCAGACTTATATACGAGCGACATACATGTAGAATAAACAAGACGTTAATATGAAACCCGAACATGACGCTAGTGTGTACGGCTCTGGGACCGCGGTCCCTCCGTCCCGCCTCTCTACGCCCGGTCTTAAAAAACGGGAAAACGGAGTGTAGTATTGGTCGATCGTATCCCCCCCCTCATATTACCACCCAAGGGAAATGAACGCGGAGAACGAGGCGTGTACTAGACGGATGCTTTGTTATGAGCATATCTCCTTGGACGGCTACCCAGCTAAGCCATCGATTCTAGTTCCCAGATCCGGCGAGCTTCGCAATCTCCCGTGCCGAAATGTACTTCCCAGGATTACTCTGCGTGATCTCTGCTAGTTGCCTTGCCTTCTTTCTCATCTTCAGGCTGTCGTCGCCGCCGTCTGCCGCCTTTAGAATAGCATCGCGCAGGCATTCAGATGTCCACTTCGGGCTCGTCTTCCGGCAGCCCCATACGCCGATGCCGACGTTCTCGGAAAGCTGGGCGAAGTTATACAGGTCCAGCCACTGCGGCAGGATTACGTGAGGGACGCCGGCACTATTTACGCGAGTTAGCTACGGCTTCGATAACCGAGGAAGGGGGTAGGGAGCTGTGATTAACGTCGAGAAGATATATAAGGCATGGTTTACTTGGCATCGACGTCGGCCAGTCTAGGGGACAGGGGAGCAAGGCGGATTCCGGATGCCATACCTTAACGCCTCGTGGTAGCAACCCGAGCCGCCGTGGTGGACCGAGGTGACGATATGTCCCGACTCCAAGAGCGCGGTCGGGTCAACCGATACCCAAGTCACTATCTTGACGCGGTTATTATCAATGAACGGCTGCAGTGGTTTTTTGAAATCGTCGCTGTAGATGGTTTTGTCGTCTCTCCCAACAGCGTCTGTTAACTTTCGAAACTTCCAAATGACCTGCACTTGTGTCGAGCTGAGCACTTCCGCAAGGGCCTTGGCCATCATCGCAGCTTGCTCTTCCGTGTACGTAAAGGCGGAGCCGAGGTTGATAAGTACGGTGGGCGCCCGAGCGAGCCAGGCAGCCAGGACTGGATCTTGCTCTGCCGCCGACCCCAGAGACAGCGTCATGGGCCCCGTACAGGTTACGTTGGGCGGGATCACGTCCACGGGTATAGAGGCTCCCGGCAGGGTTTGCGTTATCCACGGCGCGTCTGGGCTGCGTATCCCGAAGAATTCTATCGGGTTTTCGATACCCTTGGATCTGAGAAAAGCCTGCTTCGATTTTATGTCGGGCATAAGTATCATCGAATACATGTACCGGGTGTTGAGGTAGATATTTTCAATCAGTCTGCTCCACGGAACAGGGAATGGAATGCCCGAACCCAAACTTGTACGCATATTGTCAGCGAGAGGACGAGCATGAGCGAACGAATACCACCTCGTCCGAGATTGCGTTGTAGCTAGTATTGCAGCGGCTACACTCCCCTAGGCACTAATATGCCCTGATGAGGTTCCAGAGACTCTCCCCAGGAGTGTAGTGTAGCAAGCCCCTATCCCTTCTGATGCTTTGGAGATTAAATGTCAAAACGGTATGCTGTCCTTGCCTTTAAACATTGCCAGAGCCTCCCGGTAAAGTTACTCGGGGAATCGGGCGGTATGTGGGCTAGTCGCAACACAATCCCAGACGAAGCGGTCTTCAAAGCTCAACAGCGAATGGGGTTCCGAGGAGAGACTTACGCGGGATATTTCCAAATCATGGGGGCCCAAGGTTGGTCGGCCTGGAAGCTATCAATAAGCGTGTTGGGCGAAATGACGGCGTGCAACCGATTGAGGTCTCGGGTAGCGTCGACAGCAGGACGGAACATGCTGTCCAGCACCACAACGGCAGGATCCACGTCTCTTATAATCCTTTGCAACTTCTCGTAAATATCAAGAAATGTTTCGGCTGTCCAAGGGGCGAGATAAGACTGTATGTCTCTACACACGGCGCCGATCCCCGCAAAACCAGGTGGATGTTTGATTTCAGAGGCTATCTTCCCTGTAGCCGAAATGGCTTCGAAGTAAGTTATGGCGTCCACCAGGTGAAATTTGATTTCGTTCGAGTTGAAAGTCTTCTTGGCATACGAGGAAATACGTTGGACCTTAGGAGCTAGCGGTGCGAAGGAGGCGAAGTGCACCTGGATGTGTGGGTGTCGTTCCAACAGCGCCTGAGCGGTGGCAGCGTGAACATTGGAGAGACCGGGCTCGCTATTGACTAGAAACAGAGCGGTGTTGTTTTTGCCAATGATTGGGGGTGGCCTCTCGGAGGGAGAGCGCGATGCCGTCCCCAGGAGCAGCGCTACTCCCACGATAAATATCGAGCCGGCGAACAACAACAGCCTCTGCCCCATGGCAGCGAAGTATTGCTAACGTCGAAGGTGAAAAGAGGAGAAATACGGGTTGTGTGGTAATAGATCGGATATCAATGCAGCCCGCCAGACTTGGGGTCTCGGGATAGTTCATGCTATAAGGAAAGGTATATCACCGCCTATTATGATTAGGGGGCACATGGCTTACAAGAGGAGAGTAGAGACAGAAGGACGCCGTCTGGTGTCGGCCACTCGGGGATATTTATTCCCAGGAACTTACTATCATAAAAATAAGGCCTCGTAAATGCGATCTAAAGACCTGCTGCCAGCGTGTGCGTGCTCGTTAATAGCAGCAGAGGTAGTGTAACAATGTCGGTTCTTACCGAGGACAGACAATCAAGGCGTTGCGTTGCAGTGCATGGTTAGGCATCAGTATATGACAAGGACGTAACGAGGAACCAGCGTAGCTCTAATACACCCCCCTCTAACCGTGGAAAGTAGATAGTATTAGACTGCAGGACCGTTTCACACTCTTGTTTCTCCTACCTGTGGGATAGATTCGAAGCCCACGGGACCCTACAAGACTGCCGTATAATAGAGGTCATAGTAACGCTCTGCAGCTAAATATCTGTGGCGTGGGTATTACGGCTGGGAAATCCGGGTGCATCGACTTGATTTACCTATGACTGGAGGAAGAATGCTGCCTGGTTGAAAATAGCGCATGCGTGGATATGCTAATGTATGTCGCAGATTGCATCCTGACTCACCTCCGCCCCTATCGTCTGGCCGGAGGGCCGATGAACTCGGTGCAATCCCTTGAAGTTGCACAGACCGGCACAACTTGGTTCTTAAGCGCTAATATTCAACTTCAGACGCGACGGTATCTACCGGGCAGAATGCTGCTGACAGGGGTTCTACTGCCGGTCGGTAGTGGAAACAGCATTGGACCTAGAGTCTTTGATGCTATCTTGCACCGCTCCCTCAACGAGTTGCTATTCCTAAGATTCTATCAACTAGATCACTCTCGGCAGTGCTCCAAACATGTGAAAATTTCGGAAATATCTAACCGGTTTATGCCTCTCCAATATCGGATCCGAAGATCGGCTACTCTTATGAACATGATTCTGTCCAAACGTTGGGGGAGGGGGCCCGGGTTAGGATGCGGCCCCTCCCTTTCTGACCACCCTCTCCCTCCCTCTCTCCACACTGCGCTTGTTTCAACGATGCAGGCCGTCACATAACGTAGCATTTTTTTCCCTTATACGTTACTGCGTAGTAGATAAATCCTCGTAGAATTCTGAGGTAATTATTACACATCCCTGTTGCGTTGGGCACAACGCAAGCGACGGTGTAGTATTGTAGTATTGGCACACCCACTTGACTTACACCAACCACACTTGAAGAAACAGATGAGGGGGGTTGGATGTTCAACACGGCCTGTGCACAAGCTTAAGAGATTGAAGAATGGCTAGTTAAACAGGAAGTCGATTTATCTCGTCGAGCTTTTTGCACGTGGAGATATCTCATGGTGCCGCCAACTGCCTACCCAACTTTCCCATGCCAAGAACCTGTTTCTTTCACATTCCAAGTAGGTACCTAGGTATTATATGAAGACTTTTCATCCCTACCAGCTAGCACATAATTCACAGTAGGTATATATAAGAATCCAACAGAAAGTTCCGTGTATCTGATTTTCTTGCTAAAAGGCGTCTGTTTCCGGGTTGGCGGTAGGCCGATGGCCTTGCCCCGAATCTGGCCCACGACTGAGGCATACCTAGGGAAAGTGGTTAAGGGCAAGGGGCCAAAACCGACCTGACTCCGATGGGCTACTCCAGATCCTCACCTCGCAAGGCTCTCCACCACCGTGATTGCCTCACGAGCTCGCCCTCCTCGCCGCCGACGATGAACCACCACTTCTGGAGATACCACTCCTTCGCCTCCCAGCTCCTCACATCCCACGGTGTCCCCGTCCCCACCCCAGTCGTCCCCCCGCGGCTACGTGCCGCACCACCCCAGCAGATCAAGCCGTTGATAGAATCGTAGAAGAATTCGTCCTCGTCGATGCTCCCGATGCTCCTGATCAGATTGGCCCGCACGCTGGGGAACGGCAGGATGTCGATGTAAGGATGGTGGCTGACGGTGATCTGCTCGCTGCACGGACGCAGGTCGGGCTTGAGGGTCCGGAAGATGCCCTGCACGGACTGCACGAGGCTGCTGCTCGGGTCGGCGCCGTAGTCGGCGTCGCGGAAGAACGGCGACACCGAGTCGTCCGAGTAGCACATGTCGACCGAGATGCCGATTGCTAGGCAGTTCCGTCGCATCGCCTCCAAGCTGCAGAGCTTGTCTACGCGGAGCATGTTGGCGTAGGGGTCAGAAAAGAAGTTGACTGTTTCCAATGTTCGGCTCGCAGGACCGCCACGCACGCCCGCTAGGTCTGCCGCTGTCGGGGTCGGGATGTGCGGCACCTCGCATCCGCAGTCAAAGAACCGGATGCTCCAAATTTCGCTGGCGAAGCCGTCGTTGGTAATGTCGGGAGCGTGCCACCGCCATGTGGATGCTAACCCGGGCCCTACAGTCTCATGGCCATGGTCACCTGAGGTGGTTGTAGTGGGGGGCCCCGAGCGGCTATCCGTGTGAGGTACGACATCGCCGCTGGTATTATGCCCTGGCAAGGGATGGGGTGGCGGTTCTACTGACTGGCAGATCATGTCTTGCCATGGCTCGTGGCTGTGAGCGTCCTGGCGGTGTCTCGAGCCCACATCAGACGCAGAAGCGATGGCACTAGCTAGGTTCTCGAGCTCGAGGATACGCTGCCGCCGTTTTTGCCCTTTCTCCATCAATACCGGGCGCGGGAGAGCAGCAAGAGCAGCAAGGACGAGGACTGCTCACTATATTTCTGCTGTGCCCTTTGGTTCTGCTGCCGCCTCTTCTCCGGATCCCGACGGGCTTCCTTGGCCTTCGACTTTCCCCGTTCGGGTTTCCTGCCGGCAGAGCCTGCATCATCGGTTGTCGGCTGTGGCTCGATACTTGACTGACGCATTCCGTACCGCTGGTATGAAATTGCGAGATACTGGCTGACGTCCGCCGCGAAACCCGAAGCCAGAAAACAAGGAGGGTTTATATCGTTTAGCGGCCAGCTCGAGTGGCTGATATCAGCCATAGTCGCTCTAACCCGCATCGGGCAATGGCTTATCCTCGGATGCTGTAAGCATTGTCGTCCCGGCACGTGGCCACCGTCTGTTGACACTTGTCAATACACATAGCCACCTGTCGACATCTGTGACTACGCCGTCTTTCGACACAGCTACTAGGCAACTAATCGGCCGTGGACTGTATATTGTGCCCCTGGAGCTTCTCATCTTCATGGCTGCGCAGGCGAAGAAGAGGGTATCCCTTAATCTTGTCTTGCCGGACCGGCTACCCGCCAGCAAAACACGTGCATATAAATCAGCCTACCCCCCAGGGCGCAAGAAGATAGGTAGGTAAGTAGGTAGGTATACCAACCGAACTCCTGATCGCTCCCACATATCTCCATCAGTACCTAGTTGTCCCATCTGCTCTTCAATAGCAGTTCGTTTACGCCAACCACAAGCCACCATGCGCATCTTCGTCACCGGTGCCTCCGGCTTCATCGGAAAATCGGTCACCAAAGAGCTCCTCGGCGCAGGCCACACCGTCTTAGGCCTCGCTCGCTCCGACGAGGCGGCCGCGGCCCTGACTGCTCTTGGAGCCGACGTTAAGAGGGGTTCCCTCTACGACTTAAACGCCCTCAAGCAGGGGGCTGCTGCGTCTGATGGCGTGATCCACCTGGCGTTTGTTCACGATTTCGCCGACTTCGCCCAGAGCTGTCAAACCGACCAAGAAGCTATCCGGGCTATGGGTGACGTGCTCGCCGGGTCGAGCCGCCCTCTGATAATCACCTCAGCGACTATGGTGCTTCCCCACGGCCGTGTCGGGACAGAAGACGACTCCTACGACCCCTTATGGCCCAAGTCCGCCGCTCGTGGGCAGTCGGAGACGTTGGCCAAGAGTCTGGCTTCCGAGGGGATCCGCACAGCAGTCATGCGGCTCGCACCGGTGAGTCACGGCGACGGTGACCACATGTTTATGCCCGCCCTGATCGCCACGGCGCGTGAGAAAGGCGCCTCGGCCTACGTCGGCGACGGCCTGAACCGCTGGCCTGCGGTCCACTATTTGGACACGGCCGTTGCCTATCGATTGGCTTTAGAAAAGGCCCGCCCCGGCTCCGTATTCCACGTCGTGGCAGAGGATGTCAGGATGAAGGACATTGCGGCAGTTATTGGCGAGAAACTTAGCCTCCCAGTCGAGTCGAAGTCCAAGGAGGAAGCCCAGGCGCACTTTGGTCCGTTTCTCGGCCCCCTTGTTAGTGTGGATAACCCTACCTCGAACAGGAAGACTCGGGAAGTTCTGGACTGGCACCTTCGAGAGCGTACGCTCCTGGCTGATCTTCGAGATGGGAAATACTTCGAGGCGTGATCTATCTGGCAGAAAGGATCCCCAAAAAGAAAAATTCGCATCAATCCCGGACAAGTTATGGTGGCTAGGTTATTATATTTACAGTGTATCATAATCTAGACGTAGTACGAGCGTGAATTACTATTACACTGATTTTGTCCGTTGACCTTGATATGTTGAACGCAGGGCGACTGATATTACCCATTTATTACCGCTTCAAAACTTGATGATTTGGACTGGATGGGAGATCCCGCTCGGCCTATTTACGTGAGTTCCTTACCTTGATCCTAATAGTGCCCGGCACTTTCCTAAGACATGAAGTCTGAGTGCGCATCTAGGATGGACCCGCCGATGATCTCGTATGGCGCCTTGGGATATCTCACGCCAGCACGCGGCCAGTCTCGAGATTCGGCAGGATACTGGCCCCAGATCCACAGGTGGGGGTTTTTACCGCCGATGATACCCCGTTCATCGTCATTCATCAGCCTAACCGGCTTGCCATCTACGTCGTTGTCCTCGCAGATGAGGTACAGATGGCCTTGCAGGTTACAGATATCCTGGGATGACCCCATCCGTATGGTGATGTGAAAGTCATCGTGGCACATGATTCTGGCGTCGTTGGTTCGCCCAATCGTGCTGAAAGAATGTACTCTGGACCTGTGAGGAAAGTTAGCAACTCTGTCTCTCAACAAATCGTGATAGGTTACTTACATGATCCATGCGTGCGAGAGGCCGCATTCCGTTGTTAGTTTCTTAACCAGGGCCTCAACAGCTCGAAAATATGCCTCGCTCCTCTCGCGATTAAAATAGAGCCATATTACCTATAAAACCGAAATGTCAGCCACGAGTATGCACAATCTTGCTTGGATAAGGGTAACTTACCTTTGGGTCTTTCACAGTCCCGGAACCGCGGGTTCTCTTCGACCTTTTAATCCGGCCCTGAACTTCGGGATCATGTCTCCCACCTCCCCCAAGCCTCATTCCCCTAACCCAAATGACATCGCGGCTTTTGGAATTTCGGCCAGGCATCGTACGTTTAAGACTACGGGACAGGTGGTTTCTCTAGACTGTCTTGGTGTTTGTTCGCCGCTATATTAGCAATATAATGATTTAAATTTCGAATACCTTCTCTTCGATCCTCAGTATATATGATGGGTTCTCCAACAACAATTATACAGTTCTACAACACAAAGGACCCATTGTGTTCTATTAAAAGATAATCCAACAATCCCCTTGAAGAATAAAGCAAGTCATCTTTATAATCAGGTGAACGTAGACAAAGCCAATTGCTCAATGGGTCAAAGGATTTCCCCTGTCTTGTACGAACCAAAATCCCCAAAGCATGCTGCGTTTTCTAGTATCAGCTCTTCTTTAAATCGGATAACGAAATGACTGGTCATAAAGCCAAAAAAAAAAGGTATTATTAGATGTCACGTAGCTAGTTACAAGCAACGTGTTGGTAGACGGGTTGCGCGTGGGGCAAGTGGGCAAGTGGGTGATGTTAGGAACGAGGTAAACTTGATTACCTATCTAGTGAAAAGGAATAGATGAGAATATGGAGATAGTTAGCTTGGATATATATCTGACCTGCGTTGCGTATGTTATACGTCCCGTTGCTGTCCCTGTAAGAGGAGCTCTTGGCCAGTGAGCCACCCGAGGCGTAGGTATACGTAACGCAAGAACAACGTAAGAACATCTAGCTCCTCAAACCTGCCCAGAGCTCACCTTTTCGAGAGGGGTTTACCGTTCGTTGCTAGTCTCCACCAGAGACGACACAGCCACATATTTCTAGGGACGAGATGCGTAATACCGCCCTGTTGCCTAGTTCGGGCAGCGCCGGGGTTGTCAACACGTAAAAGACCTTATTAAAAGGGGAGGACCGATCATAGAGTGCAGATTTCTAAGCGGTGCCCAACACAGCTTCATTACTGAGGCGAATGCGTCAAATGAGGAAACACAGTTGTCTACTTTTTCATTCATAATATTGTCACGGGGAAGCCAGTCTTAGGGTTGACGGAAATATCCATTTATAAACTGCCTTGCCGTTTTTCTTTACATTATTATGTAGGTTGAGATTAGACTCCAAATGTTACAATGGTATCCCAGTAGTATCAACACGGCCCGCCACGTCTACTCCCGGCACCATATCTAGTTGCGTTCCGACATCGTGAGATGCATTCTTGCTAGAAATGCACTAGCTACAACCATACCCGCTATCGCGGACAATGCCACTGCCGTTCCGAGCGAACTACTAGCCATACCGTTGCGGATAGCTCCCGCGATCGTAGTGTTCCCTCGGGTTCCGCTCACCCAGGGATGGGCAAGGATCTCGTCGAATTTGATGCGGTCGTCCGGGTCGTATCTTAACATCCTCCGGAGCAGATCCGCGAATTCGAGCACTTCCTCTCGGGAGTAGCGATACTGGAGAGGTTCTTCGTCTTCGGGCCCATTTGCGCCCCAGTAGATCTTGTCTCTCCCCAGATCCGCCTCGAACGGGTCGGAGTATTCCGTCCCCTGCACCAGCCGTTCTCTCGCCCGCTGGACCTTCTCCGATATCGTGTTCTCTGGCTGGAGATCCTCTTTGCGAGGGCGCTCCCGCTGAGGGGGCTGGGGCTTCGGCCCGTCCGCATCTCGCTTCGATCTCCCCCTGATCTCGGTCATCATCTCTGCGAGCGCCGTCGCGTATGCTCGAGGGAGCATGCCTATGTAAATCTCGACCTCCTTCATCACTGCGCAGCCTCCGCTGGCCAATATCGGGTCGAATAGGGGGGAACCCGTCCGGACCTCGTATATCGTGCATGCCAGGGACCAGATGTCGCAGTTCTCAATCGACACACCAGCTCTGTCAAAGATCAGTTCCGGGGCCGCGTACGCATCCGGAATGCCCGTCGACTTCGGGGGTCTATCGACCAGGAACGCCTCGCCAAAATCCACAACCGCTATCGAAGCTGCAGACATATCCTCGCACCAGGACGTCACCACAGGTGCTACACTATACTCAGGCGCTCTGAGACCGGCCGGTTCTCCGGACTCGGTATTAATCGTGTAACATTGAGGTTCTCCCATCAGCTCATAGATCTGGTCGTCGTTCAGATGATCGAGATCACCCTCGATCTTCATCAGGATATTACCCGGTCTGAAGTCTCCATGGCATATCCCACGGGACCGCATGAAGCTCGAGGCTTTGATGATCTGCCGGCATACGTTTCTGGTGTCTGTGGTGGTCTGCTCCTTGAGGTCGTCCTGCCACTCGCGCCATTCCGAGACCGTCGACCCCAGTATCGGCATCACCAGGCATAAGTGACGGCCGTTGGGGCCGTCGAGCCAGAATTGGTCCAGGGGCATCGCGATGTGGTTTTGCTCGAGTTCCTCGGGGGTGCACCGGGCACGGAGGTGGTCGATCATCCTCTGCTCATTGCCTCGCGATGAATAATCAGCTGTCAGTATCTTGACCGCCCTCCATTTGCCGAGGGTTATATCGCGGCAGAGCCAGACGATCCCGCACCCGCCATTTCCAAGCTTGTGGACCACCCTGAACCGCACGTCGATGATGTCGTCGAGATGGACGGGATGGTGTCCGCCCGGGTTGTACAGCTGAATGTTCTCAAGTCTGTCATCAAAAGGTATGTACTCGTACTCGATTTTGTCTCCAGATGCGAGCGGCGAGCTGTCCCACGTCTTGGAGAATGGGGAAGTTAACTCCATCTTGCTAGCCGTATTATCTGATCTTGTCTGGCAAGAAGTCCGTGTCTAAGTTCTCAGCAAGCAAGGTGGTGGCGGTGGTATTGTAAGTGATATTGTACTGCACGGTTCTCTGGTTAGGTGCCGAACAGTTGCCGAGGAAGAGAGCCTTTCCGGTTTGCATATTATATACACGGAGCCCTTTATTTCGACATGTTCACTGAAAGAAAGCTGATGGGAGGATTCACTGTCATAACAAAGGACGCGCGTTGCTACATGTCCTAGAAACATTAACCTTCACACAATGCATCTGGGAGTCTCCTTTGTTCCCTAACAAGGTTTGTTATAGTTTCAATATGATGACTACAATCGCTATGTGCGCTTGGCTTATGTTTAGTTAATCGAAGAGTGAATGGTATTATTGGCGACCCTACATGGGGAATTGTTGCGGAGAAAACTGTCAACTCGTAGTCTCGGGCAAAGAAATCGTGAACTTGCCCTAGGCAAGATGAGCAGGGCTACGACATATTGAATATTGCTCGACAGAGTAATCAATAAGTATTTGATGGATATGTGCTCACTTCTGCCCCTGCCTATCGATAGCCGACATGTCTCACGATAGTATCCTTGATACTTCTATGTCCTAATACCTAGGTATTTCTTAGCCCGACCAACCAGCCATGGTAGGAGACTTTGCTCTTTCCAGCTTAAGGAGAGTCGAAAGCGACCGTGGAAATGTAGCCAAATATAACATGACACCTATTCCTCCACGAGTCCGAACTTGGTTGCAATGCTTTGGGTTGCTCAATGCAGTTGAAAATAGCCTTCGGAGGGGACGAGGTGCAACCAGATCACACCAGTCACGGATATGGCTACGTATATTATATGTGCGCAACACATCTGACTTCTATATATAGGAGTGTGGTTTCGCGACTACGTCGATGGTGGCGTGGGTAACGCTGCACCGTGCCAGCGCGATGACATACCTAGGCATTATACGCAATATATTATGCTCACCGATGCGCATAGCCAACCCTAAATGCATCTGTCGTTTTGGCGGGAAAGGTCAATTAAGCTATAGGATAATTCCCTGCCATCGAACACTGAATTCCCCCTTGTAGGCACATGTTAGCGAGGTTGAGCGTCGATTTTGCGGCTGCCGTGGGGTAGGAAATTCGCCATAATATTACTCGTGAGTCGTAGGTAATACCAGTAACTAGTCCTAGAAACTCGCCGCATCCTCGAAAGCAACGTTGCGACGTCGAAATAGCGACAAGCGCACGCCAGTCGACGGCAGCAGCCTACGAGAGAGGGCGCCCAGCACCTGCAGACACAACGGACCGATTTGCACGAGGGAGCTGTCGACCGTCAACTTATAATCGTGGCCAACGCTCGCCGGCGGCGCGGCCCAGGCCCCCGGTGCGACTGTCGTGGCAGAGCCACGGTCGAAAATGAGCAAGCCTCCTCTGTAGATAGCAGAGGCGGGCGTATGCAAGAGCGGACGAATCATGGTGAGGAACGGCGGTACGCGGCGGACGACACTGCGGATAGGTATATCGCGCACCACGGCAGCGCGGCCGCCCCCCCTATGGCCGTGACCCGGGTCGTGGGCGCGTAATACATGCCTACGGGTCGCGAGCGACAATAGCAACGGGGGCCCCGTGTTGGGGAGACAGGGGGGAGGGGAATGCGACGATGGCCTAGGAGACGCGACACGAACCGGGTAGGTATTATGACTGACGATGTGACACCCCAGAACGCCATCCTGACAGTACGATACGACAGCTTAATTTACCGTCGGGTCTGGAATCCAAGCCACCATGTTCCACCGGCCGCCGTCCACGCATGGCAAGTCCCATTCCACCCGACGCCACTCGAGGATCGCTGTCGCAGTCTCTTATGTAAGCTAGGCTCCTTTCCGCCGTGTTCGCAGGACAGTGGCGTGCTGATATTGCAAGGGGGACGCGCTGGCGGGCGAGGGGATTTCGGAGACGAGTGCGACGAGAGGCTACGTGGGCGGGATGTGGAGGTAGGTAATTGGGGAGACTTGAGGTGCGGCTTGCGAACTGGTGTGAATAAGGGGGGTTTAGAGGCAGGGGAAAAGGGGCACTGCTAAATCCCCTTCAGCGCCCAGGTTCTTTCGTCCTCAGTAGGCACGTCATAATCTCCCTCCTGTTGGTACCACCGCACGTCGATGTTGACACTGCATTCCTGATCCGCCCGCATTCCGAAGCCTCTCGATACACTACACGGCCCCTGCTACGCCACCCCAACGACGCCGATGCTGCTGCTGCTACGGCTGCGCGGACCAGTTCACGAGCGCAGTCTCGAGGGAGCTGCCCCGTTAGGCTTCGCTCTGCGTGCCTCGTGGGCCGTCCACGCATGTGTCCGCGGGTTCTATCTCCCTACGTAGTCGTGCAGTCGGGTGCGAAGGTAGCATCTGCCGGGACAAGCCGAGAACCCTTTCCCTGGTTCCCAGCAGGAATCGCTCCGCGTCCTCCCAACACCGGTATCTCGATGCCTCGGGTGACATGCAGCCTATATTGCAGCTGTCCCGGTAACTCATGCCGCAACTAGCCACGATCCTGCGTTCGATAGTCTCCTCGCAGCTGCGAGCCTATTGCGGGAAGAGGTCGGGACGATCTGCATCCATGTCGTGGTTGCATGGGACTATACAATAGTTGAGCACGGTATGTCACCTACCTGATATGTCCTTCGCACTCTAGGGCCTCAAATCTTACCGTCATGTCCCTATAGCCACAGGCATGTTGTCGTGAGACGGCACATCTCAGGTGTGTCTTGGCACAGCGTGTGGCTTCTTCTTCCTCCACCATCAGGCGGTCACCGGTGTCTCTCATCTTCTACATGTAATCAGGCGCGAGATGGCATCACGCCGTAAGTATCGGTCAGGTCGAGTCGGATTTTCGTACGTAAGGGCCGTCGTTGGAGTCCGCCGCCGATGAGATCGCCTTGACACCTCCGCAGAAAGCTGCCGCCATTTGAGATCCAGGGCGAGCGGGAGCCCAGTGATTCGCATATCCCGGCCGTCACATGAGGTTATGCATCGCCGCATGGCGCTCTTCATGTACCTATGGCCCAACTAGTTAGGTGCAAGTCGACGACACGTTAGAAGCGATCATACGTAGGTAGCATTCGGCAATACTACCTACGGGGCGCACGACTATTCCCCCTTCGACAATGGCTTGCTCACCTACATCCCCTCCCCCCTCCCCCGGCGCCGTGGTTTGGCGATGCCCTCACACACGTAGCCGGCGGCGGACAGCGACTCGCAGCGACTCGCGGCCTTGCCGTCGAGTCAGTTGACACGCGCGCGCGACGGCTGGCACGGCGACGACATTGGGATGGAACATTTGGCGCGGCGGCGCACGACGGCGGCGCGACGCTGGCATGCCAGCGACGCCCCGCGCGCCGGATGACCGCGAAGGACGAGAGCTGACCCGCCCGAACGCTCTGCACGCGCGATGCGCCCAACGCGGGGGCGCCACGCGACGTGTGCCCAGCAGCAGCAGCAGCAGCACGCAGCACACGCCCTCCTTATGACCTGTTGGCCGCCGACGCGCAGCAGCGCCAGCGCCCCGCCAGCCGGCGAATCACGACGCCGCCGCCGCCTGATGCATGTCATATTTCCAGCAGCCCCCGGCTCTCCTCCCCCTCCCCCCTCCCCCCCCTTCTTCCCGCCCCACCTCGCTCACCCATCTCATCTCCTAGCTCGTCGCATCGAGAAACCAGAGATGTTGCAGCCCAGGCCGGGAGAGAGCGTGCGCGCGCGAGAGAGAGAGAGAGAGAGCGAGAGAGTCCTATAGTAGATCGGGGCGCGCCCGAAACGCGACATCTCTGAAGCCCGCCTGGTGCTGTGCACGTTAGGCGTACTGTTTCAGATCACACTTCTTGTCGAGCAATAATACCTAACTTGTCTGAATGCTCGTTACGGAGTGTATGAGTATAGCCCGTGCTGGGGGCGGTGGGCAGAGGAATGCAGCGTCGGATCGGGGCCAGCTACAGCTGGCTTGGGAGGGGGAAAATTGTGCGACATTGGTCTCTGCCCTCTCCTCTACGTGCCCTTCCTTGGGCGCTCCTTTTCTTTGTTTTACTGCTGTTTCTTTTTCGTCTTCTGCGTTGTCTCTCTTATTCCTCATCCCCTGACGATCGCGTAGCCGCGTAGTTAGTAGGTATGTTGTATTATTATTATTGCCATCCCTCCCTGTGTCGGAAATCTTCTAGAACGCGCCTCTGCGATGCCCGGCACGACATGCAGCACCCGCTGTCGCCTCCCTTCCCCCCCCCTCCCCTACACCCCTCCACCCCTTTATTGCACCCGATAGCCAGGGCGGAAAATAGCTGCTGCTGCTTGCTACCCGGGGCGGTGGATCGCGTCCGAGAGATCCCGCTTCTCCGGCACAGGCACAGCCCCCCCCCTCCACCCCCCTCTTGCCGCCCTCCATCGAGGGACGGGGGCCAGCGCCATGCAGGCGATGAAGAAGCGCCTCGACGGGCCAAATTAAGAGCAACCCTATAGTCTCACCGTCCCCCGCTTGCCATTCCACTAGCTATGCCGTACGACGGGGATGCTAGGCCCCCTTCGTTCTCTCTCTCGCCTGTCCAACGTCAGCCCGCGACCACGAACACCGCGCACATCATGTCCCTTCTTCCTACGTAGACGTGTTTCTAGGGGCCAAGAGGGGGGGAGGAGGGGGAGGGGGAGAAGGGGGAGGGGGAGAAGGGGGGGGGGGGGCAGGCCTGATCACACAGCTTTTCTCGCCTAGTCACCAGGGCCGTCCGTCACTGAACCTGGTTTTCACAGGAGGCCGACCCTTTTCTGGGGTGTTACCGTCCCCTTGGCAAACCCACCTCAGCAGGCACAGGGACGCGAACGGCCAATGGCACGCGGGATCGGTATTCGTGGCGGAGAATTACACGATACCAGCGAGACGGCATCACCCGTCCAGGACAAGGCTCCGCAGGTCAGCCGTGGTTGGGTCGAGAAATCCGAGGATGCCCATTGCCGAGCGAGCGAAGCTGATAGCGGGCTGCTACCTATGTGGTGTCGTGTGCGGTGCACGGGAGGGAGGAGCAGAGAGAGCCAGCCGATACGTTGACGTAAGGGCGGGATATAATATGCCGTTCTATTGATACGGGTCGGCATCTGCCTCGTGCTACTATATAAGGAAGCACTACTCGACACTATGGCTTGCTAGTGATCTTGTTTACATATTTGTGGTCCTGCCATCTAAGACAGTTATTGGCGTCGGAATTCCGGTGCCCTCCCGCTTAGTTGGTTCATAAGGAGGCCGTCCTCGAGCCCCATCCTCTGGCCTCCCGTCACCTCCTCCTAAGCCAGCCAACATGTCCTTGCTACGCACACTCATCACCTGCTTGAACATAGCCTGTCTCGTGTCGGCCAGCCCGATAGGCGACGTCAGGCATGGACTCGGCTGGCGAGCCGCCAGCAACTTGCAGCACGCACCCGTCACCCGACGCGACGACACAGTACGCTTCCCCGATATCGACGCTTCCTTCGTGGTAGGGTCGAGCGAGAGCAGGCTGGCCGACGGAGGAACTTACCCTCGTCTCGCTCGGCTCGACGACGGCGGCATCCTCGCCATCTCGACGCTATGGGTCAGCGAAACCGAAAGGGCGCTGAAGATCTCGCGGAGTAACGACGAGGGCAGGACCTTTTCTCCGATCGGCGAGGTCGCCAGGGGCACGGGCAACGTCGATAACGGGTTCCTCATCCAGCTACCGTCCGGGACCGTGCTGGCCGCCTTCCGTAACCACGATGTTAGCGACGACGGCATCCTGACGTACTTCCGCATCACCGTCTGCCACAGCCAGGACGGCGGGCGGTCGTGGACCTTCCTGTCGCAGGCGGCCGAGCAGCCCGCGCGGGGGGCCGGCTACAACGGGTTGTGGGAGCCGTTCGTGCGGATCGCTCGAGATGGCAGCATCCAGTTGACGTACTCGGGAGAACTCAGCCAATCCAACCAGGAGACGTTCCGTGTCGTGTCTCGCGACGAAGGGAGGACGTGGACGGCGCCAACCAACCTCAGGCTGCACGCCGAGGACCGGAATTTCCGCGACGGCATGCAGGGCATCGTCTCCGTCCGAGATGTCGAGAGTGACGAGGACGTATTGGTCATGGTGTTTGAGGTCCGGGAGCGCGACTTCTTCTACCTCGCAACCGTGACCTCCCACGACGACGGCAACACCTGGGGCTCTAGAGAGGTCATCTATCGCCCGAATGGGCGCAACGCTGGCGCGCCCCAGATCGCTTCTGTCGGCAATCACCTGGCTGTCGTGTTTATGACGGACGAGGACACCGCTGCTGGTGACATAGCCTGGCCCAACAGAGCCGACATCAAGATGATCTTTTCGACCGAGCTTCGAGACGGAACCCTTACGTGGTCCACGGATTCGGCCTTACTTTCGGACTCAAGTTCTTATTGGCCTGGCATTTTTCAATTGGGAACCGACGATGTTATTGCCGTCTACGAGCGAGCCAACGTGCCTCTTGGCAGGAGGATATCGTCGGCCTGAATAGGAGGGATAGGTCGAGAATAAGCTTAATAGGATAAGAGCGTGGCGGAATTCTCGAAAGACCCACGGGTCGGAGTAACGACTAATACTGAAGATATCCCCTTATTGTTTTTTGTTTAATGTATCCCTAGCACCGTGCAGGGAGATCTCCAGACCTGGATGTATATAAGCTACACCTGACACAGATGGGATGGCACTTAGCATTGCGATTTGGACATTCGGAATCACTTGGACGAAATTGTATCCAGTTGCTCGTCGTTCCTCGTCGTTCATATGGATAGCCTTAAGCTGATCACTCAGTGATGTCTTTACTAATCTTGTATTTGGCGACTCGTATCCGTAGCGTAGGGGTGTCACCATAGCGTGAACAGCGTTGGGTTCCATCCCATCGCTAGCGATTGCAGTTTTAGAGCACGGGCAGTCGCGCCGGCCCTCTTTTTGTGAGATGTCCCCGTGTCGATCCTGGCAGATACCTAGTCTGAACTCGACGCCTAGCCCGATTCTCGGGTCACGTTCGACCCGAGGTAAGAAATGACGGGAGACTTCGAGAGATCTGTCGATATCAGGCGGATTGACGTCGTAGAGGGAGCAGAATTAAGCAGCAATACGCTGTGTGGGCATGGCATACGTTATGAGACAGAGCGGGTTCATTGAGCTGCGTATCTATTTCCTAGTGATATTCTGGTGGAGGAACGGTTATGATCCAACTCATAGTTCATTCGACTCCGCCGCGACATCTACATTTCCGTCAGCATCGTTATGGCCGTCATCCGTACACACGGGTGTATTCTCCTAGAATTTACCGGCGAATTTTCGCACCCACTTCTTCACGAATCTCGCTATCTGCTGCTGGGCGTCCGCTACAGGTGGGGGCGGGAAGTCGGGCGTCGTCTCGTTGGGGAAGACGCCGTTCTCATCCCAGTGGTGGACCGCGTCCTAACGACGCTCGGTTAGCACGTAGCGCTCTTCCTATCGAGTGGGGATTTGGGGGGGTATGCTTACATCGATCAAGATGAAAGGCTCGCTTAGGGTGTTCGGCCTGTCGGGTAGCCCAAGAGCGTGAACACCAGCGGCCCGCCAAGGATCCCACTCGCCATCGATGAATGCGAGCCTGGGGTAGCTGATGTAGAACCCGCCAAGCCTATTGATGTGTTCCACGTTGGCCGGCTCTGTGATGTTGAAGGCAGCTCGGCAGACGATAGACGAGTATTCGACATCGATCGTACGGGAGATCAAAGGTAACTGATCCTCAGGAACACCGCTTCCGGTCTGGAGATAACCCCACCTAGACATGGCATGAGTACGCGCGAAGTAGATAACGAAGTGTGAAGATGATGGATGGTTGGACTTACTCCGTGCAGACCTGATATTGCCACAGGCGCCAGCTCTGTCGAATATCATCCCGCGCGTAGAATTCCGGGTCGTTCGTAGAGAAGCAAGCGTCCTGCGAACCTCTGCATTGAGAAACGGAGGTGAGGTTGACGTAGCCGATGTAGTTCAGAAGCCGATTCGCTAAAACGTCGAGTTCATCGCCGTAGCCGCCGACCGTAATGAGTTCCTCGACCGATGCCCTCCGCGCCTCAGTAGCGGGGTAGAGCACCGAATCCGAAGAGACGTTTCCGCAGTAGAGGAAGAAGGAATTGCTGCTCACGGACGGATCCCAGTTCAGGCTCTGCAGCCCATAGATGCCCCCGTTTATGGCGCTGGCGAAGTCGCCGTCGTAGGTGACGTTAGGCAAGCCAAAGGCGGTCTTGAGCTTTCCCACGTAATCTGAACCGGCCTTTCCGATAAGGATGTTGTCGATGACGTGGGTGAGCTTCTGCGTCGTTTCGACGCACGCCGGAGGCCCGTATACGGCGGCAGCCTCAAAGTACTTCCAGTAATCCCAGATCGCTTCGGGAACTCCGGAAGACGAGATGGCACCGTAGAACACCTCCGGATACAAGACCCGCAGAAAGGCTACGAAAGAACCCGCGTAGCTCCCGCCGTACGCGATCCAAGGAGTAGTTTTGGGGCTCAGGTCCACATCCTCTAGGCCGGCGAATTTGACATTCTGAGCGAAGTAAGCCGTGTCGGCGAGGGCCTGATCCGTCGTTAAGAACCGCAGGCTCTCGGTGCTGAAGTCGGGCACGGGAATGCTTGTTCCGTAGTACCTATGCTCCAGAATGACTCCTAGCCCCCCGGTCGCCTTCGCAAGCTGGTACACTATGCCCTTCTGCAAGAAAGGTAGGCGACCGACGCCGCTCGTCTCCCCGCTAGCGAGGACAATTACCGGACCCCCGGGCTTGTAGAACTGAGCATCGAACCAATACCGCTGATCAAACGTGCCGTTGGAGTGCGGTTCATACTTCGATTCGTTGTGGAAGTGGTCGATCGGCGTCGAGAGATTGTACTCAGGGTACAGGGCCTGAAGTTCGAGCTGCCTCGCGCTGAGGCCGCCGTGCGCACCTATAGTCTGGATCTATCGTGATCCGACTTCGTTGTCAGCACGCGGCCCTCGGAAACTGTGAAATGCCACGACAACGCCCACGAATGGTTACGTACTTGTTTGGCCAGCTCGCTGATGGGCAGCGGGTGCCTCTGAATAGCTCCAGCGGATGAGACGAGAGCTAAGAGGCCCGCGGCGGTGCTATATCGAACCATTGTAACGGTAACGAAGCGTCAGAAGCTAATGGCTAAGAATGCCTCAAGGAGGTCCGACGAACAACAAGCGAGGCATAGTTGATACTAGGGCCTGAGAAAGCAGGATAGACAAGCGCTAGATATACGAGAAAGATTGAGGAGCCTCTTGGCATGGTGCAATAGATAGTCTGCATTGCCTTTGTTTTGTTGTTTTGGGCAGGACGCCAGGTCCAGCGTCACAACGAGTGCTCCGAAGCGGTATCCGTGATAAACGGCGATCCTTGCGATATGCAGTTGATATGCAGTCAGCCCGCGGAAGCTAGGTAGAAGAGGGAAGGTCTCAGTGCCCATCCCCATACGATCGCCGCCAAGAACGGTCCGGAGGATCCAGGTTACGGCCACCCTCCTCCCTCTTCTCGTGTGCTGGACGCTGTGTCTCCCCTTCACATTGTAAACATTTCCATAAAGACGAGCTCCAGCGAATCCCGTGATGAGGCGAAAACTAGAAACGCATATAAGGGTTTACGTGAAAAGACCGAACACGACGGGAATGGAGACACAGCGACACAACATAGCTGCAGCCGCCCGCCCATGTTTACTTAGGGGCCGTGCACTTCACGGCGCCGATGAAAGATGTTTATCAACCGGGCCTTCTTCTCCCACATGCTGTTCCGGGCTAGTTGTATTAAGTGGGAGAATCAAGGCTCAGGATCAAGCTTTGGATAGCGGTCCCTGAGGGCCGGCAGTGTAGACGCGAACACACCCACGAGCTACACCCACATCCACATGTGGTTACCTGCTCAAGGATCGTAGGGGCCCCCGGCTCTTCGCCCGGTTAGTAGCTCGGCGCCCCCATCCGGCTTCACAAGGTAAACATCCTCGTGACGGACGCCAAATTTCCCTTCCAGATAGATACCAGGCTCGTCGGTGACTACCATCCCGGGCTCGAGAATGTCTTCCGTGTTCCACTGGTTCAAGTACGGAGGCTCGTGTGCTAGATGATATTGTATGAGGACAAGGCAGAGCAAGGGGACGCGGGGTCGCTCGCCTTTGATCCCGATCCCGTGACCGAGACGATGCGTAAACCCGTAGCCGTACCCGGCCGCCTCGATGACCCCGCGGGCAGCGAGATCGACGGTCGCCGCACTCCTGCCGGGCTTCATCTCGGCCGCCGCGGCGGTCTGGGCATCTAAAACGATGCTCCAGACTTTCAACTTCTCGGAATGCAGGTCCGACATCTCGCGCAGCACTTCCGGGGCGTGGTGGGCACGCAGCCCAAGCATCTCGAAGAGGCCCGCAAGGTGCCTCGGCAATAACCGCTTTGATCGAACCGCGGGGTCGATAAAGAAGCTGCGGCATATGTCTGACGAATATCCTAAATAATGCGCCCTGTGCACGAGTGAACGGAGTAACCAGGTTAGGAGCGCGATCCTCTCCCCACAGGCAACACCATTCCGCATCCTACATCCCGTAGGGAGTGAGGGGGGAAAGGGGAGACGGAGGCGGGGCCCACGCACCCGACATCGATCACGACCATGGTCTCGCGCGTGAGCTGCTTTGCGCCGACGACGGCGCCGCCGTGCGGCAGCGCACCGTGCTCCTCAAACAGCACAATGTCGAAGAACGGGCTGAACCCGACCGACTGCAGTGCCGCGTCGAGCACGCCGCGCACCTCGTCCTCCGTCAATCCAACCACAAGGCAGGGCCGCATTGCCCGCACGGCTGCGACAGTTCCCGTGTTGACCGCGCGCAGTGCCGCCACCTCAGCGCGACTCTTGAGCTGCCGCACGCGTTCAGCGGCAAGGGGCGGCGCGGCAGTCTCGAACCCCGCGCCCGCGAGGCCTCGTGCGATGAAGTCGCGCATCTCACCGTCGACCGCGATCATGGGCCGCGGCTTGCCTGTGAAGAGACGAGACTTGAGTAGTGTAGCGTAGGGGTCCCAGTGCTCCTCCCACGTCACTATGTTGAGCCCGGGGTCCCGCGACGGGATCCCGAGCATGCGCGCGCGAGCCTCCTCGAAGCGCGGCGCGAGGAATGCTGTCGTGGCTGTGACCGCATCACCAGAGACCGCGGGCAGGATGAGCATGAGGAAGGGCCGCTCCTCCGGCTCCCACGGCTCCCAGTCGCTCTGCGAGACATTGCCGTAAAATCTGGCGCGATGGGGGCCGAAATGCTCCGAGTCAGCAAGCGCGGGCGTTAGGCTGTGTCGCGCCGACGTGGGCTCTCTTACTGGAACGCGTATCCCGGCTCGCAGACGAACGCATCGACGCCCTCCGCGGCGAGGGCCCGCGCCAGGCGGTCCCGCCGATCCAAAAACTCATCCGCCGTAATGGGAGATGCCCCGTCGAGAAAGGACAAGTCGGCACGCAGGTTGTCCACGGCGCACGCTTGCACACGAGCCACCGTGTCCGGCTCGGAGCGAGCAACTCGGAACACCCACAAGCGTATGAGCCACGCGGAGAGGAACAGAGACAGGCCGGCAGTTAAGAAGTTACGGCTGTGGCAATATGTGGGAGCCGACTTTTCCCACTGCGAGACGAGGCGCTTTAATTGCTTGCTCGTGGACATCGCGAAGCTATAGAGAGGAGGAGGATGTGTCAGTAACAAATAGAAACGTCGCTCTGACTACCTTATTAGGAGGATTCAGAGGCTATACCGGTTGCGCTGTGGGCGAGTCAGTCGTTGGCTTCTCGAGTAATCCTGGCACAATTGGTAGCCTCTTCGCATTGCAACTCACAGAGAAAAAGAGAGAACAGAAGCGAGTCGATCCGGGCGGGCGGGGTACCGACGATCTGAATTGTCTCTTGGATATGCAGGATATGAAAATCAGTCAGGCTAGATGAATATCTATCGTTAATCGAATCTTCGTCAGCATCCAGTACAGGATGTGGTAGCGATTAAGGGGGAGAATAGGCGCACTCAGTTGTTCCACAGCGGCGCCGGAAATCAGGTGTAAGTGGATTTATATTAGCCGTAGCTCTTTGGGCCTGAAAGCTTTCGATGTGAACCCCCCATCATCCGTAGAGATCTATCTACTCATACTACTCCTGGCGGACATCTGCTGCCCCCCCTCACGTTCAGATTCGAAGCCTGCGCGATATCGCGGGTCATCTCCGAGGAGAGCTGGGCCTGGCCGGCAGGTTCCGTTCTGGTACGAATCGAGCTGGCCATGAACCAAACACTACCAGGCAAGTTCGGTTGAACGGCCGATACCGTCTGACCAACAGAGATTCTATTCCGACAGTGGATTTTATTTGGCCAGAGTCAGATCGGACGGTCCTGTTTTATGGTTGGCCCGTCTTTGAGCTTCTTCTTGGTCCGATGCACAGATTTTGAGTCCAAAGGCGTCTTGTTAACCGTGTCGACGGCAACCTTAGCCGCAGCGTCGGCCGAGATGTTCTGTTCTCTCGTTATAGCCATGAACGACACCTCGCAGCCGGCCTTTGCGTACTGTCCGAAGGTTGCCGACAGCTCTCTCCAGAGGTCCTGGTTAGAAACCGGCGATTTACCCGGCGTAAGCCATCCTCTTTGGGCCCAACTGCGTATCCACATCGTCGAGCCCCTGGTCACGTAGGCGGAATCAGTGCCTATGACAACACGCCGCCAGTTTTCGGCCGGCCAGTCTCGATATTTGAGGGCGCCGATGACGGCGCGAAGCGCGGCGCGGTTACTGGTGTGGGGGCGTTCCGAGCCATCAGGTCCCTTATCCTCCAAGGGAAAGCTTATCGTACCGTCTTGAGTCGTATTGAAGACGAAGCTGCAACCGCCTCGTGAGATGTGGTGCCTCTCGGCATCATAAAAGCAGGATCCGTCGGTGTAGATGAGCATCGACGGCTTCCCGCCAAGCCTGCCCACGAGCCGCGCAATAAGGAATTGCCGCTTGACTACGCCGGGTCCGGGTATCCGCACGCGACGAGCGGGAAACATGACAGATGGTGCCATTAGTGTTGGGAATCCAGTTGCAGTCCACACGCCGCCCGCCTCGTTGCCCATGGCCATCATAACTTCCGTTACCTCACGAGGCCTTACCGCCCGAGTGAGTGCTAGAACCATTTTGCCTGCGGAATCCCGAGCTGGACGTGCAGTGTGTTTCGCGACAGCAAGAAAGAAATAAAAAGATACGACAAGTACCTAAAGCCCCTCGGTATTTGCTGGGTGCATGGCTACAGTGGTGCCGGTATTTCGTGAGAACATCAAATGATGAAAAACTCGTCTAATGGGTCAGGTGGTTTCGGTCAGAGGTGTAACTAGATACCCAGGTACCTAAGTACCTGTTGTTTTAGGTACCTAAGGTAGGTACCTAATGTAGAGGGCTGCTTAAGTCACATATGTACTTATGCGTTGTCTTGATTACCTATAATCTCGTAGTCTCGTTACGCCAGCTGTACACGCCCGTCTCGGTTTTCTGTTATTCGCCGAGGAACAGCGTCGGCGTAGTTCACCATCCTGCCCTTGACGACAAAGATGGCCAGCCAGTAGTAGCTGTCACATCATGACGAGTACCTGCTAGTACGATAAAAAAAAGCCCTTTAGCACCGACAGCGACGAGAGTCCGTGAGAATTGAAGAGGAATAAATAATCGCCACCAGGCTACCAGCTCACCCGTCAAGTTTACTGCTGCGGACCCAGCTCTGAATGTCTACCCAGAAGCAGGATTCGCAGCACTCACCCGCTCCCCTTCTAGCTCGGACCCGCCGGCGACTGTCGACTCGCCTCGCCGACCGCTCCTCCGTCTGAGAGAGGGGACCACGGTATGTGGGACGCGCGAGGATGTGGCGTGCCGCGGGGCGGAGCGCGAGACTCGGCGAGGCTTGTCGCGCACCCGGCCACGAACGGATAAAGCACACCCAGCAGCGATTCCGCACCGTAACGATCGGCGATCGCGGGGATCTGCACCCGAGAAACGAGACGAAGGGGCTGCGAGCAGGGGGCGAAGTGACTCCAACGACTTCGTGAGAGAGCCGTGATCAGGGGCTCAAGCGTTTCGATCTCCTGCTAGAAGAGGACCTGATTTCTACGTCCGTCCATCTCGGAGCCAAATTGTCTATGACAAGCAACGCGTTGTATTTCCGCACAACTCATCGTACTCATATGCGGGTATAGATGCGCTGAGCCTACGAAGACCTGGCTACACATATACATACATGTTACCCGCACGCATGCGATATGGGCTTATCGAGAATACGGTGTGTTTGACAAGGGAATGTGGCAGTCTGAGCTGAGCTGACGAGTGAAACACGCGTTGTCGGAGGCTTGGCGTCGCTCATTCCCTGCGGGACGTCCGATCGCCAGCGACCTGGAAAATTGCACCGCCGACAACCTGACAAGAAGTACGATGGATTTATTCAGCCTTGCCGAGCCGTACCGCCCCATACCGGCCCTAGGTACCATCTGCATTGCATGTCTAGATCACATGTCTGGTGCTAAGGCGCGTCACTAGCCCGTCAGAAGCTGGCAAGCCAACTCAGCCTCGGTGGCCGTGCGGGCAGCGTGAGGTGTGATATTGACCGGATCCGGGGTCGTACGGCTTCGGAAAGGGGCCGTTGATAGCAATGTCCGTGGTTCGTAAGGGCGACGTAGCTTATACCGATACGTTAATGAGATCCCGGTCTCGAGCAGCGTGTCAAGCTTTTGCGTGATATATAACCACGTCGTGATCCTAACAGTTCCAGGTCCTTAAGCACCTTGGCTCGGTCGATCGAAGTTACTTTGCAAGGTCATAGAGGCCAGTATATTTGAACCTTCCGCCTCACGTACCTAGGCGCCGGTCAACTTGGACCTTAAAACAGGTCAATATGGGGTCCGCACAACAACTAACTCCCTTCCCTCGTCCGCTGGGCGTCTTTCCGGAGTTCTTCGCAAAGCAGAGCGAGACGCTGGTGCTTAGGGAGAAATTATGGTCACTGTCGGGAAACGCCTTCGATATCCAACTGGCCAGCGGTCAATCCTTCCTCAAGGTCAAGGGCGAGGCATTCTCGATATCGAACCGGATGAATGTCACGGACATGAGCGGCAAGTTCCTCTTCTGCATACGCCAGAAGCTCCTGTCGCTGCACACGACGTACTACGCCGAGGATGCCAACGGCAACGAGATCTTAGAGGTGCGAAGCAAGTTTAAGCGTGAGTTCCTACCCGGACCTATCCACGTACGCTAGTGCGCGGCGTCGTCGGCGTCGGCGCACCTCATCGGCTGTGCCGCGGCGTCTCGTATACTTCGGCGGCAGGGCGGTCAGGCTAACGGGCGAGGACGTGTCGAAACCTAGTGACCGGCTCCAAGTTCATCGGCACACTCATGTCGGCGTCAGGCCAGCAGGAGGAGCTGATGCTGATAGGCGACTGGAAGGACAGGAACGCGCAGATTACCGACGCGACCACCGGGCAAGTGGTAGCAGCCATCCGCCGCGACCGATGGAACGCGCGGGAGATTCTCGGCGGACAGCAGACGTACAACGTGACGGTGGCGCCGAACGTCGACATGACGATCATCGTGGCTATGTGCATCTGCTTGGATGTGAAGAAGAACGAGCCTACTAGCGGGGGTGGCGTGTCTGGTGCCGTGGGTTGAGCTAAGATTGGATAGTAATGGGAGATGCCCACCCCACGAGGCGAGGGGTTGACAAGTCGGCATTGGACCAAATTGCCGTGTAAACTAAGGTGTGTGATGTAACGAGGTTGCGGACAGGCGATGCGATATATATATATATGTATGATTATACTTGCGTGTATTTCTAGACGTGCATCTGGCGTAGCTGCTAGATGCTGGCTTCCATCCGCCGTCATCCGTCGGTTGCGACGAGGTCGAGATACCCAAGAGATCTCGGTCAAAGAAAAGCCCGAACGGCGTTGGAGGCGTAGCAATCCGCCCCTCTCGCTTTGTCCCCTGTGGTCCGTAGACGTGTATGTCGGTGCTCTCGAGGAGGGGGGAAGGACGGGACACGAGTTCCTAGGGGAGGAGGGAGAAGTTGAGCGAGAGAAGAAGCAGAAGAAGGGAAGAAGAGATGCGCTACGGAGCCAAGACAGCTCCATTATGTAGGTACCTAGATAGGTACCTAAGGGTAACATATCAGGTAGGTAGGTACCTAAGGTACAATAGCAGCTCCAAGGAGGTACCTAGCCTCATCGTCGACCTCGCGATCGGCCAATGGCACGGGCGGGATTTGCCCTTACTACGCGCCTGTACGTACCCGTTATGTACCCGTGGCATCGCATAGGCTCTATGTTACCAGGGGCGTTACCTCGCCGTTTTTCCTCGTTGGAGCTGGTTTTCGGCGAACGCTTCGGCTACCTCGCCTGGGTTTTCCTCTCCAAGGTACCTAACTCTCCCCTCTATCGCATGTATAGGGCATATGCGTTGCTAACCCGCATGATACATCATCCCTTAGGTACTCTATTGAGCTCGAAGACGTTTACACTACCTAACCTCAGTACGTCGATCAGCTGGAGAAGCGCGGGAAAAAAAAAACAATGCTCAACGATATGCTGGCCCGAGATCAACAGCATGGGCAAGGTCAGCACCGATCTCCGTCTTCTTCTTTTCTCTCAACTCCCCTTTCCCCACGAAATATATGCTTGCTGTCGCCCGCTACGATTTATTTGTATAGCACCATCGTCATCGTCCTGGTCGCCTTCCACCAAGTCTTGTTGGATCTTGTTTCTTGGCTTGCCGACCCTCTTCGGATTGGCCTATCTTATAGGTAAATCCGCCGCTACGTGATAATATCTCTTGGCTTCCTTGTCTCTACCACCCTTTTCCCGCTTTAGGTCCCCTCTTCGCTGCCCCCCCTGGTCCCGAAACGCTTGGCCCCAGGGGTTCGATCCAGGGATCCGCGACCTGCGGCAGCAGCAGCATATCATGGTGCCACTGCCGCCGGCCGCCCTGGCCAAGATGTCTTCTTCGTCTTCGTCTACTTTTCTGTTGTTGCTCCTTATACCTGTAATATCGATGGCCGACGCCCATGATCACGACTCCTCCCAGATCGGGGATGGACAATCCATCTCCGCTGAACCTATCGTATGCCCACTTCGCATTGCGTCCAGTAAACCCCTGCGGATTGCCCGGAGGCTGACGGGTTGTATAGGACGCGACGCTATGGGTTCATATCTTCATTCAGATGAGCGCCTGGGGCGTCATTTTTCCCTTGGGGATGGTTCTCGGGGTACGCATCCTACCGCCTCCGCTCCGTCTTCCCTATCTCTCTTCGCCTTTCCTCCTTGCGCTCGCCTCTCAACATGTCCTCGTAGCCGATCCTAACCCTCTCCACGTAGATGGTCAAGTCGCGGTGGCATATCCCCGTCCAAGTAACCGGGACGGCACTAGCCATCGTCGGATACGCCCTCGGCCATTCGCACGGCGGTCGCGAGTTCCGGCACACGAACGTCCACTCCAAGTTCTCGACGCCGATATCTGTCCTTCTCCTTCTCCAGGTTCTCTTCGGCATCTATCTCAAGCTGCATTTAGAGAAGGGTATAAATGGGAAGCTTAGATGGGTTGTTAAGCTGGCTCACGGCACCGTCGGAAAGGCGTTGCCTGTGCTTGCTTGGACTCAGATGCTCTTCGGCGGCATCACCGCTCTCGGTTTCTGCCAGGGTGACCGCCTGGGCCAATGCCTAGCCCATTTTATCATGGGAAGCGCCTTCATCGCCTACGGCATCCTCCTGTCTATTCTGCTACTAGTTGGTCAGCTATGGCTAAGGCGCACCGGACGGTCGCAGGAGTTCTTCGACAGCGCCGTTATTGCGGCCTGGGGCGTCGTTAATACGTTCACCGAACACCGCTGGGGGACGCCCTGGGTGAAGAACGACTGGCAGCATACGGCCATGGGTATTATCTGGTGGGCGGCCGGCTTGGCTGGCGTCTGGCTGAGCAAAGACCGAAATGGCCGGCCTCAGCGCAACTTCATCCCCGGCTTCGTCATTCTAATCACCGGGTGGGCGATGAGTTCCCACCCCCAGGAGCTAATGATGAGCGCCGAAACCCACAAGATGTTTGGCTATACCCTTATGGCTGCCGGTGCCACGCGTATCATCGAAGTCTGCTTCGTTCTTCGGGACCGGAGTGGGCTGTCTGAGGATGGCCGCGAAGCAAGCAGCTTTCAATATGTACCCATCTTCGTGAGTTACCCAATCTTCTCCGTGCATGCATCGGCGCTGGCGCCCTTCGTCTAACCGGAGTCCTAGTTACTCTACGCGTCCGGGTTCCTATTCATGGGCGCCACTGAGGAACAGATGGCTTTTGTTGCGGCCTCTGGCATGGACCACGTCGCTTACATCTTGATCCTGTACTCACTCGCCTTCGTCGTTTTCCTCTTTTCTAGCGTCCTCATCCACGTTTACGACAGCGGTTTCGCCACGGCCAGTCCCAACAAAGAATTGGTTAACGGCCGATTGGGGCCTCGGATAAACGGAAATGTGCCTTTGAGAGACGCCGAGGAGTTCGAATTAGAGGGTCTCATGAGCGACGACGACGACGAAGGTGTAAGGGGGCCGCCGAGAGAGGACGAGAGCGGTCTGAATAGTCCCAGCACAGTGGGCAAGAACAGCGATAGCGTTGCCCATTGATGCATCGCGTGCAAGGTCGCCAGGTTTTGAAGCTGGGAAAATGGAAGTGGATCGTCACGGTAAAGGGTCAGCCCTGGACGGGGTTGCATATATCGCACCGGTTACTATTGCATAGGTTGTTGGCGTTTTGAGATCAAGGCTACGGCGAAAATGGGCGTATTCCACTGATTCAAGCAACTCAAAAGCATTCTTCCGCATAGCCCTTCCAGCTATGATCCCACATTTCGAGATATTTGAAGGAATAACCGCCACCCTCAGGGCGCTCCCCCTGGTGCTATCGATGCTCTTGCAGGGGCCGCTTCGCCTATTCCCCTGACCGCGCCTTCATCCAGCCTTTCAAGAACAGGACAGGCAGTGCCGGTGACATCGAGAATTCATCGCCAGGGAAGCTGCCCAAGCAGGCGGATCTTCCCATCCGTACACGTACTAGAATTGGCCAGTAGGATTCAACGAAGATGCCTACCTTGAGTACGAAATTGCTTGGGCTTTAGTCTTTGGGTGCAATGCCATCGCCTTTTTCTTCCCTACCTCACAAATAAACAGACACATTTCGGGCCTAAGACCCGGTAGCAGGGTGCGAATCCTCAGCTTCCACATCTCTAGACAACTCTACCAACATGGATTCAGATGAGGATCAGCAGATCGCCACAGATTTACTCCAGTACCAAATCCAACTCCACGCCCATAACGACGCCCTCCGCTAGCACCGTATACATCTCGATCAGCTCTCAAGGCAATACGGCCTTTTACTTGACCTTATTCCGGCCTGAACCCAATTGTTTGCATGCCTTAGGTCTCATCGATCGCGTATTAAGGACCTGCTTGATAGCTTGGCTGATATTCGAGAGGGTCGTCCCCCTCGTACAGCCGTTCCCGATGTGAGGACCCGAGGAGTTCCTGCAGATGCCACCCAGGAAGATACCCCGGACCAAACGGCTCCCGGAAGCCAGTCTACGGGTTTGAACTCTTCCGCGAACACGGCGCCCTCCGAAGAGAAGGATAAACGGAGCAAGAAGAGCAAGAACAAGAAGAAAAAGAAACGCCCATAAGGCAAACACCACCAGTTCTGCTCCTACTCCTACCTAAGTTAACGTCACAGGGGGTGAAGGTTGCAGCTAAGGTTACTGGGGCGGGATAGTCAGCTCATCGAGAAGCCACAGAAGGCGGGTCGAAAGACTGTGTACATGAAGGCGTCGACATTATGGCAGTCAGACAATAGGATTCCGGCTTACGAGATGGGGTAGGTCCGAGGGAATCTATATATAAATTCGCGGGATACTGACGTGCTCCCGAAGGCAGCATACCTTTCAGAGCGTCATGATTTCCGGGGAACAGGAGAGAAAGCGACGTGCAAAGGGGGAGAGGCGAGGAAGAGGCGGCAAACCGCATACAGACTTCTTCATCTAACGCTTTTCATCAATTCCCTAGAGCGATTGAATCGATCGTGAACTAGGTACTAGTATGAATAAACGGACTACAAAACCCTGCTTAGCACAACACATAAACTCACCAATTCCGTGAGACAGGCGACCAAGAACCGATCGCTGCCGGGTTTCGGTGGCTATGGACGCTCTCCTCCAAGGGGTAACAAGTTAGGACAACCGAGAGATAATAAGCTAAAGGCCGCTCCCGAGGTATAAGACAAGTAAGGGTCCAAGATCTTTAGTCGGTTATATTATGAAACAAGATCCCATAGACCCGGCTTCGTTTCTATCTCTTTGCGCGAAGCACTCTCCCACGCTCCCTGATCGTCTCCTGGTCTTCCCCCTTTTCTCCCCTCCCCACCCCCCTGAGAATTTCTATTCTGCTCAAGGACTGCCAACTTCCGCTCTGGAGAACAACCGGCAACCAGCACCTGGATCCAGACCAGACGCAAGACATAACTGCCATCAATCATGTGGTCTGCGGGGTCTCCAGCCTCTCCGCGCCGTCGTCGAACACAGCAACACTTAATTCGCCAAGCCGGAAGATTGGCGATGCGCGGGCGATGGCCACCGCCCGATGAGGAAATCTTCTCCTCGTCCCCTATTTAGCCACCGAGCATATAGTGTATGTGCATACAAACTCTACGATGCCGGTATTGGCCCGGGATAGATTGCAAATATCTGAGCCCCTTGGGGAAATTAGAAATAGCCTCCAAGACGATGTTGCGTCAACACACCTGGAGATGAAAAGATGGGAGGTGCGCAAGGCGGTGTATATATAAGCCTATATCTATCTGCTCTCGGAATTCCAAGGAGCTAAACCGCCCCGACGGTATCAGCGCTTCACATACGTGGGATTCGAAGGGACGAATTTACTAGCGACATCAGGACTCTACCTGTGGAAAGAAGCAGAGCAAAAGGAGCAAAAAACAAGGGAAACTTGAAAATGAAGGCCTTTAGCATCCTATCTACCTTGGTTCTCGCTGGCGTTGCCGCCGCCCAGACGCCTGCTGGTTTCACCCCCGTCGTTGAGCAGAAGCTCGAAGTCACCTTCGGCACCAAGTCCGTGACGCCAGGCCTCGCGCTGACCAGGTCTGAGACCTCGCGACAGCCCACTATCGGCCTGAGCATCCCAGCTAACGGTACCTACGTGTGGATGTTGATCGGTAAGCACCCTGTCGTGATACATTGAAAGAAATGAAAAGCCCTAGCTAACCTCTTTTAAGACCTCGATGCGTACGCCAACTCCCTAATCCGCCGATCCCCTCTCCATGACCCGTCATCCCCCTTTTCCCACATCCGTGAACATCCGCAAGGAACAGGAGAGCCACGTGCTCTTGAAGAATACGCTAGCTAGCTAACATGGCAACCCCTGACGCCAACAGATCGACCAACTTCGCGAACCCCGCACAGGGACAACGGACAACCTACCTACACACGGTGATCCGGGACTTCAAGGCGGACGGAACGGCGTCAGTGGGTGGCGTCAGCACGCTAAGGTCAACCGCGTCGGGCCCCGTCGCCTGGTTCGCGCCGATGCCACCCGCCGAGACGCCGGCGCACCCGCATCGCTACACCAACCTGCTCTGGGACCAGCCCGCCAACTGGCAGATTCCCACCGCCGCCTCGCAGATGCTGCAGTCGCAGAAGGTCGGTTTCGACGTGCCCAAGTTCATCACCGCCGCCGGCCTCGGCGCCCCCATCGCTGCCAACTACTTCAACGTCACTGGTTAAGCATGCTAGCATTGCGGCTGGTTACGGTAGATATCGAAACGGGGGACGGATGCGGACGAGGACAGCGTGAAGAGGGGCAGTCGGGAGAGAAAAAAGCAGCGATGAGAACGTACGGGCAGCGAAGAGGGAGCAACAACCGGCGAAACACAGAAAACTTGTATATAAGAGCAATAAATAGTCCTGCGATTATCAGGAAAACGAGTCGTGTTCTCTCGTCATTATCGTTATAGTTCAGACAATCCGGCCGAATATCCCGCGCCATAGGTCGTGACTCTGCGGAAACAAACCACTTTTGTTAGTCGTATCGACACTCGTATCTAGACCCCTCTTCCCCTCCTCTCTCTCTTTCCATCCGCGAATCTACATCCCTCCGTCCCCGTCCACCACCATAGCAGCAGTCTCCTGGCCCGGCTGCGCCGCGCCGTCGGCCGCAGCGTCGTCGACCGGTTCGTGCGGGACGAGCTCGGACCAGCGGGTGACGAGGGCGGCGAGCGCGCGCAGGCTGGGCGCGTCGGTGATGTCGGAGGTCTGGACGGCGGCGCGCAGCGTCTTGGCCAGCCAGTTCTTGAGCTCGATGGCGACGAGCGAGTCGAGGCCGAGCGCGGCGACCGACGCGTCGAGCCGCAGCTCCTCGCGCTCGACGCCGAGCAGCGCCGCCACCTTGTCGCGCGTCGCCTCGAGCACGAGCAGCTCGGCCGCGGCCGCCGTCGGCGCCTGCGCCACCAGCTTCTCCGCCGGGACCGCGGCGCCGTCGCCGCCGGCCCCCGCCCCCGCCCCCTCGAGCTGCCGCGCCCGCGCGTACACGTGGCCCAGCAGCGGCGTGGCCCGCCCGCCGTGCGCCCCGCGCGCCGCCAGCGACGCGCCGTCGAGGCCCAGCACCACCTGGCGCACGCCGTCGGCGGCGGCGCGGCCCATGGCGTAGTCGAGCAGGGGCAGCACGGCGGCGACGGGCAGCACCTGGACGCCCTGGCGCTGGACGAAGCCGACGACCTCGGCGGTCTTGGCCGCGCTCTCGGCCACGAGCGGCAGGTTGAGCGAGACGAAGTGGGTGCGGTCGCCGCCGCCGCTGTGCGCCTGCGCGAACATGTCCTCGAACGCGTTGCCCGCCGCGTAGTTCGCCTGCCCCCGCAGCCCGATGATGCCCGCGATCGACGACAGCGCCACGAAGAACTCGAGCGCCGCGTCCGCGAACGCCGCCGCCACGTTGCGCGTCCCGTCGTACTTGGGCCGCATGGCGGTTTCAAAGTCGGCCCACTTCATCTGCGCGAGGGTCCGGTCCTAGTGCAGGTGAGGAAATACACGTTAGCCGGCTTCCCTCGCACGCCCTGAGGGAGGATGAGGGAGGAGGCGGGGGGGGAAGACGGGGCTTGGACATACTGCTAGCACCATCGCTGCCTGGATGACTCCTCGGATGGGAGGAAGGCTTCCCCGTAGTATACCGGCGACGCGCGAGACTTCCGCACCGTCGAGGATATCGCAGGCGACCACCTTGACGGTCGACCCGGGCACTTCTACCAGCGCAGCCTCGAGGGCTTCCCGCGCTCCCTGCTCGAAGCGGCGCCGCGACAGGAGGACGAGGTGCCGCGCGCCGCGTCGCTGCAGGTGGCGGCAGATGTGACGGCCAAGATTCCCCAGGCCTCCTACGATAACGTACGTCCCGTCGTCGCGCAGGCGGAACGGCCGGACCCTGGCGCTGACGATGGAGCTGGCGTCGGCTTCGAGAACGATCTTGCCGGTGTGCTTGCGGGCTTGGATCAGGCGGAACGCCTGCTCGATGTTGGCGATGGGCAGCGGCGTCACCGGCAGCGGCGAGTAGTGGCCGGCTTCGAAGTGGCCGAAGACCCGCTTGAGCAGCCCCTGGGCGTCCTGAGGCCGGCACTTGGATAGGACGATCAGGTCGACGGAGGCGAAGCGCACGTTGCGGTCGAACACGTCCATGTCCAGTCGGCTGCGCTGGTAGATGTCCGTCTTGCCTACCTCGACAAATGTGCCCATGCTGGCCTGTTTCAACCGCGAGTGTTAGCCGTGACTCCTTGCGCATATCTACGCCTCACTGCGTGTGCAGAGCGGACAGGGGAACTCTTGGGGGGGCTGGGAATAAATAGAAAGCTCCAAGCTCGACTTACCATGCACTTCCAGGTAGCGCGCAGAGCATCCCCGGAAAGAGAATTCAGTACGACATCGACTCCCTTGCCGGCGGTCTTGCGCAGCACTCCGGCCTTGAAACTCAGGGTCCTGCTGCTGAATATGTGGTCCTCCGGGATACCGTATTTCTCGATCAGAACCCTGCGCTTCGCGTCGCTCCCAACGGTGGCGAAGATCTCGGCGCCGATATGCTGCGCGATCATGACTGCGGCCTGCCCGAGGCCACCGGAGGCTGCGTGGATCAGCACCGTCTGGCCGCGCCTGAGGTTCGCGGAGTCCACGAGCCCGTAGTAGGCAGTCGAGAAGGCGACGGGGACCGTGGCTGCGTCCGTGAAGGATAGCGAATCTGGGATCGGGTAGATTAGGTGGCCGTTCGTCCGCGCCCGGCTGGCGTACGGCGTCCCCGAGATCGCGGCCACTCGCTGGCCGATCTTGTATGTGGACGCAAAGTTCGAGCCGACGCGGGTCACCACGCCGGCACATTCGCCGCACATAGTCTGGGTAGCCGTCATTTGGCCTAAAGCGACGAAGACGTCCTTGAAGTTGACACCGCAGGCGTAGGGTTGAACTTCCACCTCGTCGGGCCCAAGCTCGCCGAGCTTGTCGTCGACAAATGTCAGGCTGCTGAGAAGACCAGGCTTCTCAATCTGTATCTTGAGGCGCCGCTCTTCCTGGTGGAATAGACAATCCTCGCGTTCGGGTTTGTCTGTGGAAGCCAGAGCTCTGTTTACCCCTACGTGCGACGCCAAACGCTGGATGTGTAGTTTTTCGTCTTTCAACATGTACTCGAATTCTAGTGTATCCCCGCGGGCAATCTTGGCCTCCGACGATGCGACAAAGTCGGAGACACGTGAGAGAACTCTTCCTTGGTCGTCTAAGTTGTCCTGAACGTTGAGAGTGAAGAACTTGAGGCTATCGATCTCGCTGAGGGCCGAACGGGCGAAGCCGGTGGCGAGACCAAAGTCCGGCACGAGACCGTTCGATCCGTCTGCGAAGGTGATCCAATACACTTTAGAGCCCTTTGACACCAGCGAGACAATGTGATCGAACTGCTCTGGGGTAGCGTGGGCTAAAAGGGGTCGAGTGGCAGAGTCCAACACGACGTAGGAGACAGACTCGTCAATCGACCGAATTTCCCAATCGCGAGCAGAAGGCTCGAGGCCGTATTTCGAGAGATTTTTGATGATATCGGCTTGACTCTTATGTCCAGTGTGCCCTTCTGGTATAGCGTTAAGTATCTCAACTCTGTGTGCGTGACGCCCATTAGTTGTGACTACTGGAGCTGAAGTCGAAGTTATGAAGGCACGCTGGGTGGCGGCCTCAGGCGAGCCATGTGCAACCAGGTTGACGCCAGAGAATGAAGCATCTCGCAGACGCTGGCTCCATTGCTCGACCGACCTCGGTGGAATTGCGGCACCGCCATCATCTGCGTCTGTGAACAACGTGTTAGGTAATTCTCGTCCAGTTGCACGCGATTTGCAAGCACTTACCTGTCCGCCGCCCCGGAAGTAGACCGAATATCAAGCTCCGCCAAGGGGTGGCCTTCGTAGCTTCAATCGTACCAAAGATACCGCCTGGTTTGAGAAGCCGGGAGATGTGGTCAAGCGACTTGCTCAGCGACGGCGTTGCGCGAAGCACATCGGAAGCCAGGATTAGATCGTAGCCATGTTGGTCAAAGCCTTGCCCGATAGGATCTTTCTCTATATCCAGCGTCCGGAAGGTAAGTAGGTGTCCCCAATCCTTCAAGCGTTCCTCGAGAACTTTGTTCAAAAGCTCGCTCGACACATCGGTGACGGTGTACTCTGATGCAAAGCTCTCACCGTTCGGGCTGCATAGCTGTAATAATGGCAGCGTGGCGCCTCCAGCGCCAGCGCCAGCGCCAATTTCCAGGACTCGGATCTCCTTGTTTTGGAACGACAACCGTCTCGTGAATTCGGCTACGTACTGGTTGACGCGAGCGATCTCATTGCTCTTTTCGACACGGAACAGCAGATCATCTTCGAGGACAACAGACAAAGGGTCGACTTCCCCAGTGAGGATGGATACTAGCTTCGTACCAATTCTTCTAACCATTTCGCCCTCGACGCCAACTCTGGCAAGCTGCTCAGCGACCTCTGCCTCCGAGTCGGGGATCCTCTGGATGAGCTTTCGTCCAATGTTCGACTCGATGAAGCTGACCATCCACGAGAAGTAACTGGCGCGATAGTCCGATTTTATTGTCAACCCACCTTCGCGAATCTTCTTCGTAGCCCAGCCAATGTAGCGAGCAGATGCCGAGTCTAGTATAGCTGCTTTTTCAGCCAGCTCAACTCGTATGCCATTGGACTTGATGGGGAGTACGGCTGATTCTAAATCCTCAGCTGTTATGGAAGAAACATCTAGGCCCCATTCGACATTGAACGCGTTGCCGCCAGATGTTTGCGAGTCCTCTTGAGAGGCACCCACGATGCGCACCTCTCCGTTAGAGATGGTCACGACCGGCTGCTGGTTTCCGCTAGGACCATCCTGAATTACCACGACATCAAAGTTGGAAGATTGAGAATATGTGTTCCGGAGGTCCGTCACGGCTCGCAGCTGGGCGCCTGGTTGAGTGGTCATGTCGGTCGAGATGGAGACCTCTCCAATGAAGACAGGCATAGTTGAGCCACGACTCAGAGCTTCTCGTTGGAACAGCAGAACGCACGAATGGAGTATCGCGTCCAAAGTGCTCGGGTGGATGACGTGCGGCTGCATAAATCGAGACGGCATCTGAGAAGCAACATCTGGCAAAGTGATCTTGCTCAAGGCTTGCAATGTCCCAAGCCGAGTCTCGTGAACTGCGGCGAAGCTGGGGCCGTATTGGTTACCGAAAGACGACAACTCCGTGTATATGTCTGCGTGCTGTACAACGTGGCCGCACGACCGGGCGGCATCTTCGAACTTTTCCAGGTGGGATTTGGCGCTGAAGCTTGCTTCGCGATCCTGATCGACCTCATCGACCGCGGCCTCGAACTCTGCGGATATGTAGCCGTCGCAATGTTCTTGCCATTTTCCGCCCGCAATTGAGGAAACACGGAAACTGTACTCGTTAGAAGTCGAATGGCTTAGATTTAACATGACCTCGACGCCGGCTAGATTGTCAGGAATCGACAGCGTTCTCTTGAAGGAAATATTCCTTAGATGATATGCTTTGGTGGCCATGTTTGGATGTGCGTCTTTGTTCAGCTGCTTGAGCCCTTCGATGGCCATAGCCATGTATCCGGAGCCTGGGAACACGACAAAATTGTCGACGACGTGGTCCTTCAGCCACGGTAAGCTGTCGACGGTGAGAATCATACGCCAGCTTGGCTCGCTATCAGGGGACGTCAACGTTCTGACACCGAGTAAGTCATGGTGAGGGTACGGCCTGCACCGGTACTCCTTGCTCAACCGCGGCTCACGCCAGTAGTCTACGGTATGGTTCCAGTGGTAATGAGGCAAGTCTCCGAGGACCTTGGGCGATGGGTCAGATATACCTAGGGAAGCAACCGCGCCGACATCTACTTCGCTTCCGGCAATGAATAGACTTGCTCCTGTGTCCAGAATTGCTGTTACGCTATTCTGGTCTCTCACGAGGGTTGGTATGTATCGGTATGGCAAACCCCCGGTCTGTAAACTGGCTAGAGACTGTCGAATCGGCCCGGCTAAAGCCTTGTGTGGGCCTATTTCGATCAAGTTCAAGGGCCCTTGGCACAATTCCTTGCCCAGGAGCTCAAGAGCGTCTGAGAATCGTACCTGGGAAACCAAATTATCGACCCAATATGACGCGCCGAACCCTTTGTGCTTCTCCTGTGAAGTGACGGTCGAGAAGAAGCGGACTGAAGAGCTCGTGGAGCTTGACTGAAGCCCTTTAAGGCGTGCCAAATACTCGTTACTGACGACTTTCATATGGTGAGAATGGTAAGCAGTGTCAACCTTGAGGCGCCGGGCAAATATTCCTTGAGCCTGCAGTAAGCCTTGGAGTTCCTCGATACCCGCCGCGTCACCAGACACTGTCGTGCTTGACGGGCTATTAATGCAGGCGACGACAACTCCAGGAGACATAAGTTTCTTGATATAACGCAGGGCTTCCTCCTCCCCGGCGCCTACAGCCATCATTGCTCCTTGTTGTGAAAGATGTTTCTTCGCTGCGTCCGCGAGGAAACTACGCTCGTATGCAGCACGGACAGCGGCATCGCTATCGAGGGCATCCAGGTCAGTCGTCCTCACATTCATAAAGGGAGCAGGCCCAGGCTGCCTCTGTATCAAGGGAACGAGAAAACCCGAACTAGTGGAGGACTCACTGGGTAATAGCTCCGGCAGCATATGCTGCGGCAATTTCTCCGCTAGAATGGCCTATTACAGCCGAAGGGAGCACACTCCAGCTTTTGAGTAGGTCGACAAGAGCCACTTGGATGGCTGTGCTCGCCGGTTGGCCGAACTTGCTGTCATTCAAGCGGGTTGAATCCTCGTCCTTGGATAACTCTTCAACTAGGCTCCATGTGGCGCCGAGCTTCCTCAATACCGCATCCGAATGATGAATCGAGCGAGTGAATTCGCTCTTCGTCCCGAGCAAGGCGTATCCCACCTGGAAGTACTGGGCCCCCTGGCCAGTGAAGACGAAGACATTCGTAACTTGAACAGGAGCTTTAACCGGTTTGAGATCTTTCGTCTCGAGTGCCTTGACCAAAGAGTCGACGTCTTCGGCGACTACGGAACAACGCCACTGAAAGCCGGATCTACGGCTCGCTAAGGTATATGAGAGGTTGTCCAAGTCTACTGGGGCCTTCCGCTCCAGGTATGACTTTAAATCATCGATTCCATTGATAAGCGAATATTCAGATCTTGCGGAAAGGGGGAACAATCGCAGTCTGCTTTCGCCGATGCTGCCATTTGAGTGGGTTGAACCATTACCCGTCCCGTTGCCGGAGCCATTCTGGGCGTGGTTGTTATTATGATACCCGTTGTGTGTAGTTCCATTGGAATTTCCGTTCGTTCCTGTAAGGTTATATGAGCGCGCAATTGCGTGAGAGACGAGGGGAATTCCTCACCGTTTATACGACCTTGTGGAGCTATCTCTGGGGCCTCTAGGACGAGCATAACATTGGTGCCTCCTGACCCAAAGCAGTTAACCACGGCTTTCCTTGTGACCTTTGTCGAAGGCCACGGCTCCAGCGAGCGAGCAATCTTGTAGCTGTTAGCAAGACAATACGTAAACAGCCACACTTTCCAACTTATCTAACCTTGACTTTGCCAAGAACTGGTATCAACTGTGGCTTGAAGTTCTCAAGAAGGATTTGAGGGTGTATTAAGCCTTTTTCCATTCCTACTATGGTCTTGATGAGACCAGCAGAGCCGCTGGCTGCTTCGGAATGCCCGATATTAGGCTTTCCAGTGCCGACGTATACCGGATGGCCCGGCGCTCGGTCGGAACCAAAGACGTTACTGATGGCGCTTAGTTCTGCGAAATCACCAGCTTTCGTTCCAGTGCCATGTGCCTGGAATTCATCAAATCAGGTCATGCTCCCAATAAGCATTAAAGGGGGCCTACCTCGACGTAATCCACGTCAGATGGGCTGAAGGGTAACCCCTGAAATACCTTCCTTGCCAGACGCTCCTGAGCGAACTGATTGGGAAGCGTAATGCCGTTAGTTCGGCCATCCTGGTTCGCCGCAGAATTTCGAATAATTGCTCGAACATTCTACGTAGGGAGTTAGTTGTTTCCCCCAGAGCGTATCGTGGGGATACTGAGACTGAGTGGTTCACTAACGTCTCCATCGCGGATCGCATCATCAAGACGCTTGAGAGCCACGATACCGACACCCTCTCCGCGTCCGTATCCCTTTCCGCGGCTATCGAATGAGAAACACCGACCCTCGGAGTTAAAGATGCTTGCACAGGTCAGTTCGGTGCACCGCTACTACCAACCATGGATACTTGAAAACTTACCCGGTGGGAGCCATCATGGCCAACTGGTCAGGCGAGAACATCATAGCAACGCCTCCCGCTAGCGCCATGTCACTCTCGCCTAAGCGGAGACTCTGGCAGGCCGAATTCACCGCGACCAAGCTGCCGGAGCATCCAGTGTCGAGGGTCGCGGATGGCCCGTGCAAATCGAAGACGTAGGAAACACGATTCGCCAGGAGCGGCCGTGCCGCACCTGTATTATGATACTTCGTAGATAACAGGGAGTCCTTCGTTGTGGCGTGCTCGTAGTCATGACCAAACATCGCCACTCCGTTCACTCAGCATCATCCTGTTGCACACAGAGCCGAGGAGTTTCACTTACCGAAAACCGCAGTATCAGAGCCTCTCAGCTTCTCCATCGGTATCCCGGCATTCTCGACGGCGTCCCATGCGGCCTCGAGTACGACACGCTGCTGCGGGTCCATAGCTTCTGCCTCGCGGGGCGGGACCCCGAAAAAGCCGGCGTCGAACGCGGCAAGGCTCTGATCCAGGAAGTGGCCGCCCTTCTGATTCGTCGTCCCACTGACCTCAGTATCGGGGTGATAGAAGGAGGACCAGTTGAACCTGTCCAAAGGGACCTCGGACCAGCCGTGTCTCCCTTCGGCAGCTATCGACCATAACTCCTCTGGGCTACTGGCACCCCCTGGGAATCGGCATCCCATGCCTATTACGGCAATCGAGATTGGTTCTGGTGAAGACATGATGATTTTGTTAACAAAAGGTTTCTTTCTCTTAGCAATGTCGAGATTCGATTCTATCACCTTAACCACCTATCCACATAATATAGTCATGCCTCTCTCTATATATGTCTCTTGTGGAGCACATCGAAGCGAGTTAATAGGTAAAGATGTAGGGAAACTTATTCTCACCCAAGGGGGGGAATATTGACCCAAAGCTTCAAGGATCTAAAGCAATAGTTCTTTAGTTGGAAGAGAACCCTAGAGAGCGTCGCACCTCGAGCAACGGTACGATCCTCATCCGTTGGTGATGAGGTCGAGCATACGTGTACCAGACTCGAGACACCTGCCGTCCCTAGTGCGCTGTTGGGATCTGAGCTCGAAGGTCCGATGCCGATTGATTCGACTTACACAGGGAATCGAATCCTCGAAGCAACGTATGGCAAGACATTTTGCGCTATGGTTTGGGTGCATTGAGACATGAATACGGTTACCAGTCAGCATGCGAAAAGCCTATGAGGGCTTGGTGTGGACATATTATACGCAACCTGCATGATATACTACCCCTTTTTGAGGCACATTGAGCCCTATCCGCGTCAGGGTATAATATAGATCTGCCGAATACTTGGACCCGAACAGGGCACAGCAAGATACTGGGAAGGGTCGAGGCTCCTACCGCATATTCAAGGATGTGCATACTCATAGCAGCATCCGTCCGAGGCCCACAGAGTGCTGCCTATGGTAAGAATACAGAAGTTCAGAGTATTACATAGGCAAGGAGAGGACACAGAAGATGAAGCTCTGCAGTGTATTAGATTTGCTAAATCGCGTCACCTCATAAACTTTGGCCACTATAAGATCATCTAAGAAGAGCTCGCAACGGCTTATTCCGTCTCGCATAGATGTTGCCTCCTAAGGATCAACAGACTATTGGGTGCCGATAGTTGGCCCGGGAGGATCAGCAGCATAGGGGGTATGAGAAACTAAAACAAGCAAAAAGAACACCCCTAGAAAGTGGGTTCGAACAGTCTGGGGTTGCATTACTCAGACCGATGGATCTTCCATGTACGTGACAGCTGCATGTCTCTTGGTCTGTAAGTGATAGAGGAATATGAGAGTCGGCCGGTGCTGTTTATGTGAGCAAAGCAACGAAGAGGTTAGTAATCCGAGAAACACAGGCTGATAATAATCCCGTTGGTAGGACTGCAGAGTGAGCACAGGGGTTAAGGCTTACCCAATCATGATAGCGACGGGCAACTGGCTCCATTCTCTGAGGCGAATATGAAGATGGGCTAGGTATGTTACATAGCTCGGCGAGCCACGTGCCGTGCTGGATGGAAATACGGAATGTTGGCCTCCCTGGTCTGATATCTGCGGTACTATTTTACGATTAGCAGCGTGCTCAACACCACGACAGCAGCCCGCACCTAGGTACTTATCGTATATACCTATATAGTAAGCATACGTACCTACGTCTAGCACAATAACAAGAATCTGAGATACTAGTCCGCCGTCACATACAACCATTGCCAGCTCGCCTCCCGGATAGCTTGCTAGCAGGAGGTGAGCGGTCACGAAACCCATCGGCCGCCGGTTCATCCCAGCGTTCTCGTGTAGATGGCATGATCCCAGGCAGCCTTAGGAAACAAGCCTTGATCTGAAAAAGACGGCGCGGCACGCCCCCTACGACTGTGGTCAGGCTCGTACCGTACCAAGGTTACAACAGAGACCGTAAACCGGAACACATGCAGATAAACTACGAATCCGACCTGTCACCACTCGACTTTGGCCCCCAGTTAGTCCATGGGAAGGGATGCGACATACGTGGAGGGCAGACCTTTTACCCCCTTCTCCGAGCTTAGCATGCGGAGCCCGCGTACTGGCGTGAGGACTGCTGCCTGTCTGCCCAAGTCCTCACGCAATCGTGGATCCGATGGTAGCGCTACACCGTGGCTCGACTGGGCACTTGTCACAGTGCGTTATTTCCAGGGACACGCATACTCAGATTTACTCCTGATCAACCACGGTGAAGGCCGAGACTTTTCCATCTCAAAACCTCTTGCCTTTGGAAATCTAGATTAGAGTATCCTGACTAACATCTTCCGCCGTTGGTGGGCGGTTAACGAAGCCCATAGGAGCGGAAAACATGGGCCATGATCTGACTAGCGGATCGGATACCCGTCGTGCAGATCGCCATTCATGCAGTCGCTATTCCGAAGTGTAAAGCGATCCAGGAGCTCTGCAGCGGGGCCACCCAGCGAGTGGAGTCCGCGATCTCCTGCGGCTGGTCGTGAAGATATTCACTTCGATGTTGGTATTACTCTAGACATTTTGTCGATTGCACGAAAATGTAAACCCTTGTGGGCGAGGGCACAAGCTTATACATCGGTTGATGTCACGTCTCAGAAGTCCGGCCAGTCAGTCTTTCCGCGCGATTGGAATTTAGACGTACGGTGACCTAACTCTACGCCCCTCGCGATCACGCACATAGCTAATTTAAATAGTTTTCCAGTATTAGCTCTACAGCCTTACTTCCAGAGCTCACACGGCGGCTCAGCTATTCTAGTCGACGGCCGCGTCTATCGTTACTATTCTCATCGGGGCGATCATAATGCTTACTTCCACCCTAAAGGCTGTTATCTCTTGAATGGCATGAACAGGGCCGGAGCCACGGCTCAAGAGGGATAACCAGTGTTGAAACACTAGTTGAGAACCTGGCCTACCCCTTCACGGGGTGGTTGGTGTTAATACCGCACTCACCGCCATGCGTATATTACCACAATCGACGACAACCACGAAGTGGCAAGAGGAAACGCGCAGTCGACGACCCCCGTAACGGCGATAGGAACACCACTCTCGGATCTAGAAACGTTGGAAACCAAGATCTCAGCCTTCCTACTACAGTTCGACGCTCTGACTGCACCACATATACATCCCAGGGCCATCTGTAAGCGCCTACGTCCTGCGACTTATAGATACAGGCTTATAAGGGCGGGTTTCCTACGTAACAGAGCATTATACCATTTGAACACTTAGATAAGGGCTGTTTGTCGGGTCAACGAAGGTCACCAACTTTTTAATGGACTGAGCGTCTGCTTGATCTCTACGTGTAGGTGCATGCAGTCCGATACGTGAAAACATGGGTGCATACAAGTACGATTCCTTATATGATAATTACCTGCATAAGATTCGGCGTCCTCAGTTGAGCGGAATGACTCCAGTGAATAAATTAGTGACTTAAGTGCTAGTGAAGCTCTAATAGCAATCGTCATCCTGCCAATTCCGGCACCGTATCCGTGATCGTCTCCCGTATTTGTATCGTCAACCGGGGATAGCTAGGGACGTCGTTAAGGGCCAACCCTACCACCCGAGTCGGTATCCTTCGCTCTTTTGGACCTGAAGACGGTCTACAACTTACGCCGTCCATCCACACCCACCTTATACCATGATATCTACTCCTCGCCCGGAGGCACACGCCGGCACCATAGAAACCCTCTCCGCATAGGCCGCGTTCCCGTGATTAGGAAGAAGCGCGGCGGCTCCCTCCCGCCGGCATATTAGGATCGGGCTCAGCGTTTTGCAATTGCGCAACTCGTATTCTTGTTCAACATAAGAAGCGAAACCCCCGTGGAACCACCGCGACGCAACCTCTTCGCACAACCCCGGCCCAGCCACCCATTTCTCGTTTTAAACAAAAGTAAGGATCTCAACTCTCTTAGCTAGTCTCCCTGTTTGCCGCCAGTCCACCCCATGTCCCTCCTCCTCCTCCTCCTCCTCCTCTTAACCCCTTTTCCCAGTCCCCCCTCCCCTCCTCACGGATCCACAAACAGCACCGGCCCGCACCGGACCTGAGAGCACGTCCTGCCGATCTCGGCCTCGTTGCGCTCGATGCCGCCGAGCGTGTAGCCGGATCCCGGGTCGCCGTCGGCGCTGCACACGGCGCGCACGCCCTCGCGCGGGCACGCCGCCATGTAGTGCGCGCGCTCGGGCTGCGGCTCGCTCAGGCAGCAGCAGCACACCGACAGGTCCTTGTCCTCGTCCGGCGCCGCCGTGGCGGAGGGCAGCGGTGCCGCCGTCGTTGCCGCCGTCCCCGTCGCCGTCGCCGCTGTGAACAGCGACATGATGATCGTCGCCTCGTCCGGCGGCATCGAGAACGACAGCTGCCGCGCCGCTGCGGCCCCCGGCGCGAGAGGGTTCGCGGCGGCCGGGCCCAGGCCGAGGCCCGCGAGCGCGAGCACGAGCGCGAGCGCGTTGGCGTGGTGGCGCATGGTGGCTGCGGACGAAGGGTCGAGTAAGGTAGAGTGGGTTCGAGCAGAGGCGCTATAGGTTGGTAGGTAGGTATGTAGGTAAATCTCGGATGGTGGCTTCAGAGGCTATAGCAGAGCGTATTCAGAGGTGACATGCGATATGCCGGGTACTATGATGCCCTAAGAGCTGGGCACGCGGCAGATATATAAGCAGGCGGGTGGGTAGACATCAGAGAGACGGCGAGGCGTAGCCTCACAACTACCGGCCAGATAGTTAATTTGCATAACCGCCCCCGTGAGACGATCTCTCGCGGTGGCGCAACGGCGGAGTGGCATGCACGTACGTGATACATAGTCGCGCCCCGACACGACCTCGCACATTAAAAGTAGACTCGCCTAAATTATTCTCCCTCCGGATGGCACAGATCTCGGGGCGTTTTCTTCCCGTCGCATGTCATCCCGTGATTTCGTTCTCCTGTTTTTCCTCCTTCGATCGCCACCCAGTTCCCATATTTGTCTACCGGTGCGTGGCTCGCCTGCAACGTCGCGGTTTAGGACTTTCATTCCTCCTCCTCTAGTGTCGCCGTCGGGCGTCTGCAGCCCTATTATTGCCCTCGGACGGGTAGAAGCGAAGGGTAGGTTCGCTAGATTTAGGCAGAGAGTCGGGTGTAGGCTAATTACCCAAAATATCACATTCACGCAGGCGTAATTCTCACACCCCAGGCGATCGATTCTGGGGTGTTCTACGAAGGTCTAGTAGTCTAAAAATAGGATGGGTAACGGGGATATATCAGATTAGATAGACGTGGGAACACAACGTTCGACAGTGTTGTGTGGGTGTTTGTTTGGATAAATACGTATTTCCCAGAGAACACTCCCAGGCTTTACTCCTATCTAAAAGATGCCTATGGACCGAACTCGAAATGCATACATGCTAATCGGGATACTCGTGGGAGAACCGCGAGCTCTGCATATGCTGTAAATGTGTAGATAGAGCCATTCCGCGTAATCGCGTTAGTGAAACCACCATTAGTTACAGAGTTGACTTGTTCTGTTGCTTTACGCATCGATTGCCTTTACTAACTCCTACTTGCCGCTTAACTTGGGCGTTACTTGAGATAGGATTAAGAGAACAGAACTATCGAAACTAGTTTGGGTGGTGGATTGCAGTTCTTGAAGTTCTGAAATTAAAAATGTTTATTTTTCTCAAGGGAATAGATTCAAGCCATCAGGGTCTCATTTCTAGGATCTCTTTTCTACTCCTCCCCCTCCCCTCCCCTGAGGACCTAAGTCTTCGTCCTAGTCGACCAGTTTTAGCAGTGGAAATGTTACTCGACAAGCATGCAGTTGGCCTTGACGGGCCAGAGACGCGTCACGACTACGTTTAATACAATGCGCTGGATGAGTTTCGGTAGGAAAACGCTCGATCACATCGCTGTTCACAACTGGTCCATTGTGACGCCTATTACACTAAAAATAGTAGGTAATATGTCATTATTGCATGTAAGCCTACCTCGATGAGAATGTCACCTTAACTACGTAGGGCGCTTGCAAACTTGTTAATAATACCGTAAATAGCAGTGCAAGCTTACGTTCAAATTAACTACATCGTCACTAAACTAGCTTGTCAAGGCAGCGGCAGAACGGACCGTACCCACTTCGGCTTGAAGACCCGACTCGAGTACGTGAGCTGGATAGTAGTGAAAGAGTCGTAGATCTTGCGTTGATGCTTACACGGCCGGCTGATCTCCCGACCTGGATTGTGAGTACATATATAGTTACTTTAACCGGGACTTCTAGATGATGCTAGAATAGCTGCCAGAAACTTCGAATTGTATCTCCTCCCACACACTTATGACACACTATGATAAAACAGATTTGAAGTAGTAAGAAAAAAAGAGTCCAACGCTACCGTTTAGGCCGTAGTAGGGCTACAATAGCTTCATAACCCCCCGCGGTAGCATAGAATAACGGCGTCCCTCGTGATTTACTCTTCAAATCGGCGTCAGCTCCCCTTTCGAGTAACAGCTTTACTATAGCCTCGTGACCCCCTCTAGCTGCATACGATAGCGGTGTTCTTTTATAGTTATCTCTCGAGTTGACTTCGGCGCTTCTATCAAGTAATAGCTTTACTATAGCTTCGTGGCCTTCTCGAGCGCCATGTAATAGCGGCGTTCGTTTGTGGTTATCCCTCGGATCGACTTTGGCGCCTTTATCGAGTAATAGCTTTACTATAGCCTCATAACCTTCTGTGGCGGCGTGTAATAGCGGCGTTCGTTTACAGTTATCCCTTGAATCGACTTTGGCGCCTTTATCGAGCAATAGCTTTACTATAGCTTCGTAACCTCTTCCGGCCGCATACAATAACGGCGTTCGGTTATATTCATTTTTCAAATCCACTTCGGCGCCTTTGTCGAGTAATAGCTTCGTGACCGTTATATAATTCCTCTTAATGGCACATAATAACGGCGTTTGGTTATAGCTATCCTTTAAATCAACGTCGGCGCCTTTTTCTAACAATAGCTTCGTGACTATTATATAGCCCCTTCGAACGGCACATAATAGAGGCGTTTGGCCTTCTTGATCTTTCGAGTTAACGTCGGCACCTCTTTCAAGCAGCAGCTTCGCGACCGTTGTATGATTCCTCCCGGCAGCATAGCTGAGCGGTGTCCGCCCGTCGCTATCCTTTGAATCTATGTCGTGTTTCTGTCCATGGAGCATATCGGCCAGTACACCATTTACTCCCAAGCATGCCACTAAGTGCAATCCCGTTGTTTGCCTCGGGAATTGTTGACTATAACCAGGGAGTCCCCATCCCTTATTAGCCCGGAGTGCTTGGCTCGACGCCTCGACATTCCTTTGGCTTTCAAGAAAAGTGATGACCCCTTGGCTTACTGTATTAGCCTCCCGAGCATGATGTCCCCAATGCTGTGCGGCGTAGCCATAGAGCGGATTGAGTCGTAGTCGCTCTTCAAACTCGGCGTCTGATTGGCAAAATCCACTCTCGAAAACGCTAAACGAGAGATAGGTAGCGCAGACGGTCGTGATATCGGTCTGTGCATTCGGGAATTGGTGTTTCTGCATCCGCTCAAAATACTCCTGTGTCGTGTAATGAACCAGCCGGATGATGCCACTTTCTTCGTCGACCGTGGCCAGCCCAGCACACACTGAGACCATATCTTCAATTTGTGGAAGGTTATCTTCGTCGAGTTCTGATGCTCCGGCTTCGACAGCAAGTGCATGCCGGAGTTCCAACGTGGTCAACGGTCTCTTTGCGCAAGTGATCCATGACAGAACCTGTTTAGCAAGCTCTGCCTGGTCACCGACCTGTCCTTCGATCCGGTCCATTGCATCATCGTATGCACGGTCATACGCTTCAGAACCCCTAGGCAGTTTTACCAGAGCGGTTCGAACAGCCTTCGGGGATCTCTTCCCGATCAAAGAATCCAGGTGAAGTTGCGCGAGTAAAAACCTTGCCAAGTTAGTTTAGCTCCTATATATAAGTACGTATAGAGCAACTTACATGCCGTCGACAGCTTTGATGATCTCAGATTTGATCTCCTCTTGCAGGTCTGGACTTCGTCTGACAAAGGATGGTAGGTGCGATATGTGACCGTCTACGTATCTCCGCACGTCATGTTCGCTGGCTCGAATCTCCAACGACAGGCTGCCCTCGAATTTCTCTGTAATCTCGGGAATAAATCTTGACGTCGCGAAGACGTTGACTCCAGACTTGGCTTGGAGGTCGAAGATCTCTGAAAGGAGTTTTGCTCGGCAGCCACCGATTGCCTGGCATTCGTCGAGGGCGTCAACCGTGACGAAGACCCTCGAATACAGAGCAGCCACAGAACGGAGAGCTCTCGATATTTCGTCGTATGATGGCCGCGTCCGCTTGCCTTTGTGCCTTTCGTAGAGAGACCTCACGCTGTCTGGCAGAGACGGCCGGTCTTGAGCTAGCTGTTTTAGCAGACTGGCGAGGAGGTCTCCGGCCCCCTGCTCGTCTTGCCGCCGGAAGTTGCAATAGACGTATGCAAGACCGATGCTCTCGTCATTATTGAGGCGAGTAGTGAGCTCGTCGACCACAATCGACGTGAGGATTGTCTTTCCCGCTCCGGGAATGCCTGGGCAAAAGAGGGTCTGCTTGTCGGCCTCCACCCACGCCTTGAACTGTGCTGAGTCCAGGAGCCACTGGCCAGTTCCAGCTTGCCGACGATTGATGAAATCAAGTTGCTGCGGAGCGAAGTCAACTGGCGTGAGCCAGTCGAGGATATTTTTTTGTTCGTCGCAGGCTTCCCGACTGTCGTGGCGGTCACGCAACTGATTCAGAGTGCTATGCATCTGCTGCTGCTCTCTCCTGCTCTCTTTGACTTCCCGATGGGTGCTTGCTGCTAGCGCGACTGCGTCGATAGCCACCAGGTTATTCAAGGCCACGCATTGCCTGTGAAGATTCTCTACTGCCTCCCGCGTTTTCGTGGCATGAAAGGCTCCTTTTAATCGCTCCCATCCGACTCGGTGGCCCTGAGCCCGCTTCCTGAAGTCTTCAAGGAGACTTTCCAGCTCGACTCGACAGGCCGACACCATCATCTGGGTGTCTGTCGGCGCCGGAGCTCCAAACTGCGAGAGCAACGTGGAATGCCGACCGTGAAATGCATCCACAAAGTCTTGATTGAGTATGACATTTGTGTTCGTTTCGGATAGGACTGTTTTCAGAGCCTGGAGCTCGGCCATGAAGCTCTTGGCATCGTCAGGTGCATCTTTCCAGTCCAGGCCAAGCCGGACGCCGATCTGGATGAGCTGGCCCGCGACGCCGACGACACCAATAATCCCGAACGGATCAGCCATTTGAAATGGGGGTTGAGAAATATGCAAAAGTATTCGCTCGAATGTCTCGGCGAGAGAGGAGAAGGTCGGAACCTCGCTAAAAACGGGGCAAAATCCTTCCGTACCTCGCGACGCTCAGCCACGGCCACGCCGCCTCGTCAACCTGGAGATGCAGGTACACGTACGGCTTCGACTGGCTACAGCAGGATGATTTTACACCGCAGCATCAGGGTAGAAATTCGTTCCGGATCAAGCCTTTAGTGAGCGAGGCTCTCTCCGATCCAGCTTCCATAACGAATCTGCTTGTCTCGCTCCATTGCAAGCGGCCCCGAAACGTTGGCTGAATTTCCCGTTCGAACAAAGTGTCTGTCGTGACGGCTTTTCCTCCTTACGTACAAAGCACCTATATGAGTACCTAGGTATTGCGTAAAGCCACACAAGCCACAGGCTGACCCCGCGGTCCTTGGAAAAGTTACCTAGGTAGGTACCTAACTAAGAACCAGCGACACCTGATCCACCTTCCACCGTACAGTATCCCGGCACGGTATTGTGTGTACTCCGTTCGGAGCACGAGTATAGGCATCTGGTTTACGTCCTGAGCGTGCTGAAATCCGGCCGATGAGGCTTGGTTGCCCGTGGAGTTTGTTGGGTCCGTTTCTGGAGCTTGGGATAGGTAGGTTAAGCTCCGGACCCGACTCATTAGCAGTGTCGGAAAGGTCTCGGGACGTTCGGGCATTCCCGAGATGCGATACGGTTTTAACAGGGCACATAACGGGCTATTCCACGGTGAGCACCAGGAACACACTAGGTTCGTATTTCGCATAGACAGATTCTTATCCTGTTACTTCAACAGAGCAGAAGCGAAGGCTTTCTGGAGTATAGACTCAGCGATCAAACAAGCCATCTGTCTTGCCGCTAGGCTTCAAGCGACTTGACATATAGAGCGAGGCAGACTTCTATATGGGTTAGAAGTTTCGCACAACACTTAAGCCGTCCACCATTCCAACCACTCGTCCGCGATTTCCACGAACCCTAGACGCCCTAGCTGCCGGGACACCAACCGTCTCCAGTCTGACCGTGCATCTTCATCCCCAACCGGGAGGTCCATTCCACTGGATATGCAAAACTTGGTGCGAATCCACTCCACAGGTACGAAACCGGCAGTCTCCCAGTCGATTATTCCGACCGAGTCTTGATTGGCAATGATGTTTCCCGGACCCAGGTCACAATGATAGAAGACGAAGGACGAGCAATCCATGCCCAACTCCCTACAGTTGTTAAGTAGGTGCTGGGGGTCGCAGTTTTTTTCGGCCTTGAGCTTGTTGAGAAAGGTATCTGGCAATTCGCGGCCGTCGACGCCGCTGATAGCGTTGCTCTTCCACGTAGCTAGCTCCTGGCAGGTAATGGCGACACGATGGGCATAGTTTTGTCTAGCCGTGTCGTCCAATCCAGGCCAAACTTCGGCGAGCGTCGGGCCCGGCACCCTGCTTAGGACAATGTAATATCGCCCGTCAAACTCTCCGTGATAATGCACATCCGGGATGTCAAAGTTGAGAGATCTGTTCGCGCGGAGATAGTCCAGAGTCACGTGTTCTCGGGTGGCGTTTGGCAGAGCAACTTTCTTCACTTTGATGAAAGCTTCTCCGACGCGCCAGACGGCAGAAACGCCGCCGGCATCGTAGACTTTCTTGATGCCGCTCGTATCTGATAGTGGTATAGACTCCGGTAAGGCACCGGGGACCTCGGAGAGGACATAGAAGGAATCCTTGCCGTCGCTCCAGGACGGCTGATCAGACGGCGGTGAGGGCTGCCGTAACAGCACCAGCTTGTCAGCAATTAGCCAGGAACAATTGCTGATCTCCCGGATAGACTCATTGATAGGAGGATTCTCCGTACGCATGGCGCGTTACGGATGAAGTACGGCGTAGCGGGTACAAGCTGGTAAGTTGTTCGTTGGGGCTGCTCAGCTCGATCAAAGATTTTGGTAGGTGGTTGACGGCCAGTTGCGGTAATGCTGGCTGCCGAGCCATTAATTAGCTTCCGCCGTCATATTCCTGGCAAACGAGAGATGGGATGCCTCTTCTTATGTTCTCTTTGCCTCCATTTATACCGGCAAAGGAACAGCATCGTCGAAAACATGCGAACATTGAAGCAGACAGCAACGTCGCAACTCAATAAGGAGGGCGAAGCCATCCATAAGAGGCCGAGCCCCCCGCACACAATCACTCGCGACAGGTACCTACCAAGGCATATTACCATTTCACAAATCGGGTTGCGTCGTCTCCCCTCGTGTCCTGATCGTAAGCCAGTTTCTCCATTAACATTTACATCGTGAGTATCTACGCGCGCATCTACCTATGTAGTCCTAACCTCACCTCAACCACAGCACAACGTCGGCTCCTCGAGGCTCGCCGCCGACGCCTTGCCTGACCCATCCCCGCTGCCTCCACCCACGACGACCTTGACGACCATCCAGTCGCACAGGAACTTGCCCACGCCGGCGCCGATTATTATGGAGATGATGATGTAGCCGTTGAACGCCATGGCGATCAACATGAGCACGTACGCGACGCCAAAGGACGCGGCGTGGAGCACCGCGCGGATAAGCTGCTGCAGCGGCGACGCCCGATACGTGACCACGGCCTGCTGCTGCGCACCGCTGCCTTCTAACCTGGACACCTGCGCTCGTGCCGCCACGTGCTGTTGGAACTGGCGTAGGATGAAGCCGTCGTACTCTTTGCTCACCCTCCGCAGCACCTCGAGACAAATGACGAGCAGGAAGACGCCGATGCACGAGGCCGCGAAGGCGCCCTCGGTCTGGATACGCCACGTATCGGAGAAGAAGCCTAAGTACGGGTTGTCAGAAGGGCGTTCTCCAGACTAGCATTGCCACCGAATCCGCCTCCCGAACAGGCACGCCATATACGTACATGCGCCAATCGTGTCCCAGTTCCACGACATCTGCAATATTCTAGTTAGTTTTCCGTCCACCCGGTTCGGTCGCAATGCGAATTGGCAGGACGAACGTTGTGCGTGCAGGAAGCTGTTTCGTTCCCAGACGTCGACCCGTGATCCATGGCGACGGTTAATTTATTTCACAGGTCGGCAAAATTGCTGGGTTTCCCGTTATGTGCGAGCGGAAGAAGACCGACAGGTCTCCAGGAACCCGTAACAGCACTAGCCTCTCGCCTGATTGAGCTCGGAGCGAGAACGGCGTGCTCGATGTGTCAAGGTTTCGAAAGCTTGAGTCGGCTCTTCGTCGACTCCCTTCGCGATGGACGGGGTACGGGGGGGGAGGATATCGCACAACCGGACGCTGGTAAGGTGTTTGAAGATAGCAGATAGCAGCCCCTTATAAGAAAGGAAGAGCATATAAGAGCAAGATTAGGCTCACTAGGCAAGCCGACCGCCATAAGATATTATATCAGTAGTCCGCAGGGCAAGGGACCGGGCGGCCCGCGCACATACGCGTACATTAGCATGTGCGTTATGGCCTTACCCAGCGCCCCAGAACCGGGTCTTCTCGTCCTTCTCTCTTCCCTCCACTCTCCCACCCTTTCGCCAAGCAGCGGGCCCGTCCCTAGCGATAGCAACTCAAGTGGGGGAGGGGGAGACGGCAATGGATGGGGGGTTTTACCTATCAGGGTTGGAGGTTGGGCGGATCGTCCGCCTCGGCCGGGCTCGTCTCGTAGGCGGACTAATTTGTCATTGGCGGCGATGGATGTCGAACCCTGGAACGCCAAGCTATTACGACCCCTGGAAAACGTGCTCAATCGTTCTCAGACCTTTCCCTTTCGGACAGCGTCCTTCGCGATGCCATCAACAGTATCTGTTTTGGGACTGTCGTGCCGTCGCATTCTCGGGCTATCTTCACGACAGCTGACGGCTTTTCGAAATGTCGAGCACGTTGAGCACGTTGAGCACGTTTCCATCATGGCACCGACAGAGGAACGACCGTGGCATCGGCTTGTCTTTCCCGTTTCATACAAAATCCATCTTGGATTCCTTGATCATGACGCCACCCCTCGAATCCTATCCCCCTAGTCCAACCCACGTATCTGTGTGCGAGTGCGGGAACCGTTGGATTTATATACGTCCGTTGTGGTTGGACGGCCTCTGACATGGGGGACGACTAGACTTGTTCCGCGCATACATATATCCTGTGGGCGTGTTAGTCGATGGATACATGTAAAGAACAGAATCGTACCGATCGAGTGACTCCTGGTAACAGCGGCAGATCAACGCCGACGGACGGGGGACAGGGGCCAGGCATTTCCTGCGCCTATATTAAAATAAAGGGCTTCCCGCCTCTCGGGCCGCGCTAATACTCCTCGGTTCTGTCACCATTCAACAGCCCTCCTCCTCTCAGTCGCCTTTTCGGCTACCCTTCTACCGTCGGTTGTCCCGTCTCTGGATCGAGCTTCTCGAGACAAGATGGCGACCTTGGAGACTCACCTCTCCCCCCGCCACATTCAGGACTTCAGCCAAGCTCAGGGACTACAGAAGCATTGGGGCTACGCCGACAGGGTCGTTCCGTGTACCAACGATGTCGGATCCTGTGAATATCTGGACCAGGTGTACGCGGCTCATGACCAGACCATGGTCTTCAGTGGCATATTCTGGGCCATAGTCGCGGGTATCCTGTTTCTCTGGGCCATCGGAAGGAAGGTATTCCCCTCCCGCCGCGCGGACCAGGTCATCCCCACCACCGCCGACAGCGAAAGCCAGGCGGCGAAAGCCGGCCGCGCTTGGCGGTTGCGGAGGACGGCCGCGTCGCTAACCCGGCGTTACTTGTTGCCGGACTCGATCCGATCCGTCTTTGGTCGGACGACACGACTCCAGGTCCTCATCCTGACCATCCTAGCCACGTATCTACTCATCTTCAGCTTCGTCGGCTTCGCATATCGGACCTGGATCACGCCGGTGAAGAATATGCCGGGTGTATACAACACTAGAACGAGTCTGGGCCCGTGGTCCGACCGCGTCGGCGTATACGCTTACGCTCTCACGCCGCTGTCCATTCTGCTCTCCAGCCGGGAATCCATCCTCTCTCTGCTCACCGGCCTCCCCTATCAGAGCTTCAACTTCCTTCACAGGTGGTTAGGCTACATCATCGTCATCCAGGCCTCGCTACATACCATCGGATGGTGTATCATAGAGATACGGCTGTACCAACCTCAACCCAAGGTCGCCGTCGAGTGGATCAGGCAGGTGTATATGATATGGGGTATCGTTGCTCAGATCCTGCTCCTATTGCTGTTCGGCTTGAGCACTCCATGGGGTATCCGTCTTACCGGCTACGAGTTCTTCCGTAAAGCGCATTACGTCCTAGCGATGGTGTATATCGGGGCTTGCTGGGGCCACTGGCACGACCTTGACTGCTTTCTGATCCCGGGATTGGTTATCTGGCTATTCGACCGCGGCATCAGGTTCTTCCGTTCGGGACTCGTCCATTACCAATATCTTCCCGATGGGACGATGGGGTTTAGGGCAGCTCACGCCTCCTTGGCGCGATTCCCCGACGCTGAATACGGCGACGTCGTCCGGATGGACTTTGACCACCCACAGGAGCCGTGGAAAGTCGGGAAACACTTTTACCTGTGCTTCGCCGAATCAGGCATATGGCAGTCACATCCCTTTACGCCGCTGAACCTCCCCAAGGTCCAAAACGGTCTCGTCTCTCACGCCTATATCTTCAGGGCGAAGAAGGGCGAGACCAAGAAGGTGGCGGAACTGGCCGAGAAGAAGCTAGCCGCGGCCCCCAGCGCCACGACGCCGCTGATCCTATCAGGTTCGTACGGCGAGTCGATCGTGGAGGACTTGACGCCCGACGTCAATGTGCTATGCGTGGCAGGCGGGACGGGTATTACGTACGTCTTACCGGTTCTGCTCGGTCTGGCGGAACAGCCGGCGGTGAGGGATCGGAGGATACAGCTGGTCTGGGCAGTCCGAAAGACGGACGACACGCGTTGGGTCGAGAGAGAGCTCGACACGCTCCGCCAGGCAGCCAAGACGCACAAGATCGAACTCCACATCTACGTGACGCGGGAATCCGGCAGCAACACCGGGTCGGACAGTGACGAGAGGTTGGAGAAGGAGGTGGCCGTGAAGGAGACAGGGCTATCTGCCACTTGTCTCGGTTCGATCCAGACCGACCAGGCTGGGTCAGCCATCGACATCCAGAGGATTGGCGGCGAGGGATTCAACAGGCACCCCGAGCTCGAAAAGCTGGTCAAGGAATTCGTAGAGAACACGGTGACAGGACCGACGACGGTTTACGCCAGCGGCCCTGGGGGAATGATCAGCGACCTACGGAGCGTCGTGGCGTCGTGCAATGATGGCTCAAAGGTGTGGCAGGGAAATGAACGATACGACGTTAAGCTGGTATGCGACGACAGACTCGAGTGGTGAAAGAAGAGTAGCCGTTCGAAATAAAAATAATAATAATAGAGCATAGATCCTCCCCAGATGTCCTACCGGGCAGAGTGAGTGGGATATGGCTGGGCGTATCGCGTCCTTGTTCGTGTTGTGGTTGGGAAGTTTGTTCCAGATCTCCGCCTTCTGACGGCCCGTATCTGTCCAACCTCCCTGGATGACACCTGGGCACAGAACCATGCAGTGTCTTCCCCCTGGGTACGCGTCTCTATGCCGAGTTACCCGGCTGTTGGATGTAAGCATATAACTTATCGCGGTCGTCGGTTGCATTATGAGTACACCCTACACGCCCTACATAGTCTCCGCGTCGCCTAGAACGATGCGAAGTTAAACCTAAGGCAACTAGCGTAGGGCTATACGGACGCATTTTCCCCTTTTCCCTTTTTCTTTCTCGCCTGGTATGTTCCTGGCTACCTCTAGTGTCAAGCAAGGGAGTGGGTTAGTGGCCGGTCAGGGGTAAGGCGCCAAGCGCGGAGCGAGGCACCTTGACGTCCTCTTCGAGATCGTGTGAAGGACATATATTTTCTTTCTCTCCCTCAGCGATCCCGGCACTGCCATACCGCTACGATATATATATATATATATATAGAGAGAGAGAGAGAGAGAGAGAGAGAGATGCTACCGCTCAGCATCAGCTCGACCGGGTCCGGTCGTATACGGTATGCACACGACCCTAACCGTGGTCGTATCTCAGGCTTGCCAAAATCACGTAGTTCAAAAACCCCTCCCCTCTCAGAACTAGCACGTTTTGAATAACATCATATTCTAGATCCGCTCTTCTTTTCCCACATTCTCCGTGATGCAGATGCTTGCTCGTGCTATACATTCCCCGATGTGTTTTTTATCCCTCCAACCCCGACTCTAAGTAGAACTTTTCTCCGTATTCAGGGCATCCCAAGTCCGTCCGTGTGCATTTCGCGCTGGTGGTATATATACATAGCTTGCTGTAAGCTACCACGTTGTTCTCTGCTATAAGCTATTCCGTTGTTATCCGTGCGGACGCCCACTCGCATTTATACATTGCTCGACGCGTCGCCCTGTCCTCTTGTACCTCCGAGGTAGGATTTCTCTCGCCGCCGCAGGCGGCGGTCTCGTCGATACTTCGCGTATCCTCCTACTCGGCGGTATCCTAGAACGTGCTCGCAGATGTCGAGCTAGATAGGCGACGGAGTAGGGACCTGATGACGACGAGAGAAGTATACGCCACATTCGTGTGTCATCTCGTGCCGTCTGCCCAGCCGTCCTCGGATATCGGTCAGATAGGTATAGGGTTCTAGAAGATGAAGCTCAACAACCAGGTTGACCATGGGCGATTGGGAGTGTTCGGCGCTTTTAGTTTATGCAAGCAGTAACTGGCGTGGTTACGGGTGCGGTGGCCGTCGCATTGGCAGCGACAGCCCACGCCGCCGGGGATCTCTTCGGCCCAGGTGCTCTGGGCGTTATTCAGCGTCTCTGAGTCGGGTAGCTGACCGCCCGGGGCGTTGGCGGGGCATTGGTAATACCAGTCATGTCGATATCCAATGTCGGCAAAGTGATGCACCTGGTGCGGCTCTACAAGCATGTTGACAGCAAGCGAGTGGACAGCCGCATCACCCCACTAAAAGCATCTCGTTTAGTAAGACTCGTGGAGAGGTTAGGGGGGAGGATAGGTAAGGATGTTGGCAGTAACAACAGTAGTTATGACGCCTGGTTTGTGTGTACGAACCCTTTCGAAATAGAAGCCGCCGGAGTGCTCCAAACGCTGGTACAGGTCCTGATATCTGGGACCGCGGAAGAAGTCGAGGTCGGCAATCTCGAAATTGCTCCAGTAGTGGCAGAGGTTCCAACCGTCGCCGGAGCCATCGCGGTGCGAGAACCAGCTGAGCAGGGGCCGAAACGGCCAGGGCACCCAGGACGCGTCGATCGATGCCTTCCACAGAGTGGTGCTTCGGATTCCCATCTCCTCCTTCCAATCTGATACCTCTCGAAAGAGGCTGGGACAGGTGCGCTTCTCTTCCCAGAGGGATATGGTGAAGCCGTACACCTTCTTGTGGCGAGCCATCTCGACGAAAGGGTCGTAGGTGAGGGAGCAGGAGAATTCGACGTCCGGTTCTAGCCGCCAGTACCACTTGTATTTCTTTAGCGCTTCGACCTGGTAAAAGTTCCTACGGGGCGAGAAGACCTCCTTGATTAACATCGAGACCTGTAACGGAGCGAGGACGGGAGAGCTTACCCGGAGAAGAACCTGCACATGTGGTGGTACGTCTCTTTCCCGGCATAGAGGATCTGCTGCTCGCCCTGTTGCTTTATGCTCGCGCGGGCGGCATCGGCGTCCATCCAGGAGGGGAAGGTCCATTGCTCCTTGGGGACGCGCTCGAAGAAGGCCGGGCCGGAGGTGGTGGCATTCAGGGTGCGGATGAAGTCGTCGCTCCAGGGCTCGTCGTTGAGGAAGACGATGGGGTACTGGAACCAGCGGTTGAAGCGCTCCTCGATGCTGCGGACGGAACGGGCGGCCTTGTCGACTTCTTCGTTGCGAGCCAGCATGACGATGGCGGCATTCTCGCGAGGCGCGGTGGTGTCGGGCTCCTGGCAGGAGGTGTAGAAGGGAGCGTCGAGCTCGCGCGGCGGGACGGGTACGTGGTAATGGGCGGCGTGGTAGACGACTTCAACTAGGCAGGCAAGGCCGACGACCCAGAGAACGGGCGACTGAAGCCAGGCGAATCTCCTCCGGAAGCGGAGGCGGTTGAAGACCATAATTCCAAGAAGGTCGAACGGATTTACTATCTTCTCGGCTTTTGTCGTCTTTCTCTGCTGCTACGAGGTCGTGGTTTCAGCCCCCTTGTCGCCGGCATTGGGGGCGCGCTGCCATCAGCCTTATTATGTAGTAGTAACGGGCAGCACGGGGAGGGTGAGTCGGTAAGATTTGTGTGGTATCGCGTTGTAGCTTGGAGGATTGGGACCGGAAGTTCTGGCAAGCCAAGGTGGGATCGGATGGGTTACGTCGCCGCAAAGTCAGGGGGCGGTCACTAACGTAGGGCTACACGCCTCGATAGACGCATACACACAGACACAATTCCGCATCACGGTTTGTGCAGAATTCATGCGAGCCTCGCAGCACATAACATGCGACAGATATAATAACACTTGCCCATCTCCCAAACCTATTAGAATCCCTGCGTCGATAACCTATTCCCATGCCGCATATGCAGAGACTTCAAGCGCATCAGACGGCTCGTTTGCCTTCACCGCCTTCACCGCCTCCACCGCCTCATGTAGACGCCTAGGTACAGGTAGTACGTGTTGGGTTGGGTTACGTACGCGTTCCACCGTTTGGAGTTGCGTAACTGGCCTCTTGGGCGTTCTGATGGGAGCCCAAGCATTTCCACACTCCAAGTTCTGTTACCTAGCTTACGCGGGTAACGCACGCTGGCTGCCCACCTACCAGGTAGGTAGATCTACCCTCCTCTGAGCAGGCGCCCAACCCTCTCCTCTCATCACAGGTTCGCAGATAGATGCATATAAACAAAAGGAAACGAGGGTATACTCATACTTTACGTAGCGCCTTAGGCACCCAGGGCAGCCCCGGTCGGGTCTGTAACCTCCATCCTAGGTTGAGGTAGCGGACCCTTGTTCTATATATATTTCTATGCACATAAGAGGTACGCATGTACGAGACATAGACACATAGGAATATACGTGTACTTAATTCTCTTATCGACAACGCTTGGTACCACCACCCGGCTCGTTAGGCGTACCTATATACCTACCCTAGGCGGCTGCTGCGTGCTGTCACGTCGGCACGCCTGCAGCGTCGTCCCTCCACGCGTTCTCGGCCAATTTGGGGAACCTGCGATACCACCCTAGCCTGCCTCTTTTCTCCTCCCTCCCTCTTCTTCTCGCCTCTCGCATGCCTCCCCGTCTATCCCCTCGTGTGCCTACGGTTAACAACACAGCCGAGCCTGCTTTAACGCCACCGGGCATAGTCATCCCGATCGCCTAAGCTCCGGAGATAGTCAAGGCGCCTTTTTTGGCCTCCGACCGCTCCGGCATTTCCCCCTCCCGGCGTCGAGGCTGTCGGCCCGCCTGACAACGTGACAGAGATGCATCGTGATATGGGATTCTTACGTAGGCGACGCATTTACCTCACCCTGGCCGCTTTCTTCCTCGTATTATTTACCCCTTCTCTCCTGCCCTCTATAATACAATTCGGAGATCACATACGCCAGATCCTTCCTTTCGCCTACCAATGGAAGGTCCAGCAGGATTTCGTCCCTACCCAAGATGAGCTCGACTGCCTCTACGGCCGCGCCGCCGGGCCGGAGACCGCCAGCCATGCGAAGATCGAGCCTATCCCGAACCACGTCCACTTCATATACGGGCTCAGCAACCCTTTCAACAAGCCGAGCGCCGGCACTTTCGATTTCCTCTGCTATTTGGCTATACGGAGCGCCATCGTGGGCATGAAGGCGGACAAGATCTCTCTCCACTATACCTATCTCGCCGATCCCCCGTCCCCCGAGCCGAACGCCTCTCCCTTGTCGAATCCCTGGATACGCCGTCTGAAAGACGACATCGAGCTCGTCTACCATTCGCCCGAGGAGATGGCCGCGCTCAAGAGCTCACCCGGTGCCACCTGGCAAGCGGCACATGTATCCGACATTCTCCGGCTCCGGCTCCTACAACGCGAGGGCGGTATCTACCTCGACATGGACGCCTTTGGCTTCCGGCCCTTCACCGATCTCCTCAAGTCTCCGCGCGATATAATACTAGGTCACGAGGGCGGGAATCGCGGCGGGTTGTGCAATGCTATCATGGTAGCGCGAAAGAACAGCTCCTTCGTGGAGAGGTGGCTCAAAGAGTACGAGGGTGCCGACCTCTCCAAAGAGTGGAACTACCATAGCGTCGTCTTACCTAAGGAGTTGCAGCTGCAGCACCGGGACGAGGTCTGCGCGTTGCCACCGGACGCATTTTTCTGGCCGACCTGGACCTGGGATCACATCGAGTTTATGCACAAGAGGCTGAGCATGGACGAGGCGCGCAGGTGGTCCGCCGAGATCGACAAGAACGGCGGGAGCCTCTACGAGGACCAGGTTGCCTACCACGCCTGGAGCCAGATGGCCTGGGACAGGCATCTCAAGAAGCTGACCCCCGAGATCGTGAGGACACACGACACCCGGTTTAACCTGCTTGTCCGGAATTTCATGCAGGACGACCTGTGAATGCTCTGCCTATACGCACAGCTGCCGTCCTAGTTGGGGTTCCGCCATGTCCTGTCGCAACGTTGAATAAACTGTGGTCAAATGATTAGCCACAGGACTATTCCCCGAATATTCACGCAGTGCCGAATATTCCACCGGGTTGGTTGGCTGGCCGTTTGGGTCCTTGAAAATAGTCCCGGGCCTTCTAGACTTCGCGATCAAATTCATAAGCTCGCCGGGGGTACGGGGTTTGGTGCACAGGCATTGCATGCAGTTCGTATTCGAGGTATATCTACCTATTGGCGTGGTAATGAGCGGTTAGACGTCTATACATTCATGATACCCAGTCAGTTGCCATCTCGCTCTCGATTCCTCGTTACATGTACCGTGGTTAGTGTAGGTAACTTTACAGATAGCATTAAGTGCGTGCGTGGTAGAGGGGAAGCCAACATACTCAGGACACACTCGTATGTGGTATTACAACGGCGAGACATCTTGGTGATATAGTCAATAATTTCTAGCAACTCCTCCGCTCGATCCCCATTGTAGCCCGACTTCAGTATGCACCTTTCAGCTCTGAGCTCTCAGCTCTCAGCCTGTCCTACTACTGATTTCGTAAACCATACATTTTACCTCTACAATTTTCGAAGGAAAGAAACAAAAACTCATAGACCACAGCTGGTTGATTCTACGTAGTCATGTTGTCTCTCCACAAGCCAACCTGTTGCTCAGCTAGAATCGACCGAAAAGCTCCTACCAACAACCAGCCACACGATCCACCAACAAGACACGCTCCCGCCGCTTTCCCAACAACCTTCTAGTTCCTTTGTTTTCCCCTAGCCAGCTTTCTATGCGCACCACGACCAAGTGTCTTTGTCACCTCTTCTTGTTTCAATCAATAAAGAGCCAACACAATCGGTTGTCTGAGGCCATAATGCCTTTACGGGGCAATTTGTGACAAAACAATACCCTTGATCTCTATTCTTCCTCCTCCGCAGCGATAAAAAAAACTGCCTACCCGCCTGGGCCCGCAGCACTCCGGCACTCGTATCCCCGTTTCGTCTAGCCCCTGACCTGACTCCCACTTACTTCATCAACTTCCTACACCTCAGCCACACTTAACACTCCACACTCCACACTCCACACATCACACCACCGCACGCGATGGCGCGGACCAGCACGAAAGACCCCGTCGTCGGCCCGGACGCCCCGATGCCTCCGGGGTACGCGTTCGTGCGGAAGGGCAACGTGTTCATCACGTCGCGGTGCCGGAAGGCGGCGTACGCGGAGGGGCGGGCGGTGTTCGTGGTGGCGGCGGGGGGGCGGGCGCGGGGGCTGCGGGTGCCGCGGGGGGTGCTGGCGGCGGTGCTGGCGGCGCACGGGGCGACGCGGGCGGCGCGGGCGCGCGCGGTGGCCGCGCGCGACCGCCGCGTCGAGGCCGGCTTCCGCGCCGCGCTGCTGGCGCTGTACCCGCGCGCGCCGGCCGCCGACGTGCCCCGCGTCGTGGCCCGCGCCACGCGCAAGCGCAGCCGCCGCGTCGGCCGCTGCGCCGCGCTCGCCGCCGAGCCCCGCGCCCGCCTCGCCGCCCGCGCGCACCTGCGCCACGCCCGCACCGACTACGACGCCCTGCTGCGCGCCGGCGTGCCCCGCGCCGACGCGCGCGCGCGCATCGCCGCCCGCGTCGACGCCCTCGAGCGCGAGTGGGGGCTGCGGGGGGAGCAGCAGCAGCCGCCGCCGCCGCCGGGCCGGGCCGCCGCCGCCGGGCCGGGCCGCCGCCGCCGACGGTCGAGCGGCTGGGCCGCGGGGCAGAAGGCACGCCGCGGCGAGCGCGCAGGCGAAGACGCGCACGCGCCAGGCGGCGCAGGCGAAGACCGGCGCGCTCGCGGAGAAGAAGAGGCAGAGGCGGCGGGCGAGCGCGGCCGAGAGCGCCGAGAAGGAATCGCGCGCCCTCGTCCCGGAGTTGCGGGCGGGCGGCTCGGATCGCCCGGACGACCTGGACGGTCTCGACGACGATGACGATGACGACGACGACTACGGCACGGATGCCACGTGGACGCCCTCGGATGACGAACTAGACGATGTGGACTGGCCACTTGAGTGAGCAGCAGGATTGCTTGCGTCTTCTCGGCCAGACATGCTCGAAGGCCCCTTTCCCTTGCCCGTGTTCGGAGTTCTGGTGAACTTATTTTGTGCGGCTTCTCTGACATGCTAGAACCGCTTCGTATGTATAACATGGCAATAGGGGGTTCTATGAATCAGTGACGGATTCGGCACTATATAATAGACACTGATTAGAACCGCAGGGACTTCATACATCGGCCCTGTTGCACCTACAGCAGAGGGCGTAGACGTAATTTTTCTTACATTTTATGCCCTTTCACGTATCCTACCCACTATACAGTTATGTAGATTCGAAATCCATTGTTTCTAAACCCCTTCATCCTCGTGACTTAGTCTGTCTCCAGAACTCTTTCACCAAATGTTAACACCCATCCTGCGTCTCGAGCTATTTGTCGAGGTTCTCCTTTGCCTGTCTTTTATATACCCCTATCGTGCTACAGAGAACCCGCCTGTCGGCTTTGCAGGAAGTTTCCCCGTTCCCACGACTTGGTGACATTCCTTGGCCGTTGAGTCTCTTAGTTGTAGGGCCGGCAAGGTTCCATTCGTATCTTGTTCACTACTCCTTGATATTGAAGATAACCAGCCTTTTCGAACGTCGTGTCGGTGCCACCTTGCGGCCAACTTCTCAGCACGGTATCCAGATCCTGATATTGACTAGCCATCTCACTCAGTGCACTGTGTGAACGGGCAACACGTGCCAAGGGGAGCCGAGAGATCAAGTCAGCCTAGTCCTCGCCCTACGAAGAATAGAAATGCTCGCAGTTCCCAGATTTTCGTATGAGAGTCACTGTTTTCGCAAGACCTATAGTGATGACGGCAACGGCGAAAGCTTGAGGGTCCTCGGAGCGGGGCCGTCCGGCCGATATCTTGCACCACGAGGACACGCCCACGCCCACACCCACGCCACCACCGCCGTCGGACCTGCAGAAAAGAACCCCCGAGGGCGGAGGGTGGGTTGTCGTGCAGGTCTCCCATACGGCACTTAACCCGGGCTCGCAGTTCCACGTCTTCCCTGCCCGCTTTTGCCCGTGCGGCAATTTCAATGTAAGAGATGGGGTTCGCGGGGAGGATCACGGACGCGTGGGCATCGAACGGAGGCCGGCCAGCTCGTTTGAGCAAGGGCGACGAGGTCGTCTGATTCTTGCTCAGTTCATATATGTATCCGAACGGGTGGTCTCGGGACCCTGGAGAGCCAGACACTGGTCCCTGCACGATGTGCGCTCAAGAAGCCGGACGATGCCTCTCTAGAGCTGAGTGCAGGGTTATTGCTGGCTTCCTGCACATCATCGATGCAGGTCGGCCAAATCAACGTAAAAGCTAAGTCCCAGTATTCGGTGCCAGTGGCGTGGTTGGGACTTGCGCCGTGCAGCTCGTCGGGCATGGGTGTGTGCTCGGGGAGGAACGTAGAGATATCTGGTCAGGGGCTTGGGGGCCGATGAGGTAGAAACACCTGATACGAGGTCTCTGGATTCGTGCTCACACTGCCTTGTAGGCGATTGGCTATCGACAGTACACGGACCTTGCGGAAGAGCTAGTTAAGCGCTACGCTGCCCGGCCGTTTAACGTTATCCTCGACTGCATCGATTGTCTGTCCGTCTATGCCGACAGCGCGAGGCATACAAACCCGGGCGTCTATTCCGCTTGCGCTTTCGGGCCCCATCTGAGGGTGTTCTCTGAAATACTCGACATGTGCGGAGGATGCAGCTTGATATCTACTGGCCGACTTCGCTATGGCTGGGCGGCACCAGAGGGGAGCACTCATATAAGCTCGTCTCTATGATGGGCCCTGATAGCTAGATAAAGGAGAAGATGGTCCAGTGTGTACGCGGTAGAGAACGGGATACGCAAAATCCACATCGGTAGCGTCCGGGCGACCGAGGAAGCGCTGCAGGGATATAAAATAGTAGCTTCAGGCCGATCGAGGAAATGTGCTAATCAGATGGGATTGACAACGCTACTCGCGCAGGGTCTTTGCATGGGTTGGCTAAGAGATTTCCCAAGCCCTGCACGGGTTCTGCATAGGCAAACGAGATCTAACAGAGGCACGTAAAGTACGTTTAGTACCCTACACGCCGTCCCTCCACGGACATCGGCATACTATACAACGCCGCAGCAGTATTACAGAGTGCCAATGGGAGGCCCAACTCGAGCTCCTTTCGCTTTTAAAGGCGTTTGGATGATGACGGGACGCCCAACGGCGTGGATAGGTACGTGGTGGTTATTGGTGACCCGGCCCGGACCTCCGCGCCTCTCCTAACGATGCATGTGCAGTAGGTGTTATTATACATACCTACATAGGCAACAGGTTCCTACATGTTTACATATGTACGCCTATCACGTCCACGCCTGATTCCTCGGATATGCGGGATCGTCTTGGATCCACTGGCAGGCCGCGTACTGCAAGGGAACAAGGGACAGCGGCCATCTGATCAACAGCAAGTGAAGTCGAAGGTCGGAATGCGCTCATTTGTTGCCGCTAGCCGGGTTTGGGCCCCGCAGCGAGATTTGTGGTTTCGCCAAGGACGTCGCCCAGGAAGAAGAGGCTCGTAATCATTAAACTGCAGTGGCTCGAGCGCGGAGGACGTACGCATCCAGCTAGAGGAGCGGCCTCCCTATCTCAAAGAGCTCAGAGCTTTTCTCTTGGCACCATCTTCCCTACCGTGGGGCCGACGGCTGGTTTCCTCCATCTAGAGTCGTGTACTCATAGATGATAGGCAGGCAGGTCGGTATATAGGAAATCTAGGCAAGGAAACGAAGAGTTTCTGGTAGCATCCTGGAAGCGTTACGGAGCTTGGCTCTCTGCGCACTGTCCACGGAAAATACGGCAGTTATACACATTTTGCAGATAGAGAAGCAGGTAGTTAACTACCTCCTCCTAACCATACGCACAAGTCAAGCGGGGGTCGTCAATCCTACCTTAGCTGCAGTGCTGCGTAGGGTAGATGGCAAGCGAGAAGAGGTTCAAGGGACTGGCAGATATACGTATGTATGTATGTATGTATGTATGTATGTATGTATGTATGTATGTATGTATATGTTTCAAAGGACAGTGAAGCGGGTTACAGAGCAGCGAAGCTGAGAAGAAAACGAATATTTCAAGAACGGCTATGCTGGATCTTAATGTTTCTCATAATGGACCACGCATAATCAACTAACCTTGCCAATAGAAATTGACGTAAACATACCATTCGATTGCATGTTTCCGTACCTACATCGCATGCTTCACCCCTGGTCCATGCTTCTCGGTGCTTAACAAAAGGAATAATTATGATCGTGCATGCTGGAAACGGCCCGCCAGCAGCATCGCAGGTATCTTGCCTGAGGACGTGCTGTGGTCGCGTCTATAGTGACGCCTCCCGGACTACCATTCAGGCGCCGTAAGATTTCTCTCTTTTATATATATATATAAATATTTTATACATAAGGCTTACTCGCGCGCGCGTCGCTGATTAATAGATGGGTTTGTCGTTATCGTGTGAGAATCATGCTATGCTGGCGACTGCCTCGGAAACAAATATCATCAGCTCACGAAATCTGTGCCAGGGTGCTTCCTTTGATATGTCATATTGTTTACCACGCCTCAGCAGGCGTGCGCTACGTAGTAGGGCCCCCCAGGCGCATTTTACACGTGGATGGAATGCCTGCGTCGTAAGGAGAGAGAGAGAGGCTTAGATGGGGTTGCGATCGATCTGGGGAGGCCTGCATCGGTTCGTAGGGTTTCCAGCCGGAAATAGTCTCTTCCCTACGGTAATTGTTCTCATCGTGCCGCAACATGGGGGTGCTAGGGGCGACGACACTATTTTGAACACTTCTTAGAACATTAGCTGCTGCAGGTTACAGTATATATATATATTACCTAAGGCATGTTCTGGAAGCCTGGTGCCTAGTATCATGGTATCAGGTGAGCGTGGGATTCCCCCATAGTACGGCTTGTCTCAGAAGACCGAAAGTACAGAAGCGCTTGGTAGAGAGTCAACGGCCTGACACCATGACACCATTCCAGGGGGGGGGACCTACAAGTCCCCAAGTAGCAGGTTTAGTCGCGGGATGACGTTTTGGGGTCCCTAAAATACGATCGGGGCATGGATGCGGACCTGGCTAATCCCGTCTCGCTATCGTGTCCGCCCAAAGAGGCAGGACTGCCGGCGGTCAGATCGACGGATGGGGATCGAGGACATCGGACGAAGCTACCTACTGAGCAAGCAGAGGGAGTCTTGTTTTACAGAAGGTGTGCGGTGCGTGCAACAAAAGAGAGAGAGAGGGAGAGATCAAAGAGAGACAGAGAGAATTCGCTACATAGAGAGATGAATAAATAACAACTAAAAAGGTCTGATAACTATCTGCGCAACCAAAGCACGCTGTCTACTGGCGCCGGCTGGGTGAGGTGCGGCGGTCAGCCAGCTAGCCCGCGACAGCGGACAAGACAGAGGGGAACGAAGCCATCATGGCTGTCGTTGTCGCCGCCGCCCCCGTCGGAGGGCACCGAACAGCCAACACCAAGGACGAAACCAGAGACCCAATGAGACAACGCCCTTTTACAATCACAACACCAACACCGACACCGACACGCTTCCGTAGGAGAGAGAGAGGCGGGAATGCGATGTTGTCGAACGAGCGCCTCCAGGCCCGCGAAACGCGGCTAGTCTTGCCTCCCCTCCTCAATTTCCTAACGAGGCGAAGAGCCCGCCCCCGTCGCCTGGTGCACCCGAACGATTCGATAAACAATAGCTTCGCTAGCTTCTCGCGATCGCATAGGAGGAGAAAAAAAAAACCACACCATGTGGGCCGATGGGCCAATTTACCGCCTCTTCTTTTTTCGGGTCGACTTACCTACGACCCTTCGCGGAGACGACCAGGGGGAACGGGGGCCCGCTCGCCAACTCCCCGCTCGACGAGAGAATCCGGCAGGTCGACGGGGTGCATCCCTCATCCATCCCCCTGGGCCCTGGTGGCTGAGGGTGATTCGATGAAACGGATACGCTCAATATACTACGTGCACCTTCGCACGCCTTCATAACTTCTTAGCCTGCCCACACCCCCTTTAGGAGGCACAGTTGTTGCTATCGTGATGGAGAATTATGAAAGGGGGTCTTGGGTTCATTTACACGAGAACCTGGTGCCTTCGCGAAGATTGCTATATTACTACCCGTCGTCAGCACATCTTTTCCTATCGTAGACAGTGCGCCATGAATCACGACAGCAAGTTGTAAATGCCTAGCATTTGACCCTAATTTCTAACCCTCGTCCATCTTTTGGTAATTTGTCTTATTTTGCAGTACTGTATTTTTTATTTTGTTTTCCCGGGTTTTCCCAGCTTTCCCTCTTTTTGCCAAACCCCGCGAGCGAGCATATAGGTAATCTTCAATGTGCGCGCTCGAGAGCTCTCGCCTTTGGAGAGCGGCCCTGCTCGCCGCTCCACTGTTTTCTCGTGATGTCTTCGGGCAGACCCAAAGCCAAGCCACGGCCACGACCACGGCCACGATCACGACCAGCCCGCCCGCCGCCAAGATCACCGCCGACCCCTTTGAAGGATGGCAGATCTCGGGAGGCATGAGTAAGTCCTTCTGTCTCTCTCTCTCGTTCGCCCCCGCGACGCCGCAGCTAACGGAGAGATCGCCAGCAATACCGGTGTCATGCCCCAACGGCGAGGTATTCGTCACGTCGGCCAACTTCGCGGCCTGCTGCCCGTCGGCGTCCTCGTTGCCGGCCCAGTGCACCTTTGCTACGGCCTGCGAGGGCAACGCCGTCGCGTTTAAGGACGGCGAGACTTCCAACTGGTAATGCCCCCCGCCCCGCCCTCCTCTCCTTTTCCCCTATCCCTCTCTGCGAGTTGTCCTCTGGCCTGGGTGTTAACGTAGCGGAACGCTCCAGTGGCCCGCTGCAATGCCGCACGCGGAAGATCTACCAGAGTCTCCAGAAGAACGCGCCGGTCCTCACGGAGCCGCTGTGCCTGAGCAGGACGGACCCGAGCACGCTGTTCCGGGAGGTGCCGATGACGGCGGGGCTCGTGCTGCCGCTCGCGGTTGTCGACGAGTTCGCGGTGGCGGCCGCGACGACCAACGCGCCCGTCATGTTCACGATCCTCGACACCAAAGACTCGCCCACGGCGGTGGGGGCCGCGCCCGCCAGCAGCACCGCCACCGTTGCCGCCAGCGACCCCGCGCCGCCGAACTTCGCGCCCGCCGTCGTCGGCTCTATCCTCGGCACTATCGCCGTCATCGGCCTCGTCTTCCTCGCCTTCTGGTTCGGCCGCCGCCGCGGCAACGGTGGCGGTGCCGGCGGCGGCAAGTACCAGCGCCGCAACTCGTACGACAGCCTCGAGGCCCTCAAGGTCAAGCCCGAGAGCCCCTTCGCCCGCGAGAACCGCTACGATCCCCGCGCGCTCCCGAAGCCGAGAACGCCGATCGAGCTCACGCCGTCGCGCATGCTGCGCTTCCCCGAAGACCGGTTCGACGAGAAGGAGATGTACCCGGGCCCGTCCCGGCTGGGTGATTCGGCGATGGAACGGTGATAATGGGCGAGATCTCCAGGTGGGAATTTGACATGTTTAGCAAGCGTTGCATCCGGTCCTTGGTTTGGGTAGTATTCATGCATATCGGCGTTCCAGGGAATTTGGCTTGGCTTCAATTCGACCCTATATATATTTGTTTACCTATGTCAGGTAGTTATGTCTTTATTGCCCACCAATGCATTCACCAGCATTATCGCAAGTTTCCTCAGCACCTTCTGATTTCTGGTATCTTTGTGTATTTCCTATTTTCCTCGCGTGGTGCGAGAGACACCTTCGATGCTGGAAGTCTACTAAACGCCTGCTCTGTCTCAGTCAAGTCATCCGCCTGCTCACCCATACGCACGCACTCTCTCACATCCTCATCGTCGTTCTTCCACTCTCATGCTCGGCCTCTCACTCAACCATTCACACATCCACCCACTCACACCCTCTTCCATTCTACCCTTCTCTAGGCGATATTTCGGATCTGCCCCAGACCTAGCTAAATAGCCAGTTGAACCATTTGGAAAACGCATTTCTACCGAGGTGGATTAGGAACATGACGATATACCGGCTAAACGCAAAACGTACCTGGGTGGCGCAGGGACATATTTATTGTGGTAGTCCTCGACAGCAGCTACGTCCTTATACAGATCCACGTCTTGCGGTTTATGAAACGAGGTCTTGTGAATCAGCTTCCAGCCGATGAAGAGGGCCGGGCAGACGCCAATCATGGTGTACCTTATATATATAGTCAGTGGTTATCCGATACGGGAAGAAGTCTACACCCACGAAAAGAGGAATGTCGGGACGTTCCATCGGCCCGGTAAGAATACAGTGTAGCCGCCTACAAATGTCATGACGAAGGTCGCCGATAAGGCATAGTAGGCCGCGTACGGTTGGAAGAACCCCTTGTACGGCAGCGTATCGCGACTAATACCCTGCGCTTTGAGTGCCCGGTGGAAGCAGATGTACGTCACGCACATTGAGGAGAAGTTAATGAGCTGCGACGCGGTCACCAAGCTGACGAACCAGCTCAGCACGACGGCTGCGTTCTCGCTCACTTGCAAGAAGGCCAATAAGGAGATCAATAAGACCAAAAACACGCAGTAGATGGGGACACCTTTTTTGGTGCATTTTGTGAGGAATCGGGGTGCTTTGCCCTCGAGAGCTAGCCCGTAGAGCGAACGAGATGCGCAGTACACGTAACTATTACCAGCAGAGAAGGCGGCAGTAAGGACCATAGCGTTGACGATGTGTGGCAGGACGGGGATTCCCAACCGATTCATCGCGACCACGTAGGGGGACGCTGCTGCGCCGGGCTTGGACTCGTTAAATGCCTGAGTCATCTCGAGGTCGTTGTACGGAACCAAGATGCCCACGCATAAAGACCCGAGCATGAAGAACGTCGTAAGCCGGTAGAAGACCGCATTGAAGGCCCTGGGCATGACCGCGCGGGGATTCTCAGCCTCGCCGGCAGCCATCGCAACGTAATCCGGGCCGGCGATGGTGAAGGAGGCCTGGATCAGGCACTGCATGAAACCCTGGAAGCGACCAAGGGTCCCGGTGGTGTAAAATTCAGCGAACGAGCCGGGTTCGTACCAGTACCGGAAGCCGAATCGGTCACCCAGCGGGTTCCCACCCAGCATGACGACGAAGGTAAATAGAATCAGCCCGACGATTAGCAAGACCTTGCCCAGCGCGGCCCAAAACTCGGACTCGCCGTACCACTTGACGGCCAAGACATTGATGAGACCATACAGGACGAGAACGATAGCAATGATAGCACCAGCGGGGACGAAATCGCTCCAGAAGTGGATGATGACATTGCACGCCGTAATCTCGAACGGTACGAGGGCGGCTTCGAAGACGAAGAAGTTCCATCCCGCGGCGAAGCCGAAGGCCTCGTCTACGTAGCGGCCGGCGAAGCGGATAAAAGGTGACGAGATGGGTAGATACGTCACCATCTCGGCGAGAGACATTGTCACTGCCAGGATGACGGTACACCAGAGCGAGAAGGCGATGAAGAGGCTGGCCGGGCCGCCCTGGAGCAGAGACCTGCCAATCTGAACGTAAAGCGCCGTGCCGATCGTACCACCGATGCCGATCAATTGTATGTGCCGGGCCTTGAGCTTGCGGTGCGTGCCATCGCCTTCGCCGACGGTCGTGAGCGACTCGACCTGGCTGTCCTGTCGGCCGAGTGCGTTCTTTTCCGAGCCTGGGGCATCGTTCTTCCCCCTGTAGACGGGAGGCGAGGCAGCCGACTTGTCGATGTCGGGTGTCGCCATGCGGAAACGGATCGCTCGGGGCGGACGTGATCGATTCAGGTGGCAGGGAACGAGCTGCCAATGGCTGTGCTGAGACCGAAAATGCCTTTGAGTAATAGAGAAAAGAACTCGGCCACGAAGTCCATAGGCGACGATGGCTGTGGAACGGTATGGCTTTCTGCGATAGCAGTGAGACAGTTTTTTTATTGGACTGTGGCCAGGATCAACCAGCCGGAGAGGCGAGATACACACGTGGTGAAACAGAACACACACTCTGCCCGAGGATGCCCAGAACAGATTCTTTCTCTTGCCCGACGCGTCCTTTTAAAAGCGCAAGTCTGGGGCTCCCTGAAGACAATATGTGCCAAGTCTATTCCGGAGCCTTGGTACTCATCCTGGGGAAGTCGACTGGAGAAGTCGTGCAAGATGTCGCAGGGGCTCGATCCGCAATCCTGAGTGGACAGCCCGTCTACGGCAACAAGTGATCGGCAACCAACCATCGGTGACAGGTCGTATGGGATGCATGTGAGGAGTGCGTCGCTTTCTGTTGATGGATGCCCGCCCCTGCTGCCTCGAGCTGTAGCTTCTTTCGGAGGTTATAACCTGGGTGGACGACGTGGGTCGGCCTTAACAGGAGCTTTAGATCCATCTTCGCCGAATGCAGCAAGGGTGAGCACCCATTTCGACGCCACCGGGCCCATTGCCGACGTAACGTAGCGTGAGTGGATGGCAATACTCATAGGTAATTATATAGGTAATTGTAGCCGACTGACCGTTGTAAGACACGCGTGGCGAGTAAGACGTGGACGTGGGGTTCCTGCAAGAAACAATGGCATTTTTCTTATCGTCGGTTGCGCCGAGCAACCGGCAAGGCGTTGGGAGTTGGGTAATCTACTACGTGGTAGGCAGATAGGCGGTCCTATCTACCTTTACTGAGAGAAAACCATATTAACTGCTGCGTAGTACTTGGTCGAAGGATGTTGCCAAGTAGGAGAAGTCAGTCGAGAAGCGCCGTGGGAAGGATTAAATCAAGGCTGCAGCGCTCTTCCGTAGAATTTATCCTCGTCGACCTCGGTAACAGTCGAAGCTAGGTCATCTTGGCGTTCAAGTCTGGCAGGGGCTCAGTGCTAGATAACCAGCGTCATCCCAGTATGCGATACGGATGAGGGAAAGCCTAAAGACGCCGTCCAACCCCGAATCTGACATGCCGATTTAGGCACTTAATGGCTGCGTGCTGTAGGCGATGAGAAGACTAGCTCAAGCCTATCCGCGAGAACGCCGCGTAGGGCGGCGCTGATTGTTGCAGCGAACTCCGCCGATTGGAACATGACCCCTAACTCTTGACTTGTGAACCAGCTTGCCCGGTCCATCTATCGAGACACGGATTAGCACAATTTCCGATCCAAGGGCCCTTAAGGTAGGGAATGCGTCGTAGGATTTCTCGTTCATTTCTACCATGCTGCTGTTGCGGCCTTGTTCTGAACATCTCGTAAAGAGGAGATGAGGGTAGGTCCTCGGGTTCGACTGTTGCTTACATTTCCGGATCCTAGAAGAGTGCACTGGCCGTCTATGATTGTGAGCTTAAGATGAGACTGCACCGGCTCTTCAGCTATGTTCTTTGATAGGTGCGAAGGGTTCGGGCGAAAATAGGAGACTTGTAAGGACCCGAGCCGCGGTGGCTGGGCTTCGATGTCGGTGGGGGGTTCCGCATAAGAGCGGGAGCCAAGACTCGCGAGGTGCTTGTTTCGTGCTTCACACGCTCGGTACTTCCCAACGAGAGACCGAATGCAAAATGAGGTTGTTGTTCCAGCTGTGACAATTTGTTCTAGGAGCATCAGTCTCTTGCTTGTCACGATACTAACATCGACGCCACGCTCTAACGCATCGAGGAGGCTATGAATCACTACCCTAGACGTTAGGTTGGGTGTCTGCAGATAGATGGTCTCCTTCGCCATGTCCAGGAGCTGCAGCGTGGCGTGGTTAAGGGGGGTCGGCGGTGGGGATGGAGACTCGTGCCACGGCAGGAGGTTGAATCGGGGGTTACGATGGTGAGAAGATGGCAATATCACAGTCGGAGTCGCCGCCCCAGGCAAAGCCGTAGTGACGCTGGCAGGACTATCAGGCAACGCCACCTCAAACCTGTCCAAACTTGTAGAGGTCGCAGGCGGGAGATCAGAATAGACTGGATTGAAAAGTTGACTCTCAAGATCCCTATCCCATACCTGTCGGTAGAACGTGATCAAGCCGTCCACCGCGTCGCCAGTGAACTCGACGCACCCTTCTAGCCATGCTTCCCAGCTGACATTGCAGCTAGGGAGCCACGCCCTCCGACGGTCGACGATGAGAAATTTAGGGTGCATCACGCTGAAAGGCAAGAAGAACAGGGTCTTAATGCGTAGGTCGATCAGGCCGGCCTCTAGGACCTCCTGACTCGGCAAGCCCAACTGCTTTGGCCACGTCGAAGGGGGATAGATATAGCCATCGCGAGACGACGTATGGAACAACTTCTGAAACAGAGATCTCGACGAGAAGCAGATGCGTATCCTGAGAGGTTGCAGCATATCCGCATCAGATCCCGATGCTTGGGCTTGGCGGGCGCGTTCGCAGCGCTCTTTAGCGAGCGCTTCCAAGGCCTCCTTCAACACGACCAAAGTAGGCGACGGGGCCCAGAAGCAAGTGACGAGGATGACTTCGTGCTTGGCTCTGAGCATGGCGGGAATCAATGCTCGCGTGTAGACAGACGCCCCGGTTCCCAGCCGGAAAGAGTGTGGCGCACTGCTACAGATTAGAGACTCGGGGTTAGACAGATAGTAGTCTGGAAATTCATCGTGCAACGTCGAAGCGCGTTCGGCGAAGTTGCTCGTCCAGGTCTCCCTAAAGCGAGAGAGCGAAGCGACAGGCATGATTATCCTGTCTCGCGGTAGTAGCTTGAGCTCGGTGGTAGGGATATCAATTTGGCACAATATGGGGATAGGGAAGAAGATAGATATGGCCAACAAATTAAAAAAGGGATGATGTCCGAAGAGCGAATGCGATGGAGGGGAGATAGGGTTGAACCGCAGGATGAGCCTCAGTTGATCCGGGTCGCTGATTGAAACAGCGACAATGGCATCAATGGGGGGAATCTAAATAACGGTGTGTATGAGAGGAGAAACGAGGCTATGCATATAACGGTATATATTTCGCTTCACGTAATCGAAACCGTACTACCTTAGGTACCTAGGTACACAACGTCGTCTCACATGGAACCTCTTTTGCTAGATACATCTCACCTCTCGCTGTCCGCTGGTGAACAACGATGCCGATTTTCTTCTCCTTAGCACGCTGAATGCATCACTAAACGTTCGCCAGAGTATCGCGAGCGCTACGTTGACGTGGCAATGTAGTCAGCTATCCCTTTCGAGCGCCGTACCGGCTAAAGAAACCCATCGACGCGTGTCGCGAACGGCTAGCATCTAGCATACATCGGACCCCTGACCCGCGAGCCAAACACCCGAAACATACGCGCCCCCGTATATACAGTATATCGAATTCGTAACTACTGCCTAGATGCACGCTCCTCCTACGCGAACCCGCGCCGCGACGGGCTGATAGATACTGGGTAGTAGAACAATTCCTTGGGGTCGAGCTTTGCCTTAAGGCGCTGCAGCCGAGCGAGATTCTTCCCCCAGTACATGTGCTGCGCCGTCGTCCGGTTCAGGTTCGTGTCCGGGTAGTTGAAATACATGCCCCAGTCGTCCCGGGCCAGCGGAGCCGTCGTGGTTGCTGCCCATTTGTCGGCGAATTCGAAGGCGGCCTGGGGTTCAGTGCCCGTCGTGATGTAGAACTGGAGGATGTACAGCTTGTCGCGATGTGCGTACGACGAAAGCGTCGGGTCGGCTTTCCACACCGCTGAGTTCTTGCCTCCGTGCAGATCCAGCTGGATGTACCACCGCGTCGTCTCGTTCTTGGCCACGTCGAACCAGTAGTCTACGAAATTCTTCGCAGCGGTCCCGCCAAGGCCTTTCAGCTCTAGACTCGTGCCGTAGAATTCCTCTTGCTGCGTCGAGGTGAGTCCGACTGCGTTCGCTATCCCGTCAGGCGTGGTTGGCTTACCTTTTGTGTGTAGGGGTATGTTTGGTTGAGCGTCATAGTAGCAAAATGCTCCAGACTCTTGATCCAGCCAGTCGTCTGAGCCTGCGAGATCCTGCCTCCAGTCTTGTTCAACAGAGGCGCAAGGGCAGCTTCAAGGCCTTCTCTGCTTCCGTGGTAAGCGCCTTCGAGCTGAGTGAACTGACGGGTAGCAAAGAGTCGCATGTTCAACTCTGCCGGCATAGTATTCAAGGCATAGTCTTCAAGCGCCTCCAAAGCTGCGACCGACGTGTTCTTCCTTAACGGTAAACTCGCTACGAACCATGTGAGGTTTGCAGGCGGTTCAAACGTCTTGAGTTCGTAGCTCGTGACGATGCCAAAATTCGATCCCGCCCCGAGCAGACCCCAGAAGAGATCCTTGTTCTCCGTTGCCGACGTGTGGACGAGCGTTCCGTTTGCCAATAGCACATTGGCCCCCACTACCCAGTCTAACGCCAATCCATGAGTGTGGGAGCTCATACCGAAACCACCGTGCAATACATGGCCGGAAATGCCAACACTGCTATCATTAGCCATCTTCTCGCACACAGCATGGATTTAACTGACCCGGGGCAAGTTCCGTGGGAGATGGCACGGTTTCCTTGAGCGAACAGCTCCGCGGCTAGATGACCCAGCCTGGTTCCTGACTCTGCAGTTGCGATATTTGTCTCGGTGTCTAGCTTGACCGAATTCATGCGGTCTAGCTGGATGACGAGATGGCCGTCCTCCCCTCCGAGACCTAGGGATGCATAGCTATGTCCACCACATTTCGCACTGACCTTGTATCCCAGCTTCGCACCACATGCTATGGCGCCCTGGATCTGGCCTACCGTAGTCGGTACGGCAATTGCTGCGGGTCGAAAGGCCAACCGCTTGTTGAACGGTGTGACATCGCGGTTATAGTCGTCCGAGCCGACCTCGTCCAATCTGGAAGAGCTCGAAAGACAATCTTCTAGAGCAGCTTGCCTATCAAGGACGAACCCCTGAGCCAGACTAGCCACCAGTCCAAAGCAATACGCCGCTGTTAGATGCATCTTGCGAGCGGCTGGAGATGATGCTCGTACTGGAGATGCCACCAACCAAGCTTAGCACAAGTGTCTGGTCAGGCTCCTCGAGATTCTTATACTTTCGACTCGGCCAGTCCCGTCTATAGACGCCTGAGACGCTCGAACCATTGGTCGAACGACCACGTACTGTTATCATGGACAATCATATATCTTCAGACGATATGAAGCGTGCGGTCGAGGACGATGTAGACCGAAGTGGTCCGATGCTTAATATCGAACATCCTTGGCCCTCGGATTCGGGGGTTGGACTATCGCCATCACGAACGATGCCGGAGATTGACCGACCAAATGCTGTCAGAGGGGTGTGAAGACGCTAGAATTTGGGTTGACGAGTATGGTATGCCATGTAAGGCATCAGCGGGAGCAGCTTGCTGTCGATCTTCTCGGCTTATCACGCCCTAGCCCGTCGGTGCCGCGGTGTCGTATACAGCCTATACACCAAGACCATGCTCATTGCATCGCGCACCGCGCCTAATCAAGCACGTCGGCTCGCGCTTGCGCTAAAATTTCGGATCCCTCCACGCCAATAGATAGGGGGTTAACTCACGGCCAGAGGTCGGACACCAATAATGCACATATGAATTCATTTCCTGCCGCCGCGCCCTCACAAAATCGCGCACCTTGCTACCCTCTTGGTAGGTCTGCCGGCTGTCGGATGCCCCTAAACGCTGGACGGGCGCCTGAATCTGGGGGACATGGGCTGGAAGGCTCTCCTAACTGCAACTCGTTCGGTTTAGGTCTTCGCAAATTGAGTCAACATATGATCCTCCGGAGCGTCATGCGCCATATTACCAAGTACCCAGGAGAACGGCTTACACGGCGCTAATTGCCGGCGCTCCGGCTGGGAATACACGCGCGGTCATCGACAGAAGATCCCGGTGGAACCATCTGCACCTTGACGTGCAACGGTTCATCGGGAATATATGAAGAAAATTTCCCTGGTCACGGGCCTAGCGTTGTCTAAGTAGGACTATATACCGTCCACCAAGATGAATCTAATTCGAGATTATCTCTGCGTATGACGAGCTCCACCGAGGGTTAAAAGACCATAGCCAGGCGAGCTATCAGTTGCTGTACTTTGTGTCTAGCCGTCAGGACGCAGGACCGCGCCTCCGGCATCATCGCCGGTGTGGTGGGGGTCTGCGTCTCTACGTCTGGGGTATATCGTCTTACCCAGATCGAAGCAAAGTACTCTCTACTCAGTAAGTCCCCGTCATGACCTCGCCTTGACGGGATGGGGGGAAATATTGAAGTGAAGCATCAATTAGCCTCAACCCTTGCCGAGCGGAATTCCTCCTGTCCGGAACGTGGCACAATCGGGAAGATCTCCCGGTATATTGCCCTTTGCGCGCACGCGGAGTCAATGTCTCCCTCGTTTCGACCCAGCCAGTAATCTTTTCGCGACAACCTGCCCCAGATTTTCAGAGTAGTATGATCCTGCTCGTTGAGGCTGGGAAATCGGAAATGACACCCCTCACCGTTGCAGGCTCATTGATCGCGATGTAACTTAGCCGCCTCAAAGGTGAACACGTTCGCAATATCGCCCAAGTTTCTGTCCTCTAATTTTGTCTTTCCATGTCCTCTATCCTATCTCTCACTATCTCTCAGCGTTGTCGCTTAACTTCTGCTCAAAGTGTCGCGCGCGATGACATCCTTCAAGACGTTATTTCTGGCGACGCTGGGTGTGGCACCTGATGTACTCGGGGCGAATTTACTCGCGTCTCACTACACCGGAAGAATCTACTCGCTTTCCTTCACGGATGGCGGCAATGGCGCCACATTGACCTCCGCGTCATCCACGTCGGGATGCGGGTCATTACCTGCGTGGCTACACGTGGACGGCGGGTCAGTTTACTGCGTCGATGAAGACTGGAATGGGAGCGGTATCCTTGCGTCGTACTCTGTTGGCTCTGACGGCTCCCTGAGGCAAACCGGGCAAGCCGTCACCGCGGGCGCCAGCGTCCACGGCACGCCATATGGGGGCGAGGACGGTCACGGATTCATAGCCACGGTCGAATAGTACGAGATAACACACCCACCCTCCGTCTCGAGGTCAAGCGCTAAACACTTATCTTAGCGACCCGTCAACCCTCACTACGTATAAACTCCCTCTCGGCGGGAGCTCGACTGTCTTGCAGCAATTCAAGTTCAATATGTCCCAGCCAGGACCTCACGTGCGGCAAAATACGCCTCACCCACACGCCGCTCAGCTTGATCCCACTGGGCGGTACCTTTTAGTGCCGGACCTAGGCGCCGACCTGGTCCGCATCTTCAGCATCGAAGCCTCGACCGGTAGCCTGTCAGCGTGCGAACCAGGCGTCGCGAGCCCGGGAGATGGGCCACGCCACGGTACTTTCTGGGCCCCGCAACCAAACTCCGCCGCAGGGCAGATGCTATACACCGTCAACGAGCTGGGGAACTCGGTTTCGGCTTGGTCGGTGTCCTACCCTGAGGGGGGTTGCCTGACCCTACAGAAGTCTCAGACGCTCTCGACCTACGTCAAAGGCAGTGCGGCGCCCAACGGGGCCAAGGCGGCCGAGGTCCATGTCGCGGGGAACTTGTTGTATGCGGCGAATCGGGCCGACCAGACCTTCGGCGCCCAGAACGACTCGCTCGCCACGTACAGCATCGACCCCGGCTCGGGCGCGATCGCCTGGGTCGAAGCCACCCCGGCCCACGCATGGTTCCCGCGGACGTTCTCGATCAACAAAGCCGGGGACCTGGTCGCCGTCGGCGGCCAGACGAGCAGCAACGTCGCGATCGTCGCGCGCGACCCCGAATCGGGCAGGTTGGGCGACCTGGTGGCGAGCCTGCGAGTCGCTACTCCGGGCCGGCCGCAGCAGGAGGACGGGCTGAGCGCCGTCGTCTGGGTCGAGTAAGGGGCCCTTTGCCTGCGCGACCTAGGGGTTGAGAGTGCTGCGAGGCCGACGGGATCGACACGTCGTCTCCGTGTCTCATGTATATATATGTATGGCCGCCCGGCCGCCATCACGCCACACGCGGAGCTTCGTCCCCTCCGTCTCGGTAAATAGATATAGGTACCGTCTCCCTAGATATATAACCGCCCTGGTGTAAAAGGACTACTAGCCAAGCTGGCCGCCCTTGCGCCCGCCCGTCCGTCCCAATCCACGCCCGAGGGCCCCAGGCCAACTCAGGACTAGGTGCGTTGTCTAAGGAACACGCATCTTCTGCTTCCGCGCGGAGTTATCACGACTGGGAGCGGCTCGGCCCCCCTCCCTCGCCCCCGTCCCTTCCCCCCCCGATGCACAACACGAGCACACGCAAGAGTCACCGCATCCGGGCTCGTCCGACTCGTTCCGTAGGGAGCAGCAAAACACCGCCTGGACTCCCGCCGCGAGATGCGTGGGCCCCCAACATGGATGCAGATTTATTCCCCTCTTTCCTTTTTTTCTCCTCCCGCCTTGCTCTCCGTCCCTGCCTCAGTCCTCACCACACCTCGATCGGCCTCCCCCCCCCCTTCGTTTCGCTCTATCATACCGCATCCCCATGGCAGATCGAGACGTACGAAGGTTACTAGACTGCCGTGCGTGGGGCTACCTATGGGTTGGTGGGTGGCCGGCGTTGCTTGCAGCGCCTACTCATAGGTAATATCCACACATATATATCTCTCCATTTTCACGCTTTTTCCGACGTAGGCCCGCGGACGCACATGCGAAATGTGCAATATCCCGTTAGTGTGTTCGCAAAGAGTGATCGCGTGGCGTATACGGCACGTCCCTTTCGACCGGAATGCTAGCGACGATGTCGTCGAGGACGGTCTGTCTAGCAAAATGGGTCTCCGGCCACTAGCAGGCTGCGGGGTGCTGGAAGTCGAGTATTTATTTTTATTTTCGCTTACCCGCTATTCACGTGAAGCATCGCGAAGCTATCCTGTCTGCCGGTATCAAAAGTAGCGGCCAATTCGTGCTCCGAAGCTCTTTTGAAGAGGGCGGCGCGGGGTGAAGCGAGACAGTTATAAAAAAAAGAGTATTACCAATGCCAGCCCCATTAACCAGACCTGACCGTGACCATGACCGTAACCCTGGGAATAAGTAGCAATCCCTCTCTGTTTCTCGTAACTCCGCAGTCGTCGAATCGCCCCCGCGTTCAACATCTATCTATACCCTCTTCCCTCCTACCCCCTTGAGCCGGGTTAGACGGTACCGCTGATGCTGAGCTCGCGGATCTCCTGGAGGACCTGCTCAACGCGCGAGTCCAGGTGTCCCTGCGCGTACTGATCCCTAGTGTCGGCGTCGAGGTACTGCTGGACCTGGGCCATGCGGCTGTAGGCCTCGGCGCAGAAGCGCAGCTGGATCTTGACGAGGGCCTCGAAGCTCGGGTCGAGGTAGGGCACGCGCAGGTCGATCAGCTGGGGCAACTCCGACGACAGCTGCTCGTTGAGCTGTTCGTAGGCCGCCCGCGCGATCTCCATCTCCTTCTCGGTGCGCGGCAGCTTCGTCACGTCCTTGTCCGGCTTATCCGCCAGCTTCTTCACCTTGGCCCGCAGCGCGTCGTAGTCGAGCAGCTTGTGGCCCCGCTTCTTGATGCCTGGATTCCGTGTCAGTAGAGCCGCTGCTGCCGCCTAGCCCTTTAAAAGGGGTCGGGGCGGGTAGCGGGGCGAGGGGGGACGCCCGGGGTTCTTCGTACATTCGTTGACGTCGGGGAAGTATGCGCAGAACCTGGTGATGGGCTCTAGCACCGTGGTACTAAGGGTACGATTAGTTCCCCATCCGCGGCGCGGTAGGTGCACAGCTAGAATTGTCCTACCGGTACGGGCCGTCCAGGGCTTTTATCGTCTCGGAGTCCAGGTCCTCGACGGCCTGCTTGTAGCTCCTGCTGACACCGTCGTTCGCGCCGGCATCTCCGTAGAAGGCATCGATCGTCTCGGCAATGCGCATCTGCGACGCGGTCATAGCTGGAACGGCGGTAAGCGGATTGCGAAGGGCAGCGAAAGCCCGGCGACGCGCTCGCATCGTGGTGCTCTCTCCCGTCGGCACATTCTCTCACCTCGTATCGAGTCTAGGTAGCCTCTCGCTTCCTTCTGGAGGCGCAAGGAGGCGGCCTCCATGGTGCGAAACCGCCTCTCCTCCACTTCGTAATCGCGGTCGTTCGTCTTCTCGACGTGGCCGGTCTTCATCATGACCTGCGTCGTAGCGCGGTTGACATTCTTCTTGAAGCCTGGATTTGCGCTCGGGGGTCAGCAAAGGGTCGACGGCAGCATGGACGGGCGAGCTTCGGCGCATACCTGCCCACGACATCTCGGCGACTTCGCGTTCTATCCCGCTCTCTCTCTGCTGCTAGTCGGTGGATTGTATCGAGTGGCGGAGACGGGCAGGTAGAATATGATCTCGCCGGCTCGAGGCAGGTAAGGTGCGACAGAAGGGTCGCGGCAGGCGTTTCGATGTCGTGGAGTTGGAGAGATGGAGGCGGGGGGAGAGCGTGCGGCGTGTATTCGATGTGTGTTTCTGGTAGGTAGGAATTGGCTAGCTGGTTTGGATGGATGGATGCGTTGAGGATGGATGGATGGATGGGTGCGTGGAGGGACGAGCGGACGGGTTCATGGGCGATGGAGAACGGACTCAGCCACATTCTGACAAAACCGGGGGAGTGCGTTACGTCACCCACAACCCACCTGCGCCACGGACCACTGAGACAAAGTACCTAGCGTGTACTTTGGATACCACACATTTATCAGGCCCCAACGTACCTCTTACATACTAGACCAAGAACAGGTGCCTCTTTATTCCACCCAATTGATATTCCCGGGCAAAGGAGGTAGGTACCGAGTACCATATTATACGCCTCCCATCCACGTCCGTCTCCAGCCGCAATGTACCCATCTGTAGCCCGTAGGAACGCAGTCTGTGGCTGAGTCTAACTGCCCTTTTTTAGGCGGTTTTTTATTTTATTTTTTTTAATACTCAATCCTCACTTTTATCGCCCGCGGTGATCTTCTTTTCCGGGGAGGGAATAACTGGCTGTAGTCGAGCGGCAGCAAGATCAATCTTTCGTCTCCTCCCTGCATTGCCCGCCCTTCATATTCGGCCCCCTTTCATGTTCGCCCCCCCTGCTCCTCCTTTTTCTTCTTCTCCCCGCGACATCGCCAGCCGAAGAATGCGAGTAGCCGCCTAGCATGTCCTATCTCATCCTACTTCTCAGTCTAGGCAATCCGGCACCTCTCCGTAACAGTCTCCACTCGGCTGGCCATCACGCCCTCGATTCCTTACAGAGGGTCATCACTCCGCACCAGCCTCCGTTTAGCCTGCAGATATATGGGAGGAAAGCGTGCCAGGTCTCCGTAGGGGTTAAATATATCTTGGCGCAGAGCCCCATGCTGATGAACGTCTCTGGTCCCTGGGTTAATCGGACGAGGATGGACGTGATGGCCAAGCTCCGCCTGAAGGCCGATGAGCTCGCTGTGGTAGTGGTGCACGACGACCTCGAGGAAGAATTGGGTCACGTCAGGATGCGCGACTGGGACGCAAGCGCTCGAGGCCACAACGGCGTGAAAAGCGTTCTCGGGACTATAAGACCTGAGGACTCCCCCCAGCACGGAGCGCGGATATCCATCGGAATCGGCCGACCCGAAGAGAGGGACAAGAACTCGGTCGCGCACTACGTGCTAAAAGACATGACCCAAGGCCAGAGAACCGCGCTCGAAAACACCGGGTCCAAGGTGCTGGACTGCTTGCTCAGTCTGGAGGAGAAATGGGAAAGGGGAGCATGAGAGAAGAGTTGGCGACAGCACGATAATTGTCACCTCTCAAAACCAAGAGTCCTCGCTACGGACGGTGTATGATTACCTACCTATATCCAGAATACGATTGCCTACCTACCTCTTGCAATCGAAGTGTGGATCTGCACCGTCATCTGCCACGTTAGTATGCAGGCATAGGAACCTGCCGATAGGCAGTGCGTGATTGTGTCGCGAGTTGTGAAGCCAGAACCTAGACGCCTATATTGTCGCATTTGCACAGGTAGGTAAACTTATCTAGGTGGGCCGCCCCCTTCTCCCGCTATTATTAGGTACACACCCCGAATTCAGTGCCGTAGGGCTCTCTAGTAGAGCAAGATAGTAAGACCAAGCTTGGCTCTCCCACCACGACTCATAATCCAACTTGGCCATAGCCGATGTGGGTAGGGAGGCAAGAGAGACGTGGACCCACTATACCCGGGGTTGCGCCGATTGGTCAGCATGAATACGCTCACATTCGTGGGAGATATCAACTCCACACGTATACATACAATATAGGCCTGTATTTCGGACAGGAACCCATGTAGGACCACAAGGTAACGTAGGGGAGTTGTCACGGGGAAAAAGCCCATATACCTACGTATGCTTACAAGGTGACCAACCAACCAACCGGGGGGGAGGGGGGGGTTGTAGGCGTGTTATTACCTACGGATTGTTACGAGAAACTGGAAATGTAGCTCTCTTTGTAGCTACCTATCGAGAGGCTAGAGGTCAAGACCCTAACTGCAGGCGCCCACGCTGACTCCAGTTCGTGCCTGGTCGCTCTGATACGTGTACATTTTGCCGCGATAGTGTTACTACCCATCTAACCCGGAGGTCAGTTGCGGAAGGAGTCGTTATACCTAGGTGGTTGAAATAATCGTAGTTCCTATCGCGGTTCTTAAAGCACGCCGCGCTCGAAGAGCTACCTCCTACCTGGTAGGAATACTAGGTACTTTGCTTGTACCTACTTACCTCCTCACCGACGCGTAGAACCTTCCCCTTCTCTCCCCTCCCCTTCTCTCCCCTCCCCTTCTCTCCCCTCCCCTTCTCTCCCCTCCCCTTCTCTCCCCTCCCCTTCTCTCCCCTCCCCTTTCATCCCTGCCCCCTTTGAAAAGATCTATCTCGCCAGTCGAGTCACCTTAAGCTTTGCTACGTGTCCACGTTATGATGTAACTTCCAGCCCAAGTTTATTAACTCAGCCGTCGCTCGGTCGCGAAGAGTCATAGGCCATGAGCCATGCAGATATTAATCCCCCAGCTTGCTCGGCTTCTCGCCGCTTTCTTCCCTTTCTTCTTCATGTTACAAGCTACACATTCCTCCACTACTCGAAAATTTCCCTTCCTTCAACGCTCAAGACACTATCTAAACCAGTATCCCATAGGCACTGTCACCCTCTACATCATTGGTACTTCTCTCGCTCGCCCGCCCCGTCATTACCGGCTTTCTCTTATACGCCTCTTAGCTGTTTCACCTGTACAACATCGTGTCCGTTACTGAACTACGCCCCCGATACCGACTGCCAACATACTGCAAGTCGTCATGGCATCCAACCACGGGCAGACAAACACGATGTCGGGGCCCAGCACCCTTTCTTTCGGCCAGGCCGTCTCCTCCGCCCGGACAAGGGCCGCGTCAACCTCTAATATGCCTGCAGCCAACCATTGGCGCCGAGATCTCCGCGGGTTGTTCCTTGCGATGCTGAATCTTCGCCGTGCCAACTTCCGGAATGACATCCAATGGTGGATGATCGGTGCCGCAGCAGGACATGTCGTCAGCATCCCGGCGGCGAAACTTCAAGTTGTTTTCAACTGCACCAACCTTGCCACTAGATTCCTCAGGGCCCGTGGCGACATTGTCTGGTTGCAGGAGCTGGAATACGCTAGGATCTTTATGCGGGGCGTCGAATATATCGAACAACTGCTACGCGCCGTATCCCGCATCCTGAAATATGAAAATAGAGCCATCGCATCCACCACTTCCAACGAGCGCCAACTTCCGAGGATGCAGCGCACGACTCTCTGCCGGCCACACCCGTATCCCGCGCTTCAATCTCATACGCATGGGTATAAGCTGAAAACCTACCCGAAGGGTGTAAAAAGGGAAGGGATATATAAAATAAAAACGGGAATGAAAGGGAGACTGTTGCGTACAACCTAGACGCCCCCATTCTACGACTTGCGGATGTAGGCTTATAATACCAACGGCTGATTCTGTACGTGACAGATACCTATTATAGGGGAGCTGGGAGTTCACTACTAAGCAGAGCCTATTACGCGGTAAAAGCATAGGGTCCTTAGTGCATTACAATTAACTTGTCGAAGCACCGTAGATATCAATGACTGATTGATTGATTGATTTGTGTACTTAAGCACCGTGGACATAAGCTCTATGGCCCCCGGAAGAGGAGCCCTGATAGTATGCTAGTAAGTCCTTACTTTATTGTGACAGGATAGACGAAAGAGCGCGTATACACTCAATACGTAGGTATAGCTCAGCCAGCTATGGATAGTCCCAGTCTCAAAGTCACTAAGCGGCCCAGCTCAGTGGATCCATCAGCCCGTACACCATTCTCGTCCGCGTCCCGCAGCAACCTGTCAATGTACTCTCCGGCAGCCGAAAGGCGAAGAATGTGTGCGATGGCACGATGCACTGCTAGAAGTCGAGGCGAAGGAGGGTCTATCGTCCGGTCACTCGTGAGGTAGAGTGTGCGGGTGACAGGAAGTTCTAGCATCTGATCGACAGGTGGGGGAAGAAAGGATCTGATCCGATAGGTATGTGGAGGCTGGTCCGGAACGGGCTCGAAGTAGACCCGGAAGTCGCCGAATTGCCCATGGAGAGCTTGGGTAAGAGTGATGGCGTTGGTCGACCGGTCAATATTAGCGCCTTCGATTAAATGCGTTACGCCATCATCAAACATGTTGAGGACCGCGAGCGCGGCTCGTTTAGAAGCGTTCTGTATATGGTTTAACCAAGGAAAAAATCATATCAGAGGGCAGCATACCAGTTGAGAGCCTGCGCTGGCGTGTGTCAGGGAGTGCGGAAGTATATGGGCTACTTCTAGGACATCGGATGGGCTTGACACTAGCAAAACGCCATCGTCATCTTCAGCATTGTGGCCGTCACGGTCCCAACGAGTGATCATTTCCTGAAGATCAAATCGTCGCGATATTACACAGCGGTGGCGGTCACGCAAAAGGCAAGCACGCCGCAGATTGGCTACCCGGGAAGCCGTGCCAGGAAAGGCTTGCGTTTCTCCATCTCCCTGTGCTCCCTGGATCGCGGAATAGATGGTCGGGGAGGGCTGCGGTGTCTTCTTGGAGGAAGCTTTCACTGAGAGAAATTAGCAGCCATTACGGCAGAAGGCTGTGGATAATGAATAGGGGTTGGTTTACGCGGCAGAAAGAAGTTGTCTAGAAGATAGTCTGCGAAGTCAAAGAATTTCGGGCCGAGTTGTTCGAGGTCGTCGTCTTCAACCTCGTCTGTCGAAAGCTCCAGGGCCTCAATGAAGGCCCGCAAGACGTTGTCTTTAGATGTCTCGGACATCGCATATTCAAATGTATAGCGGATAAGCCGGGAACGATTATAAGGGTTCTTGTTGCTGTAGTTATGGGCAGTGTCGAAGTGCTCGACGATACTGTAGAACCTGTTCCTAGCTTTGACGCGCTGATCTGTCTCGAGGGGTGCCTTTGTAGAAAAATCGATGATGCCCTGGAGGGACGACCGGTGGCGGAGGTGGGGAGCAGCCATTGAGTCAACCTTGGGAACGGAGGTGCCAAGAGTAGCAGAAGTTGAAACTGGGACGCCTGATCATACCCGGAGGGTATTTATGATGTAGCACCTTATCAAATTGTGGAGTTTTTCTTATCTATTCGTCTATTGATTGGCTCTGTCAATTCGTGTGCTGATTGGCTCTTTTAGACCTAACCCCTTTTGCCGCATAAAAACACACTGTGCGGAATTAATATTTACCTATGCGCACCTCCTTTTCCTTGGCCTTCAGAGAAGTGCACCTACCTAATATGTTTTTGCCCATACACAGCAAAAACGTAACGGAGAAGCGCAGAGTGCAGCAAAGTGCTCCGACGTATATCAGCTAGTAATCACGTCCAATTCTAAGGGGGCGAGAGTTACGTAAGACAGCTCATCTTTATGGGTCGCTCGGAGCCCACAACTTCCAGTCTCAAAGGCTTCGATGCCGCGTCGGCATTATTTTATACCTGTGCAAAACAAGAATACGAAGACGGCTGGCACCAGGTTCGATATCACAGTTGCAGTTAGTAGGCACATGCCGCCGACAACTCCGGTTCATCCCTCCCCGACCTTCTCTACGGCCGCGAATACCCTTAGCGGGGCATTAGATATACCTTGTTGGGGGGTCATGGGTGGCGTTGGAATATGTATTGAAGAGCCCTAATACGTTGGGCTACCGAGTACGGATTCTAGGTATCCGTTGAGAAGAAGAGGGGGGAATACCATTATGGCTACGATCCGTTTCTGCCAAGATGGTGTGTAGACTTGAGAGAATACGGTAGTAATGAGAACCATCTTGACTTCGTCTCCTTCGCGACGTACCTACCTCTGGGCAACAAGAGGAGATTCCGATCTATTGTACACCACAATCTCGCCCAGATCGGCCTGATACCTAGGTGCCTCTCCAAGAGGCATTAGTAACGTCGGGGGCGCTCTCTCCTCTTCTCTCTCCTTCTATCCCGCCACCTCTCGACCACATTTTAGCCATCTAAGCTTTGGTGTGATTCTTACGCGGGTATCGTATACGCGGCCGAAACAACAAGCTTAAATTCGTTCCCCGACCAACAACTCCTATACAGGGCCCGGCCCCTTCTAAACTCTTCCCTCTGGACTAGGAATGCATTTCACGAACTCTCCGTACGTGTAGTCGATTTGTAGAACAAGTCGCAGGACCAGCATCGCTCATGGGACCTCGAGACAGATATGTAACCAATTGGAAGCAACAACTCACCAACTTCTTTCCCGATTCAGAATTCTGCCTAAACCACGGTCGGCCCCCCTCGCTGCTGACTAAGGCCCGCTTCTGGTCCAACGTGCTAGTTAGTCATCAGGTCTTTCCTAATGCTGGAATACCAGTTCCCACATGCTTAAGAACAGGTCTGGAAGATGCCGGGACAAATTGCCCTGTCAACCACATCAACGCATTAGAGCAAGGGGGCCTGGCAGCTTCTATCCCGAACGGCTTCGTAAGACCGCACCGTCCGACAGGCATTAAGACAAGGCAGGCACCTCGCAGAGAAGAGAAGCGTGAGACCATCTACAACTATCAAGCTGGGCTATGTAGCTGACGATTATTCTCTAGTTCTCCTGGGAGGTTAATCATCTATGTCGCCTCTGTTCGAGAACTCACACTAACTACACTGTGGATTGGTGGTCGTCTGTGAAGCTGTCGACCTTGCATGTCGCTTGAGACCTAGTCTTTGCTGGCTCCCCCTTTCACCACCTCCCAGGGCCTCCCAGCCTCCCTGAGGCAACCAGGCTGAGCATGACGTGGACGACGCATTTTATCTCCGCCCTAGTATCTGCTCATGGCCAGTCCCCTCCGACGCAACCACCGTGTCCCTCACTGTGTGCGCACAGGTCCCCTCAGATGCCAGCATCTCAGCAGCACCACGGCCTGGCCATAAAGTATCTCTCATCAAAGAACCTATTCCCTCAACAGAGACGGACAACTATTCCCTGTCGGCCAGGCAATCCCGCTCTCCCCCACCCCCACTGCTCCCCCTCGCCTCTCCATCGTTTCTCTCTCTCTGCATCTCTCTATCTCCCCCATCTCCCCACCACCACTGGTCGTAACCCCCCATGGCACCGCCCTCCCCGCACACCCCCGCCGCCCCGGGCCCAGCCCGGCCCCCCCTCGACCCCGGCGGCGCGCTGGACCCGACGGTGCCGCCGGGGCTAGTGCGGGTGGGGGCGAGCGTGCTGCCGGGGCTGGACGGGCGGGTCCTCGCGCCGTGCCGGCCGGCGGCGATCCGGGCGGCGGCGGCGACGCTGCGGCACGGGCTGCGGCGGCGGACGCGGGTGCTGGGGCAGCGGCGGCCGCGCGCCGCGTACCGGGGGCCGAGCGCGCGCAGCTGGTGGCGCGCGGCGTCGCCGGCGGGGCTGCTGCGCGGCGCGTACGCGGTCTGGGCGCGCGCCGCGCCCGGCGCCCGGCCCTGGGACCTCGGCCGCGCGCTGCTGCCCGCCCTCGCCGGCCGCGCCGCCGCCCTCGACGCCCTCGCCGCCTGCCCCCTCGGCGCCGCCCCCCGCGCCCCCGCCGGCCGCCGCGCCTTCTGGGCCGTCAAGCTCCGCTTCGACCTCCTCGTCGCCCGCATCCTCGAGGCCGAGCACACCGGCGTCTTGCGCGTGAGTGGCCCCCTCGCGCTTCTTATCGCCCCCCTCCTGAGTCTCTTTTTGCCCTCTCCCCCGATGAGCTGACACCGTTTACCGATCCCTCCGCGCAGCCCTTGCCCCCTCATGTACCGCCGGCGGTCCAGAGCAGCGACGGCGCCGCAGGCGCAAGACTCCTGACGCTCGTGAGTTGTCCGCCCCCCACCCCCCCCTAGGAGTTCCGGATAAGGCCGCTCCCCCTTTTTAATACGGCCAGAACAGAAAGTGAAGAGACGAGCTGACATGGGGAAAACCCTGCCTCCCTCCCCCTGGAACGTAGGACAGACTAGTCGACGTGCACGAGCGCACAGCCGCGGACTTCCTCGGTCACATGCGACGGTGAGTATATTACGTTACCCATACCCGTGCCCTGCAGCCGTTATTATCCTCACCGAGGAGCCACTTTTCGCTGACTGAGACCCCTCTTGTGGAAATATATAGTGAGGGCACGACGAATGGTAACAGAGCGAGTACTTGGGGCCCGGATGTTAACTGGGCGGCCGTCTATGGTGTCGACCAGCAGGACTGGGTCGCTGTCCCATAGATGCGAGCCGCGCCGCGATCACCGTCGCTATCGCCAGTATCGATCCCGTCTACGCTTCCTTATTTCTTAAAGCTGCGGTGTACTTGCGTGTGGAACTCTTCTTGTGGATTCAACAAGTAACTCTAGTCTCGGATTTCTGCATTTGCGGTGACTCGACAGAAGGCAAGGCCTCGCCTATGGGTCTCGTCTCTTACCTACATTTCTGTGTGGCGCGGTGCTTCTATGCGTTTATGCCTCTCTCTCTTAGGAGTAGGGGTACCGTGGTTGAGGATTCGTAGCGAATGAGAAAGGGGAGAATACTAGAGGATACCAAAGAAAATAGATGATGATACAGGGTAAAGGACGATGGTCACCGGAGAGAAATTAAATCTGCGCACATGCGCAGGCATATATAGGTATGCCTTCAGCCGTGCGTCTCCGATCTCGGATGATGCTAGCCTAAGGCGTGGACGTTCTGGAATTCGAGACATCATAATAGCTCCGTTCAGATATCGAAACTTGAGCGACCAACTTCGCCAAGCGAGCTCTAGATCTCCTTGCCCCTGGGGAGTTCCCGGGTGTTCAGCCCCCCTGAAAACGGGGTTTGATTGCGAACCTGATATCCACCCTCGCTATACGCGCATGCGCACGCCTGCGCCAATCACCGACGGACATCACGCATCTTGGTTCATTTGGTTCATTCGTTTTTCTCATTCGGCGTCTACGAGAATCGTAGAACACAGGACCGGAGCCGGTGACGTATCCCCTACCCTATGACCGCCCCTGCCTTCCCTCAAATCGCGCGGTATGACAAGAGCAAATATGATGATCGAGTTTCCCTAACCCACGCGCCGGATCTAATTGCAAGTTATGAGGAGAGGACAGAATTGTGTTGGTATTTGTTTTGTTGATGGTCGGAAAAATGCAGATGCTCAAGAAGGAACCGAGATTAGTAGCCCAACGACTTGAGAGTCTCGGTCGTCTTGCTGTCGACCGTGGCGTTCTTCTTAGCTTCCGAGAGTTGTCGTCGCGCGAGCTTCTTGCGCTCGTAGTAGGCGGCGCTCTTCGCCTTTCGTCGTTCCTCCAACCTGCGAGCCAGCGTGTTAGTAAGCAAATGACATCGAACGAGAGACAGCCCGGGTCTGGCCGGGGTTGGCGTGCGCGCCCCCCGAAGAGACCTGCGACAGGCGTAAATCCGTAAAGCGACGTACCGTTCGACAACGTCCTGGTACTTCCAGCCAACCTCGTGGCTGAGACGTCCGACAGTGCAGTACTTTCGGCCGGGCTGTAGGCGGAGCACACGGAGGGCCTGGGGCACCACCATCTTCTTCTGCTTGTCGTACGGAGGGGGGACACCCTCGAAGACCTTGAGTCGCTTAAGCGCAGCAGCGCCTCGAGAGGTCTTGTGTGGGATCATGCCACGGATGGCCTTGTAGAAGATTCGCGAGGGGGCGCGGAAGTGGAAGGGGCCTGCGATGCGTTAGATTGGACCGTTCGTCGATATATGCTCCGCGATGGATTCGCGACCGCTGAGGGGGGTTTCCAAACATACCACCTCGGGTCGGGTTGTATCGAGTCATCTTGCGAAGATAGGCGTGGTACTTGACTGCAATTCCATATCAGCGCTTGTCCTCTCTTGCCTCGTTCCGTTTCGTCATCCTCGCCTCCTCCCACGACTCGAATTCTCAAGCTTCTGGCGACATCGGATTTGACTCGACCTCGGTTCGAGCGAGGCCGGCAACAAGAGGGAAGAGGATGCCATCGGATCATGGTGAGGATGTTGCCATTACGTACGTTTCGAGCGGAAGAACTCGCCGGAGATGTTGAGGGCCTCGGAGCGGACGACCACGATCTTCTGGCCGTTGAGCAGCTGCTTCGCGACGATGCTGGCCAGCCGACCGAGGAGGTGGCCTTTGCCATCGATGACGACCTGGACGAGGAAATCCGTGTTAGCCTCATCATCACCGACTCGACATCCTGCGGGGCGCCCCGGCGCCATCGCGCCACCAAGTTTTGTCTCAATTGGAACACGCCGCCAGCACCCTCGCCGGGAGAGGCGAAGAGCCATGAGACTGGGAGGGACGAGGTCGCTACTCACAACAGACTCGAAAGAGGACATGCTGCCGGATTATCACCACAAACCTGGAGGTGGGAGGCGGAACGGGCGGACCAGAAGCGAATGCAAGGAAGTAAGAGGAGGAGAAAAGATTAAATAGCTCTGGAGAGCGCAAAGAGGATATGCGTTCTGTAGAACTGTTTCCTTCTTCCTTCTGCCTTTACTACCCTCTTGCTGTCGTGGGTTAGTATTGTCGCGGTGTTGACGGTCACAAATGAGAGGAGTTAGCAGAGTCGCCGCAACGGAGAGAGCCTGGAAAATTATCAAGCTTAACACATTCACATCGCAGGCCCTGTGCGCAGAAACACGCTAGTCCTCTTGCGGAATGGTCGGGCCCACAGCGAAGCGAGAGAGAATTATCGAGAAAAACCATCATGTTTAGGGTTTGTACACCTAACACGGGTCTGCCTTACCTAATCTACCAGCCCACCAACTGCTATCCAGTTGGAAACATACTACCTATGTACCTAGGTACACTGCTGAAATATGAGATTGTCTTAGGTACCTAACAACTGGCCGCCAGAGGCTGCCAGCCGGTCGTCCTCACGAGTCTCGTAGGACCGGCGGCGGGGTAGGAAATAGCCTCACCATACCTACCGAATGCAACCAACCTCACTCACCTCTCTAACACTACGGACTTGACGTATGGTGTATAAAAACTACGTGCACCGCCCATCCACCGTGTGCCCAAACAACTTGTTCTCACGATGACAGAAAGGTTAGATAGCGGACCCTTTTATCGTCCCGTTCACGCTCTCTCTCCGACATCGCAATACATCTTCTTCGTCTCTTCCCCTTCTAGCGTCTCATTTCCTCGAAAACATATGAGCAATTCCTGCCGAGTGACATGCTGATCTTGTCTATAATCGTTTTTCTACTCCTGGATCCCCTTATTATCTTTTCTCCGCTGTTCTCATACTATCCCATACCAGATACGTCTTATGTGTGCACACGGGTGCATATATCCGTCGTGTGATGCAATAGTGCTCGAAGCAGATGCTCAAAACGTTTCACCATGCCAGCCACCGTCCCCAGCTACCAAACTATGTAGGTAGTCATTCCCGATTCTGGCCGTATAAAGAAGAAGGATCCGACCCCTATTCTTGTCCCTTGCGTGACCGACTTAAGCAAGTATATATGTGCGTATGTACCGAAATGAGCTCATTGGGGGGCATAGTACATCTCGAGGACGAAGGATGCTTCCTCTCAACTGAGAAAATAGCTATGATGCATAACGAGACGCCACTCTGGGGGAGGGCACGCCGGAAACGGGGGACGAGAGAGAGGGTAACTATTATTAGAGAAGTAGGCCGGGAAAGAGCACGACTTTGTCGAGATACCCTAGTTATCAGATCTTTTTAGTAACACCGGGGCTTTTCCGTTGTATCTGGTTCTTTTTTTTCCCCCGCAAATACGGGAAGTGTATAAAACAAGAGAGGAGGGGGTCGCAGGCTACTCATAGATCACCGTGTCCTCAACTTGCTACCGGGAGGCAGGTGTTTGTCGAGCTCATTGAAGATGTCCTGGACATAGTTTACCAGCTCCTTCCTCCTTGCCCTGATCTCTATGTCCCCTCCCGTTTCGACCTCGTCCACCTTCAGCATAACGTGCTGCATGATCGTCTCGCTGAGCTTTCGGTGTTCGTCCTCGCACTTCTTCGGGTCTTTCGGCGGGTGGGCTGAGAACTTCTCGCACTGCGGCAGGAGCTCCTTGTCAAAGTGCGATCGGATTGCCTCCAGCTTCTCGAGGGGCCCCGAGGACGCGGCGGGAGAGGCAACCCTCGATGGGTGAGCGGACCCGTCGGCAGACGGCCTTCTCCCGTCCCTATCCCGCCGGCCGGGCACTTCGAGATTGGCTACGCTTTCGTGGGGATCGACATGCTCCCTCTTCTTCTTGCGGGGCTTCTTGTTGGCCTTTCTGGGTCTCGGTTGCTCCACCGTCTCTTCTGCCATGACGACGTCTTGGCCGCTACCGCTGTCGTCCTCGTCGCTTAGCTTCCCCTCCGGCACCACCACCAGCAGCTCGCTGTTATTCTTCACGCCGTAATCTCGGATGGGTACGCTTTCCTCCTTGAGCTGGCGGCCCTTGTAGAGCATCTTGAGGCGGCGGCTCCGACGATTGCTCAAGTCCATGACCAATCCCACACGGGTACGCACGTCCTGCACCAGCAGCTTCCCATCGCCGATGGAATAGGCGGGAAAGTGGACGGGGTAGGTGATGCCCTTGTTTTTTATGAGCAGTACGTCGTCATCCATACTGGAGCTGGACGTGGGCCGTCGACTTTGGGGATCGTAGGCTCGTGCGGGCGGCTGCAGGGATCGTTCTAGGTCCTCGGAAGTGATGTAACTGTAATCATCGTCGGTGACGTCCGGCACACTCTGGGTGCTGGATTGGGGGGCGTAGGGCGATACGGGCACGCGGCCGGAGCCCCAGCTCGTCCAACCCCATCGAGACATGCTGAGCGGCAGGGCGAGGGCGGCAGCCGTGCCAGCTAAAGTCGAGTAGACTAGGGTGGGCGAGACACCCTGGGACTCGAGATACTTGTTGGAGCCGACAAAGGCGTCGGAGAGGGTTGCGATGGTGGTCTCGAGGCAGGTCTGGATCGAAGGCGGTAGCAAGGCAGTAATATTCTTTATGGCACTGGAGTATGCCGGAATGGCCTGGTTCGAAGCCACCTTGACCGGAGCTGGGCTGCCCGGGGATAGGGCACCCAGAGGACCAAGTCTGTTTGTTTTGTTTCCCTTTTACTTGTTGGGAGCCTCGAGGGTTGCAGATGCAAGTGATCCCAAGGCTGGCAGCAGGTAATTGGGTATCCGGTATCCTGCTCGTCTGTTTGGCCCTATGCGAGACACTCAGCAGACCTTTGGGACGGGGCCGTGCATAAGCCGGAAGCAGTGCTCGAGGTAGGTATCCTTTTAGGACTTGTCCCAATGCCGCTCGCGCGAGGCGGGATCAGCGGTTTCCCAAGATCGCCTCTTCTCGCCCTAGAGAGTACGCACTTGACGTAGATCCCGTCTACTGCGGTGACCTAGCCCCCAAGCTACGTAACGTGACAAGCGGGGAGCAGATAGAGGGAGAGAGGGAGGGGCGGGGGTGGTGGTCTGAGAGAGGAAGGACTCCGGAGTTAGAGAGGTGCAAGTTTCTTTCCAGGACTTCTAACCAGTCCTCTTCCGGATGTGGCCTCGAACGCTGTCGCACGGGGCTTGACAATCTAGCCGATTGATGATGTGTTGTCACTGCAAGTGTTCGGTCAATGTGCAGTTCACGATAGGGTGCCGAAGCTGGTCAGGCGGTTCGAATGGCTTATGGGCCACCTGCAAGGAAGAGGCCTTGGGTCGCGTATCTCATTGGGTCGGGGCCGGGAGGGCAGTTCCACAGTGCAGTCGAGATATCGTAACGGCGAACTGTGGCACTCGTCCTAGGGGCCAATATATGGTCTGCGCCGGGGCGCAAAGACGAGTACGGGCGCGAGGACGGGCGGGAGCTGAAGGGGAATCGAAGAGGAGGATGCGCAACGACGCCTACACTTCGAAACGCCATGCACGTACGTATCATGCGGCGACGTGGACGACGCAATTGGAGGGTGTAGCAGCAGTATAGGATCGAATTCCGCTGCGTCGAGACCTCTAGCTTGGAGATAGGCGATACGCGGTATGCGGAGGGGAGGGAGGAGGGGTGGTATGGAGAAGGGGAGCAGAGGTAGGAGACAAGTAGAGAGGTCGACGAGAGGTGGGTAGGCGGCGACGTAGTGGTGTAGCAGTGTGGGTGCGATGCGGTGTATGTGGTGTAGGAGGAGGCACTGAGGAGGGTGGTGGTGTAGGGAGGAGGAGAAGAGAGAAGCAGGAATCGGGTGCAGGCAGCGAGTGGTACAGGTACGGATACATAAGGAGGATAAGGAGGGCGGGCAAGTGAATTAGGTACCTATGCGCCCTAACCCAAGGTACCTAAATCTACCTAAGGTACCTAACCGGGGGGGGGGGTACCGCCACTACACTGCGTCGAGGCGGCGGCGGTTGGTGAGAGGCTACCTAGGCTAGGTCGGCTACGCAGGTAATTGAAAACAGAAATCATCCCGGCCCTCGCCCCTTGGCTACCGGGCCGGCTAGGCATCGCCGGAGTGGCAGCGGCCGGCCCGTCAGCGCTACGCGCACTGCTCGGCTCATTGCACCTGGCTGCCAGCTACTCGATTTCCAAGTACCTCCGCCAAGCAACCGACGTCAACGGCAGCCGGTATACACCATACCTACATGAACATGCCTGCTAGGTTCCTACCAACCTACCCGGGTACTCATATGAGTCCAACCCCACTTTGTTACCCAACCGATTGTGCCACCCAGGCTTCCAACTTCCGATCAACCGTCCGCCTTACGTAATCGGCCCACGATGTGGCCCAGATGACAATGCAGAAAATCCCGTGAAGCAAAGCCCAGGCAGGACTCCGCAATCAGAATAAGTGAATTCTTCTCCTATCTTCTGAGTCCCCTCCTACGCCAAGCTGCCGGGAGGCAGGTAGCAGGCAGAATAGACAGAATTGCCGACGTGTACCGCCTTGGGTCGTGGGTAGGATCGGCCCTTTGTATGGCGTCCGAAGTCCCCTCCCCAACGGACGGTCACTTTAGGTAATCGTCCCGATCCTACGGGATGTAGGTACCTAGGTATCGTCTCGTCTCTTGGACATCTCCCCGTTCAGGTCGCGAAAAGACGTTATCTCAGATCGGCGACAAGCCTGGGCTCATGTCTATGTTACAATCAAGCCGTTTCCCTGCGACGCATCCCACACCACCCGCCGGTCCCACACCCATCTCGATCGCAGCAGTGAACCCCTCCCCCTCCATCGGCGCTGACAAATACCCCGAGGCCTGCCATTTCGCCATATTCCGTCAGAGGAATCCGGTCGTATAAAGAGAAAGCCCTTCCCGAACCCCACCCGCTATCTTTCTGCCGCGACGACGCGCACTCCATGTTCCTCCGCCGATTGTGGTCCTCCTCCTCTATATTATCGCAAGCCATGGCCGACCCCAAGATCAAAGCCCAGAGCATCATCGACGAGAACGCCGTCGGTAAGTGATATATATATATACCTGCGAGACGGGGCCCGCGACAGCGCCTTTTCGGCTAACCGCCCCCCGCCCCCTCTTTGTAGCCCTGTTCTCCAAGACGTATTGTCCTTACTGCAAGGCCTCCAAGGCGCTCCTCGACAGCCTAGGCGCCAATTACAAGGTCGTCGAGCTGGACGTGGTCGCGGACGGCCCCGCCCTCCAGGACGCCCTCCAGGAGATCTCGGGCCAGCGCAGCGTCCCCAACATCTGGATCGGCAAGAGGCACATCGGCGGCAACTCCGACCTGCAAGCCAAGTCTGGCGAGCTCAAGGACCTACTGGTCGAGGCTGGTGCCCTCTGACTCCCGGGCTCCACCACGTCTAAGTTGTAACGGGGACATTCCGCGGCGCCTCCTGTCCACCGAGCCTCAGATAGCCGATGGCGACGTTGGAACGGCACGCGTAGTATGCGGGGTAGAGGCCATATTTCGCGGTGCTCGGATACTGGCGGGAGCGTGCTCAGTTGTGGTGGCGCGATACGGGGAATTGGGCTAGCGATGCCGTGTAGAATTACCGACAGATAGACGTGGTGCCCCCAGACACGTGGGAGAGAATCAACGCATTGCCTTCCGCAACCAGGTCCGAAGTAGCACGGGACAATACGGTAGCCAGAAGCTAGGGCGTGCGCCTAGAGCACGAACGAAAACGGAGGCGACACGGGCGGGAGACAAACAAATGCGCGACCGCGGAATAAGGCTGCCGGTGAGTATTTACCTATGTAAGAGTGACGGCGGACGTCAAGTCCGACAGATGCGCTCCAGCTGAGAACCGACTAAATTACCTAGGTAGATAGACGTTCCCACGTCGTACTCCAACTGGCGCTAGAGTTGAAGAAGCCCACACGTAAATGCAACGTCAGCGATTCAGTCGCGACAGTATATACACCTAGGCGACGGGGTCAAGTGTTGCGTCTTGCCCTACCCAGCCAAACCATCATCGTTTGTGGGGGGTAGGTTGGGGGCCGGGGGGGTTCTCGACGTAGGTATATGATGGTGAGCCCATGGGCTAACAGCGACCATTTCTCGCGTCTCCAAGCGTCTCTTGGAAATACTTAAAGATACAATAGTATGGAGAATGCGGCAGCGATATCGAACAAGGCAAGAGAAACTAGGCGTCAAGAAATATAGGTAGTGGTACGAATTGCGAGCGGATGCACTCAATATGATCTCCATGATTATAGGCCGTGTCCATGGGGGCGACGGCATCTTAGATAGAAGGGCCTGGTTTTCTCCCCACCCCTCCAGCCCCCCTTTCTCTGTGTGTGTCTCCGTCTCCGAATAGTTTACACCTCTCTGAGGTACCTACACCAGCATACAAATACTCACCTCTACAAACAAGCCCTTCCAGCTTGAAAGCATCCGCCCACCTTCGCCCATCCCCGGACCCTATCGCCCAAGGGTGCGCATCGCGTCTCGGCGCCGTATTCAGTAGCTCCGCAAATCACAGCACAAGGGGCGGGGGCCGACAATCATATCACCTGGGTGGCCACCGTGCCCACCGGCCGCTCGACGAACTCCATGACGCCGTCGATGACGCTCCGCCGCGCCGGCTCTGATGCTACTTTGGCGCCGGCCAGGTAGTTGAGCCACAGCAGGCGCGAGACGCGCTCGTCCGCGACGGAGCCCAGCGCCATGGCGCCGCGCGACCGGCCGTCGTCGAACGCGATGGTCAGCCGCCCCGCGCCGTCGCGTACCAGCAGCAGCTCGCGCCCGCGCGGCGCCTTGCCGCGGTTGAACGCGGCGCGGAAGTCGCGCATCGCCTCCCGGAACGCGTCGTCGCCGTAGTCGCCGCTGTCGTCGCCCGCCGCCCCCCGGGCCCGCAACCGCGCCGTGATCGCGCGCACGAACCCGTCCTTGAGGTGGTGGAAGTCGGTGTCGCGCACGGGCACGACGCGGAACAGCGACCGCGGCCGCGCCTCGCGCAGGATCTCGCCCCAGAGGCGCTCGCCCTGCACCGGGTCCAGCAGCGCGGCGCGCAGCTCCTCGCGCTCGCCCGCCACGAGCGTTGTCGCGATCGGGTTGATCTCCTTGACGAGCCGCGACTGGATCGCGGCGATGTCCTGCGTCGCCACGTAGTACCCCACCATGTACACCTGGATGCTGAGGAAGCTGACTGTGCGCACCCCGAGTCCGACGAGGGTGTACTCGACGACCTCGCCGTCGCCTGGCGGCTTCTGCTGCTGCGGCTCCCCCTCGGCGGCGGCGGTGCCAAGAGCTAGGTCGAGCTGGCGCGGGAAGTTCGGCACGGTGCTGTTCCCCGTGGGCACGAGCTCCTTGCCCTTGGCGTCGTAGACTATGACGGTGGTGTTGTGCCTCGAGCCGGGGTTGGGGCCGGCGCTGCTATCGAAGTTGGTGGGCTTGTTGAGCTCCTGGTAGAGCAGGTAGGAGGTGCCGCAGATGGCCACCATGCCAGCTATGACGCCGCAGTAGAGAAAGGCCTGCCGACGAGCGTGGTACTTGTAATATTGTGCATGGATGCGATCGATGTCGAGGTCCTGAAGCCCTCGGGCGGATGGCCGTTGACGAGGCCGCAAGAACGTTCGGCATTGTGTCGGCAAGTTAGCTGATAGGCAGCGGGGGCGGCAACTCGATCGCGGGACCAACGGAGGGAACGTGTGAGGCTTCGGTAATGCTCGCGGCGGCTTCATCGTGGTCAATGGCTTAGAATGGGCATCTGGTGTGCGATGTCCGGTGGTGGAATGAGGAATGGGACAGGCTAGAAAACGCGCGACCTCAGCTGAGGTAGGCAGTTTTGGTCTCCCCCGGCTGGGTCTCCCCCGGCTAGGCCCGCTAGCAGGGCCACTGAGTGTGAGCGCGGGTGTCGTTGGCGTGGAGGTACAGGCCACCCTACGTCATCGGCGGGCTAATAAAATCTCCGTGTCCCGTGCTGCCGTTCGATGCGGGGGGCGCCCGGCACTGTCTGACAGCTGGACTCTAACTAGGTAGGTAGCCTTTCGCTTGCCACGTGCTTTTTAGATTTAGGTACCTAGATCTCAGCTACCCACCTATTTCTATCCCCTTCACATTCCATCCCAACTTCATACTACCTATTCTTTATATAGCGGCTCCCGCCCTCGAATAAAAGGTATTCGATAGGTTATAAATTTCGGGAACACCTTCAAGGCAACCGGGCTGAAGCCAACCTCCCCGTCCTTAAAGAAGAAGTAACTTAGTACGGTCGTAAGTATAATAACATCCCAAACCAGGTCGATACGCTTCTCTAGTAGCGTTCGAACGCGTTCCGGTATTCCGTCGAATAGTTGCGTCTAAAAGCCCCTTTCCGTAACCTCGAATTTATCCGGGTGCTGTTGGTTGCGCGCGTCTCGACGTGCATGATGCACGGTCATGTGCATCATGCTCGGCGACATTGGTTGGTAGGTAGGTATTTGGGATGCGTACGATCGAAGCCAGAGGAAACGAAAGGAACGAAGAGGGAGGAGGAAAGGCTGAATCGAGGCAGGGGGGGAAGGGGTATGAAAGGTATCTATCTTGAACAGTCGACCTCACGGTCCAGCAGCCAGTACGCGGAGGGCCGGGGTCGAGGGACAAAAGTTGGGCCCGTACGCCGGGTTCCGATTGATGGAGTGGGCGACCCGGCAGAGCGAGGCCGACCACTCAGAAACCGGAAGCCTCGACAGCAACACACGTCTTACAGGCATCACACATGCCGATCTACGCCGCCGACCTGACACTGGAGGTAGGTAACTATCCATACGACTCTCTGTATCCAACATCCACGCCGTGTCCGGCGGATGTCGCCCCTTATCGGATCTCCCATACTGAATCGAGGCCAAATTGGCTCCTTGTGCCACCGCAGAACGGGACGAGTCCTGCCCCACTGCACCAACGTCGTCTCTCGGTATTGTTGTCGTCCCCGTCTCTGCCTCGTCTTCTACGCACGCAGAAGAACACCTATCCCTCCGCAGTGTTGAGGTACCTAACTACCTATGTTTATGGCCGGATGTCTGTTCTATAGCGGCGCTCTAGTTGAAAGGTCGCCGAAATTCGCCGGTCCAAGAATGGGAAACGCCGCAGAGTTCACCGTAGCACGTTCGCACGGTCGTTTCGCAGCTTTTCCAGCCGGGGATTTTCCCCGGGCAGTAGTATTTCCCTTCGACAGAGGTCTCCCCCCCGTTTCACGGCGCTCTGCAGGCGCCAGGACGAGTGTTTTGGTGCCGAATCCGCGGTGGATGTGCAATCATTCTTCAAATTTGGTCCTTGGCATGCCGGCTCGCGCTCGGTCCTTCTCCTCTTCGTGTCTGCTTTTTTCATCAGTCCTTTCAGCCGCCGCGTTTCCCGCACCAATTTCCGGACGGCCTAAAGGTTCGTAGGCGCCACCTCAGGATTCCTCCAGGTCTACGTTCGTCGTGGCAAGGAATCTTGGCCTGTTAGGACCGCACTATGTATGATTTGGCATGCCACGACGTTGAGGGAGCGGGAGAGTGCGGGAAGTCTACTCTGTTGCCTTTGCGCTTCGCTGACGTGACGCAGCCGATCTACCTGGATAACCTCTAGATCGGGATGGGAAGAGATCACAGGCTGTCCCATTATGTGACTGCAGATAAATAGAGGGCGATGGCCTCGAGGATAGGGGGTAGATAGGTAGGTATATATTCCAATTCTTGAAGTATTCTGCAAATAATACTGGAACATCTTTTTACCCGCCGGGTGTCATATAGGTACCTATCGAGCTCGCCATGTCGTGTGGCAGGCGTGGCGTAAGACTAGGGGCTTCGGCTTATATTGGCGTGGAGGGACCGGGAATAGATGCCTTAGGTAGCTTGCAGAATCTTGTGCCGAGTTCCGTCGACATCCACGTCGCTCCGAGACGTAGTCTCTTCCGATCTAGGTGGACCGCGAGGCAATAGAGGTAATATTATAGGTATAGGTATGTATCGCGGGATATCAACACTTGTCATCAGCTCACTAACCTCACAACGACGTGGCAGCGGTGACGACTACGGAGCCACTACTAGCCCGTCAGAGCAATCGGCAGTATGTGCGCGTCGAAGAAGGATGACGCTGCACAGCGTATTCACAAGAAGCTGCCAAGAAGACTGCACGGAGATGCGGTCATAAACTAGTGGATATAGAACGGGGTATTCGTGAAAATATCATATCCAAACGATCGTGTCCACTGAAGTTGTTCCAGCTCCCAGACACCGCGCGCGCCGGCTACTAATCGCCCTTCCCCCTTTTTCTTCTCCCTGCCAGAACCGCGCCACCCTCCCGATTGAACACATGGGGCCACGCGCGCTAGACCACCCGATTCATTGGAAATAACACCGAGTGTGTGTGTGTGTGTGTGGCTGCCGATCCGGCTCACGAGACGGTCTTCTCGCTCACATGGAGCGGGCGGTCCTCGCCCTCGTCGTCGCGGTGGTAGAGGGGCTCGAGCTTGGCGTTGCGGTTGAACAGGACCCAGCGCTTGACCCACCAGGGGAGGGCCTTGGTGACCTGGTAGGCGGCGAATTTGCGGTTGGGGACGGCGAAGACGTAGTCGAGCTCCTCGAGGGTGCGCTGCTTGGTCTCGGGGACGAGGAAGAAGATGAGCACGAAGGCGACGAGGTTGAAGCCGGCGTAGAGGCCGAACGCGCCGACGGTGTGCAGGCGGTCGAGCAGGAACGGGAACGTGACGCTCAGCACCGCGGCCCAGAACAGGCAGGTCGCGACGGCGAGGCCCATGCCGACCTCGCGGTGCGACAGCGGGAACACCTCGGCGCTGTACGTGAAGGGCACGGGGCCCTCGCCGGGCGAGTAGAAGACGGCGAAGAGGAAGACGAAGAGCGCGACCAGGCCCGTGCGCGCGTCCGACCGCGGCATCAGCGTGCACAGGCCGGCAGCGAGCAGCGTCCACATCATCTGCGGGAAGGTGAAGAGCAGGAGGGAGCGGCGGCCGAAGGTGTCGATGGTCCAGAAGGCGGGGAAAGCGAAGAGCCAGTTGACGAGGCCGAAGCCGAAGGAGCAGATCATGGCGAGGAACTGCGAGTACCCGGCCTCGACGAAGACGGTGGTCGAGTAGAAGGCGATGATGTTGATGCCGCACATCTGCTGGGCGATCATGACGGTGAGCGCGGCGATGGTGGCGCGGCGCACGCGCGGGACCGTGAACAGCTGCACGGTGCGCGTCACGTAGTTGGTCTGGCTCAGGATCTGGTGCTCGATCGCCAGCTGCGCGTGGATGTAGTATATGTCGCGGGCGACCTGGATCGGGTTGCTGCGCAGCTTGATCATCGAGTTCCACGCGTCGACGTAGCGGTTCTTCTTCATGTACCAGCGCGGCGACTCCGGGCACAGGTAGATCAGGAAGATCAGCGGCACGGCCGGGATGAAGGGCGCGCCCAGCATCAGCCGCCAGTTGTGCTCGTGCTCGAACACCGCCAGGTTGATCGCCGTCCCCAGGAGGATGCCGAACGCGGTCCACATCTGCCAGGACATCACCAGGGCGCCTCGGACTGCGGCTGGAGAGTTTTCGGCGGCGTAGATCGGCACTTGAGGGCATACCTATTAGTACGCTCAGTCCGCGAGGGGGGGTTGGGGGGGGGGGGGGGGGGACTGGATGAAAAATTGGAAATGGACGGCTACGAACCTGTTGAAGCCTTGATACCCATTCCGATGCCCATAAGCAATCTGCAGGCGAGTTGTTGTCCCCAGCTTTCGCAGAAGGCAGAACCGATGACAGGCCAGAGACAGAAATGAGCAGAAACGAAAATAACACCTGCGGTGGCTGGTTAGTTCGAGTCCCGGGATCCGGTGCCCGGCGCGACACGCTGGACAGTCGAAGATATCCCCCTCTCACAAAGGCGTACATACCTCGACGACCAATCCAGTTGTTGACAGGGTCCGAGAGCCAGCAGCCGATGAGAGCACTCCCGATGTAGGGGCCCGCGTTAACCAAGCCGACCAACTACGCGAAACAGTCAGGGCCATGCCACCACGGGTACAGGAAGCGCGAGAAGGGTTAGCAGGAGGGGAGGGGTAAGCTCACAATTCTCTCCCTCACGCTCGAGCCGGCGATACCGTAATACGCGGGGAAGAAGATGTTGGCGCCGTTCGTTCCCGTCTGATCCCAACCCTGGACGGCCGCGCCGATGGAGCAGGTCGCGATGGTCAGGAACAGGCGCGGGGGCATGCGCCACTTGTGCTGGATCTCGTTCCGGAGGGCCACCTTCTCCGCCTCGTCGAGGGCATCCTCGCCGTCCTGGTCCTCGAAATCGTGGGGGTTCTGGGCGACGAGCGCGCCCCGGCGCAGGAGCGGGAGGTGCTCGGTGAGGTTCTTCTCCTGCGCGAAGGTCTCGACATCGCGCATAAGCTGGTCGCGGGGGATTCCCTTGAGCGGGTTCTTGATCCTGGGCGCCGGGAGGCGCGTTAGTCGCGCCCTATCAGCTACGGGGGAAGGGGGAAGGGTTGGCAAGACAGCAGCAAGCTCCAGCACGCTCTTCAGAGACTCTCGCGCCGCAGCGGCAGCTTACGCCTCTACCCAGATTGTTGCTCACCTCGCTTCCAGGTTGATGTTGAGATCTACGTTCTCGGTGGTGCTAACACCGGCTTCTAAATAATTACCCTCGCCGCCCTTGGGCTCGATCCTGCGGTGGACGAGTTAGACATGTGTGTCTCAGTGTGCCGAGGCGAAGGGACCCTTACGTGTCCGACGTAGGTTTCTCCGCCATGGTTCCAATTCAGAAGGGGCGTAAACCAGGATGTGAGAACGTCGCAGCAGGGGGAGCCTTACTGCCAGTGGAAGGCAGGAGATGCTACCGCGTCCTCTAGGTCCGATGACTTGGCTAGAAAGGAGGGGGGGAGAGAGGAGAGACAGGAGACGCGAATGGCTGGTACGACAAAGGGCGCCCGTCGCCCGAGTCTTATATTTCTACTCCCGAGGTGTCGCAACCCGCCACCCAAACCGCCGTCAGCGCGCCATGATGATCCTAATCCCCGATCCCCAATGGCGACAACCCCATACGGAAAACCCCATGGGCGAGGACATGGAGGAGCCCCCCACCCCGGCGACGAATCGTGGCACGCGCCGGGATGGCGTCCCACTGGAGGTAGGGCAAGGATAGGGATGGCACACGCGAAGGATGTTCGCCGTGATAGCGCATGGCAGAGAGGATTCGGTGCGCCCAGCATCCAGGCGGGTTGCCTCTTGTGCCTCTCCCCCAGACAAAAAAAAAACCTGACCTGTCGGCCGCGACGGAGGCAGCTAGGCGATACTAAGCGGCCGAATTGCCAGAACCCATGGCCGACTCCACCCAAGTGAGCCTCTTGGCAGCGTGAGCGGCGGCGACGGATAGGTAGATGGGGAGCGTGGGAATGGAGCCTCGATTAGAGAAAGCAGGGATGGATGCAGCCAACGGATGTGGCTAGCCGTTAACGGCAGCGGGATGCCAGGTAAAGAGAGGCATGTAGCGAGGACAAACGTCGAGAGCGGCCAACGGTGGCGTACTCTGGTTAGTGATGCTGGATTCCATCATGTGATGGAGGACGGGGCTATATTAGTATCTCCCTTGTTATGCGCTTAAGAAGAAGAAGAAGAAGAAGAAGAAGAGGAAGCAGAGGATGAGAGGTAGCTTAGCATACCCTGGATGATGCTATTCAGGCCATGCTCGGTCTCGGGCACTCCCGCCAGCTTCGCTTCTCCCTTCATTCCCTCGGTCTAGACGCTGCGTCCGTAAGGCGGGCGATAATACGACGTGTGGTAGGACAGATAATTGAGCAGGCAGAGAGACACCGTCGGGCGCATCTCACATAAACATAAGGTAGGTTTGCGTGTCCCGTGGCGTCAGCAGCGCCTCGCCAGCAGCAGCTTTGAGGCTCTCTGCCTATGGTTACCCAGGGTCGCGATGGTGCACCGCTGCGCACTGACAGCCTAGATTCTCCTCTTGTCTTACTGCAAAGGGGGGGGGGGGGGTTGTCTTGAGTCCTACGGAAGCCGTCCCGTCTCAGTCGGCAGTGAGCTTGCACTACCTACGTAGTAGAGCGTGCAACGTATACCTAGAACATGTAGAGCGCGTATACACCTACCTACCTACCTACCTATGCACTTACCTATGTATGTAGGTGCTACCTAGGGCACGGCACGTAGCACCATGTTGGCTGGTTGACCGAAGATCTGGAGAGGGGATAGCTGGATCTGGGTGTGAGTGCGAGTTTGTGCGTGTGTGTTGTGTGTGGCTACGCGTGGCCTTACGATGCAACTAGGGGTAGAGAGACCAGGAGGGGAAAGAAGCATCATGAAAGAAAACCGACGCCGGTTTAGGTTAAGATGAAGCTGGTGGCGTAGCTAACTCACGATGGCGACGGGTGGCCTCATGGCGAACTTGTCGGTAACCAGGTGTAAGACCTGCCTCCCTCCACGACCATACCTACTTACCTGGCGCAAGGCCCTGCGGCGGAAGAAGACTCGGGGTTGTCTTAAGAGGTGGCCAAGGGTCGTAAGGCTTTGTTCTTGTTTCTTGTTTCCCGATCTCGACTAGACCCCGTGGGTTAGCTCGTCGTCCTGCGGCATTTCTCCATCCTCCCCCTCTCCATCCCCCCGGTCCCATCCCATCCCAACCCCAGTTCCGTCCAACTATTCTTCCTTTCTCTTCCCATCCTGCTAGTCTTCATCCGTCTTAGGCCCCAGTCTTCCCCATACTCACTTCCCGGCCTCCACCCTCTTCTCCGTCTGTCCAATTTTTGGAGATTCCACTGTGCCTTTCTTAAGCTACCGGCACTCGTAGGAGCAAGCGGCAGCAGGAGATGTTATCGCCCCCTACAACGTAGCATCCTGCACAGGAGGCCCTTTCGAAAAATGTCTGTCCTCTCCCGTCTTCTGCCCCAGATGCATAAGTTGCACCTAGGTATATACCTAATGTACATGTACCCATATGCACAGAACTGTGGATGATGAGAAGAATACCTACGGGCGTCGGGCACAGGCACGGATCATACGACCCGTAACAAAGGCAGACCCTGTCTCTCCTCTCCTCGGTTGAGGACGCCAACATGTACCTACATTTATTCGTGCGGTAAGCGCTAGAAATTTCTGCGCGATAGCAGCAGAGAGAGGAGGTGGTGGAGGCGGGCAGCGCCGATAGGTGACGGCGGTGGGAAAAGACGGCGGGCAGAGGCGACGAGGTAGCGAGAGGCATCAAGCAGCAATGATCAACGCCTATCAGTATCAACGGTAAGCGATAGCAACAAGCAAGCAACCGAAGCAGTGGTTAATGCGAATCATCATTCTCATCTCCAGGAATATCTCCAAATCTGAGTCGGTACATAGGTATGTGTAAATGTCTTACATGCCCGGCTGCCTACCCGGGTAGGTGTGTGTATACGTAGGTAGGTAGATACCGACATCGTGCCAGGATGGCGTGGAGCGGCGCGACGCAACTCGGCCAAATACATGCCGCTACCTACACGTACAGCATCGAGGCGTCAAGCTGCTGATTTGCTTGTACCTATGATGAATCTTTGTGGTGTTGGGCGTAGAAATGCGTAGGGGGCGACTTGGCAGTCCAGGACAGGGGTCGCCTACGATAGGGATACGCAGACCGGACCCCTGACAAGAAAAGCAGGGAAAGAAAAATAAGGAGAAGAGGAGGATGCTAGACCAGATCGGTCTTCTACTAGGTAGATAGTTGCGACAAAGCGTGGGGATCGCTCGCCCACTCTGGTCTGGTCGGCCTCGAGGCCGAGAACTGATCTCGACGCCACAAAGAGACCCTGCCGTTTTCCACCGAGCACAATCTATATCCATACCTACCCAATCCACCGATGAACTGGCTCGTTGGCTGGTTCCTGTGCAAGGAGATATGCAGATAGATAGATTGGCTATTCACACGTGACCAGCGTCTTCTCTGCCGGTGCAGAGCAGGTTGTGTTATTGAGCCCATTCCCAAGCCGCCGCACGTTGCGAGCCGTGGCGGCGGGACGACGCTCGTATTCCCTCCACACCTCCCCCCCAAACCCCATCTACCCACGTCGACAGATACCTCCACACGTAGAAATACATACGTAGCTGCGTATACTGACCTCCACCTCCCTAGGTGGCAAGAACGAAACAAGTCGGAATCTGCCTGCGTAGATCGCATGACGTCTGTTTCTCTCGATGCTCGACGGTGCGGAGGCGCCGCCCAGGCCCCAAGCGACTAGCCTCGTAGCATCGACGAACCTCGAGAGCCAAGATGCTACGAGACTAGCATCAACAAGGCAGGTGTCCGAGCCCGGCCATGCCATGCCCCCCCCCCGTCCTCCCCTCTCCCCTCTCCCCGGCCGATGATGTCGCGACGACAATCGTTTCCTTCTCGTCGATGAGAATCTTGTTAGGCACTCCTCATGTGGAGCCAGAGGATGCTGATCCCGTTTGTTTTTCTTCCCTTATTACTATAGATTTTTTTTATAAATAAAAACAGGACAATTCGGAGACCGATGCGTGCGTCAGGTATGCATCGTCCATAGGTAACCGTATCTCTATACTGCACACGTAGTAGCATGGCGGCGACTGGAAGCAGGCTGGATGTAACCCCGTCTAGCTCCTCTGCCCGGTACGGTATCCCGAATCGTGGGATGGACTCGCGACGACGGCCCACTTGCACATCTCACATATGTGCTTACTCTGACCCTATCTCTCCTATACGCACGTCTTATCCTCTCCTCTTCCGCAGCCTGCGTCCTGCGTCTGTCGGCACGTCGAGATAAGATACCGTAGGTATCCTGTCAGGCCCGTGGCAGAGACCACATGCCAGCTGTGGCATTCCTCGGGTGAGAATAGCATCGATCCCTTAACGTAGGTTTCCGTGCCTGCGCATCATTCCGTCGTAAAAGGCCAAGCCCGCCCCAGTGGTGGTCTAGCCGAAATACAGAGCCGAATACGTAGGCAGGCGGGTATTATGGATCGCGCGCGTTTCGCAGAAGATATGTGGGCGTACACCGCAGCAACGGGTTGTGTCCGATGCTCTCTATCAGGCACCCCGACCTCCCCCTGCAGTATTCCGGGGAAAGATTCGGTTCCATGGCTCACATGTGTATCTAGCTACACGTACTCTAGACATATCGGCCGCGTATACCGCCTAGGAAGCAGTGGGAGGCCGTGAATCCTATGTGGGTGGCATGTCAACGGGCAGGGATCAGCTATGAAGTAATTACGGTGGTGCAATGTATGTGGGACCCGAGGCGTCCCAGGCGACGAGGAGATGCCCTCGTCCAGCAAAGGATCCAGGTATTACCTAATTCTTATGGAACTGCGACGGTGCCAGACCACATCTCCTCTGACATGACTTGCGGTCTGCTGTAGGCGGAACAACTGAACTGGCGGCGATTCGAGATCGAGCAAGGGCGCCAAGCATGTCATACCTACATATCATCATCCTCGTCCTACCACCCTGACACCTCAGCGGACCACTGGCTTGTAGGCCTTCTCTCAGGAAACAGACAGGTATATATCGACGCACCATAGGGATATATAGCCCGCGAGGGGAAAAGAAAATAGCACAATCAGGATTCGGCGGTAGGCATCCCGAACCGTTGATCCGATCCTGCCCAGGGATTTTGCAGGCCGAACCTGGAGACAGGTAGTAGGTAGGTAGGTAGCCCAAATAAGCGACACACGTGTTGGCGGCCGAAAGCAGGTCGGGTTCCAACGGCAACCCGCTGGCGTGGTACGACACCTCCCTCCCTCACCCTCGTCCTCCTCCACCTCCCTTCTTCTCCAACTCCCTCCCTTTTGCTCCACCTCCTCCTCTACGTACCGTCGCGAGCCAGCACCCAGCGGTCTCCGCGATTCCGATGCCTAGCGCCCAGCCCCCGGGCCTCGGCACAGCTGGGACGAAGGACTTGGCTGGCTGGACGGGGCCTTGCGGTGTCGTGAAGAGGGAACGCCTGTGCCGCGAGGAGCCAATCACCGCCGCGTCTCCCCCTCCCCATCCTCGACGAGGGCTTGGCTGATGACACCCAACATATACCTACTGAGTACACCATCCGTCCCCATCGCGTGTACCACCTCGCGTGCCTCTCCACCGTCGCGACCCCGACAGTCGGGCGATCGACGCCCGCGAGGCAGATCAGCGCTCGCTTCAGCTCAGTTCGCACGCGCCCGCTCCCCACGGGGGGAGGCGGGCTCGGAACCGCTGGACCCGGTCGTCGCGCCCCTTTCTTCGCTGTTGTGCCCTGCGGGCTGTGTCACGATCGTATCGCAGGGCGGGGAGGAGAGCGGGGATGCCGATGAGAAGAATCCGGGGGGACAAAGGGCGGATCCCTTGCGCCCTCCACGAGCCACGCGCGCGTGCTGATCTATCTCGGATCGCACACCGAAGACAATAAGTCGATCCCCCTTTGTGAGTAGGTCTTGTCGTCTTTTGTAGGTAGGTACCTACGTCTTGCGCCCCCTGCCCGGAGGGCCGGTAGTGGTAGAAATTCCTAGCGAAAAACGAGTACGGACAGGCACTGCTGCACGGCGGTGCTGTCTACCTCCTCGATGATCGACGTGTGTTGCGGCGCCGACGACGGCCAAGGACCACCTCTAAGCCACCAAGTAGCCAACGTACTGGGCTGCACACGAAGAGTTAGTAGCGTCTAGGCTAAAGCTTAGGTGGGAGACTAGACACTGGCGTGAGAGGTGCCGAAGGTTGAGGCTGAGGCGCGGCGGAGATATAGATAGATAGATATACCTATGCCTGCGTGTGCCGTCAGGACTGGCCTCGCCCCGTCTGAACAACGCCCACCACTAGCACCGTACGTGGCCAGCATTCTGAACACCCAAGCCGAGCCTCGCAGCTTTATCATCGCGTGTCCCTCATCTGTTCCCGTCCCCCTCCTCGTCGTGCATCCTAACCGTCTAGCGACGCGAGCCCTTGGTAGCCCCCACCCCACCCCCGGGTATCGACCGCTCCTCGTTTCGCATAGCAGTCAGAAGACTGGCGTCGGGACGTGCTCGCGTGATCGAGCGGGCCGGGGAGGGGAGATTCGAGCGCGACGACGAGGAAGAAACGCAACGGACGGCGAATCTAAAGCACAGCTCTACGACATTATTTTACGATACCTAGCGGTGTTTTTATACACACACCCACGATACCCAATGCACGCTCACTCTTGTGGGGGTCATATTTCCCATGTCCCCTTTTCCCCTTCTTTTCTGTTCCCCCGCGAATCGGGTCCTCGTGGGAGGGGCCCCTAACGAAAGCTGAAGCCCGACTAAGGCCTGACGCGCATGAACATCGTGAGACACGCTATTTGCGGCGGCGATCGCTGGCTGCCGGAGAGGGGGGAGTGGGGATCGTGGAGAGGAGGGGATCGTGACGAGGCTCTGGCGTGCGGGAGTCTTCTCGTGCACGTCTGGTCTCTGGGGAGAATCTATCGTGCATATGCACCAGACGTAGCATTCCCTGAGAAATCACATCGAACCCCTTACCCCCCCTGCACCGCGACACACACACACACACACACACTTTTTGTTACCGTATCGAACAGTGAGTGGCCCAGGAACAGGTCTCGTAGACATGTGACGACCGAGTCAAGTGCCTCTAATATAGGCGGTTAGGATGGCTCGGGGGGGTATTCATCTGCGTGCGAGCTTGACGTCCTAACGTAGAAACTCGTCCGCGATGGCCAGAAAACCTCATATGATTCCGGGAACGAGATGTCCGAAGATGCGATCTGCCATCCATCTGGCTGTGCACACCCTCTCCTGCTCTTAAAAATGCATAGCCATCCAGCCCGCCCGATCTATCGGTCGATCGAGGGGTCATCCGTGCCGCTTATAAGCTCGACCGGCTTCTCGCGCTCGCGTCTCGACTCTAACGCGCGAAACATGGCATCTTCGTGCGTATTAGACATTTATTCTCCTCTGGTCGACGCCGTGCTCCGCGATCCTCTGACCTAGGTCCAGAACGTATATTATATTACGACGTCGACGGACGCTGTCGCCCAGCCGCCGTTGTCATTACCCTCCCCCCGGCAGCAACCCACGGAGCGCCGCGCTTGCTCGCCACCCCAAGGCCTCGGAGACTAGCGCCCTGCCAATCCGATGTCAACTTTCATCGCCCCCGAGCCACATGGCGACGCGGCCGTGAGCAGCGGCGAGCAGGACTCGTCGCCGCCCAAGACGAAGGCGACAACGACAAGAGTGACCTCGCCGATTCTTGTATTACTGTTGCTGCCGCTGCTGCTGCCGCTGCTGCTGCTCGTGGTGTTGATGCTGCTGCTGCTGGTCCTGACGCTGGTCCTGTTGCTGGTGCTGATACTGGTCCTCTTGCTATTACCGATCCCGTAGAGGCACTCGCAACTTCTACTACCGGCGCACCCCCCCCCCCCCCCCGCGCGCGAGCCGAAACGGCGATCTTGCTCATCCTGGGGATTGGTACTGGCCCTTCAACTATCTTCCTGGTTTCGGTCGAGTAGAATGGTGGCCGTCGCCCCGCTCAAATTACGCTGCGTGGCATCAGCCTCGTTCCCGCCCTCACGACCCAGCTCGGCACTTCAGGTGTAGCATCGGAGGGACGATTCATTCCACGGCGGCCCGAGCTACGACAGCGGTATTGTGACCGCCCGATGGCGGCGGTCGTGAGTGGAGGCTAGGCCCCGTCGTCGAGATCAGGGGAATTAACAGCGCAAGACGTCTAGACATGTGTATACCTAGTTGGCGACCAATTGAGAAAAATGTGAAGAGAACTTTCAAACCTCCTGAAGCTCCCGGACCCCGATTCTATTGCCGGAACTTGCAGTTCCGTCCTGCAGAGCGACCAGCCGTTTTTGCGACCAGCTTAACCATTAGGATCACAGGTCGGACCGCCGGCGGGAGAAAGCTTTCCGGTCCGACTATATGCCGTAGCGGCTTCTCCCTCACCTCGTCTTCCCACACGAAGACCTGAGTCTAGGTTTATTTCGTCTTCTGCTCGTAAACAAGGCTGACTGAATGCATGTTTACACGAATTAACATCGTAGGTAGCAACAGCGTGCTAGAATGAAGACAATATTTCGCTGGGTTAGCAATTCGTGAATATGCGGCGTCGCGCCTCTAGGCAGTGTCCCCTCGTCTTACTGCCCTTCCAGGCTAGCCTGAGAATTGGGTGGCATGCTGGGTTCCGGGGTCACTCGCAGCCCATTCTTCTACGTGTTGTGTTGGGCGTGTGGCAAAAACCAATGCCTACCAAGTCACCCTCAGCTTTACGAAGGTTCTATAGCCAATCTAGCAGGAGTAAGCAGAGAAAAGATACGGACCGCTGGTATTGTAACAGAACAGAGTGAGCCATTTTCGACGAATGTTGCGTTTATTCGCCTTGATTCTCGGCCTGCAATCTGAAGCAACTAACACTCGGTTCTCCATCCACCACGAACAATAAAAAAAAGAAAGAGGCTACGCAGAATAACCGCCGCATGGCTGCGTTATGTTGCACGACGAGCACTCGGTGCCGGCACGCGCTGCCTGGTATCTTCTATTACTTTTGAAAATGACGGGTTTCTAGACGCCTTGGTCGTGAAATTCGTTACTCTGCGGCCTCATCGGCCTCAGTAGGCGGTCTCATGGTTCCATTTCCCTTCTGTTCTGTTCGAGAAGACATAATACGCGGCCACCCACGTGCAACTCTGAGCGAACTCGATGCAGAACCCGACAGAAAAGATTATTGTCTTGCCAAATGGTCGAAGCCGCCGGTGTCCCAAGACATGCACATGGATAACCCTCACGTCCAACCATTAGTCCGCAATGTAGAAAGGGCCTGGCAGGAACTGGGGACGATCTTGGTCGGTCAAGGCATCCTAAGGTGTCTCAAGACATAGGCAAGCCGATTGACATGATGACATCTCGGAACCTGCGCGCGTCAAGCCAATTAGGTACGGCGTAATCCCCGTAGAGCCAGACGCAAATCGTGATGTGGTTTCGAGCGCCGGTCCTAGACGGTCCTTCAGAGCCTAGGTACTCTTATCTCGAGTTGAGCGATGTGCGAGCGCGTCTGGGTCCGTTCCCAGGTAGGGAGGATAAAATAGATGATAGGCCTTACGGCCTATCCCTCTCATCGTCGTCATCGACGCGACCCAACATAGACGCCGTGCTAGGACCAGTGGGGTTTTGAATGGCAAAAAGCCCTTGGCCGGCCGTACTGGGTCCCGGGATACCGTTCGCCGAAACCCCTCCCTCGCGTGGGTCTTGTGTTGGCGGTACGAGAGAAATGCCAGGAGCAGCGGGTGCTAGCAGTGCTGCGGCGGGGGGAGTGGGAGGTATGACGACGTTCGCGTGTTGAGGTGGAGGCGGAGGAACGGCCACGACGGCGGCCCCATTTGCGGGGTTGTCATTCATACCGAAGGCACCGGGATCCAGGGCGATCTCACTACCATCGCCCATGTCATCGTCCTCAACCCCGTCGACCTCGTCGAATCCGTCGAGGTCGGGAGCCAACAATGGTCCCAGTTCTTGGTTCTGAACTTGCGTTGGGCCGGGGTCGGCCTGAATCGTCCGCCGTCGCGTAAATAGGCTGGGCTCGTGATACTCGTCAAACTCCGCTGTTGTATTAAGGTAGTGTCGCAAGTTAATGACACCTTGGCCGGAGAAGACGCAGAACACGGCACGCTGATGCTCGGTAAAATCTACGTGCGCTCGGTTTAGTGGCTCGCCCTACCAACCGATCTTGGGATGCGCAACACTTACCGGGAGGGGCCTCGCGACAGAAGGTATCGAGGTCCTCGCGAAGGAAGGCCGGCACGCCCGTTAAACTCAAATGGGTCAGTTTGGGGCAACAATTTAGGAGTTTGATGATGCTCTGTCACAGCCTGTTAGCGTCGCTCAACACGCCCACTTCCTCCATCCCCAAGGCGTGCCATACCGGAAGCGTTAAGTTGGTGCAGTAGCTAAGATGAACACGTTCCAAGCTGCTAGTGTGGTATTCGTGTCGACGAGAGCCGCTGCCCGATGCCGCACGGCGAGATTGGCTCTGGTGGTTCGCCCTGGCTAATGCGTTCATGCTCTCATCCGTGATGCTACTGCACTTCACCAAGCCGATTCGTTTCAGCTTCGGCAGTGTTGCTAGGCGCATCACAGACTCGTCCGTGAGGTGCATGCAGCAGCCCAGGTCGATGTAACGGATGCGGTTGCAGCAGTGTACAAGGCGCTTGACCGCGTCGTCGGTGATGTGTCTACAATGGCCGAGATGCAGATAGTGCAGGTTCTTGCCCAAGCGGGACAAGGCGTAGACCGCGGCATTGGTTATGTTGCTACACTTGGAGAGTATCAGGTTCCGCAGTCGGGGCGCGACTTCGACGATCTTCTCGACGGTACGATCCGTCAGGCGGGTGCACGAAGTCAGGTCGAGCAGCCGCAGGTGCTCGTACATCTTGTTAGAAGGTAGAGAAAGAAACGCGCCGTCGTCGATCAGATCGCAATTGCTCAGGTGCAGCTCCCGGAGGGATCTTCCGTGGGCCAGGAGGGCGGTAACAGGTTCGTTGCCGATATTTCCACATTGGTGCAGGTCGATCTCGAGGATGTTGGGACAGTTGTTGGCGAAGGCGACGACGGCAGCATCGTTGAGCTGCTCGCAGCCATTCAACTTGAGCTGTTTCCCCACAGTATCATCATTAGCTCGCACCGCTCTTGTGTAGATATGGAAGGGGAAAGGTCGGCAGATCTTACACGTTTGATGTACCTGCAGCTCTCGGCGAGCTGGACCATGCTCTCGTTCGAGATCTGCTTGCAGTTCGACACATTCAGGCCCTGGAGCCTGTGGCAGTTTTCGGCGATGGCGATGATGGACATCTCGGTGATGTTGATGTCGCCGGATATATCCAGCGCGAGGAGGTGCTGGTTGCTTTTGACGAGAGGTATCAGCCCATTATCCGTCAGGCCCTGGCAGTTGGTCAAGGTGAGACGTTCGACGCGGGTGCAGACGGAGAGGGGGAGGACGCTGCCGTCGCTCACTTCCTCGGCCAGAGCAGCCAGGTTCAGCCGCTTCACGAAGTCGGTATAGGTGAAGTAGGGCCTCTCCAAGCTGAGGGTGGTACAGATAGACGAATGCCTTTCCCACGAGGTGCAGGTCGGGCGATGCCAGAGGATCTCGACCACATTGCGGGCCCACCTCTTGCATGTCAACATGCAATTCAACAGCTCGTTCGGGCCACTGATGCGGGAGAATATGCTGATGAGTATCTCGCTGGGCAGGGCCGAAACGGTGGGCAGGCACTCGGGATCGGCGACCTGCATGTCTTGCAGGTTCGGCACGACGCCCAACGAAGACTGGGAATCGTTCGCTACCTGGAAGAAGTCGGACTCTTCGTTGTCGGCGGGGACGGGCGAGTTCGTCGACGAGGACGTCCTCGAATCCCTCGCATCTTCGACCGCGTTTCCTGCCTGCACAGCCGGACCCGGGGTAGCTCTCGCTGCTGCATTGCTGGCGGCCGAGGCGGAATTACGGGCGGCTATAACGTCGAGCGAAGGGGCCGATCGTCGCATCTTTAGCAAGTCTGCCGCCGATGGAGATTCCGGGTCCTGATCAGAGGAGGCAGGACAACTCGAGGTCGGTCGCGAGAGAGGGGGCTTCAGCCGACGATGATGGCCTGTCGGTCGAAGGATTCAGAGGGGCCGGTCGTGGGATAGGGCTGGTAGCGAGGGTAGTACCGTGGTGCTGCCAAACCATCAGACGTATATCTCGAGCCTCCTCCGGCCTCAAGTCAGAGTAACGAGAATAAGGAATACGGCGGGGGACCAGAAGGGGGTAGGTTGTCGCTGTTGTTACACTCGGAAGAGGAGGCTAGCGGAGGAAGAGTTGGGATGTTAGCGAATCGGGAGAAGGAGATGGGGATGATGATAGAGGCGGCGATGAAGGCAGTAGATGCGTTGGTGTTGATGATGTGGATAAGATGGACGGAAGGGATCGATTTACTAGGGAAGAGAAGAACGTCGAGAGGTGGACCAGGTTGGTGACTTGCGAGATGGGATGGCATGCAACTTGCTAGAGGCAGGTAGAGATGTACACCTGCCCGGCGAGAGGAGGTACTCGAGGGGCGTGGCAGGTACATCTTCCTACGGGGACGGGTAAGGGAAGGATACTTGGAGGTGCGCGCCTGTACAGGCCGAAGAGGGGGGTAGAGAGACCTATCTTGGGTACCTACCTACCTACCTAGGTACCTACCTCCTACATGAGTGGCCCCTAGGTAGGTACCTAGATGGACACATACCTATCTTAGGGGCCTGAGCCCCTCTGGGAGGAGACACCTGCCTCCTCCAGGTATGTGCCCACACGTGTGCTCATAAATAAATACCGCCGCCTAGGTGTATGAGTAGAGGCACCTTTAGGTACCCACCTACCTACTACGTAGGTAGGTGGGTACCTAGGTAGGTGACAAGAGGGAGGGCGCATCTACGTGTAGGTACCTCCCGCGAATTCCCACATCTAAGGTCAGGCCGCTGCCCAATTACCTAACGTTGCCGGGCAGCGTTGGGTACATAAACCTTCTCGAAGTGGCAGGCGGCTAAGGGGTAGGTACCTCTCTCCGGCGGGGAGGTACCGTCGCGGTACAGGCACCCCATGTAAGTACAATCCGGTAGGGCGAGCCGCCCGTCGCGCTCGAGATCGGTGAGATGCACACCTGAGCGTTGGACGCGGGAAGGAAAAGGAGTCTGCCCAGAGACGAGATGCATGGGATGTGTGCTGCTGTGACCACATGTACAGAATTACATCGTGTGTTGCACATACGTAAATCTGGGATGTAGCATGTAGCTTGTGGGCACGGGATATGGCTGGGGGCTGTGGAGGAGGTACCCAAGCCAACGCCCCTTGGCCCCCTCCCTGCCGTCGCGTTGGTTCGATGTATTGATGTACCGGCGGAATGTACTTGGGACGATGATGTTGGACGACGATGACGATGTTGGGACGAGTCGATTCCCCGTCTCGTATGCTTGCAGCCGACTCCAGCCGGCGCAGTGGCACGGCACGGCCGACGGCCGGTTAGGCGCCGACGTATATACCTACCTACCTAGGTAGGTAGGTAGGTACCTAAGGTATGCAACGGGGCATAACTGTAGGCACTTACCTGAGCCCTAACTACGTCAGGTGAGCAGGTACCTACATTAACCTCCAGTGGGAGGAGGGTTCTTACCTCGTTCTCGCTCCCCACGAAGCAGGCCTTAGGCCTCGCATTGTAGCTGCTGCACCCCTTCTCCCATTTTATCTTTTCTTTGCTCGCTTTCTCCTCTTTGCCTGGGCACGCCCGTCCTTTCTGCCCTTCGCATCTCTGCTTCCCGGAATCGCAGCGCCACGGACGAGTCTTCTTGAGATAGCCTCGCCCTCCTCTCTCTCTCCTTCATCAATCATCGGCATCTATCCCCTCCGGTGACCCGGCCAGTCTCTCCGGGGTGGTCCCATGACCATCAAGCCAAACCCTCCCCCCCCCCCCCCCCTCTCCCCTACGCGCGGCGTCCTTCTCCGCCCAGCCTACCCATCGAACTTAGATACATGCAACACCCCTCCATTGACTTGCAGGTATGCCAATGGTGAATAGGTACGTGGGCGGATGAAGGAGGGCTTACGTACTTACACGGTGGCGCATCAGACTTCTTCCTGCTCCCGTCCCCGCGACCCTGACAAGTCACGCGGCATGTGGATCGGCGCTCTCGGCATGGTGTTGGCCGTGATGCCATGGAGCGGGCCTGGATATCGACGTAGATGGCGCCGAGAGGGACCGATATCTTAACATACAGGATACGTAGGTAGGATTGTGCCTAATTGCAGCCCTCCGGCTCCGACCAACCCGTTCCTCCATCCGCGACGACGGACGAATCGGTACGCGGCAAGGAAAATAAATATTCAATATCAATTTGACTTCCCGCGGCACTCAACTAGCACCTCATCCGCTGTGCCGGAGCTGGGGTCTTTCCATGGTCGGTCCGGGATCCCCTTGCCTCCTTGGGGGCAGCTAGGTAGAAGGGACCTGAATATATACCTACCTGCCACCACACTATCCCGCCACCAATTCTCACCTGGTCGAGCTAGGCTGCTGCCAACTCTAGGTTCCTAGCGCACTCCCACGTCTTCGCGATATCTTGCGTCGTATACACCGCGCACTCGTCGTCGTGATACGCCGGGCCCGGGTCCGGCGTGCCGATTTTCTGCTGGCCCATAATATTAAACCATGCTGAGAGCGTTAGTCTAATCTTGTTAGTCCATATACATATGCTCGGGCTGGCGTAGCAGTCAGCGCTCTTGCAGTGAGCTCGGGATCAAGTAGGGCATAGATGGCGTAGTTGCCGTCATCGGCAATTCGCATGACTTCCGAGTAGTCGCCGCTGCGGCGTAGGACGACGCCTCTCGGTCACGAGCTGGGTGAGTTCGTGACCGGGGCCGGGGGTGGTGGGTATACGTTCGGCGACAGCGGCGAAGGCGGAGGGAGATGTATTTGCCGGCCTTGTCGTCTTCAAGTGTGCTAATAACGAGCCTAATGAGTGGTAGCTCCTCCTGCGCCAGCTTGTTGAGATAGGAAGGGTGGCAGAGTGTTTAGCAGCTTGATAACCACGGTGGCCGTACCCTCGTACAAGATGGCGGGAGAGTCCACAGTTGAATTCCCGAGAACTTGAAGTCCTCGGGTCTGACTCTGGCTAGAGCCAGGTGCCTCTTTTCTTTTCGAAACCATGTAGTAGATGGTAAGGCCGGTGTCCTCCCAGAATTTTATGTGCGATATGGTTGGTGACTTTTTCAAAGTTACCCACTGTATAAAAGGTCAAGATGTTGAAAAGGGGGGGTTAGATTTGCATTAGGAAGCTGACTGTTTGGTAACATGCGAGGTCTAGAGTTGGCAGCAGTGTTGAGACAAGTATAACGGATATGTTCCCCTCGTTCTCCTGAAAGTCGTCCCTCCACGGGTAGTTAGGTAGGGCACAGCGTCGGCCCTGCAAGACTCGACGATGAATCACTCGTCGATACCCGTATATGCCTCTGGTGATTATGCCTCATCTGGGGCTGGGTTTCTAGTGCAACGTCGTGTTCTCGCGGCACCAAGTGAGCAAAGCTTTAAAAATCACGGCGCATAGAACCCAGCTTAGCTTTAGATGGAAAAGCCATAGTAGCTCAAGACTAGGTTGTCGGCGACAAGGAGCCCGTTCGTGGTCGACTACACTTTCACGTCAAGCCTCCCGAATTCCCTAGTTATTTCGGCGTCGAGCCTATTCAGCCTCACGAGCTTCGGCGACAGCTCCGCCCCTGTGATAAGGGGATATGCTTGGAATAGGTTCAATTCAACTAATAATTCTATAGGGGGTCTCTTGGGTCCTTGCTTCCCTTAAGTTTCTTAGTCTTATTCTTATTCTAATATACTCCTGAGGTACCTCCGTACCTTGGTACCTAGGTACCCTAATACCGAAGCTATCCGTAGCTTATCTAAGACTTTCTTTAGTAGGTCGCCGAGGCGGCGACCTTAATGCTTAATATTATCCTCTTAATCCTTATGACCTAATTATTAGTATAGGGTTCCATTCCCGTAAAATAAGACCCGAATTATTCTGCTTCGCAGAATAATTCGGGCTTATTTTTAGCGTTTACGCTAAAAATAATAACCTATCCGAAGGATAGAGAGATATAGGAAGTATACTTAGTTTATTTAATAACTATTTTTACGTTTACGAACTTTATTTATAATAAAAAACATAGAAAACGTAAGAAATTATATATAATTTTTAACGGGATTAAAATCTAAGATTAAGAAAGATTAAGAAAGATTAAGAAAGATTAAGAAAGATTAAGAAAGATTAAGAAAGATCAGGAAAGATCAGGAAAGATCAGGAAAGATCAGGAAAGATCAGGAAAGATCAAGAAAGATCAGGAAAGATCAGGAAAGGTTACTGCAAAACAGGTCAGGAAAGGTCAGGAAAAGTCACTGCAAAATAGGTCAGAAAAGGTCAGGAAAGGTCAGGAAAGGTCAGGAAAGGTTACTATAAAACAGGTCAGGAAAGGTCAGGAAAGGTCACTACAAAACAGGTCAGAAAAGGTCAGGAAAGGTCAGGAAAGGTTACTGCAAAACAGGTCAGGAAAGGTCAAGAAAGGTCACGGTAAAACAGGTCAGGAAAGGTCAGGAAAGGTCACTGCAAAACAGGTCAGGAAAGGTCAGGAAAGGTCACTGCAAAACAGGTCAGGAAAGGTCAGGAAAAGTCAGGAAAGGTCACGGCAAAATAGGTCAGGAAAGGTCAGGAAAGGTTACTGCAAAACAGGTCAGGAAAGGTCAAGAAAGGTTACTGCAAAACAGGTCAGGAAAGGTCAGGAAAGGTCACGGCAAAACAGGTCAGGAAAGGTCAGGAAAAGTCACTGCAAAACAGGTCAGGAAAGGTCAGGAAAGGTTACTGCAAAACAGGTCAGGAAAGGTCAGGAAAGGTCACTACAAAACAGGTCAGGAAAGGTCAGGAAAGGTTACTGCAAAACAGGTCAGGAAAGGTCAGGAAAGGTTACTGCAAAACAGGTCAGGAAAGGTCAGGAAAGGTCACTGCAAAACAGGTCAAGAAAGGTCAGGAAAAGTCAGGAAAGGTCACGGCAAAATAGGTTAGGAAAGGTCAGGAAAGGTCAGGAAAGGTCAGGAAAGGTCACGGCAAAACAGGTCAGGAAAGGTCAGGAAAAGTCACTGCAAAACAGGTCAGGAAAGGTCAGGAAAGGTTACTGCAAAACAGGTCAGGAAAGGTCAGGAAAAGTCACTGCAAAACAGGTCAAGAAAGGTCAGGAAAAGTCAGGAAAGGTCACGGCAAAATAGGTTAGGAAAGGTTAGGAAAGGTCAGGAAAGGTCAGGAAAGGTCACGGCAAAATAGGTCAGGAAAGGTCAGGAAATAAGGGTAGAAAACGCGTCAGAAAAGGTCAGGAAATAGGGGTAGAAAACGCGTCAATAAATATACGTAAGGATTTCAAATTATAAGACTCCATTTATCCCGCCGTTTTTATTAGGTGCACGCATTTTTAGGGACCCATAGCGCGTTTTTTAGCCAGTAAAAACAGAGTTTCCCCTAAATGACCCCTTTATAGGGTTATTTACAGGGTTATTTACAGGGCTATTTACAGGGTTATTTATAGGGCTATTTACAGGGGTATTTAACCCCGCAATTAATCAGCATGACAGGGGGTTATGCGTATTATAACTATCCTCCGGATAGGATAATACTATCTCTCCTCCTCGGAAAAGCTCGTTTTTAAACGTAGATCTAAGGGCTTAGATTCGATAGTTAGTAGGTTTATTAGGGTTTTATTAATGGAATAACTTAACGGCTTCTTTCGTTTCTTCGGTAGTAAAGTACTTTTATGGTTCTTAAGTCTAATAGCGCTTAGCCGGTTAGCCTTCTTACTTTATTAAGTACTTAATAACGTTTCCGGTTCTAGCGGAATTTAGTACCTTATTTACCTCGTAGTTTTCTACCTTAATCGGGGCTATTTCTCGTAGGACTTAATTAGGGTTAGGTAATTCCTAATTACTAGCGCGGTAAGGTTCGATAAGGGATACGTAGAAGGTACTATAAATACGTTAGCCTTTCGGGAGCGTTAAGGTTACGGTAGTAAAAGAAACGACCCTTTAAATCTTAAAGGGGCCGAGTATCTTTTTATTTATCTTTTTTACGAGGCGCTTAGTTTTAATATTACGGGCGTTTAATATAACGAGTTATCCTATTTCTAAGGGAGGTTCCTTCTTTCGGTACTTATTTACCTATCCTTTTATCCGCTACCGTACTTTTTCTAAGTATTATTTAGCTTCGTTATATACCTTAATTATTTAATAAGTATAGAGGTTATTTCCCGGATTCTTAAGGATATTTAATAAGGGATTATATACGGCTAAGTACTACTTATAATTAGCGTAAAAGGGCGATATATTAATAGCGGTTAAAGTAGTATTATTATAAGTAAATTCGGTAGTAAGGAATAAGCTTTTCTAATCGCTTATCTCGTAATTTACGAAGGCGCGTAGGTAGGCTTTTAGGATTTAATTAAGTCTCTTCGTTTATTTATTCGTTTATAGGTAGAAGGTAGTATTTATCCTAGGCTTAATTCCGAGGAGCTTTAGGATATCCTTTTAAATATAGGAGATAAACCGTAAGTCCCGGTCGGAGATAATATCTAAAGGGATCCTATATAGCCGCTAATAATTACGGATAAAAATAGGTATTAGGTCTTCGGCTTTTTTACCGTCCTTTTTTAGCGGAATAAAGTACGTTATCTTAGTAAAGGGATCTATAATAATCTATATAGAATCGTAGCCGTTAGATATTAATAAGTCCGTAATAAAGTCCATCGCGATTATCTACCATGGTCGGTAATATAATTCCATAGGTTATAGTAATCCGAACGGGATATACCGTAGTACTTTATTTTATTAGCATTCGCGGTATCTTCTTACGAATTCCTTAACTATTACTTCTAGGTTAAGTTATTAGAAGTTTCGGGTAATAAGTTCTATAGTTTTATTTATACTTATATATCCCGTTACTTTAGTATCGTACTTTAATTTAATTACTTCTTATTATAAGTCCTTTGGTACTTATAAACGGTTTCGTCGGTAAAGGAGGCCTTTTTTAAGCTTTATTTTTTTACCGGGTTATTTAGCTAGCTAAGCCTGGTATTCCGGGTCCTATATAGCTACCGTTTTAACCTATTTAACGAACTTTAGGGTCTAAGTAGGTATTAGGATATTATTTAATCGTATACTAGAGAGTATTACCGTAGGTAAGCTTAAATTTTTTAAAAAATGCTTTTCCTATAGGACCGTCGCTATCGGTTAGTCCTTAGCTCTTCCTTTTTTAAGGCGATATTATAATAATCTAAATAAAATATCGGCCTTTTTATTTTATTTCCTTAGGCGGTAATATATTATAAAGTAATACGAAGAGAATTATTAAGCCTAGCGGGTTTATCGTCGATTTAGTACTTTTACCGTAGTAAAGTACGTTAGGTTTTAATAGTTTAAATATACTTTTATTTAATGCTAAGTACCTTCGAGATAGTATCGCTATTTTTCGAATATATCGACGATTACTAGTAGTTTCTTATTATATATCTTATAATTTATTTCCGCTAGGGTAAGTCGTTTTAAGAAAAAGGCTATTGGTTTTAGCCTTCCTTTATCGTTTTTTTACGAAAGGATAGCCGAAATAATAAAGTCCGAGGCGTCGGCTTTAACGATCGGAACTCGATTAGGATCGAAATATATAAGTACCGGGGCTTTTATAAAGGTTTCTTTTAATTCCTAGAAGGCCCTTTTTATTTCGATTTTTTATTTTCATAGCTTACGGTTTCTTTTATTAGCGT